CACAAGCTTCCGCTCCAAAGCTTTCCGGGCTTCATGTCCTCCGAATTCCGCGTCAAGATCTTCCGGCTGGGTGTCATCCAGTCGATCTTCTGCCACCTTCTCCAGATCCGCGTCGTGCGTCGAAGATGATCTCGAGTTTGCCATCTTGCCCTGTTATCGTGTCCTAGAGGTTCAACTTGCGCGGGGGAGCCAGAGCGGGGGTAAACCGCACCGGTCCGTGCGTTCTTGGCCGCCATTTAAGCAGCTCGCAGTTGGCGAATTATTTCCCATCGCGCGGAAGATGACCGAGACGATCCTGGAGAGCTAGTGCCAGATACGGGCGGAAGGCGAGGTCACAAGGGAGTGGAGAAGAAGCAGCTGAGCATTCACTTCTGTCGTAGCGTCTAAAGACAAGGCACCAGCATCACTGCGGCCGTGATACGCGTCTGCATAGGCCTTGGCTCGCGCACGTGACAGACGCGACGCGGTCCGGGTCGAAAGGTCAATTCACTCAGGAGTCAGCACTGTTTGCCGTCTCTCCCCTTCACCACGCTTACCTGATGGCTGCACGCCCAGACGTATCACCATCCCCTGACTCTGAACCCTCCCCTTCAATTGTCTCAGCCAACGATACAGCGGGACACGATGTCCGGCCCGCCATTTGCAACGCAGGCCTGTCTGAAGAAGAAATTCATCGCCGCAAGAAAATTCGTACGAGGACGTGGAAGAGCGGGGTACGTATGTCGTTGAACTTGCAAGCCTCTCGTCTGACCAATGTCACTGCAGGAGTATCAAGTGAGGAAGCTACTCCCCGCGAGTCGGCTGCCCGATTGTCTCAATCCTCTACGCACCCTTAACCCTCGCCATGATCTCCCCCTTTGCTGGTTTGGCGTACCACTTCGTCGGGATCTCTTTATCAACGGCTGTATCTCGCTCGGCCTCGCAAAGAAGATACCGGGAACGGAGAAGTGGTACTGGCTCCGGAGCTTCTACGCGCTCCGCGACGTGTTCGAAAAGGTGACCGGCGTGCACTTCGACATGGAACAAGTCTGGGGCGCGTCCGCTCGCCATCCGCAGGAGCCCATCGTCGCGTTTTGCTCGAACCGAGGCATGCATCACATGACAGAGGAAATGGTGGGTCGGGTGGTGGAACTCTTGGATTTGCTGGGCTATCCTGAAGATGGATGGGAGGGTGAGCTGCGATGGTTCCCTGCTCTTTTTGAGACAGTGAGTGGCTTTTTTGCATGCATGCAATGACGGTTCCACTCATCTCGCGTTCCAGCGATGAAGCCGGCGTGAATATGGATGCAGTCGATTGGCGAATGTTATGAAGCTGTGTATTATGTCGACTTCCAGGCTCTATTTGCGTGATTTGCATTATCTCCCACAAAGCCACTCACGAGTCGTGAATTGTAAACCGAGTATGTATTACCTACTCTACTCTTATATTATTTTCAAATCAGAAATCCCGACCTACATCACACAACCAGACCATTGAGAATCAAGATGACCGGTGCTCTGCGACAAGTGGCGCTTACGCGCACGTGACGGACATGAGCGCGGTGGGCAGGCTCAAATTTAAACAGTACAGAGTGAAGTCCAAGACACAACAACAGCACGCGATCGCGCGAGCACAAGAAGACACATTTTGCGAAGAGCACACGGGGGCCCGGCACATGCGCCATTCCGATTAATGTGGAGAATGACCTCAGTTCATAATTCACGACTCGCGAGCGTCATTACTAGAGAGAATTCAAATAGGAGCCAGAAAGCGATCATACAAAGCGAGACAACATTCCAACAATCGACTGTGCCCATATCCTCGCCAGCGTCATCGCTGTAACACAGAATGAGCGGGACCTCCGTGGCAAATAAGCAGAAAAGTCACTCACTGTCTCCAAACGAGCAGGGAACCATCGCAGCTCCCCCTCCCATCGATCTTCGGGATAGCCCAACATATCCAGAAGATCCTCCACCTTATTCACCATTTCCTCTGTCACATGCTGAATGCCCCGGTTCGAGCAAAACGCGACGATTGGTTCCAGCGGGCGACTAGGATTTGCACCCCAGACTTGTTCCATGTCAAAGTGTACGCCTGTCTCCTTCTCGAACGCGTCGCGGAGCGCGTAGAAGCTCCGGAGCCAGTACCACTCCCCCCTCGGCGACTTCTGGGCGAGTCCGAGCGAGACGGAGAGGTTGAGAAAGAGATCCGGAAGAAGCGGCACGCCGAACCAACAAAGGGGGAGGTCCCCGGGAGGGGTAAGGGTGCGTCGGGCGTTGAGGCAGTCGGGCAGCCGACTCGCGGGGAGTAGCTTCCTCACTTGATACTCCTGCAATGAAAGTGGTCAGGCGAGATGACTGCAAGCTCGATAATATACGCACCCCACTCTTCCATGTCCTCGTACGAGCCTTCTTGCGCCGGTAAATTTCTTCTTCAGAGAGGCCTGCGTTGCAAACAGCAGGAACATCGTGTCCCGCTGTGTCGTTGGCCGATGAAAGTTTAGGGAAAGAATCGGGGCCTGGGGATGGTGGTAGGAGGGATACGTCTGCGAGTGCAGCCATCAGGTAAGACTAAGACTGACGAAAGGACAACGAACGTTAGGACCGCTCGCGTAAGCCCAGTACCATATCCAGTAATGGCTTCTTATCCGGTCGAGAACGGGGAGCGCATAATTTCAAATGGGGGACCTACAGTATCGGGGGCGCGTCTACTAGCAGACCTTTGATAGTAGAAGGGCTGCCTAGGGGAGACTAAACGAACGTCCTGCGGGGCTCTGGCAGCGTCCCATTCCCAGGCATGGCACGTCACGTGAGGACATGTATTTCCACGCCAGTGACTTGCTTGATCAACTTCAACATCACGAAAATGGCGGTGAGTGGATCGTCAGCAGAGCGTGCGAGATCGAAATGAGTCCACGAGATCATAATTTGTCCGCCCGGCCTTCTTGTGACGAATAACGACCCAATATCGTCGAACACGAGCAAGCGCGATCAGCGCTCAGTGGGAGGGCGATCCCGGACGGTCTTACTGTGGGGGGCAGTTGATCTCGCCAGGTCTACTTCACGGGAGTCTCAGACTGTCTATGAACTGACAGGCAGGGCAGTATGGTCGCGCATGGTCGGACTTCGCGGAGCTTCTGGCCATGCTCGGTCGAACGGCCATAGCCATTTGGTCGACATTGATCGGACCAAACACGTGCTATGGTCGTACGCAAGGGACAGCTTGAGCATACATACGGAGCCATTCGAACATAAAAGCTCATCTGCTTGTGCGAAATACCTGATAATTGTTTCTGCACCGACGTACATATGGAGCTACAGATACACAATACGATATAAAGCGGTGTTATTGGAGCATCATACTCAAGTGTACGTTACAACGATGTCTGACGATCGCACAACAGACGACACAGCGACACAGAGACGCACGGATACCTGCGGCATATGATAAGATCTATCGTGACAATGCTAGCCGCTGGATAAATGCAATGAAATAGAAGCGGGGGACGTGCCGTACGGGATGCCGCGCGCAGAGTCTATGAGTAGTTAGTAGTTGTCGCCTGTCGGGACGTCCTGCAGCGCGATGTTGAGGTCGCCCTTTTGGGGTGGGCGGTCCTCTGCATCGGCGGCAGTGGGGGTGGAGAGATGGAGGGGAAAGGGGCCAGCATGTATCGCAGGATACGGAAGAGAGAGGTGGACTCACGATTTCGTGCGACCTAGTAGATCAACCCGTCGTCGCCCATCCAGGACATCTCGATGTCCAACGTCGGGACACAGTCGAGAAGACCCTTCGTCCACGAGATCGGGTCCGTCGTGCTGTTCACACACCGCTTCCCCGTGGCAGACATGTTAAAGGCGAGATATGCTGCGCGGTGGTGGTCGTGGATCAAGCTTTCACTGCAAATGATCGGGACTCGCTACTTACGACTTCAGTGCCGTCCTTGCTCTGTGGGCCGGCGTGTTGTCGTATGGACGTTAGACGGAAAAAAAAGGCCGGAAAGAGCCGTGCATACCGTGAGCTTTCGGGGTCCTGTCGTAATTCACCACGAATCAACTTACACAGAAGGTTGCATGTGTGCATGGCAAAACTCACTATTACCTGACTAGGGCTTCTGACGAGTCCGAAAGTATCAGAAGGCTTGTGCTAGAATGAAATGTATACGTATAAGTGTCAATTAAGTGCGCGTATAGCCGGCAAATACTTACGGGGCATCAGCAGCGAGCAGGTCAGAGTAAGTCAATAGTACGACGATGATGAGCGAGTCCGGCTTGCTTTCGGGCTCAGACCGTGTGCCCTGCGGTCAAAGTAGTGCATATATGCGCATAAAATGATGCATTGTCACGTACCAAAGCTTCCCAAGTGTTCTGTCTAACGCAGCCGTTGGTGGGATGTCGGGTCCTGGCAGTGGAGAAGCATTTAACAGGGAGGATCATAGTGAGCAAACGAGACTTGGCAAGTAAATTCATAGGGATATGGGCTGTGTTATATGGCGATCGCGCGAATGTGGGAGATGGTGGAGGAGTCGGAGAGGAAGAGAGAGAGAACGACTCCGCAACCAGTGTCTGGCCCCGGCCCGTCCGAACGTCACGCGCACGTGACAGACGCGAACTTTGTTTACGCGTTGTCTGACACTGCTGCACCCCCTTTTGAACGGCGTCCTCCACCTGTGCTGGGTCTCTCCCCCATCTTGTAAACGCGCCGTCATTCATGGAAGCGTACAAGACACCTTGACGACCCTTTCCGATAACCATGGATCCTTTGGAGTTCACCCTTTCTGCACAAGAACGCGTACAACTCGCGATCAGCAAGCTTCCAGTGCTCACAAAGCAAGACATACCTACCGGCGACTCCTGCCCGATCTGCCTCAACCCCCTAGATGCCCTAATAGAAGACAGGGATCAAGGGAAGCTCACCACAACGCCGGGAGAGGAGGCCTCAGAAGTGGGAGTTACGAAACTCGTCGGTTGCGGGCATATATTCTGCAGGGCCTGGTGAGTCTTCTGCGACTCGCATGTATGCGCGCACCTTCTCATGCTGCTGAAAAGCTTGGTAGAGTGGATTAAGGGCAGGGTACGTTCCCGCCTCAAACTGAAGTGCCGGTGATTCTAACGGGACATCGCGCCGGGATAGCACGGAAGTTGTCCGTCGTGCCGAGCGGTCTTTTCGAGCCTCAAACCTGCTTCCGACTCCGACAACGAGTCTTCTGACGGAGACTACGTCCCTGGAGACGACGAGGACGATGAAGATGAGGACGATGGGTTCCTCGACTCTGACGGCCTCATGGAGACGGAGTCCGTGATAGACACCATGGACGTCGAAGACGACCTCGACGAAGACGATATCGAGATGGACGGGGACGAGGCCATGCGGATATGGGAAGAGCGGGCTGCAAATGCGATAATGGAGAACTGGGGGCTGAGCAGCGACGGAGAAGGATCCGAGGATGCGTCGGAAGTGGAGGCCCTCGCATTGAGCGAAGAGCTCTCCGGCCCACCGCAGGCTGATGGTAAGCAGGTTCTAGCAGAGTCGCCATATTGTGCTGAGGGCCCGAACACAGACGCCGCGGTTTACAGCGATGCAGGAGAGTCCTCGGGCGTTCTGGAGACTCCATCGGAAGCGGTTAGAGAGTCCAAAGTCTAGTCCCACAGCGACCCGCCGGGAGGACGTGGTCTTTACATGGTTTGTATCATACATTGTAATCCTTGTATGCGTTATACATTATGTCTATCGACGTACACTCTAAAGCTGCACCCCTTCGAGAATGCTCGCCGCCGTCGCACCTTCGCGGTTCTCCACCCAGACCCCTGTGAACTTTCCGCTCCACCGCGGGCCCTTCCCCCACCCTTAACACCCAGCTGGACTTCAGCCCCTCGCCACCTCCTTCACCACTTTGTCGTCAGAGCGACCACGAGCACCACCGTCGTGCTCGTCGCACTCTGCGCCGCGGGCGACGAAGAGAGCACAAGCAAGAACGGTGTTGCACCTCCTTCTGCCTCCGCGACCTTCCCCGCGAACGACGTCGCGACCGCGGACAAGAACCCGAGCACGTTGCCCCCGTCGTCGTCCTGTGCCTCCTCACCACCCGCGACCCGTTCGAACAGCTCCGCCGCGACAGGGCCCGCGAGCTCCGCCTCGAGGTCCTCGACGCGCTTCGTCGCGCGCCGCCGCTCGTCGACGACCTGCTGCACGCGCTCCGGCACCTGCGGCGCGCCGCAGTTCATGACGCCCGCGGCGGCAGTGAGCGTCGTGTGCGCGGCGCCGAGGTGTGCGAGGAGCCGCGGGCCTGCGAGGAAGTAGAGCCGCACGGAGCCGGCGAACGCGGTGCCCCCGCGCGCAAGCGCCTCGGTGTGGGGGAGGAGGTAGAGTTGGAGGTTGTGCAGCGATGGCGCGTGCGTGCCGCAGCATCTGGGCGCAAAAAGAGCATGGGGTCAGCTAGGGTCGAGATCGGGGCCTGAAGCGGGAGGAAGGCTGCGGCCCCGGACAGCCGAGAGGATTGAGGGCTTGAGGCCGAGGGATCCGGGTGTGGCTCCCGGAAGGGACTCACGGGTTGCGATCGACACCGTCGATGACCACCGTGCGCTTGACGCCGCCGGTGTAGTCGTCCGGGATGCCGACGGTGGGTCCGCTCTTCACCTTCGCGCCGGCGGTGTCGAGCTCCTCCACTTCGATGTGCACCGCGCGGCCCTCGAAGACGAGTCGGTTGCACTCCTCCTGGACGTACGCGATCTCTTCTGAGGAGAGCCCGCGTGCGAGCTCGACGTAGCACGGGCGGGCGCGCCGGTGAGCGACCATGCGATGGTGTCCACGTGCAGCTGGTGTTCGAGCACAGCAGAGAGCAGGTGCTGCGAGGTGTGCATGCACATCTGTAAACGGAGCACGGCGGTCAGCAGACTCAGGGTACAGCACCGCATGACGGAGGAAAAGAAGCGAAATCCGAGAAGACGAATTCATCAAGAGAGCAGTGTCCGGTCGCGTGCCTTGAATAGACGATATCAGGTCCGAACTGAGCCATTTCTCTTCGACGCAGAGCGACCCGGACAGCGACCCGGGCAGAGCCCCATAACTCGCTGATACCGCGGCATTGACCGCGCCCGCGCTAGGACGTTGCGTGGATGGAACGAGCAGGATGGACTTACATGGTCCAGCCGTCGCTTATACCCCGCCTCGCCGAGAGCGACGCCCACCAGAGCTCCCGGTGCAAACACCTTGAGCCCATTGTCGACGTCCTGTTCAGGCCTAAGCCGCACGTAGTGCACTGCGTGTCCGCCATGGCGTTTGGCTTCAACGACATCCCAGAGCTCACCGTCAGCGCTGGTGAGCGTTCCGACGTCCGAGGGTTGTCCTCCGCCTTCAGGGAAGATGACGGTGTCGTGAAGGATGACTTCGATAAGCGGAGCAGTCAGTGCAGGGGCGGCCTTCTTCTTCTTTCCCTCGCGGCCGTTGGATGGAACAGTGGGCGACTGGGAGACTCGGCATGAGACGGCGGTCGTGGCTAGATCTCGAGCGAGCGGGTCGCCTGGCAAGTCGGTGCAGACGGATAGAATCGAGTAACGGGATTGAGGTTAGTAAGTGTGAACAGAGATGGACGTGCTTACTTACGCTGACAAGCGAGGAGGCCGACTGGGATGGGTGCAGGGGGTCGCTCGGGATTGCGAGCGTCGGGGAGACAATCCGATGGTACGAGGACGGGGTGCGTGCCGGAGCCCCTAGCGTTGCGGTCGCTGCGGCCATGCTGCGGCCCTGTTCTCAGCGGAGGATAATAAGAGGGAGATACTGCTAGGGCTGGTGGAAGGACTGGAGAAAGAGGCGAAACGATCGCCGGCGGCATCCAGACGCGCGTGGCGCGGCTTCCCACAACCTTTCTTGCGATCGCCCTGATCGATCCGGAGACCGGTCCGACCGTGGGCGCTCCTTGGCCTCCGCGTGGCTGTCGGGCACTGAGTTGAAACGGAGTGAACATTTTGCTCATCTCCGCTGCTCTTTTCCAGCCTGCTGTTCGAGCGAAGTCTATTCGGCGCCCAAAAGCCAGTATCCTTGTGGCGGCTCGGGAAAACGTTGGACGCCCGCCTCCCGATGATCGTTCTACCCCCACCCCCGCTTCCGCCCCCGCCCCCGCGTTCCGGCCCCGCAACGGAGGCTCGCGTATGTTTTCCTCCTCCAGAGACGCTCGCAGGAACGGTTATAAGCTCCTTCCCGTACGTCCTCATTGTTTGTCTCCTCCTCCCCCACTCTCTCCGCCGGTTTCGCCTCGCGCGTCCTTCTGTCGCCCGTCATGTCCACTCACTCCATCGAGAAGGAGGCACACGAGCATCACAACGCGCGCGACCTCGAAGCCGACCCCGCCCATCTTGGAGACGTCGAGTTTGGTGGCCATGAAGCTCGCCAGAAACTGGAGAAGAAATTGCTTCGTAAACTGGACGCACGCATGAGCATTCTCATCGTAATCTACATCCTCAACTACGTGCGTCTTTCCATGCAACCCGTTCAAACTTGCACTCACGAGCACCTCACATAGGTCGACCGCAACAACGCCAGTGCCGCTAGGTTACGCGGTTTCGAGACCGACCTCAACCTTAAAGGCGAGGAGTTCAACACTCTGCTCAGTATCCTCTACGTCGGGTATATTCTCATGCAAATACCCTCGTAAGCGATCTTCAGTCGATATCTTCAGTCCTGCGGATCTATCTCTCATATGACCTACCAGCAACATGTTCCTGAACTACATCGGGAAGCCGTCCATATACCTCCCATGCTGCGTGCTGGTCTGGGGCCTTATTTCCACCCTCACCGGTATCACCACGAAGTGAGTCGAATGGCGCTAAGATATCGCGGCGGCTGAAGCTGATTCGCGCCAACGCTAGCTTCGTCGGCGCCCTTCTCACCCGGTTTTTCCTCGGTTTTGTCGAGGCGGCCTTCTTCCCCGGCGCGCTTTTCCTGCTTTCCAAGTGGTACAAGCGGTCAGAACTCGGTCTTCGCACCGCTGTTCTGTTCTGCGGTAGTCTCATAAGTAACGCTTTCGGTTCTCTGATCGCCTCTGGGATCCTCAACGGCATGGAAGGGAAGCTTGGCCACGCCGCCTGGAGGTAAGCGTGCCTGACTAGCACATTCGTCCGACATGCCGCTCACGGCTGTATCATTCTGCAGATGGTTGTTCTTCATTGAGGGTGGGCTCACCATGCTTGCGGCTGTGGCTGGTCTCTTCATCCTGCCCGACTTCCCGGCCACTTCACATTCATGGCTGAGCCCTGAGGAGATCCGTCTTGCGGAGAAGCGACTCGAGGAGGACGTTGGTATCGCCGACAATGAAGAGGGCGAGACCGGTGGACACCTGCATGGCCTTTACCTGGCTGTGACGGATTGGAAGGTGTGGTGGCTCGCAGTCGCACTCACATCCCTCGTTGTCTCGCTCTCCTTCAACGCCTTTTTCCCAACACTGAGCGCCACGATGGGGTACAATGCCACTGTCACGCTCCTCCTTTGCGCACCTCCTTGGGCGTTCGCGACTATGGTCTGCTTCGCCATGACGAGGCACTCTGACTACGCTGGCGAGCGCTTCTGGCACATCACCGCGCCTCTCGTCGTCGGCATCGTCGGCTTCGTCATTGCAATTTCAACTATGAACCTCGCGGCGCGCTATATCTCCCTGTGCGTCATTCGTGCTCTGTTCCGATGTTCTCGAGATTCACCGGCTCTATCCCATCAGGTTCTTGATGGCCCAGTCTTACGCAGGGTTCATCATCTTCCTCGCGTGGGTCAGCAACACGATCGTTCGCCCGCCCTCGAAGCGTGCTGTTGCGCTCGCGTTGATCAACGCGTTCTCGCAGCTCGGTAACGTCGCCGGATCGTACGTTTTCTTCCCTTCATTCTGTTGAGCACCACAGCTCACATATTTTGTTCTTTTTAAGCTATGTCTGGCCAAAGACGTGGGGCCCTTCATACGCGCATTCGTATGCGATCTGCATCTCAACGAACGGCCTATTCATCATCATGTGTTTCATCTTCAAGCTCCACCTCCAGAACCTCAACCGCGAGCTCGAGAAGCGCGAGCAGGATGAGCAGCGCCCGCGCGGGTTCCGCTACCTTATCTAGACATGGCTACCTCCTCTGAGCGCGGCCATCTTTGTACGTCGCTCGCCCAGCGGCGAGCCCCGCTATGTCTTTACGTGCTCCCACGTTGATCTACGTCTTGCTTGCCATGAACCCTTGTAACGATCTCTATGGAGCTTAGTCTAGTGTATAATGCAATCTCTCGGAAATCCTTTCCGTCCCTCTGAAACATTCGCTCTTCCACGAAACGCCCCTGTTTCTTGTGTCACGAGTAGTCCTTGGCCCGCACAAATCAAATGTTTCCTGAGTGGGGAAGCGCTCACTTTCGCCGGTCCGGGTGCACGCGACTATGACGTCGTTTGAACAATTCTACAGCGCGGCGGCCCGGCTCGGGGAATCCTCGGGCGCCCCCGCGTCTTGGGGCGAGTCCGCTGTTCGCTGCCGCCGCCAGACCCGACGGTCACGTAGATCGTGGCCGCGATGGGCCTCACGCTCTCACATGTGAGCCCAGGCTATCTACGGGCTCTATCTCTGCTTCATCTCCATCTGGATTCTGCTTCCGCCTGACGACGAGCTTGCGCGCCGAAGCAAGAAAACAATCCGGACAGACTTGATTCGAGCGGCTTGAGCAGATCGCGCGACGGATCGTACACTGGGACTTGCAATGACCGCAGCCAGCAGGGAGCTACACGACGGGTGGATGTTCTCGCAGGTCGGGGGTGGAGAAGTCCTGAAGGACGGGGAGTGGCTTGAGGCGACGAGCTTCCCGACGACGGTGCACGTCGAGCTCCTTGCGCACAAGAAGATCCCGGACCCGGTACGCATCTTCTTTTGCATTCTCCCGCGCATACAGTCAAAACAATGTGGGCGACGGTTGGAGACGCGACTGACGTGCGCGACACACAGTTCATCGCCTTACGAGAGTGGGACGTGCAGTGGGTCGGTGAGGCCGCGTGGACATTCAAGACGACCTTCACGGCGACCCCGGCCGAGCTCGCGGCGCAAAACGTGGATCTCGTGTTCGAAGGGTTGGACACCTTCGCGGACGTCGAGCTGGTACGTGCTCCGAGTCTATGTCTTTGTCGCGGCGGATCTGAGCTCCGTGTTGTATTCAGAACGGGAAGCACATCCTCAAGTGAGTATAAGAGGAACCTGTATGTCTGGGTAGCGTCGCCTGATGGATGTTCCGCAGGAACGAGAGCCAGTTCGTCTCTCACCGCGTACCGGTCAAGGACGACCTCAAGGCTGGCGATAACACATTGGTCTTGAAGTTCGAGAGCGCATTCAGGAAGGTATGAGTTACACTTTCGACGAATGCACTTCGATTCCTGACGGTCAATCACTCGTTTTGTAGGGTCGCGAAATTGAATCACAGCACGAGAAGTTCAAGTTATGGAACGGCGACTCTAGCCGTCTCCACGTCCGCAAGGCGCAGTACAAGTGCGTCATGACTTCGATGTTACGTCGCGGTGGATGTATTGAATTATTCTGGCGTCGGCTTTCTGCAGCTACGGATGGGACTGGGGTAAGTGCTCAGTGCTGCCCCCTATCCCTATGTCTTTTTCTCATTTCTTCGTAGGTCCGGTCCTTATGACGACTGGCCCTTGGAAGCCGATCCGTCTCGAGACATACGACGCCCTCATCGCCGACCTCGACATACGCCCCCGCGTCGACGAGAGCCTGAACGCGAGCATCGACGTCACCTTCGCCCTCTCCAAGCCTGGCACGAACGTGGCGAGCGTCGCGATCCGCGACCCCGAGGGCAAAACCGTGATCGACCAGACGAACATCTCTGTCAAGAGCTCGAGCGCGAGCGCAAATTTCAAGCTCTCTGCAGGCCTCGTCGAGCTCTGGTGGCCGGTCGGGTATGGGAAGCAACCCGTTTACGAGGCCGAGGTCGCTATCACCGATGCGGCAGGGAAGGTGCTGGACAAGAAGCTGCAAAAGTTCGCGCTAAGACGGGCGGTTATCGTTCAGGACGAACTCGAGGGCCAACCGGGACGGTCGTTTTTGTTCGAGATCAACAATGTTCGCATGTTCTGCGGTGGTAAGTGCACTTGAACGCCACTGTTTCTCGGAGGGAGGCTCACCATTGGTTGGCCAGGATCGAACTGGATTCCAGCAGACTCTTTCCTTACGACGTAATAGTGTTCTTTGCTCAGTATTTTTGCGCCGTTCGGCTGAAATATTTTGTAGGATGACGCGCCAGCGTTACCGTGATTGGCTGCAGCTCCTCATCGACGGTAACCAGAACATGATTCGCGTCTGGGGAGGAGGCATTTACGAGGCAGACGATTTCTACGACATCTGCGATGGTAGGTGTTTGAAAACCCGGCTCACAGCCTTAACCGATCTCACTGAGCGCTGTAGAACTTGGCATCATGGTTTGGCAAGACTTCATGTTCGGCTGTGGACAGGTACGCCAACTCATTTCTACCGCAACGGCCACGCGCTCATTCCGCGTGCTAGTACCCCGCGTATGATTCTTTCACCAAGCTAGTCGAAATCGAGGCGGAGCAGAATGTGAAGAGGCTACGCCATCACCCATCCGTTGTCATCTTCGGTCAGTCGAAATCTTTCATCTTTAGTAATGGCGCCGTAACGGTACCTTCAATCTGTTCACAGCTGGGAACAACGAGGGTATGCTGACAGTCCTGCCTTGCGGATAAACCACACTGACTTTGCGCGATCGATGGGCGTGTAGATTATCAAGTCGCGGAGTCCCACAATTTGGAACTCGATTACTCCGATGAGACCTCTGATTTCCGGAAGACCAACTTCCCTGCGCGCTGGATCTACGAACGGCTGCTTCCAGACGTCGTCCAGCGTCTCTGCGACATTCATTACCACCGTAGTTCGCCGTACAGCGGCTATGGCAAGCCTACCACGGACAAGACGTACGGCGACCTCCACCAATGTACGTCCATCGATGTCTGGTGACCTCTCATGCTGATGGCAATCTCCGCGTCTCCCGTAGGGAACGTGTGGCACGGGTCGCAGGAGCCCTGGCACAACTGGGACATCCTCGCCGGTCGCTTCGTCTCAGAATTCGGAATGTCAGTCGAACGAACGCTGCGATTGCCGCGGTGTCGCCCATACTGAACACCCCGTTTGTGGCTGACAGGGAAGGCTACCCCGACATCCGTACGGTCGACTACTGGCTCGGGGGCGATCAATCGGAGCGCTACCCCCAGTCGAGGTGAGCATCCTGTGTGCTGCAGGTCTGAATTTACGTACCAACTGACAACCTGACAGGTCGAACTGCAACCACAACAAAGCGGATGGCTTCGAGCGCAGACTGGAGGTGCGTTCCTCGGACCATCGTGAGAGCGCGGTAGCTCACTTGACCCGCGTGGTGCGCTTCGGGTCTGTAGCTGTACCTCATGGAGAACTTCAAGCACGCCTTCGACATGGAGAGGTCCGTTCCATCTGCACGACTGATTGACGCCAAATTGAACCGCTACGGGCGTGTTCCTTCTCAGTTACGTGTACTACACCCAAGTGATGCAGGCCGAGACCCTAGCGTCTGCTTACCGCCTTTGGCGGCGCAACTGGAAGGGCAGGGGTAGAGAATACACCGCTGGTGCGCTTGTGTGGCAAGTGGGTGTCGATTCGCGCGAGAGAAGCGTCCGATGGTCCTCCCCCACACCGCTAACCTCACTCTTCCCTGCCATCGCCTCCCCGATGGCATTTTTAGATCAACGACTGCTGGCCGACGACCTCCTGGGCGATCGCAGACTACTTCCTCCGCCCGAAACCGGCCTACTTCACCATCAAGCGCGAGCTCCGGCCGTACACCGTCGGGCTCACCCGCAAGGACCACACGACCACGCCTGATCCGCTCTCCGCCGCGTCCTTCGCGATCGAGACGCGGCTCGAGGTGTGGGGCACGAACAGGACGCTCGAGCCGCGGCGTGCCACGCTCACCGTGACCGTCTTCGACCTCGACTCGGACTGGACGGAGGCGTTCGAGCGCGCGGTCGAGCTCGCGCCGAACGCGGCGACGGAGCTCTGGGCGGGCGCGCTCCCCGGACAACCCGTGCGCACGACACGCAGCGCCGTCCCGCGCCCGCTCGTCGTCTCCGCGCGCCTGCTCGACACGGACGGGACCGTGCTTGCGCGGTACGCCAACTGGTGCGTCTCTCCCTCTCCCTCTCCCTCTCCCTCTGAACTCCCTCTGCGTGGTGTCGCTCACGCCCGCAACGCAGGCCGGAGCCGTTCAAGTACATCCACTTCCCCTCGCCCGCCGCGGTCGGCCTCACGATCGCCCCCGCGGCTGACGGCCGCTCCGTCACGCTCTCGTGCGCGAAGCCGGTCAAGGGCATCGTGCTCGACGCGCCCGGGCTCGCCGCGCCGCGCTTCTCGGACCAGGCGCTCGACCTCGTCCCCGGGGACCCGCAGACGGTCGCCGTGGAGGGGCTCGACGGGCGCACGGTCACCGCGCGCTACCTCGGCGACGGCTCGGCTTGAGCGCGGGGCGCTGTGGACACTGGAGAGTGAACTGAGTAGCCGGCGCGGCGCTGGCGGGCGGACCGCGTGGGCGGGTGTGGCTGAGGCGTGTCCCGCAGGTTTGAGAGGCCGGAGACGAGCGTCGTCGGGTTGGGATCCGGCTCGGCGTTATGGACGTGCGGCGCCGGGCGGTGCGCTTCGTCTCGCGGGGCGTGCGGTCCAGGAAAGGCAGGCGGGCAGAGCAGCGACGAAGCGGTTGAATCGCCGGTCTCCACGTGCGTGTACGAGCGAGCAGACTGTCACTGTATCATTATGTATGCGGTGATGCGTCAACAAACGAGCGTGTCCGAGTCGGCTGCTGTAGTTCTCGACCCCGGTCGAGCCCCGCGCGGACCCTTGCACGATCGAGTCTGTGCATTGTCAGTCACGAGCTCCGATCCAGCGCGTCGCCGTTTCGGGCGACGTGGGCCCTCGCCGCGCACTGCAGCGCTGCGGTCGGCACAGAGCCGCGAAGGATGCATTCCTGTGCCCGACGTGAAGCGTGGAGGCTGCACAGTGCAGGTCACCGGACGCGGCGAGCGCGTCCGCCGGCCTCTAACACGGTCGTCACGGGTCGCGCGTCGGGACTCGGGACCCAGGCGTCGCGCGTCCGGTGCCTGGAAAAAACCGCGGCGGCAGTAACTCCTCTGATCAAGGAGCGTCGACGTCGGATCTCGGGCGCGCTGTGCACTGTGCATTGTGCAGCCGCCTGCGCCGATGTGGAGCACTGTTCTTGCTTATTGCTGCACTGGCAGCGCGCGCGCCGCGTGTGTACGCGATCGCACCGCGCACACGGGACCTGGGCCCCCTGCATTTGCGGTCGTTTATAGTTCAGCGGGCCGGCTGAGCGGAGACGAGTGCGAGCTGCGTGCCTCGGGAGAACGCGTCCCGAGGCGGCACCGGATGCGTGGCCCGGTGCGCCGAAGACGCGGGCACGAGACGAGGGTCCGAGGCGGGCGCGTTGCGTCGCGCGCGAGACTGGCTGCTACTGCTGCTGCTCCCTCCATTCTGCACGGGGAGGTCTCGGCACTGCGGCCCCGCGCGCGCGATGCCAGACACACGGACCAGCAGACCGGCTCGATGCAGCCTGGAGGCGCGGGCGATGGGAGGGCGATTGTCGATGGGAACGGGGCGCGCGGAACACTGGGCAGGGCAGGCAGGGCAGACATGGCAGGGTAAGCTAAGTATTGCCGGGAATTACCGGCCGAGGGGGACGAGCCGTACATATGCATGGGCGACGCGTGTGTAGTGCATCCGGGGCGGGGCGTGTAGGGTACGGAAGCGAGGCGAGGCGGGCGGACGGGACGGGTGGGCGGGAACCGAGAGCGGCTATAGGTTCGAGAATCGAGAGTCGGGGGAGCGAGCGGTTCGGGACAACAACAGGGCACGGGCGAGGCGATCGTACAACCAACCGGGGCGCGACTGTGCGCGCCGCGGGGCGGAGAGCGAGCGAGGGAGAGGGAGGGTGCGGGAGCGGGAGCGAGGCGAGGCGGGTACTGTCAAACATGGTCCGAGTATACAAGAACGGATGCGGATACTGCGACCCAGGGATAGCGATGTGTCAGTCGTGGGGACGGGGCAGCGCGCGAGGAGCCACGGACGACGGAGAGGGATGCGGGCGGCGAAGGGGGCGGGCGGGAGAATGGAGGGCCGCCGGCGGACGAGCGATGGAGAGGGCGAGCGGGGGCAGGCGAAGGGGCCCTAATGGGGGAAGAACTGGCGGGTGTAATGCACCAGGGAGCGGGAGAGGGTACAGACCATTATGGAGGTGTATGCAAGAGCAGTGGGACGAGACAATCTAGGGAGGCCGAGACGTGCGACGTGCGAGGGGGTGCGAACGAGGGGGCTTGCGGGGACGACGAGAGGAAAGCGAGACGGGCGCGCGCGGGGCGTTCACATGAGGATGCACTTGCTCGCTGGGGGCTCCGCCTTGTTATTTGGTTGCCGCTTCTCGATCTCTCCGAGGCAGAGCTCGAATACCTTCGCTGCAGGCCGGACGAGTCGCGTGAGCATACGAGCGCGGGGGACGCGAGCATAGAGCAGGGGGCACGCACCAACGTTGACATTCTCCTTCGCGCTCGTTTCGACGTGTATTGCGTCAAGCTCGGTGGCGAGTTGCTGGCCCTCTTTCGCTTGGACCTGTCTGGAAGGTCTGTGAGGAAAGAGCGTTGTGTGGGTACACGCGTCGATGCTTGAGGCGGGCGACGAGAGTACATGGAGGGAGAGGGGAAGGGGGGGAGAGTGGGGAAAGGACGTACCTGTTCTGCAAGTCGATTTTGGAGCCGACGATGACGCAGGGGATGGAGTTCATGCCGCAGAAGTTGATGATCTTGTCGTAGACGACGTGGACCATGTCGAACGACTTGTGGTTCGTGACGGAGTAGACGAGGACGTATCCGTGGATGCCAATCGCGTGCTTCGAGTTCAGGATCGTGTACTCGTCCTGGCCGCGGCCGGGGGTCAGACGGGGGAACGGGGAGAGGCGGGGGACGGACCTGGCCAGCGGTGTCGATGATGTCACAGTCGTAGTCGATGCCCTTGTAGTTGACGGTCTTGTTGAAGACGCTCTCGATGGTGGGGTAGTAGGACTCGATGAAGTGGTTCTCGATGAACTGAATCACGAGCGAGGACTTGCCTGCGCGCGGGGAGGGTGAGGAGTGGTGCGGGGCGGGGGCAGGAGGGGACGCACCGACGGAGCGGGAGCCGAGGACAGCGATCTTGCGCTTCTTGAGAATGTCGCCGGGCATGGTGGGCGAGCGGGGGCGCGGGGGAGGGAGGAGGGCGGAAGGCGAAGGGCGGAGGGAGGCGGGGAGGGTAATAACGGGCTGAACTGGGAGGGGAGCCCGGGGCGGGCGGACGGGGATGGCCTGTAATATATCTCCGCCGTTGTCGGTTTCGCCGAGCCCGCGCACTTTTAGCCTTTTAGCCAGCCCCGGCCCCTCCCATCGCCCGTCGCCCGTCGCCCGTCGCGCGCGCGTGCGTGCCCGACGCCGCCGCCGCCCTCTGAGTCTCCATCCCCGCGCGCCTCGTCCTTACGTCTCTGTACGTCTTTGCCCGCTCACCTGCCCCCGCTGCCCCAGGTCGCCTGATTCCGCCCATGCCTTCCCCCGCGCCCGCCGACGACACAACTTCACGTACGCCCCCGCCGTCGCCCAGCGCCATCAGCACGTTTGTCCGCGCTCTGCCTGGCCAATCGCCGCCCCGCGCACACGGTGGCCCGCCGCGCCAGCCCCCTTGCAAGGGTCGCCCCTCGGACGCACGCCCACCGCGGGTCCTCGGCCGCCCGTCCCAACGAATGCAGCTGGTTGACTGCCAGACTCGGTCGCAGCCGCACGGTGGGTGCGTGGCCCGATAAGCTCCCGCGCTCTCCACGACCTTGTGCCACTCGTCGCCCACAGAGTCCGCTCGTTGTGTTCCGTTCGCGGCGACGGCGACGCCATCTTCTGCTCCTTGGCCGCGGCGCTGCACAGTGCACACGACGGTTGGACGACGCCGCGGCTGTCCCGGGCCGGCATCATCCTCCTCGACGACGGTTTATGAGACCTCAGGGCACCCGACGGGCCACGTCCGGAGTTCGCGGATTGGGGCTCGCGAGCGTCGACGCCGAGTGCCCGGGCGATGGCATCCCTCTCCTCACTCGCCACACGAGGAGGCCTCTGAACCCACAAGGCCTCACTCCTACAACCCCTACCAAGTGGCCTGACCACATGCAACGTTCTGGGTCGCGCCCGAATGCTCCTCCTCTCACCTTCCTTCGCACTCGGGGACCTCGACTGCCCAGAACCGTCAATCTCATCCTCCTGGCCGTCGCCCCCGCGCGCCCATACCCCACACACCCCTTCTCTTCCCCCGCGCGCCCACAGTCTCGTGCCGCGGCTGCCCCCTCCTCCCCCCTCCACGTCCCCCACATCCTCGCCCTGCTTCCAATCGGATCCTCGACGCGAGGGGTGGTTCGCCGCGCGCCTCCGCGATGCGCGCGATAACCCTAGCGCAGCGTCCCGCGACGCCTCACGACGCTCGAGCCGGCCGACGGGGCCCAGCGACGTGGGACGCGGCCGCGGTATCCCCGCAGCCGCGTGCGGGGGCGCACGGGGGACGCTGGGGGACGCCTCGCGCGCGCGCGCGCGGGGCGCACAATCTGCACGCTCGCGAATCTAGTGCAGCGCGGCCCTGCACGTACGCCCGTCGAGGACGACTTCAGGGCGGGTGCGGGCCGCCGGCGATTCGCGGTCTAACTTCCTAGGCGCGCGGAGGGCTTCTTTCTTTCCACCTCGGTCTTCCACCGCGCGCGTTTTTCGCCGTGCACGTCCCCCGTCCTTTGTTTTGCACCGCTCGTTTGTCTCTGGCTCGCCGCTCGTGCTCCTAGCGCCGAACGACTTGGGGACTTGGCTCTCATCCACGTCCAGCACACAACCCCCTTGCGGCCATCCGGAACCCAAGCGCATGCTCAACGTTCAACGTCAACGCTCAACTCTCAGCCCGCGCGAGAACCTCGCTCCCCGCCCGCTGACAGCCATATCGAGCCCGCGCGCGGCGTCTCTCGCGCGCTGCCTTATTAGTCCTCACTCGCGGCCGCGCACGCGTACAAACCCCGACCCCGCGCCTAGGCCACCGCGTCACACCTCCCCCGTGTCGCGTTCGCGAAGCGAAGCCGTCGAATCCTCGCCGCGATTCCGGGCTGCGACGATCCAGGCACGCGCGGCGCTCCGTGCGGGCTTTGCTTTGTGCGAGACGGGGCGCGGTGCGAGAATGCGAGACTGGGGTTGGGATTCTTGGGGCTCGGCGAGGGGGCAGGTGCTGTTTGGCTCCGGCCCCGTCCCGATCTAGGCTGCGCGAAGAGGGGGAGGGGTGGCACGTACTTTACCATCAGCAGGAGCAGGTGATGGTCCGGATCCGGAACGCGCGGAGGATCGTTTCAGGAACTCCCAAGTGCTGGGCGCTTGCGTGCAGGATGGGTTCTGAACCTGAACGTTCAACGTCAACGCGGCCAGCTGGGCGACAGCTCGAAAACCGTAGGCCGCAGCGGAGGCTCGGGCCACTCGGCGGCACGCGGTGGGCACGCACGCACACAGCAGAGACGACAGCCACCCGAACTGTCCTGCGGCCCGTCTCCGCGCGCTGTGGCTCTGTGGGTGCACGTACGCGTAACGGGGCCACGGCCACAGGCCACCCAGTGCGCGCCGCCGAGACGAGTCCAAACCGGGTTGCGCGTCCCCGCAGTGGGGCCCCGGCGCCGCGGCCGTGGCTCGTGTGTACATCGGACGTGGGACAGTGGCGGTAACGTTTGCCGCGGGGATCTCGGGCGCGAGCCGGGGCCGACCGACTCGCGCTCGAGCTGGTCCCGGGCGAGAGGGCCCCGCGCGGGTTGTCTAAACTCAAAGTTGCTAAGGTCTAAAGCTCGGGACAGCTGCGCCTTTGCGCCCAAGCGACGTGCGCGCTTTCGAGAAAGTGTGAAACTACTCTTCGACGTGCGCCGTCTCTTGGAGACGGCCTGGACGTGGTCGAATTAGCATACTCGTGTGGCCGGGCTGTCCCACACGAGCGACGTACGTGGGCGTCCCTCCCAAATATCCGTTCTGTCCGGGAGTTGTCGTTCGAGCGCGGCAGCGTGTACTCAGTAATGTACACACAGGTGGACTGCGCGCTGAGAACGCCAGATCGGTGTTCCGCAGCTGCTGCAGCGCACCCCGGCGACTGAACCCGGCATCCAGAGACCCACGTCGCGACCGAGGCTGCACACCGCCCGACGGAACGAACGCTCGCGTTGCTTCACGGACGCACGGAAGTGGCCGTGGAGCCGCCACAGTCGTCAGCCGCGCCTTCGAACACGACCCTGCGCCCGTCCCGCGTGGAGCACGCCCGCCGAGCTCGCAGGTGTCAGAGAGATAAGGTGCACCGCGCGCGCAAAGTCCGTCGCGGGGGCCGCGCTGCGCTGCGCGCGGGGCTGCTCGTGACAACGCCAACGAAAGTGCTCGTTCTGGTCGGAGGCGCGGCGGGCCCGTGCCGAGACCGAGCGATGTCGGCGACTCGCGTCACGTAAGTACGAGAGATAAGAAAGAGGGCCGCGAGCTCGAGCACGGACATAACGAGAGGGCGCGCCGCACAAATGACACGCGCGCAGGGGGAGGTGCCTTCTGAACGCGTTCTCCGAACGGCCCCTTCCGGTCTGCAAGCATGGCCTCGGTGGCACAAGAGGGCTGGGCGCGACACCGCGGCTCGAAGAAAGGAAGGTTAACTGAGGCTGGTTGAGTTCGGGGTCGCCCGGGTGCAGAGGGACGCGCCTCGACGCCCGTGCTCGACGTTCACGGACGCGATGGCCACCCGCTGGAGAGTTTGAACGGTCGCGCGCGCGAGCTGGGGGCGAGCACTTCGTCCGAGCGGCCAGCGGCGGCTCCGACGTCTGATCCGTGTGTACGACGCTGGACGGCGCAGCGGAACGTGCCGACGGAGGCTCTTCGTCAGAGGCTCGGAGGCGGACGTGGCCCGGGCGTCTGGGTTGGTATGGATGGCTGTTTCGTTGTCAATGTCGGCCGGTGCATGTGAAAGCCGCCATTGGTTGTACTTTCGAAGCAGGTGAAAACGTCCAGAGAACGCTCGAGAGCTGCGCAGTGTCGCCGGGGCCACGAGCACGCTTCTATTCCTGCCGGTGAGACACGGGCGCAGAATCAGCCCTGGGTGGATGAAGGCCGGCCGCCATAGCCTGCCTGGGTGTTGCATCAAAGGGAAGCACGAAGATCGCACCAACGCGCTTTGGGGAACGGCTGGACCGTCCCAAAGTCTCCTCTCCGTCGGTCCTGGCGAATGATTTGCCGTGCTCTGTGGGCTTCGGGTGCAGGTGGACTTTGCATCTTCCACGTCCACCCCGCGGTTCATAGCTGCATCGTGGACGGTGGTAGTACCCACTGCTGACCCTCTGTCTTTGTGAAGGGGTCAGTGGGGCCTGTCGAAACACAAAGGAGTAGCTCTGAGGGCTGTTCGCTGGTATGCGTAGACGGACCCATGCATGCTGCGCACAGTGGTCGATAGATTGTCCTAAACAGATGCAGGAACGGTCTGTGCCACACGAGTTCATATCCGAGTCCGCTTCGTCCCCGCGTCCTGCCGCGGCGCAAACCGCGCCAGATCCTCCCGCCCCAGCAACCGCCGCTCCGCCGACCTCGCCGGGTCGAGCTCCTCCAGCTCGAGCCGGTACTTGCGCGCCCACGCCGTGAACGGCCGCCCGGCCCCGAAGACGGGCGCGACCTCCCGCACCCGGCGCAGCACGGCCACGAGCTGGTGGAACCCGCGCTGCATCCTGAGCCACCCCGCGACGTTCGCGAGGAACTCGTCCGTGTCGACGCGCTCCCGCCGGGCGAACATGAACGTGTCCTGCGCCCGCGCGGTGGTGAGCAGCGTCGACGTCTGCGAGAGCAGCATCCGCGGGTACGTCCGGAACCAGATCCGCCGCCGCTCGCTGCCGCTGAACCGCATCGCCTCCGTCTTGAGCTCGACGAGCGAGGACTGGGGCACGACCGTGCCCGCGGGGACGACCGCGATGTCCGCGCTCCGGGACGGCGTGGGCGGGTGCGGCGGTGCGGGTGCGGGCTCGTGAGGCACCGGGGGGAGCACGGACGGCCTGTCCGCCTCCAGCGGGAAGTAGGCGTCCACTTCGCCGCGGACGACGAGCCGCAGCCCGCCAAAGTCCTGCGAGCGGAGAGGTCAGCGAGGAAGTGACATGGCGGACACGCTTCTGGCGGCACCACCCCCCGTCCGGCCACTCACGTATTGCATGACCCGGTAGTGCTCGAGACCGCGTTCGCATCCCGGCGCGGGCGCGGTGGCCGTGGCCTCGAACTGACGGCCGTAGGTCACGTTGTAGCCCGGGCCCAGCGCCGTGTGCTCCCACTGTTCAATCGAGGCCCCGTGAGCCGGCGCGCGGTGCAGCACGAGTGCCCTGCCCCCGGTCGGCTGCACGTCGAAGCCGACCTCGGGCTGCACCTCCTCCCAGTTCGTGCGCCAGCTCGCGCGACGGATCCAGTTCATGATCATGCGGAGACAGCCGGTGTCCGTCACGATGTCGACGGCTGACCAGTCGACCGCGCATTCGGGTGGGCGCGCGCGGTAAAGTCCGCGGCGCGGAACATGGGAAGTAGTGCGAGCTGTGAGGGTCTCCGGACCAGGGGGGTTGCATCTCCCGGGACCGTGAATGGCAGGGGGCGGTCGAGCCATTTTCTGGGCGAGCCTGGCGGCAGAGCACGTCAAAAAGGAACGAAGGACGGCTGGGGAAAATATGTACCGGGCACGAGGATCGTGGGCTGAGGATCGTCCATCCAGTTGTACGAGGTCACATACTTGACGTTCTCAGGAAACAGTTGAGCAGTTTCGTCGATCTTGGGGACCGGGATATCGGTACTACTGGTATAGAAGAGTCTTTTACATCTTCCAAGGTTGTCAGTGGTAAGTCTTTGAACGCGATGAGACTGTTTCCACTGCTTTCTGTCGGGTGCCGTCAGCACGATTCACACTGCGAGAGAGAAGTAAAGGGAACACGACGCACTGCAGTACAATACCACTACTAGAATTGATTTTACGAAGATGATGCGACGCAGCGCACGCCATATGGCTTCCACAAAGTCGTTGAGGTCGACTGTCTTCAGCCGAGAAGAGCGCGTTGACTTTGAGACGTGTCTCGCCGGCTGACATAACTCCCTCGCAGACACGCCCACGTGGCTTGTGTCACGACGCGGCCGCGCCGCACGTGATGTTCATCTTCACGAAAAGCCAACGCCCAGGTTCGACCCGCCTCTGCACCTCTCTTTCCCTCACGACCACCGTCTCTCTTTGCTAGCTCCGCACCCTCTCTTCTCTCCGCACACACTCTCACATCCCTCGCACGCAACCATGTCCTCCACCCCCACCGACTCCCCGATCGGCACGCCCATCCAGCCGATGCACAACCCCTCGCAGGCGGCGCACGTCGTCGTCCCCCAGGCGCCGCTCGGGAACGCGACCAACGGCCAGCTGCCGGGCATGGGCGCGAAGGCCCTCCTCGCCAAGAAGTTCGCCAAGTCGCAGTGCGTCCCCTCGTCCCCCCGTCTCGTGTCTCAGTCTCACGAACGGAGTACACAGGAACCCGATGTTCGTCTCCCCGACGGACAACATGCTCACCCCGGTCAGCCAGAAGCTGAACCAGACGAAGAAGAAGCACTTCGCAAAGTACGTCCCCGGCGCTCTGTCCGCACGCCCCGTCTGCATGCTCACGGGCTCTACAGGGGTGCCGCGAAGCCCATGCCGTCGCTCTTCAACCAACAGCAAGTCGCGGGGTCGGACTCGGACCAGGAGGAGCCCGCGTCGCAGACGTCCGCCGCGCCTCCTTCGTCTTCCGCGGCGCCGATGGACGAGGACGAGAACCCGTTCTGAACCCCGTCCCGTCCGTCGTTCCGTCCCTCCGCGTTTCTCGGCCCCATATCCTCTACTCCCACCACACCGCCGTCCCGGGGAGATCTCATGTAGCCGCCGCCGCTCTCGTCTTTGTATCACGACCCTCCCACGACCCGTCTCTCGCTCGTCCTGTTTTGTTTTGTTCCTTGCTGTCTCGACTACCGCGTCCCCCCGATCTATAGCGCGCACCGAGTGCCGTTTGTATTCCCTGGCCTATACACTTCTCCGAGGCGTGGTCCCTCGTGATGTCTCAGATCTCTGGAAGTGACGAGAGGTTTGAATCCCAACAATAGGAGCGTGGCCGAGTGCGCGGCATGCGCACTTGAGCGGGACGCTCAAAAGCATGCTCGTGTTCGACTTCGAAGTTCGAACCACGCCCATGCGCCACACTTACGCACGTTGTCCGTATGTGATGGATATCTTCTGGGGTCGCGCCAGCAGACGCAGGTTATACAAGGTTGGTTGTCTGGTTGGTTGTCAAGTAACCAAATCACATTACGAGAGGAGGGCGAGATCCAGGCCGTAGGTGCGGGCGAGGGGCAGCATCCCCGTGTGTACGCGTACTAATACGTTATATCGACTAACGAGGGGATAGCATGGAACGAGGGGCGTGATCATGATAAACGGATTCTACGGCGCGCGAGAGCGCATGATGGAGATGGCGTGGGATGGATACACGAATGTGAACGGGAGCCGCGAGATCTCGAAACTGCAACGAGTGTCCGTGGGGATCCGGGTCCGAAAGAGTGAGGAGCCGTAAAACAATGATGCTCGCCCGCGTCTGCGTGGGGGGACGCTTGGGAGAGGGTGCGCTTAGTTGCGGCGGCAGCAACGGAAGAGGTTCCTCTTAAACCAGTAGTAGAGGCACTGGACGGGCACAGCGTCAGCGAGAAAAATCCGCGAGACGGAAGACGACAGCTTACCCCAACGAACTTGACGAGCGAAAGACCGAACGTCGAGTAGAGGATGATGGCGAAGTAAATGTTCTGCTTCTTCTGCAGGGCTGCTGTGTTCGTGTCGTTCAAGCCGTTCAAGCTCTGGATGGCGACAGCAAGGGCGGCGTTCGACAGCATCCAGAACGAGACAAGACGAGTCCGGAACGTCTTGTTCTCGTCATCCATCGTCGGTTTCTCGATAACTTCCTTGGTGTCGAGCTTCGTGAGCGCACGGGTGACGGTCTCCTTGAATGTCGCGTCGAGATCCTCCTTGTTGCGGGTAGTATCCTCAACGACGACCTCGGCGTCTTTATTCTTCTTGGAAGAGACGGAGGGCAGCGCCTCGGCCTTGTCGGAACCCTTGGTACCCCACGAAACGTCGTGCAAGTTGCAGAACGCGTAGACGTTAAGAACGTTCGTGAAGCTAGGCGCCAGGAGCAGGTACTGAGGCATACTGGAAACCAAGTGCCATGGGTCACGCTGGACATACGAAGTGAGTCGACAGTGTCAATCGGCGAAGGACAGAAACGCACGTATAGGAGACAGGCGATAAGCCAAATGCCGAATGTCGACAGGATGGCAGCAATCAAAGCACCGATGGGAGGCTCGAAGAACGCCTTGATAACCTCAGACGTCGTCTTGTCCTTCAGAGTTGCAGGGATCGCCTGCATTAATGTCAGGCCGTCAGCGAAGACATTACGTTAGGAGATCGATAGGACGTGCCTTGAACGCGACGACCGTCAACCAGAAAGAGCAGACCAAGAGGTATAGCGCCAAGAAGCCGTATACCCATAGCGTGATGTTGTACGTGGCGCGTTCACCCTTTGGTCGATTGCCCAGTGCAAGGACGAACTGAAGAGCGAGGAATGCCAGGTATATCCACTTGAAAGCTTGGTTCACCCATTCAGTCTAATCGGGAGTTAGTTGACGCTGGGTGATTCCTAAGTTGAGATTTCACTCACAACCGTGACGGTGCCGAAGATGACGATGTTTTGGCCGGGGAGGAGGTCGATGATGATAGAGAACGTGAGCCAGATGTTTGCTAGCGAGAACCATGAGAACACGAGGGAGAAGATGTTGTACTGTTGACATGGTCAGTTGCATAAATCAGTGATCGCAGCGAGACGGCGCACCAAAGCCTGAATGTGGAAGAAGAACATGCGAATAACGCCGTGACCGGAGCGGTACAGGTTGAAGAAGTTGATGATCGCGTACTGCAAGGATGTCATAACCAGCCCAGGAATCCGCAATCAGGACGACGTACCACTGATGCTGCGAACGAACCGTTCAGCCACCGACGACGCTGACCGATAAGCTCCGCAGCAGACTCCGGCACGTCCGTCTCGGCCTTGCTGGGCTTGACGTATGTTAGTGTCCACTGGTCGTTCTTCTTCGCCACAAGTTCGAAACAGAGGATACGATCCTCAGCCAAAAACATGTTCTTCGTGAAGATGTTCATGCCGTAGATACCCTTGGGGCCGAGGCGGTCCGCGAGAGAATGGTCTCCATGGAAGTACTGCTCCAGCGGTCGTCCGAGAATAGCACGGAAACGGTACGCCGAGAAGGCGCCGGGAAGCACGGATACGTAGCCAAAGCTACTCTCCAAAGGCTTGTCTGAGAGCGAGCTACGTCAAAATGCCGAAAGAACGCGCGCAACACGCACACTCACCCAGAATGTTCGACATCTTGTACTCGAAGTTCTGCGCGGCCACGAGGGGGTTGAGGAGCTTGCGACCGCCCTCAATCATTGCGTGAATTTCACCACAGCATCCTCCGAGGTGAGGGTCGTTGTAAAACGCCTCCCACAAGTAGTAGATGGATTTGCGGCCGGGCTTGGTACCGGCATCGATGAGAACGCAGATCTCCGGCTACGACAACGTAAGCCACTGTGGAGATTGAATACGTGAGGTAACAGGCTCACCTCAAGCATCTTCCCGATGGCGTTAAAAAGCCAACGGTGCGAGTTGATCTTCTTTTGGTTTTTGGCCTTGATGACGAGGATGATCTGGACGGGCACGAGGTTGTTGGGGTCCTCACCCTGAGGAACGACGAGCTGGGGTGTAGCATCCACGGACAGCTGCGTCGTGTACTACCAAGGTAACGGCAAGTGTCAGGACGCTTGCGCCCATGCAGAGGTAGGAGGCGCACCTCAAAGATGTGGGCAACAGTGTCTTTCCCGTCAACCTGCTTCTTCATGACACCATCCTGGTAAACGCCGACGGTGGCGAGAATATCCAGTACAGTCTTGTCCATAGGCTCGAGACCATCGATAATGAGCGCGACGGTGATCTTTTGCCACCCAGGGACGCCCTCCTCTGCAGACCGACGCCAGTACTTGGACTGCTTCGTCTTGCAGATATCGCGAATGTTGAGCATGACACCGTGGAGGGTACGCGCATATAGGGTCTTATCTTCGTTGTAAGACGTGACCGCGATGAGGAGCTCCGTCTGGCGGTTGTAGAGCTTCGTCCGGAGACTGTAGCCGGAGGCCTCGGAGAAGTCATCGGGATCGCAGGTCGCAGCGGTGTAACGCATATGCCTGGAAAACGGGCTGAGCGCGGACGGTGTGTAGGGCAGGCGGAGCTACTCACGAGAACTCAGTAGTGTTGCTGCTTTGCCATTTAGGCTCGATAGCACTGAAGACGGGCGAAGGCACGGCGTATTCGGTGATGAAGTTACCCTTGGTGAGCTTAACCTTGCGGGTGACACCACGCTTGATCGTCTGGCGACGCCTCCACTGGCTCTCTACGCCGGTAGAGGATGTGGACGCGAGGGAGATTGGACGCTGGCCGTAGGGATCGCCATATGCGTTCGGATCAAAGGGACTGAAGGCGGAGATTTAACAAGGCTGATGAAGATACTTCAAAAAGTACGTACGGGTACTGGGTACCGGGATGCAGCAACTTCTCGTTCTCCTCCTCATCGTTGTACTGGTCGAGGGTTCCAAACTCGGTAGGGAATGAAGTGACGCTCTGGCTGGGCGTGGGGAAGGAGGGTTCTGAGAAAGTGATTGCGGGGTGCCGTTCGTAAGTGTCGGTGAGTTGAACGCCATGGCCGTGGGGCGAGCCGGAGTTACTAGATTGCTGGGAGGGGAGCGGGGGCCGCTGGTCCTGGGACATGATGGGGAGCTCGCCGGCGCAGAGGCGGAGGAGGCGTCGGGGAAGCGTGCGGTGGTGGGGTCGTAGTCCAAGTGGCCAATATATGTACCAACGCGCTGTGGCTCCAGCGCTTTCACAGCCCCTCCGTCTTCTGCAGACTCCTGCCACTCCGGCCAGACGAGGCACTGCTATTCCAAAACACCTGCGCACGCCGCCTCGCGTCTGTGACACCGACACGGCCTTCCCTGACGCTCCTTCGCTTCCCCCGTGCATCCGTGTGACCAGTGAGGCGGCGAGCAGACATTGTGAGTTCTGTTTTGTCTGCGCGGGTGCCCGAGCACACCTCGTTCTCTGCTGCACGAAGCTCGCAAGCTGCGGATGAGCACAGCGCCAAGCTCGCTTCACCGAAATAAGTAGTCGTGCGCTGCCTTGGTCACAGTCTTCATCTGTTACCCGATCCGCAGGTCGTCGCTCGGTCCATGAAAGGAGGCCAATGAATGTCGACCGCGTTGTTTTCAGGGTGAACGAGCCCCTCAAGCTCAAGTCCCCTAGTTGCTCGATCTTCGGGTCCGCGTCCGTTTTGAATAGCACGGGGTGCCCGGGGTCGTCAAAGTCCTTTCACCACTCGCTTGATCTTCGCACTCGCCCCGGGCGCCGATCCCGAACAAAACGAGGCGAGCTTTTATTTGCGACTGCCCGACACTTTGTGGACCGGTGAGGGAGTCTCTGTCTCGGTAGGTCTCCCATCACGCTCGGCGCAGCGCTGGCGGGTGGAGATGCCCCGATCTATCTCAACTAGCGATCACCGATACACGCGGCCGTGACCATGACTGTCCGCTGCGGCTTCCCCAGTCGCCGGTCCCCGCACCCAACGCGAGCACATTCCACCAGCCCACAAGGTTCTCCTCCTCCAACGGACACATCAGCATGGTTCCCGGCTCGCTACCTCCGGTGGTGCTCTACCAGTGAGTCTCCTCTATGGAATCACCATCTGCCTTGTTTCAGCGCTCTGTGCATCCTCATCTGAGTTCCTGAACCACCTAGCTATGAGGCCTCGCCCATAGCGCGCAAAGTGAGGAATATTCTCGCCGTCAAGCGCATCCCCCACGTGCGAGTTGAGGTTCGTATGATCGACATCGCTAGCTCCGCCGCAGATACTCACCTTTGTGGCTCACGCAGATGCCCATGACTTTGCCTCGCCCCGACCTCGCCGATCGGTTGGGTATCACGTATCGGCGCATACCAGTCTTGGCCATAGGCCGCGATGTCTACTGTGATAGCAGCCTCATTGCATCCGTGCTTGAGCGTCGTTTTCCAGCTTCCGACGGTTTCGGAACGCTGTTCCCCAAGCGCAAAGGCTCAGACAGGACTGATGCGGCCATCATCAAGCAGTACACTATGAGCTATGCAGACCGCGTCCTCGGCACTGTCGCATCATTTTTGCTGCCCTACCACAAGTTCAAGCCCGAATTCCTTGCAGATAGGACCGCGGTGCGCATATTCCCCTTTGCATATTCCGCTTTTCGATCGTTTGCCAAGTATCTCATGTCCTCCGAATACAGTGGTTCGGACAGAAGCTCGATCCTTCTGCCATGCAGGCCCGACAGCCACTCGGAAAGAGCTGGTTGAGCTCTCACCTTGTTCGTCCATTGCTGATCCGCCTCATGTCAATCTCGCTTACCCCACGTTGCAGGCTCTTCTTGAGGAGCAGTTCGCAGATGGCCGCGAATGGCTGTTCGATACTGAAACGCCTAGCCTTGCGGATCTTTCTGTGCATTATGTCTGGGAATGGTTGGCAAGCTTCAAGCCCATGCAGCCCGCAGCAAAGGAGTTGCTGGATGCTACCGTTTTCCCTGCCACTGTCTCAGTGAGTACCTCTAACGCATGAAGGCCTCGACGTTGCTTACGTTCGATGGCACCCCTTTGTAGTGGATTTCCCGCATGACGGAACACACTGTAAAGGCTCATACTGCTCACAAGTTCTCCATACAAACTGTGTCTGGTGAGAGGGCGGCGGAGATAATCACGTCTTCCGCTTTCGAGGACCTTTCGGGCATCGGGTTCGATGAGACCGAAGGTACTCGCCTAGGTGTTCAATTGTCACAGCTCGTCTCAGTCACTCCTGACGACAACGGTGAGAGGTCTCGAGCATCAAAGCGTGTTATTAGAGGTTCTCACTCGGATCTTTCGCAGGCAAGGTGCCCACTGTTGGGAGACTTCTTGCTCTCAACAAGGAACAGGTGGTGATTGAGACTGAGGGCTCCGCTGGGACGGTTCGCTGCCACTTTCCCAGAATCTACTACGTGGTGCAGCCCGCGGCTAGTGCAAAGCTATAGCTCGTTATATGCAGAATCATGGAATATCCTCCGACTTTACTAGTCGCTTTGATCCTTCAGGCATGCTGAAGTCCGCCAGCCGCTTTCCTGACTTTCTTTACACAGTCCCCGTACACTGTATCCTTTTAGTTGAGCGCTCTACTTATCACGGCTCAGTCGCATCCGCGAACGTGGCTCGTCCCACAACGTGCGGACGCACGAGCACGCAATGAGCGCCAAAATGTGTAGCCTAAGCGGTCGCCGGTGACGCCAGCTTTTCGACCTTGCTGTCCTCAGCCACCACACCACAGCTTCCGGGTCAGTCTCAGCACCTCCCGCCGCGCCCCCTCGCGGCTGTACGACCCCGCCTTCTGCTTTGTTGCTCAGCTAGTCCCCAGCCACCGCTCGCATCACACATCGCGCCGCCCGCGCGCGCAGGACAGCACCGACGGGAACCGTCGGATTGCACAGACGAACGGCGTACGGTCTCGGACGCCTCAGAAATGCCAGCACAGAATGCGCCCGCTCCTGCGGGGGGTGGTAACGCCCCGGCCGCGGAAGAATCGCCTATGCGTCGTGTATGGAGCGTTTTGCAGGTGCGTCCTCTCGCGACGTTCACTCCCCCTTTGCGCCCGCGCCATGTCGCACACCGCACCCTCCGCGCGCTGCATCTTTGGCGTGACGGCTGGGGGATTTCCGAAAAAATGCAATGCTGACTGGGGCTTGCGCGTCCTGCGCGGTGCGCGGTACAGCAAGTGATCATGTTCTACGCCATTTCTCAAATCGGTGCGTGACGCGAATTGCGACTTTTCATACCGCATCGCCCGCTGACGCTCGCACCCCCCTTCCTCCTCGCTCTTGCTGCGGGCCGCGATCGCGTCGCGTCCCCAGCCTCGAAGTTCCTTGGGGCAAACAAGCAGCCACAACAGGCGGCGCAGCAGGCGGCGCAAGTCGCACCCGCCCCAGGGCAGGAGGGCGGCGTCCCGCAGGCGCAGGTGCCCGCGGTGCCAGCGCAGGCGGTGCCGGCGTGGCCTCTGGCGCTGCCCCTCGCCATGCACGTGCATTTGACGACGTCGCCGACCGGGGACGTGTTCTCGCGCAGGTGGACGAAGGGCTACCGCGAGGACACGGACAAGGACCTGCCGAGTCTCGTGTGGAGCAACATCACGTTTGGAGACTGGAACGAGAAGCGGGTGAACGAGTTCGAAATCAAGATCCCCCTTGTGAGTGGGCCTGTTTGTCTACCGCAGGGTGCGAGTGCTTATGCGTGCGCGCGCGGGGATAGAGCGTACAAAACAACGGCACGCTTTGGGCGGACGTGTTTCTGGTGCGCGACGGGGCGAGCCCGGACCCGTCGGACGCCAACTTTGACCCGCGGTCGGTTCACCACGTCCGTGCACGTATGTTCTCTGTTCTCTGTCGTTGTGAGACATGGACGACAGCTGATTGCGGATGAATAGCACTTACGAAGTATCTCCCGAAGACGAAAGTGCGAAAGGAAAAGAACCTCCTAAAGGGTCCCGCTGAAGGCGAAGCGGCTGAGGAAGAACAGCCTGATGTCATTGTCTCTCACTGGCATCCTGTAAGTTCTTCAGGCGCGAAGACACTACCGTCATAGAGCTCACCTTGCATTTGTCAGAATATGACGTTGGCACTGATCTCAGATAACCCAGTTATTCCCCTCCAACAGGTCCAAGCCACCTCAGCGCGCTGTGAGTCTTCCTGTGATTCGCGTCGCGACCGCGCTCCTCAACAATACTCGTTTTGCAGACATTGAACTCACCCCAGAGCGGGACCCGAGCGGACACCCATACTACAGGCCCATCATCTTTCCGAACGAATTCTGGCATCTGCGCTCGCAGTATGTTGAAATCAATTCCACAACGCCCGTCCTGCCGCTCCAGATCGAGTTCCAGCCAATGTCGTACTGGAAGTTCACCATCTTTGCGTCCTTAACTCAAAGCTTCGCGGAGGCGGCCAAGCAGCAGGGCGCGAATTCGGCGTCTGAGCTCGACGAAGTCAAGAGGATGCTTACGGAGACGAATCCGTACTTCCTCGCGGTGACTGGAATCGTCAGCGTGCTTCACGTGCTGTGAGTGGATCGTACCTTCTGTCTTGGCATTCAATTGAGGCTAACATGCATGCAGCTTCGAATTCCTCGCATTCAGCTCCGATGTGTCTCACTGGAGGCACAAGCAAGAGCTCGTTGGCGTCTCCGTCAGGTAGGTTTCTGCCGGGACTATGTCTCGATGGCTTGCAATGCTGACCCCGATGTAACAGGACTGTTCGTACATACCTGCGGTCCTCAACATACTTGTACACTTACACTTCTTATTCAGATTGTTATGAACGTCTTCGTGCAGCTGGTCGTCCTTCTGTATCTCATCGACAACAACCAAGACACGAGTTGGATGATTCTAATGGGCTCTGGGATTGGAGTTGTCATTGAAGCGTGGAAGGTAATTCGACTCTATGTGCGCACATTGCTACATTGCTAACACATCCCCCAGATCACAAAAGCAGTAGACATTAAGATAGCCCCGGCCCCAGCTGGGTCTCTGCTGCCATACAGTATACAAATCAAGGGTAAGTTCGGTCATCTGTCGACCACGCAACCTTTCAATAATCGGTGGACTTTCTAGACAAGCACGTCTTGAGTGAGGACGAAAAGAAGACTCAAGAGTCAGTACCAATCTCCTGGCTACCTGCTCTGATGTACTCACATCGCTCTAGATATGATAAACTTGCGTTCCGCATAGTATCCTACTTCACGATACCCTGTCTAGCCATCTACTCGGTCTATTCCCTCCTCTACGAGACTCACAGGGGATGGTACTCGTTCGTAATCTCAACACTAACCTCATTCGTATACATGTTTGGCTTCGTACGTCTTCTACCTGACCTGTTTCCAGTGATCATGCTCTCACCTCTTGTAGGCGCAACTCATCCCTCAACTCATCATCAACTACAAGCTCAAGAGCGTAGCACATATGCCGATGAAGGCTATGGTTTACAAGACGCTGTCTACGGTACGTCACTTTAGTGTCCGATCAGCGCGTCCTAACGCAAGATTGCTTCTTAGGTCGTGGATGACCTCTTCGCGTATGTAATGTGTAAGATCGCGGGGTTCTCTGGCTTCTGACCCCGTCTTTACAGATTCTGCATCAAGATGCCGATTCTGCACCGTCTGGCATGTTTCCGGGACGATGTCGTCTTCCTCGTGTTCTTGTACCAGGTGCGTGACCCTGAGCAGCGCAGGTGTGGCCGCGACGTGTTGATGCGCATTTCCACTCCAGCGATGGATTTACCGCATCGACCCCAAGCGAGTGAACGAGTACGGTCAGGTGATGGGGTCCGGCGTGGACGTGGTCGAGGGGGACAAGAAGACTGAATCGAAGAAGGATCGGTGACGTCTCGGCGGTCTGGGGAAGCGCGGGGTCGGAAACGCTATCTCGGCCGGAGCACTGTGCATCAGTGCTGGCTTACGGGAGATCAGTAGCACATATGGCATGTCGGGAGAGTACTAGTGGTTGCGGAACATGTGCGCGATGTTGTTCGATAGTACCGGCACGCGTGGCGGGAGTCCATTGTGGGCTATATACGGCCGACAGGCTGAACGGGCGGCCGGCAATCCAGTGGACGGCGCATGTGAACAGCGCAGCGCAGAGCGCTGCCGTACCGGGGCAGGATGAGCGGACAGGTGACCTGGCGGGGCGGGGGCTGACGGCGCGGCGAGGACGCGGGGTCGCAGCGTGTTTGCCGGTGGCCAGCGCGCGGCCAATCGGACCGGAGCCGGTGCGTGGTAAAAAAATGGCGCTCCGATGTTGACTGGGAGTGACGGTCGAGCCACCGCCTCCCTTTTCCTTGTCCTTGCCTTGCGTCAACTGCCTCCGCCGCGCCCGTGCCCGCGCCCCAGCCCTCTCGTGCCATCCTACTTCGCACTCTCTTGCACACTCTCGCGCGCCCCTACGCTCCCGTGCTCGCTGCCGCACCCGCCCTCCAGCAGCTGGCCCGCCATGGCCCCGAACGGCGCTACCCCTCGGTCGTTTGCGTGCAAGTGTCTCAACGTCCGCATACACGCGCAAGCTACCAAAGACGCCTCGCCCGCCGTCGAAGCCGGCTTCTCCGCTGTCCATGTCGCTGACGACGGCATCCTTGTGGTCAGTGTCCGGGTGCACCTCAGCCTGCCATTGTCGCTGATTTTCTTCGATATCGCTCGCGCGGACAGGCCCATACCGAGGTCACCCTCAGAACCCGCTGCAAACCCATCCCCGACTCTGGCTCGCCCACCGCCGAGCTCACGCGCCACACCACCATTACATGCCTCGTGTGCGGCATGCTCGTCTACCGTGTCGCGCAGCGCATTACCCCGGACCTCGCCTCCGAAGAGGGGCCGCTGCTCCCCACTGAGGACTGGGTAGAGAAGGAGTTGTGCAAGAGTTCTTCCGGCTGGATTGAGGTCTACAGGGGCTGTCTGGTGAGTGCACGCTTTCCTTCGCTTCCCTGCCGCATCGTTGTATGCGGGGATTACGTCTGCCCCGCTCCGCTGCAGCACTTCAGCGGAGTTACGCGTCCCAGCCACTCTGGCGTCTCGTCTCGTCCTTAATGACGCCATTAACCTGTGCGCACCTCCAGACAGGGGACGAGATCACCCAGGCCGAGTCTTCCCCCTTGTTCTCGACGCTCTACAACATCGTCCTTCCGGGCGGCACGCCGCCGTCCGTGTCATCCTCGGACGCAGAGCCCTCAGACCACGTCAATGTTCGTGGCCCCTCTCAAGACGGCAGGAAACACCTCCCAGAACTCCCGCCGCTATTCTTGCCCCCACCATTCACCCCCTCACATGTCGTTTTTTCGCACTTTGCTGCTGTAGCGAGCGAGCGGTCCCAGCAGCTGAGGGACGAAGCCGAAGAAAGCCTGGCTCGGCTCACCGAACAGAAAGTCGCGGAAGTGCACAAGGCCGAGGCTGCTCTTAAACAGGAAGTGCAGCTGGTCTGGACGCGATTCATGGACGGCTTGCGCATCTTCGAGCAGTCCCCCGCGCCGCGGCGGCGGACGAGCGTCTCCGGCAATGGCGGAAGTGTGAGCCAGACGGTGGCACAAACCTCCGCTTCCGTCCGGATCTCGAGCTTTGTTCCAACCCGTTCGCCGTCCACGCGGACCTCGCCACAGCGCATGGACGTGCCCCCATCTGCATTGTCTACGTCGCTGAAGACCTCGGCCTTCCACCATCCAGACGCACAGCGGCATGCGAACGGCACAAACGGCACCTCTACTGCACGCGGGTCCTCCAATGGGTCCGGCTCGCCCTCGCCACCGAAGTCTAGCCCCGCGCGCGTGCAGTCGACCCGGTCGTCCTTGACACCTGCCTCCGCAATCAACATCGACGCGGAGACAAGCATTCGAGAAGCGTATCGTCGCGAAATGAGTGAGACGAAGGACACCGCGACCAGCTTCCGCTACGTTCTGGACATCGAAGCCGAGATGGAGCAGCACAGGCGTGCGGCGGAGGCGGCGGAAGCGGAGATCCCGTCTCCCCCCGTGGCGTCCAGTTCACATGCCCCACCCGAGGACCACCATGCCGCGGCGGGTACCGGGAAGTCGCCCCGCATTCACAAGAGCGCCATCAAACACGCGGCCGGAGAGACGTCCAAGTCACCCAAATCTAAGCCCGCTGAGGGCGAGACTCTGGACGTGCAGAAGGAGTTAACCGAGAAAGGCAAGCGCAAGGTCACGTTCGATGTGCAGCCTGCGGTCGCGGTCATCGATGAGGGCGATGCGGGCTCCGAGCAACTTACTCCCCCCACGGACAACGATGGTGAGTTGGTGGAATGCCCGAGACAGCTGTGCTGCTGACACGTGACGTCCTTCCAGATCTAGTGTTCGATATGGACAATGAGTCTGAGACCTCCACGGTCGCACCTGCCGAGGAGGCTGAGGTTGTTGTGGACCAAACGAAGCCACCTCCCCCAGAACACGTGCGGTTGCCTCCCGTTCGGCCCTCGCATAGTCGATCATCAAGCAACTCGGGCTTGCCACCCCAGCTACAGTCATTACGCCCTGCGTCGCTACCGGCACCCTCATCTATGCGCCCTCCGTCCCGCAACCCAACGCCGCCATCCACGGAAACTGCAGAGCGTAGCAAGGCTCTGCGCGAGTCCCTTGTCTCTCCGGATCCTTCAAGAACCCGCCCGGACATCGTGCAGAGTCCCATCGAGGTTCCCGAGGAAAACGACTCGGAGGACGATCCTCGCCAGTCCGAGCTCCTGCGCCTCGTCAACGCGAGTACACCCAGCCATCGGAATGCCTGGAAGAAGAACAGCAAAGCCTGGCAGGTGTTCTATAACCGCCGCGACCGGCGCGCGGGCGAGGTCGGACCCGAGCCGATCCATGAAGAGAGCAGCTACACGTCGGACGATCTGAATGCGAAGCCCCGTTCGTACAATATCCCTGACAGCGATGTCACCGATGAGGATGATGGTGAGCGTTTTTGACGCCTCCGTCGGAGATGCGTGTTCGTTGACGGCCATCACTTCAGATGCGTACCTCGCTAGCAGAGGCCAGCACGGTATCGCCCAGTCGCTGCCCATTCCCATTGGTCCGCTTGGCCGCGATGGCTTCGAAGTGCAGCCTAAGACGTCGCTTGCTGATCAGTCTGGCTTGGTCGTTCCGGCTCTCCGCAACAACACATCCACGTCTCTCAGGCGACAGTCGTATGCGGAGCGTGAACGGAAGAGGTCGATTGACCCTGGCGCGCTCGACTTCATCGACAGCGGCGACGATGATGATGACGATGACGTGGAGATCGTGGCCGATGAGATCGGAAGCAAGGCTCGTCAACGGGCATTGAAGATTATCGAGAAGCGGAACGAGATGCCTGAGGCTGGTACGTCCCTGTCTCATCCATGAAGCACCATCAATTCACCTTGGGTCTGCAGGCATGTGGCGAAGTCTCGCGGCGTAACCGACGACAATGTGATCGACATCTATCATAGTATTGCTTGCTAATGTCCTCCACTGCCCTGACAGTTGTTTGTACTCTTGCACTTCCCTTGCAGTCACACTACGTATCACCACATCCTACCGTCTATCCTGTTCACCATCCATCACCCTGCTCCTGCCACTGTGCCCATGACGTCGACGCTCTGTATCACCCGCTGTCATTGCCCAGCTTTGCAAACCCCCCCAACTGCACCTGCACCTGCACCGCCCCTGCTCTCTGTACATAATTGTATCACCTAGTAACTTGCACGCCGACTCTCCGCCCGAGGGCACGTCGCGCTGTTGTACGAACCCACGTTATCATGCGCTTACGTCTACGTCGGTGCCGCGCCTCGCCCACGTTTTCGTTGTACCGTGCCACATCATAGCCACGCTCACACGCAATCCCACACTCGATACCATTCGTCCCCATGGTTTTTGCGACACCTTCGACCCGTCGTGATTCTCGCCGTTTGGTACGCCTAGCCTACGCGCGCGTAGTTCGCGGCGAGATGGGGTGCTTATGATTATTAGGTAGACTATATATGTATCTAATGCAACTTTTGTGAACGCTACCACTGAGATGCGCAGCGAAGGGAGAGCGAGAGTCCGTAATGAGACGAGTATGCACAGTCAGAGGGACAAGCGAGACACGATGAAGCAGATCCGTCTATCCCGCGTCTAGTCCGGGCCCATCTCCGGCCCACCCATCATCGACAGCCCCGTGGGCTCGCCCGCGGTGCGACCCTCGTGCCGGGTGACGTTCTCGGTGACGCTCTCGTCGCCCGTGATGCCGAGGTCCTCCTCCGCAACGGCGGCGGTCGCGCCCTCCGCGGCGTCGTCCTCCACGGCGAGCTCCGCCAGCGTCTCGGTGAGGCAGCGCGAGCACTCGCACTTGAATCTCCAGCCCCGGGCGAGCTCGATGCGGCGCATGCGGCGCGCGAGCTCCGCGGACTCTTCGGCGGGGCGCTGGACGTCGACCCAGGCGATCGTGAGCTCGTCGCCGGCCTTGATCGGGCGCGTGGCGACGAGCTTGAGGTCGGTCGAGCCGGGGGCGAAGACCGGGCGGGTGGACGGGTCGCAGGAGTGTGCGAGCTGTGTTGAAGGTTTTTGGAAACAGGACATGAGAGACAAGATACGAAAGGGAAACAGGACGCACGTAAGATGAGACGAGGTACAGGCCGGCACCGAGCTGGCGCGAGGTGCCGTGCGGCGTGCGGGTGCGCTCTTGGTCCTCAGGACGCTCGGTTGGCGCAGGCTACGAGGCAGGACAGTCAGTACACCCACACAAACGCAGCGTCGGTACGAGAACGACGCAGCGCAACACACCTTGTCATCCCTGCCGCCGTCGGGGGTGATGCCGATCGCGTTGTACGAGAGCTTGCCGATGAGCATCGCGTGCCGGCCGGTCTCCATCGCGTTCTCGAAGCCGGGCAGCGCCGACGCGAGCACGTTTTTGAGTACGTCGACCTCCTGATCCGTGACGCTGCCCTCGAGGAAGCGCAGGCGCTCCATGTGGTCGCCGACGCCGTACCGGTCCTTGCCGTCCGCGATGCGGTGGAGCTCCGCCTCGAGGTCCGCCGCGCCCCCGGGGAGGAGCTTGCCCGTCTCGAGTGCGACCTGTTTCGCGAGGAAGCGGCCGGCGAGGACGTGCGCACGCTTGACGGGAGGCTTGTCGTCCGCACCGTTGAGCCATGTCGCGTACGCCGTCTGCGCGGCCTGCCGTGCGTCTGCGCTGAGCATACCCGCGCCTTCCGCAAGCTCGGGGGAAGGATGGGGTCGGAGCCGTGCAGGAAGTTGTACCACTGCCGGTGGGCCTTGGCGCGGCATGTCTGGGAGCAGAAGGCAACATTATACGTGTCCATGGAGGGTGACGCGAGGGAGGCTTCGTCCACGGGCTTGAAGCAGTGCGCGCAGTGCTTGCCTTCAAGATCAGCGTCCAGAGCAGAGATCATCGGCGTTTCCTGTGAACAAAGACGTCAAGGAGAGTATACAGGGTAGGAGGCCTTGCTTACGGTGTAAATGACATCGCCAGCGTTGAAGTCCTTCTTCGCCACAAGGATCTTCTTCGGGGGTTTGTCTTCCTCCGATGAAGCCGACTCGATGGCAACGTTCATCGCCTTTCCTGGGAAGAACTCATAATAACCTATCACCAAGCGATTTACGTTCCCTCAGCTGCGGAAACGACGTCCCTGGGAATAAAGGCTCACCTTCGACACGAGAAGCAATCTGATTTGACCGAGGACGAGATTGGCATGGAGAAGAAGCAAGAATGTATATTAGAAAGTGGAACGGCAGTGGAGCACAGACAGCAAGAGGCGGAGCGGTAGTGTGCAGGAAGCATTATAGATCTGAGGTGCTATCGAAAGCTCACTCCGACGGTGCCGGCTGACTGCCCGGGTCCGTGAGTTGGTCCCACTCTTGTGAGGACGTCTCGGATGGGGGTCCGGAGCGCGTCGGGCTCGTCTCTACATCTTCCGCATGCTCCTCGTGCTCATTCTCCGAATGCGAGATACTCACATCCGCGTTGACGAATTGCATGAACAGCTGGCGGGGAATGAGCGCGAGAATGCAGGCGACATGGTGGGCAACGTACCTCGAAGATGGGCTGGGGAAGCTGGTTTTGAAGCATCATGATGAACTCCACGGGAGAGGGATAGACACGGAAGGCGCGGTAGAAGCACGCGGCGGCATCCACGAAGAACAAGGGACCTGCAGGACATGAGTATCCGGACGTCGAACGCGATGTGGGACAAGCACGAAAGAGAAACGTACCTCGCGCCACGAATTGGTCGCCTGCCTCGATCTGAGCCATGAAGTAGACCTCCTTCTGCTGGGGGGTGGCTGGTGGCTCCTCCGACCCGATCTTGACCATCTGAGCCTTGATGTCCTCAGGACTGACGTTGATGGAACCGAGGCCAGAGACACTGGCAGAGGCGGACTGGTCCTGCTGTGTCTGCTTCGTCACCTTCTTCTTGTCCTTCCCTGCGGTGCACGGTGAGCGGCGACGCGTCATGACAAGTGGCGCGAACACGTACGCAGCTTCTTGCGGAAGTCCTTGTCATTTCGCCGCCGGTGGTCAAACCAGACGGCATACGCGACCAGGCCACCGAGGACGGTGACGGCGGTGATGGTGAGGGCAGTGGACGGCCGAGAGGCGGAGGACATGGTTGAGGCCGGAGACGAAGTTTGTGCCCCTCCTCCCCCGATGACACAACGCCCCGGCGCCTCCACGTCCCCCGCTTGCACGTGCACGGTCCGGCGTCGCCCGATCCGGCGCCTGTCGCAGTCTCTCCCTCTCCCAGCAGCAGCAGCACCGCCCAGCCCGCTGCGGTCAACTGCGTGATCACCCCGGCCGCTTGTCTTCTATCCCACGCATATAAAGCTTCCACCCAACGTTGTCGTGTGTGCCTTTGCCGCGACTCTCTTCCTTTCCCCAACGTTCACCCACCATGACAAGCTCTCGCTCTCCCTTGAGCCCGCTGGAGCTCGAGGACGCGTTCATCAAGGTCACATTCGAGGAGGATGCCATGCCTCAGCTTGCTAGCGGGGCTGCTGATCCTGCATACGAGCCTTGGGTCGATCAAGGTACGTCTCGTGCTGCTCGCATCTCTTTACTTGTGTCGAGCAGCGCACAGCTTCCAACAAGTTTGCCGAGCCCCCTGTATTCATGTACGTGGTGCTATCTTCGTTGGGAACTGCCATGGTGAACATCTCTGCAGGGCACGGCAGCTCCGCAAGCTGTACCCCAAGCACTCGGTCACTCTCGTCCAGGACCACTCCACCAACGTCCTGGGATTCCCCGGCGCAATGGTTCAGCCCACCTCTCCCGCGGACCTCATCACCAACTGTATCTTCATTCCAGTCGCGAGGCATATGTCCTCTGTCCCAGGTGTTCTCGTGGATCAAGTCCAATTTGGCTCTTTCACCGTCGCCTGGGACGTACGTGCCACCGTTTCGCGCCCCACCAAATCCTAGAGACTTATGTCATTTTCTATCCAGAAACATGATTTCCTCGTGTATGTGGTCAAGGTGCGAGTTCATGTACCGCCCTGAACAGAACATGCTGTAAACCTTCATGCGCGCAGTACCCGTACGGGATGGGCTACATGAACCAGACATTTGTCCTCCACGAGGGCCCGGAAGAGCCTTCGCGTGCGCTCTTGGTAGCAGCGGGCGGCTGGCATTCGCAGCTGCATCAAGAGATTCTCGTCTTCAACGGTAACTACTGGGAGAAGAGCTACCCGCTGTGGGCAGAAGTTCAGAAAGCGAACTGGGCCGACGTCATCCTCAAGGAGGAGTTCAAGACAGCGATGCAGAAAGATATACGAGGCTTCTTTGATTCCGAGAAGCTATACAAATCGCTTGGGATTGCATGGAAGGTGGGTCGATCAGAAGCTCGCTGGAACTTATATACTGATGTTCTCCGCAGCGGGGCTTGATCATGTACGGCCCACCTGGTAAGTGGCATCGAAAGTTGTGTTCGGAAAAGCCATTGACCGCTCTTAGGGAATGGGAAGACCATAAGCATGAAGGCTGTCATGAAGGAGTGCGATGACAAGGGATACGCTCCTCTCTATGTGAAGACGTTCACAGGATGGCTCGGAGACGAAGTGGCCATGCAAGCGACGTTCAACATGGCTCGGCAGATGGCTCCTTGCGTCCTCATTCTTGAGGACCTCGACTCCCTCATCACCGACCGCAACCGCTCATTTTTCCTGAACCAGCTGGACGGCATTGAGAGCAATGATGGTATCCTCATCATTGGTTCGACCAATCACTTTGATCGCCTGGATCCTGCTTTGAACAATCGGCCGAGCCGCTTCGACCGGAAATAGTGAGCATCAATTCGCCCTGCTCTATTGGTGCTCGCTTAACCTGAGGCACAGCCTTTTCGACGACCCCAATGAGGATGAACGCGCGCTGTATGCGATGTACTGGCAGAACAAGCTCAAGAACAACAACTCCATCGATTTCCCTGACAGCCTTGTCAAAGAAGTGGCCAGCCAAACTGAAGGATTCAGCTTTGCGTACCTGAAGGAAGCATTGTACGTCGGTCTCCGCATGACTCGGCGCCGTCTAGCTGACTCGACTGCCTTCCCCGCAGTGTCGCGACGCTCGTCCTCATGGCAGGTCAGGATGGCGATGATAAACCGGACTTTGCTGCGCTCCTCAAGGCACAGATCAAGGTGCTCCGAGAGCAGCTCGACAAGGACAAGGACGCCCGGGGTCACGCTCGTACCTCCGTTGCTTCCACGCAACCCCCGAGCCCTAGCGCCCAGTTCGGTCGCCGTCCCCCGCACTCGTCATCGCTCTTCAAGGTGGACGAGCGCATGCTCGGCATGCCTCGCATCTGGGACACGAGCTCCGGTTCCGTCGGCGGTATGCCGGGTGGCCTGCCCGGTGCAAGCGGACCATCAAGCCCTGAGACCGGTCTGGGCGCTCGGAGGGAACTACGCTCGATGGCGTACTCGTTTGGCCGGTCGTTCATGCCGTGAGCTCACATTACAGTCTCGGGGCAAGCAGTGGCCGCATCATACGGCGTGGAAAAATCTGATGGACAGGAATGGATGGAGTTTATGTGTGTACCATAGATTGGGGATTTGGATTTTTTCCCTTGTCCCGTACGTCGTGAGGGACGCGTGCAGTTCTCAAGGCAGCGAAAAGGTGCACGCACGACCCCTCGCCTTTGTCCGATAAGATACAGCGCTGACGCTACAACAGTGTGTCTGGACGGACGTGCCGCCCGGGGAGGATGTGAGGGAATGATCCCCTATGATCCCTCGCCGCCAAGAAGTCTCGCATCTCACTGCTGCAGGCGACGGGCCCTCGGGGCGTCGGATAATGAGACAGAGATAGAATGGGCGTCATCACGGCCGCTGAGACGTCTTATGACCTGCCACGTCCGAACTTTACCTGCAATTTCGGTGCATACAGCCCGCTAGTGAGTTACTTCCATCCCTTCGTCGCAGACCACAAGATTTGAACTTTCAGGTTTCTGCCCACAGAACATCACCGGCGTTTTGTGAACGCTGGAGGGGATTCAGCCCTTGAACTTTCTGTCCACAGTCAGTTTGTGGTCACACCCATCAAGTACAGTATACATGCTAACATCGACCTCTGAGCATACCGAGCTGTCGTGATAAAAAGTTGTAAGCTGCCTTCCATAAGGCCTTACGGCTCGGATGCCGTGTCACCTCAATTCGCACATGTCCACACGGTAAACCGGCCATTCGAGGCCGCACTTGGTGCTGTCGAACTATTAGGTTGCCGCCCAGTGAGGCCTTCAGGGGCCATTTCAAGCCTCGGGCCGCGATATGGCGCGCTCGCAGACGCCCATGGGACCACTTGGCCGGGGTCGAGTCTCAGATGCCGCCATGAACAAGACAGCGGCTAGGCCGTATGTGGAACGTATGGGCGCATCTTTCGACGGTCGTCCTCCGATCGCACAACGACCCGACCTTGCTGCAAACAGTCACAGCCCCGATGCGGCCCCCCTAAAAGTGCGTCTTGTCCCCGATGCGCATCCACCTTTCCTCTCTTGTTCCTTTCTGCGCTCACCTGCCGCTCTTTTCCTTGGGCTAGACTGCTTTCCGCCGTTTCCTTTTCCAGTAGCCCGCCCTCTGTCAGCGTGATGTTGGCCGCTTGCGCCTCCACCTCGCGCCTCTGGGATGTCGTGTTATTCCCCCTCCTCCTCCTCCTCCTCCTCCTCGCCTGCACCGGCCCCGTCTACGCCGCGGTCCCCGTCTCCCAGCCATCAGGCGGGGCACCGACCCCGGGCAATGTCGTCTTCTCCAACTTCTTCGGCATCTCGCTCGAGCTCTCGTTCATTAACTACTACCTCGGCAACGACTCGTCGACCGTCCCCGCTCCTGTCGTTCAGTACCTCTCGGCGCTGCACGCGCATGGGTCCGGCAAGCCCGTCCGCCTTCGCCTCGGCGGCAACTCGATGGACAGCTCGACGTACGTGCCCGGCCAGGCCGACCTCATCCACTTCACGGATCCGGACGCGAACGCGAACGACCAGCCTATCGATTTTGGCGCCCAGCTGTTCGACACGATGAACGCGATGAGCGACGCCGTAGGGGGTGCCGAGTACCTCGTCGGTGAGTACGGTGTTTGCACTCGCTAGACTGGCTTGGAAAGGCGGATTGGGCAGTAAGACGCCCATAGAATGGAGACCGGCGATCGTACCCCGCGCAGTGCGGTGCTTCAACTTGCGGCACTGCGGCAGCTGCTGGTGAGACAGGGGACGGTCGCACACGGGCCGCATTCATTGCGCCAAGACGATCGGCTGGTTTCCATCCAGGGGCTGTGCCTGGTGGTGTTGGGCGGTTCAACACGGGGCTGATCAGAGTCGGGATGTGTTTCCAGGGCTCAGTCTGCGGACGCCGAATAACACGAACATACCACTGTTGGCGGGAGACATCCAGAAGGCGGTAGGCGACAAGATCGATGCCTTTCTCCTTGGTAATGTGGGTTCGATCTAGTCCTAGTATTGCGACCGTCCGGCTCATCTCCGTGCGCAGGAACCGGACCTTTACTCTGCCCACGGGCAGCGCCCATACTTGAAGAACTATACCACTGACGACTACATCGATGTATGTCTTTCCGGGATATTAATGACCACACGTTGGTTGATGGAACGTTTCTGCAGGATTACCAAACTGTTTTCAACGCTCTGCAGAATACCCCTCAAGGAGATGTCTTGAGCCTGAACAACATTGCTGGCCCGACCACCTGTTGCTTCTGGGTAAGTGTGTCACATGGAATCCCCGTTGAGACACATCTGAGAGGATTTCCAACCAGGACCTCGCTCCGGTGCTGCAGTCTGGCTGGCTCGACAAGTACAAGCAGCAGTTGAAGTACATCACCGTCCAGCACTACCCCCAGAACACCTGCACTGGCAAGCCCTCCTTTGGCGTCGAATGGTACATTGTTCACGCCAACACCGTCCGGCTCGCATCTTGGCAGACGCCCGGCATCACGATGGCCAACGCGGCGGGCAAGCCGATGATCATGGACGAATTCAACTCCATCGCCTGCGGCGGAGCCCAAGGCGTCTCGAACACGTTCGGCGTCGCGCTCTGGACGGCTGACTACGCGCTGCAGCTCGCCGCCGTCGGCTACAAGGCGGCGTACATCCACACCCGCGAACCTGGAATCACCTACAACCCCTTCGACCCCCCGCACGTCCCCGCCGCGCAGGCCGGGGCTTGGCTCACCCAGCCGCCGTACTACGCGATGCTCCCCGTCGCGGAGGCCCTCGAAGGCACCGACGGCGCGCGCGTCGTCGACCTCAACCTCCAGAACTCGAAGACGGTGCAGACGGCGACCGCGGCCGGGTACGCGATCTACGCGGGCGCGTCCGCCGCGATCCGCACCCTCGTCCTCTTCAACTACCAGAACGCGTCGGGCGCGACGGCGGACTACGCGATCGACGCCGCGCTCGCCGCGCAGGCCGGCTCGGCGGCCGCCGGCGCGGTCACCGTCCGCTACCTCGCGGCGGCGTCGGTGAACGAGGCGACGGAGATCGCGTACGGGGGCCTGACGTACGCGGGCGTCGGGGACGCGCACCCGGTGCCGGCGACGTTCGCGGCGAGCCGCCCCGACGCGAACATGTCGTGCGCGGACGGGTGCACGGTGCAGGTTCCTGGACCGGGCATGGCGGTCGTGTTCTTCGGGGGCCCGAGCACGGCGACGGCCGCGGCGAACAGCAGCGCGAATGCGACGAACTCGGGTCCGCATACCGGAGAGAACGGGAAGTCGGGCGGGGACAGCGTGGCGTTGAGGGGTGGGGTTGCGCGAGAGGTCGCGGTAGGGGTCGCTGTTGTGCTTGCTTTGCTTGCTATCGTTTGATGGGTTTATACTTGCTTATCTTTCTGGACTCGAGGAGGTATGGATAACGGACATGTAGATGCAATATATGTTGGCGCACGAAACTGGTGAAGCGACTGGGACATGTGCATGATTAGCTGGGGCTGTGTCTTGGCTGAGTCAGCATAAACTTCGAACCCATACTTAATCACGTGACGCCGGTGCATTGCCAGCACATCAAGCTCCGAAGGCATTTGAAGTAGTACTGCTAGTAACAATTCCGCCAAGGCTGCATGGGTGGTCCACGCCGAGCCCATTTTTATCTCTTAGGCAGCCCTAACTACCTTGTACAGTGCGTCACTCGCCCACTATCCTAAGTCTCAGACTCTCAATCATATTGACTTCGCAACTCCGCCGAACAGGAACAAGTGGCCCAGCGTTCAACGACTTGCTGATGGAGGAAGATGGCGTAGGCTGATCTTCACTCGCAGCACGGACATTTTGGTTCCTGATGTCGAAGAAGGCCCTCCACTGATACCTCAGAACGTCAAATATGTGACCTCGTACAACTGGACAAATGATCTGCAGCCTACCATCCTTGTGCCCGGTACGGAATCCCCCGTCTGGGCCAATACCTGCGTTCTTACCTGGTGTGCTCCGCCATTAGGCTCTCCACGGCAATGGCTTCCCCCAAATACGCCATTCACAGTCCCGAGCTTCAAAGTCACTGGTACAGAGGCACCGGAGCTTGCGCTGCACACGTTGTTTCGCGCCGCGGACTTCACCGCAAGCATACACCCCGAATACGCTATTGACTGGTCCGCCGTCGACGTCGTTACAGAAGTTAGTGTGCTCAGTGCGACCATGTCCTGGATCCGTCGTGCGACGAGCCCGAAAACGGAGTGGGAGGCGGATCCCCACGTGGTCGGCTTCGACATACAGCCAACTGCTGGCAGGACCATCCTAATACACCGCGCGCCACCCAGCGAGGCCTACACCCGTGCGAAGGTGCAGAGGATGTTGTCGCCGGGCCATGACGTACGGTACGGCATCCACTTCGAGAGCGCGACCACCACACCAGCCGCAGGCTGTGAGCGCGGCCTCGAACACTTTCGGGTCCTCCAATACGTGAGCAGCCTTGCGCGGACGTCTGTGTATCCGTGCCTTCGCTTATCTGTCTGCCCACAGGACTTTGGCGGGCTGAGGCTCGTCGTCCGCGGCGAAATCGACGCCTACTTCCCTCCAAACGCTCTCGGCCTCCCCTCCGCGTCCTCTTCCCAGTCGCCGTCTTGCCCGCACAATCCTGAGGGCCGGCGCCCGCGGCCACCTTCGCGGAGCGCAGACATCTCTGTCGTCCCCGCGGGCGCGGTTGTGCCTCAGTCCGCACTGGTGGAGCTCAAGACGGAGGCCCTGCACGAGTTCGGCATCCCGCGCAGGGCCATTTGGAACCGCGTATACCCGCAGATGTTGCTCTCGCAGACACCGACGCTCCTGACCGCGGCGCGCAGAGGCCCGGACTTCATGTTCATGCGACAGACCCGCGTCGACACGACCGAGTTTCGCGGGCGGGCCGCGGAGTGGAGGTACATGCAGCGCGGCTTCTACCAGCTCGTGGCCGTGTTGCGCCGGTTCCAGGAGGTCGCGCCCTTGTTCGCGGGCGGGGGTCCGTTCACGGCGTGGGTGCGCAAGAACAGGCTCGAATTGGAGGACATCGACAGGACGGCGGAGCATTGGATGCTAGAACCGGAAGATCTGGCTCGGTTTGCGCCGGTAAAGGGCTCCGTTGGGTTTGGGCAGGCTCGGACTCGTCGGAGATGATCTGACTCGGGACAGACTGCTGGCGGTACTGCTTCATCTGGTATATTGATATTCCCGCGACTCACCATTGCGCGCAGGAAGATTTCTAGTCCCGTATGGTTCAGTGAAAATCACTTGAACTTGTGTGCGAGCATCTGGAGACATGCGCCGCTTGACAAACGTCTCATGCAGGTGTGACGGTGCTGTCGATCTTCGTGGGGTCCTCGAGGATGGACTGGTGTTTGTGGAACGAAAAGGCAGTACTGTCTGCGAGTTTCAGACGGAATATTTTCGAAGGTGGATCTGATACCTTGCACGAGTTGCCCTTGTCGCTGTCAAGAGTGCAGTATTCAAGTTGGGGCTTGGCGCTAGATGCGGGCCGCCTCGGGCCGCCCGCTGATGGAATCGTTGCAACTGTACTTACGTAATTAAACGACCGGAGCTGTGTTCATAGCGTGCCACGGCCCGTACCGTACGCCGTGTCGCGTTTGCTCCTATCCACCACCTATCCGGTTTGAAGCCCTCCATCAGCCGTACATTCGCCATCTGTCCGCCTGTCCCTCCCCAGAGGAGCCCAAGCGTGACGCCTTCACCCTGCGACTGGCATCCCGATCGCGTCTTACCAGTGCGAGCCCGAAATCCGAGGTGCAAAGTTGCACATCGTCAAGGGCACGAGCCATGTTGCTTGAAGATGGGCCCAGTGCGGGGCCAACAGAGGTTTTTTGCGGTTTCGCCCCACCGAAACCGTATGCAACCTGTGGGTTTCGAATGCGCGTGGGGTAAAAGGGTTTCGGGTGTGGGTGTCAGGTGTCGCGGCAAGAGCTTATGCTCCAACCTGTGCCAATTCGGAGCACCGCTGACAACCTCCTAAGCAGATAATCCAACATCACACAAAACTCCTTCCACACTCCATCAAACCCACGAGGTTCCAACGTCGCTTTTAGCCAGGTGGCAGTGTTCGGCCGTGAGGTGGTAGCTTCGTAGGTCTTTCAAGGTTAAAGTTCGTCGCAGAATCCGAGACTGAGGCGGTGTGCCTGGAACCTCGCAGCGTAACCAGACCCGTCTAGGCAGCATACGCAAAGGGGTTGCGCCGCGTATACTGGCGCATGGGCTGTATGTCGTAGCCAGCTGCCAGACCCCGGCGGTGCACATGACGACGTAGGCATGATCAGCCCGCTTGGGTTGGATTAATATTGCACTTAGGCCTGCCTACGGTGGTGTAGAGGCATGGAGGTCTGCCTATGACAGGCCATGACTAGGCACTCAACGTAGGCGCTTCTGGCCGCACGCAAGCTGGGTCGTAGTCTGTAGACAGACCGTCGGCCCACGTCCCACACGCCCCTTCTCGAGCCTTCATCACGCAGTGAAAACAATCCGGATCAGGGAATTTAACCGTCCCTCCAGAACTCGAATAAACGGCCAGGCTCCAAACTCCAGTCTGCTCCACATTGGCCGAAACCTTGCGGCCTGGAGATGGCCGCCTCAGGTGCTGGTGAAGCAGCTGAGGGTGAAACTGACCCCACATCCGGTGCCATGCGCGTCCAGACGAACACCTGATCCAACGCACGCGGACCATGATATTTTTGCGCACAACATGTGCAGCTTTGCACGCTTTATAAACCAGGCGAGCAGCACCAGTCGAACTCCATCGCAAGCTTTTCACTCCCAGTCTTCAGCTCGCCTTCCCACCACAACCACCACCACAACCGCCGCCGCCATCATGTTCACCAAGTCCATCATCCTCGCCGTCGCCCTCGCTCAGCTCGCCGCCGCCGACACCCTGTTGCTCTGGCTCGGGAACAAGTGCACCGGCGCCGATGAAGGTTACACCAGCCCCCTGCCTCTCGGCTCGTGCATCGAGTTCGGCCAGGCTCAGAGCTACATCCTCGACAAGGACGACGGGAACACGTACAACCTCTACAGCGGTGGAGGATGCAACCAGTACGTCGGTCAGGTCGCGCTCAGCGGGACGTGCTTGGACGTCGGCAACGAGGCGACCGGGATCATCAACATCGGTCCTCAGAGCAAGAAGCGTTGGATCCGGTAAGAGGCTGCTTCGCTGCGCCCTGCTCTTGCCGTTCCAGTCGCTGATCATCCACCGTGTCTTTCCAGCGGCGCGAACGCCATCGGGGAGCTTGAGGCCCGCGAGCCCGCCCCCGCCCCCGCGGCGAGCACGAACGTCAAGCGGTCCCCGAACGGGGTCGTGATCCAGAAGCGCGTCGAGGGCGACACCTACCAGTGCCCGAACGTCCCGAGCGGCGCCGACTACTTCTTCGTCGTCCAGCAAGAGAGCGCGACCCACACCGAGACGTTCGGCTCCGAGGATAACACCATCCGGAACGACTTCGACTCGTCCTTCAACTCCGCGTACCAGAACCCGAGCGGGCAGACTGTCGTCACGAGCTACACCCGCTCGGGGGCGACATCGAAGACGTCCAGCTCACGCTCACGATGCAGCAGGGCGTCATCCAGGACATCCAGAGCCAGGACATCGACTCGCTCGTCAGCAGCCTCGAGGACTTCCGCGGCGGCCAGTCGAGCCCTCTCCGGTTCGTCATCGGGCTGTACACGGGGCAGATCAACCACCCGAACGCGGGTCTCATTGGTGTCTTTGACTGGAACGGCCTCTGAGTGGTGAGCGCGGCGAGTGAAGGAGGTGTGGGAGGCGAAAAGAATTACTATGGTAGTGATACAAGTGCGACCTTAACTTAAGCATGCATGAATCAAGTGGTGTAATGCGTTGCATATGTTGTCGGATCCTCCCTTGAAGCCTCGACAGCCCTACGCCCTGCGCGAGATCTAGAGGGTCAGTTGGTTTATCACTTGCACGGCGCTGGACTCTGCCTTCAGCGCTGTCTGTATCTGCTGAAGCGCGGGGAAGACGGGTTCGATTACGTCGACGCTGGGGGTCGGAAAACACGTTCCGATTTGTTTTGCAGGCTGTAGTCCTGCTCCGGCCCGGCAGGCCGCTCAGTGCTGGCAGGCTCGAGCACTGTGTAAGCTGAGGACACCCTACCCTTCCATCCACCATGCCTCAAGTCACCCTCGACTTCGATGCAATGTAAGGCAGTCCTGCGATCGCTCGCGTCACGACTGCAATGACCCCGCCGATCTTTCCCGTACAGTCTCTTTGACATGGACGGCACCTTGGTCGATTCGACCGATGGTGTCGTCGGCGCATGGGAGCACTTTAAGGAGAAGTATCCCGGCCTGAACGTAGACCAAGTTCTCAGCAGTGCGTGGTCTCGCCGGTCACCTGTAGAATTGCTGTCTTTCAACTGTTCTGCCAGGCTCGCACGGAGTCCGCACCGTCGAGAATCTCAAGCTCCACTGCAGCATCACTGACCCCGACGAGCTCGAGGTGCTGTTATCGCCCTTTCAATTTCCAACACTCGCTCACCCCGTGGACAGAGAGAGGCCAGACGCTTCGAAGAGGCGATTGTGGCCGAGTCCACCAAGAACGGCCGCCACGGCATCGTCGCGCTGCCTGGTGTCAAAGCGATCATGGCATTGGTGCGCTCTCGACCGTCCCCCGGGATGTGCTCATCTTGTGCTGCTCCCGCTGACCGCAACCACCGTAGATCGGCGAGTTCCATAAGCTGCCCAAGCCAAAGTGGGCGATCTGCACGTCGGCGACGATCGTCTACGCCACCGCTGCGCTCACGTCAGTCGGGATCCCCATTCCCGAAGCTTTCGTCGTCTCCGAGGACGTCGAGAAAGGCAAGCCCGAGTGAGTGAGACATGCCCTTCCGCCTTCGAAAGGCTCCTTGGGCTACGGCGCTCACACCGGGATGCCGCAGACCCGACCCCTACCTGCTTGGGGCGAAGCGCGCCGGGGTCGACCCCGCGCGCTGTCTCGTCGTCGAGGATGCGCCGGCTGGGGTACGCAGCGGGCAGGCGGCGGGATGCAAGACCCTCGGGTTGATCACCTCGCACTCGCGCGAGCAGATGGAGGAGGTCGCGCCCGACTACCTCGTGAAGAACCTCTCCAAGTAAGTGAACTAGCTAAGATCGACGGCACGGCGGTTCTGACTCTTCGTAGGGTTACGATGAAGCCCACGGAAGGTGGTGTCCAGGTCGTGATTGACTTGGACTGAGGTCGTTGTAGAATCACGCCTACTGCATAGAAGTCAATCCGGAGTTAGCGTACCTTCACGTAGAGGTCTATAGGGCGCCGGAATCCTGAGTTCATAGAGAAGTTAGATTGGCGACGGCAATTGCATTTCATTGAGGACCGCCTTACCTCCATCTCCCACGGTGCCCATGTGTTCCGCCGGCCCAAAGCCAAGATCTTGCAATTCCCGCTCGAAGTCGCCGGGGCGCAGCTTGAGAGCAGCCGCGTTCTCTTTGAGCCTCTGGCGGCGCTTCGATCGGCCGATGAATGAGATCACAGCATCGAAGAAACACATACCACGTCCATCCGTTTGGCTTTCGCATACGTGTCCCACTCCTGCGGCTCGAAGACGAACGTGCCACCGACGCGCAAAACGCTGTGCACGCGCCGGAAGAACGCAAGCAGGCCGTCATCTCCGCCGTTGAGATGGATCCACTTCGAGACCGAGAATCTGCAGTGCGAGGTCACTGACGCTGTCTCCCTTGCAGCTGAGTTGCTCGAAAACGCACTTACGCGACGACCACGTCGTACTCCGCTTCGTCCTCCGGGATGGGCCCCGCGACCCAGTCCGCTGCGCGGAACGAGACGTTATGCGGGAACCTCGCGTTTGCAGACCCTTCTGTATCATCATCCGTCCGTCTCTGCACGGCGTCCGGCACAGGCAAGGGCCCGAACATGTGCTCGAACGCTTCGGGGAAGTACGCTGGCATGCATCCCGAGTCAGACGTCCGCCTCCGTTTCCTCGGGCCAGACGCTGGATCGCGACCTTCGTCGCAGGCGTCACGATGCGGCGGTTGTGCTGGAGGTCCCTGCTGACTCCAAACGGTCCTGCGGTGCTTCCAAGCGGCGCGGACGAGCGTGTCGTCAATGTCGACGCCGACGACGCGCGTCGCGCCGAGGGTCTGCGCTTGCCACGTCGATGAGCGTCCTGAGTGAGGTCCGATGGGTGTCAAGACGCGTACCTATCTCGCAGGTCACGAAGCCTTCGTTGCACCCTACGTCTAGGACGCGGGCATCATGGAACAACTTTGGAGGTAGACAGGCGAGTCGGGAGTCGCTGGCGGATGGGCGTTTGTGGTAGTATCTGAGCCCGAAGTACGAATAAGTGTCCTGTTGAGATCGCTTGAAGTGCATAAATACCCATGGTAGTTTCCGTAGATAGGTATCTCTGTGGGATGCATGCCGGCGTAGTTGAGGTCCAACTACCTGAGGCGGAGCCTGTGCGCCTTCTTGAGTGCCCGCCAAGCGTCAACGACCCGTGTGAATTTGAATTGGCGCTTCGCGGTCCGCCTGGGCGCTACTAGAACGGTTGGAATTGCCCCTCAAATTCAATTGTCGAAACGAACCGAGTTCGGTGTTCGTTATTCTCACCGATCTGCTTGGTCACTACCACAGCACGCACTCAAATCTTTATGGATTTGTGGCAGTTGGCATAAAAGTGCCTGGAGCCATGACTTCAACGGTCCTGACTCCTGGCAGCACGTCGCAAGAAATGAACGACATGGAAAAGCGTATATCGCTCTCACCAGCAGTGCGGTCAGACAAAGCCATACCATTGTTGTTCCAAGATGGCTCCGGTCGCGGAGCATGCGAGATGCGTGCGAGGGTGCACGGAATCGTGGGGCGGCAACAGGGGCTTTGTACGGCGGCATCCGCCACGTGGACCCGAAAGAGCCGCGACCGCACGACAGACGCTATATATCCTGACATGACGCAGAGGGTAAGATCCTGCCATCCTACCGATCTTCAGTCATCACCACAAAGCATGGAAGTTCCACCTCCCCCCAGGCTTCGACCGTCGCGCTCTGGTCGTGGCCACCACTCGTTCTTGTATCTTCGTTCATTCTCTTCACGGAGATCGCGAAGTCCCGGCCGCCCTTCCCGCCGGGTCCTCCGAGGCTGCCACTCATAGGAAATTTGCTCGACATGCCGTCCCTTCGACCGTGGGAGGGGCTGCGAGACCTGTGTGGGAAGTACGGTCAGTCTTACATGTGATAATCCCTGGTCTTCTCATGTTGATGATGGAAAACGACAGGCGACATTATGGGCATGAAGATCATCGGTAGCCCCGTCGTTGTCCTCAACTCCGCAGACGACATTCTCCAGTACCTAGACCGCCGGTCAGCCACCACTTCAAGCCGGCCGTACACTGCCAGCCATGAGCTGTACGTTGACAATCTTCGACTTCGATGTCTAATATGTTGGCGCTGATATGCATGAGCCATTTCTCAGCCTTGGCTTGACACACATCTTCTCGTTCATGCCATATGGTGACAAATGGAGGGTGTATCGGCGCGCGACGTGGCAGCATTTCGCCCCCAACGTGGTCACAAAGTACTTGCCCGCAATGGAGTGGTCGTCGCGGGTGCTCCTTCACAAGTTGCTTGAGTCGCCCGACCGCTTTCAAGATCATTTCCAAGAGTGGGTGCATGCGATGCTGTCGAATTAACGAAAGTACTGATATCATGTTACAGCACGGTCGGCGCTACCCTCATGAAGGTCATATATGGCCTTGATGCCAAATACGAAAACGACGAGGCTCTGATGACTATCGACAAAGGGCTGGAAGCCGGCCGGGAAGCTTTGATCCCAGGAAACTTCCTTGTCGATGTCCTCCATTTCCTCCGTTATCTGCCCTCCTTCTTTCCCTCTCAAAGGCACTTTGCACGGCTGCGTGCCCAGGCCAAGAATATGCACGACATGCCCTATGCCCTCCATAAAGCTGCCGCGGTAGATCTTCCGTTGTTTTCACACTGTGGTATGACACTCATTGCCTCTCTTAGATGCGCGACGAAATGGGCGACTGCGTTGTGTCAGGTGTACTCGCGCAATTTGTGAAGAATCCCGATGACGATATATATGATATCTCTGTGAACGCCGAAGGCGATGAGGTAGCGAGAGGTGTAACAGCGTCCATCATTGCAGGTTCGTGTTCCCTTCTTTACATTCACGAAGTAGCACTCAGCCTCTCTTTCGAACATGGCAGCGGGAGCGGACACGGTGAGCTCCGTGCTGACCACCCGACCCTTCGATGCTGACCTGTTATTATAGACCCCCGACATCCTCCAGTCGTTTGTCCTGGCGATGTCTCTCTATCCCCGCGTCTTGCAACGCGCCCAAGCCGAATTGGATGCGGCAGTTGGACCTGATCGCCTGCCTGACCTCGCAGAGTGTGACGCGCTGCCGTATATGTATGCGATATACCTTGAGGTGCTTCGTTGGATGCCGGTGGTCCCGCTCGGCCTCGCTCACAACACTACCGAAGACGAGCAGTTTGGCGACTACTTCTTGCCCGCCGACACCATGATTATCGCTAATGTCTGGTATGCTCCGTTTAGCTGTCCTCCGGTGCACGATCGAGGCCTGACGCACAACCCTCTAGGGCATGCTTGTACGACCCCAACGTCTATCATCATCCGGAGGCCTTCATCCCAGAGAGGTTCATGCGCGACGGCAAGATCGATCCGGATGTGAGGAACCCGAAAGACTACGTATTTGGTTTTGGGAGACGGTAAGTAGTGATATCAACATTCTTGTGCGTCGTGTACTCAACGTTAGCACGACCAGTGTCTGCCCAGGCAGACACTATGCCGACAACGCCATCCTCCTGACCATCTCGCATCTCATCCACGTGTTCGACTTCCAACCTCCGGTGGATGAGAATGGGGGCGTCATTGTGGTCGAGCCGAAGTTGGTCAGCGAATTTGTCTCGTGCGTATTTTTTACGGTTATGGTCCGCAGTTTTTGAATTCCGCATACAGGAGGCCGGAGGACTGCAGGTGCCGCATAGTGGCTCGGTCCCCTCAAGCCGCTGCTCTGATCGTGGACGAGTTCAACCAAGGACGCAATCAGTGAGGCACCTATATGTGGGATCAAGGGTGTCCATCAGTTATTGGTCTTTCGAGTTATGTGCAATTTGCAAATGAGGGCGTCGCCTCCCTCTTCAGCACGCGTTCCGCCTCGCTCGTAGCAGACTTGCCAAGCCACTCACCGGAGACCTGGTCCGTCGACTTGAGCCGGCCGTCGGAAACCACGCCGATGGCATACTTGCGCTCCGCCTCGCCGAGTTTCGCGCTCTGCACAGTGAGCGTGGCGAGGAGCACAGCCAGCCCCTCGTCCGGGGGCTGGTCGGTGAGCTTGTGGCCGTCGGCGATGGCGCGGAGGGTCGCCGCGTTCTTCGGGTTCTTTGCGGTCTCGGCGGCCTTGAACTGGGTGTGGCCGATCTTCTTGAAGAATTCGACGAGCTCCGCTGTCTCTGCGGTGTTTGCCACGTTGAGGACCCGGAAAAACGTGAACTCGTAGCTGGGTAGGTGCCCATCGCGATTTTCAGCTCATCGGGGCGATACACAGAGGGGTACGGGGAGAGCAAACACCCTCGTCACCACTGGTGGAATCTCCGATACGCGTCCCGTCTTTCGGCGCGTCTTTCGGCGCCTGGACGAGCTTTCTGATCGTAGCCGCTGGCCCCACTTATGCGGACGCAGCGCATCTAACACTGACCAGTCGGTCGTTCTCTTCTCCTCTACCACTATGCCCATCGCCTACAAGCTGGCAGCAAATTCGCCCCTTCGTCCTGGAATCCCTTCCACGCTCCCCATTTCCTCTCTCCGTCAATGTCTTCTCGCCCAGAGGCAGTCATGCGGTGCTACCTATATTCTCTGGATGTGGATAGGCCTCGTCGCAGGTGTGCTAAGTGGCCCTTTCGTACTTACCGTGCGTATTTGGCATGATTCCTGCTCGTATCTTCGTCGCGCTGCGCGCACGTGGGCGGTTCTCCCGCCTGCGTTGGATGGGAAGGTGTCTGGGAACTATAGCATTATGAAAGCGAATCTGGCCGCGTTCCGGAGTATCCCTGTGCGAGCCGTGGCGTGGGATTGGTTCTGACATACCCTTTCGTACAGCGAACTCTTAAGATGTCGCATTTGACGAGCTCCGAATGGACGCGTTTCGGTGCAATCTGTTCTGGGACACGGGGTATACCACGAACCCCCCCCCCCCCATCCGGGACTTCCCCGACACGCTCTCCGGAAAGAGGGTTATCAACGGCGAGCTGTGGAAATACGTCCGTGGCCTCGCGTTTGCGCGTTGACTCAACTCGGAGCACCTCGCACGACACACCGGTGCGTCTTACCCGCTACACCCCGCACACCCCGCACAGATTCGACTGGACGAGCGTATACACAAGTACTTCGTCCCGAATCCGTTCATTTTCCCGGGCCGGTACGTCTCATTCATCGTCCGCCTTCTTGACGTGTGGTCGGCGCTTGGACTGATCAACTTTCCAGTTCGCATGCAACGAGATGTCGTTCTTCAAGCTTCATGATCCGCCCTTTGCAGACCTTCTCGTCGATATCTCTGGACCTCGACGCCCAGCCCAAGTCTGCGCGCGTCCCAGCTGACCGGAAAGAGGGTCCAGGACGAAAAGCGGCGGAGCGGTCCGAAGTTTCAGTAAGGCGGAGGGGGAGCCGGCTGCCTGATGGTGACCGTTACCGGGAATCTGAAGGTTGGAGAAGAAGAAGCCGACGCTGTCGTGGTGATCCCAACGAAGCCAACACCCTGCGAGAAGAAGCGCCCACAACTGACATGGGAAATGCACGCATTTGATCCGAGGCCCGTTGCTTGCACGACACCAGGGACAGGGACGATGATCCGCAGCTGGGCGCGTGTCGGCTAGCAGCGACGTACGGAAACATAGACGCACTTGACTGAAGTGGTTTGTCTTGGTTCAAGAGCCGTTAGATGCTGAGGCCAGTTCAAGCTCTAGGAACTTTGGGCGTGGCACGCAGACTTGGGAGACATACCCGCACCCGGGGAAATCGGAAAGTGGGGCGGATGGGTGCACGATAGAAGAGAAGGACGTGGCGCGTGAGGCGACGCTCGACGTGGAAGGGAAGTGACAGCGGCTATGTCAATGCTGGCCGGGAGCACGCGCCAGCAGGCGACATCCGTCTCGGTCATGCTGCCTTCCCACCTGCCAGCTTCGCGGCCTTGGGTCCGTATACCTTCTGTCCCCGTCTTCCCTCCACTGCTCTCGACCACCAGCATGCTCACCCGTAAATCGCTTCCCCCAGGCGTTCCTTTCCTCGCCCGCCTCGCTATTGTTGTCGCGACCCCGCCCGTCGTCGTCTTCGTCGCCTCCCGCCTCCTTGCCGTCTATCACGTTGGCCTTCCGCTCTGGGCCTGGCTCGTTGCCGGCGCCCTGAGCGGCCCTGTCGCGCTCACCGCACGCATCTGGTCCAAGTACCGTTCCTTTCGTCGCCGCGCAGACCGCGCCGGTGCCGCCCTGCCCCCCGCGCTCGAGGGCAGGGAAATTGGCAACTTCGATACCCTCCGCGGCATCATCGAGGCGTTCAAAACCGGATATCCCTGTCAGTCCCTCTTCTCCGCGCCGGCGCTGTTTTCACTCGCGCTCACGCACCTCCTAGCCGACATGTTCGACTACGGTTTTGGTGATCTCCCAGTACATGGGGTCACCGTACCCCAAACAGACACCTTCCAGTACAACGTGTTCTGGGACATGGGTATAGTCACCAAGGACCCAAACGTCGTCAAGGTTGGTCACCGCTGCCCAGTCTATGTGCATATATGCGCCCGAAGGCTGCTAAAGGGCGCTCCTGATGCTTGCAGGCCGTGCTCGCTACCGATTTTCCCAACTTCGAAAAGGGAGAGATGTTCCACCAGTACACAGACTCCCTGTTTGGCACCGGCGTCTTCAACTCTGACGGTGATTTGTGGAAGTGAGTATGCCCCGACCCGCACACAGTGCATGCCAGTCTGACCCCGTTCTGTGTAGGTTCCATCGGTCCATGTCCCGGCCGTTCTTTAAGAAGGAACGCATCAGCCACTTTGAAATCTTCGAGCGCCATGCAGGTTCATCGTCCGTTCAACCACCGTTATACTGGCTGACTGTCGGCAGATCTTGCGCTCAGCATGATCCGGGAACGTGCACGGTCCGACGCGGCACTGAACTTCCAAGAGCTCATCGCACGGTTCACTCTCGACTCCGCCACCGAATTCCTCTTCGGCAATTGCGTACACAGTCTGAACGCGCCTCTTCCGCACCCTCATGGGGAGGCACTGTTCGGTGCCGAAGTCAAAGCGGACAGAACCATAAAGGAGCGGTTCCCCGAGGCGTTTTCCACCGCCCAGCGCCTGGTCGCCGAGCGCCCTCGGATCGGCTGGGTGTGGCCGATTATGGAAGTGTTCAAGTCGAAAACGGACGAACACATGGCGGTCGTCGACGCGTTCATTGAGCCTCTCCTTCAAGAGGCGTTGAGGAAGAAGGACGAGCGAGTTAAAGCCGGTGAAACGTTCGACGTCAAGGAGAGCCAGGATGATGAGACGCTTCTCGATCACCTTGTGAAGCAGACGTCTGGTAAGACCATTCCTGGTTGCGGTATCCTTAGCTTATAGCCACCCCCGAAACCTTCAGATCTTCAGATTCTCCACGACGAGACGCTAAATATCCTTCTCGCCGGAAGAGATACGGTTCGTATGTCCCGCTGAGGAAACCGATTGTTGACACAATGTTCGCACAGACTGCCGCGGCTTTGACTTTCGGAGTCTACCTTCTCTGCCAGCACCCGGCAGTTCTAGCGCGCCTCCGAGATGAGATCGGTGGACACATTGGCTTCTCTCGCCGTCCGACGTACGACGACATCCGCGACATGAAGTATCTTCGAGCGTTCTTGAACGAAACTCTGAGACTTTACCCGTCTGTGTGAGTGGTGTCAGAACGAACAAAGAAGCTCGCGCTGACTTTGTCCTTCTCAGCCCGTTTGACATCCGCTTCGCGATCAAGGATGCGACTGTACCAAGCCCAGACGGCAAACCATGGTTCATTCCGGCCAAGACTCCGTGAGCGCCGCATTTATATCTATGGATTCTCTGGGTACTCATGTTCTTCCTAGCGTCGTTTATTCGATCTTCAACATGCACCGCGATCCGAAGTACTGGGGCCCGACGGCGGACCAATTCGACCCCGACCGGTTCATAGACGAACGCCTGAACCAGTACCTCGTTCCCAACCCGTTCATCTTCCTGCCGTTCAACGCCGGGCCTCGCATCTGCCTCGGTCAACAGGTCGGTTTTCTGCATGCGCCAGTTGCCCCTCGGGCGTGGACTGACGAAGTGTCCAGTTCGCGTACAACGAGATGTCGTTCTTCATCATCCGGCTGCTGCAAAACTTCTCATCGATGTCGCTCGACCTGTCCGCGCAGCCGCCATCTGCCCGCCCGCCGCCGGAGTGGAAGGAGTGCTCGGGACGGAAGGCGGTCGAGGAGGTGCACCCGAAGTTGCACTTCACGCTCTACGCCGAGGTCAGTTCGTCTTTGCGCGCATATACGCGCCCCCGAAGGTCTGGATCTGACTGCGGATGCACCGTTCAGGGCGGCTTGTGGGTAAAAATGCGTGAAGCCGACAACGGAATTGTTCCGTAGTTGGTGCGTCTTTTCGTTAGATATTTGCGATATTTACTTAACTGATCACGCAGGTCAAACGAACACACCGTCGAATGCTTTGGTTTCAATATACACTACTCCCTCTATGCCACTGTTGCTTCATCCTGCTCCAAAGAACGACAGATGACTTTTGTTCTGGGATTGAGTGAATCCCCATCGCGAATGAGATACGTTAAAAATCAAGGCTGCCATTGTCGGTGGTTGGTGCTGCGGTAGTCACAAAGACAGCGTGGTGCAACTACCGCTCAGTTGACGGCTGCCATCGCCTGCGACTGCGGAACCATACATGTAAAGTTCGCTTTGTCAACAAACTGGAGAACCTACCGTGGGTTCGAACCTTACTTGAGAAGAGCCTTTTCCGCCCCTCGACTCAGCCTTCTTTCCCCAGACCTCCTCCGCGCATATCAAGGTCGTTTTACGCCAAGCAGGTGTGTTCGGCATTCTGACCGATTCTGGCCGTCTTCGTACTGACCACTGGATCAGCAACATGGAGGGGCATACATGTGGCAACCGCTGTGAAAAAGAGCCCCTCCCTGAGCACTGCTACAAACGCTGCGCGGGGTGCCGCAAGGTATGGTACTGTGACAAGCAGTGCCAGACCCAACATTGGCCATGGCACATCTTCGACTGCAAGACGGGCACACCGATCAGTTCTGTGTACTATCTCGCTCGGGCTTGTTGGGGCGATCTCGTCCCCCGGGATCCTCAAACTCGCCTTGACTATGGATTCGAGAAAGTCACCAGTATGCTCGGCGGACACCAGGAAAGCAGACTCCTCGGGCTCTATCAAGGTGTCCTCCACCAAGAAGTCGATCTTAAACTGGTGCGCTCTTGGCAGCGGCAAGGGCAGCTCGTGCAAGGTATCAAGTCTACCTTCGAAAAGATTCCTTCTAGAAGTCGCGGACAGTACTACCTTTGGTTCCTCGAACACCAGTCCATCCTCGAGGACCCCACGAATATCGACGGTACCGTCACCTCCTCCGTCGCCGATGAAACCGCGAACCGCATACTGCGTGTCGGATGGACCCATATCGGCGGCTCCCCCCATGACAGTAAAGACACCATCAGGGCGGCGCTCGCCCAGGCGCCTCCCGTCCAACAAGCCTGCCACAATATGTACTTCAACGCGCTCTCTTTCGCCCATCCCTCCCCTACGCTACGCGACTGGACCGCGTTCGGTTTCGTCGCCGCAAGGTCGGAGGGCGACGAGGTTCTCCTTGGGCAAGCGTACGCGGAGCTCGTCCAGGCGTGCCCGTTCGACGAGTTCTGCGCCGCGCACGACGAGGGCGCGATCCCGGCGCTCTTCCGGCGCTACAACGTCGGGCCTCTGTTCAACGCGCGGCTCTTTGAAGACGTGATGAGCAGCGGGCCCGGTTCGTGCAAGTCGGTCTGGGACCTCAAGCGGCGCATGGACATCCTCGCTTCGACGTTCCCAGGAGACCCGGAGAGGGACCCGTCGCGTCTCGAACCCTCGGTTCGCGTCGACTACGGCTACATAAACTGCAGGAGCGCGGAGGAGGTCAAGATGCTGGACGACGCGTACGCGGGGGTCTTTGGGAAGCTCGATAACGGGGCGGATTCGGCGGATCCCCTTCTGCTACACGAGGCGTGCGTGGCTGGGAAGCTGCGGGAGTACGTGGGACGGTTTGTGAAGCTGGGCACGCACAAGGCGGCGTACAAGCGGCTGCTGCGCAACGTGTATCCCTTACGGGAACCAGTAGAAGACACTGCTTCTGCGGAGTTGGAGTAGACCGTTCAGGAGGTGCATGTTCTGTGTTCCTCTCCCCATACGGCGAATTCCCAATAGTCGAGACAACTGGAGAAACCGGACAGAAGTGTATAATACCAGATATCACGATTCATCAATATTCACCATCGTGCAATCCTTCATGCAATGTCCCTTCTCAGCTACCGCTACTGCCGACGATGTCATGTTTGTTGAGTTTGACAGCGTAGCTTGGGCCCCACCACTGTCGTCGTTGTCAATATTCGGCGCGTCAGACCCGTCGTCACCAGAGGATTTGAAGGGCACAAGATGAGCGCGCAGCCTTGAGAGCATCGGAGCGCTCATAGATAACGGAGATCTAGCGAAGGATCTAAACACATTGATCGATGTAATCCAATCCTGCAACCGGCCGAGTCAACTACGACTTGCGCGCCGCCCGATTCACAGCTCTTGCACACGACCGTCATCTCCCACATCCTCTACTCGTTGACTTACCGTACCAAATTTGACCACAGCCAAGAGCATTCATCCCTGCATGGCCCCCAAGGCAGACGCCGCAGAGACGGCGGAGCTCGTCGAGCTCTTCAAGAAGATCGGCCTCACCCAGTCCAAGGCCGCCGAGGCCGCGAAGAACCCGAAGGCCGCGACAACCCTCCGCGCCATCGTCGACGGCCACAAGCTCGCCGACCAGCCCCCGGACGAGAAGCGGGCGGTGCTCCTCGCCGCGCTCGCAGTGCAGGGCGCGAAACTATGCGACGCGGAGCGCGAGTATGCTATCGGCGCGGTTCTCGACGGCCGGCTCAAGTCGACGGATCAGGTCTCCGGTGAGTGGTCTGCTGCGAGCGAGGGGAACGCGTGCTGAAGAGCGTAGAGGCGACGAAGTATTTGGAGGCGAACCCTGCGCCTGTGGACGGCGCGAAGTTTGACGGCGCGTGCGGAGTTGGTGAGTGGCCTTCGTACACGAGCATCGCTCGGGAAACATGAAACTGACGGCGTGGTCAGGCTTCATCATCACGCCCGAGCAGCTCGCCGCGCGGGTGAAGGAGTACGTGTCTTCCGCGGCACTCACTGGTTGGAATAATTTGGGCGTCGCAATCGGCGGCTTGAAGAACACCGACCTTCGCTGGGCAAACGCGCTCGATCTCAAAAAGGCGGTAGAGGATGCGTTCGTGGAGAAGTTTGGGGCGAAGGAGACCGCGAAGCCTAAGGGCAAGGTGCGCTGACCTAGTTTTGCATCGCCATTCGGTATCCGAGACGAACTACCTGTAGGAGCCCAAAAAGGATGCGGGCTCCGCGAAGAAGGACGCTGAGGAAGTGTCCTCATCCGAGGCGTCGAGCTCCCGCTCTGTCTTCTCGGAAGGCTTCCTCGGCGCGCTGCACAAGGTCGGAGGCAACCCCCAGATCCACTCGTACCTCCGTGAACAGCACCTCGCAGCGACCATGGGCATCGTGCACAGTCGGTTCCCCCCTGAACCCAATGGCTTCTTGCACATCGGTCACTCGAAGGCCATCTTCGTCAACTTCGGTTACGCGGCTCATCACGGAGGCCATTGCTATCTGCGGTACGACGATACCAACCCTCAGGCGGAGGAGGGCCGGTACTTTGAGAGCATCTTGGAAACTGTGCGATGGCTGGGATTCGAGCCCTGGAAGATCACCTACTCCAGCGACTACTTCGACAAGCTCCACGAACTCGCCGTGGATCTTATCCGGAGGGACAAGGGCTATATTTGTCACTGCACAGGTGAGTCCCTTATAGATGCGTTGAGAACATATCCTCACTATAGGTACAGCTGAAGAGATGAACGCCAACCGAGGCGGCGATAACTTCGGCCCACGGAAAGAATGTGTACATCGGAATAGGCCTATTGAGGAATCGCTGTCCGAGTTTGAGAAGATGAAGAATGGCCAGTACAAGAAGGGCGAGGCTGTCCTGCGCATGAAGCAGGACATGCAGTCCGGCAACACGATGATGTGGGATCTGGTCGCCTATCGCGTGGTGGACGCAGAGCATCACCGGACAAAGGACAAGTGGAAGATCTATCCGACATATGATTTCACTCACTGTCTTTGCGATAGCTTCGAGAACATCACGTAAGTAAATTTTAAAGCTGCGACGGAATCGGAGGCTGACTGGGGTTTGCAGACACTCGCTATGTACAACCGAGTTCATTGCATCTCGCGAATCATACGAGTGGCTATGTGATGCTCTTGAGGTGTACAAACCTCGTCAGTCTGAGTACGGCCGTCTCAATGTCACTGGGTCGGTCATGTCAAAGCGGAAAATCAAGCAGCTTGTAGAGGAAGGCCACGTCCTAGGATGGGATGATCCGCGCCTATACACTCTCATCGCTCTTCGTCGTCGTGGAATCCCTCCAGGGGCCATCCTCTCCTTCGTCAGCTCCCTCGGTGTTTCAACATCTGCATCAAATATCCAGGCTGTCAGGTTCGAGCAGACGATCAGACAGTACCTGGAGGGCGCGGTGTCTCGACTCCTTATGGTTTTGCGGCCGATCAAGGTGACCATCGAGAACCTACCAGAGGACTTCCTCATGTGGCTAGAGAAACCCCTCCACCCTAAAGTACCAGAACTAGGTTCTTCAAAGATCCCACTAACGCGAACGATCTACATCGACGCGGACGACTTCCGGCTGGAAGACTCCAAGGACTACTTCCGTCTCGCTCCCGGCAAGACCGTCGGACTCTTCCAGGCGCCATGGCCCATCACACACGTCTCACACACGACGGACCCCGCCACTGGACAGGTGACGGGGATCATCGTACGCGCGGAGAACGAGGGCACGCCGAAGAAGCCCAAGGCCTTCATTCAGTGGGTCGCGGAGCACGCGCCGTCAGGCAGTCCCGTCGTCGTCGACGAGACGCGCGTCTTCCACCAGCTCTTCAAGAGCGAGAACCCGGCTGCGGCGCCCGACTTTATCGCGGACATCAACAAGGACTCGCTTGAGGTCATCAAAGGCGCGATGGTCGAGGTCGGCTTCTGGGGGCTCGCGAAGCGATCTTTTGCGGAGGCGCGCGCGGAGAGCAAGCGGCGGACGGACGAGGCACTGCGCAAGACGGCGGAGGCGGGCCCTGCGGTGTCGCCTCATGAGGACGACGACACGCCGAAGGCGACGAGCGAGCAGCTGGTCGGGATGGAGTGTGTGCGGTTCCAGGGTTTGCGCGTTGCGTACTTCGCGGTGGACAAGGACTCGAAGCTGGCGTGTCTGAATGAGGCGGAGGGGGTAGAGGCAGGAAAGCGTGCGGGCGATATTGTAGTGTTGAACAGGATCGTGAGCCTGAAAGAGGACTCGGGCAAAGCGGCCTGAAGTGGGTGGTAGCTTATTACGAAGTTAGGATGGAAATGTTTGTAACACCATTGTACGCAATGTACACACTGGCTTTCCTGCAAAAATCAGCGTTCTGATTGTTAAGACAGAGTGAGAGTCAATCTTCAAGCTTTTTAAGTTGTATAGCCGCGCTGCTCATGGTGAGATCACGTGATGTTGCGCCGGTCGCGTCGGCACAAGCCGCTGGGCAACGTTGTACGCGAACGCGAACACCTACCTCATCTTCATCTTCCCCCTTTCCCTCCTCACCAGGCTGAAATACATTGTACCACCCTTGAAATGAACGCCTGTTGAAATTCATCCTAAGAAGACCACGCTATGATCACCTTCACTCCTCTCTCGGGCGCGGCTCGCTCTGCACGGACTGTACCGTTGGCATATCTCCTGCAAGTCGACGACGTACGCATTCTACTTGATTGCGGCTCTCCAGACTGGTGTCCAGAGCGCGTACATGCAGATGAGGACGAGAATGAACCCTTGCCTTGGGAGAAGTACTGTGATAATCTCAAGGAGTGCGCGTTCAATTATCCCAGTATTTCCTTGTCTGACCTTCGTTCGCCCAGGATTGCACCAACTGTAGACCTTGTGTTACTATCTCACGGAGACTTGTCTCACTCCGGGTTCTTTCCTTATGCCCACGCAAACTGGGGACTGAAGGCTCCCGCGTACAGCACGTTGCCGGTACAAGCCATGGCACGGGTCGCCGCTTCGGAAGACGTGGATGGAATCCGGGACGAGGAGGACGTTGGGGACCAACCTGAGGAACCAGCAGAGGAAACAACGGGGGAGGTTGCTCCATCGTCCCCTTCCCCTTCACCGGAGCAGCAAGCTCCTTCTCCTACCACTACGTCTCCAGCCAAACGGCGAAGATATGTTGCTACCTCCCACCAAGTCGTGGAAGCATTCGACTCCGTGACCGTCTTGAGGTATTCCCAGCCATGCCATCTTCAAGGTATGTTTCTTCTGTGCTCGCTTGAGGTTTTCTGGGGGCTGAGGACGCGTTTGTCCAGGGAAATGCCAGGGTTTGACAATCATCCCTTTCAATGCCGGACGTTCACTCGGTGGAACCATTTGGAAGATCCGTTCGCCCTCGGCCGGAACCATCCTCTACGCTGTGGATATGAACCACATGAAGGAACGACATCTTGATGGCACGGTCCTCATGAAGCCCGCCGGCGGTGGCGTTCTCGAGAGTTTGGCGCGACCAGACTTGCTCATCACCGACGCTGAGCGCGCCGATGTCACAACGGCCCGGCGCAAGGACAGAGACGCAGCTCTGCTTGGTGAGCCACTTTTTGGCATTCTTACGCACCTGTTTTTCTGACTGCCAATGCATAGACTGTGTCACTGCAACGCTCACCTCCCGCAACTCCCTCCTCCTCCCCTGCGACTCCAGCACTCGCGTCCTAGAGCTGCTCGTTCTGCTTGACCAGCACTGGAATTACTCCAGACTCAAGTACCCCATCTGCCTTCTGTCCAGGACAGGCCAGGAGATGCTCACGTTCGTGCGGAGTATGATGGAATGGTTTGGAGGTACCATCAGTAAGGAGGACGTCGGTGACAGCGGAAACAACGACGGGAGGCGAGACCGGAGGAGAAGAGATGAGGACAACGATGAGGACGCTCTTGGTGCACTTGCCCTTCGCTTCAAGTACGTCTTTGCTCTGGACCCGTCTCTCGGTTTGCTCAGTTGTCTACAGGCACGTCGAGTTTTTCATGACCCCCCAGTCACTGCTTCAAACATACTCGAACAAAGACCCTAAACTCATCCTCGCCGTCCCCGCCACTTTGTCTCATGGCCCCTCTCGTTCACTTTTTGCGGAGTTTGCGGAGATTCCCGACAACGTTGTGCTCCTTACCGGCCGCTGTGAGCCTGGGACACTCGGCCGTCAGCTCTTCGACAAGTGGAACGACTCCCAGCGCGAAGAGGCCAAGTGGGACCGCGGCAAGATCGGGAGCAACATCATGATGGACGGCGTCCTCAAGCTCGAGATCCATTCCAAGGTCCCGCTCGAGGGCGCCGAGCTTGAGGAGTTCCTCGCGAAAGAGCGCGTGGCGCGCGAGAAGGAGGCCGTGCATCAAGCGGCGCTCGCGCGCACCCAGCGCATGCTCGAGGCGGACGAGGCGGAGAGCGAGAGCGACTCGGACGACGACAACTCGGACGACGACGAAGACGAAGAAGTCGACGAGGTCGAGCGCACGCTCAGCGCGGAAATGGCGGTGGATGAGGACGAGGATACGGCGAAGCTGGCGGCGCGCACGACCAGGCGGCAGAAGCGCAAGCGGGACGCGGACGGCGGCGGGGCCGGCGGGGAGTGGGGGCTGAACGAGGGCGACGAGGGCGTCACTCGGATCTCGTTCGACATTTACCTCAAAGGAAACGTGGCGAAGGCGACGAGCTTCTTCAAGAGCGCGGATGGGCAGACGCAGCGGTTCAGGATGTTCCCGTACGTGGAGAAGAAACGGCGGGTGGACGAGTACGGGGAGACGGTCGACGTCGCTATGTGGTTGAGAAAGGGGAAGGCGTTGGAGGAGGATGCGGAAAGTGAAGAGACCAAGGAGGCAAGGAGGAGGAAAGAGGAGGAAGAAGCGAAGGTGAATGGTCATTCAGTTCCCTTTGTCAGCGTGGTGCTCAGTCAACCGACGCAGAAAACGGTCCGCGAGCCGCCATCGAAGTTCGTAATGAGAACAGCGGAGGTGCAACTTGCGTGTCGACTGTTCTTTGTCGACCTGGAAGGTTTGAACGATGGCCGTGCAGTGAAGACTATCATTCCGCAGGTCAACCCGCGGAAAATGGTGTGTACAGTCTCAGTTATTTTGTCCTCGGGCTGACATTGGCCTGCAGATCATTGTCCATGCCCCTGAGTCTGCAACCAACGAGCTGATCGACAGCTGTGCCAAAATTCGAGCCATGACCAAGGAGATCTATGCTCCGAATGAGGGCGAGACTGTTCAGATCGGTCAACATACCAACAGTTATTCGCTTTCACTGAGCGACGACCTGCTTGCGTCCATCAGGATGTCTAGGGTAAGCTTCTTTATCGTTGATGACACCCTCTTTCTCAAGTATATTGCATCTAGTTCGAAGACAACGAAGTTGGCTATGTGTATGGCCGCATATCCAACGTCGCGTCGTCTACTATCCCTGTTCTAGAAGTAGCCGCCCACACGCAGGTGGCCACGACACAGCGCCAGCCGGCACGAGGCCGAATACTCGGATCGCGACCCACACAAGCCTTGCCCCAGTCGACCATGATTGGCGAGCTCAAACTTACGTCTCTCAAGGCGCGACTCGCGTCGGTTGGCGTCCAGGCCGAGCTCGTCGGCGAAGGTGTCCTGGTTTGTGGCGCGGCAGCGAAGCGCGGACAAGGCGCGGACCTACATGGAGATTCAGTGGCGGTCCGGAAGACCGCGCGGGGGAAGGTCGAGGTGGAGGGCTCCGTCTCGGACATCTACTATGTCGTGCGGAGGGAGATATACGGTCTGCTTGCTCTCGTTGCTGCGTAGCTCTCTGTATCGTTATCACATCTCTTGTGCCTTGTTCTGACAGCTGCTATCACGCTTGGTTCGCAGGTTCGGGCATGTTTGGCCGAAGGTAGGTGACTGAGTAGCAGCAGACTAGTGACACCTGCGTTGGAAACCGGGCTGCGAAAGCACCGGTCCTTCCCGGTGGGTCCCGGCCCCTACCGAATACACATAGCAGCACATACTTAAGAGTGATATCTCACCCAGGTCTCGCATAACCTTCCCCAGGCATCGAGCGAACCATGCCACCCACCCTCCCTCCAGGACTCCAGCAATCCTCTCTCAAGGCGCTCGTCGTTAACCTTGTCGCGCCTGCAGCCGCGGTTCTCACAGTGCATCGAGTCTTAGCAGCTCTAGGCTTAGACTTCCACCTGCGTTTTGGCGTTGTCGTGCTCCTCGCGGTTCTCAGCGTACCCGCGACGTTTGCGGCGAGAGTCCAGCTGAACGCATGGAGCGTGCGGCGACGCGCTCGCCGCGCAGGAGCGGTCTTGCCGCCGCGCTGGGACGGCAAGCGCATCGGAAACTTCGATATCCTGGCCCACGCCCTCGAGCGATCACAAAATGGCTATATTGGTATGTTCACGGGGGCGCACTATATACACGAAGCTTGCACTCACACCGCTTAAACTTTCAGGAGAGGGCGTGTGGGACAGGATCGAGGAGCTCAATAACTTATACGAGATCGATCTTGTGTGGACACCTCTTTACTTCACCGCAGACGTGAACGTAATCAAGGTGCGCATTCAGGCTTTGTGACCTTTGTAGGTCGCTGAAGTGTGTGAGTAATCAGACCTTGCTGGCTACCGGATTCGAACACTTCGAGAAAGGTACGTGCCCACTTCCGAGGCTCCCTCGCAGTCCAGACCGGTTTTGATGCATTCCCGCTCAGGACCGACTCTGAGAGAAACGCTGGACACGCTTCTTGGAACTGGCGTCTTCAACTCAGACGGCGAAATGTGGAAGTACGTGAACCTCGCGGAGACGTCTCAGGAAACATCTCACTAATCGAGCAACCTGATAGGTGGCATCGCACAATGACGCGGCCATACTTTTCTCGTGACAGAATATCCCATTTTGAGATTTTTGGTCGGCACGCAGGTATGCTTAACAAAGGCATTCAAGTCATTTTCCAAGCTAATCCTCCACTGCAGACTTCGCCATAAAGAAAATGCAGGACCGTTTCTGTGAGGGGCGCGCGCTCGACTTCCAGGCATGTTTGCTTTTTACTTGACCTACTCATATACTCATGTGTAAATTCTCCCTGGAACTCAAGGACCTAGTGTCCCGCTTCACCCTCGACTCCGCATCCGAATTTCTCTTTGGCACCAACGTCAACAGTTTGCAAACGGACCTACCATACGCGCACAACGATCCGAAGGTTGCGCTCTATGCGCGCGAGATATTTTCTGAGGCATTCCTCGGAGCGCAGAACGCGATCGTGACGCGATTGCGTATTGGCAGTCTGTGGCGTTTCAACGAGTTCTTCAAGGATGCTGCCGCGGAGCACATGCATATCATCGACCAATTCCTCAAGCCCATCCTCGAGGCAGCGATAAAGAAGAGGAACCAAACCAAACTGGCAGGCCTTGACGCCTCGACAGAAGAGCAGGAGGACGAGACGTTACTGGGAAACCTGGTGAAGATTACAGATGGTCAGTCCATCGGCATGCACTTTAACGACTTGCTGAAATTGAGCTCCCTTTCGGTATAGATCCCAAAGTCCTCCGCGACGAGACCCTGAACATCCTGTTGGCGGGTAGGGACACGGTAAGCAGTGACTGACGTTCGCCCAAGACTACGACTTACCAGACCGACAGACGGCCACCACATTGACATTTGTGGTGTACATGTTGTGCCTCTATCCCGAGGTTCTGAAGCGGCTGCGTGCGGAAATTCTGGACCATATTGGACCGAACGCGATGCCCACGTTCGATGACATCAGAACTATGAAGTATCTCCGTGCTGTACTGAATGGTAAGCACCAAGCACATGTGAAGTGGGATGTCGATCCTAACTCCTAACCTATGCCCAGAGACCTTGCGGTTGTTCCCTCCTGTGTATGTCCTGCAGTTCGTCTCTGTTCTTTGAAACTCACACGTTATATTGTCTCAGACCGTTGAACATTCGGTGAGCTTTGATGAGTGGTGTTTGATGCGAGTGATATACTGACTTCTATGCAGTGTGGCCAACCAAGACACGACTGTCCCTAACCCCAACTCGAACAAGCCACCTATTTTTGTTCCTAAAGGTGTTGGGTGCGCGTTCCACCGCCAATCACGCGGAGTGTATCCACCTAACTTCCTGTCGTGCAGTGTCGCATACTCAGTTCTGCACATGCACCGCCGCGAGGACCTGTGGGGTCCGGATGGTGAGTCGTCCAGCTGACATCATCGACGCCGTGCTACGTCTCACAATGCTTTTCAATAGCGTTGGAGTTCGACCCCGACCGCTTCCTGGACGATCGTCTCAACAAATACTTCACCAAGAACCCCATGATCTTCCTTCCGTTCAATGCGGGGCCGCGCATCTGCCTCGGTCAACAGGTACTTCTCGATTCGATTCGTTCTAACCCTTTAACCCTAACTGGCCATGTCGCGCAGTTCGCGTACAACGAGTCCTCGTTCTTTCTCATCCGCCTGCTCCAGAGTTTCTCGGACATGGAGCTGGACCTCGCGGCACAGCCACCCAGTGCCTTCCCACCGGCTGAGTGGGCGCACTGTGAGGGCCAGAAAGGCCGAGAGAAAGTGAGGGCAAAGGCGCATCTCACGACGTACGTCGAGGTGAGTAGCCTTCATTGCGTTGCGACAAGGCGTTCTCCGACTGACTGGCGGCTGTCTCGCGCAGGGTGGTCTCTGGGTCAAGATGTCAGAGCGCGACTTAACGTGTAACGTATGATGAATCGATACATGTGGTGGCGGTGAACTCGCTTTCCATCTGGACCTAATCATACATGCGTCAGCATCTAGTTGGAGTAGTAGTACACGGTCATAATATTCACACATCTCAGTCTTACACTTCGTGTACTTGTATCTACGACTGACACAGAGCGACAGGAGACACAGATAATATCCGTAAATTCCCTTGGTTCGTCAGTCGGTGTTCCTTGATAGTGACCTCGATAAATGCGTGGGGAGTCACATACACAACTGAGGAGGCCATCAATCTATGCTCAGGCGCTCAGGGCTAACAGCTTCTGGGAAGAGAGTTCTGGTATACCCATCCTACGCCACCATGTGCACGAGGAGCGTCCAGCGACGCGTAGGTAGTGCGCATAGCTCGAAAGACCCTCGTACGCGACACCGCTGATCACTTGCCCCCCATCCAGCCACCCAGCGCGAGAAGACACCCGCGTGAAGACGCCCCACGACTGGTGCAGACGCGAAACCAAGCCCGGCCCCACTGCAAAGTTTCCCGGATTCCCTTTCTTTCCGCTACTATACTACTACTGTACCCATAATATACGCACTCGGTCTCTCTTGCTCATCACTCCCCACTCATACACACCCCGAGCCCCACAAGGTTCACTGGCACGCCGGCTGACGCCTGCCGGCAAGTTTCGGTCCGCTGCGCCTTCGGGATCCTTCCCGAGGGAGCATATGCAAAGACGACGCTCTCCATTGTTCTGGGATACACTACGTACGAACTCACTGTATGTTATGCCTACCATAGGGCTCCGCCCTCGAGGGCAACAAACAAGGATCCAAAAAAAAAAAAAAAAAAAAAAGCTCGAAAGACCAACTTCACATTGATGGATAGTACCCTCGCCGATCCCGCATAGAGGTATCTCACTGATTGCGGCCTTGGCTGAACTCGTCCACTATCAGAGCAGCGGCTTGGGGGGACCGTGGCACGACGCGGCACCTGCAGTCCTCCGGCCTCCTGTACGCGGAACTCAGAGACTGCGGACCATAACCGTAGAACATACGCACGAGACAAATTCGCTGACCAACTTCGGCTCGACCACAATGACGCGCTCATTCTCATCCACCGGAGGTTGGAAGTCGAACACGTGGATGAGATGCGAGATGGTCAGGAGGAGGGCGTTTTCGGCATAGTGTCTGCCCGGGCAGATACTGATCGGGCTATGGTTGAGTACACGACGCACAAGAATGTTGATATCACTACTTACCGTCTCCCAAAACCAAATACGTAGTCTTTCGGGTTCCTCACATCCGGATCGATCTTGCCGTCGCGCAAGAACCTCTCTGGGATGAAGGCCTCCGGATGATGATAGACGTTGGGGTCGTACATGCATGCCCTAGGGAGTCGTGCGTCAGGCTTCGGCCGTGCACCGGAGGACGGTTAAACGGAGGCATACCAGACATTAGCGATGACCATGGTGTCGGCCGGCAAGAAGTAGTCGCCAAACTGCTCGTCTTCGGTAGTGTTGTGAGCGAGGCCGAGCGGTACCGCCGGCATCCAACGAAGCGTCTCAAGGTATATCGCATGCAGATACGGCAGCGCGTCACAATCTGCGAGGTCAGGCAGGCGATCAGGTCCAACTACCGAATCCAATTCGGCTTGGGCGCGTTTCAGAACGTCGGGATAAAGTGACATCGCCAGGACAAACGCCTTGAGGGTTGCGGGAGTCTGTAATTAATGATAGGTCAGCATCGAAGGTTCGATGTGGGTGATCGGCAGTTACGGAACTCACCGTGTCCGCTCCCGCTGTCATGTTCGAAAGAGAGGCTGAGTGCCACCTCGGGGATATAAAGAAGGGAAGTACAGACCTGCAATGATGACCGCTGTTACACCTCTCGCTACCTCATCGCCTTCGGCGTTCACAGAGATATCATATATATCGTCATCGGGATTCTTCACAAATCGCGCAAGGACACCCGACACAACGCAGTCGCCCATTTCGTCGCGCATCTGAGAGAGGCAATGAGTGTCATATCACGGTGTGAAAACAAAGGAAGATCTACCGCGGCAGCTTTATGGAGGGCATAGGGCATGTCGTGCATATTCTTGGCCTGGGCACGCAGCCGTGCAAAGTGCCTTTGAGAGGGAAAGAAGGAGGGCAGATAACGGAGGAAATGAAGGACATCGACAAGGAAGTTTCCTGGGATCAAAGCTTCCCGGCCGGCTTCCAGCCCTTTGTCGATAGTCATCAGAGCCTCGTCGTTTTCGTATTTGGCATCAAGGCCGTATATGACCTTCATGAGGGTAGCGCCGACCGTGCTGTAACATGATATCAGTAAGTTCGCGAGTTCGACAGCATCGCATGCACCCACTCTTGAAAATGATCTTGAAAGCGATCGGGCGACTCAAGCAACTTGTGAAGGAGCACCCGCGACGACCACTCCATTGCAGGCAAGTACTTTGTGACCGCGTTGGGGGTAAAATGCTGCCACATCGCGCGCCGATACACCCTCCACTCGTCACCATATGGCATGAACGAGAAGATGCGTGTCAAGCCGAGGCTGAGAAATTCGGACCCTTGCATATCAGCGCCAACATAGACATCGAAGTCGAAGATTGTCAACGTACAGCTCATGGCTGGCAGTGTACGGCCGGCTTGAAGTGGTGGCTGACCGGCGGTCTAGGTACTGGAGAATGTCGTCTGCGGAGTTGAGGACAACGACGGGGCTACCGATGATCTTCATGCCCATAATGTCGCCTGTCGTTTTCCATCATCAACATGAGAAGACCAGGGATTATCACATGTAAGACTGACCGTACTTCCCACACAGGTCTCGCAGCCCCTCCCACGGTCGAAGGGACGGCATGTCGAGCAAATTTCCTATGAGTGGCAGCCTCGGAGGACCCGGCGGGAAGGGCAGGCCGCGACTTCGCGATCTCCGTGAAGAGAGTGAACGAAGATACAAGAATGAGGTGGTGGCCACGACCAGAGCTGCGACGGTCGAAGCCTGGGGGAGGTAGGAATCTTCCATGCTTTGTGGTGGAAGACTGGAAGATCGGCAGGTATCTTAACCTTCTGCATCATGTTAGGGATATATAGCATTCTGTCGTGCGGCTCTTTCAGGTCCACGTGGCTGATGCTGCCGTACAAAGCCCCCAGTGCCGCCCTTCGTATGGTTATCGTGCAACTCTGGCACGCGTCTGGCACGCTTCGCGAACTGGAGCCATCTTGGAGTGACAGATGGTAAGACTTGGCGCCTTTCGTGCGGAGCTTCGTCGTCGTCTGACCGCAGACGATGGAAGGCTTCTCCGTGTCCGTACTGCCTGATCATGACAGGAACATTGAGGCCATAGTCCCAGGCACTCTAGATCTTAGCTGCGAAAGAATATGTTGGAGAATGCGTCGAGTGTGTACTGTGGTAGTGACCAAGCAGATCGGCGAGAATAACGAACACCGAACTCGGTTCGTTTCGACAATTGAATTTGAGGGGCAATTCCAACCGTTCTAGTAGCGCCCAGGCGGACCGCGAAGCGCCAATTCAAATTCACACGGGTCGTTGACGCTTGGCGGGCACTCAAGAAGGCGCACAGGCTCCGCCTCAGGTAGTTGGACCTCAACTACGCCGGCATGCATCCCACAGAGATACCTATCTACGGAAACTACCATGGGTATTTATGCACTTCAAGCGATCTCAACAGGACACTTATTCGTACTTCGGGCTCAGATACTACCACAAACGCCCATCCGCCAGCGACTCCCGACTCGCCTGTCTACCTCCAAATTTGTTCCATGATGCCCGCGTCCTAGACGTAGGGTGCAACGAAGGCTTCGTGACCTGCGAGATAGGTACGCGTCTTGACACCCATCGGACCTCACTCAGGACGCTCATCGACGTGGCAAGCGCAGACCCTCGGCGCGACGCGCGTCGTCGGCGTCGACATTGACGACACGCTCGTCCGCGCCGCTTGGAAGCACCGCAGGACCGTTTGGAGTCAGCAGGGACCTCCAGCACAACCGCCGCATCGTGACGCCTGCGACGAAGGTCGCGATCCAGCGTCTGGCCCGAGGAAACGGAGGCGGACGTCTGACTCGGGATGCATGCCAGCGTACTTCCCCGAAGCGTTCGAGCACATGTTCGGGCCCTTGCCTGTGCCGGACGCCGTGCAGAGACGGACGGATGATGATACAGAAGGGTCTGCAAACGCGAGGTTCCCGCATAACGTCTCGTTCCGCGCAGCGGACTGGGTCGCGGGGCCCATCCCGGAGGACGAAGCGGAGTACGACGTGGTCGTCGCGTAAGTGCGTTTTCGAGCAACTCAGCTGCAAGGGAGACAGCGTCAGTGACCTCGCACTGCAGATTCTCGGTCTCGAAGTGGATCCATCTCAACGGCGGAGATGACGGCCTGCTTGCGTTCTTCCGGCGCGTGCACAGCGTTTTGCGCGTCGGTGGCACGTTCGTCTTCGAGCCGCAGGAGTGGGACACGTATGCGAAAGCCAAACGGATGGACGTGGTATGTGTTTCTTCGATGCTGTGATCTCATTCATCGGCCGATCGAAGCGCCGCCAGAGGCTCAAAGAGAACGCGGCTGCTCTCAAGCTGCGCCCCGGCGACTTCGAGCGGGAATTGCAAGATCTTGGCTTTGGGCCGGCGGAACACATGGGCACCGTGGGAGATGGAGGTAAGGCGGTCCTCAATGAAATGCAATTGCCGTCGCCAATCTAACTTCTCTATGAACTCAGGATTCCGGCGCCCTATAGACCTCTACGTGAAGGTACGCTAACTCCGGATTGACTTCTATGCAGTAGGCGTGATTCTACAACGACCTCAGTCCAAGTCAATCACGACCTGGACACCACCTTCCGTGGGCTTCATCGTAACCCTACGAAGAGTCAGAACCGCCGTGCCGTCGATCTTAGCTAGTTCACTTACTTGGAGAGGTTCTTCACGAGGTAGTCGGGCGCGACCTCCTCCATCTGCTCGCGCGAGTGCGAGGTGATCAACCCGAGGGTCTTGCATCCCGCCGCCTGCCCGCTGCGTACCCCAGCCGGCGCATCCTCGACGACGAGACAGCGCGCGGGGTCGACCCCGGCGCGCTTCGCCCCAAGCAGGTAGGGGTCGGGTCTGCGGCATCCCGGTGTGAGCGCCGTAGCCCAAGGAGCCTTTCGAAGGCGGAAGGGCATGTCTCACTCACTCGGGCTTGCCTTTCTCGACGTCCTCGGAGACGACGAAAGCTTCGGGAATGGGGATCCCGACTGACGTGAGCGCAGCGGTGGCGTAGACGATCGTCGCCGACGTGCAGATCGCCCACTTTGGCTTGGGCAGCTTATGGAACTCGCCGATCTACGGTGGTTGCGGTCAGCGGGAGCAGCACAAGATGAGCACATCCCGGGGGACGGTCGAGAGCGCACCAATGCCATGATCGCTTTGACACCAGGCAGCGCGACGATGCCGTGGCGGCCGTTCTTGGTGGACTCGGCCACAATCGCCTCTTCGAAGCGTCTGGCCTCTCTCTGTCCACGGGGTGAGCGAGTGTTGGAAATTGAAAGGGCGATAACAGCACCTCGAGCTCGTCGGGGTCAGTGATGCTGCAGTGGAGCTTGAGATTCTCGACGGTGCGGACTCCGTGCGAGCCTGGCAGAACAGTTGAAAGACAGCAATTCTACAGGTGACCGGCGAGACCACGCACTGCTGAGAACTTGGTCTACGTTCAGGCCGGGATACTTCTCCTTAAAGTGCTCCCATGCGCCGACGACACCATCGGTCGAATCGACCAAGGTGCCGTCCATGTCAAAGAGACTGTACGGGAAAGATCGGCGGGGTCATTGCAGTCGTGACGCGAGCGATCGCAGGACTGCCTTACATTGCATCGAAGTCGAGGGTGACTTGAGGCATGGTGGATGGAAGGGTAGGGTGTCCTCAGCTTACACAGTGCTCGAGCCTGCCAGCACTGAGCGGCCTGCCGGGCCGGAGCAGGACTACAGCCTGCAAAACAAATCGGAACGTGTTTTCCGACCCCCAGCGTCGACGTAATCGAACCCGTCTTCCCCGCGCTTCAGCAGATACAGACAGCGCTGAAGGCAGAGTCCAGCGCCGTGCAAGTGATAAACCAACTGACCCTCTAGATCTCGCGCAGGGCGTAGGGCTGTCGAGGCTTCAAGGGAGCATCCGACAACATATGCAACGCATTACACCACTTGATTCATGCATGCTTAAGTTAAGGTCGCACTTGTATCACTACCATAGTAATTCTTTTCGCCTCCCACACCTCCTTCACTCGCCGCGCTCACCACTCAGAGGCCGTTCCAGTCAAAGACACCAATGAGACCCGCGTTCGGGTGGTTGATCTGCCCCGTGTACAGCCCGATGACGAACCGGAGAGGGCTCGACTGGCCGCCGCGGAAGTCCTCGAGGCTGCTGACGAGCGAGTCGATGTCCTGGCTCTGGATGTCCTGGATGACGCCCTGCTGCATCGTGAGCGTGAGCTGGACGTCTTCGATGTCGCCCCCGAGCGGCGTGTAGCTCGTGACGACAGTCTGCCCGCTCGGGTTCTGGTACGCGGAGTTGAAGGACGAGTCGAAGTCGTTCCGGATGGTGTTATCCTCGGAGCCGAACGTCTCGGTGTGGGTCGCGCTCTCTTGCTGGACGACGAAGAAGTAGTCGGCGCCGCTCGGGACGTTCGGGCACTGGTAGGTGTCGCCCTCGACGCGCTTCTGGATCACGACCCCGTTCGGGGACCGCTTGACGTTCGTGCTCGCCGTGGGGGCGGGGGCGGGCTCGCGGGCCTCAAGCTCCCCGATGGCGTTCGCGCCGCTGGAAAGACACGGTGGATGATCAGCGACTGGAACGGCAATGGCAGCGAGCAGCGAAGCAGCCTCTTACCGGATCCAACGCTTCTTGCTCTGAGGACCGATGTTGATGATCCCGGTCGCCTCGTTGCCGACATCCAGGCACGTCCCGCTGAGCGCGACCTGACCGACGTACTGGTTGCATCCTCCACCGCTGTAGAGGTTGTACGTGTTCCCGTCGTCCTTGTCGAGGATGTAGCTCTGAGCCTGGCCGAACTCGATGCACGAGCCGAGAGGCAGGGGGCTGGTGTAACCTTCATCGGCGCCGGTGCACTTGTTCCCGAGCCAGAGCAACAGGGTGTCGGCGGCGGCGAGCTGAGCGAGGGCGACGGCGAGGATGATGGACTTGGTGAACATGATGGCGGCGGCGGTTGTGGTGGTGGTTGTGGTGGGAAGGCGAGCTGAAGACTGGGAGTGAAAAGCTTGCGATGGAGTTCGACTGGTGCTGCTCGCCTGGTTTATAAAGCGTGCAAAGCTGCACATGTTGTGCGCAAAAATATCATGGTCCGCGTGCGTTGGATCAGGTGTTCGTCTGGACGCGCATGGCACCGGATGTGGGGTCAGTTTCACCCTCAGCTGCTTCACCAGCACCTGAGGCGGCCATCTCCAGGCCGCAAGGTTTCGGCCAATGTTGGAGCAGACTGGAGTTTGGAGCCTGGCTGTTTATTCGAGTGCTGGAGAGATGGTTAAATTCCCTGATCCGGATTTTTTTTCGCTGCGGGATGAAGGCTCGGCGTGCGGGACGTGGGCAGACGGTCTGTCTGCAGACTACGACCCAGCTTACGTGCGGCCAGAGGCGCCTACGTTTAGTGCCTAGTCATGGCCTGCCACAGGAAGACCATCCGTCTACACCACCGTAGGTAGGCCTAAGTGCAATATTAATCCAACCCAAGCGGGCTGAGCATGCCTACGTCGTCATGTGCACCGCCGGGGTTTGGCAGCTGGCGATCACATACAGCCCATGCGCCAGTATACGCGGCGCAACCCCTTTGCGCGTCCTGCCTAGGCGGGTCTGGTTACGTCGACAAAAGCTGTGTGGCTCCAAGTACACCGCCTCAATCTCGGATTCTGCGACGAACTTTAACCTTAAAAGACCTGCGAAGCTACCACCTCACGGCCGAACACTGCCACCTGGCCAAAAGCGACGTTGGAACCTCGTGGGCTTGACGGAGTGCGGGAGGAGCTCTGGGTGATGCCGGATTATCTGCTGAGGAGATTGTCAGCGGTGCTCCGATTCGGCACAGGTTGGAGCACAAGCTCTTGCCGCGAAACCTGACACTCACATCCGAAACCCTTTACTCCATGCGCACTCCAAACGCACAGGTTGCGTACGGTTTCGTTGGGGCGAAACCGCATGGAACCTCGGGTGGGCCCGCGCTACGGTTTGCCTCGCAACATGACTCGTGACCTTGACAATGTGCAGTGCACGTCCGAAACGCACGGTACAGGTCTTCGGGCTCGTCGCATTACCGACCCGGGTCATGACCGCGCGGAGGAAACTGGCGTCTTTAACGACGTTGACGGCGCATTCGGGGTGTACGCTCGCGGTGAAGTCCGCGGCGTGAAACAACGCGTCCATTGCGAGCTCTGGTACCTGAGTAGTGAGTTCGAAGCTCGGGGCCATGAATGGCGTGTGTGGGCGAAGCTATTTCCGGAGAGCACAACGGCGGAGCCCACCAGGTAAGAACACAGGTAGCAGCTCAGACGGGGGTCTCGTACCGGGCACAAGGATGGTAGGCTGGATCATTCGTCCGACGTCCAGTTGCACGAGGTCACAAATTTCATGTTCTGAGGTTTCAATGGAGTTCCTTTTGACCAGAATGTCCGTCCCGCGAGTGAAGACCGTCCATCAGCAAGCCGTTAAACGCTAGGCTACTTGTTCCTGTTCAGCCTCCAGAGTTTCCAAGTCAAGATTCAATATGATTGAGAGTCTGAGACTTATGCACGTGACGCACTGTACAAGGTTGTCAGGGCTTCCTGAGGGATAACAATGGACTCAGCGTGGACCAACCATGTGGCCTTGGCGTAATGGTTACCCATGGCAGTACTACTTCAAATGGCTTCGGAGCCTGAAGTCTGATGTGCTGGCAATGCGCCGGCGCCACGTGATCATGGGCTCGACATTTATGCTGACTCAGCCACTAGTTTCACGCGCCGACATATATTACATCTAGTACACGTCCGCTATCCGTACCTCCTCGAGTCCGGGGATATAAGCAAGCATAAACCCATTAAACGATAGCAAGCAACACAAGCACAACAGCAGCCCCTACCGCGACCCCTCGCGCAACTTGCATCTGACAACAGGGACAACGCATTGCATCACTTGAATCCTACATGCTAGCTTACGGCCCCACTTCTCGTCTGTTCTATCACCCCGATAGTAATATTTCTCGCCTCCGACTCCTCCTCAACCCGCGCTCATGGCTCAGAGACCGTTCCAGTCGAAGACACCAATGGGGCCCGCATCGGGGTGGTCGATCCGCCCCGTGTACAGCCCGATGACGAAGCGGAGAGGGCTCGACTGGCCGCCGCGGAAGTCCTCAAGGCTGCTGATGAGCGAGTCGATGTCCTGGTCCTGGATGTCCTGGATGACGCCCTGCTGCATCGTGAGCGTGAGCTGGACGTCGTCGATGTCGCCCCCGAGCGGCGTGTAGCTCGAGACAGTCGTCTGCCCGCCGCTCGGGTTCTGGTACACGGCGTTGAAGGCGGAATCGAAGTCGTTCCGGATGTTGCGGTCCTCGTCGCTGAACGTCTCGGTGTGGGTGGCGCTCTCTTGCTGGACGACGAAGAAGTAGTCGGCGCCGCTCGGGACGTTCGGGCACTGGTAGGTGTCGCCCTCGACGCGCTTCTGGATCACGACCCCGTTCGGGGACCGCTTGACGTTCGCGCTCGCCGCGGGGACGGGGGCGGGCTCGCGGGCCTCGAGCTCCCCGATGGCGTTCGCGCCTCTAGTAGGACACGATCAGCGACTGGAACGGCAATGGCAGCGAGCAGCGAAGCAGCCTCTTACCGGATCCAACGCTTCTTATCCTGACGACCGACGTTGATGATCCCGGTCGCCTCGTTGCCGACGTCCATGCACGTCCCGCTGAGCGCGACCTGACCGACGTACTGGCTGCAACTTCCGCCACCGTAGAGGTTGTACGTGTTCCCGTCGTCCTTGTCGAGGATGAAGCTCTGCGCCTGGTTGAACTCTATGCACTCGCCGAGAGGCACAGGGCTGTTGTAGCCTTCGTCGGCGCCAGTGCACTTAGTGCCTAGCCACAACGACAGGCTGTCGGCGGCGGCGAGCTGAGCGAGAGCGACGGCGAGGATGATGGACTTAGTGAACATGGTGGTGGTGGTGGTGGTGGTGGTGGTGGTGAGTGGGCGAGTCAAAGACTGGGAGTGTGCAGCTTCCGATGGGTTCGACTGGTACTGCTCGCCTGGTTTATAAAGAGTGCAAAGCAGCGCATGTTGTGCGCAAATCCACCCATGATCCGCTGCGCTGTCGGATCGGTTGTTTGTCCGGGCACGCATAGCACCGGATAGCGGGGTCATTTTCACCCTCAGCTGCCTCACTAGCACCTCGGCTATCTTCGGGGTCCCGGCCAATGTTGGAGCAGAGTGGGCTTTGGAGCCTGACATGCGCCCGCCTAGACGTACACTCGAGTCAATCAGTAGAGTGCTGGAGAGATGGTTAAATTGCCTGATCAGGATATCCGATTCACTGCGTGATGCCAGGAGGCTCGGGAATGAGGGGGAGTGTGCGGGACGTGGACAGACGGTCTGTCTACAACCCGCAGACATCTCCGGCTTACGTGGGGCCAGAAACGCCTACTGGTCATGATCAGACCATCCGTCTACGCCTCATGCACCATCCCCTCGGTAGGTAGACTGGCCACTAAGTGCAACAATCCGACGTACTGGGCGGGCCTATGGCTACGTTTTCATGTGCATAGCCGGTCTGGCTGCGTCGGACGACTAGCACCAGTCTGCGCGGCGCGCTCCCACGTAGACACCATTTTGTGCATGCTGCCTAGACGGGTCTGGCTACGTCGACCTATGCTGCGAGAATCCACGTACGCCGCCTCAGTCCCATGGGGTACGTCATGTAGTGATTTAGCGACGAACTTTAACCTTGAAAGACCTGCGAAGCTCCCACCTCACGACCGAACACTACCACCTGACTCAGAGCGATGCGTATGGATGACGTTACGCTTTGAACAATGATTTTCGAGGTCTGCATAGCTTAACGGAGTGCGGAAGGAGCCCCGTCTGATGCCGTATTATGAATCTGCTGAGGAGGTTGTCAGCGGTGCTCCGATTCGGCACAGCCTGTATGGAGCACTGAGCTCTTGGCGCGACATATGATACACACACCAAAAATCCTTTGCTCCACGCGCATTCGGATCCAGTGAAAACGTGCAGGTTGCATACGGTTTCGTTGGGGCGAAACCGCATGGACCCTTCACTCTGTGAGTGAAGTCGACGACGCAAGAAGGAGACGAAAGCAGGTACCTCAAAATTTCCCCTAAGCCAGAGCTTCTACTATAGGTAACAGTCGCACGTCGCCTTGCACAGGTCCGACAGTGTCACGAACGGCGTCACGTACGCCCACAGCCCCCCGTCCATGCATGCCTGTACAGAGGACCCGCTCCTTTCTCGAGGTGTGCAAAGAGGCGTACGTACAGGTCGTCCAGCGGCTCGATCTCCACCACGTTAGCGCGGTTGTCGTAGCCGTGGTCGGTACGAAGCGTGGGCAGGATCCACGATGGGTCCCTCTTCTTATCCCCTGGACGTGTGGACCCGAAGACGTCGCCGCGCTGCTTGGGGAACATTCCATCACGTCTTCGAAGAGACCCATGTCGAGAGGTAAGCCCAAATGATGGCGTCGGAAGGGCGCGGGGATACCCCCTGGCGTACCCCACGCAGAGCTGGAGCCGTCGGGCCAGCGAGTTCCGCAAACGCCGTACTGATATCTCCTGGGTCTCCACCGCCGTGGCGACGAACCCGAACCCGACCCAGTCATCCGGCGCCGGGGGTGGATGGGAGTAGGTGAGGGCCATGAAGTCCATCAGGTGGCAGGCTTGCTGGAAGATAGGCATTCTGCGCAATCCCTTCTTAATCACGTCCAAGTCGTCCAGTGGAGAGCCGCCGAAGAGAGTCCAGCCGGTGCGTAGCGTGGCGGCCCTGTCGCTGTCCATATTTTCCTCAAGGGAGGTGGCGCGGTTGGCAGCGGGATTCCTGGGGATGGTGGGGTGCTGCAAGAACCAGAGGTAGCATTGTCCGCGGCCTGGGGGCGGGTGCGCTTCGAAGGTGGACATGATGTCTCGCACGGGCCGCTCTTGTCGCTGCCACGAGCGTACCTTCTTGACATCAGTGGGACCTTGCAAGAAGAGGTCGCTGTAGAGTCCACGGAGCTGGATTTCGTCGTACGGACCGAGAATACTCTTGAATTTTTCTCGATACCATAGTCGAGGCGCGTCCCAGGGTCTACTGCGACGCCTTGCCGAAAAGCACAGGCGAGATAATAGACGGAGCTAGTCAGCTTGTTAGTGTCGCAATCGAAGACGTGCTGCAGTACAAGACCCGGCGGCACCTTGCGCAACGCTTGAAGCAGTGACTGAGAGCAGGCTGTTTTTAGCACCCAGACTAACAGCACGCATGCTCATCCATGTTGTTGAACGAAGCTGTCAGCGCCGATGCCTTACATTTTCGGCCCGTCGTAGATGCCAAGCAACACAAATGGAAGACTTGCTCGAGGCTCAGGAACGAGGAGAGCGGTAGTACATGGTGGAAGAGGGCAGGAAGGCAGAATTGACGAGTGTTGACAGGATTCCGGAGTCCAGAACATAGCCAATGACAGGGTTTGGACAAGCAGTACTTGGCCGGAAGGCGCGTCTATGCCTGAGTAGCAGCATACAGCCACACACCCGGCTTGATCTCAGCCGTCTACACCTCTCGTAACCTCGTGCTTCCGCTGTGCCATTACATCTCATCAGCCGCTCCGAGAAAGACCGCCACAGCCATGCCTCCTCGAAGGCGACAACAATTCACTCAAGAGAACATCGACCAGCAGCTGCAGCAGATTCACCTCCTCGACCAAGCGTCCTCTTCCGAGAATCTCGAACAACTCGGCCCTATTATCAAACAGATACACGCCAATAGGCAGCAAGACGTGTACCTCCGCACCCTCCAGGCCCTCATTGCCTCCAAGGACGCAGAGATTGAGTCAATATGCGGCGACAACTACCAGGAATTCATCTCTTCCGTCTCCACCCTCTTCTCCATCAAGTCCTACACCATCAACCTCCGCGACAAGATCACCACTCTTGAATCAAGCGTCTCTCAGGTTGGGAAGAGTCTGGTGGAGAAGAAGAAGGCGCTGCTTCAAACCAAGAAGACTGCGGCCAACCTCGATGAGGCCGTTGACGGCTTGCAGGCTTCGCTCCGCGTCCTCGACGTTGTGAACCGCGTTGGAGACATGATCAGGGAGGGGAAATACTGGAGTGCGCTGCGGGTCCGTCCTCCACGCTGTATGTGCTTGTCTGTCCGTAGTATTGACCGACAATGCATCCCGTTCTTTCCTCGTCCGCTGTAGTCCCTGGAGGACATTGAGAGTATGCCTCCCACGTCGTTGTCTCAAACTCCCCTATTCCAGTACCTTCTCTCCTCCTTGCCTTCATTACGCGGCCAGATTAAGGATGCTGTCACGGCGTCCATGAAGCAATGGCTGCTCGACATTCGAAACGTCTCGGCCCAGATTGGCCAGCTTGCCCTGGAGGCAATGGAACTGCGCACACGACGATGGCGCAGTCGTCGGGATAAGGACCCCATGCTCAAATCCAGTCGGGTCGGAAGTGCGGTCGAGACTATCACCTATGAGAAGACTGAATGTATGCACCCCGTTTGGATGCTCGTGGTTTCGTCAGCTAATTCCTGGATTGCTAGACAACGTGCTAGACAACGAGCAGCTACAGGTGGACTTCAAACCCTTGTATGAATGTATACACATATACAGTGCCCTTGACTCGCTGGACGAGATCAGGAGGTCGTACCAGGCCGATCGCAAAGTACGTGTCGTTACACTGTGCAGCGTTGCCCCACGAATAACAAGATCTCCAGGCACAATCGGACCTCATCATCCCCGAACCCCTCCCGCTTGCACAACTTCCGTCAATAACAGAGCAAATAGTCGGCTATTTCATCATCGAGACCCACGTTCTGAACACTACGGGGAGCTTCCGCTCAGAACGCGAAGTCGAAGACTTGTGGGACGCTCTTATTAGTCGGCTCAGCAACGCCGTCGAATACGTTCTCCGGAATGAGAAGGACCCAGACACGTATCTCAAGGTCAAAGAAGCCCTATTAGGCTTTGTGATGACCCTCGAGGTGCGCTCCTCTTTGCATCCCTCGCGCGAAAATGATTCATGGCCCCCTTAGTCGTATTCGTACTCCACGGGTAGCATACACGAACTCATCCTCAAGTTGTTTGAGCAGTATGTGTCTATCCTGGAAACCAAGTTTGGTCAACGCTTCGAGAATGTGAGTCTCATCCGACCATGGTCCTTTCAGAGAGAGCTGATCTGCATTAGATTGTGGTTCAAGACGACTTCCAGTCAATGTATGTCGAGAAGGAGAGCGAGAAGGAGAGTGTCATGGACACCGTCTGGCTCACACGAGAACAGCGGGATTCGCTTCAGCGGTCACCCGCTCCACTCAATCTTCCGTGGTCCAATGGCTTCTACCTGTGTTGCCAAGATGTAAACGTCTTCGAGCTTCGAGGCGTAAAACCGTATTGACGTGACCTAGATTCGCAGCTTCGTACAAAACTTCTACCAATTCATCGAAGGCGTGTCGCAACATCACCGAAACATTGACGACCTATTGAGCAAGGTCAGCCACGGTCCGCTTTCTGCAGCCACAACATGCACTCACGTACCCCTCCAGTCCCTCGAAGCCATCCTCACCAACTCCATCAGCGGCGCGATCGCGAAGCGAGTCCAGAGCACCAACAACGTCTCCCAGATCGCCCAAATCATCAGCAACCTTGAGCACTTCGAGATCGCGTGCGCCGAGCTCGAGCGCTCGCTCACCAACATCCGTTCCTCACAGCGCGGCGGCACGATCCGCGTGCACGCCGCTGCGTCGTTCGTGGATACACGGCAGCGCGCGATCGCGCGCGTGACGGAGACGATGAGCTCTAAGCTCGACGACTTCTTCGGGCTCGCGGAGTACGAATGGACGCCGAAGACGCGCGAGGACGCGCCGAGCATGTACCTCTACGAGCTCGTCAACTGGCTCACCACGGTCGTCGACTCCCTCGCGCTCAAAGAGGCGCACAAGGAGGAGGCGTACCGCGGCGCGGTCGGCTACATCGCCAGCTGCTTCCTGGTGCGTCCCGTCCTCCACGTTCCGCCCGCCGCTAACCTCACTCGTTCCGTGCAGGACTTCCTCACCGGGCGCGACATCCCGATGATGAACGAGAACGCGCTCGCGAACCTGCTGCTGGACGCCGACTTTGTCGACGAGGAGCTCAAGCGCAACGGCCACTCACACGGCGCCGCCTTCGCCGAGCTTCGCATGGCAAGTCGCTCGCTCTTCCTCCCCTTCGCTGTTTCCTCCCCTTCGCTGCCACTCGTGCCGCCCGTGCCCTATCGTGATATCCCCGATGAAGCCCGCGCCGATCCCCGCCTCCGCCTCCCGTTCTCCGTTCTCCTCACATTCACACAGCGCTGACCTCCCCCCCCCCCCCCCCCCCTCCCCTCGTGCCCACAGATGATCTCGATCGTCATGTCCGACGCCGTCTCCGCCTACCTCACCCCCCAGATCCGGCAGACGTCCTACGCGGTCGTGAAGCCGAAGCACCTCCAGGCGACGCTCGAGAAGCTCGCCCGCTTCGGGCTCGAGTGCCGCGACGCCCCGTCTCGCGAGCGCGGCGACCGCCGCAAGAAGGAGGCCGAGGCCGTCGGCCGCATATTCCCCGGCGAGGGCCGCTGATCGGCAGTCACCGGTCACGAAACTCGAGAGTCAATCCGGCCAGTCGGCCCAGTTCGCAGGTCGGAGGTCGGAGGACTCGAACGGACTGCGCGTTGACTGGAAGCGCCGGCGCCGCGTCCGGACGAACGTAGGCTTTGGCCCGGTTGGCCGCGGTCAGGCAGGGCAAGGTGCGCAGTGGAAAGGACGGCCGGGGCCTGCGTGTTTGTACTTGTAGTACTAGTGTAGCTGAACCGGCGCGTCGACATCGCAGCCTCGACGACGCCACGTTCATGTACTTACTCGGATGACTGATCTGCTGAAACCACAATCTGTGCGCGCCAAACATCTCGCGGGTCGGACGAAAACAGGCGCGCATGCTCGATCCAGTCGTGAATTATACCAGTGCGTATGCTTTCTCTAGACGGAAGAGCATTTTGAAGCCCGCCGAGGGCGCATCTGTACGGAGGCGTGTACGATACGGTGTAGGAAACGGACTCCGAGTTACGTTATATGGCACAAACCGAAACGGAGGAACAGGGAGAAAAATAGACGCGGGGGACCGGAGGGGCTTGGGTGTGAACGCAAGGACGACGGACGGGGGACGTGACGCGGACTTGGACAGAGCGGAGGAGCAGAGGAGTATGTAGGGGGAACGAGGTGACCGGCGGAACCCTCTTTGATATCGTAAGGATCATAAGCCATTATGAACGTTCTGCCAACGTCGTGAAGGAAGAGAGAGGGAGGGCCAGCAGGGGTGTGCATGGACCGTCCCCGATTACACCCGCCGCTTGATGTTGGTGCTCAACCACTCGAGACCCTCGTAGAGACCGTCTCCACTCGTCGCGCACGCCGCCTGGATGGAGACAGAACCGAGTCAGCAGGCACGGACACGAGGCGGCACGCGACACGGCGCGGGGTGCGAGCGAACAAGATGAGGAAGGACACTGACCTGAATGAACCACGTCCGCTGCCGGAGGCCGTGGAGGCCGAGCTTGTCCGTGATCTCGGCGGCGTTCATGGCGTTCGGGAGATCCTGCTTGTTGGCGAAGACGAGGAGGAGGGCGTCGCGGAGCTCGTCCTCGTTGAGCATACGCTGGAGCTCCTCGCGGGCCTCCGAGATACGTTCCCGATCGTTCGAGTCGACGACGAAGATGATGCCCTGCGTGTTCTGGAAGTCTGTGTGCCGCGGGCGCGGGGGATGGGGAAGAGGCGAGTCAACGCGGTCAGCGCCTGCGGCTCCTTGGCCGGACACGTCAGACGCCGGCAGGCGGAAAGAGCTACGCACAATGCCTCCAGAGGGGACGGATCTTGTCCTGTCCTCCGACATCCCAGACGGTGAACGAGATGTTCTTGTACTCAACGGTCTCGACATTGAAGCCTAGAGGTCGGCGGGCGCAGATGAGTGGACGCGCACGTGGGCAGGGGAAGGGCGGACGACTGACCGATGGTGGGGATGGTGGTGACAATCTCGCCGAGCTTGAGCTTGTAGAGGATCGTGGTCTTACCGGCGGCGTCGAGACCGACCTGAAGATGAATTCAGCACCGGCAGTGCGGGGCACCGGGCGGGGAAGCGGGCGCACGGACCATGAGTATACCTGGAGGTCAAGCGAAGGTGAGCAGTCGCCGCGCTGGCATCGATGGCGGGTACGCACGCATCTCCTTCTTGCCGAAGAGGCCGGAGAGAAGGCGGGAGACGGAGAGACCCATGGCGAGGAGAAGAGGTGGAGAGCAGAGGGCGAGAGAGGTGGGCGGGGCTGGCGATGGGCAGCGAGTCGGTCGAGACGAAGGCGAGTTAACAACTTTCGCGCTGGGCGATGCGTGTGCCCGCCCATTTCAAGCTCCGCAACGTGGCGCCCGTCCCGGCGCCCCCGCCGTCCGCCGCCGCCAGCACCTCCGCCGTCCCGCCCTGCGCCGTCCAGCTGCAGGACCGCTCAGAGCCTGCAACGTCGTCCACCGCCGTACGTGGCCGCCTCCGCCAGCCTTGGTGTGCCGCCCGGCCACGTACTCGTCGTGCCCCGAAACGGAAGGTCCGGCGCGGTCCAATTGCCACGAGATAAAGTTACACGACATACTCGTACACTTCCAGCAAGATTACACATAAGTACAACACAGCACTCAAGCGGCACCGCCCGCATAATCGTTCACACTCCGTGCCCCAGCACCCTGCCCCGCCAGCCCTCAGGCCTTCAGGTCTCGCGCTCGGCCTCCGTCATCCTGACCCAGAGCCCGCCCTGCAACCACCACAATCAGTATGGGGCAAGCGACTGAAGTTCGACGAATCACATACGTGGATGTACATCGTCAGGTGTGACTTGGCGACGACCTTCTCCCGGCCCTTCTGGCCCTCCGCGCTGGCCCACTCTGGCGACGGGCGCGCCTCAGGCGGCTGTGCGGCCAGGTCCATCTCCATATGCGAAAAGTTCTGGAGCAGCCGAATGAGGAAGAACGACATCTCATTGTAGGCGAACTGTAGAAAGTGGCGTTCAGCGGTGAACCTATGACTTCGATCGGGACCAACCTGCTGGCCCAGACAGATCCGAGGCCCGGCGTTGAACGGCAGAAGATGAACGGATTGTTGGTGAAGTGCTTGTTCACACGTTCGTCCAAGAACCGATCGGGGTCGAATTCCAAAGCTTTATGCCAACGTCGTGAGATAGTCGTCAATGTGCTTTTTTGAGAGTGAACACACCATCGGGGCCCCATAGGTCCTTCGACGGTGCATCAAGAAGACGGAATACGCAAGGCTGTGCATTCATTAGTCGGACACAAAACCGGAAGATGTCCGCCCGCTATACGTACCTGGTGCCCTTGGACACAAAAAATGGAGGCTGCGTGGGGTCGGGGTTCGGGACCGTTGTGTCACGGTTTGCGACACTACGAACTCGTGAGTCCCGAGAACCAGATATTCCACGCATGAAACTTACCGAACGTTGAACGGCCTAAGCACACACAAGGTCATCAGCATGAAAAACACCATGCACAGGTCACGTACACGCTGGGTAGAGCCGCAAGGTCTCTGAAGCCAAGTCAGATGGAGTCAATATGTAAGCAGCTGGCCTCACCGTTGATTACCGCGCGAAGGTACTTCATGCCTCTGATGTCATCAAACGTAGGCATCGCGGTAGGCCCGATCTTGCCATAATTTCCTCTTGAAGCCGCTTCAACACTGCCGGGTAGAGACACAAGAGGTATACCGCGAAGCTCAGCGTTGTCGCCGTCTGTGCTGTGCATTAACTGACAATCCTGGAAACAACAAGCGCCTGTGGCTCACCGTGTCTCGGCCCGCAATCAGATGTTGAGAGTCTCGTCGTGAAGCACCACCGGATCTATACATGTACGGCGTCAATGACACGTCGAACTCGGGCCAAAACTGCGGCACGCACCGTCGGTGAACTTCACCAAATGATCCAAAAGCGTCTCATTGTCGTTGTCCTTAGACTCTTCGCCCGCATTGCCCGCCTCCTTGTTCTTCTTAATCGCCGCCTCGAGAATTGGCTGTATGAACGCGTCGACGACACGCATGTGCTCCGCTCCGGCGTCGTAGAAGAGCTCCTTGAAGCGCCACATCCACCCAACGCGCATCCGGATGGAGATTACGTTCTGTGCGCCGAGGAAGGCGGTCGCAAAAGCCTCGACGTTGCTCGCTTCCCGAGCGTAAAGCTTCGCATCGGGGTCGTTGTACGGGTACGGCAGGTCCGCGTGCAGGCTGTTCACGCACGATCCGAAGAGAAACTCGGTAGCCGAGTCCAGTGTGAAGCGCGCGACCAAGTCCTGTAGGACGTTTGGTGAGCCGTTGAAGACGAACGGTGGATGGGCAACTGATGCTGACTTGGAAATCCAGGGCGCGGCCGGCCGCGAAGCGGTCCTTCATCTTCTTGATGGCCAAATCTGTCAGGGGTGAAGAGTAATAGATGGCATACGAAGTACGATCCGAAGACACTCACCACCGTGCCTGTTGAACAGCTCGAAATGGGAGATCCTGTCGCGAGAGAAGTACGGGCGCGTCATCGTGCGATGGAACCTGCAAAGTCGAGATCAGGAACACTCTGCCTAGGCGGAGGCGCATTCGTCTTACTTCCACAAATCGCCTGAGGGCAGCATGAGATGAAAAGTTCAAAGCGACAGCGAGATGGGGACATACCGTCGGCGTTGAACACCCCAGTTCCAAGCACCGAGTGCATGGTGTCTCTGAACTCGGGTCCTGCGCTGTACTCAGCGATTGCGCGATACATCATCAGAACTCCCAACGCACCCTTGTAGAAGTCATCGAAGCCGGTCGCCAAAATGGTCTGTCGGGGGTGCGAAGGCTTCAGGCATGCATAGAACTGAGGATAGACGAAACACACCTTGGTTATGCCGGGGTCGGTAGTGAGGTAGATGGAATCCCACATGATATACAACTCCTGGACGTGCCCGAACTCGCGTTCTTGTCCCAGAAGCCTTCGCCTGTTTTCGGCGGTCAACGCTCCGCCCAGCCCCGGACCCGCTTGTGTGCGCGCGCGACTTTGGAAAGAGACTGACCGATGTAGCCGTTCTGGAAGCGCTCCATGCCGTACTGCAGGAGGTCCAAGCTGCCGATGCGCTTGCCCTCCCATCGCCTGGGGATGATTGCGCCCGCACGGCGTGCGCGGCGGCGAACTCTCCACTGCGAGTACTTGATACCGAGCGCATACGCAACCGGGATGCTCACCGCGGCGAGAGCGGCTACCACGGGGCGGAGAGCTCAGGGCCGATGTCGAGTTCGCGCAGGATGCGCGAGGCGGCCACGACCACGATCGTAGGGGCGAGTATGTTCTTTCCATGAGCGTGAGACTGTAGAGCTGGAGGCCCGGAGGGAGTTTGAGCGGGTGGAGCATGATGGCGGCCGAGTTTTGCGCGCGCAAAGAGAGCGCGAGTCGGGGGGCGAAAGATGGCGGTTCGTAACGAGAGTTGGTGTGTATATGGGAGCGGGCGGTAACTAGACCGGCTTCGGACAGGGGTAGATGCCGCGCCGGAAGGACAGGAGGAAATTGGAAGAAGTGTTGCGTGTTGCCTGAGAAGACACCGACCACCCGGTGCACGATCAATCCACCCGTCGTCCTCGGCGGCGATCGAGGACTTTCGGGCGGCGGCCGGTCGGGGCGGAGCTGCGGTCTCTGCCAGTGGGCATTGTCGCGGTGGGGACATGCATGACAGGGTGTGGCGTAGAGATGGGCAGATGACGTCGTCCAGTAGACACCTCTCTCGGCGCCTATCTTGGCCAATACGGGACGCCCGCGACGTTCCTGCTGCTTCCTTGGAACTGCGTCCGCTCCAGGCTGCTGTGCGTGGAATGTTTCCTGACTCGCCTTGGGTATCATACCGCTGGTTTTAGGCATTGTACACGATGCGCCAGAAAATTAGGATCTTAATGCTTGAAACCGACAAGTACTGTACCATTTCGAATTATTCGAATTGGGCCTTGGTGCGTGACAGCGTGTGTTAGAACCGGGGGCCGGCCCGGCGTGACCGCCCTGAAATATTCGAACCGGACGGTCTTTAACACGCAGGGTGCATCGTCATTAGAGAAACAGAGCACTCAGCTATGCCACGGGTTAGCACAGAACACGCCCAGAAGGCCGAAAATGCTCTGGACATACGAAACGAATGCGTATACCAGTAAGCGCTCATCTAGCGATTTCGAACGATGAGCTTGTGATGCGTGACTGACCCCAGATATTTCGAACTTCGGAGTGCTTGTGCACGTGACGTTCCAATAATTCGAAATGGTACAGTATATCAAAGCGGGTAATCATATCGGAGCAGTGAGAGCGGACATCTCCACGAATGGTTCAGTCCACACAGTTATGAAAGCAGCATCATCCTCCCATCCCGGCCAATATCGCATTGCCTTTTACGCCAACACAGAACGACAAACGATAAACATGACAATTGGACAACACAGGCCGCGCCCGTAAATCAAGGAGGTATTGTAGCCAGACTTAGGTATGACCCTTCGGGAGTAGGCTATGGTCGTTAAGAGAGAATGCGAAGTATATCGTGGAGCGCAGCAACGCGCGGATCCTTTAGTACTCTCCGGCCTCTTCCTCGTCACCATCAGCCGAGTCGGTACCGACCTCCTGGTAGTCGCGCTCGAGCGCGGCAAGGTCCTCACGCGCCTCTGAGAACTCACCCTCCTCCATACCCTCACCGACGTACCAGTGGACGAAGGCACGCTTCGAGTACAGGAGATCGAACTTGTAGTCTATTAACGCGACGCGTCAATGATTGATCAAAACCGACGAGGCGAACGACTGACCGAGACGCGACCACGCAGCAGAGATGGCGGTCGTGTTCGACAGCATGCACAAGCTGCGGGCAGTCTTGGCGAGGTCACCGCCGGGGACGCAGGCAGCGGCCTCGTTGCAGATGCCGAGCTGTGAAGGCGCGATACGTCAATGCGTGGATGCACATCGAATATAACGCGGACATGCCTTGAAGCCAGTCAAGCACCAGTCGACGAACTGGATCGTCTTCTTGGTCTTGATGCTCGCGACGGCGGCGGACGTGTCCTTGGGGACAACATCGCCACGGTAGAGCAGGCAGCACGCCATGTACTTGCCCTCGCGGGGGTCGCACTTGACCATCTGGTTGCCGGGCTCGAAGCACGAGAACGTCATCTCGGAGACCGAGTTCTGCTCGTGGTGAGCCTTGTCCGCGGAGATGAGCGGCGCGAAGGAGGCAACGGGGAAGTGGATACGGGGGAAGCTGCAACGACCATCAGCGAAAAGAGCGCAGAAGAATGCAAGGGAAGAACGCACGGGACAAGGTTTGTCTGGAACTCGTTGAGATCGACGTTGAGGGAGCCATCGAAACGGAGGGACGCGGTGACGGACGAGACGACCTGGGCGATCAAGCGGTTGAGGTTCGGGAAGCTAGGCTGGGAGACGTTGAGCTTGTGCTTGCAGATATCGAAGATGGCCTCGTTATCAACCTATAGGGCGATGCCGCGTAAGCGAGAGGCGCCCATCATTTCCCAGGGGGGAGACACGTACCATGAAGGAGCAGTCCGAGTGCTCGAGCGTCGTGTGCGTCGTGAGGACCGAGTTGTAGGGCTCAACAATCGAGCTCGAGAGCTGGGGAGCGGGGTACACGCAGAATTCGAGCTTCGACTTCTTGCCGTAGTCGTTGGCGAGGCGCTCCATGAGCAGCGCGCCGAAGCCAGAGCCGGTTCCACCACCGAACGAGTGGAACACAAAGAAGCCCTGCAGACCCGTGCAGTTGTCCGCGAGGCGGCGAAGCTTGTCCATGACGGGGTCAATGAGCTCCTTGCCGACGGTGTAGTGACCGCGGGCGTCTTCAGAGCGCGCATTTAGTCAGCGCCGGTGGACGCGTTGAGAGGGAACGGCACTCACAGTTGTTCGCCGCGTCCTCCTTTCCAGAAATCATCGTCTCGGGGTGGAAGAGAGAGCGGTAGGTGCCAGACTTGACATCGTCGATGGCGCCGGGCTCGAGGTCGATGTAGAGGGAACGGGGAACGTACTTGCCCGAGCCAGTCTCCGAGAAGAACGTTGAGAAACCGCCGTCACTATGGGTGGAGGAGCCCTCCGAGGGGCGACCGTCCGCCTGGAAACGACGTGCGTCAGAACGCGGACGGCGAAGGGCAGGAGAGGTCAAAATCACGTACGTTAAGGCCATGCTCGAGCGTGTAGAGCTCCCCTGTTGGCGACGCGTTGAGAACGCGGGTGGGTGAGAAGACGGGCGATGGACTCACAGCACGCATTTCCGATCTGAACACCGGCCTGCCCGACGTGTAGAGAGATGACTTCACGCATGATGAGAGACGATGGGGGGCAGATGGGGATATGAGGGAGGGAAGAGGTCGCGACCAACAAACAAGTCGCGTCGGGCGCTCTTCCCGCCAATTTCCGTTGATAGCACACGCGCTTACTAAGCTCCTCGCTTCATCCAAATCGGGGCTCCAGACAAAGACGAGCGCTCCATTCCGCCCCAGACTCCAGGATTACAGACGTTAAGGTAGAGATGCTATGGAAAGTTGGGATGCGTGCAATGCGTGAAGTCATGATGGGGAAGGAATAGGTATGCGTATGGGACAGCGACGGGAAAGCAGGGAAAAGAATGCAACTACGCGCTCAGTACTCGCCAGCCTCCTCCGCATCCGCAGAATCAATGCCAACCTCCTCGTAATCCTTCTCCAGCGCCGCGAGATCCTCGCGCGCCTCTGAGAACTCACCCTCCTCCATACCCTCACCAACATACCAGTGAACGAACGCACGCTTCGAGTACAGCAAGTCGAACTTGTGGTCCAGCCGGCTCCACGCGGACGAGATGGCCGTCGTGTTCGAGAGCATGCAAAGGCTGCGAGTGACCTTGGCGAGGTCGCCGCCCGGAATGTGGGCGGGGGCTCGTTGCAAATACCGAGTTTGAAGCCAGTGGGACACCAGTCGACGAACTGGATAGTACGCTTCGTCTTGATGAGACCAACAGCCGCGTTCGTGTCCTTAGGGACAACATCACCGCGGTACAGGAGCGCACAGGCCACTATAGCACATATTAGCTACAGTCCATGACAAACGGAATTGCAGCCACTCACTGTACTTGCCCTCACGGGGATCGCACTTGACCATCTGGTTACCAGCCTCGAAGCAAGAGAAGGTCATGTCAACAACCGAGTTCTGCTCGTGGGTCGCCTTTTCAGCAGAGATGATGGGGGCGAAAGTGGCGAGAGGGAAGTGGATACGAGGGAATCTGTATGTTACAATGAGAAGTGGCTCGAGAACGACAACCAAGATGACTCACGGAACAAGGTTGGTCTGGAACTCGTTCAGGTCGACGTTAAGGGAACCGTCGAAGCGGAGAGACGCAGTTATCGACGAGACAACCTGGGCGATGAGTCGATTAAGGTTCGTGAAACCGGGCGACGAGATGTTGAGGCGCTTCTTGCAGATGTCGTAGATGGCCTCGTTGTCGACCATGAACGAACAGTCGGCGTGCTCGAGCGTCGTGTGTGTCGTGAGGACCGAGTTGTAGGGCTCGACAATGGAATTTGCCATCGTCGGCGCCGGGTAAACGGAGAACTCGAGCTTCGACTTCTTGCCATAGTCCGTGGAGAGACGCTCGAGGAGGAGCGCGCCGAACCCGGAGCCGGTTCCACCACCAAACGAGTGGAACACAAAGAAGCCCTGCAGACCGCTGCAGTTGTCGGAGAGGCGGCGGACCTTGTCCATGACGAGGTCGATCTGTTCCTTGCCGATGGTGTAGTGGCCACGAGCGTCTGTCTACGCGTCAGACCTCCAATCGAATTTTCATGGCAGGTCGGAACACTCACAGTTGCTGGCGGCATCTTCCTTGCCCGTCACAAGAGTCTCGGGGTGGAAGAGACTCCGGTAGGTGCCGTTACGAACCTCGTCGATGACGTTCGGCTCAAGGTCGATGTACAGAGACCTTGGCACGTGCTTGCCAGAGGACGTTTCCGAGAAGAAGGTGGTGAAACCGTCGTCGATGGCTGACGGGGAGCCCTCCAGAAGGCGACCATCGGGCTGGGGCGTGCCGTAAGCGATTATGAAATCGATAATTAAATCATGCACTCACGCCAAGGCCATGCTCAACAGTGTAGAGCTCCCCTGCAGACACAAAGACGGGACGTGAGTACCGCTTCGAAACCGCAACATCCCCCCACCGGACCACTTCTTTGACGTGTCATATACCCCGACCGACCGTCCTTGCAGATCAAGGAGGAGGAAAATGAAGGGAGGACTTACAGCAGGCATTGCCGATCTGGACACCAGCTTGACCGACGTGGACAGAGATAACTTCACGCATCTTCTCGAGAAACAGAAACTGACAAGGAACTGATAGGAGCGGGGTCAGTATACAGTGGGGTTATAGACGCGTCGGGGGCACATACAGGTATTCGAGCGGGCCCAGGAAGAGGTCGAAGACAGACGGTTGGGGCGCGGGGCACTGGGCTTTTGACCCGGCGGGAGCATCCGTGATGACTAAGCGACTCCCACGACCAATTGCCCTTCCATGCGTGGCCCGACTCGAACCACGCCCGACCCGCGTTGCATGATCATCCGCCAATTGAACGCGAACAAACATGCTTCGGACAGCGTGCGGACCACACGTGAAATCGATAACGCTTAATTAATATCCGGCTGCCAGTACGGTGCGTGCCGAAGACGCATTCTGTATACTAGTACGTATTACTGGAGATGCTGCTATAGAGTACGTGCTAAGTGAGATCCAGGAATCCTTGTCCGATGTCCGTGTTGTGAAAGTCCATGTAACGATCGAAAAGACACTGTCAGGTATCATTGGATAAATAAGACGTCTAGTCCGGATGGCCCGAACAACCAAAACAGACGCAACGCGTCACCCAGAACCAGAAGGTTGAGGCTCATGCCCCCCATGCGGCTCAGAGCTTGACCCACCAAACTTGTCCCGCGCAGCGCGTAGCGTCGACGAGGCATGTTTGGCACCATTCTCTACTTTCTTGGTGCTCTTCCGCATGAACAGCCTGTATGCGTGTTCGTAAAGGGGCCTGAGTGAGATAAGTGATCACTTACTCGACCAAAGACTGCCATATCCTCAGGCCGTGCATAGGGAAGGCGCGCGTCCGCACTTGCTGCTCCGACACCGACTGTTGTGGGGCATGGATAGGATGGTCGTGGGGGTCCAACGCTGCGCGAACTGCGTCTGAGGTTCTCAACTTGGGCACCTTGATGTGCGTTACAGGCGCACTGTGGTACACGTTCGTTCGAAGCAAAGCGACGGCCTCGTGCTGATGATGACATCAGATAATACCTCTCGCTCCGACTGTATTCACTCACTGTGTCTCGTCTCCCGGCGATCGCAGTAGGTGGAGGTTGCTCGTCTTTCAGGTCTAACGGACCTGTAGGTGCGTGAGCTTGATCAGTATCAACTCGCCCATTGTCCATCAAACATCAAACACACCCCAGCGTCGCTGCGGTTCCACGTCACCAACGGAGGAAATCTCGCCACGCATCGAGGTCCGACTCCCATCTCGTTGCAGCGCTAGCTCTTCGTGTATGGAGCCTTGTTGTTGGGCATGCTCCAATAGCTTCCTCGCCTTCTCTTCATAATGTTTGCGCTGACGGAGAACCGTCTCGGCAGTATACCTGTACTTCTTGTCCCAGGCATCCTGACCTGCCAGCCACCGCTTGACGGGAGCTTCCTTGATGACACCGATCTCTTGTGGTGGAATGCGTAGCGCTGCGATCTCCTCGACGGGTTCCATGACACGCACACTCCCCGAAACATCCACGCGCTCTCTAATCATGAGCACGTTCGGAACGTCCTATGGAGGTCGCGGCTCAGTTCGGCCCTGATGCGACTCGAGCACACACCCATACCTGTTCTGGGTCCTTGGAGCTCGGCGCTGTCCTGTCTTGCGTCATGTCCACATTTCCGTCTTGCACTTCCTGCTCCAGACGGATCTCGTTCTGGCGGTACAGTTCTACGTCCGACCGGTTGTCCGGCCGTTGGCGGGCGCGCCCGTCGCGCGTCTTCGAAGCATCTTCTTCACCGTCTGCGCTTCCTTCGGACGACGCGGAAATCTCAGATGGAGGTCTGTGAAGCTCTGGAAAGGGGTTGCGCTCGAGGTGTTCCTCCGTGTTGTCCGTGACATGCTTGATGAACTGCGCTATTGACCGATACGCATACTTGCCCTACGATTACCGAGGGGTCAACCGTGTACAAAACCCTGTGATGCACTAACGTACCATGGGAGTAAACGTGAAGATTGTCAAGACGTGGCACATATCTAACAGGCCCACTCGAGTGAGTGCATGGAGGCGGATAGTACATGGTATACATACCATCATAGATCTGCAGATGAACCTGGACTACCTGTCAGTTTTCGTTTCGAAGTATGCGAGTATGAAGGGGCAAACCTTGGTCGGCGTTTGAAACTTCTCGGCGTTCTCTTTCTGACGGTGGCCGTCGCGGAGGATGCCTTGACGAACCGGATAATCCTTCGGATGCGCGGCTTTGTGCGCGACATACATAATCTCGTCGCGCAGGCATTCGCCATTGCCACCAATGATATAGAGAGGACACAGGTTGCCGAGAGAAGACTGCATGATGGGGCTAACCAATGGATGCGACAGCTGCCTAGGGACACTTAGCCAACACAGTGATCAAACATATCGGTGAGACTCACTCTGTGGTTGCGTACAGCTGTATTTGGGCACGGAGCTCCAATGGGACCGCGCTTGGGTCCTCCATGAGCACCTTGGGTGGCTTGGGTTCCCGTTGGTCGAGGTCTTCGGCTTCCCTCCGTCGCTCGACGTCGGACGCAGAGTCATCCGCACTGCGATCTACAGGGACGCCCTGGCCCTGCGGAGAATCCACGCCTCCGACGGCTTGCATCTCCTGCTGTGACTGAATGCGCTCAGTGCTGACCTGCGCATCCGCCTGCTTCTCTCTTGGCCCCGCCCCTGGGATGACATCAGGTTTGAGCTTGTCAGCGTGCCCAGGCTGTGGGGGGGCGGGTTGTTGAGGCCACGACTCGCCCGCTGTCGGGTTTGGGGTTCACGGGCCACAAGGGCGACGGCTTGTGAATAAAGCCGTGGGGTGGGATGATGTCCTGCAACACCGGGCGTGAGTGCGTCAGCCCCCGAAACGACATCTGAACAGTGGACGCTGGGACTCACGGTTGCCGTGTTGTTCATGACACTGGGGAAGCTGTGCGTGAGATCGACCCAGGGGCTGATGAGGACTGCGCCCGCAGGTTGGGGAAGCCCGAGATCTCTGAGGACCGCCAATGCGGCAAGACAAAGTGACGCCCCTGCGGAGTCTCCTGCGAACACCAATTTGGACGGTGGCACTGGCTGGTGGACGGCTCCAGGGGAGGCCTCGTGAGATAGAAGTCTGCCAATAGAAATTGTCAGATACTGTCCCGGATTTCAGGCGTTCCGGAACCCACAGGCTGCTAACACATCTTGCAAAGGACATGGCCATGGATATTGAGGCGCTTTCCTATCATAAATGTTGGCCGACTGGACGATATCCACAGCACCATGACGTAGACTGCTACGCACCGATAGTTGACTGCGAAAGCTCGGCCTTTGATCTTCCTAGCTGTGTACGGCGGTGCATGAGCCTAAGGCTTCTCACGCGCACTGTATTTCTTCGTGACACGGTCTGCACTGACCATAGCGAATGACTTGGTAACGATGAGTGTCTGGATGTGTGGTGGTCAACTCCGGAGAACCGCATCTCGTCAAAAGAACATACTGATTGATCCCCAGAAGAAAGCGCCTGGTTTCTGCTTTGTCAACACACCATATGCGCTGCAACGGGGGACACCTACCGCCGTGGACGTACAGCTTCGGACTCTCAGCATCCTTATGTACGATCGGGCAGAATGCTGAGATGACTCACCAACACACGATCCAGATGGTCCATTTTGAGGATAGTCTTCTCGTCCTCGGTCGCTGGCGAATCGTGCGGAAATGTGCGATCTTTCAGGTACGACTTCTCTGTTACCCATTCAGCATCTATGAAGTCCAAACCCCGAACTTGCCACCACCGTTCCCCGCCGACGACGTGCTTGAGCTCTTCCGGGCCGAACCATTGGATGAGAGTATCGGCGGCAATGTTGCAGGAAGATAGAGGAACCTTGACGGGAATAACCGCACACCAGAAGGGTGCGGGCACGTGAGTGTTGGTGCTATAGTAGACAATCAGAAATCTGAAATGCAGAAACGATTGTTCGCGCATACAAGGACTGTAGAGACTCAACAGTGTTCTTCGTGCCTAGTTTAATGAAAGCCTTGACGATATGGAACGCCCTGTGCACGGATTCAACGTGTTTGCCACTAGTGGGCGCGTGCTCGCTCCAAAGAGAACGTTCTACGTACTCATCATAGAAGATGTCATCCCAAGCGTCCTCCGTCTTGTCATCTTCTTTGAGCTTCGCGGTCTTCCTCTTAGCGTGTTGAAAGAATGTCTTGAGAACGACTACAGGGGTCGTGAAGAGTCAGGTTGACGACCACGTCTTATGCTGAAACACTTTACCAGGAGCGATGTGGACTGCAGCGGAGGTAGTGGAAACAGGCATAAAGAGGCGCGGCTATGGGCTGTACAGGAAGAAGCGTACAGTCCAGTACACCGGGAGTGGGTGTGAACGGTAAAGGAGCGGAGGGTGTCGTGGGCGCGGTGTGAGAGTGTCGAGGAGGCGCAGCCTTTCGCGTTCCGCGCGCGCGCCCGTCCCGACGTCATCGCTGCGTGGCGCCTCTAGTATGTATGGAGCGTGATCGGGAACGTTCATCGAATCGGCGGAGGTCTCGGTCTCGGTCTCCAGCTGCAGACACCACAAGCACACAGAGAAGTGAATTCATGTTCCAGAAAATGTCCAAACGTAGGAGACCCGATCAGAGTACAGTGAGACAGTGCGACAGATTACAGAACGACAGCAGTAGTACGATAGGACGCTTAAGTTAGAGCAGAGCTAAGGACCGCGAGACTCATAACTGCTGGCTGGTGATACAACAGACAGGGCAATGCTAAGCTGTCAAGAAGGAGGGGTGTAAAAGTGCCGAGACTTCTAAGTAATGCAAAACGTTGGAAGGACATTGAGGGCTCGTTGGAGGGGCTGTCCTTAAGGGCTTCTTTCATGCTAGCGGCGAGAGCTCTGACCCTGCTGCTGCAGGTATCGGTCGATCTTCTGCCGCCACTTGATGTAAATGCCTTCGTTCGGGTGGGATTGTAGCGGCAGAGGCCGAACAAAACGAGTTGTTCCTGGACTCGGGTAAGTCGGCCATCTTTGCATTTGGCGGAGCTGGCACATACCTGGAACCCGGGAATGATCCACACCTGCTCCCGAGCTTTCGGAAATGTCAGTGCGAGTCGCGTCATCATAGAGAATTGAACTTACCACGACGGACGGCCTCCATGGCCGCGCTCGCCTCCATGTGTTGAGAGAACATCACTGGGTGGGATGTGGTCAGCTCCAAAAAGCGTCGAGCGGAACGGGGACCTACGATATGCAGAAACAACGGTGGCGCTGCGCGACAACCCTTGAACGCAATGGACAAGCACCACTCCGCCCGAGCCAATGGCCTCATGGATGAAGCGGCAGGCGGTCGGGAGGTGGATGAGGAGGTCGGCGTAGTCCACGTCCTCGACGCGGATGCGGAGGTGGCGGATGCCCGACGCAGGGTTGTCGGCCGGGATAGGCTCAGAGCCTACAGAGACGATGTGGGTGATACGCCTGTCCGCGAGCGCCCTTGGGGAGATGGCGGCATCGATGCTAGGAGGAGTATGCGGTTAGTCAAAAAGCGTCGAAGAGTGACAGAAGAGCTGTCAGGGCGAAGCGGTGTTCAGACTCACGTGCCCAGGAAGAGCTTGCCATCGATGACTGCGTTGATGTTCCTCCAGACCATGCTTGACTGAGGTCTTGCAGGGAGGGTGTCGATGCTGGGGCTTCTGCCGTCGAAGCTCCGGATGCCTGAGACACAGACATCGGGACTTGGTCGGTTTTGTAGGCCGCCGCGTTAGCGAGCGGCCCTCTTGAGGCCCCGTCGGGTACAGCAGGGTACGGCGAGTATTGCATCGCGCACGGTGAACACCATGGCCGGATACAGGCTGCGTCATGGCATCTGGCTGAGAAGGGCAGTACACGCGACACCGCCTTTGCAGTTGGGCTGCCTCCGAGACGCGCCGATGGCCGCACGTGGCACCAGGCGCTCGTTCCCCGTCTCAGCGACGTCACTGCGCGGCCAGTACTTCCCTCCCAAGCGTCGCGTCGGCACCATCGTGCTCTCCAATCCTGTTGCTTGTGCTATGTCCGCCTCCCCCCAACCCGGTGGTTGCTCTCGCGGACACCCCCTGCACGCTTGGCCAACATGCGTGCGGGCGGCGCGGCACAAGGTCCTAGTGACCTCGGCCGTCTTCTCCGGCGATTCGGCGAGCGTATGGCTCCCATCGAGATCCTCATGCCAGCATGCTGTTAGGAACGGAGGCGCCCCTGGAAGCGTTCAGTAGCAGAGCCTCTTCCCCAGACGCTGTCGCGATCTCCCGATGTTCAACCACACGACCCCGCACCGATCTCAGATGCTCCCCGAGTCCGTGCCGCAGACTTGCCCGAACGAGCACTCGGGAACTCCCCTGGCCAGAAGACGTGGCACTTGCAGATCCCAGCTGGTCTGCTTGGCTAACGCACTTCGGCATGACATGCTTCGCGGCTGGTCGACCTCGGTCTCCGCGCGGAAGTCCTTCAGCTCCAGTCGTTCGAGACTCTGGCCTCCGGCGATATCCCCTACGGCGCCCTGAACTGCAGACGGAACCCCGTTGTGTCTCGCCTTTCGACACTCTCGTCCTCCGAGGACATTTCTGGCCGCCTCATGTTCGCGCTTGTCGCGCACACGGGACTCGGCCGAGCCTGCATCCAGGCGGAGTGCGCGGAAGACATCTACCTCCGCGACCCAAGCGTGCCGCACGATCCCTTACTCGCGCATTGCCTTTCGTGTGCGGCGCGCTCCTCGGCCGTCCCCTCGGAAAGAGGCAGTATAAAGGCGGTGAGTTCCCGAGTGTAATTACCAAATATGGCAATCACGCAATTCAACACTCCGGCGGCCCACACGCCGGAACGCGACTCCCCTCGCTAACATCTCGCAGCCGTGACACTTCGACAATCCTGCCCTCACCCATCCTGCCGTAACGTCAAGCTCATGTCGTCGCTCGCTCCGTTGCGTCCGGTGTAGGCAAATACATAGGTCTATATTACACCTCACTCCGCAGTCCACATTAGCGCCTTCAATCACTGAAGCGTAGTGTATTGCATAAACTCGGCCGGAATGTAAGAGTTCCGATGCATCGACCACTGGTATAGGCGACCAAATTAACGACGGCCCCGACGTTCATTCACCAATGTAGTGACGAGAGAACAGGTCGTTCTGTATCCAGAGAACCTGTGCAACCACGCGGCCAAGCCAGGTCAGGGACAGCGATGCAGATCTCGATCGAAGCGCATGCGCACCTTGTTGATAGCCGTAACAGCTTCTATCTTCTCCGAGGCGGGACAGGTACTCTCCGGCAGCTGAAGGATGGCCTTGTGCAGGATGGACTGGATCCAACCAAGCGTCATGGCGATGTCGCGGTCTGCGTGGCCCGGGCGGAGGACTGTCAGCAAGTCAACTACGACGTGCACGCGGGCGCATGCAATTAGGTGAGGAGAACGAGACACTTGCATGGAACGTTGAGCGGGGCGATCCCCATCGTGCGTTGGTGCTTGAACGGCGACGCGCCGGTGTGCATGACGCCGACTTTGTCCATGTACGCCCAGGTCTTGCCGCTCGTGTAATCTGCGGTCAGGACGCGGCGCGCCCATGCCTTCATGAAGACCTGCAAGACGCTGTTGAGCATGTACTCCTCCGTGTCCGGCGTGTCGGCGTACCTTCCGGAATACGATTTGGGCGCTGTCCAGAGTCAAGTCTTCCAGCGTGGTGGGCAGGGGACCATCAAAGCCCTGAGATCGCAGGATTGTTACGAAGACAAAAGGCCGACGCGGGGAACGGGGCGTACCTGATTCCGATTCATGAAGACCTTCTTGGTGATGTCGAACTCGAAAAGCTTTGCATACATGCCGTCTACAAGCCCCGGGATGACCTCATTGACTTTCGGCGCGATCTTGCTGATCACCTCCGCGTCTCTTGAGGTGAAGTCAAGGAAGTCCGTCAGGTAAGCCACGCGGTCCTCTAATGAGGTCTTGATGAGAAGGGGGTCGACCTCCTGGGTGAACACCGGACATTGGGCCTTTGGGGCATCAAGGTAGTCGGTGTGGGAGGATACAGATTGGAGGGGTGTTTGCGAGTTCTCCGTCTCAGTGGGTGATCGCGAAGGGGTATAGGGGGATTCGCCGGAGTGCAGCCTCGCACCTGGATATGGGCATGCCAGACGCTCGCCCATATCAAGTCTCAGATTGGCCATCACAGTTCCGATAGAGGAGGAAGAGTTGGAGGCAGAGTTGCGAGTGTGCGACGAGCGAATGCGAGTGAGGGTGATGGTTGTGCAACAGTCAGGACGACCCCGGCTTTATTGGGAGCTCTCGACATCGCTGTCGCTCGGAAGAAGTAGGAATGGGGCCGGAAGCTGACGATATTGTACGCAGGGCCACCGAACGGAAGTCGAGGTCGAGAGCGTGGGGTGGGGCGGATGGGTCGCTCGAGACTGGCTCCGCGCGCGCGAGAGCGGCCTGGGCTCCGGGCTGTACGCGGCAAATTCCCGTCTTTGGATATCTTGGACCTCCAGTGCTTCGGCTGCAGCCCAACTCAGACTCCTCCTCTCCGCAGTGCTGTCGTAGGCTTGGACCACAAGCGAGTTCCCACTTGTTTCAATGTTCCGATCCATTTCCCCAAGTTCCCTTCGTTTAAGTGGGCTCAACTCCGCCGAATCTATTGCGATTTGCTGGGTCTTGTAGAACATGTCCTCCTGACTACCCGTGTGGGGGCCTCGCGCCTCGCAGTCCATTCAGCGGTATGGTTGCCAGTAACGGCATAGCCGTCGCACCTGAACGATCGAGGCCGACGTTCGCATTCCATCAGCAGGATCCGAGAGGTGTGGGGATAGAGTACAAGCGGATCGAAGCTGCAAAAGCTCCCAAGCATCACCCCATGCCTTCATCTCGGGGAATCCTAGACATTTTGAGCAGATCCCCGAGCGAAACGCAGCAAAATCGTGGAGCAGCGCACGGAGGAGGAGCGGCGATTCGTTCGGACGACTTTGCGTGCTAAACGCATGTTACCCGACCTCACGTGCTCTGTGACGCGCGCGTGTACAAACAACGCCCAAACAGGCAGCACGAGCCTCGCACGAAGCGGTCGCGAGGTCCTCATTTCTCGCCGCATGCACACTCCACCGGCCCGTATAAGACGCTTCGCTCGCGACACCTCACCGCAACCTCATTCTTCCTGACATCTCGTACACGAACGCGAACATGATAGGCTCCGTCGAATGGGACTCGGTGCGCCATCCCTTCCCCGAAGTCGAACCAAGCCCGCTCGCTGACCTCCTCCTGCAGGCAGAAGAGCGCGGCCGCGGCAGACACCAACGCAAGGCCTCCATCATCCACGGCTGGGTCGTGAAGATGCGGGGCACCTTCTTTGGCAGCGAGGCCACCCGCCGCGCAGGCATCCGCGAGATGCGCGACGCCCACGCGATCCGCCGCTACAAGAAGGAGCACCCCGAGCGGTTCCGCGGCGGCGGCGGCGGACGCATCTTCTGGATCTTCCCCCGCCGCGCCCCGCGCCACGAGAACGGGCACGGGCACCACGAGCGTAGTCGCAGCCGCGGCCACGGCCACCACGACGGACGCCACCACAGCAGCGACCGGCATCACCACGACCGGCCCCACCGCTCGCACTCGCATGCGTACCACGGCGAGGCGCACCGAGGGCAGTTCTTGCACTTCCCTCATCGGGTCAAGCCGCATCATCATGGCGTTGGTACGTGGCTTGCGGGCATCTTTTCTGGCCGGCGCCATCTCAAGGATAAGGGACGGCACATCAGGGAGCGTGCGGAGAAGGAGAGACGGAGGGAAAGGCGCAGGCGCAGGCGGCAGAGGAGGGACGAAGGGCTCGCGCTGAAGATAGACGGGACGATTAACAAGAACCGTTGGTGGCATCGGTGACGGGAGACAGGATGACGGGGTGAGCGAGAGTCTTCACATCTGCACGACTTTCATGAGATGTATCCTGGATGTTTATGGTTGTACTATACTTGTACTGTACCGGAGGGCATTCTTACTGTGGCTTTACGCGTCGTCCTTGGGTTCATGTCGACAGCGAACGATCACATAATGACACATACGGAACCGTCACGGTTGGAAGAAATGGAAGAAATGTGTGGGCGAGACCTAAGAAGACGTGGGGTTTGGGATTGATACTCGTGACGTGGTGTGTCCTTGTTGTTTGGACATGGATGAGGTCCGAGAATGGGCCTTAATATGGGGAAGTCAAGGCTCAAAGGAACGAAAGAATTGCAATGCATAGAACAGAACGTTGATGTCGACCACTTTGACGATGTCGGGAACGTCAACTGGAAGAAGGACGAGGTGTGGAGCGACCACAACTCAAATATCCTCCTGGACGCTCAGCGGGAGCGCACGTCTCGCAGACCGCAGACCGCAGGCATGGTCGAAATTCTGAGTAGCTGGGCATGGGTTACGCAACGGTACGACGCGATCAGCTACAAGGAAAGCTTAACGCTCTACCGATCCTCTCCATCATCCGTGTCCACGGTAATGACCTCAGTGGGCTCGGACTGTATGGCTTTCTTCTTCTTTTCTTCTTCCGCTTCTTCTTCGGCGTCCTCAGCTCTCGTTTATCCCCAGAATTTGGCGGAGGGCCGTATAAGTTCAATAAGGGATTGCCGAAAGGGTCGAAGCGGGGAGTTGCAGTGAGCGGTCCCGGAGACGGCGGAACAGGTCCGGCAGTCGGCGTACCAGGCACAGTGGGGACAGTGTCATCTATAGTGCGCGGGTTAGATCCCCCTATAGTGCTGGCCACCACTGAAACGAACCTGGCGCAGCTCCGGTAGTCGGCCTTGAGGGCGATGACTTGGAGCCGGGCGGTGGCGAATCCACAATCTCAGTGATGCTTGGTGTGCGTTTAGGGGCAGATGACTGGTTTTGACACACTCTCCCCGATGCCTGCAGTCTCTTGCTATGTTTCTTTTTCTTGCGTTTCGACGAGGAGGTGCCGTCATCGACGCGCTCGGGCGAGCCGCTACGCTCGCTGCTCCCGTCTGGACCTTGCGCGCTCGTCGTGGAAGGATCCACAGAACTGGTTTTGACTGCGCCATCCTTGCATGCGCCCATGATAGGAATGGGGGAAGATGCTGCGGGCGCGCTCGCGCCGTCCTTGCCCTTCTTCTTGTTCTTACCTCCGACGGCGAACGGGTCTACGCGTGCCTTCTTTGTGATGACCCGCCCACGGCTCTCTTCGTAGTCATCGTCGGAAGGAGCGGCCGCTCCGGGTACGCCACCGCGCGAGCCACCCTGGTCTTCCTCACGGGCGCGCTTTTTGTTGTCGCCGATAAGTTTGTTGCGAAGTTTGGCGCTGTCACGGCTGAGAATGCTCGTGGATTCGGGAAGGGCGGCACCCACTCCGAGTCTGTGTGCCGAAACAAGTCAACTCATCGAGGCTGGGCGGAGCGAGAAAGGCCAGAGATCAGGGTTTCGGAGTCGCGCGACGGACATACCTGGGCGGGCGACGCATGTGCTCCTCTAGCTCCTTATCATCGCTCTTCGCTGTCGCGAAAGACTGTAACTTCGCTTTGGAGCTCTTCATCCAACCCGAGATGAGCTCTTCCGTGAAGGCGATAGACATGTCTACTTGGGCCTGGAGGGTTGCGATATCGACCCCATCTTCTTCTGCCTCCGCCATCCGACGCACGGCCCTTTCAGGCGTTGAGTATCGTCTGCGTCGACTGCGGAATCCACTTTTGATGCGTGTTGCGATAGACGCAGTGGCTGGTGGCTGGAGGGAGGATGACAGACGCCGACCGAGACGCGTCAAAGTCGGTCTCTGCTTTCCACCGTCCACCTCCACACCGGCCCTGCTCTTGCGGACGTTTTTACGTCAGGCTTCTGTCAACGCCCAACCTCAACAAAGGCGTCCACCCTTCCAGTGCACGTCCGCACTTGGTCCATGTCTCAGCTACTCAAGAGGAAGGCGGACGATCTGGAGAGCTCGGACGATGAAGAGCCCGCGCTAGGGCGTCAGGTGTTGCCGGTCGCGAATCTGCCGGACGCGTTCGACGGAGAGCCGACGGATGGACTGCAGTACCTGTTCATGGTGCGGTGAGTGCGGTGTGTGTTGTGTCGCGGGAGTGGAACGCTGACCAGGTCCGATGTTGGACGCTTTTAGGAGGGACGCACGGTTGCTCCCTCACGTTATACGGGTAGCGAACCCTTACGAACTCCCGCAGCCACCACCTCCGGACGAGGGTTCAAATGGTTCTGCATCTTCATCTTCTCCACGCAAGAACGTGCTTCCGTCGGAGGAATGGCGAGAGACGTTTTTATGGCGATTCAAGAACTTTCGTAAGGTGAGTGCTCCGGCTCAGCATCGGTCTGCCGCATACATGAGCAAGATAGGTTGCCGGTGTCATGTACAGGTGAAATGATCATAGTGTGTGGCTTCGGTCACCCCTTCTGGTTATGCATCCTGAAGTTGCTGGATAGGATCTACAGGGTTGTCCGCAGTCCAGGGTCACTGTACTATAAGCATTTCGTTTGCACTACGGATGAAGAGTCCATGGTGCCTGACGTCGGTCATTGCCTTGGCTTGAGTCTATGAGGTGGTTGTCGGAGGGAGCATACTATTTTCCGTGGCTCAAGCCATGCACTAAGCGCATATATTTATGCATCATGGACTTGTCATCTGAAAGGCTCTCTTATGGTCTCATACGTGCCTCTAAATTATTGATCACCTTTACTCATCGCATATCCCAGAACTCCGTCCAACCTACCATACACATTCATATCCCTGACTCTAGCGCGAAGTCGACACCGGACAAAAAGGAGCGCGATTTGTGGTGGGCCTTCCTTGCGGGTCGGCCGGAGAGTGAGTGGAATCCTCCCAAAAAGCAAAAGCAGCAGAAACTGTCCCGATGGCAGCAGCACAACTTGAAGAAAACGGCTCGTGAATTTGAGGACCCGTCCTATGATGCGCCTTTACCATACGACCTTGGACAGTCATCTGCCGACCTGGACCATCAATCTGCAGACTTCCAGCACCACCCAGCAAATGGCACGCCAGATTTCTCTGATCTGTCTACCGGGCAGCCGCCGTCAACATCGTCTACCGGTCCTAGAAGCGCATCTTCACTGTGTCTGCCTCGCGAGCCCACACCTGTCGTGCTGCAGCACATTGATCACGTGCGCACACCGCTTTAGTTAATTCTTCACTGCGATCTAACTTGTTCGCCACGCCCGCAGAAATACGCCATCCATCTTCTGATGTACTTCACTCACTGGATCAGCGTCCGACTTGAAGAAGGCCATCTTCCGTACACGGATATCACCCAAGCGCACGCGCGATGGATGTTCGCGCTTCTCTCACGGGTGGAAGAATGGATCTCTGGTGATGAAACGAGTCTTCTGCGAGGCCTGGCCCGGGGATGCATGGAACTCATGGCGGAAAGTCGCCGGAAGGTGTCATTAGCGGCGATACCGGGGGCAGTTCCTTCGGAGGGCGGGGAAGACAGGTTTGTGGACGAGGGTGCGCTCTGGATGATCCTCACTGCGATTGCTGGGGTTTGGGGACAGAAGGATTTGTGGGAGGACGCAGAAAACACGCTGCTGAGGGTAGAGTCGTGCAGCAAACACGAGTTTTTGACGTGACAGCCGAGCCGAGGCTTCACCGTCGTTTGCGCGTGTATCATGTATGTTTCTGACGACTAGAGCGCGTTGCTATAGACGCTATGGAGGCTGGGTTGCTCACGTTTTGTTTGATGACGGCGGGGGCGGGTTTCGGCGGCTGAACGTTGAAGGCGAGAATCCAGGAACACGGGCTGGAAACGGTCGCGCTGACGGCCGCGGGCAGTCGAGCCCGGAAACGGCAAAGCCTCACCGTCACCGCTTGCCATTGCCTCTGACCGTCACCGCGCTCTTCACGCACGCACCTCACGTTCATTTTCCCCTCCCCTTCCACCCCTCCGCTCTTCAGCCCCCACCTCATCCACGACACTCTCCACCATGCGTTCCGCCGTCGCCCTTCTCGCCTTCGCCGCCTCCGCCTTCGCCTACCAGGTCTCCCAGCCCTCTAACTCGAGCGGCTGGTCCACCGCCGGCTCCAACGTCGTCGCCTGGGACATGGTCTCCACCGATGCCGCCAACTTCACCGTTCTTCTCGTCAACCAGGTGCGTGTCCCTCTTCCCCTAGCGCGAGTAGCTCTCTCAGTCTGCCCCCGGAAATGCAGGAGGTCAACCCTCCCACGAGTCAAGTTCTCGCTGCGCTCGTTGACGGCAGCCTCGGCAAGACCACTGTCAACCCTCCCAGCGGTGGCTGGAAGGCCGGCACCGGCTTCCAGGTGAACCTCGTCAAGGACACCAACAGCCTCACCAGCATCTACGCCCAGTCCGGAGTCTTCACCATTGCTGCCGCTAGCACCACCCAGTCCCTCGCCTCCACTGCGAGCTCTGGTACCGTCCTGTAAGTGATTTTTGTTTCTGGGTTTTCCGCGCACTTCTGACAAGCTGCCATCCAGCACTGTCTCCGGCACCACCACGAAAAGCTCCGGCTCGGACCTCAACCCCTCCGCCTCCCAGACGAGTACATCCCCCACCAAGTCCAACGGCGCTTCGAAGACGGGTGCCCAGGCCGGCTTGTTCGCGGGTCTCGCTCTCCTCGGTGCCATGCTCGCCTAATCGGCACGGCCCTCGTATTTACTGGACGATCTATCCTCTCGCCACGACCCCCCTTCCGTCGTCTCTTCTCGTCTGAGAGCTCGCCCGAATGTAGAATGTACTGTAAACCCGGAGAGTAGTTCCTCCGGTTTGGCGGTACACGGACCATTGCCTCGGTTCACACTCGCACATATACTCTAAAACGCTAATGCAATCCACTGTCGTTTCCTGTAAAACCCATCGCGATGTCACTGTGCGCCCGTGTTTGCATCTGGTCGCGCTTCAGACGACTCTCGCACCGTGCAAGCACTGCTGTCTGTCGGTGTGGCGGGGGGGATCAATGGGTTAGTCACTGCCGGGGCGTTGCTCCGGCCCGTACGAATGCCTCCTCGGAGGTCGCCGCGGATAGCGGTTCACTTTTGCTCCTGACGATCACCAGCTCGGGGTTTTCGCCTCACTCTGCATACATACACAAGCCATGTCGACCCCTAGCGTCGAACTCGAGTTCGACAACTTCGCGCATCTTCTGCCCTCGAGTTGGAAGCCGCAGGTGACCGCCTGGCTGCAGGAAGACACTCCCTCCTTCGACTACGGCGGCTTCGTCGTCGGCGAGGCTCCGCGCGAAGCCTTCCTCCTCGGAAAGGGGAAGCAGCTCGCGGTGCTCGCCGGCGCGCCGTTCTTCACCGAGGTGTTCGAGCAGATCGGATGCAGGTGCGTCTCTCCTTTCGCCATCGCCCCCCGCGACCGCGGAGATCTGACGCAGCCGCCCGCGCGCAGGGTGGAGTGGCACATGAAGGAGGGCGACACGTTCGAGCCCGTGAAGCACGTCGCGACCGTGCGCGGGCCCGTCCGGCAGCTCCTCCTCGGCGAACGCGTCGCGCTGAACATGCTCGCGCGCTGCAGCGGCATCGCGACCAAGTGAGCCCCGGCCCCCTCCCCTCCCCTCCCCCCTCCTTGCGCAACGAGACGAGACACCGATGCCGACCCGCACGGGCAGGTCGAAGCGCATCAAGGACCTCGCGCGCGCGAACGGCTACACGGGCATCGTCGCCGGCACGCGCAAGACGACGCCCGGCTTCCGGCTCGTGGAGAAGTACGGGATGCTCGTCGGCGGGATCGACCCGCACCGGCACGACCTCTCGAGCATGATCATGCTCAAGGACAACCACATCTGGTCCTGCGGTGCGTGCCCCTCCCTTCCGTGCCCCTCCCTTCCCTTCGCCACCCTTCCCCCACCCTTCCCCCGCGCGTGTCGTCATCGCGGCGATCTCGCTCAGTTCAGCTTGTCTTCCTTCCCCCCGAGGATCCCAAACCGTAAACTGACGGCCGCGTGCGCGCGCGCAGGCTCGATTACGAACGCGATCAAGCAGGCGCGCAAGGTCGGCGGCTTCAGCCTCCTGCTCGAGGTCGAGGTCGGCTCGGAGGCGGAGGCGGACGAGGCGATCGACGCCGGCGCGGACATCGTCATGCTCGACAACATGGAGGGCGCGGAGCTCGCGGTGACCGCGCGCCGCCTGCGCGAGAAGTGGGCCGGGAAGCGCAAGTTCCTGTTCGAGAGCAGCGGGAACGTGACGGAGGAGAACCTGCACGAGCGCGCGATCAACGGTGAGCGGGCCCGGTGGGGCGGGGCTTTGAGTTCGGGGGACGACGGCTCATGGAGTTTGTTGTTGCGGCAGACGTCGACATCATCAGCACGAGCGCGGTGCACCAGTCGGTGCAGCACATAGATTTCAGCTTGAAGATCCAGAAGCCCAAGAATTGAAGATATGGGGCAAAGGAAGAAGTTTCGCGATGATGTGTACCGTCGCGTATATTTGTAAACGGCCAGAGATATGTATGCAACTAGACATCCTTGTGTTCTCCTGGCCCCTCCTGCTGCAAACAAGTACTAGGTATTCTGCCCGGTTGAGAGGTCGCGCTATGGGACACATCCTAGCACATATTTCTGATCACATCATAGGGACGCTAAATCAGAAAGGCCTTGGATGAGAGGCGTTGTAATCTACAGTATGAGTCCATTCAGCACACCAAACTCGCCGATCTCCCTGGCTCACGCGCCCAAGCCCAGCAGCCTGAGCGCGTTCCCGCCCCGGACCGCGTCCTTCTCCCCCTCGCCCCACCCGTCGACGCCCTCGATCGCCTCCAGGTTCTCCACCACGCTCTTCCACTTCTCGCTCGCGCCCAGCGGCGGGAAGAACGGGTGGTCCGTCCCGAACAGCATGCGCCCCGCCCCGCCACGCGCTTGCCCGCCCCGGCCGCGCCGACGCTCGCCGTCGCGGACGCGGCCGTCGACGCGTACGCGTGCGCGCGGCCGGCCGCGTCCGCGACGAAGCCGAGCTCCTCCGCGCCGTATGCGACGGCGTCGAAGTGGAGGCGGCCGAGGTAGAAGCGCGCGTCGTGCTGGAGGCGCGAGGCGACGAGCGGGTCGTGCGTCACGCACGACGCCAGGCGGGAGGAGAGCTGGGGGAGGGCGCCGCCGGAGTGCGCGAGGAGGAGCTTCAGCGAGGGGTAGCGGTCGAGCACGCCGGCGAGGATCAGGCGGGTCGTGGCCTGTGGGGGCGCGGGGTCAGCCGTGCGCGTACGGGGATGTGGGACGAGCGTGGTTCTGCGGGCGCGGGTGCCGGGGTGTCAGGCAGAGTTGGTTGAGTCCTGCGGTAGAGGACTCGTGGATCATCTAATCCTGAGCAACCTCATGTAGGCAGCTAGGCTTCTATTTGTGTCTACAGGTCTGCTAGAGATGATCTCGAAACGCCCACACTGGACCGAGCTCCTCCCTGGCCGACCCACGTATATTGGTCAAGAAGCAGCTGTGACAGCGTAGCGGCGTGCGTATCGGATTTAGTTTAACTCGATGCCGGACTGCTGAAAAATCCATGTCGAATGCAAAGATTGTTCAACACTCCTGCACTCCTGCCTCTTAATGATCGGCCAGCCCAGTCTGTCAGGAAGCCACTACGGGGGTAGCTGTCTCCGAACTGAGTAAATTTAGCCTTTTTCGAGGAGGGTCATGTTTGCGTGGATATATGCTATCTGATTTCCTGAACCCGTGCTGGAAGCTACGCCAACCAGAGAAATTCCTCCAGGGATTCAAAGCAAAATACTCAACGGTCTCGTTGAAAATAGCCCCAGTGGAGACTGACGCTATGCACCACGAGGCTCTCACCTACATTCCACATATAGCAGGCAGATAAACACGAGGTCGACGCGAAGGGGGCACTCACAATCGTGGTCTCGAACGGGAAGCCGAGCGCGAGGGGCAGAACGTGCCCGTTCTCCTTCTCGCCCCACGCGTTCTTGTCCACGCCGTAGTGCGGGTGCAAGAAAACGATGAGCCCGGCCTGCTCGATCGCGGCCCAGACCGGCTCGAGTGCGTCGTCGTCGAGACCCTTTCCAACGCCCTTCGTGCCCATGATGAGGCCCTTGAGGTGCGGCAGGCGGGCGATCTGCTCGACGGTCGAGACAAGCTCCGCCGTTGACGCCCCCGGGACGAGTGGGAGAAGGCCGAAGCCGTAGAGCCGTTTCAGGGTGGGAGACAGGGTGGGTCCCGTGGCGCAGAAGTCCTCGAGGTCAACGTTGAGCTCCTCGGCGAGCTTGTGGGCCGTCGATGCGGGGAGGAAGTCGAGCCATGGGTTCGCAGAACTGCGGGCAGAAAGAGGGGAGGCGTCCGTGAGCAGGACGATTTGGGCGACGTCGCGAGGAGGGAGCTGCAGCACATACCTGACCACAGACATGTCGATCGAGTGAAGGTCCATGAATTTGAGCTTCTCGTCCCTGTCCCAGTACTGCGAGAAGTGGCGTTGAGAAGGGAACGCGGCGGAACGCGCGGAGAAACTCACCTGGGCCCCAACGGGGCGGCCGGTAGGAGGCTCATCGTCGAGAATGAGCAAACGCTCTTCGGGCTGGCCCTCGGGGGAGGTGCGAGTGAAGATACGCGGCACGTCGGTGCGGCTCCGGAGGAAGGCAGCATAGCGAGGAAGATAGACGTGGGTGTGGACGTCGATGAGGAGTTTCCCGGCAGCCATAGCGAGCCTTGTAGAGAGAAAGCTCAGACGAATGGAAGTGCGAGAGACGAGAGAGGGCGGGGGGCGATATCGACCGACCTCGTAGACATGGTGGCGGCGGGGGGTGATAGGGAGAACGGGAGCCGAGAGACTAGCAGCAGGACTTGTCGTCCCGCGATCGTCATACATGGGCAGGCACGTGAGTAGTGGTCGATCCACGATCTGGCTGCCCAGCCCGCCTCGTGTTTTGGACCACGACGCAACCTGCTCGATCGTGCATTGTGAGAGCAGGCCTTTGTCGTGGTCTGCTGCAGAACCCGGTGTGGGACCGAAGACCCGTATCGGATAGACGATCCACCTCACAGAACTAGCTGATGCTATCAGCCCCTCGTACTGTGCAAGCCCGGAGATGAAGAAGGTCCCGTCCAGCGACCCAAAGCTGCCTCGTTCGGCAACATCGTCAACCACTGCCCCGTCCAACGTCGGCGGGCCTGGTCGGATGACAATGTCGCTATATGTGTTGCTCACGCCCGCCACTCGCTGTCAAGCCGTCTAGCCCGCCTCGGCCTTGTCGACTCGATTCGCGGAGCCTCCATCAGCTCTTTCCCCCCACCCCCCACGATCACTCCGCCCCCGCGATGACTCTCGCCAACTCCGCGCATCCGCCAACTCCGACGCCGCTGGCCAGGATGCCGACTCAAGGCTCTTCGACGCCGCTGTACGACACCGCATCTCTAGTAATCCTTTATCTGGCCGGTGGCCCACTAATTTGCTCCTCCACTCTCCAGATCGCCCATTGCTCTCAAACATCCAGAGACAGTTTCATGACGCCGTTCGGGAGATTACTCTTGCCATTGAGGCTCGAGGAGAAGAGAAGCTCACGGAACTGCGGGGGACCATCAGCCACCTGAATCTCGAAACCTCGCTCGAGCTTCGCGAATCCGACAACTGGAGATCGAGCTGGCAGAGGCCCGCCAGGTGATATCCTCCCTCGAGCGTGAAGTGAGTACCAGAGATGTTTGACTTCGTGGGCTACGTCTTGTTCGTCACTGATTATATGCGCTGCGCAGACCGCCCGGGCGGCTGTTCCGATCGAGTCGGACGGGAACTCGACGGTCCGTCCACGGCAGGCTCGTCCCGTTACGAAGAACGACCCCGCTGCGGCTGCGTCCCGGGTCCATGCGTCCGTCGAGGCTTCCGGGTCGTCGCTCACAGTATCCGACGCGACATCCTCGGCGTCCCAGTGCGGTTCGGCGAAGCGCACAAGCAGGCACGGCTCGACCTCAGGAAAATCACGCCGCCTGTCTTGGTACGTTGAGCTCGATCGCGCCCCGTCCACGACGGAGATGCAAAAAGGGCCCATCCCTTTGGGCATCTTGGAAGAACAACTGGCACTCAACGACGACACGGTGCGGATGCCGTCCTATCTCCCGTGATGATGGCCGCTGAGCATGTCTACAGGTCAATGAGATCAACGAGTAAGTGCTGTTGAGCCTGGTGCAGGCCATCTCAACGATTGACCCCGTCAGACTTGAGGACACGACGGAGTTCGACGTGCGCCTTTGTGTGGAGGCCGATAAGGCATTCGTGTATCGACCGGTCATCTTGGAAGGACCGAGAGATCAAACTTACCTTCTTGGTTGGGGCGATGCGACCACCACGGCCGGAGTCGAGGATTGGCTCCGAGGCAAGAAAGACTTGCATTTGTTCTGTCACCCTGCCACATCGGAGGTGAGTCCGTCCTTTCAAGCCTGCACGAGACGCGGGCTGAAGGAGTGTGATTTTGAGATCTCTGGCTGGTTCTACCTCGGTCTACATACGTTCTCGTATGCACCCGGCGTTGATTCCGTCTGGGGGAAGCTCGAGAAAGAGGTAAGTGGACTAAGTCTGGCGTCCTCCAATGTAGAATGCTCATGCGATGATGTTGTAGGACAAAAATAGCGTGCTGGTTGAGCTGCAGGCCCGCAATCCGGGGATGGATCTCCGCCGTTTCAAACACGACGTGAAGAAGGGGCGGCTGGTACAGTGCTGCATCCGGATCGAGAGCAGGGACCGCACGGGAGAATCGACCGAGTTCCTGCGGGAGTACGGGCTGCTTGCTGGGGACGGAGGAAGCGAGGGAGAGTCAGACTCGGATTAGGTTTGTCGTGGTGGCGACGCGGCTGACGGAGGTGTGCGTGGACTCTGCCCGCTCTCTTGGATTGGGACCGTGTGTGCTTTGGTTTTCTGTATGTAAGTAGCACTCCCGGACGATGGCACATATTTGGATGTACGATAGAGAGGATGATGGCCGTGTGAGCAGAAGGTGGTCCGAGCGGAATCAGAATCGAGGGGCGTCGACGGCCGGGACCCGTGCCGTGCATCAACCCCTGGAGTCTGGACAACCTCGCCGCCACTCTCACCCCTCCCTCTTCTCCTCCACATCGCCCTCGTCCTCGTCAACGTCGGCGCCCTCCCCCCGCCCTCCCCATCCTCTTCCAGGCTTTCGCCACCATGCGCGGCTCCTCGGCGTCCCCGGCGCGCGCGCTCACGCTCCTTTTCCTCGCGCTCTTTATCTCCCAATCGTTCCTTACTGTCAACGCCGACCTCTTGAGCGACCTCGGCAACGACCCCAACCCCACCGATCCAACTACTACCTCCACTACCACTCTGTCGACCACAACCACTTCTTCAGCTTCCCATACAACCACCTCAACCTTCGTCCCTCTTACCACCTCGTCCTCGACTCAAGAGCGGACGTCCACGACCAAAGTCTCGTCCTCAACTGAGACTTCCACCTCCACCTCCACCTCCTCCTCAACCTCGTTGACCCAGACCTCTTCCTCTTCAACTTCATCCTCGACTTCGACTTCCTTCGTCTTCGTCTACTTCCTCGTAAGTTCTCCCGTATTGTTTGTGGGATATGGTAGTACTGTCTCAACGCCATTGCCCCGCTAACAGTTCGTCATCTCTGACCACGTCTTCTGCTACTAGTCTCTCGAAATCGACCTCTCTCACCCCTTTCATTGCTGCGACTACTCGCACGACCTCGTCCCTCACCAAGGCCCCATCGACGTCCTTCTACTGGAGCACTACTTCCTCCGAGTCCCCAACTGGTACTGCTGCTGCGGGTGTGGGCGCATCGTCGAAGGGGTGAGTTGATGTCATTCCATCAGGATATCTGTCACCGCGTGCGATCCCCCTCCCCTCCCACAGCTTCTTCAGCAACACCCCTGCTGTCGCCGCTACCTTTTCAGTCGCTGGCATCGTTGCCCTCGGCGCAGTCATCTTTGGCGTGGTGCTGCACAAGCGCCGCGCCGCTCGCCTCCAGGATGAAGAGGACATGACCTACTTCGAGAAGTACAACCCGAACGGTGCTCCTACCCCGAACAGCGCGAGTGGCAACGCTAGCGAGAACGGCGGCACGCGCAGTCCGACTGCGATGTCCTTCAATGGCGGTCCAGACCCGGACAACTTGAACGAGCTACCCGCGACCACCGCTGCCGCGACTGACGCGTACCCCGACCGCGCGATGCACTACGGCAACGGCTACCACTACGACTACGCTCACCACCAGGCACCCGCCGCCGCCGCCACCATGGACTACGGTTACGGCTACAACCAGCAGCAACAAGCGACCGCGCCTTCCGCCGACTTCTGGAGCCACCCGCTCAGCACGCGACCGATACGGGAGCCATGCTGTCGACTACCCACCGGCCGCGGCCGCGGGGTACGACATCACGCAATACCCCGGCTATGAGGGCTACGTCAACCAAGAGTACATCCCGCGCGTGCAGTCCCCGAACCACCCCTTCGCGGACCCCAGTAACATGACCCGCGTGGCCGGTGCGCCGCAGGTAACAGTCACCCAGCACTTCCACAACGCCGACAACCACGCCTACCACGGCGAAGCTCGTTAACGAGCCCTGTGCAACCCCCGAGCGAAGCGCATGTGTTCGGTGAGTAATCTCCCTTCCAGCCGTACTCCACGGAGGAACTGAAGTCCGTCTTCACCTGCAGCTATACCCTCTTGGACCATCTTTACATACCCACACAAGCAATTAAGCCTTGCACATTCCCCTGCTTGTTTGTGGCGGCCACCTTTACATCTTGGGCTTCTTTGTGTACCGTACTTACCTCACCCTTTACGGTGGCCGCTCGGTCGATCCGCCCCCCTTGGGGCGACTTTGCAAACAACATTGGTACCACTACTTGTCCCTCACGCCCCCCCCCGTCTGTCTGTACTCCTACCGCATCTACTGCCTCCCCACGCCCGCACGGCCCCCCACTTCCCCCACCTATTAGCCACCTTCGCCCGCACCCGCGCTCACCTCGCCTGCCCTTCGTGCTCGAGCTTGTCCGTCCGGCCCCCCATCCTACCGTCTCGGACTCCCAGCGAGCGCGCTTTTCCCGGTATGGCGCACCCCCGAAAATGTCTGTACGCTGTAGCTCGTCCTGTACCCTGTACCTACCGCCCGCTGCTGCCGTGCAGAGATAATCGGACAGGCGACCAGCTTGCTCGCTACCACTTGGAGGCATCCTTCGAGGCGCCGCGTGCTGTGCGACGCTGGCGGAGTGTGTGTGTGTGTGTGTGGGTGGAAGAATGGCGTTGGGTGTGCGATGTGTTGGAGAGCGGTGGTACTAATCGACTGCAGAGTGTTCTGTGCGAAGGAGCGCAGAAGTGACCGGCCCGTCCATCGCGGCTCGAAACACCAGGCGCTTTACCCCGCGTTCGCCTCCTACTCTCCACCAAGATGCTACACCCACTTCCCGCTCGCACATTCACAACCGCCTTTCGTCCCTCAAAGTTCGGTCTATATGCTGCACCCGTCAGCGCCGGTGCTCGCCGCCAGTCGCCCTCCCCTGGCGCACGCCTGGCTACACAACGCCTCATCCAAACTGCTCCTGAAGCTTACTTGGAGCCTGTCACCGACAGCCCCGGCGTAGTATCGCTCCTGCTCAACAGACCAAAGGCGAAGAACGCGATCTCTTTGCGGCTGCTCAAGGTCCGCTGGCAGCGGCGCGCTTTCTCCCCGTGGCCAAGACTGACGTCCTCGCGGGCGGCGTGCGCAGGAGCTCCAGGAGTGCTTGGATCAGGTCCGGTCTGACAAGAGGTGCGTGCACGTTTCGGTGTGGGCTTAAGACGTCGCTTTCAACCGCTTCCTCCTCTTTCCTGCGCTCCCAGCACCCGCGTGCTCGTCGTCCGCTCCTCAACCCCCGGCGCGTTCTGCGCCGGCGCGGACCTCGTCGAACGCGCGTCGATGTCCAAGGCGCAGGTCGACCAGTTCCTGCTCGACCTCCGCCGCGCCCTCGGCACGCTCGAAGGCCTGCCCGTGCCCACCCTCGCCGCCATCGACGGCCCCGCGCTCGGCGGCGGCCTCGAGCTCGGGCTCGCGTGCGACTTGCGCATCGCAGGTGAACACCCGTGCTGCCGAGGCTTCGTGTGCGGACGGTCGCTCATCCGTCCACGCTCCAGGACACGCCGTGACGAAGATCGGGCTCCCCGAGGTCAGGCTCGGGATCATCCCGGGCGCGGGCGGGACGCAGCGGCTCACGCGCCTCTTGGGCCTCGCGAAGGCCAAGGACCTCATCTTCACTGCGCGGATGCTCACCGCGCGAGAGGCGCTTGAATACGGCACGTCCTTTCCCGTCTGTGCGCGGTCGGCCGGGTCTCACTGCATCTACTATCTAGGGGTGGTCGACTACGTCTCCGCGCCCGAGAGCACGGCGTTTGACAGGGCACTGCAGCTGGCGGAGCAGATCGGTGCGAACGGTACGCAGTCTTGACCGCGCGACGCTCCTGCACGCTCTCATCCGCTGTAACAGCGCCTTTGGCTCTCCGTGCGGCGAAGCAGGCGATTTCTCGAGTGCCTGAAATGGGATTCGAGTCCGGTGAGTCATCCGTGCTCGTGTTCAATCCTTGCGTTTCATGTGCGGCATTCAGGCCTCGACTTCGAGAGAGCTTCGTATGAGCCATTGCTTCACACGAAGGACCGCCTGGAGGCACTACAGGCGTTCAGAGAGAAGCGGGCACCGTCGTTCAAGGGAGAGTAGATGGCTCCGTATAGTATTCGTACACCACATACACACATCCAGATCCCACAAGCATAAGTTATCCGTCCACGCACACCTCCCCGCGCTCAGTGCAGCCCGCGAGCCCGCTGCTGAACCGCGCCGGGCGCGCGTTCGCAAACGAGGACGCGAACCCGCTCGAGAGCGCGGGCATCGGCGGCATGCTCGGCATCGAGATCTGCTCGCGCAGCGGCTCGAGGTCCTTCATGATCATGCTCAGACGGCCCATCCCGAACCGGTCGCGCATGCCCCCGCGGCTGTCGCCCCCCGCGCCCGCGTCGCCGCCGAGGTCGTCGTTGAAGCCCTTCTCGGCCTGGCCCCAGTCGGAGCGCTGCGCGAGGTACGGCCGGAGGAGGGACGCGTCGATGCGGCCGAGGTAGCCCTCGGTGATGTACGACTTGAGGATGTCCGGCCGGACGAGGAAGACGTTGCCGAGCTGGCGGATGAACTCGAAGCGTTCGTGTAGAGACGGGATCGCGAACGAGTCGGTGACGTCTTGGTATGACTTGAGGTCCTTGGCGAGCATGAGCCCGCCCGTGGCGCTCACGGGGAACTTCTTCAGGTGCTCGAGGAGCAGGCTGCACGCGCAGCGTCGTCAGCACCCCGGGTCGATAAAGCGGGAAAGGGACCCGTACCTGTGGAACGCGACGCCGACCTCGGTGAGGAACACCTCGAGGTTCTTGCCGTTCAGGCTGGCCTTCGAAAAGTCCCGCACCTTCTCGAGCATCTCGCAGCACGCGATGCACGGCTCGGTGTTGACTCGCGCGAACGAGATGTCGTCGTTCTTCGGCTTGAAGTCCGTGCGCTTCTGCTTCGCCAGCTGTGCCGACAGCCAGTTCACGATCGCTGTGCGGGACTCGTCAGCACATCCAGCTCGAACTGGCCAGCCTCGCACTTGCCGTCCGTGAGCTTTTGCATCGCCTGGTTCGTGGCACCCTCGATCCGGCTAACGGCCTGGTTGTTGAACACCATCATCTCACGCCGGATCGTGACGGAGCTGCTCGCGAGCGGAAGGAGGGCCATCGTCACGTATCGCTGCCACAGGTGGCTGATGAGGTTGACCTCACGGAGGACGGTGAGCGGCTGCATGCTCGGCTCGCTCTTGTTGTCGAGCGCGTCCAGGCGGGCTTGCAGCGTCTCGAGCGCGGTCTCGATATACGAGTTGCAGATCGCGGCGGAGAGCACCCGGAGCAGCGCGAACGTGTGCTTTGGCCTGGAGCAATTCGGTCGGCGTGATTAAAAGTGATGGAAAGAGACCTCTTACGCGTCGTTTGCGGGGCTGAGCTCGACTGCACGGCCGATAGCCTCGGCATGCCACTTGAGCATCCGCTCCGCTACGAGCACGCTCAACACACCGTCCTCTTCGCGGACGGGGTCTTCCGGGTTCTGGGCAGCCTGGGTAGTCGATGAGCTCAGTCCACCGAAGCGCATGAGCGCAGCGGCCGCTTGTGCCGACGTTGAGCTGCCGCCAGAGGGGGATGTAGCCGCTGCAGCGCTGAGCTGGTCCACCATACGGCCGAACATGGAAGACTTCCCCTGCTTGTTGGTGACCTCCTGTATGTCGTTGTTCAGGACCTGCAAGGCATGGTAGAAGTTGACGAACGACGCACGTGGTAGCGGGTGAATTTAGCCAAGTAGTCGGCGTACATCTCACCCAAACTTGTGCTTTCCCTCTCCAGGTACCGCTGACCCTCAGTGTACGGAATGAAGAGTTCCTCCATCGCCGTCTCAAGCATGGTGCTGATGGTAGCAGCGGTGGCGGTATTTGAGGTGTTAGTCGTTGACATGCCCTTCAATGTCCGTTGGAACTCGGTTGTATCTGTTGGTGACCGGGGAATAACGGACGGTAATTCGTACGCCTTCAGGTCCTCAACAAGAATGCCGGTCAGCTGATGCACAAGTTGCAATATCCGGAGGAAGCCAAGCTCCCGCATGTCCGTAGTTCTTGCAACTAGCAGCTCAAGATGTTGTTGAATCTGCAATTGCTTAGATTGACCCAAACGGACAGCGTGACAAAAACTGACAGATTGGGCGAACACACGCTGCAAAAAGACTTGCATGACGAAGGCAGGATTTGGGAACACTGCTTGGACGATCTGTGCTTCCTGCCCAACAGTCGTACGGATCTCTTGGAATAGGTCTTGCAAGCCTGATTCTGTCGTGGGCGGTGCAGCATCCGGATCGGCCAATGTGTCCCATCTTCTCACTACGTGAGCATCATGAGGATGTGCGGGTGAGGCCAGTGAACGCACATGTGTGGGTCGATATTTGGAGTGCCTTCTGCGCGAACGCGGCTGATGAAGAAGTCGTGTTGATTCACGTACACTTGCACGCAAGATGCTCCGCCATTGAAATCCAACAGTGTTTGCGCGCAATGCTAGGTTCAAAAAATGGTATTCGTAATACGCATACAGGCATGCATCACTCACATGCATCATCTTCGGGTCACCCCTCCTATATGCGCGGTCGAATAGGTGCAACATATCCTTCTCGAACTTCTCGCAGTACCTATCAATGTTCTCCCGAGTCTTGACAAAGTAGCCTCAGCGTCGGTTTCACACACCCGCAGAGACACGCTGCCACGCACCTTGTCCGAATGTGACAGATCGACCTCCTTCGCCACCGTCGCCAGCCTCCGCAACAGCACCGCGACCTTCCGTCGCCCATCCTTGCCCTCCTTCTTCATCGCATCCAACCGCGTCGTGTCGTCTCGCGCGAACTGGTTGTAAAAGTCGATGAGGTCGTACGCCGCCTGCGCGCGCTGCCGCTGCTGGTGCACTGACTCCATCTGCTCTCCGATTCGAATGGCCGTCCGCCCGACCTCGTTCATCTTCGTCTCCATCCCGGAGAACGACTGCCCGACCGCCTGCACAAACGAACCGTGCTCTTCAATTGGCATCCCTTCACGCACCGGAAGAGAGAGAGAGAGAGAGAGAACGCACCTCGAACCCGCGGTTGAGCTCAGCCATCTTCTTGGAGTAGTCCCGCTCCGCGACCCGGACGCTCTTCTCCATCTGCTCCGTCTTGGCCTGAACATCCTTGCGGACGGCGATCAGCTTGTCCACCGCGGCTTCAAACGTGCGAATGAACGGCTTCGGGTCGAACGCTGGCGGAGGCGGCGCCGGCACGGTGAGCTCGAGCGGCGGTGGGGGCGGGGGGCTGCTACTCACGCCCCGGGTCCGCCTTCGACTGAGAAATGAGCTTTTCGGAGAGCGCGCCAACGAAGTCTTTGACGTCAAACTTTGCCTGTGTCGTCGCAAAGCATGAGATATGGTCGAGCAAGGGAGGACGGGAATGCCGCACCTCAAATACCTCCAGGCGGAGGTGCTTGTCCACATTGGGCTCAAGCGGGTTCATCTCGAGAGAGGTGAGCGCGCAGAGTGAGGAATAGCGCTATGGGATTTCAGCGGACAGCTTTTGAATGAGTCAAGAGGGACTAGGTGTGAAGCCAGTGTAGATGAGGTTGTGGAAAGGTGCATAGACACCGCACTGCGGTCTCGAAGGCAGTCATCTAGACGCCGGCTGTGTGTACTATCCCGGTCCAACACCTGCACAGTGCATTGATCACAATACAAAAGGACCGCTACAGCTCTACATAAATCTACTCGGAGCTTCGCACACTCTTCTTGTCTTCAATCGTCTCTCTCTTTTCTAACCCGGCCCCCACCACCTGACTTGCCTCTTCCACCACGCGCGCTCTCCCCCGCCTTTCCCTCCTCTCCAGATACCACACTAACCACGTCACGCCCAGGGTCGCGATGCTGGTCCCAACCATCGCCCACAGACCCTTGACGAAACGCGGGGCGTCCGTGGCCGGATAGAACACGAGCGGCCACCACGCGTTCACGACGTTGTTCCACATGTTCATCGATGCGAGCACGACCCCACGCGCGGCGTGATCGTCCGCGCAGATCTGGTTCGCCCACGCGAACGTCGTGGCCTGCCCCGCGTAGCTCGCGCCCGCCAGGTACCACGCGAAGAAGTCGAGCCCGCGCGGAGAGGAGGGGGCGAGGAGGATGATCGACGCGACGATGCAGGCCACGGACATGTACACGAGCACCGGCCAGCGCGCGCGCGAGCGCGTCGCGTCGGTCCAGGTCGCGCAAATGAGCGTGGAGACGATCGCGAATGCGGTGACGCCGGAGGGATAGAAGTCTGAGGGACAGGCACAGTGAGCACGTCGGTGTGGGGGCGTGAACGATGAACTGACCGATTTGCTCTACCGTGTAACCTCCGAGGGCCTTTAGCCACTGACCCATTAAGTTGTTTGAACCGAAACTTTCCGTTTCGCCAGATATAGCGAACTGAAGGCATTTAGAGAAATATCCTAATGAGGCAGATCAAGCAAGCGTACCAGGAGACTGCAGCCATACCACCTCCAGCTTCCCAGTAGTCGTTTAACGAGACCCATAGACAGATGACCGTGACCGATATCCTTATTTTGCTCAGTCTCGAGCCGCTCGCACGAGAGCAATCGTTCCTGCGGATGGATTAGAAGGAAGATTGCAAATCCATACAACACATACCTCGTCAGAGAGATAAAATGCTTTCGTGGTCGTCGGGACGTCAGGAAACATAAGAAACCCGTACAGCGCGATGGGCAGTGTGATGACGCCATCGATAATGAACCTGAAAACGCACATATAGCGACAGTAGACATGTTCAAGAGCGATCACTTACAGCCAGCGCCAGCCACTTCGACCGGAGACACCGTTCAAATTCCTGGATGCTGCGATGTGAAAATCCGTCGTGGTATGCAGGCGAGATCACACACGTATACACCGCGGCTTGCAGAATGCCGGAAAATCTGAACAGTGTCGTGAGCAAGACAATCTCGAGATTGCAGCACCACGTACAGTGTACCCGCAAGTCCAGAAGACGTGAATATGCCAGATCTCTTGCCCAGCTCTCCCGACTTGTACCATCTAATGCCCGTTGTGAGCACACTTGGAAACTCCACGCCATGACCGACTCACGATCCGAGGATGTAATGGGTGCCCACAAAAGTGGACGACTCGGCGATCCCTTGGAGAAATCGGATGGCAAAAATCTGCGCGGGGAGTTAGAGAAGACTGCACGAAGTTGAGTAGTCCAACTCACCTGCTGCACGTTGGTTACTGTGCTAGTGCTACGCAGGCGACACATTGAGTAAGGCGTCGGGGCTAGTGGCTGGACCAAGTCTCACCAAAACGTCAGGACGCCCCAGACGATCTGCATCGCCGGGAACCAGATCCGTGGTGGTACGATCTGGAGCATTAGGTTGTCTGGTCCGACAAAAATGAGCTTCACAGGGATGGATGGACTGAATGGGACGCATTTACTCGGTATCATCCCCACAATGTATCCACAGGTGAAAAGAGTATTGATTTGCTGGAGCGAGCGCATATGAGGCCAAAGAAACGCCGAAAATGGAGAAATATACACTCACGTTGAACTGTGTACCCTCCATATGCAGCTCTTCCCTCATGCCAGACACATACGCGTTGTTGACATTGCTCCGATCGAGATCTGTGGAGATCGTCCAGGTCACCGCGGCGCTCCACATGCAACAGCCTCGTCGGCTTACAGTTGGAAAAGTACTGCACGGCGCATGAGGTGAAGGTTCCGAGTAGATGTATGCAACACGCACCATAAGACAACAATATGAGAGGATGAAGCAGTCTATCTTGAGCAGCAGGGTGCGCTCCGTCCTCGACTTGGGGACATCGCCCCATACGAACCGGCGGACCGTTTGCGCGACGGTCATCGGGCTCGAGCGACTCAGTTAGTCCGAGGGGTTCTGAAAGAAGTTGGGCGACCCGCTCAAAGTGTACACCGGCCCTGGCGTCCTTCGCAGGTTGCGCAATCGGAACACCGGGGTCGTACGATGCCTCGAGGTGATTTGCGAGAGGGCTCGTGGGCGGGGAACGAGCTGGTCAAGGTCGTCTCAAAGGAAGCCCAGTCATAGATAACGAAAAGCGCATAGGTGTGTTACATCCGCACAAAGCACGGAGTAGGTGGATGTCTTCCATGGAGCCTCCGACGCCGCAGGCCTATGGCTGCCGGCATCTCGACGTCAACGACGCGCTTCGCCTGGCGGTCACGTGGGCCGCGGTGCTGCGGCCCGGAAGGCTTCCTCGTCAGCAACCCAATTCCAATCCGAGACTTGTCCGGACTCCTCTCGTCTCTCTGTGCACAACAATAGGCATCACCTCTCTCGGATTCGCCGTTAGGGAGCCTTCTACCTCTTGTGAGTCATGCCTAACCCACATTATGTGCATTGCGCCAGTGGCGGCTGCATCTCGAAGTTCACAAAACTCAGTCTGAACTCTCGAGCTGAGAGGCTTTTTCCTCTACACATTTCCTGCGGCTCACTAATAGTAAAAGGTGGAAATTAGTGCTGCACGGTTCAAGGATCTTCGTGTTTGCTCGGAGCTACTTCCTATCATACTTTACCACTGAAGATCACCCGACATTTGCCTCCATAGGCGCCAAAATTAAAGTCCCGAACCCAGTCGGAGAGCCGCAGAAAGGTCCGGGTGCGTGTCCGACTTTCCATAAATCCGGTCCACTGGTACAGTGTTGGAGAATCCCTTCCGTCTGCTCAGATGACTGCGCATGCCCTGCTGTCGCAGGGCGCAGTCTCCGCGGAATGTCGTTCGCACGCACTTCCCTTGTTTTTCAACTTCTCAAGGCTGCGGTCAGCACAGTCGTCTGCGGTCAACACAGCAATGCATGCATTTCTGGAATCTGGATTGTGAGTCCTATAAAGCGGCATCGATTGTTAGAGGCGCGTGCGCGATCGGCACAGCGTCTTGTTCGTCAAGTCGCTTACGCCAGCTTTCGTCATCGGGCGGATCACAATGTGCGCGAGCCCACCCTTAGGCCTTGGCCTCAGCCCTAGTAGCTTGCGCGCCCCTGACCCGAGCTCCTCCGCTGGGCGTGCGCGGGCCGTGGTGGGTGCCACGACCAGCGCGGCTGCCCGGTCCTTACGTTGGACGAGAGTATATGCAAAGGTGCCGCGACGCAGAGCCTGGCACTTTCGAATTCGCACTTGCTGAGCTCGCGCCACAAGCAGGGTGGCCATGCCGCATTTTGATCTGGGCTGGAAGAGGCAGCGGTACTAGCGTCGGAAATCGGACTCCTTCACTGGGCCGATGACCGAACGCTGCTGAGCTGATGCGTCCGACCGACCATCTCGTGGCCATGGGTCGCGGAGTCAACGCGGGGGCCCCAGTCGGCGGCTCAGCGCTCAGCGCAGAGATCTCGGGACCGGCGTACATGGTGGGCACGGAACGCGGAACCGGCGCGGGACGCGGCGCGCTACGAGTATTCCGAAATTGAAAATATCGGGGAGGAGGGCGAATGTGCAGACCTGCCGTTTGTCATGTCGCCCCGTCCGGACAGGCCGGAGAGGGGCGAGACGCAGGTGTGGGTCGACAGCCAGGCCGATCGGCAGCGTTCCGTTGGGCTGGAGACACAGAGAACCTTTCCAATTTCTACTGACTCACGCTCGTGATGGCTGCGCCAGCATGATGCCGCCCAGCTCATGCCGGGGGGTCATCCGATGGCGTCAGTGCGCACCCCGGGGGCAGACCGATGTATGAAGAGCGAGCAGTGCTAGTGAGGGTGCGCAGGCCGCAGCGGAGGGCAGGACAGGGAGTAGAGCAGGATGGGGATTACGTCAACGGGCGTTTTGTCAGCCTGATACGCCAAATCTCGATGGCTGGTTGTTTGAGCCAGTCCGACCGCCGACGCCTTCTTCTCTGCCTTACCCAACCCTTTCTCGACCCTTCGACCCCGAGTCCGTCCGTCCGCCCCGATCGCATTTATAATCCACGTCCTCATCCTCATGTCAAGCCCACCGTCCCCCGCCCCCTCGCCGTCATGCGCCTCCCGAGAGCAGCTCTCCTCGTCCCTGTCCTCGCCACCCTCACCGTCGCGACCACCGTTCCCTGTGCGTACTCCTCTTCGGTCGAGTGCGTGTCTGCGCCTCCCCACCAGCTCCTCCTTCCAAGAGACGGCGACCACCACCATCATGGCCAACCCCTCACAGAACTGAACGAAACCGAGGTTACCATGTACCACGACCCGACGCCGCCATCCTACTACTGGATCGACCTCGTGGAGACGGGCGATGAGAAGCGGCATCCAGGTCTAATGGCTCTGCACGTGTTGTTCATGTCCCTCGCGTTCTTCGGTGCCCTCCCAATAGGTGCGCATCCTAGTCGCCCATCGCGCCGCGCGCTCTCCTGACGATGCGCTTGCCAAGGCATCGCCCTGCGTTCGGTCAAGCACGCGTGGCACGGAGCGACTGTCGCGCTCTTCTACACCTTTGTGGTCCTTGGCCTCGCCGCGGGCGGGCTCTACAAAAAATTAACGCCTGGCATGTCCGTACTTCCCGGCTTTCGCCTCTCAGCCACATGAAAGCGGTGACTTACTGTCGATGGCGTCACAGGTACGAAGGCAGCAAGCATGGCTCCCACGGCTATCTCTTCCTCCTCGCTGCCGTCGCCCTTTCCGCCTTCGACGTCGCCGCCATCGTCCTTCGTGCCGTCAGCTATCTCGCGTCTGTCCGCCAAGGCGAGGAGCGTTTCGCGTTCAGGACTCTATGGTCCTACGTCGTCCTCGATCGTGACCAGCACCTCCCTTCAACCGCAGATGAGTATGTCGGGCTCACCGAGGCCGACGATATGGACGATGTTGAACTCAAGGCCCACAAGGCTTCCACCGATGGGCAAGATACCCGCCACACGCGTTTCGTCGAGCCAATCCAGACCGACATGGACGAGACTGCGCGCTGGGCACACAACGTCCACCGTCACTCGCGCCAGCCCTCATACCCCCAATCTGCGGCCTCGGAGCACACTCTGCTTGGCGGGCTGCACTCTCCTCGCCACTCTGACGAGGCGCTTGTTGACTCTAGCCCCGTATACCCGTGGCAAGGCAAGCGCGGCCGCGCGCTCCTCGCCGTCATCGGCCGCGCAACGTTCGCGACCCTCGAGCGCTCTCTCGTTTTCGCCGGCCTCATGCAGACCATCACCGGTATTGTGGTCTACACCGGTGGCTGCCGTGGCAGTTACCTCAATGGATGCCTTGCCCATCTCATCAGTGAGTCTCGCCACTTGTCTCGGCGCCTCACGTCTTGCTAACGGTCCTCGCGCAGAGGGCGCAATCTTCTGGTGCTATGGCCTCATGACGTTCGCCCGCTTCCTCGGCGCCTTCTCCGACCTTGGCTGGGCATGGAACCGCGCCCCGCGCCACCACGGCAAATACCCACGGCCGAGTTCGTCGAGTCACTAGTCATCTTCCTCTACGGTATCACCAACACCTGGATGGAGCGCTTCGGCGCGCATCCGGGCGACCCGTACACGACCAAGCAGATGCAGCATATCTCAATCGCCGTCATGTTCTGGTTCGCCGGCCTCGTCGGCCTCGGCATCGAGTCCAAGCGCATTCGCCGCTGGCTCTCCGCAGGCGCAACCTCCGCGCTCCCTGCCGCGGTGCGCTCGCAGGAGGCGGTCGCCGAGCCACCGTCGTACATCGCGTCCTTCAACCCCTTCCCGGCGCTGTGCATCGGAATCACCGGTGCGGCGATGAGCGCGCACGCGCAGGCGTACCTCTTCCAGGTGCAGATCCACATGGTCTGGGGCTACCTCCTCACCGGCTTCGCCCTCCTCCGCTGCATCACGTACGCCTTCCTCTGGCTCGGCCCGCCCCGCTCGATCCTGCCCTCGCGCCCGCCGACGGAGGCGCTCGCCGCGTTCCTCCTCGCCTGCGGCGGGCTCGAGTTCATGTTCTCCACCGAGGAGCTCACGATCGCCGCCATGCGCCAGGGCCGCGACGACGTGATGATGTTCCTCAACGTCGGCGTCGCGATCACGTGTCTCGCGTTCTGCTGGACGCTCTTCGTCGTCGGCTTCAAGGGCTGGCTCAAGAGCCGCACCCACGGCGCGATGCAGTTCCACAGCTCCGCGTGAGCCGAACGGGGCCGGTGCCCGTCCTCACTTTCTCCCCGCGTCGATGCCGACGCGTTCGCGCGTCCCCCGCGCGTCACCGCATCGATCCTCCCTTCCTCCGCGGCGCCTCTTCACGCGTCTGCAGCCCTTCATGCCGGACGCCGTCAGAGGAGCCCGTCATTCGCGCGCATGGCCGGGCTCATCCCCGTGCACACCCTCTCTCGCCTCCCCTCTCCCGCTCCCCTCTCCTTCTCGCGCGCACTGTACGACCGCCCCGACTGTATCCACTCTGTTGCCCCACTACTGTTTCCGCGCTACGCTCACGACCCCTACTACGTTGTTGTATCCCCGCGCTGCGAGCCTGTACACGTATATCGTTATTCTACCACTAGTTTCGAGCGCGTTTATGCGCTGGGTGTTAATGCAGACTTTCCAAGTGCCGTTTCGAGTCTCGACCCCGAAGGATGCAGCAGCGAGCGCGGCGCTTCGATTTTGGAAGAACGCTTACGGCATCTATCTCCGAGGTCGGCGCAATGCGAGCGGTCGGGAGTCGTGATAGGAGCTCGTGCTTGGTCGCGGGGGTATGCCGTGCTTGCGTCGTGCGGTCGGGTCGGCTCCGTGGCCCGTGTTAGCGTCTCGAGCATGGGCATGAGCTCTATCAAGTGTCTGACAACGCGACATTGTTACTCAGACGGTCCTTTCGGCATATCTCCTCTCGGGGCTGACAAACCTGAACACTGGACTCCGCGTTCGATGCGGGTCCGGCCAGTCGGATGTAAACATTGCGCGAGTCTGTCGAATCCTGAGTCAGGCTCGGAGCTCCCAACATATGGTCGATAAGAAGTGCGGCACGCTGTATGCTTGTCGATGAGACTAGCTTGGGGCCTATAATACACATATGACGATTCGGAGTCGACGAAGCCCGACCGGGAGTGTGTTAGAAGTCGGCGGCTCTGTCGAGGTCGGACGAGGGTAAAGGCAATCGATACGGCGCGCTTGGTCCCTACAGGCACCAGGAGGCGGGTACAGATGGACGCGGGGGAGAACGAGGTGGTGGGGAAGGGCAAACGCGTGAAGTGAGTGCAGGACGAGGGACGGCGGCTATCTACTTGATGGCTAAGCGCTGGTACCGTACGACCGAGCTTGCTATATGTATGCAAGCAGATTCCAACAGAGTGTCCATACACTCCATGTGCGTGTAAGAAAAAAACTATCAACGACGATCGGATGCGTGCCGGGGGACCTTCCTGATCATCATAAGGGACGAGTCCTAGTATACAATGCTCATCCGCACATAATCCCGAGCAGACATGCATCCTGTCCCAAGTCGGATCATATCCTAGTCCGTGTCTGCCGAAACGCGTTGGCCCTCACCGCGCTCTCCGTCGGCGCAAAGCGAGCCAGATCCTCCGGCCCAAGCAACGAATGCTCCGCCTGCCTGTCCAGATCCTCCAACTCGAGCCGATCCCTGCGCGCCCACACCGTGAACGGCTCCCCCGCGCCGAACACCGGGGCGATCTTCTGGAGGCGGCGCAGGAGGGCGACGAGCCTGTAGAAGCCGCGCTGCATGTGCTTCCACGAGGCGACCGTGCGGCGGAACTCGGCCGAGTCGACGCGCCGCCGGTGCACGAACATGAACGTGTCCTTCAAGCGCCCCCCGGTCAGGAGCAACGGCGTCTGGGAGAAGAACAGCCCTGGGTACGTCCGGTTCCAGTGTATCCACGGCGGCGGGCCGTCCGTCGGCATCCCCTCCGTCTTGAGCTCCATGAGCGCAGACTGCGGCAGGACCGTGCCGGCGGGGACGACTGCGATATCCGCGCTCCGCGAAGGGAGCGGCAGACGCGGGCGCAAGCGCGCAGTAGGGTGCGCGGGCGGGAGAGGAGACGCGGGGAGAGGGCCGTCCGCCTCTGAGGGCATGTAGGCGTCGATCTCGCTGCAGACGACGAGCCGGAGCCCCCCGAGGTCCTGAAGAGGGCAGAGGTCAGCGAACGCACGCCTGATCAGCCCCAGGTGCCCTCGCCTGGTCGCTGACGTACGTATTGGATGACCCGGAAGTGGTCGAGGCCGCGTTCGCAGCCCGGGGCGGGTGCGGTGGCCACGCTCTCGAAATGGATGCCGTAACGACGCACGTCGTGGCCGAACCTGGACGTCTCCCTTTCGCGGATAACTTCCGGGTCGAGTATCGCGCGTTTCAGCACGATGGCCCTCCCCCCCGTCGGCTGTATGTCGAAACCGAGTTTGAGCTGGTTCGGAGGCCACACCGTCTTCGGGCTGCCGGCAAGACGGAACCAGTTCATGAGCCCAACGAGCGCGTTGCTGTCTGTCACGACGTCAACAGTGGACCAATCGACGGCCCATTCAGGGTGAGCGTGCGCCGTGACATCTGCGGCGCGGAACATGGGGGCCATTGAATATTCGCGTGAACCCGGACGGCTAACATCGTCTCTTGGGACTTTGAATGGCGTCTGAAGGTCAAGCCATTTCCGTGGAGAGCCTGTCCGAGGGGTGCGTCAGGGCGGGGCGACGGCGAAGCAGAGGCGGCCTGTACCGGGCACAAGGATGGTGGGCTGAGGGTCGTCTGTCCAGTTGTACGAGGTCACATACTTGACGTTCTGAGGTGATAGTGGGGGGCCTCCCTTTACCTCTGGGAGCAGGATGTGGGTACTGGGGGCAGCGATCGGCCTGCGGCTTCTTCCACTGTAGCCAGTGGCGAGTCCTTGAACACGGTTAGGCCGGCGTTTCCACTGGTTGCTGTCATGCAAAGTCGCGCTGTCAGCACGACGTGTGACCAACACTACTGGGCACATAACATACCGTGCAATGTTACAATTGAGTTGATGAAGGGACCTTGAGGGAGCGCCAGCTGGCATGACTCGTCGCTGAACCTACCAGTCTGTCAAGTTAGTCTCCCCTAGGCAGACCTTCCACATACGAAGCTGTCAAGTAGCAAATCTCACTTCGCCGTTCGGGCGCTCAGCTGGCGTTGCCATGGGTCGTGCTCAAGCGCTCACACCAGCCGGGCCACGAGTCCGCCTCTTGCCGCGTTCTTAGTAATTCGTACTATATCTCAGCTCTGTTTGCAGACTTACACTCAGACCTCGCTAGATCGACAGGACGACCGTTCTAACAAGCTTCGTAGATACTGATGACGATCGACGCCGACAGGACACGCGAGCGGCCGTACATCATCTTCGGCTACGGCTCGCTCATCTGGAAGGTGCGTATGAATCCATCGCGCGCGGGAGGGATGCGTGTGTGCTGACCACGTCTGCTCTGTCCACGATCACAGCCGCCGCCGCATGTCGTCGTGCAGAGTGCGTTTACACCTTTGGCCCTCCTCCAATTCACGGCTCAGTCCCTGACGTCGACGGCTCCCGCGCCATGTCTACAGCGCCGGGGTACCTCAAGGGGTACGTCCGCCGCTTCGCACAGAAGTCGCACGACCATAGAGGCACGCCCGAGGCGAGCTCGCCACATATCATGTGCGCTACGCGATGCTAACTCGACCCTCCGCCGGGCGTGCAGAACCCCGGCCGGGTCGTCACGCTCATTCACAAGGAAGAGTGGGATCACTTTTCAGCCTCGGTGCGTTGGTCCTCGACTCTCCGCCCGTGGTGGGTGGCGATTCATTATTTCAACAGGACCCGTTCCCGGATGATGACGTCGTATGGGGTTCGTAGGACTGCGACTTTTCTTCGCCCTCCGGTGGATCTGCCAGAGACTGGGGTTGACCTGTGCATTTACAGGTGTCGCGTATACCATCGATCCCGCGTACGAGTCGGAGGTGCGCGACTATTTGGGTGAGTCGCATGGGGTACGGCCGCGAAAACGTAGTTGACATCGGGGTGCAGACTACAGAGAAAAGGTCGGGTTGACAGCCCTTATAGTACTGGCAGGCTGACAGTCGCCGTGCAGGACGGGTATACCCTAGAAGGAGTTGACGTCCACGGCATCGTCGACGGACACGAGCATATCGTGCTTCCCAAGGTGAGGCCTACTTGCGTTTACATGGTAGCCTGGGCCGTTAACGAAATAACGGAATTGCAGACGTTCGTGCGTACCTCGCTGCGATAATCGCATGCCTTCAGACAACTGAATCAACACCGTAGTGTTATGTAGGCCGCCCAGATAATCCCTCATTCAGTACGTATATTCATGGAAATCCCGGCGACGCAATCACTGACGGAAGGAACGTGTGCATACAGTCGGGTCCCAGCCGATTGACGAGCTAGCGGAGCGCATATGGCAGTCCGTAGGGCCATCTGGACCCAACAAGGTCGGCCCTGTGTGCGCCGGCCGACATGTGCGAACGCTAATGGTGCGGCTTAGGAGTATTTGTACCATTTGGCGGACGCTGTTCGACGCCTCGCGCCTGAGGCCCACGATTCGCACTTGACAGCACTCGAGGTAAGCCACGATTTGCCCATGGGCATTACATCTAGCATTCATCGCCGTGTGATAGACCAGATGCAAAGCGATGGACGAGCGCGCGAAGGGCGCAAATATCGGCAACGACCCATAAGCGTTCGACAGCAATGAGCGTGCAGACTAGAGGGGTATACAACTACAACAGAATTGAACTAGTGAACATAAAGTAGATGGGCGGGCGTCCGTGTATCGTGAGCTGCATTAGGTCATATCTTGAGTTCCAGGTCCAGTCCAAAATTGTGAAGTCCGTATATGCGCTCGTTTTCGTATGCTTCTTCACAGCGCACTCAAAAGGGTCGCAACGGCAGCTATCGTAGCTCCGGCGATGTACTGGCTCGCGCCAAGCGACACCGCTCCATTGTTGCCGATGACGCCGCCCTGCTCGCCGAAGGTGATGTTCTGGGGGACGCTGTCGTTCCTGCACTGCCCACTGGGGATGTCGAGGTTTACGAGATCTGGGGAACGCGTGTCAGCCGTGATCTAACTTAAAAGGAGCTAACGAGTGTTAACGCACCATCCGCGGTGCGGTAGAAAAAGTAGGTGTTGTTGGGCAAGTTCTTGAACGCACTAGTATCGAACGGGATTTTATCGTCAGAGTCCGTTGCGGAGGTGTTCCGGATGAAGATGCACGCGATGTTGTTTGGGAACTGCTGCGCGATCTGTGGGTACGCGGAGAGCAGCGTCGATGAGGACGTGTCCCCGATGAGTACTGCGGGCAGCACGCCAGTCAGAAACTGCACATGCGGGAAACAGCTAGGTAGTTTAGACGCACCGAACTTGCGCATGGGGAACGTCTGGAAGAGCTTCAGCAAGCTGTTCTGGCGCGCGTCGAGGACCTGTGACGGATCGGTGAGGTTGATGGGGCGCATATCGAGCGAACCGAGGGGAAAGTTGCTGAAGAGGTAGTCGACGTAGGTCCGAGTGAGTTGCACGGGCGTAGTGGTATCGTAGTGGAACGCGGCCGAGGGCAGTGTCTTGAGCCACTTGGCGTAGAGCTCGGGGATGCCGGGAACGTTGACGTATGGCTCGACGAACGAGTTCTTCAGACCCTCATTCGGCACGTAAACCTTCGTGATCCGCATGACGTCGTCGATGTCGGACACCACGGAGATTCCAGTGGAGGGGACGAGGATGACGGTGCCGTTGCCGGGGCCGGTGACATTCACGATGCCAGTCTGGATGATCTGGACAGAAGTACTGCTGTTGTCCCCCAGGCCGGAGACGGTCACGAACTGGTCGATCTCGCCGAAGTCGTCAGAAGTTGCAAGCTGAATTCCAGATCCATTGGTGACGGTGGAACCGTTGGCCGTAATCGTCGCCGTGAGATTAGCACTCGGAATAGGAATGGCGGCAAGTTCGGCGGTACGGTTCTGGAGGAGCGTTTGTTCGGTGGAGTTGAGATTGCTGGTATCGAAACCGCTGATGATCGAGTCTAGGCTCGACGCGTTGCCCTGCTTGTATGCGAGGCCGTAGAAACGCACGTTCCAACTATTCTCCAGTCAGACGAGCGCAGACGAGTGATTAGACCGTAACGTACTTTCCAGAGAAGTTGGCATAGGAAGGGATGAGCAGCGCCGACGAGTTCACCCCTTGCAGGTCGTTGCCATCCTTCACTCCCAGTTTCTTCTCGATGTCGCTCAAACTGGGCCAGTCACCAAGTATGGCTGTTAGTGACGACGCTCAGTACAGAGAATGGTACGAATCCAAGGACGTGGAACGCACTGGGTAATGCTGAAGCTACGACTCCTGTCACGCTTGAAAACGCTGATTCCACGGAAGAAACAGGATCGGGCGCAGGCGCTGGTATGGGCGTCGGAAGAGGTGCAGGGACTGGGTCGGGGATGGGGTTGGCGGCGCTGACGGCGGCAAGGGCGAGGGCGAACAAAGGAGAGGAGAACATGGCGGTGAAAGGAGCCTGTGCAAGTACAGGCGTGGTGTTGGAGGATTAAAGACGGCGACTTTATGTAGCGGGGAAACGCGCGGGGCGAACGACGACAGAGTGGCCATGGGCACGTATGACCTGACGTCATGAATGTGCGTCGCTGCATCCGCCGGCCCCGTGCAGGCTTCCTCGTTGCATCTTGCCCGGAACACAGGCTGTGCGCATATTTTTGGTTCAAATGCTGATTCTGGCTTCACCAGTGTATTCTAAATAGCGAAAAAGCAACAGTGATGAGAAATACCGAGAGGATACTCAACTGTACCAATCGAGTACTCCCTTGTAAGGTGTGCCGGTAAAGCCAATTCGACATTCAGAAGTTGCGGAGCGCGGTACGTCATGATCACGTGTGCCTGTGACGCGCACCTCCACAGTGACGCAATCATGGTCTGCCTACGGGCATCAACAAGTCAGTCAAGTAACCGGATGAGATAGACGTACCGTCGACGATGGTCACGTTGGAGGATATCACGGCCGATGATGAATTGAGGGTCGACGGAGAAGAGCTCGGGCTTATTTGGGAACTCGAAAAACTGCGCGCAGACGGGCGGGGTGCCGTGCGTCGACGCGTTCACTAACAAAGTCTACTGCGTGATCGCCTCAACTACGAAGAAGCGCAAAACCCAACTCACCCAGTACGGAAGCATGCTGTACCAAACAGCGCGAGTCCCGCTGGTCCGCGCGTTGTGATTCCGGTGGAACGGCGTGGACGCGGACAATTTCACCCACCACCCGCAGAGCTCCTCGCCGGTGCTGTAGGATAACATGCCTGTATGCCAAGTAATGACAAGGTTGCTTCAGTTCTCACATGAGCAGTGTGCAAGACCTCATGCACATGAGGCGAGTCGTGTCAACAACACCATCGACACGGGACGAGTTTCGCGTATGTGCTATACATATACATGACAATTCTGTCAGTGAACCGTTCGCAACTGGTCACAATGGCTGTGAGGTTTCCTTACGTTAAAAAGTCCCGCATATATGGCCCTGGCTGTTCCTGGAGCCTTCAATCAACGTTGCATCGAAGTGGTGAATGTCGGTGTCGTGGGTAAAGAGAGACTGACAGTGGCTGGTGAACGGGGTACTGCGCAGGCGCTGTCTCCTTCCTCCTGCTCATCCTCCTCCACCGCCTCCACCACCATTACCATTTTACCCTAAGCCCACTTCTAGAACACGGTGGTTTACCCTTTTCATAACTGCTAGTTTTCCATTGGGGACAGGTCTCATGCTCCAGTCACATCTGACCGCGATTCTGCGAGCCATCTATTAGGTCTCCTTCAACGCACTTGCCGCTCGGGTCTTCTCTGATCCTCTTCAAACATCATTCCCTCCTACAATGTCGCGACCGCAGTCGCAAGCACCCAGCTCGCGCAAGCGGTCAAACACCGTGCAATCCGTATTTAGTCCAACGACAACCTCTGCACCACCACTCAAGATTGGCGACTGGCGCACGCTCACCACATGGGTGAACGAGCCTACAACGTCTTCAGTGAAATTCAACCATCGGCACTGGCCAGGCGTCGCTGAAGGCGACCTACTCTGCATCTCCACGCCTCTACCAGAGCACGCGCCTGGTTTCCTGTTCGTAGTGCCTCCAGATGATCCATCACTGAAGTATCAACTTCAGGTGAGTCTTCTTGTTTGTTCACGAGCACACGTCCCTGAACCGTGGTGCTTGGAAGATCTCGTTGCCGAGACCAGTGTTGGAGAAGTTTGGACTCCGGAGTAATAGTGAGGTTACAGTGACTAAGGTGCGCCATTTTGCCAAAGTATCGGTACATATGGTCATTTGGAGAGCCAGGTAGACCAAGAGCGGATCAGCGCAGAATTCGTGGAGTTCGTATTTCAAGACCAATACCTCGGGAGGAATGATATGTGGCGGCTCGGTCGCGCTCTGGTCGGGCGATGTTTGTACGTCGACGAGCAAGTGTCCTTCATCGGCGTCATAGCGGCCACGGTCCAAGCGCTGTACATCAACGGGGAGAAGGTACCTCGTCGAAGTATCTCCCATATGCCTGCTCACTGGAGTTCAGGTATCTGCAGCGTACGTCTCGCCCGCGACGAAGGTCGTGTATCGCTCTCTCTCTGCCAAGATCACCATTTTCATTCAAATCTGTCGCGAACTGTGGGAGTTTGCGGGTGACGGCGAGCGATATAACGAAAAGATTGTGCATTCCTTCCTGCCCGCGTTGTTCGACAAATGGAAGGCCATGAACACCAACCACATTGTTACCATTGTCCTGATCTCGCGCGTGTTCTACGACGCTTCTGAAACGGGCTACGCCGCAGGGCCTCTCCGCAAAGACGAAGACGGACGTTCTTATAAGGACTTCTTCAAGGTCATCACCGACCTCGAAGTACTCTACGACTGGAGACCCACCCTGGTCAGCCTAAAGGACTCCTTTTGGGCATTTCAACGGGATATCCTCCTCGCGCATCACTACCACCGCAACCTGTCGTCGTCGACCAGCACGGACGCGGACCCAGTCCGCCTCGTAGGCCAGATATCATACGCCCATGACGGCCCCCTCCTCGAAGCCCTCAACCTCGCACTCAAGCCCACAGAGACGCACTACATCGATCGCTCGCTGTCACTCACCGGCGCGTCGACAATCGTCATCACGCCAGGCACGGGCTACTTCCGCGTCTCGAAGCAACTGCTACGGCTCACCACGACCCGGATGCTGGACCAGGGCTTCGCGCTCGACATGATATCCCTTGCGAAGCCACCACTGCACCAGACGCCTATCTTCTGCTTCAAGGGCGCGGAGCCGCACGCGCGGCTTGAGGCAGGCAAGATCGACTCGCGGACGTTCGACCCCTTGTGGGGCGGCGACGACGGCGCGGATCTCAGCGGGCGCGAACTGAAAACGTTCTGGTGGGAGCCGTTTTGGATGCAGATCTCGTTCTGGGACAGGCAGATGGATCTTCCGTTCCGCAAGGACAGGTACGCGGTTTTCGTGATATCTCGTTTCCGCACAGAGGACTCATTCGCGGGTGGATAGGTTCGTCGCGCGGGCCAGAATGCACGAGATCGAGATGCTCGGTCTCTTGGACCATGACGTTCTTTCCAGCATCGAAATCCCGTACCTGGAGCCGGAGCACATCAACCCTATCACATACGAGACGATGACGGACACGACGGACTCCGACTTGTCACAGTCGGACACCCTAGGAGCAGATTCGACGTTGATCACGCCCGAGGAAGCGGATCAATTCGACATGAATGTTTTCAACGTCCGACTAGACACCTCCAATGTCCCTACTGCTCGTAACTCCATCTCATCTAACAGTAGCGGTGCTGTCACCTCCACGACGTCCAGAGATCTCAAGAGGTCATCGACCATCCGAACTTCGGAGACCTCGCGGATCTCTCCCATCCAGGAAAGCCCAAGACCGGAAGGAAGGGACCTCCAGGAAGATTCCGGCGCTCTAGATCGAGAACAGAGACTCTCAGTGGTACTCACGGGAGGGGCCTTGAGCACCTCGCCGTCTCAAGCTTCTATCCTTTCGGCCCGGTCGTCACGCTCGCAACGAAGCACAAGGACCACTGCAGGACCTCACCGGCAGGAAGGTAGCCGTGAGGAAACGGTACCTCGTAATTCAGGGATATCACGGCTTGCACCTACCTGGCTGCTCAATCCATTTCGCAGTGGCCCCAGCCAACCCCAGACTTCTCCCGTCTTCGCCGCCGGATCTTCCGGCACACCTTCCCCGAAACCTGCCCCTCCCACCCAATCTAAATTGGCGTCCACTCGACCATCACAGCTCCAGTCCCAACAACAGCAGCCAGTCACGATCAGAGGGAGCAACACACGTCCGACCCGCCAGCGCACTATTGACGACGATCTCGTTCCTCACCGTGGCTCCCTTACTCGACATTCTCCAGTCGGCACCCCTCCTCGAGACAGTCTTCTGAGCAAGCGCCGGGACACGCTCAGCAGCGTCGCCAACCTCCCCATCGTTCCTCCCAACCTCGCTCTATACGTCCATCCCACCAAACCGCTCACAAGCGTCCCATACGCTCAAGCCGCTCTCGCCCGCCGCTGGCAGCACATCTTCGCCCATCCACTCACGAAGCAGGATATCAAGTGGCGGTCTATGACTACGCCCGCCTGTCTGCCGCTTTCCGTGGAGCACTTCCCGAGCACACATGAGCTTGAGACGTCGTACGATGTCTTCTCATACGACTTCGTCTACGACCCCTCCGAGATGCATTCCTTCCTCGTCCAGCTGCCTCCGATGCAGGGCAGCCCCGAGGAGACACGCCGCGCGTGGGCGCTCGCCATGATGCGCGGCATGGTCGCCCTCCGGCTCGCGCAAGGCTTCCAGTTCATCCTCCGACCATCGCGCTCGAGCGGCGCCGCCCCCGACGCGGCCCCTCCCACATCGTCGATGCGCCGCACGAAGACATACGTGGGAGACGACGGCGCACAAGCGCGGCCCATCGGCGCGGCGCAGGTGCTCACGTCCGCGCACGACGCGGTGTACCTCAGCATGAGCAACGAGATCCACCACATCGTGTACACGGGGGACTCGATCCAGGTGCGGCGGTACGTCCGCCGGATGCCGCGCACGGAGCTGTTCGAGTACCAGTGTCTGATCTGGCCGAAGCTTGGTGGGGGGTACACGGAGATGAGCACGGCGTTCAGCTCGCATGGGATGGAGCGTTATGGCTGGAACCGGTAAGCACCCGCTCCTCTCGTTTAGTGTGCTCCTTCGTCTCAAGCGCCCCAGACTGGACATGCTCGTTGCAGGGTACGAGCACCGGTTCCACGAGTCGCTGCGGTACTGGCGCACGCGCTTCGTCGTCATCCCCACGGACGAGTCCCCGCACACGAGCGTTGCGCCGTCCGGGGAGAAGCTGAACGAGGAGGAGACGAGGCTGTTGGGTATGGACAAGCTCGCGGAGCTGTTCGCGAAGGCGCGCCGCGACATCCCCGGTCAGCCTCAGCCCCCAGTGCGGTTCATCACCACGGACCTCGGACCGGCGCAATGCGTGCTCGACGACGGGGTCATTGCGCAAGTAGACGAGATCCATGCCACCGGGCCGCTGAGGAAGAAGATGAAGAGCGAGCGGGACCTGGCCGAACTCTCCCTCCAGGCGGTCGCGAAGGCGATGCGCGACGAGGATGGGGTGCCGATCAAGGAAAACAAGTGGCACCGGCGCCGGTACGCGAACTCGTTCACCGGCGCGCAGCTCGTCTCGTGGCTCGTGCGCGAGTTCCGGGATGTGTCCACGCGCGAGCAGGGCGCTGAGTGGGGCGCGAAGCTGATGGAGCAGGGGCTCTTCGATCACTGTCGAGGCACGCACGGGTTCTTGGATGGGTATGTGGTTCGCGGATTTCAGCTTTTATTGTCTCTCACCGCGGGGCATTTAGTCACTACTTTTACGTGCTGCGCGGAGAGTACATTGTCCCCGTTACGCCTAAAGCCAGTTGGTTCTCAAGACCCACGAAACATGAGGAAATGCCGTCTCGAGGAGGCCATTCACCTATGACGCCCTATCCCGGCAAGAAGGCTCGCAAACGCCATGGTGCTATCGTTCTCACTCAATTCATGGTGATTGATGTCGACCCCAAGAAGGTGAGCTGCTTGTTAAACTTCATGGGCGATGTTCTCATAGATTTCGCAGCAAAGCGACCAAGCTGAGTCTGTCATCCTCCACTACGACATCATCCACAACCCAGCGACCTGCTTCCACTTCGAGATGCACTGGATCGGGACCACTGCGCGATACATCGACGACCTCCTCAAGCAATGGGGCCGGACGATCGAGCGCTACGGCCTGAAGCTCGTCGAGGCCTACGTGGAGCAGATCAGCGACATCCGCGAGAAGAACGCCTTCCAGTCCTACTTCCCCATAGCGCTCGCCGTCGCGCCCCCGTCGCTGTCAGAGACGGGCCGGCGGCTGCCCGAGGGCGTGCAGGCGCTGCATTACTTCGAGTCCGCGCTGCTCCGCAAGGCGCAGTTTGTGCTCGACATCGAGGGCGAAGAGCACTACACGGACCAGGCCGAGGTCGACTACTCGTACCGCCGCTCGCACTTCAAGCACTCGCAGTGGGTGCACCGCTCCGGCGTCGCGTTCGTCCAGGTCGTCGGGGGCACGCACGGCTTCCGCTTCCTCACGAACCGGCTGATGGCCCCTGGGCGCATCGGCACGGCGCTCAAGTACCAACGGCCTGCGGCCATGGCGGAGGAGATTCGGATCAAGCTCCACGAGTTCTGCTCGGATGAGAGGAAATTGGGGCAGTTCTACGAGGACGAGATCGCTTTGTTGGAACAGGCACCCGAGGAGCCCCCGCCGCTGCGGATTTGAGGTGCGAGTGGACTGTAGATTATCGCGCTGTCGTTGTATTAGCGTTGTATCGAGTTGACCTGCGTCGGTGGAAACCACTGCCGCTCTAGAGCACATTGAACAGACACGCCCAAAACACCTCCAAACGACACAGCACCCAATCCATGCTCTGTGGAATGGTGGCGTAAATTCTATCCCATTCTAACTGCACGAACCTTGACATCCGCGTGCTGCACCCTGCGCCCCACAAACGTACCATGTGCGACTCGCCCTCTGCCCGTTCCGCGATTCGCTCCGCCGGCGCGTGGCGTTGCATCATATGCACAGTGCACCGGTCGGCACCCCCGTCGTGGGGACTGTCTTCCCGCGTCGCGTAGTGAAACGGCGCAGTGCACACTTGCAGTCGGAATTCTGTGAGAAAAGAAAAGAAAATCAAGTCGTTTGCGCAGTACATGGTCTCGACGCTGGCTCGCGCTGGCGCTGAACGACTGCCAGCCCGAAACCAAACATGTCATGACGTCATGCGCCCCCACGATGGCATGCCAAGCGTCGGAGCGCCCGTTCGTCCCGATTGATCTCCCCGCGTTCCGAGGCCGGGCCGTCCGGGAGTCGGCAGTTTGCCTCCGCTCGGTGGTGCGGTATCGAGGGCGTAGCCAGCGATCGCGGCGGTGTCAAGCTTGTCTCAGATAAGTATTTGCAGAGCTCCGACATCTTCGTACGCGAGACACACATGACATCGATTTGGACGAGGGCGACCGACCGCACGGCTGCAATCATTCTACGTGTAGTAGAGCACTATCTAAGTATAGCAGACACTCTAGTAGCAGGGGTTTTCACGGCATCAAGCCGTGTCGGAGCGACGATGAAGGGAAGACAAGCGATGGGGAGTACAGGAGAACACAAATTGGAACAAAAACACTAGAGATACACGATGGCACGAGAGCGCGCAGAGCCCAGGATCCATACACATATAAGTACGGGCAACGATCGATCAGTGCCACGTCCGACTCGAAAAAGCAGCGGCGCACCAGATTGGAATAACGCAAGGCAATGAGAGGACTGGTATGTAGAAAGCGGTGCGCCGCGCACATGGGGGTGGGGTGGGAAGGTATAGACGGCGAACAACGTGACGGGGGTGGAAAGATGGAGAGCTTGGTGTTAAGACAACGGCGAGGGCTGATCCACGACAGGCCCAAGACGCCTCGCCTCTTGACCAGAGCCGGGTACGGCACGTACTGCATGGCCTACAGACAGGACTCGCGCGCGAAGTTGAAACGCTATGGGAAGAAGCGGACCGGGCGATGGTATACGAAGGGCCAGCATGGACGGATTGGAAGTTGCTAAGTAATGCATGTGCAGGAAGGCGAATCACAACAGAAAGGTGCGGTGGGAAGACGACATGGAGATGGATGAGTTGGGGTCAGCCATGACGGCCCGACCAAATGTCCGGTAAGCACCCCACCATCAATGATGGCGGCCATCAGACCTCTTTTAGTTGTTGCGCACCTGCATGTTCGTGGTTGGAAGGTCAATATCGGTGGCACAGCATATCTCGCGAATATACCGAGATACGAATGTAAGGCACTCACGACTAAGCCTGACGCCCGGCATCATTGGCACCATTCACCTGGCTGGCGGAAGACACGCTCAGGTGAGGAGCGGGCTTGCGCTGACCCGGAGGGCGAGACACCCCGACGCCAGCCATAGCACCGCCAGCCGCGACGGACTCGGCCATCCCACCGTACGCGCTCTGATCGCACGGGTTCTGCATGGCCGTCGAGTTGAAGTTCTGCCAATTGTCGTACGTCGTGCCCGGCTGCTTGTAGCCAGAACTTCCGTAACCGTTGCTGCCGCCGTATCCGCCATTCCCGTACCCAGTGTTGCCGTAACCGACGTAGCCCGTCTGCGCGCCGTAGGGCACGGCAGGGCCGCGGCTCGGGGAGCTGTACGTCGAGTAATTGGCCGAGACCGTCGTGGCCTGGCGCGCGAGCACCGACGGAGGGATTGCCTGGTGGCTACTGATGCTGGAGCCGTCGCTGACACTGAAGGCCTTCTCCGAGTCGTGGCCGTCGGATTCGTGACCCGCGGTGGAGAAGTCGATGATGTCCTGGTTGATGCGGTCGTTGCGGCGCTTACGGAGAGCCCAAGTCGCGATGAACGCGAGGAGGACGAGGCCGAGGAGCGAGGCGGCAGTGATCACCCCAACGGAGAGCGCCTTGTTGGCCAGGAAGCCGGTGGGCGCGGTGTCTGCGGGGCTGGACTGCGCGGCAGATCCGACAGTCAAGGTCGAGGTAACCGACTGCGTGGAGGTGGAGGAGAGGAGGGTCGGGGCGACCGAGTCACTTGTGGAAGTGATGATCGAAGTCGAGCTTGAAGCCGAGGTCAGAGTTGAGGAGGTGGACTGCGTGGACAAGCTGGAGGTGGACAAGCTGGAGGTGATTGTTGAAGTATCGGAAGTCAACGTGGAAGTGGAAGTGACGGTCGACGTCTCGCTGGTGGAAGCTAAAGAAGTGGAGGAAGAACTGTCGGATTCGGTGAGGAGATGCTGCGTTCTATGACATGGGCGACACTGACGAAGTCTGAACAGAGGTTGTGGTGGAAATGGACGATGACGACGCCGACGTCCTGTGGCGAGAGGTTGGTGGGGGAGGCAGGACGACGGAAAACACACTCACGTTTTTACCGCCGTAGAAGTCGTCGAGGTCGCTCCGCCAAGGCTGATACCCAATGCCGAAGTCAAACCACCCACGCCGGGGAGTGAGACTGGCGGGCTATCGAAGACACTCAGCACGGCACTGATACAGAAGACAAAGAAAACTCACATAAGACCTTCACCGGCAATGCCGAGAACTGGATGAATGCGCGCATACAGTCAATGCACAGATCGGGAACATGCAGGGCTGCGCAGAATGCGGACTTACGGCCGTCACGAACCACGGGTCGGTTGGAAGGGGCCATTGATTCAGCTGGGGTGCAACGGCGGGAATAACCTCGGTGGCCTTCCAGCGACCAGAGAGCAGAGAGCAGAGAGAAGCGAGAAGTCTGTCGAGGGAGGCGCAGGGAGAGGAACAAAGAGGAGGCAAAGAAACAGCAAAGCCTGAAGATGACGGAGGGAATAGACCGGCTATGCTGCTCTCCAAGGGCGAGTGGAGCTGTCTTACTTCCCGGCGCGCGGCCGTTCTGTCGCCATCCCAACGGCGCCTCCCTCCCTCCTGCAACTGCCCACCTGGTCGCGCGATCGACTCGCCAGCCACGGACGCGATCTGAGTCCGCCAGTCGCGCAAGTCACGGGTCCAGGCTCTGACATAAGTTTACATAAGCTACAGACAGTACAGATCGCGACAAACGTCCGTTCACCTCCCTCACCGCGAGAGCATCACCCCATAGCTCCTGCCCGCATTGCGTTCCATGATCTCCCGCAGCGGCCCCAGAAGTCGGGTGAATGCGTGCGCGTCCAGCGCAGCCACCTTCAGACGCGGCGCAGAGCCGTCCGTCCTCACCACCGCGCTCACCGTCGCCGCCCGCGGTTCGAGGCGCAGCAAAGAGAGCTCTGCACCCTCGTCAGTTCTCGCGTCCGGGCCATGTCCAACTCCAGCACTCACCGCCAAAATAGTCCCCTTTCTTCAGCCGCCCCACGACCTCTGAACCCGTGCCCGTTTTCTTCGTCACCACCGCGTTGCCCTCCTCGACGAAGAAGAACGTGTCCCCGACGTCACCCTGCTTCACCACCGCCTCCCCGTCCTCGAACGTCCGGCTCTGCAGCGCGTCCGCGACCTTGCTCCGCTCTTCCGGCTCCAGCGACGCCAGCAGGTCCACCGACGCGAGGAACTGCTCGTACATCGTCCGCCGCCGGTGCGCCGCGCTCAGGATGATCGTCCGGAACGTTATCCGATCGAGCGACCAGAGCGTGCACGGCTCGATCGCGAGCACGGTCGCCGCGCGCGGGTGGCCGTACATGAGCGCGAGCTCGCCGAACGAGCTGCCCTCCCGGCACTCCGCCACCTTCCGCCCGAAGACGGGGTGGTATCCGGCCTGGCTGAGCCGCTCCGCAGACGAGACGTCGCCGCTCGCCCAGTTGGGGGGCAGGGGCTCCGGGCGGATGTAGCAGTGGAGGAGGCCGCTCTCGACGACGTAGAAGTAGTCCCCGACGTCGCCTTGGCGGATGACGACCTCGTCCATCACGATCTTGCACTCCTGCATCGCGTTCAGCACGCCCGTCTCCTGCTCCTCGTCCAGGTCGCGGAAGATGAAGTTGTTCGCGATCGACGCGCGGATCCGGCGGATTTGGTCTTCCGTCTTCGCAAACACGGGAAGGGCGGAGGACACTTCGCTGTCGACCGGGATTGATTCTGCGCTGACGGAGGTACGGCGGGCGAAGATCGTGGACGTGGGAGGGAGCAGAAACTCTCCGGGATATGACGAGACGGAGCCGTTGGCGAAGGACGCGAAGGGGTTGGGGGCAGCGGTGGACATCGGTGTCGAAGGGGTGATGTCCTCACCGTCGAGTTGGAAACTCGGTGGGCTCACCGGAGTCAGCGTTCTGGGACTGTTATCCAGCAAAGCGTTTCCTGGACGTTGAGTGTACCGAACGGGCTGGTGTTGTTCGTGGGCTGCTGCAAAGAAGAACGCTGCTGGGGGAAGGACTGCGAGAAGGGGGAGATACTGGTGGGGTCACCTGGAGCCCCGGCCGTCGGACTGAGAGGGGTGTCCATGAAGTGGTCTGGTGGTAAGCCGGGAGCCAGGGAAGGCCGACGTGCTAATGCGTCTCGCGTGCGAGTCCGTTGCTCTTCGAGCCGAGATTGGAACCACCTTGAACAGAACTGTAGGGCGTCTTTGGGCTGTACGCGTTGCGCGTCGCGGGTGAGCTCAGAGATGAGCGAGTCGAATGTGGATGCGTCGGACATGCCTGCGGTACACGTTGTGTCCGGAGTGCAACTAAAGACTGTAGTCTGGTGAGTACGCTGCAAGGAGTATATTCTGGAGCACAGGTCTGCTCACAGCAATTAATAGAGCAATCAAGCTTTAATGGACATTGGCTGTGGGGTGATCACGAATGAGCACTATTTTGACTTGCGCAATGCAAAGTCGACAAAGGGTGTACGCGGGACAGTGCGAGGGGGTATGTGCGTCCGGTAATGAAGACGGATGTTAAAGAGTGGAGGGAACAAGGGTCTTTGGGCTCCTTTCGGATGAGTTGTGACAATTGAGTGACACGATGGTGACGTCACGGCAAGTTCCACGTTGGCTGCGCGCTTGAGCGCTTACCGTCGTGTCATCTCCACCGGCGGGCGCGGAGTCCTCCTCTCACCTTCCTCTTGCCTCCCCGCTGCCCCTCGCTTAGGCTCCATGCCGCCTTCATCCCTCCGAATTGAGCTTCCTGCGTATTGCCACTCTTTCCAAGTGCGGGTCACCCCCACCTCCACCATCCGCGATGTGAAGCAGGAGATAGCGAAGGCTTGTCCGGGGTCACCAAGTCCGGATGGTCAGCGACTAGTCTGGCAAGGCCGCTTCTTGAAGGATGATGAGACCGTTGAGCTCCTATGGAAGGCGAGTACCTGTGATCTAGGTGCATACACTATGGTCTGACTTTATGCTCCAACCAGACCTCTGAAGAGGTTCAGGTCATCCATCTTGCCGTGCATCCTTCTGCTTGGAGGACGTTGCCCCACGCCTCACCACCTCTGATCGCATTGTTCACTCGTCGTCGACGGTACCTCGTACTGCAACGCGTCTGTCGCCGCGCTCCGGGCCTACAGTTCCTCGCCTCTCCCCATCTCGACCCTCTGCTCAATCCCAACAATCCTTTACCTATCTGCACTATCTCCACAGCATGTCTCTGTCTGTTCTCTCCTGCGGGGCTGTTCCGCTGCCCACCGTTCCAAATGTAAACGAATTGGAAGTGTGGCGTTCGAACGCCCAGGACTTCCATCGTAGCCGAGGGTGGCAATGGCCAGCCATCTACAACCAGCCGTTTCCCTCTGGATCGCCAGAACCTGGAGCCGTATACCACCCGTCACCTTGGAGTGCGTGATGTTCTTTTTAAATCTGCCCCATTGTCTAATCATAGGAGAACAGGGGACTGCCCTACCTTCAACTCGTATCACCAGATATCCCACCGACTCCTCCCCAAACGCACGCGTTGGAGGTCCTCTCGCACACCTTCGCCACACTGTCGATGGTGAATGATCCCTCTTTGTATGCTCCTGTCAATCCTTCCCCCTACCCGCCGCATCCATTTGTTGCGGCCACGGACGTCAACCAACATCTCCAGCAACTGGGCCTGCCCGCGCTCCGAGCAGCTCAGAACCAAGGTCTCAATCCCAACCCTGTTGATGCAAACCCAATGGGTCCACCTGGCGTTCCAGCCCCCGAGATCCGTGCCATTCCGGCCCGCGCGCTGTTGATCCCCCTCATGTTTATCGCGTTCCGCGCGGTCTTCATGCTCTACATGTTCTCCCCTTTCAGCGGCCGCTCTTGGGTCTAGCCCTGAGCCTCTATATCCTCTACGAGACGTGGAACGCCCTCCACGTCGTCCTCCGCGACGGCAACCTCGACCGTGACCGCAATGCCAATGCCAACGCCAACGCCGCAGGCGGCGCCCCCGCCGCCCCCGGTGCCCCCGCCGCGCAGCCCGCCGCCGACGGTTTCACCACGCAGGCCGTCCTCGACCGCCTCTCCACCATGAACCTCCCAGCCGAAGACGCCATCCTCGACGCCGACGCGCCCGCACCCGCACCCGCGCCGAGCCTCGTGCACCAGGCGAAGACGTTCGTCACCCTCTTCCTCCTCACGCTCCACCCCGCGGCGTGGGACCGCCGGCGCACGGCGCTCCGCCGGCGGGAGGGCCGCGTGCGCACCGAGGTGAACGCGCGCGAGGCGGCCGCGTTCGACGCGCAGCAGCAGGAGAGCGCGCGGGAGCACCGCGCGGCGCAGGGCGAGGAGGAGCCGGCGGTGAGCGCGGACGAGGCGGCGAAGCGGCGGGCGCGGGAGCAGATGGTGCAGCGGCACGAGCGGCGGCCGGCGTGGCTGCGCGAGTACGTGCAGCGTGTGCAGTTCACGGAGTGGGTGGACGACCCGTAGATGTTGAGGTGAAGTTTGAGGGGGGGATGGTCGGGTGCGTCGGTGCGTCGCGAAGGGTGGGCGGCTATGAGGTCGGGACTTGTACGGTATTGTCGTGGTGGAGGCTTTTGTCTTGGATGTACGTCAGGTGTGAGTGCAGTAATCATTCGTGTACATGATCATGTCTCTGCACACCTAAGTTATTCGTGGCTTGTACGGCGTATTGTTGGACTCGCATGGGCCAATTGCTTGCCCTGGCTCTATGTTTCGTCGATGAGGCTTGAGTCAAGATCCCCTTGTGCTGACATTTCTTGGTACGAGAACAGGAGGCTATTGGATACTCCTCTTCAAGTATGTGCTGTGTTCAGTGGATCATTCCGTGAAACTATATACCTAGATATATGAGATATGTGCACTCACAGTACTAGTCTCACCCTGATAAGCAATGCCCTTGCTTGATCTAGTACGAACGATTGTGACCTCCAGGACCATTCGTTGTGCTCGCCGGTATCGCTGCAAGTACAGACTAGCCGTTGACGATAACCTACGATAACATGCTGGGACGACGGGCGACCCGATCAGGGCATGCGTAGCGCGGCGTCTCTGACATGCCCCTCTGGCCCCGTGCGTGCCACCACCGCTGCTAGCATAAAGGCCAGCAACGCTCAGCCTGATTCACTTTCTTCTTTCCCTCGTCTTGACCGCCGTCTGTCTTGACCACCCCCTGTCCATCCTGCGGATCACCGACACCGATGGCGACTCCCTCCAAGCTGCACATCCTCTCGCACCCCATCGTAAACGCACGGCTGTCGAAGCTGCGGCAGACGACCACGAGCGGGAAGGAGTTCCGCGAGGTGCGTGTGTGTCCCGTTTGACGTCTCCGCGCCTGGCGCACCACCATTCGCCGATATCAGTCGGGGGCGGGGGAGACGAGCCTCCCTTACGCTTCAAGTTAAAGCGCGTGCTGACCGAGCGGCCGTCCCGCGTAGGGCATCCATGACATCAGCCTGATCCTGGGCATCGAGGCCAGCCGCGACCTGGAGGAGGAGTCGTTCTCTGGAGTAAGCACTCGCGCTCCTGCGTCTGACACACACCCGCCCGGGCTGACCGCGCGGGATGCGACGCTGTGTACAGCAAACCCCGGTCGCGCCGTTCGTGGGCTCGGTGATCAAGCCCAGGATCGGGCTCACCCCGGTCCTCCGCGCGGGCATGGGCATGACGGATGCGCTGCTGAACCTCTTTCCGTACGTCTCCGCACTGCGCTCCGTCCGGGGCGGTGTCGTGCGGCTCGCCGACGTGCTGACGCTCCGTTTGCAGCGCCGCCCGCGTGTACCACCTCGGCATCTTCAGGGAGAAGGTGTCGCTGCAGCCCATCGAGTGTGAGTGCACGCAGTCTTGTGCGCCGCGAGAGTGTGGCGGTTGGGCTCACGCCGGGGAACGTCAGACTACTCGAAGCTGCCACCGAACCCGACCGTGGACCAGGTCTTCCTGCTCGATCCACTTATCGCCACCGGCGGTACGGCATGCGCTGCAATGAACATGCTTCTCGAATGGGGCATCCCCGGTGCGTTTGCGGGGTGCCGGGCCACAATTCCGTATTCCAGATGCTGATGACGTTTTACGCAGTGGACCAGATTAAGCTCCTCTGCGTGCTGGCGTCACAGGATGGGCTGGACCGAGTGCAGAAGGAGCACCCTGGGGTCGAGGTACGTACGGTGGTGTTCTTGTGCGGTGAGCTGCAGCCGACGATTGGTGTACAGATTTGGGCCGCGGCTGTGGATGCTCAGTTGACCCCCAACGGTCTGATTTTGCCCGGGCTCGGCGACACGGTGAGTGGCTCGGGGGCGCTGAGTTGACCGAGTGCTGACGTCGTGCACGCAGGGCGACCGGTTGTACAACACGATCAAGGACAGCGAGGCTTTGTGAGGAGGCAATGGGCCAAGGAGTCGGAGTTATGACCTTTGTAGACTACGAGCAGTCGGAGAATATGCGGTAATCATCCAGACGATGCCGGCAGTGCCGACGGACCGAATGCCGGAGCATGACGCGACGGAGGATTGGGCGGTTGACGCGGTCACGTGCAGGGCATAACGCCATCGTTTGCACCAGTTGGCACCATTCGCAGCGCAAGAGGCTGACGAAACTATCGCAGTGTCGCCATCGGTGCCTGCTCACGGACGGGGCACGCAATAAAACTGCGAGGGAGGGCGGTCCGACAACACCCCCCCCTCCCTCTCCCCCTCCGCCCGCCGCACCTGCCACGATGTCTGGTGCATCAACCCCGCTGTCGCCCACAACCACCCTTTCGGCACCTCCCTCCCCGAAGCTCAAGCCATCGGCCAATGAGCTGCAGAGAATTGCAGAGTCGGGCGCCCTCACCGCTTCCACCCTCATCGAGTTCATCGCGTCCCGTACCACCTCATCCTCGTCTGTCTTCGTCTACGACCTCGCAGAACAGGCCGGCTTCGGTTCTCTCACAAAAGCATGGTCCGCCGCCGGCCATGACGCCTCAGCGCCCGTTATCAGTCTCCAGACTAGAGCAGGCGCCGGCCTCAGCTTGGTTGGCCGTCTCTCCCAAGGTTCGAGCAAGGATGTCTCCAAGGCTGCCGTCCTCTCCGCATACACCACACCATCTGGACTTGCAGCGATGGCCCAGTCGTTGTCCTACCTCCCGCCAGCAACACCATCAAGTAGGGTCGTCATCCAGGTCCCCACAGTGACGCCCGTGGGCGAGCACTTTACTCTCTCACCCACACTCGCGCCTTTCACTCCGACGCTATCCTTTCTCCCGGAGGGGTTCACCGTCCTCCTCTCCGCGACGCCCCAGGAAGCGATCGACTTCGCCACGCTTTCCTACACCCTAACCGACACGCACATCATCCATCTATTCGACCATCATTGCGCAACCCGCGAGACTGGGCACGTCACCTCCGCCCCAATCGTTATCCCCGAACCGGGTCTCTCCCTCGAAGATGGCCTCAATAACGCCGGCTACAGCGCGTTCGAGTACGCCGGCGCCCCCGACGCTGACACCGTCTTCGTCCTTGCGAACGGGCCGCTCGCGCTCGCGGCGAAGGCGCTCGCTGCGCGCGTGCCTGGCCTGGGGGTGGTTATCGTCCGCGTTCTGCGCCCGTGGAGTGAGGATGCGCTCCGTGCTGTGCTCCCCGCGTCGGTCAAACGTGTGCACGTCTTGGACGACGTCCCGACGGAGAGCACCCAGGGTGCACTCTACGTCGATGTTTTCTCCACCCTCCTCGACCCGCTCGCCCCGGGCCCAGTCGTGAAGGCGCACCGCGTCGTCCCCGCGAAGACTCAGGCCTGGCTCGAGAGCCCGGCCGACTTCATCGACTTCATCGCCGGGCAGCTCCCGGTGCCGATCCCCACTCCGTCTCTGGACGCATCCCCGGCGAAGAAGCTGCTCTTCTTTGGCAGCCCCGAGTCCGCGCTCGCTGGGGTCCCGCGCCTGGTCGAAGCGACGTTCCTGCCCCACAAAGCGCTCTCCGCCCGCCTAGTCTCTCTCCACGACGCGTTCTCCAAGCCCGGCGGTGTCTCTGCCGACAAGATCGTCCTCGCGCCCCGCGACGACAAGGCCCCCTACACCGCCCTCTCCACCGCTATCCCCATCTCTGCCGGCAGCCACGGCGTCGCTAACTTCGTCGCCGTCCTCGACCACACCCTCCTCAAATCGCACGACGTCGTCAGCCATGCCCTCCCCGGATCTCCAGTTCTCGTCGTCACCGACTGGACGGCTGCGGAGCTCGCCGCGAACTTGCCCGCGGAGGTTGTGCACACCATCCTCGACCGCCAGCTGCATGTGTGTGTCCTGGACGCGAAGGCACTCGCCGCGCGGTACGCACAGGGCAACGTTCACAAGCTTAAGGCTCTTCAAGATGCCGTCGTTCTCCTCGCTTTCCTCCGTCTCTACCTCGGCAAGGTGGCGACGCGGACTCTGGTGGGGAATATCGCGGCCGCGACTCTTGGAGAGGACATTCGTGGGGTCTCGTTGGACAAGCTTGTAGGCGTTGTTTGGGACGGTCTGGTCGAGATCGAGCTCTCGTCCGCTGCGGCGCGGAGTCTCTGGTGTCGCTCAAGCCCTTCCAGTTCAACGCCATCGCCGTCGAGACCGCGGAGGGCGATACCGTCGTGGACGGTGCGCGCCTCAGTTTCTGGCACGACGCCGCGAAGCACATCCTCTTTCCCTCCGCCTTCACCCCCACAGACGCCCTCGCGCCCGCCTCCTCGTTCGAACAGCACCCGGCGCTGCGCCCTGAGATCCAAGAACGCACCTTCCTCGTCACCTGCACCGTCAACCGCCGGCTCACGCCACTCGAGTACGACCGCAACGTCTTCCACCTCGAGTTTGACACACGCGGGACCGGACTCAAGTACGAGATCGGCGAGGCGCTCGGCGTGCACGGCTGGAACGACGCCGCGGAGGTGCTCGACTTCTGTGACTGGTACGGTGTCGACCCTTCCCGGCTCGTCACGCTCCCCGTGCCCGGCACCGACGGCGCGCGGATGCACACCCGCACCGTCTTCCAGGCGCTCCAGCAGCAGGTCGACCTCTTCGGCAAGTCGGGCAAGGCGTTCTACACCGAGCTCGCCGAGCACGCGGCGGGCATGGCGGATCGCTACGCGCTCCGCTTCATCGGCTCCGCGGAGGGCTCCGCGACGTTCAAGAAGTTGAGCGAAAAAGACACGGTCACGTTCGCGGACATCCTCCGCCGCTACGAGTCCGCGCGCCCGGGCATCGAGGTCCTTTGCGAGCTCATCGGGGACATCAAGCCGCGCCACTACTCCATCGCGAGTGCGCAGGCGGTCGTCGGCGACCGCGTCGACTTGCTCGTCGTAGCTGTGGACTGGGCGACGCCCTCTGGTTAGTTTCGATTGCTCTCCGTACCGCACACAAGATACTGAACTCGCTCCTCTTCAGGCTCGCCGCGCTATGGCCAATGCACGCGCTACCTCGCCGGGCTCAAGGTCGGCCAAAAGGTCACAGTCTCCATAAAGCCCTCCGTGATGAAGGTCCGTGACGCTGCTTCTTTGCCGCATCTTGCGCTGACGCCCCTCCCCTCGCAGCTTCCGCCTCGCCCACGCAGCCGCTCATCATGGCCGGCCTCGGCACCGGCGCCGCGCCGTTCCGCGCCTTCCTCCAGTACCGCGCGCACCTCGCCGCGCAGGGCGTCGCCGTCGGGCCCGTGTACTACTACTTCGGCTCGCGGCACCAGTCGCAGGAGTACCTCTACGGCGAGGAGCTCGAGGCGTTCATCCTCGACGGCACCGTCACCCGCGCCGGCCTCGCGTTCTCACGCGACGGCCCGCGCAAGGTGTACATCCAGCACAAGATGCAGGAGGACGCGGTGGAGCTCGCGAAGATGCTCTGGGACGACGCGGGCGTGTTCTACCTGTGCGGGCCGACGTGGCCCGTGCCGGACGTCTACGAGGCTCTCGTCGGGGCTCTCGTCGGGTACGCGGGTGTCGACCGCGCGGCCGCGGGGGCGTTCCTCGAGGGCCTCAAGGAGGAGGAGCGTTACGTGCTCGAGGTGTACTGAGGGGTATTTTTATTCGTTGGCTCGGGTTATGCGCTATGCTCTGCTCTGTACGAAGAGGCCGTCACATCACTAGCATTAATGTACTTATGCGACACACTACTGAACGCTCCATGTAAACTACTAGATGCGCATCCAAGTAGATACCGATACCTAGCGACGTCGAATTATGATAGTTACGCTTTTCCGTCTAACTTGTCTGCGAATTGTCAGACACGGGGCTTGCAATGGATGGTTTCTCTTTGAGCGACTGACGTCCGCACTCAATTCGTTGTTATATGCGCGAGAATACCTCGGCGGGGTCCGCGACGGCACGCAGCTGTTCCTCCTGCACGTGTGCTACGGGTGCCGCGGGAGGCAGATTGCACCTGCGGCGAGCTCACGGAGAGGATGTGACCGCGCAGGATGGTCGCGGCATCGGCTGGACGGCGGAGGCGTCCGGGAAGGGTGCACGACAGTGCAGGAAGAGGAAAGGACGGAGGGAGTACTGTGACGTTGTCGTCGAGCCCCGGACTGCCGGTGCTGCAAATATGCTCGATCATGGTGGTGGTGCTCTTTGGGTGGCCGAAGGCCTGGAGGACCTGGTGAGCCTTGTGCTCGGTGAGGTCGTATGAAAGAAAGGAAGGCGAGGTGTGGAGGAATGCACGCACCGAGTCGAAACCGTCGGACAGAGTGCCGAGGGACTTCGGACCATCTGGCACGGAATATGAAAAATAGGTCGCGATGCTTCCTAGCTCGAGGGTTTCCTTCGCGGTTAGAACGCACCAGGCTTGCCCGCCTCGACCAGGGTAGTGATGATCGCGTCTTCGAACGAGCGGTGGACATGGGCGCGACCTTCTCTCCAAATCGCGCTTGGATCCTTCCCCCCCCCACAAAGTGGGAGTCGATAAGCGCGGCAGTATCATCGGAAATGGCGGCGGAGCAAAGGAGCTCGCGTTCCGACGGCCCGCTCTCTTCCCGCCACGTTTCGATGGCCGCTTTGCGCCCTCCACACATGCTCACCATGATCGTCATGCCCACCGTGGTCATTCGTCTCTCACCGCCGTCCGCCACTTCCATCCCCAATGCGGTCGCCGCGTCTCCCCCTCGAGCTCTGTGAAGCGGTCATTGACGCATGCGCCGACCGCGGCCACCTCTCCGACTTCTCCACCCTCGTCCCACCTACCCAACACTCGCCGCATGCGCGCTCGCGTCCAAAGCCTGGCTCCCCCGGTCCCGGGCGCACCTCTACCGAGCCGTCTGCCTCTCCAGCCTGGAGCAGGCCGACCGCATCACCCGCACCGTCCGCGACCAGCCGTGGATCGGTGAGCTCGTCAAGACGCTGCAGCTCATCCCTCCATCAGGATCCGCGCCGTCTTGTCTGTCGTTCGTGCCGGACGACCTCGTCTCGCGCCTCCCCAACATTCAAACGTTGTCCCTCCCCACCGACTTCTACAACTCGCAGCCGCTGCGCTTTCAGCGTCTTGCGTACCAGTTCCCGCTCACGGAGCTCCGCCTCGTGAAGCCGGGAAGCGCGCCAGCCGTCATTCCCTTCCAGCTGCTGTGGACGCTACCTAACCTAAGCTCGCTGCATTTACGCATGGAACGGGAAGGAGGGACCACCTTGAACCCGCACAATCTGGAGCGGCTTCTCGCCAAGCGCAAGACCGTGCCGTTCGGCACTCTGACACATTTGTCGCTGGAATTCGTGGTGCGTTCGCTTTTCTCCTCGTGCGCTCTCATTGCCTGCTTCATGTTCGCCATTGGTGCACAGGATTGTCGCGCGGCCGACCAGATGCATGCTAGGGGTGTCTTCGGCAAAGCCATAACCCATTTGAAGTTTTCCTTCCGAAATTGCACCTCCAGCGGTAAGCTCCATGTCAATCCCTTTCGTCAAGTCATTCATCATCTGTGCTTCAGGTGTCAACTACGTGGCTTTGTCAAACTACGTGGCTGGGTTTGAAAGGCTGCAAAGTCTAGAACTAAACGACGACTCCTTGACTAATTCCATCTTCTCCCGACCCTTGGATTTGAATTTAATGCTGTCCAGGATCAAATCGAGGGAGACCTTCAACACATTGCGTCTCCGCGTTCGTGACCTCTGTATTCTTGGGATAGATGGCGTCGATATGCAGAGACTTTTGAGGATGATGTTCGACGACGGCACTCGGTCGAACCTTCGTCAATTACCCCGGCTCTCTCATATATACCTCGAGGTTGCATGCGATGGCAGGTGCGAATCCTCTGTCTGCGAAGAAAGCTTGGAAAGCTCTATGGCGGATTGGATGAGACATTCGGGCCAGCTTTATGAGTCGTGGAAGGACCCGGTCAAGTACACCGTAAGGGTCCTCGGTAAGTCCTTCACGCTCGTTTGGCTGCCTCACGTGCTAAGGAGTCAGCACAAACAGCACCACTCGACGAAATTCTTCTTCTGGACCCTCCTCCACCAACGACCCCCATCATGTCGTATCCCCGAAGCACTACCGACAAACAACAAATCTAATGAACGTCTACCGTTAGAGCACGCTCACTCACGATCTCTTGGTTCGGCACACCAGACACATGACAACAATCAGTTGGAATATACCATGCACGCGGCGCCGTCGTAATTGTACGCTCCCAGAATATCTTCCATATACCGTCGTCTGGGCCTCTTGGCGAAACATACACCTACGTTATCATTTGATCCACCGGCACCCATAATTGAACGCAGTTTGTCTTCTTGCCATGTGCTGTTTCGCTTTTTGTGAGCGGTGCGACCTGCACGTGAAGGCGTGTTGTCGCACAGAAGCGCCGGACGGTTCTCGCGCGTCTGCGTTGACCGGTTAATGTTGACCGCTGCATTCATAAAACGGGCGAGGGACGGGCTGCCCGCAGGGCCCCTCCACCTCCACCGCCATGCGCCGCCTCTTGTTCTCCCTCTCGCTTACTCTCCTCGCCTTCCCCTCTGTCATCGCGCGTCTCTCGGTACCGGACGACCCTTACACGCCCCCAAACGCGACTACCGGAACTCAGGCGTCGAATACCTCTTCCCCAAACACCCAGTGGTCGAACCTCCTCGGAAATTTGTTGTACTTCTATGACGAACAGCGTAGCGGGAATATCTCCTCAAGCTTTCGCGTTTCATGGCGCAACGACAGCGCGCTTGACGATGGAAAGGACGTAGGGGTGGACTTGACGGGCGGATTTTACGATGCCGGAGGTGTGTCTGTCGCACAGTATTGCGTTTTCCCCCGCTGAATGCGTCGCTTTAGACTATGTGAAGTATGCATACCCCTTGGTGAGATAGCCTGTAGATCTGCTATATGTGCATGCCATTCTGAGGGAAAACAGTCATTTACCCTCATGACGATTTGCTGGGGCGGGTTGGATGTTGGACATGGTACGCTCACCGGGACCATAACTGCAGTCGCCCGACTGAACGCTCTCGCTGCCAGGCTACGACCTCGCCGGACAAACGCCCTACCTCGACGACATTTTGCGGTGGGGCCTCGACTGGCTGATCAAGGTACTGACGGCCTCCTCTCCCCAGTCCGGTCCATGACGTCATCTCCCTTCCCAGGCCCACCCTTCGCCACACACGCTCTACGTCCAGGTCGGCGATGGCGATCTCGACAATGTGTACTGGGGCGGCGATAGGCAAATCCCCACTCCACGCCCTTCTCTTCAGATCAACGACACTAGGTGAGCACTCCTCACACATGTAGAGCGAAAGCCTCACCTTCGTTCTTCAACGTGCTGCAGCCCGGGTACCGATGCCGCCGCACAAGCCTCTGCTGCATTCGCCGCATGCTCCGCTCTCTACTCCAATCGTACCCTCACTCCCTCGGCGACCTTCGCGCTGAGTGATGCTACCTATGCAGCGACATTATTGTCGCACGCTCAGGATCTCTATGCCTTCGCCACCAACGCAAGTTCGGGTATGCAAGTCTATCAACACGCGGTTCCACAAGTCGGGAACGCCTACGCGTCCTCAGATTACCATGACGAGCTGGCCATTGCGGCCCTCTTTTTGGCGCTTTCAGAGGTTCCTTCCAATTCCTCGTCCAATGCGACGGGCAACTCGACAGCGTACTATGCCGATGCCATTCATTGGTACCAATCTGCCAATCTCTGGGACGAGCTTGATGCTGCGTCACAAGCCGTTTTCAACTGGGATTCCAAGGCCCCCGGTGTCCCCCTGCTCGGCGCACAAATCGCATCAGCATATCCGGCTGTTGTTTCGGGGAGTAACACGACCCTCGACTTCTGGAAGAACGCCGTCGAGGGTTACTTCAACACGTTCCTCAACACGAGCGATAGCAGGGCGCACTTGACGGATGGTAAGCCCGCCGCACGGTAGGTGTGTACATCCCGCTCATGAAGCTTTGGGGCAGGTGGCCTTCTCTACTTCCCCGGAGATTCCGACGAGGCTTCCCTGAATCCTGCCCTCAATGTTGCCATGCTCATGATGAAGTACGTCGCGTCCGACATTACTACCAGTCAGGACCGATATCGCGCCTTCGCTCAAGGCCAGCTCGACTACGTGCTGGGGAACAACCCAATGTCGGGTAAGCAACCCACTGAACGCCGCGATTCCATACGCTCACCATTCCCGCCAGTCCCTTACGTCGTGGGTACGCACCCGAGCTCTCCACAGAACCCGCACTCGGCACTCGCGACCGGCTACAACCCGCCCAACACATCCTTCATCTCCATCCCCGATGACATCGACGGCGACCCGGCGACGGAAGCTTACGTGCTCTACGGAGCCGTCGTCGGCGGACCCGACGCGCACGACCTCTTCTGGGACCTCCGCGAGGACTGGGCGCAGGGCGAGCCCGCGCTCGACTACAACGCGCCGCTGCTCGCGCTCGCCGCGCACGCGCTCGTGGCGGGCTCGGGCGACCCGTACTACACGCGCGTCGCCGCGGACGCGTACGCCGCGGTGCGCCCCGCCGGCTTCCCGTGCGACGCCGCGGTGCGGACCGGGTGCTCGAGCGGGGGCCTGTCGCGCGCGGCCGCGATCGCGATGGGCGTCGTCATCTCCGTCGTCGGGCTGACGCTCATCGCGGTGACGGCGTACTGGGTGCGCACCGCGCAGCGGCACTCGTCCAAGGCGTGAGTGGTGGGGGAGTATGCGCTTAGAGTATTCTTGGACGGACGTACACGACTAGAGCCTCTATCACAGAGAGCGGACGAATTGGACCCAGTTTGAATCTTCTCCACAGTACACATGCCGAAACATGTTTAAGCACAACGTGTACCATCAACGATTCCTTGGAGTGATCAGTCCGTTCAACGTCGTCCATATGCCATCTCTGCGACTCATTACTAGTCGCTGCGCACAACAGTCACAGCAAGGTGTACTCTGGCGGTACAGGTCGATTGGATTGGTTGTTTGTCAGCAACGTGTTGGGGATGCGGCTGGACGGGGGTGAGCCTGGGAGGAGAGGCTAGAGTTGGTCCAGATAACGATCATGGTGGTAGCGGCATTCGTTGTTTGCCCCGCGGGGCGCCGAGTATTTTCTTTCCTGCTCCTGGAGCCAGTCGTAGTACGCACGGCGTCGCGGGAGACAGCGGTCAAGGAAGGCAGCGTCGAGGGAAGCCCAGAACTCGTCCTCGTCCACGAACGTCCATTGCGGCTCTGCGCCCGGCTCCAGCGCGACGAGATAAGCGCAACAGAAGGCCAGCTTCCACCACTCGACCGCCCTGCCGCGGATGTACGAGAGCACGTAGGGGATCACGTCGTCGAGGGGCTCGCCGCGGGCCACGATGCGCATCTCGGTCTTCCACGCGGGGTACCTCGACCGGTCGCCCGCGAACGTGTCCGGCTCTTTGGGCTGGAGACGGGTCGCTCTGACTAGAACGTTAACGGGCGCTGGCGCTGGCGCGGCGGCTTGGGGGGCGTTCTCCAGCTGCCGTAGGAGCGGGACGAGAGCCGCGATGAGGACCGCGACGAGGGCGTTTAACAACAGTTGGACGTCGATCTCCGGCGCGCGCGACATCTGAGGAGGCGCTGGCGGTACGACTGGAGACGAAGGTCGGATTCCGGCTTGGTCGGGTTGGGGTGCGGCCTCGTGGGCGCGGACAACTTCCTTGGTCGTGGGGGAAAGAGGTGCGTCGTCTGCGTCTGAAGTGAGTTTTCCGTCTGAGGCGTCGCTGACAGTTGTGGCGTCTACGTCGAGGATGTCTTTCTCTTTGTCGTCTTCTTCGTCCACGGGCACGACGTCTCCGGAGGCTTCCTCGGCGGGTGTATTTGGTGTGGTGACGGCCGGGACAATTTCCCTGCAATCGTCGTTGTTGAGGATACATAAGCGTGTGGACGCCGTCGAGGCGATTTGGGGAGGGGTTGAGTTCGCACTCGCGGCCAGTGGGGGTGCCATGGTTATCCTCGTAGGCGTGGACGGAAACGCGGGCGTAGAAACGGCTGGCGCGGGGTAGAACGACGGCAATAACACCGAGGGACGGTGTCACGATTTAAGAGATATGAACGGTGGGTCGGAAGCGCTGGACCCACGAGGGCTTGAATGTCTCTGAAACGGCGCCGATCTTGGGATAAGATAGCACACAAACCAAGACTCTCGACGGGGGAAGATGCGCTTTTGGAGAGCTTACCTCCAGAAACGGGCCCTTATATACCTCTGCTACGGTACATGCACGAGGAGAGAACGCGGTGCCGAACACATGGAGACTAAGAACGAGCGGGCGGCGCGCAGGAGGCGAGGCCATAGAAAAAATACCACAACTAGTAGGTAGGGTCGCGAGCGTATGGTAGAGTCGGCCGCGCGTCAAGACACGAACGCACATCGCGGCGAGGCTCGTGGGTGGCTAACCCCGTCCTGGTTGTCCACGAGGCACGTACTACGGTTTAGCCGGTGCTGGTGCGCACTCCCTCGTGGTAGTGAGTCAAGGAAATACAAGAACACGCAGGAGCGAGTCACAAAGAGGCGACTCACTGTGGGTCTGTCAAGCACGAAGCGCAACGGTGCTGGCGGCTAAGCGCTAATTAGCTTGCGGCGGACTTGCACGGTCTCGGCCCGTTCGCCGTGCTGAATCAGCTACGTCATGCGGAGGACATCCATGAAAGGCAACTTCCGTTACCAGTGACCCCTGAAAGGCCGCTTGTCACGACCTGCTTGCTGATCCCTTGCACCAAGCCCCCATCGCTCACCCACTACGCTTTCTTACACTACTGATCACGCTTGCCGACGCCTTATCGATACAAGCACCAACCTCGCATGCCACATGCTCTGTTGCTCCGCGTCCCCTCTATCAATCGTCGCAATTGCTGCTCCTCCATCTCGCTCCCACACGGCACGGGCCGATCCTCCGCGACCTGAGCCACTCTTTCCCCGGGGCGTTTTCTATGTGGATCACCCATCGAAAAAAGTGGCTCTCTCTTCTGTGCGACCCTCACGATGGCCCCAATCAAGGCTTGTGTCGTCGGCCTCGGTCTGGGCGGCCTCGCCTTCCACGTTCCCTTCGTACTCGCCCTCCCCGATCTATTCACCCTTCATGCCGTAATGGAGCGCAATCCCGCCGGCCCGGGAGGTAAGGTCCAGGAGCGTTTCGGAGAGAAAGCCATGCAGGGGACTATCATCCACCGCACCTTCGAGGACGTCCTTGCGGATGCCCAGGTTGAGCTTGTGATCATCACTACCCCGAGCGAGACGCACTACGAGCTTGCGAAACGTGCTCTGGAGGCGGGCAAGCACGGTGCGTCTTTCACGAATTCATCGCATTATCTGCATACTGAACATATCACAGTGCTCGTCGACAAGCCGCTCTCACCCACTAAGAAGGAGATCCTGGAGCTTGGACGCATCGCGACTAATAAGAATGTCGTACTGTATTCGTTCCAGAATCGCCGCTGGGACTCGGACTTCCTCGCTTTCCGCAAGCTTCTCAGCCTCCCGGCGGACGATCCTAAGTCCCTCGGCACGCTGTACGAGTTTGAGTCTCGGTGCGTGTTTACTGTGTTACGTCGGCACCTCTCCTCCAACGATTGCCACAGATTCGACCGCTTCCGTCTCGATCTGAAGGGGACCTGGAAGGACCTCCCGCTCCCGGGAAACGGCCTCGCATTCGACCTCGCCTCGCACACGATCGACCAAGTCATCCAGCTCTTCGGCCGTCCGAAGAGCATCACCGCCATGATCGAGAATATCCGCGGCATCGGTAGTCCGGAGGTTGACGATAGCGTCAGTCTCCCTATCCTTCCCCGTTCTTTTCCTCGTTTCTGAAAGAACCGGCATGCATGCAGTTCACCATCTACCTGCACTACCCACCCCTCCCGGCCGCCTCCGGCATCCAGCCGACGTCCCTCACCGCGATCCTGCGCGGCCACATCCTCTCCGTGCGCTCGCCGCAGGTGCGATATGTGGCCCGCGGCACCCACGGGACCTTCCAGAAGTTCGGCGTCGATGTGCAGGAAGACCAGCTCCGCGCCGTCGCGGATCCCGCGGGGATCGCCGCGGATACGGCGTTCGGCGTCGAGCCGGAGGCGATCTGGGGCACCGTGCAGAACGTCGCGGGAGACGGCACGGTCGTCGAGAGCTCGTACGTGGACAGTTGCGCTCGCTCAGAGTTGTCACGGGGAGTATTGATGCAGCTGCGGTGCAGGTGGCCGTCGGCGGAACCCGGCAAGTACATTGAGCTGTTCAAGAACCTCGCGGCGGTCATCCGGGACGGCGCGGAGCCGGCTGTGCGGTGGACGGAGTCGGCGGAGGTCATTGAGATGATCGAGTTGGCGCACCAGAGTGCACGCGAGAGGCGTACTGTGGATGTGCCCCCCTCTCTGGCTTGAACAAACCGTCTAAGCCGTCAGTCCAGAACCTGTTGTAGTTTACTTGTTGCACATATAGGAAGATAACGCATCCAAGAGATCTGGCATTCCCAGCACTCGCCTCACCACCATATGATACACTTTTGGATATCTTACAAGGCACCATGACCACCCGTCGATCCAACCCTCCCGCACCACGGAGGGTCTCATCGAGGTCCTGGCGTACTCTTAGTATGACCGCGGAGGGGCTACATACAAGCAAACGTACCTGCACTTCCACGACGTCAGGTGACGATTCGCTCGAGGATGAGCTGGGCAACCCTGTCTCCTTCGTTTACTGGAGAGTTGTTCAGACCAGAGCGACACGCTCAGCTTTCACACAAATGTTACTCACCCGTGAAGTCCTGTCCGAGAGGTTGAACAGCAGGACAAAGACGATGCCACGGTAGTCGGCGTCGATGACCCCCGCCCCGTGTCAATCATGAATTTTGACGCTGCGTCGTCCCGTTAGAACTGTGTGGCCGGTCCGCGCAGCACAGGAAGACGTACCGAGACCGCTGCGGGGCGCGACGCGTCCGTACGTGCCCGCTGGGACCGCGACTGAGATCTGCGTGTCGACGAGGGCCTTCCCCCGCGCGGGAATGACCTTCGTCTCCGCGCTGCGCAACCTTCAATACCGCGCTAGAGCGAAAGCGTGCCAAGGACTGACCTGTAGAGATCGTACCCCGCAGCGAGGGCGGACCCGCGTGAGGGGATGCGTGCCTTCTCGGAGTGGCGCTTGATGAGGAGGCCCGCGACGGGCGCGAGCTCGGAAGAGGAGGCGGCATCGTCGGCATGGGGGTGACTTTGCGCTTCTTGTTCTGAGGGGCGTCGACGTCGGACATTGGGTACAGGTGGAGGAGAGGAGGAGTCGGTGGCACGCCGCGTTCCGTTTGAGACGCGTCGCGCGCCACTATCGCGTTTGCGGAGCTCGAAAGCGTGTCAACTCCGATAAGCGCCTGTCGCAGGCGCCAAGACTAAGTAAGTATGAGTCAGTTATCGGAGTCGAGTAACCGCATCACTAAGTAGGGCTGCCGCGAGAACCAACCAGTTCATGACTCGCCGAGCCGCGCAGTCTCACCTGGTTCCGCACGCGAAGTCCAAGGGGGATTTGATGGTGCAAAGGGCGCGTATATAGCTCTGACGAGTCAGAGGAAGATAGGCACGGCCCCAGTACTAAGCACGCTTGTCCCCGTCTATCTCGTTCGCCGAAGTGTGTTGCCCTTCTTTCGTCCGAAGCTCTATGCTGACACCTCTTATGGGATAAGCTATGGGGCTCATTGTCCGCGCTGTGGGGCTGCTTGCCCTCGCGATCGCTCCGGTGCTCGGACTTTCGCAGTTCCCTCTGAGCAGTGAACAGTACGATGCAGGCCTGTTCACCCCTTACGAGGACCTCCATGCCCTATCTGCGCTGGAATACACAACCCTTCGACACCCTGGCTTCCCGGCTCACAGCGTGCGTATCAAGGAGTCGCGCATCTGCGACGGTGAAGTCCGGTGAGAGCTTTTCTCCACAGATCATGACAGATCTTTTCCTGACTAGAAACGCAGTTCATACTCGGGTTACATTGACATTGAAGCTCGCCACTTGTTCTTCATGTTCTTCGAGAGTCGCAACGATCCGGCGACGGACGACGTGATGTTCTGGACCAATGGTGGCCCTGGAGGTTCCTCCGCCTTGGGTCTGTACATGGAACTTGGTACGCGATATTGACCATGTCACTGGAACCTGGCATTACATAACGGATCCGTGTCACAGGCCCGTGCCGCGTCACTGGCCCGAACTCTACTGAGCGTTTCGAGTACGCGTGGAACGACCGCGCGAACGTCTTCTTCATCGACCAGCCCGTGGGTGTGGGCTTCTCATATGCCGACTTTGGCGAGCAAGTGGTAGGTTGCATGGAGTTGGATTGTCGGCATACTTCCCTGACGCCACCCCCCGATCCCAGAGCACCACCCCCGAGGCCGCGAAAGATGTTGCTGCTTTCGTCGCCATTTTCTTCGAACATTTCTCGCAGTTTAAGGACCGGCCGTTTCACATGGCAGGCGAGTCTTACGGGGTAAGTGTAGCCTGGCAAAGGACACTGCTGCAGCTATCGATTAACCGTTGCTCCAGGGACGTTACATCCCCCTGTTTGCAGCTGCCGTCTATGATCAGAACGCGAAGCTCGTCGAAGCCGGCATGGCTCCCATCAACTTGACGTCCGTCATGATTGGTAGGTTTGTCTCATTGAGCGATCTCAAAGTCAGCCTTGATCACACAATTTCTCAGGAAACGGCTGCACCGATGAGCTCGGCATGATGGAGGCCTACTACGATGCTCAATGCGGGGACTATGGATTCCCGCGTGTCACAGATATTTCGTGAGTTGTTTCTCATACTTTGTCGAGATCGTTGTAGTCGAACGGACGGACCAGGGACTGCATTCGCATGAAACAGATTGTCTCAAGATGCAAGAAGCGGCTCCAAGAGTCTTGCAAGGATATCTATGACGCCATAAGCTGTCACGCTACGTGGAATACTGCGAGGAAGCGACGTCAACGAAGCTGTTCAGTGGTAGGCCCTGCGAGTATCGAGTTCTTCTACCTCTCCTTACGGTTAACATCTAGCGGTGAATCCTTACGATGCTCTAAGACCCTGGTGAGTCTTGAAAGCGACAAAAATCGAGGCGCGTTACATTGAATGCATATTTTGGAACAGCAAGGAAGACGCGGACATGCGGAAGTGCTACCCAGAAGTGGAGTGAGTGATACTCATGACGTTTCCAGCGCGGCGGATGGTAACCCACGGTCACGCTTCAGCTTCATCGAGTCGTACTTGAACATCCCGGCTGTCAAAGAAGCCATTGGGGTTGACGTCCACCGCAACTACACCGCGATAAACCTGGAGTTGAATGCACGCTTCTTCATGGCAGGGGACCACGTGAACTACGTCGCCGAAGACTACCTTGCGGCTCTCCTCGAGCGCGGGGTGCCTGCGCTCATCTACGTCGGTGCGACCGACTGGATCTGCAACTGGGTATGCATGTCCCAGCTTGGGGCCGAGGTAGATCGCACTGACGCTTCGCTGAAGATTGGAATCGGACGCATGACACTCGACTTGGAATGGACCGGACAGGAATCGTTCCGAAGCAGCCCTCTCCGGGATTGGTTTGTTGACGACGAGGTGGCCGGTACGACGAGGAGCAATGGCAAGCTGACGTTCGCCACCATTGACGGCGCTGGGCACATGGTTCGTACCCTCACTCCGTTGGATGCGAAATGATTGCTGAGAGTCGATTGTCCAGGTTCCACTCGACCAACCGGAACGTGGACTCGCTTTGATCAATAGATGGTTGGCTTCTCGGCCCCTCTGATGGTAGACGGGCGAGCGAGCTTGCGGCGGTCACTCTGATCATTAAAGGCGTTATGAGGGCGTAGCAAAGAGGATGTATTCTGTAGTTGGCGCCCGTCGTCCGTAAATGGGCGCTACCCACGGCCACTCCTTGCTCCGAAACCTCCACCGTGAGGAGCCTCCTCTGTTAAACACAACCCTCCCTTCCTCATATCTCGCACGGCCGACTTTTATGTCTGGACAGCTCCCTCTCACTGCGTTTCTCTCCTCTTCGTCCGCCGGTAAGCACTCCACCAAATCCCGACTCGCCAAATCCCAGCCGAAACGCAAACAGTCCCCCGTTCGCTCTCGTGGCCTTGAACCCGTCCGAAAGAAGCGCAAGGAGAAGGACAACCTTTCCTCCTTTCATGGAAAGGGCAGCGATCAGACTGATCGCGACGTTCATTCGTCATATGTCGCCGTACGGAACGTGGGCGTTGAGATCATAGAGATAGATGACGAGGACGAGGACGAGGACGAGGACGAGGAACGGGTCATCACGACATTTTCCGGGTCATCGACGCACCGTCGGATGGGGCGATCGGCGGGTCACCTTGAGACCCCTCCTCTCACACCAGAACCCACCCCCCGGCCGCAACGTCTCCACGGCGCTGGTTCTCTGCCCTCTCCTCCCCCAACCATCTCCACTTTAAGACGGACTACGTCGACTTTCTTGCGCTCAGCTGAAGATGGAACCGGGGGATCCACAGCAGGGGGACAGGGAGACTACAGCGCGTCGTGGCTTGACAAAGGTGCGTTGTTTGATTCACATCCAACGGTCTGCCCTCATTCCCACCCGCTGCGGAAGGCGTGCCTATACGTCCGAGTCATCACAAAGACCCTTGCGAGTCGGTCCCGGACCCGAGTTCGTCAAGCCTAATGCCCCCTCCTCCCGTGCCGCTGAAAGCCTTGCTCCCGATGCCCAACATCTCTACTTCTCGGTCCGACGCGTCTCAGCGTTTGGCCTGCCCACATGGCTGGGTACCTTCGTCACAAACGCAAGAGTTGCGGCTGCCGTACTCACAAGGTCAAGGCAGCCAGTCGGTGGTCGCTCAATCCATGCCGCGAGGATCGTCTCAAATTGTGCCCACTTCGCAATGGTCGGAGACAGAGATGACGATAACTGTTCGTGTGCACCGATCAGACACACCTGGCCCTTCGCGTCCACACGTACTCCTGCCACCAAAGGCCAATCCGGTTGCACAGGGTGGCGATACCGACACAGAGAGCTGCATGCCTTCGCCCGAAGTCATTGAGAGCTCTCAAAGTCAGTTTGAGACGGAGATCACGGCAAGCGTCGTCGAGGGTCTGGCCACGCGGAACGCCGCTCTTATCCAGTGCGTCGCTATCTCGTGTGTTGCCCATTCGCGTCGCTCACATTCGGCAAGGTCTGGGACAGTTTCCAGTGGTTCGTCTGCGAAGCTACCGCAATCCACCCCTCCACCGGAAACCCAATGCTACGACGCGCACGATGAGATGTCCTCGCAGGATGTATCCTCGCAAGCGTCTTCCTTTAGTGTCTCAGTCGCGCGCACGTTACCTCTGGTAATGCCCTCCCAGCTCCCTCCCTCCATGGCCGACAGCACCCAGTCCTCTTTCGGGGATCATTCGGTTGTCCGCCGCTTTCTTGAGGTGTTCGATGGACGAGATGGGGACGGCAACGATTTCTCGGTGAGTTCAACTGAACTACATCTGCGCATTTCTTTACGAGGCGTGCGGTGTGCAGGGCGAAGACAGCCAAACAGACGACTCCCTACACAGAAGTCAGGCACCACCTGCTCCGTCGCTCACTCCGTCAAATGCCTCGGAATTTACTCAGGGCTCATACGCTACTTCGTCATCGGAAAGCATTCCACCAGCGGTCAAAGACTTTTATGACATGTTTTCTCAGAGCCAAGACATCTCAGAGCCAACGCTGTCGCAAATCCTTGGCGAGGATTAGGACCACATGGTGCTATTGTGCACATCCGCCATGTCAACTATCTACGTTTGTAGCTTTTTTGGAATGGATTCGCGTTCACGCGCTGTGACGAATCCCGACGCGGTCACGTGATACTGGTCACCACCTTCACCTCGAAGGCTGACGGTTCTGGCCCGGCTCAGCTTGTCGCGCCAGCCTCTCGCCTGAGGTGTATAACACGCGGTTCTCCGCCGCCCTCTCATCCCTTCTCAAGCATCGATCCCTTGCCTCCCCCGATTTCCCCCCAGTGTCATTTTCCGTTCTCGCAACACCCCGACAATGTCTGTTCCCCCTTCGCCCTCTTCGACGATCGGTTCTCGCGAGGTAAAGAAGCTTGAGAAGCTTCTCGCGAAGGAGGCCAAGTCCGACCAGCACCTCCTCGACCACGCGTACAAAGAAGTGATGGAGGCGGAGAAGGCGCTCAGGAAGGGGGCCAAGGTACGTCCATCCCACCGTGCGCGGCGGAGTGCGCGATGCTCACGGCGCGGTAGGAGGCGGACCATGGTCAGATGAGGGTCAGCAAGCTCAAGCAGAGGGAGCTGGCCACTGAAAAGGTGCTCGACAAGGCGAAGCAGCAGCACGACCACGCTGCGAGGAAGCAAGCGCGGGTCGAGCAGAAGCTCGAGGTGCGTGTATACGTGTGTACGCAGCGGTGCGCGGGGGCTGACGCGAGTGTAGGCGAAGAAGTCCAAGGAGCACCGGGTCGACGAGGAGGTGCATCAGCTGCAGACGAACCTCGAGGATTTCCAGAAGACCATGCAGGCGAACGCTGTGAGTCGCTTGTGATGAGTGGGTAGTACTGCAACGAGCCGAGATGGCTGACGCTTGCATGCAGACGGACCGAGGGATGAGGTTGTCGAACATCCGCGCAGAGTGCGGGGTGTCTGGTGCATCCTCCTTGCCTGCCACTCCAAAGTTGTGATGGGCCTCCGCTCCTTATGTTCCTGGTCCCAGCGTTCGTCCCGTCAAGCTTCTACATAATTTGTACCTATTCGAGTAGTTATTTCTCTTGTGATCAGACGGTGCATAAAGTCTCCCTATTCAGGCGTGGTGCCAGCGTTCTAGTGCGCTTCTCTTACCGATCCGCTTGAACCCGAGGTCGCTCTCGGCCCTGTCTCGCGTCGCGTCTCTCAACTCCCGACCGCCACGTCTTTCTCCTGCCTCGCTCTCGGCCCACTGGAGATATCGTCCATACACCATGATCCTCCGAGATGTGCGCGCGACGCGATCTGCGACCTCGACCAAGAAGGTCGTGCCACCAGCAGCGACCCCAGCGCCGGCCCGGAGCGGAGCGGCGACACGCAAAGTCTCGAAAGCGGCCGTCGCGCCTTCCCCAACGCCCTCAAGCGAGCCGGTCAGTCAGGCCAGCCTCCAGGTTTCTCGTGTAACTCATGCTTTTTCAGGAGAGTGACGATGCACCAGATGTAGGTGCCGGTGGCCCACGCGTCTGCTGCTGTATTGACATGCGCGCAGCCTGAAATGGAGCTTCTGTACAGCGAGACCAGCTCGACGTCGACGCCTCGATTGAGCAGCACGACATAACCACGGCCCCTCTCTTCAGCCGCGAAGCGTTCATCGCGTCGGAAATCCTGAAGAGAGCTCGCAATACGGAGTGTTGGGCCGGATAATCTCCGTCCAGTGAGTGCTTCCTCCTCCGCGCACCAGGCCCGCAGTCGAAGACGCAGCACAGCGACCCGTCCGGCGTCCACGTCCCCGCCGAGCCCCGCCTCTACCTGAACACGGTAAGCACGCCTCGCCCTCCGCGCGCGCGACGCACTCCCTCACCGGCAGCCCGCAGAACGCGCCCTTCTCCGCGCTCGTCTGCGGCGTCCAGGGCGCCGGCAAGTCCCACACCGTCTCCGTCATGCTCGAGGGCATGCTCATCCCGGACTGCCCGAGCGTCGGCACGTGCAAGCGCGCGCTCGCCGCCTCGTCCTCCACTTCGGCGAGGGCGGGCCCGGCGCGCAGCCGTGCGAGGCCGCGTGGCTCGCGCGCCCGACGCCGCCCGCCGCGTCCGGGTGCGCGCGCCACCGGTGCGCGTGCTCGTGTCCGCGTCGGCGCTGCCGGCGATGGCGGCGGTGTACGCGCCGCTGCGGGGGCGGTCGCGTCGGTGGAGCCGCTGCGGATCGCGGAGGCGGAGCTCGACGCGCAGGGGATCCTGTCGATGATGGCGGTCGGGGACTCCGCGCAGGGCGCGCCGCTGTACATGCAGACGGTCCTGGTGCGTCCGTCGGTTTCGCGTGGGGTGGGGCGGGCGCGCACGCTGACCGGGGTTGTGGCCGCCACAGTCCATCTTGCGCGAGCTGGGGGGCGGTTCACGTACAAGGCGTTCATCGAGAGGATCAACGAGGCGATGCGGGAGATGAACCCGCAGCAGAAGGCGAGCCTCAAGCAGCGGCTGGTCATCCTGGAGTCGTTCGTGGACGCGAAGGGCGCGCGCACGGAGTCGCTGTTCGCGCCCGGGCAGCTCACCATCGTCGACCTCTCCGACCCGTTCATCGACCCGGGCAGCGCGTGCGCGCTGTTCGAGATCATCACGCGGCTTTTTGTCAGGGCGAAGATGGAGACGGGCAAGGTGCTCGTGGTAGACGAGGCCCACAAGGTGCGTACGTCCGTAGCTCTGCGATGTCCGTGAGTCTCACACCAGCGCGCCGCGCCGCAGTACCTCTCGGCCCATCGAGGCGAGACCGGGCTGACGAAGGCTCTCACCGCGCTCATCCGCCAGCAGCGCCACCTCGGGATGCGTGTCGTGATCAGCACCCAGGGTCCGTCTTCTCGCGCGAAACGGCGGCTGCGGCAGCGCGCTGACGATCCTCCAGAGCCTACCGCAGTGCCCCCGGTGCTCATCGAGCTCTGCAGCATCGCGATATTCCACCGCTTCTCCTCGCCGGCGTGGTGGGAAGCCGTGGCGAGACGGTCTGTGCCGACGCCTCGAACGCGGAAGGCTTCGACCAGGTCGTGAAGCTCAAGGTAGTACGTCTGCCGCTTTCGCGCAGTGGGCGCGGCCTGAGTCTGTCTCTTCCTGTAGACGGGTCAAGCTCTCGTCCTGTCGCCGAGCGGCCTGGGGTGTTCCCGTCCGCCGGTCAGCCGTCGAAGGGAAGTCGGCGAAAACGAACCGGGTCGCGCAGTTCGGCCGCCGGTATTTGCTCATGAAGACCAGGAAACGGGTCACCCAGGACGGAGGGGCTTCGATCTGGCGTTGGCTTCGTGACCTGAGCCTCGGGGAGTGATTGCGCGAGGCTCTTCTATCGTAGCTCTGCGTTTGCTTTCGGTTCCTATGTATATGTTGATGCTCTGAATGCCGCTTTGCTTTGAAGTTCGTTGCCTGGTGTCGAAGTCCTGTTGCAAATGGCTTTTGCTTCCGCTATTGGGAAGTGTGCGAAGCATGGCCAGTGTGTCGTCCCTTATCCTCCCAGGCATCTGTTATGTTAAATGTCGCGATTATTCGTATGCAACGCCATGGTTATGGGGGAACAAGTCCAAAGACAAGAATGGCACTGGCTGGGCCTGGAAGCTGCCGTCGTTCCTGGGTCGCACGCCACTCGGAGGTCGCTCGTCGCCGATTCCCGGTTGTTCTCCGACCACGAACAACGCCACAGCACAGACACCGAACGCAGCTCTCCTCCCCTGCTCGCTACCACGGGAGGCTTTACGTGGACCGAACGCCAGGCACGCATCGCCTGCCCCGCACCTTCACGCCTACATACCCGCCGTTGCTGAGCGCCGAGCGCCGTATGTAAACACCATAATCGCGGAGGCGACTTGTTGGCGGTGATAAGGAGCCCCGCCTGCACATGAAATCGGGGTGCCAAGCGGTGGGACAGACGGCGCGAATCGTCGCTTCTCCACGTGGGCGTCGACGCTCGACCGGCTGGTGCGTGCTCGACGAGGCTCTCCTCCTGAATCCTGATGCAACACCCGCTGATCAACGGCAACGCTTCATCGGCCGTCGCCTTGCGCCAGAAGGAGAGTACACACGTGTCGCCGCGGGGGGGAGCGCTGGCAGCCGAAGCCGAAATGAAACGCTCTGCCAGCATCAGACCAGAGACGGCTTGGGTGAATTTCAAGGAACGGACCGATGCCACGCGCTTCAGCGAAGTGGCACCCGGGGGCGTTGGACTTGATTTGGGAGATGGCCGGGTCGAACGTTGGCGTCCGAGGCAACGCGCCCTGCAAGCGACGACGAAGCGGCGACGCGGCTCGAGCTCGCCATGATCTGCAAGCTGCGGACACCGTCCCCGCGTGGTCGTGCGACCGGCCGCGGGCGTTGTCGCAGATGCAGCCGCGTCTTCCGCGCCTTTCGAGCAGAAGCCGGGGGGCGCACGCGGAGACGGGAGAGGCGGGATGAGGTACGCAATCTCGACAAACCGGGAGGCGCCGCGAACGCGGGTGCGTCCACCGCGTCGCCCACTCGCGGATCGGGCATGAGCGAGGCGGGAGGACGGCGCGGACACGCCCTCCCTGCGCGCTGGGCGCGGTCATCGTCCTCTTGTCAGCGAGAAGTTGGAAGACGATCTGCCCTGGCGCGAGGCGCGAGGTCCGTCCGACCGCGCGCTCGCGAGGGGCGCCGAACGCGCGGGGTCCTGGCGTGGACGAGCTCGAGCTCCGACCCGCGTCAGCGCACGCTCGAAAGCTGGCTTCCGCCTCTGCCTCCGGGCGGCGTCACGCGAGAGCAGCTCTTCTCGCTCTCGCCGACCGGCCACGAAGCGCACCGCACCGCACGCTCGTGGTGGACGGGTGGGCGCGCCGCGCGCGCTGCAGAGCCGTCTTCGAGCTTCTCCCGGGGCAGCTACCCAGCGCACGATCGCTCACCCGGAAGACTTGGGCGAAGCGTGGTCTCGCGCCTGGCGTCCAGGCGCGCCTCGAGGCGCGTAAACCGCCCGGGGGACGGGCGCCTCCCCCTGCGGGGTTCAGCCACCGGGCGTCTGAGAAGGCGGAACCACACACGCCATGGGGGCCACCAGCGCCGGGGCTCGCGCGGGCGCGGGCGCAATCCTTGTGGGATTCGTGCACGCGGGCTCAGAAAGAAAAAGTCGCGGTCGCCGCGCGCCCACACTCCGTCGTCGTCGCGACTGCACGCTTGGTGTCCCCGCGACGGCGGTCGGTGTCGGTGCCTCGCTGCGGTCCGCGGACGCGGAGGTCGCCATCGGGGCGTCGGTCGGGCAAGCGTTCACATCGCGTCCGTCACGAGAAGTGGGCGGGCCACCATCATCGTGCGCGCACTAGCCACCCGCGACCGCGCTTAGCCGCTCGGGCGCGCGCGCACGGAGATTGAAGGGGCGCGAGGCGGGCCTCCTGGTGCGCTAACGAGCACCCGCAGCGAACAGATGCGCAGGGTCGCGCAGGGTCGCGCCGACGTCGGCAGAACCCGGTGTTCAAGCTCAAGCCGTCCCCCAGGCGGGAGGCGCGCGCTCTCGTCACCGACGGCGCTCGGCCAGAGGCGGCGAGGAACGGGGGGGCGAGCGCGCGAGGCCGGAATAGAGCGCGCGGTGCAGCGGGAGTTCGCGCGGCGCGAACGCAGCTGGCGCCTCGAGGCCTCCTCGCCGTCGATCCGCGCGGCCGCACCTCTCCACGTTCCCGCCCGGCTCCAACTCAAGTCCGCGGGGTCGTCGGGCGGTGGGACGGGGGATGGGGGTGGGGATGGGGGAGGCGGGAGGCGGCAGAGCTTGCAATATGTCCGGAGTCCGGTCGCGCAGGAGTCGTCCACACCCGGCCGGACGCGCGGGAGCGGGGTGAGGGGAAGCCCCGGGGTCGGCAACGCGCAAGCGTTCGAGTCGTCCAGGCCTCCCGCCAGCCATCCCATCCCATCCCATCCCATCCCATCCCGGCGGCCCGGGGCGAGTGCTATCTCCTCACGTAACCCGTCCATGCCCGTCTCCGACAGCGCACACAAGCCCGCGCGCGCACGTCGGGCGGACGTCAACGCGTCACGGCGCCTTCTGGCCTCTCGTGCGCGTAGGTAAGCACGTGCGACGATGCCCCATTCGGCGCGTGCGCGCGCGCCGCGACCCTCGTTCGGCGTGCGCATTGACCGGGCGCCCCGAACGCGCGCGTCGACCGACTGGAGCTCCGACCCCGTGGCCACGTTCCCGACGCAGCACGCTAGAAGCCCGCTCCCTCCTTCCCCCGCCCGTCCGTCGCGGCGACTGAATTCTTCGCCGCCGCGACTTCGAATTCGGCGAGCCCAGGTCCTGGTCGGGAGCTCGTCCTACCGTTATTACGCCGCCGACTCCCGGCCGGGCTCGCGCAAACTCCACCGCGTGTGCGCGCGACGCGAGGGGGGGGGGGGGGGTTTGTGGGTGCGTACGTGTGAGCGCACCGGTGCGGTGCCAACGCCTGCCGCCCGCGGGGTAAGTGCGACAGCGACAGGCGAAGCGAAGAGCGAAAATGACAGCACGAACGGCATGCAGGCGGCGGGCGGGCGGGCGGGGACGAGGGCGCCAGAGGGAAGGGCTATACGTATACTTATATGATATACAATCCCGATCCTACGGGATTCAATACGGGTGCGAGTTGTACAGGCGGGCGAGAGGAGAGGCAGACACGAGGCGGGTGGGTAGGGTGCGATTATGTATAACGGGACGTGACGCGGGCGGGCAGACTAGCTATGTGTGGGGGGCTCGATACGGGGCGGCGGGCGGGCACTAATGATGGGCAAGGGCGGGCATTAGCAGTTCGGGCGGGTGTGCAGAATATACAGGACGTGTGGTGCAAAAGACAAGGCGCATGTGAACGGAACGAGAACCGAGGGCAAGAGTCAGTACGTGGGAAGTGAGTGCAGGCGATGACAAACGTAGAGCGTAATGATATGGAGATGAGACGGAGGGAGACGGCGGGCATGTCGCGGGCCAGAGAAGGGGGAAGGAGTCCACGCGGAGTAGCAGGGGCAAGGGACCGGGCAAGGTTGTGGGAAGGAGGAGTGCATGGTGTGAAGCGGAAGCCTTGGACGATCGACATCCAAGGGCGGTGAGGTAAGGTGCAGTGCGGGCAGAGGGCAGAGGACGGAGAGCACAAGACTCGACGGGCGTAAGGTGCAGGCACATGAAACAGCAGCCGAGGAGGGTTCGCGACGACGGCCCACACGCGCACCGCACCCACACCGTGGTACGCAGCGGGGCAAGCGCACGCATTCAGTGTCGCCAACCGGGCGAAGGAAAGAAGGAGACGGACGAGCCGGAAGGACTGGCGCGGCGGCGACCGGCGATCAAGATGCGCGAACGACGCGCCGGAGTGCCCGGCGCTCAGTTCTCGAGCAGATCCTTCTCCTGGCGCACGCACGACAGCCAAGCGAACCACATCATGGTCCGGAGCTGGAGCACGTCCTCCTTCCAGGCCATCGACTGGTTTTGCTCACGGAACTCACGCGTCAGCGTCTCGCAGCGCTCGATGTTCTCCGGGCTGACGAAATCGGCCGCGACCTTGATGCAGTCCGCAAGGTTGCATACCTGGCACAACCGTCGTCAACGGATGACCAAGAAAGAAGGGCGAGCAAAAACAACGCACCTGGTGCGCGCATCCGGCAGGGATGAACACCGCCTCGCCCGGACGCTGGTAGATCCTGTGGCTGATGACGTTGTGCTCGCGGTAGAGCTCCTGGCGGAGGCTCGCGTCGAGGTAGAACTGCTGCGAGTGGATCGGGTCGTGCTGGTACTGGCCCTTGAACCGCCTGCGGAGGAACTTGCGGAGCTTGCCCGTGTCCTCCGCCCGGTAGATGTCCCACGCCGCGCAGCCCGGCCGTCCGTCCGGCGTCGCCGAGGCGTAGGTCATGATGTTCACTGCGTCGGCCATGTCCATGTGGAGCCGGGTCGAACCTTTGCTACCCTGCGACTCGAAGGAGGCCATCGCGTTGTACATTTTCGGGCCTGCAGAACGAAGGAGGGCAGGAGCGATCAGCAGAGATGCGCAGGGCGACGTTCCCAAAAGAATACGCACCGAGATCGGGCCCTACGGAGTTGGTGGGGAAGTGCGACGCGATGTTGAACACCCCATCACGCCGGACGTAGTTGGGAACAGGTACCGCGTTGCTGAAGTCCTCGTACAGATCTGGGAACGCAGTCTTGAAGTCCGTCGACGGTGGCCAGTCCTGTAACAGCGCACGAAGAACACGAGGAGACCCCCGTACGTCAGCTCCACGAACGAAGCCGAAGGGACGCAAGACGCACCTTGAGCTTCCAGCAGTCCATCCGCCCCTCGTACTTGCCGAAGAGCGCGAAGAACTCGCCGACGGTCACCCGCTTGTTCTGCTCCGTCTGGCACTCGAGGATCAGGCAGCTCTGCGTCCCGTACTTCTGCGCGAAGTGCTCCGGGGTCCACGAGATGCGGAACCGGTGCCCGAGCCCGGTGACGACGAGCGGCACACCCGTCTCCCATACGCTCCGGAACCGTGCGTCCGTGCACTCCGCCTCCGTGAACGTCACCGTCACGTGCGAGGGCACCACTGGAGCCGCTGCGGGCGTGGTGGAGGGCGCAGCGGATGCGGACGACGACGGCGCGGTCGACGGCGCGTACGTGAACCCTGAGGTTGTGGCGGCTGCGGTGCGGCGGCGAACGTCGGTGTAGGTCGCGGTCGGAGACCCGTCCGGGCTCGCCGAGCCTCCCGCAGCAGGCACGGGCGCGCGGGGGATCGCGGCGAGAGCTCTTGTTCTTTCACGACCGTCGTGTCCGCGCCCGCGCTCGCGCTGCGCCCTTCACCACGGCCTCCATCTCGGTGATCGCGCGCTGGAGCTCGGCCTTGCAGAAGCGGGACATGGGCGAGAAGTCCTTCGCCTGGTGCTCGTTCCTGCGCGTGCAGGAGAGGAAGAACGGGTTGATGTGCGCGTGCTTCTCGCGCCGCGCCTGCAGCTGCGCGTTCTCGGCTTCTGTCGCGTCCGCGCGGTCGACGGTGAGCTCCTTCACCTGCGCGAAGCACTCTGCGCACGCCTCGCGCCCGCACAGGCGGCACATCCAGCTCGTCGTGAAGATCGACGTCATGCACGTGTCTGGGTGGCCGAAGCGGAGCGTCAGCGGCGCCGTAAGTTGGGGCTGCAGATATGACTGACCGCATGTCGCCCGCACTTCGTTCTCCCGCGGACGAAGGATGATCTCGGGCCGTGCCATGTGCAGAACCTCTTCGGAAAGAATGGGCACACGCTCGTGCCACCGTGCGCTGCGAAAGCTGCGCGTCAGCACGACGCGCTCCGTCGCTTGCACACGCAGCGAAGCTCCGCACCTGGACGTGGAAAATGTGGTCCATCTGGAGCGGCACGTTCCATTTGTTCGGGAATGTCATAGTCGGCGCGTCCGGTTTCTGGCTCTCGACGAAGCTGATGCCGACTATGTCCCGGTTCTGGTTCTTGAGGAAGAAGCGGATGCCTTGGAAGCGGCACGTGTCGCCCGCCCAGCGGCGCGTACACGACACGCAGCGCGGGAACTCCTCCGAGCGGTACCGGTTCGACATGCACCGCGCGAACTGTAACTCCGGCTGCAGGGGACCTGTGGCATCGGGGCTGACCGCGCCGTCGGCCTCGGTGACTACGCGCATCGCACCATACGCGGGACCTGCGTGGGCAGAGCGCGCCGCAACAGAGAAAAGTGCGGATGAGCGCGCCGCGCGAGAGGAGACGAACACGTAAACGGAGGTAATTACCGCTGGAGCCGGAAGCCTTGTCCTTGCCTGTATCAGGAGGCGGACGTATGAGCACCGTCACATTCGCGCGCGTGAGGGGAAGGGTCGCCTCCGCTCGCGTAGAGGCCCGCAGCGGAGGCACGGGTCCACTTACCGTTTTGGGACACTGCCTGTGAGTCGTTGCGTTTCCGGCCGTTGGACCCGCGACGTGCGGCGGCTGGTGAGGGGAGCGCGCGTGAATACGGTGGATCGGGGACGGTCACACAGGAAGGGAAGGACGGGCGCCTGTGGTGGAAAGGACTGACCAGATGTGGGCTCGGGCTTAGGCTTCGCCGCCCGAGCCTTCTTTGACTTGGGGCCGGCCTGGTCGTCGTCAGCAGGCTCAGGCGCGCGCTTCTGCTGAACGGCGGGCGGCGCAGCGAGCGGGATGGCAGCGAAGGCCATATTGACTGGGTGCGCGTAGTAGCCTTGGGGCGACGCGGGGCCCCGCTCGCGAAGGGACGGGGCGCCGCGGGCTGCGAAAGGAAGGGCGGGCTATGCTTAGCTTTAGGGCGTGGTGATGACATAACGGAAGAGCTTACGGGGCGGCTGGGGGTACGGGTACGGCAGGTAGGCTGAATGCGCATATACGGGCGGTTGCTGGGACGGGTGCGGATGGGGCGCGACTTCGCCGTACGCCGCTGGCGGGGGCGGGGGTGGGGGCGGGTAGTCTAGCGCGCGCAGGGTCGGTGGGGGCAATGGAACGACTCGCGCGGGAGGACTCACTCGATCTGGACGCGGGTTCGGCGGCGGCGGACGCTGGATAAAACGCGAACGGAAATGACGGGAGATCCGCGGCGGGGGCAAGACGCCTAGACGTACCTTGACCTTGTCGCTCGTCCGCATACGCGGCGGGGGCCATCATCGGCGGCGGTCCGTAAGACGCGCCGGGAGTGTCATGCGTCGGGGACCAGGCCTGGCGACCGTCAATTGAGTACGGCGAGCTTTGGTCCGCGCGAGGCGGCCGCGGCTTCTGCGGCTGCGGCTGATGCTGGGAATGCGGATGTTGGTAGGACTCTGGGTACGATGACTGTGGGTGAGCATGTGGATGGGCGTGCGCGGGAGGAGGCTGGGGTTGCGCTGGTGGCGGGGGATAGCGGTAGGATGATTCGGACTCGGATCGGCGGGAGACAGAGGACGAGAGGTCGTCGCCGCCCGACTCCCAGTTCGCTGCACGCAGAGAATATGCGGGTGGACCGAGCTGGACGTAGTGGTCGCCGGAGGCGGGGGGAGGTGATGATGGTACTGGAGGGCGGTCGCGAGCGGGGGGAGCTGCTGGGGGTAGGGCGGGGGGAGGGGGCGGAGGAAGTGGCGGCGACGGGGTTGAGGAGCTCGTTGATGGAGGTGCGTTTGTTGTGGACCTGGGGGTCATGGAGGTGCTGCATGGCGGCGCGAGGGACGCGCGGAGTGGGGGGGGAGGAGAGAGGGGGAGTGGTGGTGGTTGCTCGCGGCCAGTGGAGGGCGTTGAGAGGGACTTGGGAGGAAGGAGAAGGAGGCGTGCCGGGCAGGAGCCTTACAGGGCTCGTCCAGCGCCCTCGGCGGGTCCGACACTCTCCGCCTGGCTGGCCTGCCCCATCCGGACGCCCATCAGCCCCCGCGCACGCTCCCCAGATCAGATTAGATCTCCGACTCCGCCTCGCACAGCCGCCCGCAAGGCCTCGTGTGGGCCGTGGCTTCCCCATCCACATCCGCGAACCGTGCCCGTCCGCCGCCCGCCCGGGTGCCCCTCCCGCCCCAGACCCTCTCCCGGCGCTCTGCCCTGCCTGCCCCATCCGACAGAGGGCTCCGTGCCACCGCCGGACGGTGCACGCTGCAGGTGCTTACCCGTGCACGGAGCACGCCTCGCGCGAGAACGGAAGACGCGCGGATGCGTGCCCGTCACGCGGCGCGCACCCCGCCGCGCCGCGGCAGCAGTCACGCGCGCTCACGTCTGCGCCTGCCGGTTTCGCGGCCTTCTCGCGCGCAGATTCGAGCGTGTGCGAGACCCTGTATGGGACACTCCCGCGTTCGCTCGGTGCGTGTGTGGAGGTGCACATCATCCCGCGAAGAACGGGCGACGACGCTCCTCCCAGGCTGCCACGCCGTCGCGGGGGGCGGTGTGCATCAGCGCCAACGGGCGCGATAGGGACGCGATGCCGGCCGAGGCGATCGAGGGAGGAGCGGACGCCGCGGGCTTTCCTCCCGCGAGCGTGTGCGGCGATGGATGGATGGCTGGCCAGTGGCACAGGGGCCCCACTGCGATCGGCGTCCGCGGCAAGCGCGTCGCTCGTCAGCGCTTCAGCACGCTTACTCACGCTCCCCTCTGCCTGCGCCCGGGCCCTCTTGCTCCCGCGGCGCTCCCCGGGGGCTCGCACCTGCCCCTTCCAGGCGCCCGCGCGGCCAGGCGCTTCGCCTTCTTTCCCCGGTCTACGCCCGCGTCGCACGCCCTGCGGATGGCGACCGCGAGGGGCCTGCGCCGCCGCCGCGCCCTGCTCCACACACGCGTACGTACGCGCGACCCGCCCGCCACAAGGGCCACCCAAATACAAAAAGCGAACGCGCACCAGAAACCGACGCCATCACGACCGGAGGAAGCGCCACGGCCCCGCGGCCCGCCCATCGCCCGCCAAGGCCCGCCGCGGCCTCCGGCCAGCCTGGCGCCCTGCGCAAACAAGACCGGCGCGGGCGCACCGCAACGCGCGCTCGTCCTTGGCCACCAAATTGCGCCCTGTTCAGTGTTTGCGCCCCCGGTGACTATGCCCGTTCGGTGAACAAGGTCCCCCCCCCACTTCCCACCCTTGTCCGCCCGCGGACCTTCACCAGCCGCCGAATCGCCCCCGGCCAGATCATCCGTCCCCACAAATCCCGACGCGCACGGAGGACGCCTCCCCGTGCCTCGGCCGCCGGCTGAGCGTGTTATTATCTCGAGAGCTTCCGCCTCAGCCCTACGCTCGGCCGAGCCTGAGCCACCTTCGCCCACATGTCCACCCGTTTTTGGCGTGGCAGCGAACGTTTCCAGCCGAGACAGTTCGCGGTTCCTCGGACGACAAAGTTCATCCTGTTCATCGCCCACTCCGAACGCCCATCGAGCGCTCGAAGACTTCTCCGGTGACAATGTCCATCGCCCTCCGTGACACGTTGATCGAAAGCCCATGACCTGCTGTGAAGCGTGGCATGAGGGCGAAAATGCAGTTGACAGCCATTACATAACCGTGGCCCGCACTAGTGTAACTCGCCCGCCCAGCAGGCTCGTCGGAACTTTGCGCCTTGTTCTAACTTTTGTGTGGTGTTGTGCGCACGGGCGCCCGCGCGTGATGCACACATGAGCACTAGGTACCTACCGGCCGGCCGGCCGTTGTGCCCAGCGAGGCCCGAACCTTGTGCCAAGCTCCAACCCCCCTCAGCTCCCCGCGTACACAGTCTAGCCGGTATCGCGGAGCCAAATTCGAAGAGGACGGTAGGTCGCTTACCCGGACGGGTCAGGCGCGAGATCGAAAGGAGGTAGATTGCACGCACAGAACACCAGATGCGGGCGGGACGGGCGACCGACCGTCGGACAGTCACGGGCGCGAGGACTGTGGACATTGGAAAGGGAGGGGAGGGCTGGCGGCGGGCGGGCGGGCGCGATACCAATTGGCGCGTTGCGCAACGTGCAGGCCTCGGGCCTCTGCACGCGGCGCGCAATGTAACTCGACTCGTCGGAGCGCTTCCGCCCGTTCTCCCGCGACCGCGACCGCGCGCCGGGCCTGCAGAACGTGCTGCACGATCGGACGCTCGAGCCGAGCCGCACGCACGCCGCGCGAACCGTGCCTCCGCGGGGGGAGAGTGGGGGGCAGACCGAAACCTTCCGCCTTCACGCCCACCCGCGACCTCGGTGGCTCTCCCGGCGGGGTGGCGTGCATGGCCTTCGGAACCTCCGCCCCGGCCAGGCCGTCCCGCCATCACGTACGCCCGCAAGGTTTCGATCGTGGCTTCGGCTTCTGACCGACCAACTGTATTTTCCGGCACCAGCTGCGCGGGCGGGTGAGACGTGCGAGGCGGCCGTGGAGGGGGCGCACTGCACATGATGCATGATCTCCGGTATGGCGTGCGCGTTGCGCCAGTGCGACCGCTCGAGAGTGGCCGGATCAGCCCACGGGGGCGCAGCACCATGGTCACTGGTGACGACGGTGTGTAGTTTGCAGATAGCTGGAAGGTCCGCGTGGGGCCTGGTCCGTGGGGCCCGCTCGTGACAGACCGACAGACCGACAAACCGACATACAGATAGACAGACAGACAGACAGACAGACAGACCAGTCAGGTCCCTTCTGCGGCCCCAGTGGGAGTGCATCATGGTGTTCGATCGGTGCGGGCTGCGTGCTGCCTTGAAAACGGCGGTGACTCGAGGACATCAAAGGTCACCGCCCCATACGAGCGATACGCGTGGATCAGGCGTGCGGCCGCTGCGAGTTGCCACAAATCACAATCAGCAGAGCATCACGAGAGCTGCGAACAGGACGTACGTCGCACCGGTATTTGGCGGCTCGGCGTCCGGTGCGGGACGCATCTACGTATGAGCAGAGCGAAACAGAACGGGAGGTAGCAGCAGTATCGATATATCATCGTGTATGGATATATGACAGGTGAGGCACTAGACTAGGGATAAGCTAAGTAAGTGGCTCCGTATGATACAGCAGCTTGGACAGCACGACATTCGACTGGGAAAGCGGGGATGAGGGGAGGGGTGAGTATGCAGGCAGGACCGGCGCGGCTATGGGCACGCACGCGGCTATGATATATCGTGAATGGATGCGGAAGCGGGAAAGAGGGGTGGTGAGCGAATGAACGTGAGTGCGTGGTATGAGTGCGAGTTTGAGCGACGTGCGTGCATGAGGGAGGGGTGGGGAGGGGAGGGGAGGGGAGGAAAGAGACATGCATGGCAAAGCGTGAATGCTGCCGGTTACACAGGATGCGAGGTATATGCGATGAGAGAGAGAGAGAACCGTAAGAGATAAAAACGAAGGCGATGAACGACAATGTACCCTGAGGAGCAGATCCAGTACGTATCGTGTACCACGCATGCGATGTACACCTATTAGACCCAAACCGTACCAAGTAACGGCCCCAGCGACGAGGAGAACAACGAGAACGGTGATAACCCAAAAATGAACGTGGGAGAACACGTCTACTGCAGCCAGCCCGCGGCCAGCCTGGGCCCGAGCCCAAGATCCAATACAACACGACGAGACCCAATCACTCCCTCAGACTGTCCGTGTCCAATGGGCGCCGAAGAAGCCAGGGTGTGGCAGACGGCATGTCCGATAATTCCGTAAAAGCAAATAGAAAAGAACGGGTCCTCGTCAGAAGAACTTGCGAAGGTACCCGGCGACCTTTGGAATAAAGGGGATCACAACAGGGAGGAGGGCCAACCAAGCCAGCGCTCCAAAGGTCGCCCCGCACCGTCATTGAGGTTGCGGTTGCGGTTCTTCTTTTTCGTGTCCAGGCAGGGGCGAAGGCAAGGACTCGCTGGGGTCCGCGGAAGTGGGAGCGTGCTCAGCGTTCGCATTCGGCGGATCATCGGGTGCCGTCGGCATTGAGGGAGAGACAGGAAGGGGAGCCTCAGAAGCTTCTTCTCCGGCAGAAGCGTTGGGCGTCGGAACAGTGAGCTCAAACCGGGCTGCAAGATTCAGAAGTTAACCCTAAAGCCCGACAGGGGAGAGCGGGCACACGGGCGACTTACGTGGTGGGCGCCCAGAGGAAGCAGATGATGAGGACTCCCGATCTGCGCTTAAACTAGTACGCGTCGGTGCTGTAGGGGAATGAATGTGAGCGGGAAGTATAAAGAGGGCCGCAGACCAAGAGCACACTCACGCGGACGTGGGGTCTGGCCCTGCCCAGGCGGTTCCGACATCAACTCGGACGAGCCCTCCGACTGCGCCTGTGATTGCGCCGGAAGCTTAGAGTCCGCCTTGCTCAGCGTTATCGCCGCGTCCATCGATGCCCTCCGCGTCTGTGACGACGACCGACTGGTGGCGGGCGACGAGCGTCCTTCAGGGACGTGCAACCTGCTTGCAACGCTCTGCGCCTGCGCGTTCTGTCCGCTCGTGATGCTCCTGACGACCTCGGGACGGATGTCGGCCCACATTTGCAGCGCCTTGATTGAACCCCATTCGATGATCTTGCTGTTCAACCAATGAAGTGATACCGGCTTCGTGAGGAAGTCATTGCAGCCCGCTGCCAGCGCTGCCACGCGATCGCTCTGCAGCGACGACGCGGTGAGCGCGACGATGATAACGGATGACCGGTACGATGGCGTCGTAGCAGACCGTGTCTCGGATGTTGAGGTGTCCGAGGGAGTTTGCTGACCCTCTGACTGCGGTGTTGAAGGGAAGCCTCCCACGCCATTTGACTTTTCCATCCTCCTGATCTCCTTAGTCGCCTGGATGCCGTCCATGACAGGCATCTGGATGTCCATCTGTGGGAACTGAGGTGAGTATTGGAGCGTGGGAGAAGAAGTGGTCCTTACCAGGATGAGATGGAAGCCACCCGACCGCCATTTCTGCACGGCTTCCTCGCCGTTCTTCGCCACGTCGTACTTGATTTTTTTCTTTTTCATAAAGGTGGACAGAATGGTCTGGTTGATGGGATTGTCTGAACACAACGGTGTACGTCAGCAGGCAGCCGCCATCGTGAGCACCAATCCACACACCGTCGACGATGAGCACACTGATCGGAGGAACAATATTGTTCTCCCCAACCCGCGCGCCCTTCTTGGCCGTTGGAACAGACGAGGCGGACGACGTCGCTTCCGTCGACGACCGCTTGGCTGGCTGACGTCTGGGAGCGGGCCCTGAAGCCGGCGAACGACCCTGTGGGGACAAAGGTGGGCTGTGTCGAGGATCCTGACTGATGCGCCGCGTTAGTTTGGGCGGGACCGGAGACAGAGGTGGTTTGTCTGACATTGACGAAGCGGCAAGGTCGGGCTCCTCGGACGTGCTCTCCACCAACGGCGGCGCGCGCGCCTTGCCCTTCGTGGACGAGGGCATTACCGGTGTCCCGACCTCGAATACGACCTCTGTGGGTGTCTTCTCGGCGTGTGGGCTCCTGCGTGCGATCTCAGGCGCAATGAAGGTCAGCGCGCGACGAGTCTCGTCACCGTCCGATGTGCGACGACTGGTGGTCCCGCGAGAGCGTCCTCCCTCTGCGGCAGAGTAAGCTCGCGCTCGCGTGCCTGCGGCGGAGTCCTTACCTTTCGACTTCGGATGGAAGAATATTCCTGCCGGCTGGCCGTCGGGGCTCTGGATGACGAGCCCAGAGGATGGCGAAGTCCCCAGCTTTGTAGCAGCATCGGAAAAGTACTCCATGGTGTCGGGAGCACCCAAAGGTGACGACGGTGCATGATTCACGGAGTCGAGGCCCGTCTCCTTTGGGGACCGCGCGGAACGGTCGGAGCTCGTGCGCATGCTGCCTGTTGACCGCCCACCGGGAGAGCGCTGGTTGTTCGCAGTCGTGAAGAAGGGCGTCATGTTGTGGAAGCTGGGGCTGACGGGCGACGTCGCAATGGGGGCGAAGAACGGGTCGACAACGGGTTTTGTAACGGCAGTGTGAAGGGAGGTCAGAATTCGGCGTGGGCCTGCAGGCTTGGGGATGACGATGACTTCGGGTAACCGTGTCCACGAGTTGCCTGGCGTCATGATGGACTGGATGGCGTCCTTGACGAGCTTGAAGTTCTCTAATGAGGTAAAGTGAACGATCACGACCTGTGGCGTGACCTGGGCAGGCATCGGGGTCATTCCCATCACTCGTGCGACCTGGGGTGAAGATCGTGGTCTGTGGTTCTGAGCGAGCGACGGCCGTTTGCGACTGTGAAGTTGGAGAGGATAAACCTGTTCTGCGCGAATCTTCTGCAGCCGTGCCCGTAGCACGCCCACGTCGTCGTCGATGAGAACGAAAGGTTCGGCGCTAGTCGGGCTCCCTGTCGGCGGCGACACATTCGGGGGTGATGGTTCCGCGCCTCCGCTGTCTCGCGACGTCGTTGACTCCGTCTCAGCAAGCTTCTCGCCCAGTTCCACAAGACTCTCGGCGTCCGGCTCGGTTGACACATGACTAACGTCGAGACCCCAATTTGTGAGGTAACTTGTCAGGTGCCGAGCGAAAGAACCCTTTGAGTGCGCAAACAGGGTGACCTTGCGTCCTCGTAGCGACTCGGCGAACTGCGTGAGCTGTTCAAGGGTAGGTTCATGGGATATGCGCAGCTCGGCAGGATAGCCGAGGTAGGCGGCTTCTTCCGGGGACAAGTTCACCGCAGGATCCACGACGGAGGGGATACCACGATCGAGGGTGGTGGTAAGGACGCAGGTGCGACCCACGAGGGCACCCCGATTCGCGATATCAGGTTCGAGATGGGCATCAACATGTTGCAGGAGACGGCGGAGAATGAGGGTCTTGAACGAGGGCACATTGCGGGACGGCAGTGGAGGCAGTCCGTCGTCCTCAACAGCTGCATCACCTGCACCTTCGCCCACAGGAATAGATGATGGAGGTTCTTGCATGCCAAAGCGGTGCGCGATGTGAAAACTGCAGCGCAGGGGTCCATCCGTGCCGAGAACAGGGGAGCCTGACCTTGACGGCGCGCCAGGGGAAAGTGACCGCTGCGGATTCTTCGCGCTGTCGATGAACAGTCCAATCTCGATGCTGTCGCCCTGTTTCGCGACGCTGATGACTTGACGGAGAATCTACAGTGTGTGCACGCACTGAGCAGCCGCGCACCTGCAACCGAGCAAGGGTACTCACATGGGACAGCGTGTAAGACAATCCGCTCTCGTCGCCCTTGACGGCGACGTGCCGCAAGCCGAGGTCTTCGTGGAAGAGGACGAGGTCGACGCCCGCTTGCGCCGCTACACCGCTCAAGGCATCCCCCACGCTCTGCAACATCTCTCCGACATCAAAGTCCACGTACGTGCTTGAGCCTGAAGCAGCGCGCGCGGACCGCGCGGAGCCGGCAGGGGAATTTGGAGACGGGCCGCCGTCAGAACCAAAGGTCGACATGTTAGCGGACATGAAGTTCAGGTTCTTCATAGAGGTGAACATGGCGGAGATGGAGGGGGTAGGGATGGAGAGCGAGCAGGCGGCGAACTGTTCCTTTGCAGGGTCGAGCACCTGAGGCGGCGAGAGCTGGAGGAGGGTCTGTATGACCATTTGGACAGAGTCGGCAAGCTCGAGGGAAAGTTCCTGGAGGTGGACGGGTTCCTCATAGGGGCCAGCCATGGGGGAGGGTGAGAAGGAACCTGTGGACGAGGGCGCTCGCCTGGGGTTTTGAAACGGGCCGAGCTGGGAGGGGAGGGGCATGGAGAACGCGCGGGAGAGGCGGGGGATGGACGGAGATGGGTTGGCGTGCTCCATCGGGTCGCGGTCGGTGGCGAGGCTGTTGGTGGGAGTGACAAACTCAGAACCGTCGCTTTCTTCCGTGGCCGTATGCGGCGGGCGGCGGGCGGTGTTCGCGGGCTCGTCGTCTGACAAGTCCGTCTCGCCCTCGGAGGAGGAGGAGAGGGTGACGTTAGAGGCGAGCTCGGAGGGATTGGGTATATGCGTTGGGGACTCCGCGGGCCATGCGATCCCAAAGCGCGTAGAAGGGGGCAGCTCCACCACGACGGCGTCAGGGTCGTCGTCGCCTCCCGCCGCGCCCGCCACGATCGCTGGCAGGCGGACCGAGGGGAGCCTGGGGGCCGACATTGCAGATGGCCTCGGCCAGCGGCGGCGGTCCTCAACGTGCGCAGGCGGAATGCAGAAGCAGTCGGCGCGCGCGATCGCGGCTGAGCACGGCGGCGAGGCAGGAGGCGAGGCGGCAGAGGCAAGCAAACAGTAGTGCAAAGTGCGAGAGCAGCGTCGAGCAGAGCGCAGACCGTGTCCTTGGCATTGTTTGGCGGTGTTTGGCCGCGCTGCTTCGACCGCAGGCACTCCGCTTGCCAGAAGTTGTCACTGGCCACTAGCAGCGACCGCTCGTCGAGGCCACCACTTCACTTTTTCGTACGCGCGGGACCCCAACATCCCCGCAGTGCCTCTCCGCCAGGAACCAGCGAGGGGCCGGGCCCAGGTGCGGCCCGCGCCGGTTCAACGTTCTTGCCAGAGTCGGTAACGCAAACGGTCCGGCCATGCAATGCATTGCGATTAGGGTATGCATTTCGAGAAGCTCCGAGACCAAACCTCGCGGATTGCTCGCCGGCACCCTTGAAGATCGAACCCGGCACAGAAGCATTCACATATTCATGCCGCATTGCTCTCGTGTCGACGCCGGAGATTGCGTACCTGCGGTTCCCGCGGGGCAGATGCGCCTCACGTTCGAGACCGACGACACGAGGCTCACGAGGCACAACATCCGCCGCGTGAAGAATAGTGAATCAACCATAAACGAGTTATGCACAGAACCGGACAGCAGTATTACAAGAATCGGAAACTAGTACGTCAACTCGACATCCCCCTCCGCGACCTGGTCCACATCCACGTAGCTCACCTTCCGGCCCGCCTGGGCCCGAGGGTCCTCCTTCGCATTCAGCGGCGGTGGAGGCGGCGGTCCGCCAGCACCTCCCCGACCTCGTCCGCGCTGCGCCCCTTGTCCTGGTTCCGATACTGCAGGCTTCGCAGGCAGCCCCGCAGAGGCCGCGGGCACAGGCAGCAGGTCCGTCGACTGATCGAAACCAGGCGCGACGCCACTGATCCGATCGCTCAATCGACGGCCTACCACGCTCTCGTCTCGACGGGGTGGCAGAGGCATAGGCCCGCCAGCTCCTGCGTAAGGATATGCGTAGGGATCGAAATAGGCCGGCCCGGGAGGAGGGGGATAAGGGGGATACCCGCCGCCGTAAGGGTTGTAGGGAGGTGGACGCTGGTGCTCCACGGGGTACGCTGATGCAGCGAGCCCGTATGCTTGAGGGGGAGGGGGTTGGCTGGAGCCGACCACCTGTGGAGGGTGGCTGAACGGTTGAATGCGGTGAGGGTCGAGTGCGAAGTTGTTGAAGTAGGGGATCTGTCGAGTAGTCGTATCAAAAAAACGGCTCGAGAGGGAGATCAAGTGCACATACATCCTCGAGGCCTTTGACGAGCTCCGAGTGTTTGTTCAAGATGTGCTTCTCGACGAAAGACGTAGCTTTGAAGAGCTTTTGGCAAGTCTTACAGCGGAACTTGCCCTCATCTTCCTGCTTGATGAATTGTTCGCAAGCGCGAGCGAGCTCTCTGCGAAGACGTCAGTAGCGTGTCGCGATCATTACGTCCCAAACATACTCTTCAGGGCTTTTGCCGCCATAGTCGCGTGGATCGACCCCGGCCGGGTCAATCAGCAGAGCAATCTTCGAATCCAGCCACTCAATCCAGCGCTCATCTGTCCGAGTAAGTACGCTGGTCAGTCGCATGTCGGTGGGTCAAAAGACGCGACACGCACCCGCTCGCTTCCAGTCCCTGTTCTCACTCCCCTTGTCCTTAACACTGGTATCCTTATCCTTTGGTACATCTCCGTCCTCAGCAGAAGGCTGGTCTTGGTCAGCCTTCTGGACCTCAGCAGCCTGGAGCTCTTGGAGCATCGACTTCGACAAAGGCTTTCTTACGTGCTTAATACACTTCCGCTGCAATTCCTCCACATGGTCTGTCACTACTGCGCAGTAGTAGCACGTGTTGAACGCTGCTCGAAGGTACGCCAGATACAGATCCAAAGCTATCACCGTCTGCGAAAGGAGAAACATCAGCATATTTGCGCAAAAAGGTGACAAGTCTCGTACCCGCTTAGCTTCCAAAGCCCTCTCGTCACTGGTGTCAACGGCCCCCTGCTCTTGCAGGTCCGCCATGACCTTCTCGATGCGCCTCTCGACCGCTTCACTACCCATCTCCGCGGGCTCAGCTTCGCCATCGGTGGTGTTCAGCTCTCCCATGGCGGTATCGTGGTCACCGTTGACGCTTGCCGGTTCGGGCTTGAACTTCAAGAGCATTTTGTACTCCTCCTCTTGCAAGACAGCGAGTCGCTTGGCATTCTCGAGGTCCTTGGAGAGCCGTTCAGGAAAGCTGGCAGCTTCAGGCGCGGCACGGATACGGGTGACGAAGGGCTTAGTGATGTGTGAGACATGGAGCTTGAAGCCTTCGATCTGGATGGGCATATCAGCGGAGTGACAGAGCGCAAAGTGGCATACACGGACCTTCTTCTCAGACAATTGGCTGAGGACTATCGTCATATCCGCGTCGTCGTTAAACTTGAGCCATCCCGCGCGGTAGTAGCTACGTTTCTGCATTGGGTCACCAAGGGCTAAATGGATAAAACCCGGGATTTTGCTGATCGTCTGTGAATATCATGAGCTCAGTGTCCTCCGCGATGTCATTGGTGCTTACATCTTCCAGCTTCGCGCGACCAATGTCAGGGGGAATGGTACGAATCATGACCTGGTTGCCTTCAGGCGGGACGGCCAGCTCCTCTCCACGGGTGTTGTTGCTCTTGTTCTTCGATGTGTTCCGCGAGGAGTCTTCCCCGGGTGCGTCCTCCTCGACGTCGACGTTGAACTGCATGTCGTCGTCGTTCCCCGCAGCCTGCGCAGCAGGCTTCTCGTCGGCAGTGGCGCCGTCAGCAGCGCCGTTCGCTGCGGAGACGTCGCCATTGCCATTCTCCCTCGACGTGTCTGCTACAGGCTCGCTGAAGTCGGGATCGAACCGACCAGACTCGAGGTCCAAGAGGAACGTGTCCATCCGCCCCTTCCACCCTTGCTTCTTCACCCGCATGCGCATCGCCTGGAACTCAGGTGCCGGGTCGTACTTCTCCGCGAACCATGGCGACTTCCGGTGATGGTCGAACATGCGCTGGAGCTACAAGGCATGTTGGGGCAGAGGCGTGTGGGATGTGATGGTCGGACGCACCTGCTGAGCAGCGAACTCCTTTTTGTACTTCTCCCACCGAGTCTTGATGCCGTTGCGAGGTTTGACGCCGCCACCAGCTTCTTGTTCCGCTAGTTTGTCCGCGTTGTCCTCCTCCATCGCTTGTTGAGGGTAGTAGTACCGGAACCATTCCGCATACTGCCTCAGCGACCCCGGGTAGTCGAATGTATGCGGGTCAGGAGGACCCCGACGCCCCGACGCGTACGGTGGTGGTGGATAGGGAGTGCGGTCGTACCCGTACCCACGAGAATGCGTGTCTTTGGGACGCGTCAGCCATGTGCCACATACATGAGCCTAAGAAGCATACCGTAGTCGTCGTTATACCTGGGCCTCGGCTCGTACCGATCCCGCTCCCAGGGAGACAATGAACGACGGCGCTTGCGACCAACTACCGTGCCACACGCCGGTCTCAGCGGGAAACAAAGAGCACAAAGACGAGGGACGTACCATCTTCTCCAGGAGGAGGGCTACGGCTCCTGCCGCGTCTGGAGTGGTCATACGCGGCTCTGTCCCTCTCGTAGTTCGCCCACGCCCTTTCCCTGTCGTATGCTTCCCAATCATTACGAGGCGGCTCCTGAAAGTTGGGCTCCGAGGGACGTGGAGGGTAGCTGGCCCGGTGGGGCGAGCGGGAGCGGGAGCGGTGAAGAGCAGGAGGAGGAGGAGGAGGATAAGCAGAGCCCCAAGAGGACATGTTTAGTGGATGAGGACTGAGAGAGAGAAAAGAGAAAGCGTTGAGCGAAGACTGGTAAGGAAAGCGAGAAGAGAGAAGGGGCCAGCATGGCGGGAGCACAGACCTCTTGAGATCGCGACACCGACGACAAGCACCGTGTTGTCGCTGCTCGTGGTGGGCTGCTCACTGGTCGCGCTGTCGAACGTCGGGCGTCACCCCGCCACGGCTGCCCTGGGAGTTTCAGACTCCGATTGAATCACTGACCTACAGGTCAACTTCCGTAAGGCGCCAGAACGAGCCGCATCGCCGAACGAAACTTCCCACTCCGCACTACTATCCACCGCAGCTTGTAAAGTACTTGTACTCCTATGTAGGAGTCCTGTCATTCCTGCCTGTTTTCTTCAGGAATCGACATACATGCATGGTTGTCATTTCTCGTCAATGTGAAGCACAGGTGGAAGCTAGAAGATGCTCCCTAACACCGACTCCAGCTGCGCCTCCGAGCCTGGTCGCCGCTCGCCCGACGCCTCCGTCCTCCTGCGCTTTTCCTTCTGCTCCTTCAGCCGCGCCTCTCCGGGTTCCTTCTCCACCTTCGCCTCCTTTCGCCTGTCTGAATGCGCCTCGGCAGCCTCCGGTGCCGCCGAGTCGTCTTCTGCTTTTCGCTTGCGCTTCGCACGTTTGTCGAGGACGCGCGCAAGCTCCACATTCTTGAGGTACTCTCTTTGCTCCTTCCGCGACTGGGAGATCTCCACACGTAGCTGCGCTGCATGCTGCGCTGCCTCGTGGGCTAAAAAGTGAAGTCGGGTGAGGACATAATGCAAGCGAGACTGAGAAAGTTCCTACCGATCCGTTCAGTGAGCATGTTCCACTTGAACCTCGGCAAGTATTTCATCGTCCAAACGTCGTCTCTCCATCTCGAGCCTTTCTTTCCACCGATGGACTGTGCGTTGAGCATATCGGCAACCGACCGTCCGACCCGCTTGTCCTTGAACTCCACCCATCCCTCAGTGTAGTGAGCCTTTTTAGTCGCCGTGTATTTTTTCCGCAGATATGCCCTCTTCGCGTCTACGTGAAGGGGTACCCATATAAGAGACGCTGGCCCGTCACAACGTGCATATACGCACCTTCTTGTTGGAGGTATACCCGGCCCACTTCCCCGTACGCACTCATAAGATGGCGCACCTTGGTCGGGCGCATCCCAGGAGGTATCCGAGAGATGTAGACCACTCCTGCTCTGTCCTGCGCAGCCTTGAATGCAGCGAGGGCCTCCGGGGTAAGCGGCTTCACCGTCTTCTCCTTGGGGCCAGCGAACCCGCGGGGATCCATCCCGTCCTCAAAGCCTTGGTCTTCGCCCTGCCTACTCCCGTCGTCGCCCTCGGCATCCTCTTCATACGACCCGTTTGCGTCTTCGGCATCTTCTCCTTCGTCGGAATGAGATCCTGATGGTCCCGCTCCCGGAGAGTTCTGAAATTCGGGGTCATCGAAGGCAGAAAAGCGTGGGTCGATAAGCGGCATGGTTTTCAGCAGTCGAGAGCAAGGGCGTAGTAGTCAGGCCAAGGCCCTTGAGGTGCAGGAGAAAGAGCCGTAAACGCTCGGACGCCAGCGGTCCGGTACCACTTGCCTCTTCTCCGAATCGCATCTCTCTCGAGACGGGCGTTATCTAGATTCGAACCCCTATCATCTGTGCGGGCAGTGCTAACAAGCGAATGTATCGGCCTGTATCCAACGATTACGATGTGATTCTAAAGCAACGAACGAGGTCAGCCCAAAACTACTCTGAGCGTACAGTATAAGCGAGCTCAGAGCAATTAAATTTTCGGTCGGATAGAATGTAGGCTGTACGAGCACGCCTTTTCAGACCTATGTATGGTGCGTGGAGAAACGCCATCCATCGATAATAACATTCTTGGATGCAACTCGTAGATCTTCAGGGATGCGAATGTGGTTTTCAACTGTACGCACTCAAGGGCTCGACTTACCCATTCTCCATGTCCATGAACGACTCCATCGGTGGTGCGGATCATCCTCGTACAGGACTTGCGTATCGCCCATTTCGCCACGACACACACGTATTCTACGCGTCCTCACATCTGGGAGAAGATTCCTACTCCTCCACGACTAGTTTCGGTCCTGCGTAGAGCTGGTTCACGACTGCGCTCCGTTCCAAGACTGCCAGCTCTTTGGTCTTCTCTGCGTAAAAAGCAGAGAGCTTGGCGGGATCGGTTTCGTTCTACAGAATGGGTGAGCACTTATAACACATGCTGCGACCTCGTCACGCACCTCTATGTCCTTGAACGTGCTCTCCGTCCGACGTGTGAAGTAACTTCTGAAGTTGTACGAGCTGAACGACTGAGATGTGCGAAGCATGGAGGTGTAGAGATTCGTGATAGACTGCTTTGTGGGAGCGGCTGCCATGGCGTACACAAGATGTAGATTTTTTCGGAATAGGAATGAACGAGGTTGGTTCGGTGCAAGCAATCGGTCGCTCTCAGTCCTTGGAGTCTGACAGAGTCCGGCCTGTGTGCTGAACGGAGCCAGCTGCCAGCGCTTCAGCGCTTGGGTCGGCGATCAGGTCCAACATCACGTGCGTGGCGAAGGACGGTAGGCCCGAAGCGCCTTACAGCCCTTTGCAATGAAACGTGGAATCACTCACGCGAGATCATTTGTTTGTCCCGCACAAACAAAGCCCGAAAAGGCAGGCCGGCAACGTGCGGCGTGACGTTGCAGTCACAGTCGGTGACTGGACTTGAAGCCGAGGCCTAAGGTCGCGCGCTGGCGAAGATCCGAGGGAGGGCGAGGGCGAGAGTATGGGGAAGTCGAGACAAGACGGCGTGAGCCCACTGCACACGCAGATATGGCGAGGAAGTGAGCTGGACAAGAACAAGTCGAGTAGTACCATAAATACATGTGTCGCGCACAACGCGAGTACGAGAAGAGAGTGCACCGATGCCAATATACGCGCACATACAACTACGAGGCAGAATATGCAGCCATGATATATGGAACTCAGCAGAAGGGCGTATATGCGTGGGTGGCAACCAAGACGGGAGAACCGAGAACGGTGATGATGGCGAAACAAGAACGAAACAGATATGAGACCAGAGAATAGATGACAAAGTACAGGGACAAGAGGAGGGCGTCACGCCGCGGGTGGTGGTGCTCGGGTGCGTGCGGTGTAAACCGCAAAAGTCACGCTCGGAGGGCGCCACAATGAGTCTGTGTGCACCGCGCCTCGACAGGCGGGCCGCCGCAGTGATCCTGCTGTACTCGCAGGCGGATTGCGATAGGTTCGGGAGGAGGAACAGCTGAAGTGCGATGTGGACAATATCGAGAAGGCGCGGGCGTTGGTCTGGTGCGTCTGCACCTTACAGTGGCGACGTGTCCGTATCACCACCAAGAGTCAGAGATCGGGTGAAGTATGAGAGGGATAGGGTTGAGAGGCCCGAGACGGAGATGCCGGTGTATCAGCGGCGGAGAGGATTTGGGACCATCCAGGATAGTCCAGGATACTGAGGGGAGCGTTTGTCTGGCCAGACTCTCGGAAGCAGCGCAAGATCTTGTGGACTGCTGACTTGCCAAAGCTTTTGAGATCCATCTAGTCGACATGGAACCATTGGAGAATCTGCTCACTCCTCTTGAGGCTGATGTGGAGAAGCATGGTATGAACGCAAGCGGCAGAGAGCACGTCAGCCTCCCCGTTGTCCAGTCTCCGCCTGTGACTGCGACGTCACGCCGCACGTTGCCGGCCTGCCTTTTCAGGCTTTGTTTGTGCGGGACAAACAAATGATCTCGCGTGAGTGATTCCACGTTTCATTGCAAAGGGCTGTATTGCACTGGGTACCGCCCACGATCCATATACCCCAGCATGCCGTTCAAAATGTTGGGAGTGTGGGCCGAGGACACAGGTTTGCCGCATGAACACACGTAACTGATTATGCTTGCATGCGAGCAGCCTTGACGTGGGGTGCAGCCTCTCCTCACGTTTTGCGCCGTTTCAAACACCACGATGTTGGTAGCATACATGTTCCTTGATTTTCTCGCTATCTTTGTTTCGATCCCACGCGTTTGTGTCCGCCGCGTCTGCAAACGGTGCGGCGTCACTGTGTGAAGGACCTCAGACAGACTGTCATAGATTGAGTTCACTGGCTTGTGGTAGGGTTGCGCGAGCGCGTGGGCTGGACGGAGTCAGGTGGTGAGATCCATAGAGACTGGGGACTTCTGCTTACCTCAGCTGGCGTGGACGGTGGAATACTTATGCGGGAGGTCGATCTGATGGCGGGGTCCCCGCTCCCCTCCCTCCCTCTTGCCCCATGCCCGCTCTCTCTGAGGATGGCAGAAGGAGGCCAGCTGCAGCTGGCTGGACCGCGAACCAGGTAAGCGGATCGTGTGCCTCGGCCTCGGGTCTATCATTGGGACTGATCAACTATCGCGGCATAGTGTGATGTAAGCGTATCACAGCCCACGTTCTATCTCATGCTCTTCAGCAGAGGGGCGACCACACGCTGTTCGGGAAATGGCCGAGAGCACCGACGATAGCCCGCACTTATGGCCCGCCGCGCCGGACTGCTCGCAGACGCGCGCTCAGCCACACCCCGCGGACGACTTCCCTTTTCTCACCACCGACTCCGTATCGCCCAAGCTCCCTCTCGCTTCCTTATCCTCCTCCAACCTCCGCCCCCCAGGCCTCCCAGGCTGCACCCATGGAGACCGCAAAGCTGGACGAGGAGGCGGCCAAGTGGTACGTGCCCTCGCGCAATCTCTCCGTCCCCCGACATCCGACGTGATCCTCGCGTTCAAGGAGTGACCATGAGCTCGAGGCCCAAATCGCGTTCCACACCGCCCAGGCCGCGCGCCTCAAGCACCTCTACAACATGCGCGCCGCCGGCGTGTCCAAGCTACCCCCCGAGATACTCTCCGAGGTCTTCCTCTTCCAAGCCGCGATCCTTCGCGAGGACCGCATCGCCCTCCACTGTCTCGAGGGTAGCGCCTCCCTCCGGCACCCGTTCTACAGATGGCTCAATGTCGCACACGTTTGTCATCACTGGCGCTCCGTCGCTCTTCGCTGCTCCCACCTCTGGACCTGGGTCGCCTTCGAGGAACGTGTTCACTCGGACTTCATCCAGACCATCATCGACCGCTCGCGCGGCCTTCCCCTCACCGTCTTCCTCTCCGCGAACCTCTCCGGCACGCGCTGCGACGCGTGCATCAACCTCGAAGTTTTCCAGGAACGTGCCAATGCCGCGATAGACATGACCAAAACCCTCCTGCCCCGCATGCGCGAACTCTACCTCTTTGTCGAGAAGGAAATCGGGCCGGAAGCCATCTGGGACGCATTCGAAGGTCCTGCGCCCCTTCTCGAGACGATACACATCGAGGCAATTGGAATCAGCCGTTACGACTTGGGGGACCGGCGCCAGGCCGAGCTGGGGGTGCCCAAGGCCGTCTTCCATGGGCATGTGCCCAAGGTGCGTTCCCTCATCGTCGCCGGGGTGCAAATCCGGTTCTCCAATCCACTCTTCTCCGCCAATCTCCGGGAGCTGGCGATCATGGACTGCCAGTGCCGCTCGCGTCTAATCGACCCACCGAGGTTCGACCGCTGGCTCAGCACCTTGCGCAGGATGCCGCACCTGGAGGTCCTCCGCATCGACCGCTCGATCCCGACCCGGGATGAAGAAGAGGATTATCATGCCGTCACGCTCCCGAACCTGAAGACCCTGCACATCACTGCTCACGCCGACGTGTTTATCGACCACATGCACTACCTGCGCTTTCCGCGCTCGACCGCGGTCTACTTCCACAGCATCGACACTTGGACATACCTCTACGCCCCCGACCAGATCGAGCGCTTCCAGATCGCGGTCGCGTCCCTCTTCAAGCACATGATCGTCCAGGCCGTCGCCTACGGCACCGTCCCGCTCAACGACCACGACGCGCTCGACGCCGACGACCACTCCGCCTGCCAGGTCTGGGCCGTGCGCTCGCCCAAGCACGGCGCGGACGCGGTGCCGACGCCGCCGACGGCCCCGGTGGCACCCGACGCGCCCGCACCGCCGCGCCTGACGTTCGGGAGCGGGCAGCGCTCGCGCGGGAACACGACGGTCGCGCACGCGCTCGACGCGCTCGACCTCTCGCGCGTGCACGCGGTGCACATCGCGGACGACCGGTGCGGGATGAAGTGGGCGCGGATCCTCGGGCGCGCGACGGCGGTGACGAGCCTCCGCGTCGACGGCCAGGCCGCGTTCGGCGTGCCCGCGCTGCTCGCGGGGGGCGTCCCGCGCCCGCTCGAGTTCGCGGAGGACAGCGTGACGGTCCGCGGATGGTGGACCGGTGGCACTGGGTCCGGTTCGACCCCGACGTCGTCATCGGCCCGAACGAGGACGAGGAGGACTGCGAACTCGAGCCCGAGCCCGAGCCTGTCGCGGAGGAAGGCAAAGAGGACAGCGGCGCGGTCGCATCTACAGGTGCGGAGAAGGAGGGGAAGGAGAGAGAGGAGGACGCGGCGCGGCCGCTGGTCCCGCTCTTCCCGCACCTCCGCCGGCTGCACTTCGTCGCGGTCGACATGCAGTTCGACGATCTGCAGCGCGCCCCGTGGCACTGCCACGGGTCCGTGGTGGACTTCGCCCCGTACGAGACGCGGGGGGTGAAGTACGGGTTCAGCGTGCTCGCGCTGATGCGCAGCCTGCGCGCGCGGCGCGAGCAGGGCGCGACGGATGTCGGGGAGGTCAAGTTCGAGCGCTGCTGCAGCGAAGACCTCGGACGGGACATCGCGCCGCTCGCGGAGGTCGTGCCCGAGGTCCTGTGGGACGGCTACCTCGAGACCCGGCTGTTCACGAGGACGAGAGCTGGGGCGGAGGGCGCTGGTGTTGAAGGTGGAGTCTCTGTGTAGGTACGCTCCTCGGTCCTCCTTGCTGTCTCCTTGCTGTCCCCCTTGCTGTTAACGGATCTCTGACGACGGACGACGAGGGCCGGAATAGATGCGCTCCATACGTTAGAATGGATACAATACCCATAGACTGTAATGTGTTGTTTCGTATTTTCTTAGATGACGTACGGGATATGTTGCCATATGCATAAACCGTGGCTGGCCTGGCGGCCGCCACAGGTTGAACAGCTACTACTGTTGCCTACTGATGGACTGCGAGTCACAGTATCAAATGAGTTTCCAACGTCCTCCACATGTTGAAACCCAGTGTATTGCCGCGGGACTTCGGCCGGAGCCGCGAGGATATGACCGGTCGAAGCAGCCGGGTTCCGGGCGAACGAGATGTTCTGCCACTCTGTCTTGAGTATCGCCGCGTCGAACGTGTTAAAACAGGGTATTAAGGTGACGGATACGAACAACCCAACTACAATACAAACATAAACGAAAGGTCTGGTGCCCACGGCACCTGTAGATTTTCGATGACCCAACACCCTCACCGACACGTTTCTCCGCCTCGTCTACACCGTCCGAGCTGCCGACGACTCCTGGACGGCATGGGTTCGAATCAGACGCGCCTTCCAACGGCGCAACCGCCCGAGAATCAAGGCCACTACCTCACCAAACGTCCACGGTATCCGACACGACTGCCAAACCCATTGCGCATTGAGCGCCTTGCATACCTCGCAAGAGAAGCTGAGGGATACACGCACCTGTGCCCAAAACCCCGCCCGGAACACTTTGCTGTACCCCATCGCCGAGATGCCGTCGTCGGGATCCGCGTCGGGAAAGGCGAACGTCTCGTCGACCGTGTACGTTGGAGACAACGCGAGGGACGAAACGGAGGCCGAGAGGCCAGGGGGCGTGTCGATTTCAGTGGTGTAGGACGTCGAGGAGCGGGGAGAGACTTCTGAACAATCGGAACACGCGTCGCTGTCCCAGTCGGGCTCGGAGAACTGGTGGAGACGCGGCGTGAGGAACCAGGAAACGAGTGGGGGATGGCGAAGAGGGCGTACCTGAGACACTCGATTCTGAGAAGGATAGAACAGATACACGTCGTAGTCTTCATCGCATTCGTCTTCGTCCCCGAGATAGAACCGGGGCGGGCGGGGCGCAGTGCTGGACATATCGCAAGTGTTAAAGGCAAGAGCAGCAGCAGGATAGATAGAGTGTACAGGCAGACGTCGCCCCGTAAGCGCATTTGAACGTCGGCGAGAGCCTGCATCAATGTCGTAAAGCCCGCTCCAGGGACCGTGGCCTAAGCAGTTCCGACGCCAAAAGTGCACGAAGCACTGGCAGGGCCGGCGGAAGTGCCCGCGTCGCTACACCCAAACTGCGACTATGCCGTCAGCCGCGGCGGGGACGAGCCAATCCGCGCTCCCGAGATGTGACGTTCCATGAGCGAGAAGCACCGACGGCAGATGGCGCGCGAGGTCGTGGACGGCGCGGGAATCTCCAACTCTAGCTCTGAAACGGTCCGCGACGATGCGGCGCGCCAAGGGGCTGACAACGGCGACGGCGGCGACACAGCTTCCTCGACCTCTCGGATGGGACGTCAGGCGGCGTACGTGACTCCACTCGACGACCAAAACGAGGCCCGACGCATGGAACACAGACCAGAAGGCGCATCGAGGATCCAAAGACCGACGACGTAGGGGATCTCCACTGGAGCAAGTCTTTGGGCAGAGGTGCGTTCCGTCTCCACGCTGTCTTGGCCGCCCTTCGGAGCTTGCTGCGTGTTCACATCTCCCAGAGCTACCATCCATGCGGCCTCGATGGCCGTCGTTTGCCCCACCAGAGCCCAGCTGCACGCCTTGAGGGGAAGTCCAGCTGGGAAGCAAGCGCCGCTGTCACGATCACGTGCCACAGTCGAGTCACACAGACCAGGCGCGCGGCTATGGGTCCTTGTTGGCGACATCGGGCGTCCTCATACGAGTACCACCACCTGTCCCACCAGGGCCCAACTGGACCAACAAGTCCACCGCGATCCTAGTCTGCGCGTGATCCATAGTGCACAAGACTGAACGCAAGTAGTCCAAGACTCAAGCCCATACCCAGAAGAGATTGCCTCAAGAATGTTCGCGAGAACCAAGTCGTCCGAGCCATCAAAGTGAAGAACGAGGAAGACCTTCAAGAAACAGTGATGTCGCCCGTGTGATCGTCATTTGCTGATCGAGTAGAACCCCAGATAGGACACGGCTGGGCATAATGCCGCTTGTCGTCCGTGCCCTTCGAGGGCATCGTCCTGCTGAAGAAGGGCGCCGAGTGCACCAAAGATAAGGACAAGAACTCAAGACAGTAAGCAGGGGACGCACCAAGAACCATTGACCGAGCATCCTATGCATCCAACAATATCCCAGCCCAACAACGCCAATTTTCCAACCGCTACGGGACGCCGTGCTTCGACGCCGTGTCTTGCTCGTTGCCGGCCACGTTGGATATGTCGTCATGCTGCCCCTCCACGTCCGTTCGGCCGTGGTGGGACGGTAGGGTCGAGAGAGGCGGAGAGAGAGGAACGGGGGAACGGCTGTCGCGACGGCAGTTGCCCCACGAGCGACGCGCGGAGTTGAACTCTGCGCGGGCCGTGAAAAAGGGCATTGCCGTCTCGATGCTACTCCCCGCCCCCTCCTCTGCCTTGCGACGAGGTCCATCAAGCTTGCAAGAGGGCCTGCGTCCCGACGGCTCCGGACGGGAGCGGATACAGGAGGTGGTGAGACGAAAGGGAGGCAGAAAGAGCCGCGGGAGGAGGGCCGCCCACAGCAGGGCAGAAACTCCGCGGGCTCGCAGTCGACTCGCCACGAGCGATCGTCCGGCCGCTCCCGTCGCTCCGGCCCGCCCTTTCCCTTCACTGTACCTCTAGTACAGTCTCCCCGACACTCTCGCTCGTCTCCCCGACATCCCGAACCCCCCCACGGGCCACAACCAACTCCCCCTTCCTCCCCGGCTCCCCGAAGTCATGCTTCTACCCCCTCCCTCGCTTCTAGCTGCGGCGGCGGAATCACGCATGCACGCCTGGAAACCGCTCAGGACCTCGCCGTCTTTTTCGCCCACTGCGGCGGTTTTGGACCTCCTGGACAGGACTGCGGCCGTCTCTCACTCCGTCCCTGACCACCCTTTGGCGAACGGTATCCCAACCTCCCCTCTATTCTATTCCGCGTGCCCCCGAGCCCTGGTCAGTCTTATGACGGAGATGAGGGACGGTGGTCAGTGCTATGCCGCTTTGCCCATGGAGCCACTTCGAACCCCTGACCCACATCTCTCTGGAAAAACTCGCCAACACTCGCAGCTCACGGTTAGTCTTCGGCGAGTTTCTTGGTTTCTGGTGGCAAACTAGTGCATTCCCTCCCTGGAGAGCTGCCGATGGACGCCGTTTGCGGAGATCCCGCCCGTCGCAAGTCACCGCTTTCGTTCGCTCGCATGTTGTGGACAATACGTCGCAATCCACACTTCTTACACCGGTCTTGCGACGCATTCTCTGCTGCGGTCACCTGGAGATCATCGAGCCGAGACGAAGGTTTTGGTTTGCATTTCGAATGGGAGGCTCGTACTCGAATGGCAGATAATTCAAACCGTCTCAAGCATGCCAATACTACTAGCAAGCATTCTGCAAGAGCAGCTCATGGTTCCATAGGAGTTCTTCGGCGACGAACCGTGTCACAAGATAGGCAGCGCTCGCGTGAAAGTCGGAATCATCTATCCCGTGGCTGCAAGTTCACCTTACTTGCCGAGGAGGTAGATGCTTTCAGGCACGAGCACAACAAAAGATCACAGCGACAGTGATGCTCCACCGAGATGAAGCCCCGGACCTGGTTGCGAACAGCCGGCGGACGCTTACGACACGACGTCCAGAGGTGTCGCTGCACGAACATGACAAAGACCATGACTTTTCCGGGTTCCCTGTCACGGTCACGGTCCGAGCTGTACCAGACGATAACAACGTTATGCACCACAGAGATGTTTCGTACAGTACTCATCCATGATCCAAATGTACAAAGTCCGTTGAGACTCCAGGTAGATGCTGAACATGCCATCACTGATCACCAACGACGGTCGCGCGAGCATCTTCCGGGCCGCTGCGAACTTCGCCAGGCGCGGAATCGTGCGAGTGCAATTCGCTCAACTTCGAATCACGAGCAGCCTGTAGGCGCGCGCGCCAACTAAGTCAATGGTCGGTCGCAGACGATGGAAGGCACGCACGTCATTCTGCTCCTTGCGGGAGCGGAGCTCCTCGAGGTGCTGGCGTTTTTGCTCGAGGTCCTGCTCGAGGCGTGCCTTGTGCTGCATCTGGATCTGTGGAGCGCGAGAGGTTGATGCAGATGTTGGGGGGCAACGAACTCGAAACGGTGCGCGGCTGCGGCGGTCCGTTCCGCCGCCCGCACCCCGAAATGAGCGGGCACTCACCTGAGCGGCCTTCTCTGCGCTCTGCTCGTCCGCGATGGCGGTGTCGTGCGTGTGCGCGGCCTTGTTGAGGGCCTTGGCCGTCTTGTGCTCGTTGGCCACGGCTTTGTCGAGCGCGTGCTGGGCTTTATCAGCGGCCTGGGGAGACCGGCGTGCGGAGAAACGAGGCGAGTATTAGCGGGCAATTGACCGGAGGCAGGAAGGTGCGAACGTCGGCGGTAGGCGCACCTTGATGCTTTTCGCGTGAGCCTTGTCGGCACGGGAGAGGTCGTCGATGGCGTGACTGAGACTCTTCTCGTCGGAGCGCTCCTCCTTGTGGATTTGCTTCTCGACGCCGCGAACCTCGGCATTTACGGACGAGTCGGAGTGGCCGAAGAGGGGCATCGTAGGCGGCTAGGGTGCAGGGAAACGGGATGGACGGGCATTGGGAGCCCAGGATTTATAGCATCCCACCGACAGCGGGCCAAGTTCGAGGAAGAGATCGCGGAGGGCTTACGGAGGTGGCAAAGGCGGAGAGGAGGCGATGATGTCATCGCGTCCCCGCCCCTGTCTCGTCTGGACAACCGCTGGCACGGTCTGGACGGCGCAAGCGGCGGCAGCGCTTGCCGTCCCCACAACGATCACCCGCTCGAAGGGGCTCTTAAGCATCCGAGGCGAGCACCAGCCCGGCTTGGCCTCCCTCGTCGCTCGCTCGCATCTCTTCTTCTCTGCGAAATCCCCCGGGTGCCGCCCGGCATCTTCCCGCACACTCCTCCAATCTTCCGCCCACTGATGTCTCCTGCTTCTGACCAGCACGAGCGGGACCTCTCCGCCTCCGCGCCCGACGCCCCCCCTACCCAACACCAGCCCGCGTACCACTACCCGCGCCCGCGTAACCTCGATCCCTCGCTTTTTCTCACTCACGACGACGTTGGCTCCACTTCCATCCCCACGCCCCCATATCAGCGCGTCCCCTCCACCTCCCAGGTCCGTCTCGAGACTTACCCTGAGCAGTCGCCTGCCTACCGCTCCCGCTCCGACATCAACCTCACCGAGATCGACATGGCTAGTGACGACCACGAGGAGAAGCACGCCGCGCACCACGAAAAGCACGACCCGCATGCTCCCAAGCCCAAGCAGCCCACCGCCGTGCACTATACGGACGACATCCATCCTCCCAGGCCCGGTACCTTCCAACGCGCCGACACCTACGCACCGTCCGTAGCTGGCTCCGATGACGATAACAACGGCTCGGATCAGGACTACGACTGGAGTGGCGAGGAGGACCTCGTAGACGAAGAGGCAAAGTTTGAGCAGGCGATGGGCACGAAGAAGAAGCAGCGCAGCTGCTGCGCCAAGTGAGTCCTCCTCCGCCTTCTCTTCTCTTTCCACCGTTCCCTTCTACTTGCCCTTCGTGCCCTTACATCTCTCACACCCCACGGCGCTCAGCCACCATCGTTTCGCGCTCGCGTTGCACCCGGCTCCTTCGGAGCGTCTTACCACTGTGCCGGGCGTCCGATCGCGTCGTTCATCCGCAGCGACGGTGGCATGCCTTCCGTCGCTTACCGTCGATCCCTGCCTTGCTAATATGATTTCGGTACAGGTTCTTTACTCTGCTGTTCTCCACTCTCATCGGCTCCACTATCCTGTCAGGTCTCATCATCACCCCAGCGCTCCTTGTCCACTTTTTATGGTATAAGAAGGATCCCACCGACCACCGTCGGTATGTCAAGGACAACATCGAGGCCTGGCTTTTTTGGGCTGCCGCCAACGTCTCCATCTCCTGGGCCCTTGCCCTCATCGTCGACATCATCCCCGTCATCATTCGCTCCGTGATCTCCCTCGCTTGGGGACATGTTAGCGAGCATGTCAAGTCGCGCCTGGAGCTTTACAACAGTGTCAAGGGGCCCATCAAGCCCGTTCTTTACGCCGCGAGTGGTTGGGTCAGTTGGATTATTATCTTCAGCCACATCTTCAACCTGTTCGACATGGACGACGGGAGCCAGAGCAGGGCGTCGTACACCCCTCGCGTGAGCATCCAACGATCTGGAGACGTATTGGAGTGCACTAACCACGTATATGCAGGTCTACCAAGCTATTGAGTTCTTGTTCTTCTTCACCCTTGTTGTCTGTCTTCAGAAGATCCTGTCCCACTTCATTGGTAGGAGTTTCACTCTGCCGTCCACACCACAGATGTTCACCTTCATTGCAGCATTCTCCTTCCACCGAACTGCCTTCAAGGAACGTCTCGATGAGGTCACCACGGCGCTCAGAGTCATTGAGAAACTCAGGAACTACCGCCCCAAGCGTCGCCACGCACACAAGTCTTCCTATGGACGCATGACCCCCACCTTCTCGAATCTTTTGACGCCTGCCCATGATAAAGGCGAATTCTTCTCTCGTTCACGCCCGGCCACCCCTTCGGGCTCGCGTGCCGGTTCTCGCTCTGGATCTCCGGATGTCGGTGCTATGAGCGACGTCGAAGACCGCGACGCTACCCTCGTCGGAAAGAAAGGCAAAAACCGTCTCAGCTGGTTCTCCCATGATAAAGGACATTCTGAGCCCCTCCCTGAGCACCAGGAGTACCCCCTGCCCGAAGGTGCCGCCTCCGAGCACCGCTACCCGCCTTCCCCTCACACTGCCTCTCCTCTCCGTGGACACCACCGTTCGGAATCCGATGAAGACGCTGCGGCAGTGGTTCAGCAAGCGGCGACGACGGCTGCGAAGGCCCTTAAGTCGGCTATGCTCCATGACGCGCGAGGCATCAAAGGTGACGGCGACGAGGACACCGAAGGCCTTATGTGGAATGTGTCGACCTCGAGCGAGGCGAAGAGGCTCGCACGCTCGATCTACACAGCCCTCAAGGTCCCGGGTCGCACCTACCTCATTCCACGCGACTTCGTCCCGGCGTTCGGAAAGCTGGCTGATGCCGAAGCGGCCTTCAAGGTGTTCGACAAGGATGGCAATGGTGACTTATCGCGCGCGGAGATCAAGACCACGGTCCTCAAGGTGTACAAGGAGCGACGCTTCCTGAGCCGCTCGATGCGCGACGTCTCACAGGCCCTGTTGACGCTCAACTCGGTGCTCCTCTTGTTCGCCTTGATCATCCTGTTTTTCATCTCGCTCTCCATCTTCGGCGTCAACATCGAGAGCTCGCTTACGAGTTTGTACACTATCGGTCTTGGTCTCAGTTTTATCTTCAAGGCATCCGCGGCGAATGCATTCGACGCGATCATGTTCTTGTTTGTCACGCAGTAAGTGTCATTTGTCGTAACACGTCGTGTCTGCCTCCGATCGCTCAATTTCCGTGGCGCACAGCCCTTACGACACCGGTGATCGCTGCTTCATCGATGGCAAGTATTCACGTGGGCCGTACCAAATCCGTGTCACTGATATTTTACGATAGACGAGAACCTCGTCGTCAAGAAGATGACGCTGTTCGCTACGATTTTCACGCGTGCCGATGGCACTGAGACGTACTACTTCAACAGCCAGCTGTTCAACAAGTTCATGTACGTGCCCTTCCAAATACTGCGTCGCTTGGTTTTCAGACAATGTCTGGCAGCATAAACGCACGTCGCAGTGACAAGACTGCGGAGAACTTGACCATGCAGATCTCCTGGCGCACACCGATGGAGAAGCTTGACCAGCTCGAGCGCTGCTTAAACCAGTGGCTTCAGACCGAAGAGAACCGCTGGTTCCAGCCGAGCACGAATATTATGCTCCAGAAAATCGAGTACCAGCGCTACCTCGAATGCACGATTGGTATCCCGTACAACAGCAACTGGCAGTACGTCTCCCTCGCCCTCCTTTTCGCACTGAATCCTCGAACCTCACCTCATCTCACAGGGACTGGGGCATGCACAACACGCGCAAGACGGCCTTCCATGCCGCGGTCAACTATTACTGCCGCCAACTCGGCATCACGCTCTACAACACCCCGATCCCGATTGCGTTCGCGGATCCAGAGACGGGCGAGTTTGTCGCGCCGGACGTCGTAGACACCGTCGGTGCGGACGAGGAAGTCGAGCGGCCACCATCGCCTCCGCCTGCACCGCACCAGGGCGCGACCGCGCCGGCGAAGAGGGTCTGGATGGGCTTCCAGCCGCCGCGCGAGGACGGGATCCCGAACGGGATGCGGCCGCGCAAGGCGCGGAGCCGGAAGGCGATGCTGCGCACCTTCGGCGCGGACGGCTTCTGAGCGCGAGCCGTCTCAGCTGCTTCGTCGCCCGCTCCAACCCACAACTCTCCTCCTTCACGACCACGCTGTTCTGTCTCGTTCTGTTGCTGTCGCTTCGTGGCGCGTAAAACGCCCACGTGCACACTGGTGTGCATACGTTGTTTTGTTATCCCATGCTCGCTGCTCGTTGCTCCGCAGGCGAGCGTTTCACTGGTTTCCACCTTCTGAACGCACATCTCCGTCTTGGTTATATGATTGGGGCCTCTCATCGCAGCCGGTCAGAACGCATCCCCCACCCCGCACGCATACGGCCGCACACCCGCACATGCACATATAGAAAAAGTACATACACTCACGAGACTCCGTATACCCACTAGTCTTCCCGAGACGCATGCTGTTGTCCGCTCGCGCGATATGAATTGCCTGACGTTGTTCGCTCTATTTCGTCGCTCTGGCCCACAGCGTTGGGCGAAGGGATTTCTGCGTCGACATGTGCGCGCCGATATGTACTACATGCAAGTGAACTGCTTTCCGCATCCCCGCCCTTGCCTTTGCGTCGACTGCTGGCGAACGGGCATTTGAGGACTTGATGTTGTATTCCCGGGTCGTCCAGTCCGGTCGAGAGATCCACGCTGAATGCGCATGGACATCCAGGACATCCTGTCTCCAAGGCCGAGGCCCAGGTGTGCAAGCGTTAGTCTCTCATTCGCGAGCCGACTGGGGACTCGACTAATATAGCCACTGCCTGCCAACATTCCAACGTATCATAACTTCGGCGGCGCGACGTTACGGAGCAGCGCACGCATTCGAACGGTTCCCGTCATGTCTTCACATTAATCTCGGCTTGTCGCTTTTGACTGGATGTACAGTGGAGGGTGCTCGTTGGGCGTCGATGGAGTGCGCGCCTCCCACGAAAACCGCCGTCGACTCACAGATCGGCAGCCACCACTTCGGTAGCTCGTCGAACGACTCTTAATGACGGTGCGAGCGGTGCAAGATTCTGACAGGGATTTGTCCGATGCTTCTCTTGGACGCGTCGAGTTGTGTGGAGCACCGACACCGACAGTCGGCAGGTCGAACCTCCGTCTCGCTCGACAATCTCCAGTTAACCGCAGCAGACAGAGAATGCGCCGCAGACCGATGGGAGAAATGTGGATTGGGATGCAGTGTCTACGACATGCGAGCGCAGGGAACCGACAAGTTGGAACGGGCGGGATCCCTTCAAACGACGTCCATCGGCAACTTCCCATCGCAATGGAGGAAATGCACTGATTTTGCACTAGAAACAGAGCGAACTCACCGAAGACTCGCCGTGAGCTAGGAGTCGGCTTGTGCGTCTGCGTGTTTTTTTTCGGACAGGCGAGAATCAGGCATTCGAGGGGGCGCCGCGACGCGCTCTGGGCCTGGCTGGATATCTTGCCGTCTCTCGGCTCTGTTGTAAGAGCGGCCAGATATCGGGGGCGTGCGGAATAAAGGAGAAAGGGAGAAAGGGGGCATGGGATACAATTCGCCAAAGGTGCCAGGCCATGAGAGGAAGTGAGAGAGTCGCAGTCTTGTCCAGGAGGTCCAGAAACCGCGCCGCACGCGGAGAGTACTTGGAGCAGTGGGCGGGCCGGTGGGAAAAAAGATGACGAAGTCCTGTGGGGTTCCATGGACGTCCAGGCGTGCGTGGGTGCTTCCGTCACTGACGCCAGAAGCGAGGAAGGGAAGGAGAAGCATGACTTCGGGGAGGCGGGGAGGAGGGGGGAGGCGGGCTGAGGGGGGGAGTTTGTTGTGGCCCGTGGGGAGTCGGGGAGTCGGGGAGGCGGGGAGACGAGCGAGAGTGTCGGGAGGCGTGGGGGTGCAGTGGAGGAATAGAGCGGGCCGCGGCCGCACGATCGCTCGCCGACTGCGAGCCAGCGCCGCGGAGTTTCTGCCCCGGCTGTGGGTTGGCTGTGGGCGGGGCTCCACGGCTCTTTCCGCCTCCCTTTCGTCTCACCACCCCCTGTATGCGCTCCCCTCTGGCGTCGTCGGGCCCCTTGCAAGCTTGACGAACCTCGTCGCGGCGCAGAGGAGGGGGCGGAGTGGCATCGAGATGGCGGCCCACGCAGAGTTCAACTCCGCTCGTGGGGCAACAGTTGTTGCGGCAGTCTTTCCCCCGTCTCTCTCTCTCCGCCTCTCTCGACCTTACCGTCCCACCACGGCCGAACGGACGTGGAGGGGCAGCATGACGACATATCCAATGTGACCGGCAACGGGCAAGACGCGGCGTCGAAGCACGGCATCCGGTAGCGGTTGGAAAATTGGCGTTGTTGGGCTGGGATATTATTGGATGCATAGGATGCTCGGTCAATGGTTCTTGGTGCGTCCCTGCTTCCTGTCTAGAGTTTCTTCCTTATCTTTGGTGCACTCGGCGTCCTTCTTCAGCAGGACAATGCCCTCGAAGGGCACGGACGACAAGCGCATTATGCCCAGCCGTGTCCTATCCTGGGGTTCTACTCGATCAGCAAATGACGATCACACGGGCGACATCACTGTTTCTTGACGGTCTTCCTCGTTCTTCACTTTGATGGCTCGGACGACTTGGTTCTCGCGAACATTCTTGAGGCAATCTCTTCTGAGTATGGGCTTGACTCTTGGACTACTTGCGTTCAGTCTTGTGCAGTATGGATCACGCGCAGACTAGGATCGCGGTGGACTTGTTGGTCCAGTTGGGCCCTGTGGGACAGGTGGTGGTACTCGTATGAGGACGCCGCGATGTCGCCAACAAGGACCCATAGCCGCGCGCCTGTCTGGTGTGACTCGACTGTGTCACGTGGTTGTGACATCGGCGCTTGCTTCCCAGCTGGACTTCCCCCTCAAGGCGTCCAGCTGGGCTCTGGTGGGGCAAGAGGAAGACGGTCGTCGAGGCCTCATGGATGGTGGCTCTGGGAGATGTGAACGCGCAGCAAGCCCCAAAGGGCGACGAAGACAGTGTGGAGACGGAACGCACCTCTGCGAGACGACTTGCTCTGGAGGATCCCCTACGTCGTCGGTCTTTGGGCCCAGGATCCTCGATACGCCTTTGCGGTCTGTGTTGCATGCTTCGGGCCTAGTTCTTGTCGTCGTTGGAGTCACGTGCGCCGCTTTGCGTCCCATCCGAGAGGTCGAGGAAGCCGTGGTCGCCGCCGTCGCCGTCGTCAGCCCCTAGGCGCGCCGCATCGTCGCGGACCGCTCCAGAGCGAGAATTGGGATTCCCGCGCCGTCCGCGACCTCCCGCGCCATATGCCATCGGTGCTTCTCGCGCAGGGAACGTCACATCTCGGGGGCGCGGATTGGCTCGCGATCGACGGCGTGGTCGCAGTTTGGGTGTAGCGACGCGGGCACTTCCGCTGGCCCTGCCAGTGTTTCGTGCACTTTTAGCGGCGGAACTGCTTAGGCCGCGGTCCCTGGAGCGGGCTTTACGACATTGATGTAGGCTCGCCGACGTACAAATGCGCTTGCGGTGCGACGTCTGCCTGTACACTCTATCTACCTGCTGCTCTTGCCTTTACACCTGCGACATGACCAGCACTGTGCCCGCCCGCCCCGTTCTATCTCGGGGACGAAGACGAATGCGACGAGGATTACGACGTGTTTCTGTTCTATCCTTCTCAGAATCGAGTGTCTCAGGTACGCCCTCCTTGCCACGCGCCACTTGTTTCCTGGTTCCTCATGACGCGCCCCCACCAGTTCTCCGAGCCCGACTGGACGACGACGCGTATTCCGACTGTTCAAAGGTCTATTCCCGCTCCTCGACGTCCTACACCACTGAAATCGACGCGCCCCCTGGCCTCTCGGTCTCCGTTTCGTCCCTCGCGTTGTCTCCAACGTACGTGATCGACGAGACGTTCGCCTTCCCCGATGCGGATCCCGACGACGGCATCTCGGCGATGGGGTACAGCAAAGTGTTCCGGGCTGGGTTTTGGGCAGAGGTACGTGTATCCCTCGGCTTCTCTTGCTGGCTAGGCAGGTCACTCATGCGCCACGGGTTTCGCAGTCGTGTCGGATACCGTGGACGTTTGGTGAGGTAGTGGCCTTGATTCTCGGGCGGTTGCGCCGTTGGAAGGCGCGTCTGATTCGATCCCCGCCGTCCAGGAATCATCGGCAGCTCAGACGGTGTAGACGAGACGGAGAGACGCGTCGTCGAGGGTGTTGGGTCATCAAAAGTATGCAGGTGCAGTGGGGCACCATCCCTCCCGTGTATCCTTGTATCATAGTTTATCCATGCGTATCCATTATCCTGCTCTTCATCCCCGCTCTCCGATCACACACGTTACCCCGCAGTCACCCAGCCAGATCACGGCTGGCAAATGAGGGCTACAGGATGATCCGGTGCTGCGACCCATCACCGCCTGCGAGTGACTACGACATTCACCCGTTGGTGCGTCTTCTGGACGATGCTTGGCTTGGCAGGCTTACGTCTTGCAGATATCTAGGGCGTTCTTGAGAGCAAGGTAGGTCACAGCTCGGAGGGGGGAGCTGCGGCAGTCCACGCCCTGTGCACCTTCGTCTCTCATCCTTGTCGTGTCATCCTTTCAGGTGAAGGGCCCCACGATGGCGGGCGAGCGCATCAGCAACGAGGTGGCTTGTCGCGGTGCATTGCGCGCCGGCCGATAAATGACGACCGTGAGGAACATCGCCGACGAGTCGCAGCCACGACACGCGGTGTGCACGGAGACACCGCATTCGCCGCACCGACACGACCACCCACCCACGTACTGTGTCCGGGATGCTCGTCTCCCATACGCGACGAACGTTGAATGGCGGAAAGAGCGTCACCGCCCCAAGCGGCACGACGGGGATAAGGTGTGAAGCGGGCTGATCCCTCGCGGCGGTCTGAATGCGCGGCTGGTCCCGCCTACGATCGCGGCCCTGGGGGGATGCGCGGGCGGGATGGAAGGGGCAATGATGCCACAGCGATACGAGGTGGTCGGGACACACGTGTTGAGCAGCGGGCAGACCGAGGAGGAGAGCCGGGGCGCGGGCGGCGGTCAGAGGACGAGCTGCGAGGGCGCGAAAGGCTAACGGTGGGGGTGCCTTGACGTAAATACGCCCGTGTCTGGACAGTGGAAGGCTCCGTCGGCGAAGGCTCGGGCGGCGAGGGCGATATGGAGGTGGGAGAACTGCAGCGGCACAGCTTCGTGCCGGGAGGAAGGCGCGAGGCGGGCGCCAGCCCACGTCTCCTTCCTCCTTCCATGATCACCTCATCTCGGCCGCGGCCTCGAAATGTTAAATGTCTCTCTGTCCTTTGTCCAGCGAGAGTCCGTACATCCCGCAGGATCTATCGCCATTGTGCTCTCCGATCGCACGAGCTCTGTCTGCAGGTGTGGCACATTCGGACGGACAATCACACACGCTGAAGGCCACACACGGGCTGAGAGTCGAGCCGCGAAACGTGGCCCGCAGACAGAACCAGCACGAACCGAAGGGAAGCCCACCCCACATTGCACAGATCTCCGGGGGGGCCCCTCGTGTGACGGGGGGCTCTCGAGTCTCGAGACGCAAGAGCGGATCCTGTCCGCACCGCTGCCTCCTGGCCTCGCCACCTCCCCCAGTTCGTCCGTTTCATTTCATTTCCGGGCCTCCCCTGACGCCAATCCTCGCCGCAGTGTCCTCTTCTTGTCCCTCTCGTGACCTCTGCGCTTTCACAGAAGCTTCGGCGCGTACTTCGTCTTGGCCACCGCTGGGACGCGGTGGGGGCTGCATATACCGCTTGCGCCGCCCTGGGGCATAGGGCGTGCGCCCCAGACAGCCCGCTTATTGTGCACGCGGGGGGACAGCGATCCCGTCACCGCCGCGGGAGGGAGGTGCGCGGCGAGACTGGGACCTCCATCCATCAGCGCACTCCGCAGTGAGTGTGGCCCTGTCGATTGTCCCTCGACTCTCTGGCGCACACGAGGCCCCGGGCGCCTGCAATGCGTCTCCGCCGACACGCACAAAAGGACCGGTGGATCGACCGCATATAAGGGACTGGCAAGGCACCGTCCGGTCCTACACCCCGCCCTCGCACCCCGCTCTCCCACCTTTCTCTCGACCTTGGCCTTGCGCCGTAGAACCTTCGACCCTTAGAACGACATGTCTTACGTCGGGTACGACACCTACCAGCAGCCCCAGTTCGGCTACCCCATGTCCCACTCCGTCTCGCACGCGGGGCCCATCTACGGTGCGCACCCGAGCGAGTTTGGCTACGAGCCAGGATACGCCGGGACCGCATACACGGACGTACGTCTGCCTCTCCCGCGACTTCCTTTGTCTGACCGTGCTCACTGCGTGTCTCATAGCCTGGCTACGTCGCTGGCGGCGTTTACCCTTCAGCCACCGTCTACCCTCAGCGTGCCATGAGCCAGTACGGACCTCGAGGTGAGTCCCGTTCCCGGTCCTTCTCACCTCGCCCTTCCTTCCCGTCGCTGACCACCGCCATCTCGCAGCCTACGACGACTTCGATCTCCGCGACTCGTACCACTCCGGCTACGCGACCCCGCACGGCGGCTCGCGGCGGCGGCGCTCGAACTCGCTCACGCGCTCGATGTCCCGCATGAGCCGGCGGAACAGCACGTACGACCTCCGCGCGGCGGGCGGCGCGGGCGGGCTGAGCGGCGCGGTGATCAAGTTCAAGCGCAAGGGCGGCTTCCGGAGCGGGATCACGCTCGGCGAGGCCATGTCCGACGCGCACCTGAGCAGCAACGACAACTACTCGCTCTACGACCTCAACGCGGACTCGCGCGGCCGCATCATCCTCAAGCTCCGGGTGAGTCGCCGCCGGGGGATCCCCACACTGTCGGAGGACGCGAGGTGCTGACCGCGCCCCTCTTTCGCTTTCGCAGTGGTCGGGCTACAGCTCGATGACGTACGAGCTCCCCGCGGACTGCTACGACGGCCGGGTGGAGCTCCAGACCCTGGCGCGGCGCATCGCGCGCGCGTGCGTGCACTTCCTGCAGGTGCGCACGCTCCTCCCCCCTTCGCCGCTCCACCTTCCAGGCGCCGTGCTAACAGCCCGCCTTCCCCATCCGCAGGCGAACGTGATCCCCGTCTCGTGGGACCGCGTGGTCCTCTACCACCTCGAGGAGATCTCCCCGGGCGTGTGGCAGCCGGTGCTCTCGTCGAGCTGAGCGCGCGGGGCGTGCCTCCCTCTTCTGCGGTTCCCGCGTGTTCCTCATTCACTTCCCTCGCCGCCCCTTCCCGCGCTCGTCGACGGCGCGGATCCCTCCGGTGGTCGCGGCGTGCAAAGAAACGGCCGCCCAGCCGCTGGCGCGAAGATCCCGCGCCGGCCCGTGGCGAGTGCGCTGGCTCGCGCTGCTGTTTTGCCCTTTCACCGCCCCTCCGAATATATCCTTGACGACCTTGACGACTGACGGCTCCTGCAATACTTTATATATCACGCTCTCCATGTTGTACTATAGCGACATATCATACAGGTTTCCCGGCTGAGTTTCGCAGTGTGCTTGGCAAACTGACATCACACGGGCTCGGAACGGGTGGATCTGCGCGCAGGTTCGAACAAGGGGGGTAACTCAATATGTTATCGATACAGATAAGGAGGCGACTTCGAGGCGTGTTCTCGACGGGGCCGGGGTATTACAACGCAGGGTCGCTGCGAAGGGGGTACTATGTGATACACGTACGAAGAGGCATAGAAGTCGTTATAGCGTGTGGATAGTCTAGCGGCGTTCCATAAGAGGAAAGTGCCCGTCGATGGACGGAGTTCAGTACTAGTCGTACGCGCGCTCACCTCGGTGGAGGGTGCGCTGGTGCGTGCGCTCCGCGCGCGGGGTGGAACGGATGCCGAGCGTGCGCTTGATGCGGGTCATGAGCCCGACGTGGGCCTCGCGGCCGCGGCCCATGGCCTGCAGCTCGCGCTTCGCGTGCTTGCGGCCCTCGCGGGTCGTGTGCGGGTTGGCGAGCGCGGCCTCTGCGGGTGCGCGGTCGGCGGTGAGCGAACGGAACCGGGGGGGAGGAAGAGAGCGACTGACTGTAGCCTCCTGCGACGCGGTCGGGGTCTTTGCGGCCGAAGCGGCCGAGGCGGCCAAAGCGTCCCTGGTGTGGCATGTTCGTGGCAGTGGGTGATCGAGTTGTGGGTGAAGCGAGGGGTGCGCGGAATGGGTGTCGTTGGAGTTGTGGCGATCGAGGAGGAGCGGGGTGCGTTATATACCCCTCGGGAGGGGCACGTCAGTGGAGACCACAAGCCTGGCACCTGGACAGGCTTTCCTCGCTCCAAGGCGGCACCCGTCACGGCGACGTCACCGTCACAATATCGCTGACGTCTTGTGACTTTCCGTCACGCTGTGCCTTCAATCTTCTCCACTACGAACCGTCTCCGAGGCCAGGCACGACTGCGGTGGATGGGCGAAGCAGCCGCTGACGACGTCGCTGCGCTTGTCGCCTCCGCCTACTCCACCCTCAAATTCCACCCTCCACCCGGCCAGTTCACCGTCCTCGCCGCCTTCGTCCTCCACGCGCGCGACGCGGACGACGGTCTCAAGGTAATCTCGCTCGGAACGGGATCCAAGTGCCTCCCGGGCGACAAGCTGCCTCGCACCGGCGACGCCCTGCACGACTGCCACGCAGAGGTCCTCGCCCGCCGCGGCGCCGTCCGCTGGCTGCTCGAAGAGGCCGCCCGCGCCGCCCCCGCAGAGCACGCCTCCCGATGGCTCCACAGACCGGGCGGCGCCCCCGCCAAGTTCGCGCTGCGCGAGCGCGTCGAGCTCGTGCTCTACGTCTCCACCGTGCCGTGTAAGCCGTCTCCGCCTCCACCCATCGTCCCCCGCCGACCCCGATCCCGACCCCGCGCGCAGGCGGCGACGCGTCCACGCGCGCCCTCGCCGCGGCGCAGGACCCCGCGATGGCCGCGCTGAAGGACGCCGCGCCGCCCCCCGCGCCGCCCCCAGGAACCGCCGCGCGCGGGCGCGACGGCTACGCCGCCCTCGGCGTCCTCCGCACGAAGCCCGGCCGCGCGGACGCGCCGCCGACGCGCGCGATGGCGTGCAGCGACAAGCTCGCGGCGTGGGGCGTGCTCGGCGTGCAGGGCGCGCTCGCCGCGCGCGCGCTCGTGCCGGTGTACGTTGCGCGCGTCGTCGTTGGGGAGGTCGCGTCCGGAGCGGAGAAGGAGGAGGAGGCGATGGTGCGCGAGGACTGCGAGCGCGCGCTGTTCGGACGGCTGCGCGGGAAGCTGGGAGGTACGCATTGCGTTGCATGCACCGGCGCGCGGGGCTAGCTTGGTTGATGGTGGACCCTCGGTATGCCACGCAGACCTCCCTCACCCGTACCGCCTGCGCGAGCCCGCGATCGAGTTCACCGCCGTGCCGTTCGTCCACTCGCGCTCGGCGCTGTCGCCGACGCCCTCGAGCGGCTGCAACGACTGTGCGTCCGCACCTCCGGCCTCTCGTCGCTGATCTGACTTTGGCCAGCTCTCTGCTGGGTCGCGGACTCCCCGAGGCCGAGCGAGGTCCTCATCAACGGCCTCCGGCGCGGCGTGCCGCCCAAGCACCGGCACAACCCCAAATTCCGCCCGTCGCTGTCCAAGCTGGCGCTCTACCGACTCTTCAGGGACGTCGCTCTCGCTACGGGCACGCCGACCGTAGAGGCGTGCGTGGCGCTCGCTGTTTTCCACCGGCGCGGTCGACGACACTGACGGAGACGCACTGGCTGCAGGGACTGGACGAGCTACGAAGGATGCAAGCGTCGCGATCCCGACTACGAACGCGCGAGGCAGGCACTCAAAGGACCCGGTGGACCGTTCGAGGGATGGGTTCTCAGCGGGAAGGCGCACGAGCAGTTCGACATCGACGGTGCACCTGCCGCTCCGCCTCCGTTGGATCAAGATGTCGCCTGAGCATCACGCAGACACGTCGGGGCACGCGAGAGGTCTGGTCTATCAGTGCTGAATACAATTGATCTAATCCAACCCCAACAATACTAGACATAGCTCGCGATCTCTACCAACAGCGGGGCGGCGCCGGCACAAGTATAGTGAGGAGCCGTCGCGGTGAACGACAGTCATTAAGCATAGGGTGCGGGAGGTGGGTATCGCGGCGTAGAACACCCTCCTGGTAAGGTAGTGGGGAGGGTGGAGGTGAGGAGTGGCATGCAGGAGGCAGAAGCAGGCAATCCAAGCGTAACATACAGTGAGGGAGAGCCGCAGGGGCGCGCACTGCGCGTAAGCCCCATGTACTCTAGGTCGCGTCGTGTGTCATCAGTGGTCATACATATAGGGTCGTCAGGTCTTCCAGTCGTTCAGTCGTCCAAGACATGGGCAAGAAACCTAGATCGAGTCGCTCTTGACGTAGCCGTTGCCACTGAGCGGCGGGATGGCTTCAACGGGGTCCATGCCGGCAACAATAGGCGAGAGAGCCTTCGGTGAGCTTCCGACGGTCGAGAGTTCGTCGTCACTGAGAGGACCGAAGGTGGGGCTTGACCGCTCAGACCGGGCGTTGACCTCAGCCAGCTCCTTGCGAAGGGCTTCTAACTCCCGCTCAAACCTAGCGAAACGGATTAGCTCGAAATGAGTGAACAAGGCCGCATATACTCACTTGCGGCCGAAGACCTCGATATAGAACCCGCCACCGTTCCATGTGCAGACCGAAAACAAGAGTAGGATGTACGCTGAACTCCAGAACGCACTGTCGTACAACAGGAAGACTGCCGGCAGTTCCGTGATGATCGAGTACACTGCAGAACGGATGTCAGTAACACGTCTCCGGGGCTCAAAGTGGGTACGTACCGAACTGGCCGGCCATGAAGGAGACCTCTCTGCGTTCAGGCGGAACGGCGGCAAGCGCGCGGCCGATGGCACCGCGCTTGTCGTTGAGGAGCCACATGAAGGACGTCATCCGCTGGCCAGACACGACCTTGGCGCGCCGATCAATAAGGACATACTTCCAGTACAGAAGCTGCCAGATAAGGTCTGCATCTCATGTAAGCGATGAACGCATAGCCACGTCGAAGCCACGTACAGATGATGCTGCTCAGGAGAAGCGCGCGGAACGGATCCATATGGGGCACCTCGCGAAGTGCAGGGAACCGTTCGTGTGCATTCGGATAATAGTGGCTATTTCGTTTCGTCAGCCACAGTCGGGTGGTGGGAGGACAACAATGAACGCACCGAATGACAGAGAAAACCAGCGGAGGATAGATGTGGATGAAGAGGGACGTGACCTTGTCCCAATCGTGGAACACGAGGCTATTTCTCCATGTGATGACCGCGCTGGCAAGAGAGCCCATAGAGATACAGTAACAGGCCACGAACAGTGCCGCACTTGTTGGAGTGATCCAGATGAAGATGAGGTCGAGGACGTTGGTGTAGTAGCAGAGGTCGAAGAGGAAGTAGTGCCACGTGCGCTTCTTGTACATGTAGACACGGAGAGGGAGGTAGTAGGCCGCCTGGACGGAGTAGAAGACGTGTATCCATCTGGTTCCCGGGTGATGAGGACATAGTGCAACGCCACAGAAGCAGAAGAAAGAACGCACTCGGGAGCCAGTCCCCACAACAGAGCGGTGATGAGAAGAGACATCACGGCCATGAAGAACGTGACCTTCTCGCGAGTTCGGATGACTTTGGCGGAGTGCCATGTTTGCGTGATTGAGAGCAAACGCTGGGAGACCTAGAAAAGCGGGGCGATCGATACCGGAAAAGAGCAGGACCGCGCGGCGCACGTTCGTACCTTTAGCTTGTAGCGGTGCAGCTCCCGGTCGAGCGCGACATTGGAGACAGGCATGACCTTGAAGACACCATCCTTGAGGACGTCCTTCTTCAGGTTGTTGATTCGCTCTTCGGTCTTGAGCTTGAGGCGGTCGCTGTGCTTCGCGAGCTGCCGCTGGAAGAGGTCAAGGTGGGAGTCGAAATAGGTCTCCATGGTGTCTGCGCATACGCGTGAGTATCCGCGCGGGGGATAAATGAAAAGACGGACCGAGCAGAGTGAAGCCGCTGGCCCAGTCTGAAATCTCATCCTTGACGAAGCGGTCGAATGGAACGGAGAACACGCCCTGGGATGAGTTGCGGCGACTCATGGAGGGCGGAGATGGCGGTTGGGAGGAATCGGGGGTCGCCATGGCTGGCGGGGACTAGAGAGCAAAGCGCGCTCGAGGCGGCGGTGGTGGGAGAGGAGAGGGGACCGTGCGGGGGAGTGAGGCAGATTGCAATTGGCAGCAACGGACGCATGTGCGACGCGTTCAGCGGACGCCTTTTGGAATCACAGGGCCGCCAGCTGCTAGCCACCCGCTGACTCAGCAGGCCACCAATTTCGGCCATCACGTGCGTTTACTCCGCCACGAGGGGCGATTGGCGGACGGGGTGCCGCTGGAGGAGCGGCCGACGCAATCGCCGCGCCGAACAACTTGTTAAGCAGGCCAATTGGGTCGCAGCCCCTCGGCCTTCCCTCTCTTCCCACCACTCACCATGTTCCGCGTCTCCCTCTCAAAGTCCCTGGCCCCCGCTGCCTCCCGCGCGAGCAGGCTCGCCACGCGCCCTGTTATTGCCCGCGCGTATCACGAGAAAGTCATCTCTCACTATGAGCAGCCTAGAAACGTACGCCTCGTCCGGTCTGGACTCCTGCGGTTATCAGATAACTCACCCGCCCCCTTTCCCCGTGTGTTCCTCTCTCCAGGTCGGCTCGCTCCCCAAGAATGACAAGGATGTTGGAACTGGCCTCGTCGGTGCCCCTGCGTACGTCGCCTCATCCTGCTCGCTGTCGTCGCCGAGAGCGCTCCACTAACGCTCTGATGGCCGTCGCCAGCTGCGGCGATGTCATGAAGCTCCAAATTCGCGTCGACGAGAACGGCATCATCTCCGACGTCAAGTTCAAAACCTTTGGCTGTGGCTCGGCCATCGCGTCGTCGTCGTACATGACGGAGCGGGTTAAGGGGCTCTCGTTGGAGGACGCGGAGAAGATTAAAAACACGGAGATCGCTAAGGAGTTGTGCTTGCCCCCCGTCAAGCTCCACTGCTCGAGTGAGTACCCTCTCGGTTTTCCTGACTCACCATGCGTCTAACGAGCGACCAGTGCTCGCCGAGGACGCCATTCGCTCGGCCATTCGCGACTACCGCAAAAAGCGGAGCACGTCGGCCAACCCGAAAAAGGCTGGTTTCATCGACGTGTCACAAAGCGCGGCCACCGGCGAGACTGTCGCCACCGCGCATCCACCATCGTCGTAGTCCGGCAATAGTCGGTCGACTCGGTCTTTGTGCTCGTTGCTTTCTCATGTATTACTACCCCGTTTGCACCCGCGTTACCGTACTATCGTAGCAATATAAGTACTAGATAAACTGGATCTTCGCGTTCTCCATCCAGCTACAACGGAGCAGACGAGGGGCCAAGCTTCAAGCACGAAAGAGTACTGACAGCGAATCTGAGGAAAGAGACAGACATCCACACCTAAGATGTACCCGACGACGGGGTTAAGAATGCCGCCGATCTGAGAATCACTCGAAGGCCCTCTTGGACCTAGACTCGTTTGTCTGATCATCCCAACAAAGCAAGTCGGTCATGTACAAGCAGGTAGAGCCCGTCCTCCGCCAATCAGGGGATAGAATACCATGCACAGCCAAAGCAATACACTTCTCACCACACCGAGTCAGATCTACTTGCTGCCCTTCTGACCGACGAACGAGAACGTGCCGTTCGAGAACCAACGCTCGTTGGCCTCCTTCACGCGTGCCGCGGCCGCAGCCTTGTTGGTCAGCTCGAAGCCTGTCACATGCGGGTGTCAAGTGAGTACAACTCCAGCACGCGACAAGTCAGACAACACACCTTGCACAGGGGTCACCGTCAACGAGGTCGCCGTCCCTGACGTCGATGCGCCGCCGCCTTGCGCTGCCCTGGTGAGCGTGGCCATCCGCAGTTTGTTGGCCTTCGACAGCTTCGCTGGTGGTACGTAAAGGAGGCCCTGGCGTCAGCGAAACGGGCCACAGGAAGCCTGCCCGCAGATCTGATACCAATCCCGCGGAGAAGTGATGCGAGTGGAAGAAAGGACGCACCTCGACTCTTGGCCTCGCCGACACCTGCCCGCACCTTGCCGGTGCCAATCATGCCGAGGCCCTTGGTCTGGTCGAACGCGCCAACTTCCTCCTCGGCCTCGCCGAACGCCATGCGGTTCTGCAGCTTGCGGAGCTCCGTCGACGCGTACGCCTCCTTGGCTTTGCGCGCGCTACGTGGGCGGCGGTTGAGCGGAGAAGGGGAAAGGGGTAGCGACGGGGACGACTTGCCGTTTACCACCACGACGCTTCTTCGGGCCGTCGTTCGGGATGGGAAGCGCTTTGGTGATCTTGGACGGGGGTGGGGCGGCGAGACGGTCGATGTGCTTCTCAATCTTGTCTCGCAGCTGTTCGCCGTACGAGCCTGCAGAACACGATCAAGCTGTATACGCGCAGATATGCAAGGACTTTGCTCACCGTCCCTGCGAGATCTCTCGAGGTCCATGCGGGCGGCCAATGTGCACTTCGCGCCGACGGTGCGCTGGACCTTCATACGGTACTCGGGTGGTGTGCCTTGAACGATATCAGACTGAAAGACGAAGCCGGTATGCCTCCGTTGCGTGACTGACGAGAACCCGGCGGCGATCTTCTTCTGCGCACCAAGAAGCTGAAAATGACCGTCAGCGGGCTGAAGGGACAGATACAGAACGCACTCACGTAGACATTACACGACGGCATTTTGGCGACACCTGACAAACCGCCGGCGACACCGAGCAGTTTCGCGGCTGTGGTGGTCCCAACAATAGCGGATAGGTTGGGTGCAAGCATATTCATTCGTGAGCTGACGTACATGAAGATCTGTACATTCGTGTAAGCCCCTGGTGGAATACAGAAACACATAGCTGGAGCTCACCTTCTTTCGTGCCTCCTCTAGACGGTCGGCAAGGTCGCATGCTCGTTGTACGGCCTCCCATTCCGCGTCCGACAGAGGTTGTCCAGCGGTCGTAGTGGCGGTCACTAGTACACTCATAATGATGGCGGGAGGAAGGACACCTTGCAAGTCGACTTTCGTGGGATCTTCAGCGTTACCAAGGGCACGCACCGAACGAATGTACATGGCGGGCTCCGCAACGAGCTGTTCCAGTTCCGGGAATTTTGGAGCATAATGATCCCGAATGAACTGGTAACAAGTGAGAATCCATATGTGCGATAAGAAGCAAGTTCGCGCACCTTGTGGACCACCATGATTTCATTGTCAACATCCACGGAAAGGTTATTCGCTTGAACGATGAGATTGTACTCGGGATTCGAGTGCGTAGGCATCGCCATCTGCTCCGCAGTGCTTGGGCTATTCTCGTACTTCTCAATCTCCTGTAGGGAGCTGAATTTATGCGCTTGTATATGCACGTAACGCGTACGCACCTTCAGAATATCGTTCATCCTCTTGCTTCCTTCTAGCCGTGCCACTTTCCGCACATCCTCCACCGCGCCGAGCTCCATACGCTGAACCTCTTCCGCGTCGAGCTCTTCCGCTGGCTTGACACCTCCATCCAGCACTAGGCTGCCAACCTTTTCGTTACCGCCTTCCTCGTCGCCTTCGCCTTCGGACATTTCGTCGTCGGAGCCCGATGCTTTGCGCTTCACTCCGGCGGAGACCGACGCGCTTGCCTCTGGTTGTGGCTCTTCCTCATACTGATCTTCGTCTCCAGAAAGGCCGTCAAGGTCGGCAAGGAGTTCGTCGGCAAGCGAGCTCATGGCAAGTGAGGGGGAGAGACAGGAGAAGATGCCGCTCGACGTTTCGCGCGTGCCGTACGGGAGACAAGCGCTGATGTCCACCTTCCTTGAATGGTAGTGCGGGAACCTCGGACGAATTTCTGCCTGTCGATGGACTGTGGACTGTGGACGACGTGCCCGGCGATACATTCAAAAGGCTCATCGAACAAAGTATCGAATTGTCATTTTTGCAATTTGCAAAGGATGCTCATGCGGCACAGAGCTGGCAGAGGGGAGACAGTCGACCCGCTGTAAGACGTCGTCCAGACGATCTGCGGCATGAATGGTCCATGGGGAGCGACATGTGCTGACTACCGGAATCAAAGACGAGACGACGGCGGAGATGAGATTCGTCCACAAAAGGCGTGGCTCGGCGGATGGACTGTACAGTTGAAGAGGACAAGTTACGGGCGTCTGTCCGGGGTGGCGGCCCACGTGCGGCACGTGCGAGCTGTGAAGCACGGCCGGGCGTGCGAGACAACCCATCCTGCCTCCCTCCTTCCGCTCCTCATCGTCCCGACCGACGATGCTCCATATCCCTTCCCCGTCCCCCTCTTACATCCTCACAACCAGTCGTCGATCTTTCGCACATCAAGTGAAGCAACCAAAGGTACCTTGGGGAGGATCACCCAAGTTACAGCTCGGTTGGCCTCACCCCTGGAAGGTTACCTTCTGGGTTGCGTATATGCGCACTTATATTGCGCACTCTGTGCTGGCTTTTTATGGTTGCACGGTAGTATGTATCTCTCATTGTGACTATCAAGAACTGGTGATAGGACCAGGTGGGTCAAGGGAAAGGATGAGCCCTCGATTTTCGCAGGCCCTGGTCAGCCCCCTTCCTCTCACTTTCTCCGCTGCAAGTCACTCACCTCCTTTTCATATATGTTCAGGTGTTGGCTCATGCCTTTCTGTTAGTCCCGACTAGCGGTCACTCACTCGATGACTGGGGGTGTCGATGTGCCACCTACGCGTCATCCGCCGTTGTGCTGCGCGCCTTTCAAGTTCACCGATATCGATCCCTGCTTGCATTCAACTGTACAGTTGTAGATGTCGAGCGGAGTGTCTCAAGGGGTCGTATTTTACACAGCGCAACGCTGTCTTCACTGGAGCGTAGTAAGATGAATTGTGAGTATAGACTCTGCGCTGTCATCGAATCCTCATCACGCTGACCTCCCTTCTTTGCAGATTCACAGCGATGTATTCTTTACCCTTTTACACTTCGTCTTCCCTGTGTCTTCCACCCACTCAGCATCAAAGGGCCGTCCCCAGATGCCTTCCAAAAGCGGTAAAAGCGTGATTGTAAGTGGTGCTTATGTAAGCGACGAAAGTGGCTCTCGCGCGCCCGCCCATGCCTCGGCCCGCCACCATCCATCGGCCTCACAACAGTGAGGCGCCGTTCCCGCCCCATCCACCCTCCAAGCCACTCTCATCTACGGGCCTCCACCTCCCCTACTCCATGACATGCCTCGGGCAACGCATCCGGGTCCCGCTGCTCTCCGCAACCGCAACAGGGTCACCAATAAGACACGCCTCAAGGTCATCAAAGATACTATCGAAGCGGACTCGATTGTACTCGATGAGGACGAGGAGAAGGCCAGGGTCGTTTCTACAGCCGGCGTGGACGCCGAGGATGCCAACGTACGTGTCGATTGCGCCCTAGAGCTCGTTGTTTGCGCCGTTGTTGGAGGGGCTAGTGTGGCGTCGTCTCATTGGCTGCAACCGTGGGAGTTTTATCCCGTGGAACGCTGACTCATCTTTTCCCGCTTACTCATTTAGGAGCATCACCTGCAAGCGGTCTTATCCGCAGCCGCGTCTCGGCATCAGGCCTTGCGCGCGACGAGGGCGGGCGAGAAGGACCCTGCGCCCGCCGCCTACATCCCGACGCCTGATAGTACCGGTATAGTGCACAACTATGCTGATCTTCATGTCGCGGGTCGCTGGAAGGAACCACATGGATATGTCAAGTACTCCGAGACCGTCGAGGAGGCGACTTCGTTTGCGCTTGCGAATGGGTTCATCTACTATATGGACGAGCGCGACAAGGAGTGGCTAGACAAGAACAATGAACAAGCGCGTGGGGAAGGCAGTAGCTCCGCAAGCACAGTGTCTGGCACACGCTCCGCTCGAAGCGCGAAAGCGAAAGGCAAGGAACCGGATATCGTCCAGCCTATATCGATCTCAGAAAACGAGTTCGAGCTTGTCATGTCCATCCTCGAGAAGGTCACGCACGAGAAGACCGAGTTCTTGCACCACGTAAGTTCGTCGAGCGACGGGCCCTCGAGCGCGCTATTGACGCGTCCCCAGGGCCTGCAACAGGGCGCCCCCTTCCCGCCATTCTCGGAGTATCAAGACACATTCGCCACTCCCCTTCCTCCTGATATGTTTGCATGTTATTCTGCGCCTAGCTGGATTCCTGCTCCGGCCCAGATGCTCCGCTTTGCCCGCCTAGTATATCCTTACTGGCGAGAACGGCGAATCGAGCGTGGCGGGCACCGGATCATCCCTGCCGTTAATGTAAGTTGTTTCAATGTTGTTGTGCGACTGTCGCTCACAGTACGTCCCTACAGCTCGACGAAAGCGACACGAAGAACGAGTCATATATCTGTTTCCGGCGTCGCGAGATCAAGGCGGTTCGCAAGACTCGCGCCTCTCAAACATCGTTCTCCGATCGAATGGTTCGGCTGCAAAGCGAACTGTCCATGGCGCTGGACCTCGTACAGATGGTACAACAGAGAGAAACGTTGAAGCACGAGTCGGAGTCCCACAACAGCATTGTCTGGGCGAAGCGGAGATCGCTCGCAGATCTCAAACGCGCGCAGCCGTCACTTGGTGCTAAGGACGACGAGGAGCTCTTCTGGGAGAAAGACAAGGAGAGGCCACCAAAGAAGAAGGTAGACACGAGGTGTGTCTACATGTCTCTTCCACGTCGCTTCCTCTCTAACAGTAGCGTCTTGGTAGTAAAAAACCAGGCATCTCGGTCAAACAACCTCCAGAAACTGGGTCTCCTGTTCCTGCCCCGACACCTCTCATCCGACCCAAGGACCGACAGGCTGCCATTCAAGCCGCCGTCGACCACGAAGTGTCCCGTTTCAAAGATTCCAAGTGGGAGGATGTTAGCGACGTAAGCTTCTCTAATCTAATAAGGCTCTGCGCGTTGGTACTGATGCAAGGATCTACCAGAACCCTTACCTTTCCCCATTCACCCCATACGGTTGCCGACTATTCAAGCCTATTCCCGCACGTCCAACACAGTCGATGTCAACTGTTGACGAAGACCGGCTTGCGCCGGCAAAGCCTCGCTTTGCTCGTCTCAGGAGCGCCCGCGGCCGTGGACGGCTCATGCTGGACCGTCGCATCAACGCAACATTAAGGGCAGCGCGCTTTGACGACGAAGAGGGCAAGGACCGGGTCCAGCGACTTCAAGAGCGGTTCAGATATGACGATGATGATGGGGCGCACCTTGGAAAGGTGGGGCCTGATGAGGTCGACCGCAAGTTCGTGGATGAGCGCCAGCCAAGGTCAGTGTGTCCCGGAACAAACATTCGCGAGTTTGTCTGACATCTCTCACAAGCCATTTGCTGTTTTCGATGGGACTTCTTCAAGGCGACGATTTCAATCGACTGCAGACAGACCCAGTTCTCAGACTGTCTTCAGGAGAGCACAAGGCGTATTCGATCGGCCCCACTCCTCTCGTCATGAAACAGCCCCTGCCACAAATGCGCCAACCGACTACACCCACCGTGCCGTCTATCAGCTCTGGTGGCATGTCTCAGCCTGGACCGAGCGGAACCAGTGGAACGCCCATCTCGCAACCCACTGTCGTGAAGAAGCTTCCACAGTCCAACGGCCAAGTGCTTCGGATCTCGAACGGCCGTGTGCTTTCTGGTGGACATGCTCCCCAATCCCCTCATACTAGTCCCCCATCCACCGCCACTTCGACCACATTTCCCGACGTTCATATCACACCTGCCAAGACCGCCGACCCGGATGTCCAGATGACCGACGCCAACCCCACCAATGTCCCAGCACCCCCCACTACTCCCTCTCTTCCTATGCCATCACCTTCACCCGTGTCCGCGAAGACTGTGATGTCGACAGCCGCAGTCAACATACACAACCTGCAGAACGGTTATCCCATGTCCGTCAACGGCTACCCGATCCAGAAGAACGGTTACATCCATCCGAACGCGCGGCACAACGGCCTCAGTCTGCAACAAATGCAGTCGATAGCGACGATGCTCCCCGACAACAACGTTAACATCGCTCTGCGGCAACCTGGGGCGTACATAATACCGAACGGCGCACCCTACCCTATGCAAATGGCCGGCGGTCGTCCCGTCCCGTGGCCGATGACGGGTCAGCAGTCTCCTCCGAACGTTCCCAATGGTGTTGCCGTGGACGGCAGCAGCGTGCAAGGACAAGCAGGCTCTCCAGTACGTGCACCCTCCGCAAGCGGTATGCGCGCGCCCCAGCGCGCCCCGATGGTGAACGGCAACCCCGCGCTGGTGGCACCCGCGAACGCGCACATCGCCGCGCGGCTCGCACCGCACTCGCCCTCCCCCCATATGCTCAGCCCCAACATGGCGGCGTCGCAGGTGAACGTGCACAGCTCGCCACCACGCGCGCCGCAATCCGCCATCCCGACACCGTCACCGTCGATGCAGTCGAGGCAGCTTGTGAGTGGATCCGGGGCGGCAGGGTATTGATCTGTCACGGGTTCTCTATGCTTTGGACTCTCGTGTACCTTATTCTCTCTCTACTTAACCGATCCTCGTCGTACGTTCCTCATGCAGTCTTGTTTCTATCATGTATTCTTATGTTGCATGGATCCCCTCTCTCTTCTTCACGCCTTAATCACGCCGAATATGCACCGTTGGCTGTACCAAATCCGTGTGTGTAACAACAAGAGATGTTTGATGTCTGATTGCGAGAGAAATCAAGTTCGTCATCTCAGCATGAACGAGCTCGAGATCCGGCGCGCTCAGCTGATGCGGGGTAGCGCCATGTTCCGGCCACGCGAGCCTCAACCCCTCCTCCTCCGTCTATATTCTTCTCCCTCTCTACATCTCTTTCGAACCACGACTGTTGTCTAACGGCACACTTAGAACAGCACTTTTCCAAAGATGCGCTCTGCAGCGCGCTCCCTCCGACTCGGACAGCTGCCCCGCACGGTCGCGTCCGGATCCGTGTCCCGGAGAGCGTACCACCCCGCGGTCCTGCCCTCGCTCATCTCGACCACCTTACCGGAGTTCAAGGCCAAGGCGGAGTCCATGGACGCGCTCGTGCACGACCTCGAGACGAAGCTCGCGGCGGTGCGGCAGGGCGGGGGGCCGAAGGCGCAAGAGCGCATGCGGAGCAAGGGGAAGAAGCTGCCCAGGGAAAGGTGAGCCCGCACTGCTTCGCCCCCCGAGAGCTTTGCGTGCTGTCAAGGGAAGCGGAGCTGACGCGGCACGGGTTACGGGGACACTGCAGGCTCGCGCTGCTGCTCGACCCGCACACGCCGTTCCTCGAGCTCTCGTCGCTCGCGGCACACGAGGTGTACGGGGCGGACTCCGTGCCTGCCGCGGGGATCATCACGGGCATTGGGAGGATAGCGGGCAGGGAGTGCGTGGTGGTCGTGAACGACGCGACGGTCAAGGGCGGGTCGTATTACCCTTTGACGGTGAGTGTATGCATTGTTAGTGTGGACGCTCGCGCTGACGGGTGGTTGCAGGTCAAGAAGCACCTTCGTGCGCAAGAGATTGCACGAGAGCACGGCCTGCCTTGCGTGTATGTTGGTACGTCAGGTCAACTACATTGGTGCACCCACTGCTGACCAGTGCTGCAGTCGAATCCGGCGGAGCGGCACTTCCGCACCAGGCGAATGTATACATCCCGATCCGCTCCTCTCTGTGACACGAGCTCACGTCTTTGCTGCAGGTCTTTCCAGACAAAGACCATTTCGGGCGTATCTTCTACAACATGGCGCAAATGTCTGCTCTAGGCATTCCCCAGATCGCCATTGTGCACGGTATTTCAGTCGCAGGTGCGTCATGCGCGGTGCTTCCTCTGCTTCCGGTGTGGTTGAACATCTTGGGTGCAGGCGGCGCATACGTTCCTGCGATGGCGGACGAGAACATCATTGTGCGGGAGCAAGGACGCATTTTCTTGGCTGGACCGCCCTTGGTGAAGGCGGCGACTGGCGAGGAAGTCGATGAGGAGACTCTCGGTGGAGGTCTCATGCACTCCTCCGAGAGCGGCGTTACAGACCACCTCGCCCGGGATGACGAGCATGCTATCGCTATTGCACGAGGTATTGTCGGAGATCTGGGCAAGGCCGGGTCACGAGAGGTCCCAGTGGGTACTACGCTGGCCCGTAGTGGAATGTTGGCTCACCTGCTTATGAAGCCCCCAGCTGTTCCCGAGAACCCGTTATACCCAGCACACGAGCTACATGGGATCGTCGGCACCGACCTTCGACAAGCATTCGACATGCGAGACGTAATTGCACGCATTGTGGACGGTAGCCGGTTCCGTGAATTCAAGAAGGAGTACGGGCAGACGATTGTTACCGTAAGCTCGTTCGCCAGCTTGGTGCATGTGCAGGCGTCCTGACGGTCTCTCCAGGGCTTCGCAAACATCCACGGGTACCCTGTCGGGATCGTCGCAAACAACGGCATCCTCTTCTCTCAGTCTGCGCTGAAAGCAACACATTTTATCGAGCTGTGCTCGCAACGCCAAGTTCCACTCCTCTTCCTCGTCAACGTCACCGGATACATGGTCGGCTCCAAGGCGGAGCGCGGTGGGATCGCCAAGGACGGAGCGAAGATGGTCCGTGCCGTCGCGTGTGCGGACGTACCTAAACTCACCGTCGTCGTCGGCGGGAGCTACGGCGCGGGAAACTACGGCATGTGCGGACGCGCATATAGTCCGAGGTTCCTGTGGATGTGGCCGGTACGCCAGTTCTGGTATCGAGTCCGTCGACCGGTCCGCTGACTCTCTGCGCCTGCAGAACGCGAAAGTGTCCGTCATGGGCCCCGGCCAGCTCTCGCAGGTGATGGCGACCGTGTCGAAGGACCCGACGAAGCACAGCACGCTCAAGGACGAGATCGAGGAGCAGTCGACCGCGTACTACGCCTCGGCGCGCCTGTGGGACGACGGGATCATCCGCCCCGTGGACACGCGCGACACCCTCGGCCTCGCGCTCGCGCTGGCCGCACGGGAGCGGAACCCGTCTGGGTCTGCAGGCCGGCTGGGAGCGACGACATGGGACGGCGACGGGAAGGGCTTCGGGGTATTCAGAATGTAGATGGATTGTATATTATTTTAGTTGGCCGACGGACGGACGGACGGACGGACGGACGGACAGGTGTACACTACACTACCACATATGGTCTGCGGCAGCATCGGACAGACCTTCCAAGCTTCAGACATCCGTCCTTGCTGTCCCTTCCGTTTGACCAATATTTCCCTAGTTTCGTCGCCTCTGCCTCTTGCGCTGCTTCCGCGTCGTCGCCGGCGCCGTCGAGGGCCCAGCGTCGTCAGGGTCGGAGTCGTCACGCATCTCGCCGTCGGAGAGGTCATCCGCCTCGTCGACGTCCATGCCTTCACCCTCGTCCTCGTCCTCCGGCGCGCGCTTGCGCGAGGCGAGCGCGGCGGCGATCGACGGCGCGACGGGCCGCCCCGAGCGCGGGATGCCCTCGGCGCCGTCGGGCGGGCCGAGCACGGGCGCGGTCCACACGTTCAGCTTGCCGTCTTCGCCGCCGGTGAGGAGGATCCCGGCCTGTCGTTCGTCGGAGAGAGCGGTGAGCGGGCGGGGCGAGGGCGGGAGAAGGGCGGACGTACGGTCTCGTCCCAGTGCACGGCGCGGACGACGCCGGCGTGCGCGTGCGTCCACGTCCGGTGCAGCAGCCATGGGTCGTCGAACGTCGGGTGGGAGACGAGCGAGATGTGGCCCCTGCGCGCGGGTGGGGGCGGGGTGGGGGTAAGAGGGCCGCAGCAGACGGGCGGAGGGAGGAGGGAGGGGACGCAACTCGTTCGAGCCGACGAAGACGCAGAGCGCGTTGTCCGCGTTCGGCGCGCCGGCGAGCGCGCGCGAGGAGATGTGGCAGCCGACGAGGTAGTCGGTCACCCAGCTGAGCTCCTCGCGGTGCACCGACGGCTGGCGGATGTCGGTGTCCTGCAGGCGGTCGAGCTGCGGGTTGCGTCGTCCGCGCGGGACGCGGTGGGTCCGGAAAGGGAAAGCGGGCCGTCAGCATCAAGTTCGCAAATATAGACGCAAGGCACGATGGCGCGAGGCACGACGTAACGCAATTGTGCAGCACTTTGCGTGTGCGGAACGACGGGGGCTGGTCCGATCGGTGGCAGCGCGGACACAAGCGGCGCGGGTGTGGCCCTCGTCCTTGCACACACCCAACCAACCGACTGCGGCGCCACGCATGCACCGATAACGACGCGTGCCGCTGTCGACGTCTACGATAGCAGCGGCAGCGGCATTACCGGGGGCATGAAGGGGGCCCAGCCCAGGGACGACGACCGTCGACGGATCCAACGAGACCACGCACCTCGCTCGACCAGACGCTGAACGTCTCCATGTCGCTCGCGGCCCACACGCCCGCGGCGCCGGTGCGGTCGTGCACCCAGCCGGCCTGGGCGACGGAGCAGCCCCAGTTGCCGACGTGCACCCCCGCCTCGTCCTCGTCCGCCTCCGCCGCGTCGGACGTGCACAGCAGCCCGTCCGAGGACGCGGAGAGGAGCGTGCGCGGGGTGAGCCCGGGCGCGTGCGCCGCGTGCGGCGGCGGGCGGTAGAAGTGCAGCGCGGTGATGTCGTCCGAGTGCGTCGAGGCGTGCGTCCGCAGCGGCGCGGCCGGGTTCCGCGGGTCCCTAGAGCGGAGGACGGGGGGAGAGCGGATCGGGTGAGCGAGGCACGATCTGGCGGGGACGGGGAGAGGGTGCGGCTGTGCCGTTCGTGCCCTGGCCAGGGACGGGGAGAGGGTTTTTGAGTGCGCACTTGCGCACGAGATACGCCCCTACGGACAACAACCCATTGGGCTCGAAACATATCGTAAGTTGGTCTACGACGAGCTCAGCCGGGAGGCAGCATTTCGCTGTGAAATACTCCGCCTAATTGGCAATCCTGTAACGCATCTACTTATGCATCACAGGTGCCAGAACAACCGCGGATGATCCATGGCGGTGCATATATTCTCATAATGCACAGCCAGATGATCACTGGGTGCTCAACTGATGAAAAGTGCCACATCGCGTCCGTGCAGATTGTCGCGTGTAGTTCACACGTGTGCCTCCGGCAAAGTGTGGCGCAGCAGGCCGTGTCCCGGTCTCGCGATGGAGGCGGCGACAAACAAGTGAGAAGAGAATCTCACCAGTACAGAATCGACGCGTCGTCGCCCTTGAGGTCAGTGCCGGCAGCGATTGTCAATCCGTCCGAGGAGACGTCGCACGAGAGCAGCGCGCGGGGTGTGCCGGCGGTCGATGCGGTCACTGTCCGGGTAGCGGAAGACGACACCGGTGGGGAGACGCAGGCGGCGGGCGGACGAGCGAGGGAAGAAAGCGTTGTATTCTCATTTGAGCGGTAGGTACATCGCGGCGCAAGAACCGGGACGGGGGCTCACAACGGAGAGCGGCGGTGGCGGCACGCTCGTCCCACACACGGACACAGCCGTCCTTGGAGGCGGAGACGAGGGCCTGGGGAGCGGAGCCTGCGACGGTGGGCACGGATCTGAGTGCGGTTATCGGGGCTTCGGGCTCAGAGAGGGAGAGGACGAGGCGGAGGCGTTCCTTGTCGAAGATGTGGACGGCATTGGACGGGGCGGAGGCGGCGGCAGCGTAGAAGGAGGGGAGCGATGCGATGGCGAGGACGTAGGACTTGGCGGGGAGCTGCGCGGTCTTGATGGGCGAGCCGGACGCACGGAAGGAGGGCGCGGGGACGAGGGTGGCCATCGTGAGCGGAGGAGGAGAGGCTGGGCCAAGAGCGCCCGTGAAATTGCGCTGCTGATGGGCGCGCTGACATAAGGGGCGACGGGCGTCTGAGGGGACCTAGAGGTGGCGACGGGGCCGGGTTGTGTTCCTCATCTCTCCTCCCGCCCTCAGGCCTCATCCCCGCCACCGTCGTCGTCGCCTTTGCTGTCCACGACGCCCGCCCGCCGCACGCCCCGGCCCACTCTCTTTTCCACCACACTCTTTTTGGCCTCGCCCCGTACTGTCCGTCGCCCGCCCGGCAAGACACCGTCAGTTCCGCAAAATCTCCACTAGCTTTCCTCCTTCGCCTTCTCTGACGTGCCATATTAATACTCTCTCCGAGTATGCGTCGCTCTCGTGAGTCCCCTGCTCGCCATCCATGTCGCGCCGCAGGAGAACCCGGCCGCACCATGTCCCTCTCCTCTCCGTCCACACCCCATGCTCACCCACCCTCACAGCCCCTCGTCTTAACCGCTTGCCCCAGAGGCTCGACTACACCCTTATTCCCGCACCCCTCGGTCAGTACTTGCGCTCGGTTTCAGCCACTGCGCCTGGACTCATCCCACTTTCGCCCAGACCTCAACAAGCCCATCGTAGACGAAAAGGCTGATCTCCCGGCCATCATCGTCACCCCTTCGTCCCCGGTGTTCGAGAGCGAGTTCTTCATTGCCTTCCTTGCCCCTCCCCCCAGCCCGACCTTCTCCCAGCGGCTGGTCGCTTTGGTCCCCTCCTTCCCCTCCCGCCTGCCGTCCCAGATCCAGCTCCCCGCGTCCCCCTTCAAGGCCGCCTTTGATGACCGCACTGGCTTCTCTCTCCGAGGCCGCATCCGCACGATCATCCTCCTCTTCGTGCTCCTCTTCATCATGGCCTCCCACGTTGTGATGCACCGCATTGCGACGAGCCACCCCCACCTGGAATTCGGCATGGCCCCCGATCACGACATAGACTTCACCACCCTGTCCCGTCCCGCCGCCGACATGGACATGTTCGGCGCACGCCTCGACGCTCAGGACGCGCAAGACGAACCCGACACCGCCGGCTGGTTCAACCTCCGCGCGATGTGGGCCCCGGTCCCTGTGACCGTCTCGCGCTTCGTCGTCGAAGAGGTCCCCGCCCCTGCGCTTGTAAACGGCCATGATAACGACACGCCCGATGTTCCGCCTTCACCCCTCGTCGCCGCATAGGCGTCGGCCCCAGGGTCGCGCATACATCACCCCGTTCATGTCACGCTTTGTCCAGTCCACGATGTCGTCTTGTCGTGTACGTTGCTCGCATTACCACCACCACCACCGGAAGGAACCTCCCCATCTGCGACCTCTCCCACCAAACGTCGGGCTCCAGCGGGTGTTGGGCGGGGAATCGGCGGCCAAGAACCCGGACCCTCGTCCGCCGCCCTGTGCGCACCGCACCGCGCGTGCCGAAGCAGCCCGCTGCCGCGCACACACGCGGTCCAGCGCGCTTCGGCCGCGCGATCCGTGGTGCTCCTCAATTCACCGCCGCCTCCCACATCGCTATCCGCACACCCACATCTCGCTCTAGCTCTCCCACTCCTCGCTTGGTTTACGCCTGTCTCCCTCATCCGCGTTCCCCCTCGTCCGTCTCCTGCTGTCCGGTGTCTGGTTTCTGGTTTATATATCGTATACGCCGCATATTACTCGTGCCCCCGTTTGTGCATACCCCGGATGCCCCCCGGTGTGCCGTGGCTCCGGACCTTGCGCTGGGCCTCCCTCGAGGCCCGCCGAGGAGATGCGCGGAGTGAGATCATGATGGACTGTGCCTTCGATCGACGCGTTGGTGCACCGCGACCCGAGCGTCTTGCGGCAGTCGTCATGCGCGACGGCGAGCCTGCTTGAACGATAAACCTCTGAAGATTGCGGTGGGCACTCGATGGTCCCCGCACGCACCAAGTCGTCGTAGAATCAGCACGCACCAGCTGAGAGCACACCGGATGCGTTCTGCAGCGGTGACGTCTAGCTCGTTTCGGGCCCGATCCAACGATCGCGCACTGTCGTCTTCAGTCTCGATCAGGATCGACGGACTGCACAGGCACACCGTGCTCGATGTCTGAGCTGTGTCATTCGGAGGAATGGTGCAGATCGCTACGCGCGCGCCTTGGAGGAGTGCCCCTGTTGCGTCCGCGAGAACCTTTGATCTTGACCGGTTGACCGGTGACCTCGAAGCCAGTGCGCCAGACTCCGCGGACCGCGGACGCTGTGTCCGCACGCGTCGCGGAGAACGAGGTGGGTCCGCGGGCGCAGCAAGCATAGTTGGCGACGCGTACTCGAGTCGGCACGCGCGAAGGTCGAGAATTTGAAAGATATGCAGAGGCTCAAACGTCCAGCGTCGGACACGCAAAGTCGTAGCGGCGGAGGTTGGGGGCCAATTTGCACTCGGAGACCGATGACTCGGCCGATGAGCGAGGTATTTAGCCTCACCGACGGCGACGTCCCTGCAGTTCACGACACTAGTCCTTCGAAACTTCAGCTTCTGCGACCCCGCACATACTCGAGCTCTCCTCCACCTCCGTATTCGATCCACCCATCCACCCCGCGCGCTCAACATGACCCACCTCGTGATCGCCGGTGTGACCGGCGTAGGTGAGCCCCTCGCCGCCGTCCCAATCCGAATCCGGACTAACCACCCATCCATCCCCCCCCTCCCCCCCTCCCCTCCCCCCCTCCCCTCCCTCCCTCCTCTTGCAGCCGGCCTCGCCACCTACCGCGCCGCGCTCGCCGACCCCGCCGTCTCCCGCATCACGCTGCTCACCCGCCGCGTGCTCCCCGACTGGATCGCCGCCTCCGCCTCCGCCTCTTCCTCGAGCTCTTCTTCCCCTTCTTCCCCTTCTTCCCCTCCTCCCGCCTCTCCCTCCGCACCCCCGGCACTCCCCGAGACCGAGGTCGTAATCCACCCCGACTTCGGCACGTGGCCGCCCGCGCTCGCCGCGCGCCTCGCCGCCGCGGACGCGCTCGTCTGGGCCGTCGGCGTGCCCGTGTGGAGCGCGCCGCGCGCCGCGTACGAGGCGCTCATGGTCGCCTGCCCGCTCGCCGCCGCGCGCGCGATCCGCGACGCCCGCGGCGAGGGCGAGGGTGAGGGCGAAGGGGAGAGGAGGAGGAGGCTGTTCCGGTTCGTGTACCTCAGCGGGCTCAACGCGGACCCGACGGGCCGGTCGATGCAGTACTCCGCGCAGGTCAAGGTGCACATGCCTCCATCTCTCGCGCGTGGATTCCGGAGGGCTGACGAGCGAGCGATCGGGCGCAGGGACGCGTCGAGCGCGAGCTCGCCGAGATCTGCGGCTCGACGGCGGGGGCGGCGGGGATGCGCGCGGCCGCCGTCCGCCCCGGGTACTTCTTCCCGCCCAAGGAGCACGCGGAGGCGCGGGCGCGGCAGCGCGGGGTGCTCGCGCGGGCACTGGACACCGTGCAGACGCCGCTGCTGTCGGCGGTCGCGCCGGGGATCTACACGCCGCTGGAGGTGCTCGCGCGGTTCGTCGTCGAGCTCGGCAAGGGGCGCTGGCCCGAGCGCACGGTGTTCCCGAACGTGGAGATGAGGGCGCTGATGGAGGACGGCGCTGCGGCGTGACGGGGCCGGGTGTGGGGTGGTAGCACATATACTGAACACTAAATTACGTCTACTAGGTCGTGGGATCGTGGTCCGAGTAGAGACATGTGTAGGGAGAGAGAATAGAGTAGGGACATACCACAACAACAGCAACAGCAACAACAGCGGAGGCTCTTCTCTTTCATCGCATTATGAACACGCACTGCGCACCATCCTCACGCGAACGGATCGACACTGCTCGCGCGACTCGTCCCTGGGCGCGCCGGGCCTGCGGGGGACGACTGCGTCCGGTCGCGCACCCGGCTCGGTTCGCGTGACGCCGCGGCGGACGCCGCAGTGGACGCCGTCGCACCGTACCGCCGCGCGGACGACGCTGGGGTCGCCCACCCCCCGAACTCGCTGTCGAGCCAATTGACCGCGCGCCGGCGGCTGAGCGACTCGGGCGTCGTCGCCGGCGCCGGCACGCCGGGGTCGCGCTCCGGGTCGTGCAGCGGGCGGAAGAGCTCCTCCTGTGGGGAGGAGCCGATCAGGAGCACGCGCTGCAATAAGAGAATCGAAGCACTGTCAGGTCGGGTGGAGAGGCGCGAACGAAGGCGGCACGGCAGACCTGGGCGGGCGAGAAGCCGTACAGGCTCACGACGCTCTTTCGGGTGCGAATGACTGGCATCTCCTGAGACCCGGCTTCGGGAATGACGAGCGGCGGGCGTCGACGGGCAGCGCTGCCAACTCGAGCGCGTGCGACGGCGGGACCGGTTCCGTCTGCCGCTATTACAGAGATGGGCGATCGCGATTTGGGCCGAAGCGTGTGCGTGTCGTAGGTGTCGTCTCCCTCGTCCTCTTCGTCCACATTTTCGTGATGTGGAGGCGGAGCGGGAGCCCATGCGATGAGGAACACGCCTGCGAAGGTGGCGCCGCATCCGTAGAGGAAAGTAACCATCTGGTGGAAAGTCGCCTTCTTGAAATCGCCGTAGAGCAAGGCAGAGCCGACGATAGCGGAGAGATTGAAGAGAACAAACTGTGTGGGGACAACAAGCTGAGGCGCAACGGGTGAGATAAGGGCAGGAGTAGGAACCAAAATGGTGTCCTCACTTTGCTGTCGAAACGCATCAGGGCTCGGTTGAGGTACTTGATCTGTCCCACACCCGTTCCAACGAGGATCTATGCCGCTTTAAGCAAACAGCGAGTTGTGAGTGCGTAATACTCACGGCAACGGTCGGATAGGTGATCCATTCGGTGAAAATCTGGAGCCATTCCAAGGTCAACAGGGTAGAGAATGCCTTGGTGGAAAGCACGGTGAAGCCGCCTGTGGAGGATCAGCCGCTTAATCAGGACTGTCGCACGGACGGCTCACCAAAGAGGGCGCATAGACCAACATCTACATAGACAAACTGTTTGCCGGTGGGTCCCTCGGAGAGACTGGAGAGGATGATGATGCCGACAATGTATACGAGGGTATAAAGTTGAAAGGGCCGCTGGGTGATTGCCTTGATTAAGCCGTCTTGATCCAACCTGGTGTCAGACGGGTTCGCTGAGAGAACGACGGTTACGGCTCCGAGGATGGCGATGATGATTCCCAGGAAGTCGCGCTGAGAGTCACCAGGTTGAGTGGCGCCCGCGACGCACGTGCGAAGGTGGCTCACCTTCCGGAATCGCTCGTTGAGCATCAGAGGCGCGAATATGCAGTTGGCAATCAGAGCAAACTGGCCGCGAGCTCAGCTTGTGTGCGAGACTCCGGTTCACGGAGAATGGACATACCGTTCCGAGGGGAGCCACCAGAGAGGCCGGCGCAAAGGCGTACGAAATGAAGTTCCCCGTCTCTCCCAGGTTCATGAGCAGAAACCCGAGCCACCTAGAGGTCGAAAATGAGACACGCATCGGAGCAGGCTCAACGCGAGACGTACCACAACTTGGACTTGAGATAATTGCTCTCCTCCGGCTCCGCCTGGGAGCTGTCTTTGCTGCGGCGCGCAGGCGAAGACCCATTCGAGGCGACAGGCACCCCATCGACAGGCAACAAAGCGTGCGTACTCGCCAGATGCGCGTGGTCCGCTTCTTTGACACCGAACGGGTTCGTCTTCCTGCGGAAAAAGAGCCATTTCCTGTCTTGCGCTCGCGGTATTGTCTCTGCGCGCCCCGCACGCCCGAGCAACGGCTCCGTCTCCACCACTACCGCAGGCACAACAGAAACTTGCGCCAGCTCTCCAGTGCTCGAGTTCCCTGCCGTGCGCCCATCCGAGTCGGGGGAGAGTAGCGGTCGGGGTGCCTGTGCGGCCGCCTCGCGTTCGTCCTCCAATCGTTTGTGCGCGAGCTTCTGGCAGTTGAGGGCGAGAGAGATGAGGACGTTCCCCGCTATTGCAACGCCGATTCCCGCGGCGGTGGAGGTGGAGATTTGTGGGAGATCGATGCCGTCTGGGATGGAGTCCTCGATGCCGGACGGGAGGAAGGGTATGCGCATGTCGAGGACTGTATGCGGGGGGTGCAGCAGGGCAGCGACAAGACGGCGAGGGAGACGGCGAGGGGTGCAGGCTCAGACAGCGAGGGCCATAAGTTAACGAGCGAGCGGGGGCGGCAGAAACGAGCGAGAAGAGATGGAGGAGCCGCCAGAAGCCGTCTCGATCTCCACCGGCCCCTTCCCGGCCCGCACGTTGCTCGCAGGCGCCAGGCGCGTCACCGACAAACGCGGCCACCAAACGCGACAGTCTGCGACAGTCCACTGCTTGGTCTCCCTCGCACGCCGCCTCTGCCCTTGGACTCTCCGCCCTCCCCCGCTTCTCCCGCTTCTCCATTCTCCGCCATCCCTCACTCGCGCGCCGCCATGCGCACACAGCACACAGCACACTCGCTTCCCGCATTCCCCGTATACTCCTCTGCGTTCGTCTCACCCAATGAGCTTGTTCTCGGAGGCGGAGGCGGCCAGTCAAAGACCGGAATCAAGAATAAGCTCGTGCGTTGCCTTGTGTACTGTCCACATGTATATCTCTCATGGAAATCCTGCCGCAGAGACTTTACCATGTTGAGAGCGACAAGAAGTTGGACCTTCTGGACGAGTTTGAACTCGCGAGCGGAGAGGACGCCCCTATGAGCATGGCTGCTCATCCGTCAAGGATGGAGATCGTCGGTGGCATTAACAGCTCCGAGGTCGCACTCAAGAGTGGCCCAAACCAGAATTGTCGCGCATTCTCTGTCAAGGACCAGAAGTGCGTTGATGTAGTCTCCCTATTCTCCGGATACCGACTTTTCATCCCAGAATCTTGCCTCCGCGGACGAGGAGCACGTTGCAACTCACCGGAGATGATGACGACTTCCAAGTGAGTGTTTCCTCGTGTATCGCCCGTTTCATGCGTTGACCCCATTGTAGAAGGTGACTGTGTTTTCTCCTGATGGTACCTTCCTGGCCGTGGGTGGTACACACGATGTGAGTCCTGTATTCGCTCTGCTGGCATCATTTTGACTTCCAACCCGTCTGGTAGCTGTCGCTGCTGCATTACCCGACAATGTATTCTGCTGCGTCTTCTATCCACCTCGACAAAGGCGAGATATATGATGTGGCGTTCTCGTCAAAGACCGTATGTGGTTTCTTCTCGTCGGCGTCTTCGCTGCCTCACTGCCATCCAGATCGTAGTCGTCACCACAGTGAATCTGTTGGTGTATGCACTTCCGCCTGAAGAAATTTCGGGAAAGAAGAAAGCGAAAATCTCGGACTTGGAGCTGTTGCGAACTGTCGACAGACCAACATTACCAGGCAAGGATATCAGTAGCAGCTTCCGCGCCGGTCGGTGCGTACTACGCTTCCACCACCACCGCCGCTCTCTCACATACCACTTCTCCCCACCAGGTTCCACCCTTCCGACGAAAACGTCATGTTCACTGTTTCCAACACCATCCCTCCACGTACGCGCACCAAATCCTCCCCTCGACGTGCCTTCGTGTGCAGGTGGGACACGCAAACATGGACCGTCACGAAGACTCGCCAAATCAGCGACCGCGGGGTCACCTGCTTCGACATCACGTTTGTCGCTTATTCTCTCCTGCTCGGACTCATTGGCTGACGGCTCGCTAGACCGGACGGAAAACTTCTCGCTTTCGGGTCTTCTGACCTCACCGTCGGTATCCTTGACTCCCAGTCTCTTGCCGTACGTTATGATATCGTAGCCGTCGACGGCGTTTTTGACCACGTTTCCTGCCCAGCCCCTCCTGACTATCCTCAAGGCCCACGAATTCCCACCCACCACGCTCAGGTTCAGTCCTACGTCCAACCTGCTGGTCTCTGGGAGTGCCGACAACACGGTGCGGATGGTCTCGGTTCCAACCAACCTCGGAGATACCTGTGAGCCGCTTTTTCTACCTCGGCCTTGTCCATACACTGACGTTTTTGGCGCAGCCTGGGGTACATGGCTTCTCATCATCGTCGCACTACTTGTCGCGCTCTTCGCCGCTCTGGCACAGCAGTGGTACCACGTCTTGTAGTGGCCACGCCTGCCCTGCTTTTCCTTTCGCTTTCGGGCTCTACGCGACTTTTTGGATCTGCTCTACTTGCAACTATGCTTATTCTTCCGGCCGGGTCTCTGTCTTCCGTGTACCTAGCTTCATTACGCGCATTACACCTATATATACAGCAAGACAGGCAGCCCGCCTGCGTCCAGTCCCAGCTGAAAACCCGCGTGCGCCGTCGCCCTCCAAACCGAGAACGAACGCAGCAAGAATGTACGTGAGTACAGCATGCCGAGCCTTGTGCCGTCGCCGCCCCCGTCAGTCGTAGTCCTCCTCCTCGACGAGCTTGCGCTTCATCCCGTTCGCCTCCCCCGCGCCCCCAGCCGCCACGTCCTCCATCGCCTCGTCCCCGCTCTCCTCCTCCTCCTCGTCGCCTCCCGCAAACAGCCCGTCGTCCTCCTCCGCCTCGCTCCCCTCCTCTCCACCCGCACCCGCACCACCACCGCCGCCGCCGCCGCCCGCCCCCGGCGTGAGCATGTCCACGTCCGACGGCGTCACCGCGGGCCCGGGGAGCTGCGCGAGCGCGTCCGCGCGGCCGAACGGCGCGGGCGCGCGGATCGGCGCGGGCTCCATGTCCTCGTCCTCGTCCGACTCGGACTCCTCGACCTCCTCGACCTCCTCGACGAGCAGCGGCGCGCCGGGCGGCGGCCGCGCGGGCGCGAGGTCGAAGTCGACCGCGGTGAGGCAGTCCGCGGCGGGCGGGAGGCGCACGCCGTGCGCCTCGGGCACGGCGGGGAGCGGGGCTGCGTTCGTCTGCGTCGCGAGCGAGAGGACGTACTGCGGCCGGGGAGGAAGGGGGTCGTCAGTCGTCGGTCGTCGGTCGTGTGAGGGGCAGACAGAGAGAGAGATGCGAGAAGGAGGAAAGGGGGAGGGGCCCGCTCTGCGAGCGCACTGAACACAACGACGACAACGCTCACGTCCGTCCCCCGCCCACCCACCCTCCACCCAATGCACACGGAACACTCACCTCCTTCGGCACCCGCCCGCCAAACTCCCAGCCGACCCGCGCCTGCACCGCGAGCACGGCGTCGTCCATCTCGACGCGCCCGGAGCGGCCCGCGTGCTCGGCGTATACGAGCGCGTCGGAGAGCACCTGCGCCGTGTACCGGTGCGAGAACTCGAGGAGCTGGTGGAGCACGCCCGGCTGCGCGTCCTGCACCGTCGGCGTCGACGCGAGCAGCAGCGCGATCGCGCGCGCGCTCGGGGGGATCGAGTCCGCGGCGGCGGAGGCGCGGGACATCGTTGTCGTCGGTGAAAGGGCGGAGGGTGTGGAGGGAGAGCAAAGTGGAGGCCTCGTAGCGTGGCGAAGGGGGCCAGGGAGGGGTGGCGGTGGTACTAGAGCGCGAACTGGACGTTGTGGACGGAAGCGACGCGAGTCGTGACTGGCACTTGCAGCCACTGCATTAGCCGCCCGCGAGGGAGTGACCACCCTGTCACGCGCTCATTCAGACTACATGCTTTTGTGAGATGTCCAAACATCGCATATACGGAGAGCACAGAGCACAACAAGTCTATATACACAGCAGCGCATTTGATACGTATAACTGGAGCGACAAGCGAGAGACTCTTCCAACACCTTCCAACACCCCAATGACGTTCGGCCTCACTTCACCAACTTCCCAAGTTCCTTTTCAATCTCCTGCGCGGCCTCGTCGAGCGGTGGCAGCGTCGGAATGCGCCCAGGGGTCCCCGGTGGCCCACCCTTGACAGCACGGTTAATCTCGTCGCGCTCGACCTGGAACGCGGAGCGCTTGACACGGACTGCCTGGAGCTGCGCGAGCAACACGGTGCCGCCCGAGTAGAAGAAAAGGAGGGCGGCGCCGATGAGGAAGTGCCCGTACCAGTACACGCTGTTCCACGCAACCATGGAGTCGTCGATGGCGAGGAGCATGAAGGGGAGGGTGCCGTAGTTGGTGAGGGTGACGGTGATGAGCATCCCGAGGGTGTCGTACATCTGTTTCTTGTGTGTCTGCGGAGGAGGCGGCGCGCCACGGGCGGAGACGTAGGTGGCAGGAAGCAGGAGTGGACGGATGTAGGTACGGGCGAGGCGACCGCACGTCTGGACGAAGGCGAAGAAGATGAACGAAAGGTAATAGCCCGGGGCAAGGCCGTGCTGTAGGAGAGTTCAGTTTCACTAACTGAGAAGAGAGATTGTGTACTCACCCAGAAAGCACTGGTCGCAAAGGTCGCAATGCTGCTCCTGAACCCAGGCTTCTTGCCTTGAGGCGTAACACGCTTGTATACACACTCCCGCAGCCAGACGTTGGTCTTCATATTCCAGGAGTCGAGAAGCACCTTCAGGTTCTCCGCGAGCTCGATATTCCAGACGTTGACATTGGCAGCTCCCTCCCATTTGGTGCGCCCGCTTTCTGAGTACCCGGTGAATCCCAGGCCGGTCTGGATCGCTGCACCCTGGACACATGTGAGATCAAACGTAGGCTTATATGGATATCAATTACCTCCGTCAGCGTCCATACAGCATAGTACTTGGTGCGCTCAAAGAAGCCACAAACTTGCAGGAAGAGCAGGCTGTGTTCAGTCAGCGCGATGGCCTAGCCGAAGCTGGGGCAATGAAACTTACCGAGAGAGCGTACGTCTGGCCTCAAAGCCGTCGGTCACGAGATACGAGTAGTTAAACTCCGGGTAGAATAGAACGAAGAGTCCGAGGAAGAGAAGACCGGTGAACATCTTCCTGTAAGCAACTCGCTTGCGACCGTGGGGTACCAGACGTTGAGAGAGATGGTGGGCCTCGTCCAAAATCTGCAGTTCGTGGTTCTCGGCTTCTTTGTAAAGAGACCCAGTGACGAGAGCTTGGTACTCATTGTAGGTAAGGTAAGGCCCAACGAGGAATCCAGGAAAGTAGAATCTAGGAGGATATGAACATAGAGCCACGCGGATTAGGTGGTCGTCACTTACGTGAACCCCAGGAACTCCAACAAAGACGGGTAGTCGACGATGCGCTGAGCGGTTTGCCACTTGTCTTGCTCCTGCACGCAGAGTTACGAGACCGATGAGACGCGAAGCAAGGTGCACGAACCTCAGCAGGTCGCCTCCCATCGAAGACGTTCCACGCATAGGTTGTGAGTTTCATAGTGAGAACCATTTGCGGCCCCGAGATCTCGACGCGGTCGTAGACGGAGTCGTCACTCATGCGAATGATGTGCCTACAGAGGCGGTAGGTAAGGAGGAAATAACGCGCGCATATAGTCGGACTTACGTCACGGTGAGATGGGCCATAGTCAACCTATACGCCTCGTGGATGAACACGCAGAATGCATCATGAGCTGGACTGAACACTCACGCAAACACGAGCCAGGGCATCGACTTGGACTGGTTCTTTTTGACAATGTAATACGTGCCCACAACACTTGCTAGGAGTTGGAGCGCTCCGCCCCAGAGCCATAGGACAGGGATGAGGTAGAAGAAGGAGATGAATATGCTGAATATATGCTTGAGTTCAGGATGCGAGGCTGGAATGCGGATGTAGAGACTGCCAAGGGGATAGGAAAAGAGAAGGCATGAGATGAGCTGCACAAGTACAAGGTCAATGTATGCGGGGCAAGAGGACAACGAAGGAGAGCGCACTTTGATCTGGTCGACTGAAGCACCTGTGGCATCCGCGATGGGGACGAAAAGCGCGTCCATGATGGCGGACGGAGCGGGGCGGGGATGAAAGCGTGTGGTAGAAGCAGGGGTAGATATAGTACAGAGGAAGCAGCAGAAGCCGCCGGGGAGAGCGACGCGAGACGTCGCAGGAGGAGCAGAAACCGACGGAAGTCGGAGAGGATCGCGTTCCCCAACCCAACTGGCTGGCGCACGTGGCCGTCCACCTTCCTTTGGGGGCAACTCGGACCTCCGGGGCGGAGTTGACTGCCCTCAGATCTGCCTCGGTCGAAGGTGCTTTGACATTTTGTCTCTTTACGCCGATCCCCGAATGCAGCTGCCCGCCTCCCCAACCGGCGCAACGGGCCTCCGTGACACACAAAGCTCGAGGGTGTACTGGACTGGAAAGCAGCCGAGGGCATTCGGCGTTCGTCTCTGCCAAAGCAGCCTCATGTTCCTCGTTCGCCCGGCACGGCTGCTCTCGTGCCGCGCCTCTCCCGCGTCCCCACAACCAACCACCGCGCCTTCGTCCCCCCGGTGTCTCTCTTCTGCCCTCGTCTTTTGCTGTACACCTACCGTCCTACTCTCGTTCCCTGACTGCCCATTACAACCCCTCACGCCTCCTTGACGTCCCTCGCCATGTTCAACGGCTTCAACCAAGGTCCGATGCCACCAAGTGAGGCCGAGCTAGCCACGCAAGCACTCAACGAAGAAGCCCTCTACCGCTTCCCCTCCTTTGACTCCGATGCCGCCGTCATGCTCGGACTCTCCCTTCGCAAACGCTTCCGCGCCTCTTCACGTCACGTCAAGGTCCGCGGGATGGTCCTTTCCATCCAGACCATTGCCGGCCACACCCTTTTCTCCTGCACCGTCGGAAACTTGGGTGGAGGGGTCGACGGCGGCGACGTGAGCCTAGACAGCTGGAGAACACTAGAGGTGCGTACTGATGTGGCCTGCGTGCACACGCACTCGCAGTACGTCATCCGTACAGTCAATGACCGCACGCACCTAGAGCATGATTTCAGTCACACGGCGGACAGGACATTCAAGTTGGTATGTCGAAAAAGGCATGAACGCAATGGGAAAGACCCAACGACAGCTCGGTATCCAAACCGAGTACAGGATTGGTGGCGGAGGTACGTGCGCGCATACAACCAGCACTATTCTGTGTGTTCTACACGCGTTTGTCGCGTTTTCGACGCGTCATCTCGTGTCTTTGTGACCTCCCTTGCTAATCGTGTTTTTAGCAGCGTTTCCAATATGGTTGGAGGTGAGGACACGCTGTTGATCTGGTTATGACGTCGTGAGCGGGTGGCTGAGCCCACGCATAGAACGCACCATGCTGCCCCATCGCTATCGTGGCCTGCTATTCCGGGTCTAGTCAAGATGACCACCATGTGCGCACCCCGCAGCTAACGCATCTCTGTCCACACACTAACGACCTCGGAACACGGCAGCTGGTTGTCACTGCCGTTCGCGACTATCTCAAAAAGCTTGACCGCCCAAACATCGTCAGCGTAGGACCTCCCCAAGCCCAAATGACGACCGGCATGAGCACCAATTTGGGTACGAGCACGGGCATGTCGAGCTTGACTCCGAGCCTGCCGACGATCCTCTCCATGTCCCACCAGCACACGGGCCATACCCACGCGCCCCGCCCCCCAAGCACGGTACGCCGGCGCCGGTCCAGTCTCGATTTGCGCGCCCGGAGCGACTCACGGACTCGCCTGTCCCCCTCTCCTCCTGCTCAGGAATGGGTCCGTGACCCTGCGTCCCGCGGCATGCATGACCATTACGATGACCACACCCAGGGGGAAGAGAGCGAGTATTGACATTAGGATGGAGAGGTAGTGTACGCATGTACCGGGCCGACATGAGACATCGCGATGACGATTAATGCGCTTCGCCCTCTGACCGGCCGGCTGAGTATGGTGCACGAAGGACATTGAGTTCCCCTGGCATACGACAACATGGTGAGGGATCAATACCCATGCAAAGGAGAATATGCATACTGTGTCGGAGTAGGATCATTCGCTGTCCTTCCGGGGTATCTGGGCTTGCTTCCGGGTCGGGTTGGCGCACATCGTAGTCTGCTTCCACGAAGACAAGTGAACCCTTCTTGACAGTGGTCAGGTATTCCTTTGCGGTTGAGTTGAAGGCCACAATGCGGTGCCATTGAGTGGCAGGAGTGTCGGAATCTAACGATGTAGAGTTAGGATCAACCATAATAAGTTGCGTACACAAGACGGACCTGGCGCAGGGCGCGATGTGGAGGTGCCCACAGTGTAGCTGGTGTGGAATCAGAGGATGCTGGAGCGCGCAATGCAGACAAAAAACATACGTAACGTACTCCGCGTCGTTCTTTGCGACGCGCACCTCCGGGTCCTGCCCAAGGCGACCGATAAGGGTAAGCTTCGCCATGTCTCGACCGCGCACGGCAGACGTTGAGAATGCCTGTAGACAATTGTTTGGCGCGGATTTGGAAGGGAAGCTCGGAGAGCACATACCCGAGCGGGTGCGCGAAGAGCCGCACGCGTAGCAGAGAGGTTGAACATGATGGTAGACAGCAGGAGGAGGAGGAGGAGGAGGCAGACCCGTCGCTCGCTCGTCGCGTCGCGCGCGTCGTAGTGTTCGTCACGCGTTGTGACAAGTTACAACGCCGGTTAGATCGGGCGTTCTCAGCCTGTGAAGTTCAACTTCATTGGGTCCGTCTCGCTCCTTCTGCTGCACCCTCACCGTGTTCTCGGACTCGACACCATGTCTCGCCATCGGTTTATACGCAACATGGATCTCGACGGTAGGCAGACTTGCGGACTCTTGTCCGGATTCTCACCCACAACCTGCTGCAGAGGAGATGGACGACGGAGCGATGGACGATGGGGGGTACGAGGACCTCAGCAATGAGGATTATGGTGCGTCGCTGCGTCACGAGCTCGGAAAATGCGCTGAAACCGTTCGCAGACAAACTCATGAGCGGCCTCGAGCACATACGCGCCATTCTCGGAGACGAGAAACACTCACCAATCACGGACGCGGAGATCAAGGACGCCTTGTACCACTACTACTTCGACGTTGAGAAGAGCGCAGCGTACCTCATCGGTAAGCAGCCTTCAACCGCGCGCGCAGGAAAAGGCGTCATATATTCCTACAGAGGAGCAAGAGCGCAAGGTCGCGGCCCAGGAAAGGAAAGGTGAGCTTCGGCCTATTATGTTGTACCCATCCCCCCTTGTTCTTTGCCGCCTTTCGCGTCCTGCCTTTGTATCTCTGTGATGGCGTGGAATGGCGTCCGTTGCTTCATAGTTCGTGCGGCATCGAGAAGGTGCACTCGTCTTCCCTGCAGAGCCTGCCCTCACAGCGCGCTGACGTCTCCTCGCGATCCCCAGCATCCGGCTCCTCCTTCGATCAAGACGGGAAGCCGCTCCCCATTCCTCCGCCCGACGATTACGCGGACTGGTCTCCTCCGTCTGACAACGGCTCTGGGCGGCACAACGTCCCCTTCGTCCGTCTCACTCAGAGCGAATACGTCTCGTCCTCGGAGCAGGAAACCACACGCGCCTCGACGCGACCAGGAAGTCTGTACACCATCGCGGAGCAGACGGAGTATTCGGAGGACAGCAAGGACTGGCCACCCGCACCCTCGCCGTTCGCGATGCTGCATGGACTGCCGGCGGGTTCTCGAGGGACACTCATGTCTTCAATCACGACAGACTACGGGCAGATGATCGGTGAGTCGCTCCTATATTCCTGCGCCTTAGAAGCCGTCTGATGACGCTTTGCCACAAGAACGTAAAGAGAGGATGGCGGATCCCAATGAAATCCCACCGTCTCCTTCGTCTTCTGCACTGCGCCGCCTGTCTCTGCATGACCTCGGTTCGCCGGGCGGCCCTCCTCAGTACAACTGGTCATCTTCGTCGTCGGAGAGGAGCTCACGCCCCCCTACTATTGTCGATCTCCCGTCCGTGGACATCGACAACATCCCGGATATTCCTGATTACAAGTCGAAATCGAGTTTACCTCGACAGGGACGCTCCGAGGTGTCGCTGGGGACCAAAAAGTCCGCACCGAAGGCGCTTGCAGCAGAAGAGAGTAGCACCGACCACTTCGAGACTGCCTCGAGCGCTATCTCAAGTAGCGCGACGGGTGAGAAGACGGCTAAAAAGTCCAAGCTTTCGCAACTCGCCAGCTCTCGCTCTAGTGCGAAGTCTAGCGCGAGCAGCGTTAGCGCAAGCTCTCGCTCCTCCGTGACGCGCACCGAGCGGGCGAGCCAGATCACATATCCTGCTCTGCGCCCTGGCGTCGGCTCAACGGTCTCCCTCTTGCCACCACGACTTCCCTCTATCATCGGCTCTGACTCATCGATCATGACAACAACGTCCTCTGTGACGCGCAAGGTCGAGCAGGCGATACAAAGCGCAATGGTATTCGAGGCTCTGGACCGGTCGATGCCCCCAGAGCCATCTGTTGTAGAATCAACGGTGCCACCTACGCCCCCACCGAAGTCGCACCACAGATTCCCTCTTGTACCGACGAACTTTCCCCTGGTGCAGTCGAACTTCCCACTTGTCCCCATGTCCCCGTCGACCGCACCTACGCCCACCCCACCACTCTCGCCGCCTCCGGCCGACCTCAGAGGGTGGGCGGCGATTAGGTCAGAGTCGGACAGTGGCACCGCGCGTGACGACGAGACTCCGCCCCCGGTCGTCCACACCCTTCCTCCTCTCTGGCATTCGGCACCCCAGCAGTATCAAATGCAGTACCAGTCGCCCTCTCCGGAGCTCCAGTCGCCTCCCCAGCCATACCAGTCGCCACCACCCCCACAGCAGTATCAGTCGCCCCCACAACCGTACCAGCCGCCCCCACAGCCGTACCAGCCGCCCCCACAGCCGTACCAGCCGCCCCCACAGCCGTACCAGCCGCCCCCACAGCCGTACCAGCCGCCCCCACAGCCGTACGAAGCCCCGCCGCGACATTATCAGCCCTACCCGTTGTCTCCCCAGGTATACGAGGCCGCTCAGTCTCCACCTCGCTCAGCCAAGTCTTCGACGTCATCGACCCAACCGTCTGTGCAGGTCCCTCGTTCGCCACCCCCAGTCACTCCACCCCCTGCTTCGAGTCCGCCACGGACGAAACCATCTGCGTCGCCCCAACCCAGGCAGCTGTCGAAGTTGGCGAAGTTGGCACAGGCCAAAGCGCAGGAGCAGAGCAAGACGAAACCACACTCCCCGTCTCAGCCTGGGTTCATCCTTCCGCGAACTACGACGGAGTACCTGACTCCCACTGCGAACGGCGCAACCGCTACAACCGCGATCACCACGTCATACCAATCTCTCGCCGGGTTGCTGTCAAAGAACCAAATCCGTCCTCCAAAGCCAGAGGTGCAGCCGCTTCCTCCAATGCAAACCGGGCCGCAGACCCCACGCAAGACATCAGACTCGAAGCAGTCGAAGCTCGCGATGAAGAGCAAGTCGGCCCGTTCGAAACAACCGGAGCCAGAGCCAGAAGCCGACCTACCAGTTATAGAGGTGCCGATGTTCTCCGCCAGTGCCATCCGCTCCCGCGCACCCCCGTCTGTGTTCGCGACCGTGCTCGTCACCGAGGAGGTCGACACCGTCTCGCTCAACGGCTCGGACGGCGTCCACCTTTGCCAGCACCACAAGGCTGAGCGGGACCGGAGGCGTTCCTCCAAGGGCAAATTAGAGAGCGGCCGCTCCTCGGGTTCGAAACGGACGGAGCGCGAGGAGAAGACGCCGACGATGCCCCCCAGCCCGCTCCCGCTGATGCGGGGCTTCGCGTTCGACTCCCCCAGCCCGGACGACGTAGTGTTCAACGCGCGGCGGGGCACGTCGCTCGCGCGGTCCACGACCGTCTCCTCTGTGATTTCGGCGTCCTCGCGCTGATTTACTTGATCACCTCTCTTTTTCCTTCATTTCCTTCAATCTGGGCTTTTGTCGTTGTTGCCACTCTAGTGTTCCCCATATTCTTCAACCCTCCCCCTATATTTGATTCGGAGGACTGTGCATGTACTAACAATGTAACTTGTCAATGATATTCAGCTGCCAAAGAACGCGAGAAGGCTGCTAAGAAGGCAGAGGCCGAGGCGAACAAAACTAAGAAGGCGGCCAAGGCTCCGGTAGCTTCTCGACCCGTGGGCGCGACAGATCAGAGCCAGCTTGACATCGCCGGGCTGAACCTCAATGACGACGAGCCGCTAGAGGCGATCCCGGACGAGCCTGCGAAGACCCCGGCGGTGATAGAGAAGTTGATTGTGGAGGCGAAGGCAGCGTTGGCGGTGCAAGAGAAGAGCGAGAAGAAGTCGCTGAGTATGGTCGTCGTTGGTGAGTATCCCAGGCGTCGTCGCATTTGAGTGAGAATGATGACACGGAGCGGCAGGCCACGTCGACGCGGGGAAGTCCACGATGATGGGCCGACTGTTGTATGAGCTCGGCCGGGTGGATGAGAAGCAGCGGTACGCGAATGAGCGCGAGAGCGCGAAGATTGGCAAGAGCAGCTTCAGTTGGGCGTGGGGGCTCGACGGGACGCAAGAAGAACGCGAACGGTGAGTCTGAGTGCACGGCCAACATGCCAGTTGAGAACATGCTTAGTCCCTCCTCTCAGGGGAATCACCATGGACATCGCTCTGCAGACCCTGACCACACCGCACCGCGTCATCACCATCCTCGATGCTCCTGGTCACAAGGATTTCATCCCGAACATGATCTCCGGCGCCTCTCAAGCCGACTCGGCGCTGCTCGTCGTCGACGCTGCCGTCGGGGAATTCGAGGCCGGCTTCGACCGTGGCGGCCAGACGCGTGAGCACCTCATCCTCGTCCGCAGCCTCGGCGTTGCGCAGGTCGTTGTTGCCGTGAACAAGCTCGACCAGGTCGAATGGTCCCGCGCGCGGTACGTCGAGATTTGCGAGCTCCTGAAGCCGTTCCTCGCCCAGTCGGGCTTCCACCCCAGCAAAACCAAGTTCGTGCCTGTTGCTGCTATGACGGGCGTGAACCTTGCACAGGCGGAGCCGAAGGGCTCGCCCCTGTTCGAGTGGTACAAGGGGCCGACGCTGGTGGATCTACTTGGTACGAGTCGCGCGTATTCGCGCTTGTGGATGCAGAAGCTTACTTTCCGTGGTTTCCAGACGCCCTCGAACCGCCAACACGCGACATCAACGCCCCTCTGCGCTTCCCCATCTCCAACGTCTTCAAGGGCACGCTCTCCGGCATCGCGGTCTCGGGACGCATGTGCGGCGGGGTCGTGGTTGTTGGGGAGCGCTTGCGCATCGTACCCGGGGACGACTCTGCTACCGTCAAGGCCATCGACAGCGACGGCGACAGCATGCAATGGGCGGGTTCCGGCGCGAACGTGAACCTGACCCTCACCGGCGTGGATCCCGTCGCGCTCGGGATTGGGAGTGTGCTGTGCCGGCCCACGGACGTCATCCCGCTCGCGACGGCGTTCACCGCGAAGATAATCGTGTTCGAGATCCAGATCCCTATCACTATCGGTACTCCTGTAAGTGTTGTGATGGGTGCGTGGGTCGCGTGGGGAGCTGACGCGTCTCTAGGTCGAGCTCTTCCACCATTCGCGCGACGTACCGGCTTCGTTCACTCGACTTGTATCCGTCTTGGACCGGGCGAACGGGAGTGTGGTGAAGAGTAAACCCAGGTACATGTCTTGACCTTTGCCTCGTGCCGCTGTCTTCTAATATAGCTCATATGTCCCAGGTTCCTGACTAAAGGCATGTCTGCTGAGGTGGAAATCACCATCCGAGAGGCAGGCTATCTGGGGTCTTCCGCGCGGGCGGTGTCCATTCCCATTGAACCATTCTCGGTTAACAAGGACATGGGCCGTATTCTCATTCGTAGGGGTGGAGAGACGATCGGAGCAGGTGTGTAACTGGACGCATGCGAAATTTCCTTGCACTGACTCTGTCGGCTGTACTACAGGTGTGGTACTACAGCTTTTGGCTGCGAAGGCAACAGAGGTCGTTCGACGTGAAACAGACGATAATGGCGATTAAAGTAGTAATGGCCGCATTCCGAAGAACTGTAGAACTGCGGCAGTGAACTGACTAGTACTGTATCGATATCAAATCAACAGCTTGTATACAACTGAGTAAAAGTTACACGTGCGCGTACGCTATGTCTGTTGTGCCTCAACTTGCGCACGGCACCCGGAAAGTGCGTTGGCGACTTGTTTGGGAGGCTCTGATGCCCGAGCATGAATCCATGACAGGCTGGGCGCTCCAGACTAGTACTGCGTGCCAGTAGCTTCCACCATGCTTCTGCCTCCCCTTCCCACCTCTCTCGTACGCCTCCATTCCCGGGGGTCCCCTCTTCGTCTGCGCTATGTCGGAGCATCAACATGTCTCCGATGCCATCTACCATCCTATTCCTCAGGCTCCTGTAGCCTCTAATCCAATCCCTTCCGCCTCCCCCGACCCCGACCCCGATGAGCTGCCAATGAGTCCTATCGGCCCTAATCTTCCTCATCCCAAACTAGACCCGAAGGTCCACTGGATACATTTTCTATTAGGATGTGCTGTTCTGTTGCCTTGGAATGGTGCGTCTTTCATAGTGCACATATGCGTGTGGACCTGTGGTAGTTCATACAGCTGACATGGTTCGGACGATAGCTCTAATCACCGCGACACCATACTTCCAGTCGCGAGTCGACGGTACACCACTGCGGGGCATCTTCGCGTCGTATCTATCCATGACTTTCACCGCCGCGAATCTTGGGTTCCTCGCACACGCAACTGTGACGGCTAAGAAGGTGCGTACCTTTCCGTTCGCGCCACCCCGCCGCTCAACGACGGGGACACCTCTCAGGCCTCCAACACACGCCGCATCCTATCCTCCCTCGCAGCCCTCGCCCTGCTCTCCCTCCTCCTCGCCGCGAGCACATACACCCACCCCGCTGCCAGTGTGTTCTTCGCCTTCGTCCTCGTCAACGGCGTCTTTCAGGCGGCCGCGGGCTCGTACCTCCAGACCGCGGTTGTCGCTATCGCCGCTCTCTTTGGTCCCGCGGCAATGCAGGCGATCATGTCTGGCCAGGCTGCCGTCGCGGTAGTCATATCTGGGGTACAAGTATTGAGTGCACTTGCGTCGGTGCGCCCCGGGGACGCGAACGCCAGCGCGGAAGAGCTTGCAGCAGAGCAGGCGGGGCCGGCGGAGCGGAGCGCATTTATCTTCTTCGGGCTCTCGACCGTCTTCCTGGTTGTGTGCGTCGCGGTACAGATGTACCTGGTTTCTCTGCCGGTATACAAGACCGTGACGGGCGCGAGGCGGCGGCACGGGTCGGAGGGCGCGTCGTTACTGGCTTCAGACGACGAGGACGCGGACATGAGGCGGGAACTGAGGAGGGTGGACGGGAAGGGACAAGTGACGCGGGTCGCGAAGCAGAACGCGACGTTCAACTTCGCTGTGGCCTACGTCTTCGTTGTGACACTAGTGAGTCGCCTCGCCCACCCTCAGCCCGGTCTCTGTCGCTGAACGCACACCGCCCACAGGCTGTCTTCCCGCCCATCACGGTCTCCGTGACGTCGACGAACCCGGCGGTGCACCCGCTCGTGTTCACCGCGGTGCACTTCCTGATGTTCAACCTCGGCGACTTTGGCGGCCGCACGCTCTGCTCCTTCCCCCGCCTGCACGTCTGGTCGGCGCGGCGCCTTGCGCTACTCGCGCTCCTCCGCACGCTCTTCGTGCCCCTCTTCCTGCTCTGCAACGTCCAGTGGGGCGCGGGCGCGGGCGCGGCGAGGTCTCCGGTGATCAGCTCAGATGCGGCGTTCATGCTGCTCATGCTGCTCTTCGGGGGCTCGAGCGGCTACGTGTCGAGCATGTGCATGATGGCCGCGCCGTCGCTGGCGCACAACCCGCGGCTGGGCGGTCGCGCGGAGGACGTGGACGTCGCGGCGACGGTCGCAAGCTTCTTCCTCGTGGGCGGGCTCGCGGTAGGGAGCGTGGTGAGCTTCGCGGTGCGCGGGGCGGTGTGCGACTGCAACCCGTTCGCATCGTGATCTCGCGGTTGTATAGAATGATAGACGGTTTGGTTCCCTGCGTGTAATATAGAACTTGCATACTATACCGTTCGCAGCGCGGACTAATATCGTGCTCTATGCTGATCAAGACTCCCACTATTCGTGCTTGCAGTCTCGAGGGCACTCCGGCTACTGGTAGCTGGGCGCATTCCGCTTCCACACAATGCTCGCACTTTGATTCTGCCAATGCTCCTGCGCCTTCGCTGCCACACAAGCTGATCAATCGTGTGCTCGAAGAGGCCGTGAATCATGTGTTGTACGTATGCCCTTCAAGGATGGGTGCACATGACGTCAACCACTGCCTGGGCCCCACTGACGTCTCGCGCCGAAATCCGTAAAGCAGGCGAGATTCTTCAACACCCCGTATATAAAGTTCGTTGCCCTCTCCTAACTCTCTTCATCTCAGCCATGGTCGTCCTCTCCAACACCCTTCGCGCCTCTCGCGTGCTTCCAACCTCATCCTCGCGCTTCCTTCACGCCTCATACGTTCTCTCTGCACAAACCAACCCCGCTCGTGACTCTCACAATGTCACCCGCACGGCCAACAAGGCACCAGAGTCGGAGGCCGCCCCTCGAAGTGACGCGTCCGGTGGAACCAACCAGTTGTCTGCTCAGCCAGTAAGCCACATATTCGGCACCTCTCCATCATCCAGCCGCTGACTGTCGACGTCGCAGGCACCGTCGAGCCCTGCCGCGCTCCCAACAAAACGCATGTTCTCAACCTCCGCGGTGCGCTCCGCCGACACCCCGCACACCGCCGAGTCGTATTTCAAGGACGTCGACACCACCCAGCCTGCGTCCAAGACGCACCAGGTCGACGGCTCCGGCACCGGCTCGGACGTGCAGCGCCCCGACGCGCCCCTGTCGGGCCAGTGGTCTCAGGCCGGTGCGAAGACGAAGGAGTATCGATTGGTGAGTTTGCCTGGAGTGATCCCGAGTGGACGTCATGGGGCTGATTGGAACTGAAATGTCCCTGGCGCAGGCGATGGAGACCAACGGCCGCTACGAGGAGCCCCCTGCATCTGGACCTGAGGCTGAGCAGAAGCAGAGGTATGGGGGCATGCCGCGCGACCCGGAACGGGATGTAAGCAAGCCGCAGGAGGGCCCTGAGGGTGCGAACCGCGGTGGACGTCGTCCGGAAGGTCGGGCGTGAACGCTTGAACTTTACCAACTTGACGCGGGGCGTTTGTATGAGTAAACTGTGGGTCTATTGTACAGCAGAAGATATCCAAGGGTACGTCGTCCCGGCATTTTCATGGATGTATACGAGTGCCATCGAACCTGAATGGGTGATGTGTGAGCATTCGTCAACGAAACTATGTAATGTCCCAGAGACGGCCCGACATCCACCGAAGCCACTCAATGAGACTATCATGCGTTGAGCCACGAAGAATGCTGAGATCCGTATCCCAACGAGTCTCCTCAGGTCACGCTCTGGATGTCGGTCATAGGATCATAACAGCTGAGACACTCACCGAGACGTCCCGGAGCCAGCCAAGACTTCTTGAGATCTATGCCCGAGATAGACAATGAACATTATACAACAGTTGAAGCGAAACGGTGTCGGAAGGAACAGGGTATCATGGAAGGCGGCCCACTGGTGCCCCGGGGAAGCGCGGAGCGAGATCCTTCGCCTGCGCAGCTTGTCTCTTTCTACGATGCTCAGCGAGGCGGAGGGCGAATATGTCGCGGTGGAGTGTATACCGCTGGTGCGTCGGCGTCGGCGCTGGGGGCGGGGACGCACTCGTCGCGGGCGTGAGCGACGGCGACGGTTTGGATTTCTTCTCGTCCTCCCCGTCTTTCTCCTTGTCGTCCTTATCCTTGTCCTTATCCTTCTCTTTCTCCTTCGCTTTATCCGCCTTCTTCTTCTGGCGCTCTTCCCACTCCGCCTTCACCTTCGCGATTTCCTCCGAGCTGAGGCCCATCTTCTTCGCCCCGCCCGCGCCCACGCCATCCGAGACGGCGCCCACCTGACTTGCGAAGCCCGGGTCGGCGAGGTGGGTGTCGCAGGTGTAGAGAAAGTCGGTCGTGTTGAGCGTCGCGAGCACCGTCTTGGTGGGCTTGTGGCAGACGTAGCACGCCTTCTCGGTGCCCACCGCCTGCGCACGGGAGGTCAGCGTGCGGGGCTCCCCGCGACGGAGCCGGGGCGGGGCGGACTGACGCGCTTGTAGTACAAGTTCGTGAGCGGCGATGACATGGGTGGTGACCGTATGGTGACACGGGGTGCGCAGGCTGAGGGGGTGGGGGTCTGGGGATGTGGGTAACGTGCGACGCGCGTGAGCGCACCGCGCCGGATGTGGGAGACGGTGTGAGCACCTGACCTGCGGGTCCCACCACGACGGCCACCGGGGCGCGCGCCTGCGCGAGAGCCTTCCGCGTCCTCCCGCGCGGGGCTTCGGTGAATGCCCCGCGGGGGCCCGGGCGCACGGTGCACCTGGCGAGGAAGAGCGGGCAAGCGGGCGCAGGGGGCGGGCGAGATCGGCGCATCGATCGCTGCGATAAACCGGGTGGGCGCGAGTATATCTACGATTCCACCGATGACGACGAGCCTCCCGCCGTCTGTGTTCGCTGCAGCCCCTTAACCCGCTCTCTCGTCTCACACCCCATCTTGCCAAATGTCTGATACCGCGGGCAAGCCCATCGTCTGCAAGGCCGCTGTGTGCTGGGGCGCCGGCGAGCCGCTCAAGCTCGAGGAGGTCGAGGTTGCGCCGCCACGCGCGCACGAAGTGCGCATCAAGATCCTCTGGACTGGTGCGTTCCCCTCACCGACGCGGTGCCGCTGCGCTGCTCACCCCCGCCCTTCTTTCGGCCGCGCGGATCATAGGCATCTGCCACACCGACGAATACACGCGAAGCGGGAAGGACCCCGAGGTGAGCAGCCGCGTCCGTCGATCTAGCCGAGCTCGGAGATAAACGCTTCGCGACGCAGGGCCTCTTCCCCGTCATTCTCGGACATGAGGGCGGCGGCATTGTGCGTTCATTTCCGTCAGACGCTCTGCTCGTATGCGATGCTGAGCGGTGCGAGCGTAGGTCGAGTCCGTCGGCGAGGGTGTCACCAGCGTCGCTGTGGTGAGTCTTGTTGTATGCGCGTGGGAACGCGGACGGTGAACGGGACTTTGCAGGGCGACCATGTCATCCCTCTCTACACCGCCGGTGAGTCTTCCTTTGGTCTGCGCGCAGGACGCGAGGTTGAGCAGGCGGCATGTAGAATGTCGCGAGTGCAAGTTCTGCAAGAGCGGCAAGACGAACCTGTGCGGCTCCGTTCGTGCGACGCAAGGCGCAGGTCTCATGCCCGACAAGTCCGTGCGCTTCACCTGCAAGGGCCAGCCCATCCATCACTTCGTGAGTGTTTCGACGTTCGTCGGGGATGCGCAGAGCGAGCTTAAATACGTTCCGGTACAGATGGGTACGTCGACGTTCTCGCAATACACCGTCGTCGCCGACGTCTCTGTGGTCGCCGTCGACAAGAAGGCGCCTCTCGAACGCGTCTGCCTGCTTGGTTGTGGTATCACCACCGCCTGGGGTGCCGTAGTGAAGCAGCCGGGCATCAGTATGTCTACTTCGTGCATAATGCATGTATGGGAGGCTGACCGCTTAATTTGCAGAGGGCTCGAGCGTCGCCGTCTTTGGGTGTGGTGCTATCGGCCTAGGTTGTATTTCGACTGCTGCTCTCGTTGGCGCGTCGCGCGTCATTGCGGTCGACACGAACCCTGGCAAGGAGTCGTGGGCGAAGAAGTTCGGTGCTACCGAGTTCGTGAACCCATCGACTCTGCCTGAAGGCAAGCGCATCCAGGACCACCTCGTCGAGATAACCGATGGCGGTCTTGACTTCACCTTCGATGCAACTGGGAACGTGCATGTTATGCGTGCCGCGCTCGAGGCTTGCCACAAAGGATGGGGTGTCAGCACCATCATCGGTGTTGCTGCCGCCGGTCAGGAGATTTCTACTCGTCCGTGAGTGTGCTATAGGCCGCAAACCGTGAAAGACGTACTAACTCTCTTCGCCAGCTTCCAGCTGGTTACCGGTCGTACCTGGCGTGGATCCGCGTTCGGTGGTGTCAAGGGCCGCACCGAGATCCCTGGCCTTGTCGAGGGTGTGTTGTGAAATACTGTACGTCGGGCCGCACTAAAATGCATCACGCAGACTACCTCCAGGGTAAAGTTAAGATCGACGAGTACGTCACCCATAACCGCACGCTCGCAGAGATCAACGAGGGCTTCCATGACATGCATGTAAGTCGGCCGTTCGAAAGGTCTCCATTGGCTATTGATTCACGAATTTCCAGAGCGGAGAGTGCATTCGTTGCGTCGTCAACATGTCCTAAGCATCCGTGGCCCCGGGGTGTAGTGTACCGTCGCCGAAGTACCACCTATCATGTATCATCTACGTTGTTTTATTAGTAGCAATCGCCGAGTATCTCCGATGCGCACGTTGGTGCTGTGCTTACTTACCGCAGCGGCCACGTACGCTCCCAGCCAGGAGTCAGCGAGCAGTGGATTTGTTGCAGGAAGTTGCCAAACGGAGCGCCGTGAGAATGTGCTGGAACTATCCGGAAACGCGGGCCAATATTCGCACGAGGCAGCGTGACGCGTCGGGTAATGAGGAGGGACGCGCGTCGCCCTTGCTCTTGTCCTCATAAGCTCGTCCCCGTCCCCTCCCTCTCGCTCTTTCCATCCCTAGTTTACGACCCAGCACGACGAAAATGGATCCTTCTGGCGCACCCTCGGGCCCTGGGCCCAACGACACTTCCACCGCCATCCTCCGGCCTAAGAAATCGTGAGTGCCGCAGCACCTGTGGCTAGATTGATGGGCGGCGTGCTCATGCTGCATTCGCAGCCCCAACCGTCTCATCGTCGACGAGGCGACTTCCGATGACAACTCTGGTATGTGGAAACTCGTTAATCGCGGTATGTGCGACGCCCTGACGATGGGTTCGCTTCGCAGTGGCGACCCTCAACCCCGCGACCATGGAGACTCTCCAGCTCTTCCGCGGAGACACAATCATCGTCCGGTGTGTATTGGCAAGATTGGTCCTTCATTGAGCTTATTTCTTACACTGCGTGCAGTGGCAAGAAGCGGCACGATACAGTCCTGATCTGCCTGAGCTCGGACGACGTCGAGGAGGGCAAGATTCAGATGAACAAGGTGGCCCGCAACAACCTTCGCGTCAAGCTCGGCGACATGGTCAACGTGCACCCGTGCCTGGACATCAAGTACGGCAAGCGCATCCACGTTCTCCCCTTCGATGACTCGGTCGAGGGCCTCAGTGGTAACATCTTCGATGTCTACCTCAAGCCTTACTTCCTCGAGGGTGCGTCGTTTCACTTGTGTATGCTGCGGCATAAATGGGTCTGAATGGCGTTTGCTTGGCAGCCTACCGGCCTGTGCGCAAGGGCGACACCTTCCTCGTCCGCGGTGGTATGAGGACAGTGGAGTTCAAGGTCATTGAGACCGACCCGGCAGAGTACTGTATCGTCGCGCAGGACACAGTCATCCATACAGGTGCGTATATGCGGCAACTAGGGTTTTGTACGCGCTGACGCAAGCGGCGCTTCAGAGGGCGACCCTGTCAAGCGAGAGGACGAAGAGTCAAACCTCAACGAGGTCGGCTACGACGACATTGGTGGCTGCAGGAAGCAGATGGCCCAGATCCGTGAGCTCGTCGAGCTTCCTCTCCGCCATCCCCAGCTCTTCAAGTCTATCGGTATCAAGCCCCCGCGTGGTATTCTCATGTATGGCCCTCCTGGCACGGGTAAGACACTCATGGCACGTGCGGTCGCAAATGAGACCGGAGCATTTTTCTTCCTCATCAACGGTCCCGAAATCATGTCCAAGATGGCCGGAGAATCCGAGAGCAACTTGCGCAAGGCGTTCGAGGAGGCGGAGAAGAACTCGCCGTCAATCATCTTCATTGATGAAATCGACTCCATTGCACCGAAGCGTGAAAAGACGAACGGCGAGGTCGAACGCCGTGTCGTCTCCCAGCTTCTCACTCTCATGGATGGCCTCAAGGCTCGCTCGAACGTCGTCGTTATGGCTGCGACGAACCGTCCCAACTCTATCGACCCTGCCCTTCGTCGCTTCGGTCGCTTCGACCGTGAAGTCGACATTGGCATCCCCGACCCGACTGGCCGTCTCGAAATTCTCCGTATACACACGAAGAACATGAAACTCGCCGACGACGTTGACCTTGAGCAGGTATGTCCTTCGTCATTTGTCGCTTAGATTATCGCTTACGCGATCTACCACATAGATTGCCGCCGACACTCACGGCTACGTCGGTTCTGATCTCGCTGCGCTTTGCTCCGAGGCCGCGATGCAGCAGATCCGTGAGAAGATGGACCTCATCGACCTCGACGAGGACACCATTGACGCGGAGGTCCTCGACTCGCTCGGCGTTACGATGGAGAACTTCCGCTTCGCTCTTGGCACGTCGAACCCTTCGGCCCTTCGTGAAACCGTCGTCGAGGTTCCCACTGTCAAGTGGGAGGACATTGGTGGTCTCGTCAAGGTCAAGCAAGAGCTCCAGGAGACCGTGCAGTACCCCGTCGAGCACCCCGAAAAGTTCATCAAGTACGGCATGTCACCATCGAAGGGTGTCCTCTTCTACGGTCCTCCGGGTACCGGTAAGACGCTCCTCGCGAAGGCCATCGCCAACGAGACCCAGGCCAACTTCATCTCCATCAAGGGTCCCGAACTGCTCACTATGTGGTTTGGTGAGTCGGAGGCGAACGTCCGTGACGTGTTCGACAAGGCCCGTGCGGCCGCGCCGTGTGTCATGTTCTTCGACGAGTTGGACTCGATCGCGAAGGCCCGTGGTGGCTCCTCGGGCGACGCTGGCGGTGCAGGCGACCGTGTGCTGAACCAAATCCTCACGGAGATGGACGGCATGAACGTCAAGAAGAACGTTTTCATCATTGGCGCGACGAACAGGCCCGACCAGATCGACCCTGCTCTTCTCCGTCCCGGTCGTCTCGACCAGCTCATCTACATTCCCCTCCCCGACGAGACCTCGCGTCTCGACATCCTCAAAGCCGCGCTCCGCAAGTCGCCCGTCGCGCCCGACGTCGACCTCAGCTTCCTCTCCAAGCACACGCACGGTTTCTCTGGTGCCGACCTCACGGAGATCTGCCAACGTGCAGCGAAGCTCGCGATTCGTGAGTCAATCGAGGCGGACATCCGGAAGGCGCGGGAACAGAAGCAGAAGGAGGACGCGGGCGACGTAAAGATGGAGGAAGAGGAAGAGGAAGAGGACCCTGTCCCCGTCATCACGAGGTAAGCTGCAATGGGCGTTGTGCCTGCGGAGGTTGGAAACTGAATCCTTTTTATAGGGACCATTTCGAGGAGGCGATGAAGTTTGCTCGTCGCTCAGTCTCAGACGCGGACATCCGGCGGTACGAGATGTTCTCCCAGAACCTGCAGCAGTCGCGCTCGTTCGGGAACAACTTCAAGTTCCCCGAGGGCACTGCAGCGCCTGCTGCGGCCAACGCGCCCGCGGCGAGCAACGCAGGGTTCGGTGAGGACACGAACGACGACGACCTGTACGCATGAGCGCGGTGGCTCCCCACCATCTCTTGTTTCGCCTTGCATCGTCTAGCTTTGATCGCCTTTCCTTCCCTCACACCCACTCACTGTCTCTTGATGTATGACGGATGCATAAGTGCCTCGCGGAATCACGCCTTGTAGTTTTCTTTGTCCCACAACGATTAGATCATGGCCCCTGTAGTATATCGAATTGCATTCTTTGCTCCTCTGGTCGATCTTCTGGGCGCGTAAAGCGACTTGGGTGCCCCTGTGTTCATGTTCTTGGCGGTCTTGTCTGCCGATGGTTTGGCAGTTGTGGGTCCCTCTTCGCCAAGAGGGAGCTGAGTTTGCGTTGGCAGTGCCCCCGGCAAAATGTGTCCTGGTATCACAGACCTTCGAATGTTGATTTACTTGACGTTACATCCCCGAAGCGTCACTCGTGGGCCTGATACAGGGAAGAGGTTCAATTTAATCGAGTCTGTGTCCCCTAAGGGCAAAGTGGAACTTGAGACCACCCGTATATATGAAGTGCACAAGTTGGACACGCAAAGGAGTTTGGGTTGCAAAAGTTCGTTTTGTATACGACAAATAGTACATCCAGAGGTAGCGGTACAGATGCCATACAACGACCGTGCGGGTCGCGTGCTCCTACACATGTACAACCGTCATACTCGTCGCGAGACGTTGCGCTTGGGGGGGAGTCGGCGCGGGGCGCTTCCGCTCAGATCGAGATGCTGCGGTAGGTGCGGACCTGACCGGCGAGACGGGTGGCCTGGCCGGCGGTGAACTCGGTCATGCAGCTGCGAGGAGGGGAGGGCTCGTCAGTATCGCGTGGAGTGGGGCAAGGGGGGAGAGACGCACTCGTCGTCGGTGTAGTCCATGAAGTTGTGGATGGGGTCGACGCCGGCGCTCGAGCAGGTGTCGCGGCCGGTGGGGCAGCCGAACGCGGCGGAGGCCTCGGCGGGGGTGTCGGAGACGGAGTCGCCCGAGCCGGAGCAGCCGCCCTGGAAGGTGTGGTAGAGACCGACCCAGTGGCCCGCCTCGTGGGTGAGGGTCTGGTGGGGGACGGGGTGTCAGCATGGGGAGCGAGAGAGGAGAGGGGAATGGGTGCGTACGCGGCCGAGGTCGTACGGGGCAGCGGTGCCGCCGGGGACGGAGGAGTAGAGAATGACGACGCCGTCGTCCTTGGGCGCGCCAGAGTAGTCCGATGGGAAGGTGGAGTAGCCGAGGAGACCCGCGCCGGCGCCCGATTTGAAGCCGACGGAGTAGACGTTGAGGTCCGCGACGCCGCCCTGGCGGAGGGTGTTCTTCATCGTGGTCTGGAGCGAGGTGTCGGGGCCGACGTTGTTGAACCAGTTCGAGTTGGTCGTCCGGGTGGTGTTGGCGAGGACGAAGGAGAGGCCGGTGTTAGAGTAGTCGGCGTTGAGGACGTCGATCTGGTCCGCGATTTGCGAGTCGCTGCAGGCGGTGCGGAAGTGGTGGTCAGTCGCAGCAAGAATCAGCAGCGAGGAGAGGGCGTACGGGATGTTACCGCCCGAGAGGGAGGAGCTCGCCTGAATCACGTGCCAGTAGAGCTTAATGGTGGCCGTGGCCGCGACGAGGGAGGAGGGCGCCTCGACTTTGTTGGCGGTGAAGTGAGCCTCAGCCGCAGCGAGCTTCTCGTCGGAGATGCTGGTACCGCAGACGCGGCGGAGGGGAGCCGCAGTGCTGTTGAGCGCAGCGGGCGACGCGAAGGCGACAGTCGCGAGGAGGAGAGCGAAGGCAGCAGGCTTGAACATGACGACGGGGGACGTGGGAGGGCAAGTGCAAGCTCTGGAGGCTATCGCTGGCGAAACCGGTGGGGAAGACGGTGTCGTTGCTCTTCTCGGGGCACGAGGGCCCGCTTTTATACATCCTGTACACCTCTCCAGGTTATGCACTGTCCCGGGCCTTCGCGACGCGCGGGGTCCGTGACCTTGCCAGCGATGCACAGAGAAGGCCCTATCACGGCCCGGTGCATGGCCCGGATATCTCCCCACATGGACCAGGCAACTGCGACCAGATGGCTTGAAGGATGAGAGGACCCTGGACTACACAGCAGATGCTCATCGATCCGTTTCGTCCAGCATGCGGCTGCTGCTTTTGCCAAAAAGGGTTTGAAGAAGCTCGGAGACCATATGCATAGCAGCGTGGGCGACACGACTTATCTTGCGCTCGGCATTGAGTAGACAGCGGCGACGCGGGGACAACATACTGATGCCAAGCGAAGCCACCGATTCGGGCATGAGCATTGGCCGCGCGTTGTGGACCGGCACTAGTAGCACAAAGTGCACTGCACTGTATTACATAATCCAAAACTCGTCAATTAGCCATCTCAGTTTGGCGAACGACAGTACACACCAGGAGCAGATGAAGCAATATTACGAAGATGTCTCGCTTACTGTCATGGTGATGAAGCCTAGGGGACGGGTGGCATGCATTCAGGGTGAGTGTGCTTCAAGAATTTGCCGAGAATGAGTTCCCGGAGCCCATAGAACATGGGCAGCCTACGGGAGATCACCACAAATTGAGCGCTTGAAGCATATTAGACTGCGTACGTTATGCATTCCGATGACGAGCTGCCTCGGCAAGAAGGGCGAGCGTTTCTTGGCATTGCGCAGCGATGATCAGGAAGCTGTAGAACATTGGTGAGAGACCGACCTAGTTGTGTGACAGTAGCTGGAATGAACTACCTTGATCGTTGATAGCGTCCATGTCAACCACCTTAATGCTGTAATGCACCATGGGCGGAAGAGAGGCACAGAAGGCGACGGATATCAGTGTGATTGATAATCTACACTTACACCGACCGCGAAGGGTTCTGGCGGTGAGCCAAGTCGGTGTTCGAACGCCCGGCTGGGAGGCAGGAAGTTGGTAGGAGGGGCAAAATGAAGGATGAGGAACAGTGGAAGCCGCAACGTCCGGTGCGTCCATGTGGTAAACAGGCGATTGCCGCAGGGGGCAGAGGCCGCTCAGGTCATGGGTGTCGCATGTGTTCCGGAGCAATCTACTTCGCAGCATATGGGGTGTCGAGTGAATGCTTGGCGTATTGGCGTAGCAGCGATAGCGGGAAACGTCGTGACTTCGAAACTGGCGCTGATTGGACCTTCGCGCGTTCTCTCGAACAAGTATTTGGAATTTGTCGTGTCTTGGGTCTGAAGTACCCAACACTACGCAGACCAGACAGCCGTCGCCGATGAATGACAGGCTATGGGCCCCCTCGAAGGATACGGATAAAAAAAGAACGGGGCCGTGTACGTTGCGTGTACAAGGAGGTAGAAAGCCACCCCATCTATCAGAAGTAAGCACAGGTAATCGCGTGTCGAAGGATGAACTCACTCGCTAACCCCGAGGCTTGTCTGACTCCACGACGTACATGCCGTCAATAGTCCGCGACGCGTGTGCCAGTAAAGCGCGCCCGTCCACCTCGTCCACGTCTTGCGTCGGGGCATCCAGGTTGATACCTTCCCCCGCGACCCATATCCTGCCGTCCGGCACTGCGCCATCCTCTGCGACATCGCTCACGTCAACGAGCTTGACGGCCTCCACGAGCTTCACAAGCTCTTCCATTTCGCGAGTTAGCTTATCATGTTGAGGCGTGCCTTCTGCCGGAGGTATCAGCGCCGACAGTTCGTGAAGCCTCTTCAGCGTCGATGGGGTGATTGTCGGGCGGGGATAGGATGAAAGCAGCTTGTTGACCGACCAAGTCGGCTTGAGGGGGATGCACGTTGAGTCAATCTGAGGGATGGTGTGTTGATAGCGCATACATAGACCCCTTGAAGCTCGCGAGACCGAGGCCAGCCTCAGGAGGGATGCGCGGGAGGAGGAGAGCATGGGAGTCGGGACAAGAGTCGAGCGCGCCAGGGACTTCCCGATTGGGAATCGACGACCTGTCCACATCCACGACCACCGCGAGCTACTCGCACCAAAATCTCTCGCATTCCGCGCGGGCTCGCCAGTTGCCACCCTCATTCATTCTTCCTACCATCATCCACGATGACTTCTCCCCAACTTCTCGCGTCGCTGCGAAGACTGCTCCCCGCAGAGGTGCCACCATCACTGTCAACCAAACCCGCGAACCTCTACCAAGTGCTATCAAAGTATCCTAAGGACGGTGTTGGCCAGAAGGTCCATCAAGCTCGATGGGGCAGGATAGGGATCGAAGGGAGCTACTGGGAAGTGACGCGAACGAGGATGAAGTGTGAGGGATCTCATGGGAAGGCTTGGGGTCTCAAGTACTGGAAAGGTACGTCGCGTCCTTCGAATTAAGCGGCTTTCTCGTGTTAAGCAAACCTTGCCCCCAGGAAAGTGCGTCAGTGAACGCGAGGAGAGAATCCGTGGCGCTTTGAAGTACACCTGGAGTACCGGCGAGTCTGCCGGATCGGCAGCAGCGGGACCCCCAGCAGCGAAGTTGTCGTAATGCGTCGCGTCACTACCTCGTCATGTATACATTTCTTATAATCGATACTCTTGCTACTCTTGCTCGCTGCGCGTGGAACTGCAGGTTAAACGTCATAAGCCCGGTACCTCGTTTGCCAAGTGCTGGTTGGTCGATGTCCGAACATCCACCTCTTCCTTTACTAGGGCTTCGGCGCTTTCCCGACGATTCCCCCTACTAGATGTCTTCGACTTCGGGCTTGAAGCTTGCGGTCTTGAGGTGTAAACTTGTGTCCAGCGACTTGAAAGCCTCTGCCGGTCCCCGGAGCATTTGAGTTCGTGGGAACTGTATCTTGATCGGGACAACCGTCTGGTGCCAGTGGCCGATCCGCACACCCCACCCGGCACCGTCATACTTCCCCGCACGCTTCCTGCCTCTCGCACCCTCACCGAGGCCCTCCTTCTCCTGCGTGGTGTCGGGCCCTGTGGCTTCACTCATCTTGGTTTCTGGAGGGACCCTCTCAACATGGACGCCAATTCACGCCAGCTCATTGATGCTCAATTTGACCGCGCAGTCGAGATTGTGCAAGGCTTTCCCAAGACGGGGCCTATTCAGACGGGGTATGAGGACAAGTTGAACATGTACAGGTGCGCCTATACCGTCCTTTCACAGAAACTAGAGACTAACTGCGGGTCGACAGCTTGTACAAGCAAGGTGCATTCTACGCTCCAGGTTTCCTTGCTATGCACACCGCTGACTCCCCGCTTCGTCTTGTGCAGCCACTGTTGGCAATGTGCAAGGTCAACGTCCGAACGTCTGGGATATGCTTGGGAGAGCGAAGTGGTTAGTGTGCCCCTGCGTCGTCTGCATGCCCCTTCGAAGCCGCGTCCGTCCCCATAATCACATGCTTCTCTATTTTCCAGGGATGCTTGGGCGAAGCACAAGGACCTTGATCCTTACGAGGCCAAGTGGTTGTACGTTGAAGCTCTTCTTAAGGTGAGTTGCGTTGCGTTGTGCTTGTCGCCACATGCTTATCAGAATATAGGTACTTCGCAAATACTCCGACAAGACTGTGGCGAGGGACTTAGTGCGGGAATTGGAAGCGTATGCCGGCGATCCCACCAACCTTGTTATGAGCGGTGAGTTCATCCTCCAAGTCAGTCTTCAGGTCTTCCTGGGTGCTCAAGAATGTGCGACAGGTGTTACATCACCTGGTTCAGACTCTTCCGGGTCCTCAGAAGCAGGTCCCTCAGGCCAGATGGCATCGGCCTCGTTGCGGCAAGCGCAGTATGCACAAGCGCAGGCCCTCCAGGCCCAGCAACGTGGGCCTGGACCTGACCCATTGGAGTCGGAAACGGACGAGAGCACTACTGACGAGGAAGACGAAGAGCTAGACCGGGTTCCTCATTCCCTGGTTCCGCCTCACGCCGCAGGGCAGCTCAATCGTCCTCAGTCGTCGCTCTCTTCTCGCCCTTACAGAACACCCATGGCAAGCACTCTACTAATGTCACCCCCACCGCAAGCTCTTGTTCCCACTTCTCAGCCTCACCCCGGATTCCAAACGCAGTCGGCGTTCGCCGAGTCTTCTACATCTATACCCTCTTCTGCATTCCCCCCCACTACCAGCCTCTCGTATCCTGAACAACTCGCGCGCTCGCCCGAGTTTCCTCCATCCGCCCAAGGCTACCCCTCCAGGGCAGGATACCGCCCCCCATCCACCACCGGCACTCGACAGTACCCACTCCAGGCGGGTCCACCCCGACCCGCATCACTCCCACTACTTGAACGTGCGGTGGAGAGCGTGCAGGCGCACCTCGCCGCCATCACCGAACGGCTTGAAACCCTCGAGGGCGTTGTCCACCACTCTACCGCCTCGCTCACCTCTATCGGGCGCGGGAGTCCGTACGCTTACGGGCACGCCGGTGGGCGACCAGACGCGCCACCTCTGCAGTGGGATCTAGACGACATGGGCATGTGGTCGATCGTCCTCCGGCCGCTCGCTCGCGCACTCCGGCTCTTCCGCCAGCTCGCGGTCTTCCTCGCGAGCGGAGACGCGCACGGGGGCCGCACGCCGACCTTTGTCGTCATCCGTCGGCTGTTCCTTGACATCTCTTTCGTGCTGTGCGTGCTCGCGGTCGCCACGACGGGATGGCGGCGGACGGGCGTGCGCCGGCGGGAGGTGTCGGTGGCACTAAACGTGCTGTGGAGGGCGATCGTGGGCCAGCAGGCACCGCGGCACATGGCGGAGAGGGGGGTGTAGGCTTACTATCTTGCGGTGCTTAGTTATATTGGATTGTATGTGAGCTCGGACTGAGGGACGCACGTCAAGTATAGTGAGGGCCTTCAGCAGCTGGAGTCATTGCGAACCTCTCTGCAAGGATTAACTTGAATGACGCGCCTTATGAAGCATCGAGGCATGGCATGGTGTGGTGAACGTAGTCACTGTTGTGGTTGGTCGGAAGCGAACCATCCGCTTGACTCAGTTGTTCTCCTGCGGTGTGCGCGTTACCGTCGGCCTGCGAACAACGGATAGTCAAACCGCTTGCCCCACCGTCGGCCGATGTCGTATCCGCAGCAAGACAGAGCACGCAGATGAATGGTGGAAAAGCGCGAGCGAGTCAGCGCAAGTCCGTTCGGAGTTGGTTCGGAGCGCCAGTTGACAAGCCCCAACTCGGGCGCCAGTCCCAGCTTACATCACGCTCTGCCACGGCAGCCACAGTCACCCGTCTTCTTCCTCCTACCACCACTCCCTCCCCCTCCCCTCCCGTCCGTTGGACATCGCCAAATACAAATATGGTGCGTCTCTATGTTCCCCATGCATTCTGCGAGCTTACACCAATCCACAGGGTGTCCCGGCGCTCTTCCGTTGGCTCAGCAGGAAGTATCCCAAAATTAGTGCGTGACGCTCTCTTTCCCTCTCTGCGTGCCCTTGTTGACCTCTACTGCAGTCTCCCCCGTTATTGAGGCAGAGGCGGTCAAGGTCCCCGATGCTGACGGGAACGAGGTCGCTGTACCGCTCGACATCACCGAGCCCAACCCGAACGGTGTAGAGTTCGACAATCTGTACCTTGACATGAACGGAATTGTGAGTGCATACCCGATGCCGTGGCGTCGTTGTCCCCCAAGTCCCCAACACGATGCCTCTCCCTGCCTCTCAAGTCCCGCCCCGCATGTGTCCGACCCCAGACCCTTTTTTGCCGTGTTCCCTCGTTTCGCGTCCCCCACGTTTGAAGAGCTGTCCGAGCGGATGTTTGGCATGAGTCCCACTCTCCTCCAGGCAGTCTGGCAGAGTGAGAGATGCGCGAGACGTGTGCTCTGAGCAGTGTGATGGCCAATGTGCCACCTCATGGCTATGATGGGCATCTGTATTACGCAGCCGTCGTGGAATACGCCGACGGGCTCCGTTGGAGAGCTTCTCATGCCTTCGACCACCCCTAGGCGGTTCGCCTGTGGAGCGATGTTTTTGGGCGTGCGCCCGGTCAGCTCTTGAGTCTTGTTCGTGCAGACAGACGTCAGTTCAGTGCGGCAGTGTGAACGGCACTGGGCCGATGTATGCACTCTGTCTCGCTATTGGTGTCCCTCTTCTCCGTCTGAGGCGACTCTGTCGGTTATGCTTGTCGCCTTGCTGCACTAGTGCCCATGCGTGCTTTGCTCATACAACGACTTAGGTCCACCCATGTACCCACCCCGAGGGCAAGCCCGCTCCTGAAACAGAGGAGGAGATGATGATTGAAATTTTCAATTACACCGAGCGTGTTGTAAATATGGTCAGGCCACGGAGGCTACTGTTCATGGCTATTGGTATGTCGCATGCAAGCCTCGACCGCGGCATGAAGCTCATGGCGTCCAGATGGCGTGGCTCCACGCGCCAAAATGAACCAGCAGCGTTCTCGCCGCTTCCGGTCTTCGCAGGAGGCTCAGGAGAAGGAGGACGCCCGACTGGAATCAATCAAGCTCTGGGAATGTGAGTTTTCAAGACTTATGAGGCAGACAAATCTTGACGCATTGCGCAGCCTTGGGTAAAACGCTGTCAGAAGAAGACAGAAACAAGAAAGCCTGGGACAGCAATGCTATCACCCCTGGCACGCCTTTCATGGACCTCCTCGCGGCCTCGCTGCGGTACTGGGTCGTCATGAAAATGAACACAGATCCTGGCTGGAAAGATGTACGCCCTCCCTTGAACGTTGGATCGTTTGTCGAACTCACCCAACACACTAGCTGCACGTCATCATCTCCGACGCGAGTGTCCCTGGTGAAGGTGAACACAAGATCATGGACTACGTTCGTCGTCAGCGCACCAACCAGGGCCATGATCCCAACACTCGCCACGTCATCTATGGCCTAGTGAGATACGTTCCTTCCCGCTCGCCTTCCGGCCTACTGACGCGACTGCAGGACGCCGATCTTATCATGTTGTCACTGGCGACCCACGAGCCCTACTTCCGTGTCCTGCGCGAGGACGTCTTCCATCAGGAGGGCAGTCGCACCGCATGTCGCACGTGCGGCCAAGAAGGACACTACGCTGCCCAGTGCACAGGGCAAAAGGCCGAAATTAAGAAGACCCCGATGGAGAAGAAGCCTTTCATCTGGCTTGATGTCTCGGTTCTCCGAGAGTACCTTGAAGCAGAGCTAAACGTTCCGCAGACGCCTTTCGCGTTCAACCTGGAACAAGCGATTGATGATTGGGTGTTGCTCATCTTCTTCGTTGGCAATGATTTCTTACCGCACTTGCCGTCGCTCGAGATCCGCGAAGGTGCCATCGATACGTTGCTGAAGATCTGGCGGACGGAGCTGTCTCGTATGGGCGGCTATATCACGAACCACGGACAACTGGAGATGTCGCGAGCTCAGATCATTCTTGAGGCGCTCGCTAGCCGCGAGGACGACATCTTCCGTAAGAGGCGTGAAGGTGAGTGTTAGTCGTGTCTCGACAGCCCGCTGGGAGCTGACACGGGCCGTAGGCGAGGAGCGCCAGGATCAGAACGCGAAGCGGCGTAAAATAGAGAAGGATATGGCCAGCAAAAAGTCGACTGGACCGTCTGCTTCTTTGAACCTCACTGCTGCACCCACTGCTCCTAGTGGCCTTCCCTCTCGTCCCGACTTTGCCGCGAAGGCCGACAGTATTGGTCTCGGTGGCCCAAAGACGGCCGAAGCCACGTCCTACGCCTCGATCGCCGCGCAGGCCATGGGCGGCTCGAACCGCGACGTGGTCGCGAACCGCGCCGCGATCCGGCTCGCGAACCTGAGTGCGGCTGAGACGCTCAAAGCCCAGATGGCCGCGTTGGTGCCTGTGGGAAGGGCGTCGAGAAACGCGGTGCCGAAGCCCGCGCCCGCGGCCACGCCTTCGCCTGTCGTAAAGTCCCCGAGCACTTCGACTGGGCCAATCGTACCGCCCGTGACCGGCGCGGTGGACATCGAGATCCCGGGCCTGGGCGGTGCGCCCTCCCCCGTGTCCAGCACCGTCGCCATCTCGGAGCCGGTCGTGTCCGTCCAGCCCGAGAGCGGGGCACAGGGCCCCCCGGCGGAGCCCAGCGCAAACGCAGAGCCTAGCGCGGACGCGGAGCCCGCAGCGGCCGACGACGTGCCCATGGCGGATGGCTCGGAGCCGCGTGGCATGAAGCGGACCATCGAGGACGTCGAAAACGACGACGACACGGCCGCCGGCGACGACGTCCCGGCGTACGAGGACGAGGAGGCGCCAGCTGGGGCGGACCCGACGCTCGCGATGAAAGTGAACCCAGACGGGACGGTGGAGCAGGATGACTTTGTAAAGTGCGTGGAACTGCCGCGTCCGCCTTGCGTGGGAGAGCCGCGATTGACCCTGAATCCGCGATCTTAGGCTATGGGAACCCGGTTACAGGGAGCGCTACTACCGCCAGAAGTTCAACGTCGAGTACAGCGATCTCGAGTTCAGGAAGCAGTGAGTTTCCGCCCGCCCGCACTTGCTTGACTGGCAGCTCACGTAGGATTCCAGGGTCACTCGCTGCTATGTCGAGGGCATGGCTTGGGTGCTGCACTACTACTATCAGGGAGTACGTCGCGCCCGTCGGCCTCGTGTCCGGAATGCATCTGACTTGTCCGCGCCCAGACCCCCTCGTGGCAGTGGTACTACCCCTTCCACTTCGCGCCCTTCGCGGCAGACTTCGAGGATCTCGAAAAGATGGACATCACTTTTGACATCGGGCAGCCTTTCAAGCCATTCGAGCAGCTGATGGGCGTCTTCCCCGCTGCGAGGTGCGTATCCCTCTGGCTGCGTTTCGCTCACTGCTGACCAGCGTTTTTAGTCGATCGCATATCCCAGCCCCGTTCCATGACCTCATGACAGACACAGAATCTCCGATCATTGACTTCTATCCCACCACATTCCAGATCGACATGAACGGCAAGCGCATGGCCTGGCAGGGTGTCGCGCTCCTTCCTTTCATCGACGAATCTCGTCTTTTGTCAGCGATGGCCCCGCGGTATTCAAATCTCACCCCGGACGAACACCGGCGCAACAAGTGGGGCAACAATGTCCTCTTCGTCTTCGAGGAGAACTCTCTGTACCCATCTCTCGAAGCGCTTTACGGCAAGCGCAAGAAGGACGAGGTACGTTCATTTCGTCGCACGCGACGGCCTTCATTTCTCACACGCCCCCACACAGCCTTTGCCCATCAATCCGAAGCTGAGCAAGGGCATGAACGGCTCGCTCCTGCCGAACCCGGACTGCATCCCGGACTCGACCTTCCCCTCCCCGCTCGTGGGCCAGGATCTGCCGGACATCAAGAACGACCGCTCGCTGTCCGCGTTCTACTTCTTCCCTAAGCAGCTCAAGCCCCACCGCTCCGTCCTCCTCCCGAACGTCCACCGCCCGAAGCCATCGCTCTCCGCCGCGGACCTCGACCACGCCAAGCGCGGAGGAGAGCGCCGCGGCCGCGGCGGCTACGGCGGCAGCTTCCACGTCGAGCGCAACCGCGAGCCCCGCGGCGGACGGCGCGGAGCAGGCGGAGGCGGAGGCGACTGGGCCAACCCGAACCAGATTCCCAACGGTGGCGGCGGCGGGTTCGGCGCCAACAACGGGTACGCCCAGGCCCCGCAGCAGTTCCAGCCGTACCCGGCCCGGGGCCGCGGCGGCTTCCAGCAGCAGCAGTTCGGCGGCGGCGGCGGCGGGCGCGGGCAGTTCAACGATTTCGCGGGCCCGCCCCAACGCGGGGGCCGTGGGGGCGGCGGGCGCGGAGGCTTCGCCAACGGCGGCTACGGGGGCAGCGCGATCCCCAGCGGCCCGCCGACTGGCGGCTATCAAGGCGGGCGCGGCGGCTACAGCGGCTACCAAGGTGGTCAGAACGGCGCGTACACCCAAGGGGGCTACAACGCGAGCCAGGGCGGCGGCTACGACCAAGCCGGCTACGGCGGCGGCGGGTACACCCAAGGTGGCGGCTTCGGCGGCTACGGCAACAATCAGGGCGGCGGTGGGGGCTACGGAGGCTATGGCGGCCCTCCCCCTCAGGTGCAGAGCGGCTATGGCGGGCGAGGTGGCTACGCAAACCGAGGCCGCGGCCGCGGCCGTGGCTACTGAGCGCACGTACGTACGAGTGACGGCTCGGGCGGAGCGTTGCGGGCTGTCTCCAGGTATCTATCTGTTTGCGCATAACGTCGTGATCTACTGTCCATATTCCTAGGCCAGCTGTCTTCCGTCTCTGCACGCGGATGGGCTTCGTATCTGTACTTCTACCTTATAATGTCCTCGATTATTTATGTTCGTTAGTGTTCATCGACATCGGCGTGTACGGCAGACCATCGGTCAGGCTGAGGACTGGCACGGTTGCACTCATCCTTGTATAAGCCTTTAGACTAGACTCGGTCTCGTTGTTCTTGTTTGTCTGTAGACGGTAATGCATGATATTGACGAGACGGTGAGAGCAACCCGTGGAGATACATGTGAAGCCTCTGCATAGCACATAAGTAGACGTACATTGATCGCATGATATTTCCTTTCCAACCCCCCTCCACACCCCCCACGCCCGACCAAGCCCATTCGCGACGCACGCGCTCACAGCCCGCGCTCGTCCGTCGGGGGCACGCACTGGAGGTACATCGAGTACGTCTTGTCCATCTCCTTCTGCCGCCGACGGATCTTCTTATCCAGCTTCCGCTGCCTACGCTCCGCGCGCTCTGCCTTGCGCTCCCGCCAGCGTGCGTCCGCCTCGGCGCGCCCGTACCGCGCCCGGTCGCGGTCGCGGTCGCGCCGCTCGAGCTCCTCCTCCGCCGAGTCGTCCGTCGCGCTCGGGGACGACACGTCGCGCGGGTCCACGCCCGGGAGCGACGCGTCGAGCGTGCCCGCGTACCGCCCCGAGCGCCGCTCGCGGCCCTTGTAGATCACGGCCTCGACGCCGCGGAGGCGGAAGAACGACGAGTTCCACATGTCGATGACCTCCGCCGCCATCTGGGAGCGCTTCGGCGTGCGGCCGTCAACGGCGGGCAGGTTGATCTGACCGGACCAGGCGAGCCCAAGGTCCTGCAAGAACATCACGCATGTCAGCCTCGCTGACAAGAAAGGAGAAAGGAGGGACAGGAGGGACAAAGGGAGGGAAACGCACCGTCATGAGTCGGATCCAGTCCTCGTGGTACACGTCGTGCGGGACGAGCACGGCGGGCATGCGCGGCATCTGCTCGAGCACGTCGTCCATGTCCCCGATCTTGAGCATCTCGAACTGCGTGTACGGATGCGCGCGGTTCGGCGGCCGGCTGAAGCCCTCCGGGGGCGCGAGCTGGCCTGGCACGGGGACTTGCACCGCGCCGCCGACGGGCTGCATTCCCACGAGCGGCGCGCTCATCGCGCGCGGGCTCGGCGCGATACCGCCTGGGTAGGGCGGGATAACAGCCGCTTCGCCGTAAGGGTTGTTCGGGTTGGAGTACACGTTCAGGGGCGCGGCCGGCGCGTAGGGAGACGGTGCGGCTCCGTATGGGGACGCGACCGAGCTCGCGCCGTAGGGAGACGGGCTGGGGGCGCGTGAGCCACGCCCGCCCATCGACGCGTTGCGGTACATCGGCTGGCTCTCGAGGACGTGTCCTGAGGAGTACATTGGCTGCGCCCCATACGGAGCGGCACCCGTGGATACCATCCCACCGCCGTAGGGCGACGCGGCGCGCTGGATCCCGCCCGCTTGATAGGGCGAGGCTGAGCGAGGGATAATGCCCCCGGCAGCGTAAGGAGACACAGGGCGTGGCGCAGCGGGTTGAGCGTAGGGCGACACAGGGCGGGGAACGGCGATTGAGCCCGCCGCGCGGTAAGGCGACGAGGGTCGTCCTGGGAGGTCGCTGGGGCGCGGCGACGCGGAGCGGTACGAGCCAGTTGCACCCACGGGATAGACACCGCCTGCCGCGGGAGTGTACGAGGACCCACTGCCTGCGTTTCCGGGGTAGGCCCCAGGGTAAACGCCGCCCGCCGCGGGCTGGTAGGTGCTTGTGGGGCGTTCGGCGCCGTAGGTCGAACCTTGGCGGGGTCGGGGACGAGCGGGGTCGTATTCACGTTCGCGCTCACGTTCGCGTTCGCGCTCGCGTTCACGGTCACGGTTGTGGCGGTCGATATCGAGGTTTTCCATGCGACGCTCGAGGTCCGTAGAGGCGTATTTGTCGTATTCGCCGGGATAACGGCCCCCGTAGGTACTCGTGCGGCGTTCAGCGGCGCCCTCGCGGTCACGGTCATCGCGATCGCGGCGACGGTAGTCGTCTGTGGGACGGTCGCGCTCGCGCTCACGGTCGCGGCGGTAGTAGTCATCCTCTTCGTCGTCGTCGTAGCGTTTGCTTTCCCGGCGGCGGCGGCGATCCTCGTCGCCTCTCCTGCAGAGGGCATGCGCGTGAGGCGCTGTGGGGCAAACTCGCGGACAGAGGACGTGCTCACCATCGGTCGGAGTCTGCGCGGCGGGAGGACGTGAAGCCCTGTGTGTACGTGGGAGATCAGGATCCGTGCGGGGCACCGATCTAGATCGAGAGCACATACCGCATCGGCGGGGGTGGCATTGGCCGGGACGACAGAAGTGGCTTCGGCTGGGATCCACTGGATGCCGTTCACGATTCCTTGCGGGGTTTGGTAGCTGGACGCAACGCATATATATGCAGAATAAGTGAAGGAGGGATGAGTGGCTCACCTGGCTGTGACCGCCCTGTGCGCGCGATCAAGACGTCCGATTAGATATGGATGATCGAGTCGCGGGGAGTAGAGAGGACGTACTTGAACGGGTGGTAGGTGACCTGGCCATCGTTGCCCACGGTGGTGGTGTATGTGATCGAACCGGGCTGGATGTTCTGCGCCGCCTGCTGGCTGGTGTTGGGGTAGGGTGTTGGGTGCCCGACGAGGGGCGAGGGCGGGGCGGCGTAGGGATTCATAGCGATCAAGGTCGGTCTCCGGGAGGGCTGGACGGAGGGTGGGATGCGCCCAGGAAGAAGGTGGGGGAGGGTCAGAAGGAGAGAGGCTGAGAGCGGGAGAGAGTAGGCCTATCCTGGACGTTATCGCAGATGGCAGATCATCTGTTTGTATATATAATACCCAGCCTCCGTACCCGACCGTCGTGCAGCGTGCCCGCGGCAAGATCCCTGCGCGGCTGTGGCCCGACAACGTGGTGGCCATTGCATTATCACCGCAGCATGGCATGCGCACACTGTGGCCCACAGAGATAGCACGAAGCAGGGAAGGGGCCGGAGTAGAATAAAGAGATTAAACGTGGCGAATACAGGGTACATCCAATCCGTCCTAGAGCACGGTGCCTCATGAGAACCGCCAGTAGATGAAGATAATTACCAGCAGGGCGACTGCACCAATCGGCGCATACTGCCGAATCATCGCGTTGATGTTAATGTTCCGAGCCGCCCGACGGTACTTCTCCGACTCGGACCGTAGCGACGTCGACAGGTGCGACATCCCTGCGAAGGCGTTGCGTCAAAGCCGCCAGTGCGCACAGAGGTCAGGCAGACGTACGGTCAAGTGAGTCCCCTCGCCACAGAAGCTCCTCCATGTTTTTGGTCATGATCCGGGTCACGTCCTGTAGCTCGTCGTTGAGCTTGTCCATGCTCGAGCTGCCTGCAGCGCTTGCTGTCCGCGTGTCTTGGTAGAGGCGAGTCGTCTTCGACATGAAAGTGTCTGTATGCGGGATGGTTGGTGGTTGTATGCGCGCAGTGCCTTCGCAACTCACCGAAGCCCACGAACGCATATGGTTTCCGCACACCGTCTACCCTAGCGCCATATGATGTGTGGAACTCCTTCGAGAGCTCATCGAGGTAAGAGAAAGCGAGCTTGCGGGGATAGGACTTTTCGGCAATCACGAGGTAGATGACATTTTCTGCAATGTAGTAGCTGCCGGTAGAATGCCTGAGCAACGAAGGTCGAAGACGGCCAACAGAGGTGAACGCACTGCAGTGTGTACTGCCCGCTCTCAATCGAGCAACGGGGTTCAGAGGTAGGACCTATCCGGCGGAAGATGAGCTTCGCTTGCTGCTTGTGCTCCGAGAGGGCGATTTCCGTCTGCTCAACAATTAGCACTTTCTCCGTAGAGCAGCTAGCGCGAACGGACCTGCTCGTCATCCACACTGGCGGCGAGGGGAAGGGCGTCTGAGGCCCGGACAACAAGCGTGGACTTAACCATGTCGTTTGAAAAGACTAGGGAGCGTCGAGGGTCGGAGGGCGGTCGAGAACGAGGAAGACGGTGGCTGGAGCGCAGGAGGCGCGACTGACGTGCCATAGTAAGACGGCCAGACGCCGATACGTGGTGCGCTGCTCACGTGCGTGCCTTGTCGGCGTTGCGCGCCACGCCCGGCGCCGGCTGCCCGGAGCAGCCTGGTTCTGCCGGGCTCAGCGCATGACGTCCGACAGACCCGGCGAGCTCTGCCTTTTGCAATTGCACATGTTAACCGGCTCGCCTCAGGTCCTGCTGCCCTTCGTCCATCTCCCCTCGCTCCCCGCCCGCCCACTGCGCTTTCGGGCCTCTTGCAAACATGTCCCATCTCCTTAACGTGAAGCACCAGGTCAGTTCGTGTGGCCCGATCGCTGCAGTGTGCTCACGCCAGATCCCAGCTTACATTCTACGGCGCGTACCATGACCATCCCGTCAATGTCGCGATCCACATGGTTTTTGTCCCCGTCCTCCTCTGGTGAGTGCATACGCACCTCCTCGTCCTACGCGCTCTTCTAAAACATCCCTACACACAGGACCGGCCTCGTCCTCGGCGCCCAAGTCCCCGTCCCGTCCTTCTTCCCCTCCATCCACGTCGCGATCAACGACTACCTCACTTTTGAGTTGACTTGGTCCACCCTCTGGGCTGGCGCATGCCTCCTCTACTACTTTGCGCTCGAGCCCGTCGCGACGGTACGCCCATTGCCCATTCGTGCGCGCGCCACGTGACCGACCCGCCTCCGCCCCCCGCCCAGATCCTGTACACGCCCCAGATGATCCTCACCACGCTCTCTGCCGCCGCGTACGCGCACAAGCCCGGCGGGATGGACACCGCGCTCTACGCGCACGTCGTCTCGTGGATCTTCCAGTTCGCCGGCCACTTCCTCGCCGAGGGCCGCTCCCCCGCGCTGCTAGACAACCTGCTCGGAGGTGCGTCTCCTTCCGCTCTGCGTCTCCCTGCGCTTTCGTTCGCTCGCGCTCCTCCCCTCGCGTCTGTCTCTGCTTTCGCCTCTTTAACTCGTGTAGTCGCCCCACGCGCCCTGGCTGGACGCTTACCGCCCCCTCCACAGCGCTCGTCCTCGCACCCCTCTTCGTCCACCTCGAGGTCCTTTTCCGCCTCGGTTACAACAAGCCGCTCCAGAAGGAGATTCACGCGAGTATCACCGAGGAGATTCGCAAAATCAAGAGCAAGTCCTACTGAGCAGCCCCTACCCAGAATAACGGCACTGCGCGCGTGCCACCCACTTTCGGAGGCGTCGGATATTTCATCAAGTTCACTGCCCTATCTACGAACCCTTTCGTACCCGCGCGTGTCACGGATACTTGCTTGCTTACCCCTTCGACTCCTACCCGTCACGACGTCCCCTTGCCGGTGTCGGTTGCGAGTTATTTAACGCTTCCTGTACGCGTGTGGAGGATCTGATGTACATGTACAACACTTTTTCGCCGCGCGTCTGCTTCTCGCCGCCCAATCCGTCTTCTTTCTCTCTGCACCCACGCGCCCGCTTACGCGAGGGAAGAAGGAGGGGGCAGCACGGGCTCGCCGAGCGGGGTTACGTAGCACGAGGTAAGGCCGCCGTCGACCTTCAAGTCCGTGCCCTGTAGCCCGCCGCATCAGCATCGCGCCCATGAACCAGCGCTGGAGCGCACGCCGGAGCACGCACCGTCATGTAGCTGCTGTCGTCGCTCGCGACTGCAAACGAGACATCGGCACGCCGGATCAGCAACGGAGGTCAGGGCAAAGAAGAGCAGCGAAGGGAGGGGGGGAAGGCACGCACGGAAGAGCGCGCCCTTCGCGACCTCGACCGCCTCGCCGAAGCGGCCCATCGGCAGGTGGACCATCCGCCGGTCGCGCTTCTCGGCCGTGTTGAGGAAGTCCATCAGGAGCGCTGGGCGACGGAGAAGCGTGAGGGGCAGGGCGGAGAAGCGCATGTGCCGCCGGAAGGGCGCGCGGCGGAACGATTGAGGCAGAAGGTGGGGTGAGCGGCGCGAGCGTGAGCGAAGACGGAGCACGCACGCGTCTTGAGGGGCCCGGGGCAGATCGAGTTGAGGCGGATGCCCTCTCGGGCGTGGACCATGGCGAGCTCGCGGGTCATCGCGAGCACCGCGCCCTACGAGGCACGCGGCGGGTGAGATCGCCGTAAACTCCGAAGCACGCCCAAGATGGGCGCGAGCGTACCTTGGACGCGGTGTCTGCGAAAACGGGTCAACCGAATTCTACGCGACAGCAGGCGAGCGACAGCGCGAATCGCCCAGGAACAGAAAGATGGAAGGGGACGATCGCGCGCGGGACAGGGAGACGGTGGATCTCGGGTCGCGCGCGCACCCCGCGAGACTCGATCGCGCGAACGTAGAACGCGGTGAGTACGCACATGCGAGCTGGGGCGTCGCCGCGCCAAGGATGGCGACAAAGGACGCGGTGTTGATGATACTGCCGCCAGTCTGGAGACCCCGCGCGGGGTCCGCAGGGTTGTTACGCATGGCGAGGATGGCGTACTTGCAGCCCCACCAGACGCCCTTGACGTTGATCGACATAGTGAGGTCCCAGATGCGCTCCTCAGTGTTCAGCGCGTTGTCGTCTTCGGGGTGCATGATTCCTGCGAGCGACGTTGGCGGAATGAGCATGAGCGAGCGCCGGGCAGGCGAGACGGGGAAGGCGTACCAGCGTTATTGAACTGAACGTCATCACAGGCGCATGATCAGCAGTCTCTCTCACACGAGCGCGATAAATGCGCGGGGTATCCCGGTTCCGCCCAGGGCGAGGGGATGGAAGGGCGCGGACTGCGGCGGAAGGTGACATACCATGATGTCAAGACGGCCAAAGAGCTCAACGGCCTTGTCGACGGCAGCCTTAATATCGGCCTCCTTGCCCACATCAGCCTTGATTGCGGCGGCCTTGACGTTGGGAAAGCGGTCCTTGATGAGCGCAAGGACCTTCTCAGCAGCGGCGAGGTTGATGTCGACGAGGAGGACGTCGGCGCCCTCGGATGCAAAGAGGATGGAAGACTCCATCCCAATGCCACTGTGGGGAGAGAGATGAGCGCGTCATCGCACAGTGTATGACTCGGGCTGTATGCGCAATGATCACTCACGATCCGGCACCAGTAATGAGGGCACCCTAGACGTCGGGCTCTGTGAGTGCCCTGAGGGACGCGCGCACAGGGCAATGCGCACCTTGTTCTGAACGCGACCGGGCATTGTGTGGGATGGTGAGCAGAAAGATGGGAGATGGAGGAGAGGAAAGAGGATGGAGATGGACTCTTAACGTTTGACGGGCGAGATAAGCCCCTGTTCATCAGTTTGCCTCATCGATAACCCGGTGGAGAAGGTCGCTGTGGGCGCCGATGGCCAGTACTCCAGTATCGGTAGTAGGAGTGACCTTTACGCGTTGCTGTGGCAGGCCACAGCACAGAAAGAGCGGAAGCGTTGCGCAGCGCAGGTACGATGCGCGTGGGCAGACCGTCTCGGGCCGTAGCCGGCGCGATGCGCAGCTCTGGACGGGGGAGGATCCAGGGGCGACACGTGCTGGGCGTTTCCGCCTCTTTCATTGTCCCGACGTCATCCTGCTCGACCTGCTCTCGTGGCCACCGACGCTGTCCGCTTGGACACGATGGCACTACGGGCTCCTATTCTCAACTATCAGGTCAAAATTTACCGCCTCGCCTCATGGATCAGCTTCGCGCTCTGCTCTTCTGTTTGTCAGCGGTCGTCTGGCCAGCCCAGGACGGTGACCCCCCTGGACTGCTGTTTGATCCTTCGCTGAAACGACGTGCAGGTCCCAAATGAATTCAACATGGGCGCCGTACAAGCGTCGCTACCACAACTTCTCGATCCTGCCAACCTGTAGGAAGGCGATGGATTGGTGGCGCTCCTCCCACACGGCTTGCATGTACAGGCACCGTGGGCACCGCGGAAGCAGGTGACAAGCGAGCGGGCCTAGAAGTTTGGTCTGCACCTGCCTTTCCCGCCCGGTGCTTCGTTCCCCCAGACTGCGGTCGTTGCAATTTGCTTGTCGCCTTCGCCCCGCCTCCGCTTTTCCGCCACGCCACCGATCCGCCAGCGCTCTTAAATCCCGCGGCCCCAGCCGCCGCTCGCCTCGTCCTCCCGCGCGCGCCGCCTTCCGATTCTCTCGCCTTCGGTCTCGCTGCGCCATGCCCTACTCTCCCAACTTCGTGGACGGCATTGCTGTCGTGGTCGCGCTCTACATCGTTTCTCGTCTCGTCGCAAAGAAGCCCGTCGGTCCTCTCCCCCCAGGCCCCAAGCCCCTCCCCCTCCTCGGCAACATGCTCGACATGCCCCAGAGCCACGAGTGGAAAACCTTCGCCCAGTGGGGTGATCGCTTTGGTATGTCCGCAGGGACTCACTGCTCCTGCTGCACGGCGTCCCATCCTAACCCTACTCGTCTTCGCGCTTCAGGCGACATCTGCTCCGTCTCTATGCTCGGCAACACATACGTCATTCTCAACTCCTCCAAGCACGCATTTGCCCTCCTCGACAAGAAGAGCGCAATCTACTCTTCACGCCCGACCATCCCTATGGGCGGTGAGCTCGTCGGCTGGAACCGCACTCTCGTACTCCTCCCTTACGGCAACAACTTCCGCGAGTACCGCCGCCTCATCTTCCAGCTCATCGGCTCCCGCAAGAACATGGAGCGATTCCAGCCCATCGTCGACAACGCCACCCGCGACTTCGTCCTCGACCTCGCCCAGACTCCCGAAAAGCTTGTCAAGCACATCCAGAAGTGCGCGTTCCCGCTCTCATGTCCCGTGGTGATCGAATGCATGTCTGACCAGGGTGTACAATGTTAGCTGCGCGGGAGCCATCATCCTCATGATGTCGCACGGATACCAGATCCAAGGCGAGAACGACCAGTTCGTTGCTACCGTCGACGAGGCCATGGAGCAGTTCGCGGTCAGCACCTCTGCGGGTGCCTTCATGGCGAACATCTTCCCTGCTCGTCCGTCTGATATTGTTTGCTTCACATTCCCGGTGTTCCCACTCACACGGGGCCGCCCACAGTTGTACACGTGCCGGCTTGGTTCCCTGGTGCCAGCTTCAAGAAGACTGCCGCAGCCTGGCGTGCTACCTTGGACGAGATGTGCGACAAGCCTCATGAGTGGGTCAAGAAGCAGATGGTGAGAACCCTTCTGCGATAAGCGGTCGCGGCACAGGAACGGAATGCACTGGCTGATGCTTCCTCAGGCGGCCGGCACCGCGATTCCATCTTTCACGTCGGATGCGCTCGAGGGTGGAGTGACCCCCGAACGCGAGCTGCTCATCAAGAACGCCGCGTCGTCGCTCTACGCCGGAGGTGCGGACACGGTAAGCATCCGCAAATGCACCACGCGTTTGCCTCACGTGACCTTGTTTCTCCGCGCCATCCATCTAGACCGTGTCCGCTATCCAGACCTTCTACCTCGCCATGACCCTCCATCCCGAGATCCAGGAGCGCGCGCAGGCCGAGATCGAGCGTGTCGTTGGCATGGACCGCCTCCCGTCCGCGGAGGACCGCGACAACCTCCCGTACGTCGAGGCGATCTTCCGCGAGACCCTCCGCTGGAACCAGGTCGCTCCCCTTGGTACACACTCGTTTCCTCATGGCGCTTCCCACAAGCCGTTGACACACTCTCCACATAGCGGTCCCCCACGTTTTGATCGAGGACGATGTCTACGAGGGCTACCACTTCCCCAAGGGCACCATCTTCATCGCGAACGTCTGGAAGATGCTCCACAACCTGGAGACCTACCCCGACCCCTTGGCCTTCAACCCGGACCGGTTCATAGCCTCGCCCGGGCACGCGCCCGAGGTCGACCCGCGCGAGATGGTGTTCGGGTTCGGGCGCAGGATCTGCCCCGGCCTGCAGCTCGCGGACTCGTCGGTGTGGATCACGATCGCGATGTCGCTCGCCGTCTTCCGCGTGGAGAAGCCGGTGGTGAACGGCACGCCCGTCGAGCCCGACACCGAGTTCACGACCGGCACGGTCTCGCACCCGCCGCCGTTCGAGTGCGTGGTCAAGGCGCGGAACGCGAAGGCGGAGGCGCTCCTCCAGCACGTCGCCGTCGAGCGCGCGCAGGCGAAGGCGCAGCGCTGACCGGCAGTCACCGCTCGCCGGGCGGGACTGGAGATCTAGATGGGTGGCTTACATGTTTACACCCCCCTGCTCTTGCTTTTCGTTCGTCCGTTCACACCCGAGACGATACCCCTTCTCAAGGCCGTGCACGCCTAGTGCGCATTCCCCCCTTACTCTTACTGTACTCACACTCTGTTCCTGTCACCCTCAACCATGTGTCGCACCTGGACATCGCTGGTCCACGGTGCTGACGTACTCTGTACAAATCTCAAAACTCCGGAAGAGGTCCCCTGTATGCATACACTACATCCGCTGTACATACTATACAAATACTTGGTTTTCCCGCTCTCTTTCTGCAGTGTGCGTGAAGCTGCGGTACGGCCCGGTGTGTGCTCTTCACTCACCAGCGCATGCATCACAAACGCACAACTGGTGCCCATAAATTTGCGTCTCGCGCGCGCACAATGCACCACGAACCGTGGATCCAGGTCCGCATGCTCCGCCGCTTGCGAAAACTCTCCTCCCTCTAACGCCAGGGCCTCGGGCGTACGCTGGCCCTAACCAGGGCAGGGTCCAGCTCGGACTCGGCGCTCGGGCCCTGGGGACCTCCGACGGTGAACGCTTCTAGGCTGGCGGGTTGACCGTTCTGCATGCAAAACCAGCTGCGTGCGCCAGGCGAGTTCTGATTGATTGCTGGCGCGCCAGGTTCGATTTGGCAGGCGTTTCTCGCCATACGTCCAGCGTTCGTACCGGAGAATGCGGACTTTGGGCGGACCCGACCGGAAGCCAGAAGACCTTGGAGACTACAAGTGAAAATTGACATGATTGCGCGAGATCGGAAGACATTCGGAAAGGTCTGGCCTTCGGGGAACATGCTGACGAGAAATAAGTCGAATGATGGCTCATAGTGTTTTACGGGAGTGGAAGCTACAGGCATTATTTATGCATCTCAATGAACAGATTTCCGAAATTGCGTATGAGAGATTAAGGGTAGCTGCCAGTTTCTGCCCGTGTCTACCTTTGTAAGTGGATTTTTATGTAGAGCATCATGTGACTTGGGGTGTACGATCTCGGCAAGATGCGAAAGCACGGCATAGATTTTTAGATTTTGCCTTCTACTGACCAGCCCAGGGGGCGGGCGGCAAACGGGTGGATGGCAGATCAGCGCCCACTGCAGCAGATACCTGTTTGTGCATGACGCTAGTCTCGACTGAATACTTGAGTTGTATGCATAAGTACTCCTGTATTCGCTCTCAACGTGTCGTGTGCGATAACTTAAGCCCTTAGGCTTTGAGCTTGAGGCCTTGAGGCTTGTCCGGTTTTGGTTGTGATCCGCCGGGAGTCTAGTCAAGCGCCCATTGGGACCCGCGATGCCACATTGATTATTTGTGTACATGGACTCGAACGCTCGATCGGCCATCGGAGAACTGCGCACGCGCGTAGTCGCGAGAACCTCAAGGACAAGACATGATAGCGTCATCGACATCTTCGCGCGATGATGTTGTGCGACGGCCTGACCCGGCAGCAGGCTAATGGCTGAGAAGTGCGGATGACAATGGACGTACGTGAGCGAAAGATCTCTGCGGGTGCCGGCGAGTGCGTTTATCAACGTGCTGCTTACGCGCATCAAATACTGGGCCGGTGTTCGCCATCAGACTTCCGGTTACATAGCGGAATTTTAGCACTACACATGATCAACTGGCGTCGAGACTCGAGATACCTACTTCCGCCCGAAGAGATTGTGGGTGTTTTCAGGGCTCCAGATGTTACATCTCATATATAAGGATGGGCACCTCCCGCAAATCAGACATAAAGCCGACTCAACAGCTGTCAAGAGGACTTCCAGGTCAGCCTTTCGAGCGCTTCGGCGGCCGCTCTCGCTAACGGCTACCAGGCTTCATCAGCGTCTCTTCGCCCAATCTTCGCCCCCATCTTCTTGTCCTTCGCTGCCGGAAGTCTGACGCAATTTCGCATTCTCCTCAGAAAAGAGACACTCGAATTGCATCTCCTCGCTCCCCTCGCGGATGATGGAACGTTCGGTATGTTCTATTGCAGTTCTTGCTGCATATACTTTCCACAGCGGCGTTGATTCACAACCCGGACCGCCTGGCTCTGAAAGCAGCTCTGTTTATCCAGGTGATACACACCAGTACGTCTTCCACTACTCACAAAGCGTGCGCCTCCATCTCTGTGTGGTATATGAAGTTGCTCTCAGCTCGTATCGCACTTGGACTTTCACAGACCAGGTTACGTACCTTGCCCGGAAGCAGCAAGCTCTATAGCGTAGAAGTGAACCAAGAAAAGCACCCAACCTTGGCCTCGCTGGGCAAGGAAACGAAAGAGGTCTGAGGAACTCCTTCGCGTGGTGCGTAGGTCTGTTGATTCGCGTATGGAACGAGAGGAGACGCAGGGCCGTCGATAGGACTGCGGGTGAGTAGTCGCCCTGCGAACGGCTCGTTGCTATCGACCTCGGCTGGAGCCGTACGTACGTATTTGTACATATTGATGGCGGCATATCTCGCGGATTGAACTGTTCTGTTGCAGAACGTAGCCGCGTTTTATGTACGCCGACCCACAAGCGCGATACAGACTCGATGAGCGACGTATGCTCACAAGCAGTCTCGGAGCGCATGGCGAAAGAAACGATCAGTCTTGGCGGCTTGCGACCAGCCTCGGCTCAGGGCTGTACCGTCGTAGAAACCCGCCTCGCCACGCTACGTCCCCTGATATTGGTCGGCTGGTGGCTGGTGGATCGGGGGTAGATCTACGACGAGACGCGGTCCGCGCTAAACTCACGTACTCCTGATCCCTCGCCAACGCATATATGCTCATCCCCGGCATGGCCTGCACTCCAAACTGCCTGCTCAAGGCCTCCACTCTTTTCTTTCCTCTCCTTGCCGCCATCTCCTCTTCCTTCTCTTTCTCCTTCTCCTCCTCCCCCTCTACCACCTCCCCCTCCTCCCCCGGATCTGCCACGCTCGGTCGCGTTGTACAGTGCCAGATTAGAAAGCCAGCATGCACTTGTTTGACTTCGTCCTCCTTGGCCTGGCTGCCTGGTTAGTTTCGCGCATCTTCGCGAAGCGCCCCGCAGGTCCCCTCCCCCCGGGCCCGAAGGGATACCCCATCATTGGAAGCCTGCTTGAAATGCCCCTCAAGTACTCCTGGTTGACTTTCGCGCAGTGGAGCGAGCGCTGGGGTAAGCCCTCTCTACCGTTCTCATTGCTCCGACCCTCATCTACTGCGCCCTGTTTCCCACAGGTGACCTCACCACCTTTACGCTCCTCGGCCAGCGCTTCCTGCTCGTGAACAACGCGGACGACGCGCTCGAGCTGCTCGAGAAGAAGTCCGCGATCTACTCCTCGCGCTCGTCCATCCCAGTTGGCGGCGACATGATCGGCTGGTCGCAAACGATGATCATGCAAAACGAGCCCGCGCGCATGCGCGAGTACCGCAAGCTCGTCGGGACTGTCATGGCCAGCCACACCCGCGTCCAGCGCTTCGGTGACCTCATCGAGGCCGACACCAAGCAGTTCCTCACCGCGCTCCCCCAGCGGACCGACACTCTCTTCCACGAGCTGCAGAAGCTCGCGGGCTCGATCGTCGTCACGATCACGTACGGCTACAAGGCGAAGAGCGACCACGACGAGATCATCACCGCGGTCGACAAGGCCATGGCCGACTTCGCGCTCGTCACCCAGCCCGGCGCGTTCGTCGCGGACGTCTTCCCGATCCGTGAGTGGCTTCGCGCGCGCGCGAGTTAGTGCCAATCGCTGATGACGCGCGGGCAGTCACCTCCATCCCATCGTGGTTCCCCGGCACTGCGTGGATGCAGAAGGCAGCGCAATCCAAGAAGCTGCTCGAGGACATGGTTCAACTCCCGTACGTCTGGGTTAAGAAGCAGATGGTACGCCGGTCGATCTCTTCATGTGCGCACCCGCGGGAGTTCAATCTGGTATTCAGGCTGCTGGTACGCACAAGTCCAGCTTCGTGACCGCGCTCCTCGACGAGCCTCACGACGATGCACGGGAGGAGCTGATCAAGCTCGTCGCGGCATCCATGTACGCGGGCGGGGCAGACACGGTGCGTTCCACCGGCGTCTAATCAATTCCAGGTCGCTCATGTGGGGGTGTGGTGATTAGACCGTCTCGTCCTCCATGACGTTCTTCCTCGCCATGACCCTTTACCCAGAGGTTCAGAAGAAGGCACAGGCTGAGCTCGACTCTGTTATCGGTCACGGGCAACTCCCCACTCTCGCCGACCGCGAACGCCTGCCTTATCTCAACGCTATCCTGCTTGAGGTTCTCCGCTGGATCCCGGTTGCGCCGATGGGTAGGACGCAGTCGCACCTTGACTTTCGAATACATATTTACCGTTGCTTCCTCAGGCTTCCCCCATCTGTCCACCGAGGACGACTTCCACAAGGACTACTTCATCCCCAAGGGCACCATGGTCATGGTCAACTCCTGGAACCTCCTCCACGACCCCGTGCGCTACACGGACCCGAACACCTTCAACCCGGACCGCTTCCTGGACACGCCCTCGCACCCCGCCGAGCGCGACCCGCGCGACTTCGCGTTCGGCTACGGCCGCCGCAAGTGCCCCGGCATCTTCTTCGCCGAGGCGTCCATCTTCACCGCCGTCGCGCTCACGCTCGCGGTGTACGACATCGCGAAGGCGGTCGACGCGCGCGGGAAGACGATCGAGCCCGCCGTCGAGCCGTCGGGCACGCTGATCAGCCACCCCGCGCCGTTCCCGCTCCGCGTGTCCGTGCGCTCGCCGAAGGCGCAGGCGCTGCTCGACTCGTGGGAGCACGCGGGCGAGGTCGCGTTTTGAGCGCGTCCCTCCCTCCCTCCCCTCTGCATATGCATGTGCACAACGCGTCTCCGCCCGCGCATCACCCTCTCTCTCGCCCTCTCGCCTCGGGCCCCCGTTTTCGCTCCCTCGCCTATCTTCTCTTTGGTTCGGCGCGCAGGAACGCGGCCGGTGGCCCATGCGCACCTCGGGACATCCATAAAGGTCAACTGCCCAGGCGTACGTGTGGTCGATATGGGCACTAGTAGTACAAAACGCTGTAGAACTTCGGAATCCGATTCCCGCTTCCCATGTCCGCCTGTTCTCAGAACATAAGCTCCGGCACCCCTTCGTCCGTATCTTCTTGCTTGCAAGGGTGCTCAAAGTCGGACTCAAACTCCGGAAAGAGCGTGGACGACGTCACGCCTCGGTTCTCCTGCACGTCGTAGATCATCCGCACGAGCTCCCCGCCGCCGAGCGCGCTCGCGCGCTCCGCGCAGTACACCCGCACCGGGTCGTGGAGCGCGTAGTAGTCCACCCCGGCCCTGGGCGCGCCCGTGCAGAGCCAGCCGAGCGCGAGTTCGACGTGGTCGCTGTCGCGCCGCAGGGTCAGCGCACGTACGTCGCGCGAGAGAGGAACGAAGGGAGGAAGGCGCGCACGCACTTGACGTAGTGGTCCACGACCGCCTGCTCGTGCGCGCACGTCGCGCCGCACTCCCCGCACCCGAACCCGCGGCGCGGCATCGCGGCCTCGCACGCGCGCACTGCGCCCGCCGTCTCCGTGTCCAGCGGTGTCCACACGGGCGCGTGCCCCCCGGTGTGCATCGTCTGTGGGTCGACGTCAGCGCAAGGAACGGCGTTATGGTCAAGGACACGCACCGCGTTCTTCCACGCGAACGCCTCGCAGTACGGCGCGCCGACGAGCGCGAGCCCGCGGCACACCGCGCACGCGACGCGCGTCTCGAGCGCCTCGAGCGCCGCGACGGACTCCGCGCCCGCATCCGCGTCCGCGTCACCCCCACACGCCACCGCCGCGTCGCGTCGCGCCGCGTGCGTCACGTCCACCAAGAAGTGGGCCGTGGGCGGCGCGGGCGGCGGGTCGCCGCGCGCCGCGCACCACTCCAGCACCGCGCGTTTGTACCGGTCTTGCGGTGGGGGCCACACGACGGCGGGGCCGCCGCCGTAGGTGGAGAGGCAGCGGTGGGCGAGGACGTGCGGGAAGCGCAGGCCCTGCGCGCCGCAGGCGGTGCACAAGAACGCGGCGGCCGCGAGGCGGGGCGGGGCGGTGGTGGAGGAGGGGGGTGAGCATAGAGCGAGCTGCGCGAAGGCGAAGGTGCAGCGCGTGCGCCACGCGCTTGCGAGCGCGGGCAGGTGCGTCGCGAGCGCGGCGTCGAAGGCGGCGGGCGGGAGGTCGTCGTCGGGGGCGAGAGCAGCAGGGCGCGAAAGGGCTGGGCGAGTGCGAGTTCGTGGAAGGGCGGCAAGGCGAGGTCGGGCGCGGGGGCCGCGACGAGCGCGGTGCGCAGAAGGGTGAGCCGGTGTGGGACGAGGGCGAGCGTGCGCCGGTGGCGGAGCTGCTCGAGATACGAGCCGAGTTCGAGCCGAAGCTTCTGCCATGCTGTGGTCGAGAAAGCCGGTGAGCTGCGCCTGGGCTGGGGAGAGGGAGCCTGGGAGACGGACCACGATCTGTTAAGGGCTGCTTCTTGTTCACGCCGGGGAGCTTTGACAATTTGTAGTGGTCAAACATGTTCATCTCTGCTATGTCCGTGGCCCATCCTTCGTCGCTCAGACGTCGCTTGATACTGCAGGGAATGAGTTTTGAGCTCTCTCCATAGTCTGGGGGTACACGAGGACTCACTCCTCGAATCGAGCTTTTCTGAGAGACTCGATTTCAGCTTCTCTTGCACAGTCAGCTGCCATCTGGTATTTGAGCATAGCGGCTTGGTGCTATCAACTCGATAAGAGGAGTTGTGTAAGAGCGAGATGGTTCTCTTACCTCAAGTCTCTCTTTGACAAGTTCCGCACAATGCTTCACGAAAGCGGTCTTCTCAGAAATGGTCTCCAAGCAGACATACATGGCCTGGAATTTTTCGTAGTTGTGGGATAAGTAAAATTTCCTGCCCCCCCTGAAATAGCTGTGAATGCACTTAGTGAGTAGAGAACGAGCATAATGTGAGATCAAGCCTACAACGGAATAAATTGATCAGTCACTTGCGTGGTCTGAGATACTTCTATGTAAAGGTTGACTATGTTTGTCTCATACGCTGACAGTGTTCTGCGACCAGTACGTCAGAAATCGACCAACAAAGCAAGCGCATTACAGAAACCCGGAAAGCTGGTTTCTGAACGCACATCCAGAAATAACGTACGCTCTTTGCTCACACTCCCGACACAGTCGAACGGAGATCTCCCAAATGGGGAACTTGACCTGTTTTATTCCACAGTGCTGCAATGATAACCCGGGTAAGCGCATGAGGCGGAGAAAGACCAGGTTTCCAACGCACGTGGCAGGCGGTGTTGAAGACGAGATGTGCATACGCGGGCTCGCTGAGGAACGAGGGGATGTCCGGCAGATGGGGCACTAGACCTCGGGACGCCTTCCAATACGACCTGGACTTGCGACTCATGAGGAAGTCTCGGAAGGATCTGGTGGTACGGGCGAGGGTGAGAAGATCACGGGGATGCATATGGGAGAAGACCTGGGTGTTTCGAATGCGAGCATGAGTTTGCAGCCGCAGTATGGAGTGCCCAACATGCGACGTACCTCGAGAACGATGTCCAAGGGCATGTTCAGCATGTCTCTGAGGCCGCCTCGCTTTCCGCGAACACGACGAGACGGAACGGGTCCGGAGATCATGGGTTGAGGGCGAGAAGGAGGGACAGCAGTTGAAGAAGACGGGGGCAGATGGTGGGTCGCATCCTGGGAATATGTCTGGAGCGGGAGCATCGCGGAAGAAGATTGGGGTTTGAAAAGGAGGAAGGAGGAAAGAGGCGGCGCTTTGACTGGGCATGAGGAAGTCGTGCGGCAGTGTATATATGTGCTCTGGGGACGGCGCTCATGTCATCTGAGAGAGTTTGCAAAGGTGAGTGATCTGCCAAATGAGGTCTGGACGGGTATGCGGCGCAGGGAAAGGGAGCGAGACGCCAACAGGGGCGTGCTGTATTCGGATCGCGGACAAGACCCATCGCTTCCCAGGTGTTCGCCCGTGGACCGAATCTTGCTTCCCGTGTACCGCGGCTGTGGACACACTGGCACTCATGACTGCACTGCCCACATGGGAGACTGATGATCATGGTCTGCGCGGCCGCTCTTGACACACGTTCTCCAATCCACCGCAGGGATCCCGTGGAAGTCGTAGGGCCGGTGTGCAGATGCCTACGGCACTACCGCAGTGGTATCATCGACGGGCTTGAACGCATCGTGGACGCTTAATGATATCTAGCAAACGCTAGCGACGCAGGGGAAAGAAGGTTAGGTGGCTTCTGTTATGGTCGCGGCTCACGGAAGATCTCACGAGGTATGTCCACCGTCTGGCACATCGCGGCGCATGCGGCGAAGCGCAGCACCGTTGTCGCCGCCTCCACGCCGCCAGTGCCGCTGGCAGGCGCTTTGCCAACGGGCGCCCACCGGCATTGCCCACCACCACCACCACCACCAAACTGGTACCTGTGTTCAATATGCGATCAGAAATGCATCGAGGAAACACATTCAAGAGGAAGCTGTCCTGGTTGAAACATTTGCTGAGGCTGGCATACACAACCATTGGAGTTTGGGCCATCTGCCCTTCCTCGTCCCCTGTCAGCAAGGCTCAGGGACGGTAAAAATGGGCCGCGTTTGCGCTTACCTCTCCCCTTCACTCCACGATCGACCTTCCCCGAAACCAGTCAACTCACTGCTTCATGGCTTTCATCGCCGCTGCTATCAAAACCGCCCGGCGCGTGTTCTACAAGCTGCGACCCGTACGTGCTTCCAAACTGTCCCGCACCGAGGCTGCTCCACTCGCTGGTCGAGCGACAGCCCCGGACCGACTCACTGCCCTTCTTACTACCGCAGCGACCAAGGACAACCTCGACCTCCTCGAGCGCCTCGACACCGCCAAACAGGAGAACATCAGGCTGGCTGTTCAGCTCTGCGTCACTGAAGGCCGTCTCCGCCAGTGGGAAGACGAGCACACGTGGACGAGAACGATCCCGGAGGAGGTTATCGCTGCCAAGGACCGCGAGTTCGTGGGCCTAGGCGCGTCGGCCACGGAGCGGGTATGTTTGCCCGATCGCTCTCCCGTCTGCACACCGCTCACCGCTCACCGGGTATCGTTTTCAGGCCTCTGCACCGACGCAGGGATTAGTGAAGCCGCATCTCGTTTTCTCGACGTCATGCACCGAGGTTGGCTACCTGAGCCTCGGCTGCGTCGACGGCGCCGTGCCCGCGATCATCTTCACCCTCCCCACCCTCCCCACTCTTCCAGCCCTCGACGACGCCCTCGAGTCCATCGACCCCGCCCTGCTCTCCGTCCCCCGTCGCCCCCGTCGCCGCCTTTCCTCCACCTCTACCCCCACCACTCCTTGTCGTCGTCGTCGTCGCCTTCCCCGGCCCCACGCCCACCCCGGGCCCGTCGTCACCCCCGCGCAGTGCTCCTTGCCGTCGACACCAAGAGAAGCCCTTCGCCCATCCGTCCGCCTCGCCGCTCTCAAGCGCCGCTCTCTACCGCCTCCGCCGGCGTTCAAGCCTCTCAAGTCTGGCTCGCCGCGGGACCCAATGTTCCGGTGGAGCCGGTGATTGGGCCAGAGCGCGGTACGCTTTCTCCCTCACGTGGTGTCCGGATGCTGCTCGCATTTCGCATTCATTTAGGTCGTCGTTCGCAAGATCGCGGCGCGCGACGGAAGGCGTCGGAGTGGTTGCGGATGCATGTCAGCGATGGTGTCTCTGCCATTTGTGACGTCCCGGTTCTGTGCTTGCTAGTTGGACGGTGTTTGGTTCGAATGGATGTATCATATGATGTGCATAAACCTCCCTTCTATGTCTGAGACTGCCTTCGACGAAACCGCAGCTGCCCTACAACAAGTGGTCTGGATGTTGGAGCCCAACAGGAGCAAGAAAGCTCAGCACGCTGAGACACGTTCTTTGTGTAGCAGCTGGTGACTTACCGCAAATGGCTGGTATTCGAAGGTTGTTCGTACGAGCTGTGGCGCACTATATGCGTTCTAGTACGTTCACATCACCACTCGCTCGGGAATGTCCCAAAATCTGCCGAAGGAAGGTGACGATCGACAGTCAGGAGAACACAACAGGTCTTTGGATATATAACGGCTTCTACGTCATACTCTCGTACATACTGATATTCGTACTTCGCAAACCTGACTCATCTTCAGAAACACTTAACTACACACCCGCCCCGCTCACTGGAGAATGGACACTTTCTGGCTTTCTGTGGGTAGGGAATCAATCGATTAGCGCACGCTCGACTCGTCCCATGGACGCAAGAGTGTCACGCACCTATAACAGCTACTTTGACCTCAGAAATACGATCCCGGACGCTGCAGCTGCAGCGGCGCCCCACGGAGCGGCCTGGGCCGCACAACGCTCGTCTGCAGCGGCGGCGAGAGCGGCCACGGCATCTTGCGCTTCTCCTTTGCGGCCGCATCGAACCCCGACACCTTGCTCGTCAGGTGCGGAGGGAGGACGTACACGGGCGCTGCCGACGCCGGTTCGTCGAGGTTTCCCTGGGACGCCGCGGCCCAGATCACGGGTGAGGCCGTGGGGCGGTGCGGCCGAAACCGCAGCGGTGCCGTCGTGGAGATGGGGGTGACGGGCGAAGAAGACTCAGAGGAGCGCGTGGAGGAGCTCGAAGACGTCGAGGAGCGCGAGCGGAGCGAGGACGTCGAGGGCGACAAGGGCGGCGATGCGGGTGACTCCTCGGCTTCGGAGAGCGCGGCGTCGACGTCAGCGTACCCCTCTGCCTCGGCTTCGGCCTCTTCGTCGACCTCCTCGATCGGGTTGAACGAGAGCGAGAGCGGGTGCTTGCTGAGCGCGCGCTGCTTTTCGGCGACGAAGGCGGGTTGCTGGGGCGCTGTGTGGTTCAACTCGTTGAGGCCACCATGCGGATCCACGAACGGATCTTTGAGATCGCTGAGCTGCTGTGACTGTCGCGGCTGTCGCGGAGATACCTTGGGATCCTCCTCGACGACGCACCAGACACCGGTGGACATGTCCAGCGGGGGGTGAAGCATCCCCGTGTTGATGATGCATACGTCCTCTTCCTCATCGTCTTCGAAGGGGTTGCTTTTTTCGTCGGCCGATGGCGTGACCACGATCTCCGGGAGCGGGCCCCGGATGGCCCACGCGAGCGGGCGGAAACCTGGGTCGAAAAGGTCCAAACGCTCCTGCAACTTCTCTGCCTCCTCCTTGCGTACCCCGAGCTCCCACACGAGCCCATCCCGGTCCGTGCGCAGCTTCCTATGCACGACGAGCACGTCCCGGAGCGCGGCGCGCAGCTCGACCGCCGTCCCCGCGACCGCGGCGACCTGCTTCGCGAGCCTCGCGCGCTCCTCCTCCGCCGCCGTGCGCGCCCGCTCGGCCGCCTGCGCGCGGTAGCCGAGCACGGCGGCCTCCTTCGCGTGCGTGACGAGCGCACGCTGCTTCTCCGTCGCGTCGCGCGTCGCCGCGAGCAGCGCGCGCCCGCCGTCCGCGTGCTTCGCCGTGATCGTGCCGAGCGCGGCGGTCGCCTCCTCGAGCTGCGCCGACGTCTGCGCCAGCTGCTTGTCCGACCGCCGCAGCCGCTTCGCGAGCGCCGTCGAGTGCTCCTCCGCCGCGCGCAGCCGCTCCGCCATCGCCTGCTTCTGCTCCTTTGCGTCCGCGAGCTCCGCGGAGACGTGTGCGTGCTTCTCGGTGGAGTCCTTGAGGCGCGCTAGCAGCGCAGTCATATCTGACTTAGAGCCGGTCTGAGGAAGTGCTGAGGAGGGAGCGGGGCGAGGCTCCGAGACCGGGACTGGTGCAGAATGATGTCCTGGGTCCGAGGTCGCAGGCCCCTGCGTCTCGGCTTGTGCGTTCGATCGCGCCGTGAGGCGGGTGCGCAGCTTCGCGTTTTCGTCCAGCTCTGCCTCGAAGAGGTTCTTGTACATCGTGTTCGTCTGGATTTTAGCGTTGAGCTCGGCGATTTCCTCCCGAGAAGACTCGATCTGCGCCTTGAGCGGGGCAGTGATCCGGTCCCGGAAGGCGACCACGCTGTGGGGGGCGCGCGAAACATCGATGGGGGGCATCGTGGAGGGCGGCGGTGTGAGGTGTTCCCTGTGAAGGACATGGCGGTTGGCACGCCTGCTTTAGTTCGAGGTGAGAGCACCTACTGTAGCGGCAGGAAGTCCTCCAGGGAGCGAAGGAAGGCGGGTCGAAGAGATGACCAGAGGCGGGCTGGGAGAACGGTCGCTCGATGCGCCCCGCCCAAAAGAGACAGCTCATGCACTAAGTATGCACATGAGGATTGTGGCCGAGGAAGAATGAGATCATTAGGACGGCCCGAAGGGAATGCAGACGACAGCGAAGATCGAAATGGTCATAATTGACGAGGCGGGGAGGAGGAATGTGTGAGCTGCGAGTCCGGCTGGAACCCCTGGCTCGTGAGGTGTGATACGGTGCGTCGGGAAAGTAGAAAGCAGATTGTTAGCGATGATATGCTGAGAAAGAAATGCATATCCACAGCAGTTTTCCATTTCCAGCAACTTTGACGCACCATAACAGTATATCGCGCCTTGAGGGCCGAGGGTCGGATGAAGTGCGTCCGAGCAGCAGCTCACGCACATTGCCAAGACGGTGGGATGGGAGTCGTCGCCAGATTTTCGTGTGGTCATCCCGCAAGCCGCAAGTGCTTCACGCACCGCTTTACGGTCCCGCAGCAATTTGAGGAGTTGATCGTCGAGGCTTGTAATGCATACCGCGGATGAAGACTGGAGCCAGAGGCACCCCTTTCGGTGATCGTCAATCTCAACAGCGGCAGAAAATTCATACGAAAAAGTTCTGCGTGTGCAGTTCCACAGGCCATGATAAGATATGTCGTAGGAATGAGTAGTATTGAGTTGATGAGTAGAGCCGAAAGTACATACGTGCGTAACTGGTCTTCGTCATGTCAGCTGTGCTGCAAGGCATAAACACAAAGATTGGTTATGATTATTCGCCATGCGTAAGAGCTCAGCAAGTACAAGGGAAGCAGAGGTGGGATGAGTGCGTATTCGAAGGAGCAAGTGACTTCAGGCGCCTACGTCCGGCGGCCCTCGTGGTCATCCAGAGGGAAAAGCGCCCGAAAACCGATGTCGGTCAAAGTCGTCGCTCGAAGCATACTTGTCCAGTGTCTTTTCTGACACACATTGCGTCCATCAAAGGCAGTCTCGGACGTAGAAGGAAGGTATATGCGTATCATATGATACATCCATTCGAACCAAACACCGTCCAACTAGCAAGCACAGAACCGGGACGTCACAAATGGCAGAAACACCATCGCTGACATGCATCCGCAACCACTACGACGCCTTCCGTCGCGCGCCGCGATCTTGCGAACGACGACCTAAATGAATGCGAAATGCGAGCAGCATCCGGACACCACGTGAGGGAGAAAGCGTACCGCGCTCTGGCCCAATCACCGGCTCCACCGGAACATTGGGTCCCGCGGCGAGCCAGACTTGAGAGGCTTGAACGCCGGCGGAGGCGGTAGAGAGCGGCGCTTGAGAGCAGCGAGGCGGACGGATGGGCGAAGGGCCTCTTTGGGTGTCGACGGCAAGGAGCACCGCGCGGGGGTGACGACGGGCCCGGGGTGGGCGTGGGGCCGGGGAAGGCGACGACGACGACGACAAGGAGTGGTGGGGGTAGAGGTGGAGGAAAGGCAACGGCGGGGGCGACGGGGGACGGAGAGCAGGGCGGGGTCGATGGACTCGAGGGCGTCGTCGAGGGCTGGAAGAGTGGGGAAGGTGGGGAGGGTGAAAATGATCGCGGGCACGGCGCCGTCGACGCAGCCGAGGCTCAGGTAGCCAACCTCGGTGCATGACGTCGAGAAAACGAGATGCGGCTTCACTAATCCCTGCGTCGGTGCAGAGGCCTGAAAACGATACCCGGTGAGCGGTGAGCGGTGTGCAGACGGGAGAGCGATCGGGCAAACATACCCGCTCCGTGGCCGACGCGCCTCGGCCCACGAACTCGCGGTCCTTGGCAGCGATAACCTCCTCCGGGATCGTTCTCGTCCACGTGTGCTCGTCTTCCCACTGGCGGAGACGGCCTTCAGTGACGCGGAGCTGGACAGCCAGCTTGGTGTTCTCCTGTTTGGCGGCGTCGAGGCGCTCGAGAAGGTCGAGGTTATCCTTTATCGCTGTGGTGAGAAGGGCAGTGAGTCGGTCCGAGGCCGCCGCTTGACCAGCGAGTGGGGCAGCCTCGGTGCGGGACAGTTTGGAAGCACGTACAGGTCGCAGCTTGGAGAACACGCGCCGGGCGGTCTTGATAGCAGCAGCGATGAAAGCCATGAAGCAGTGGGTTGACTGGTGTTGGGGAAGACTCGGTAGTGGAATGAAGGGGAGAGGTGGGCGCAGACGCGGCCCATTTTTATCGTCCTTGAGTCGTGCTGACAGGGGGGCGAGGAAGGGCAGTGGCCCGAATTCCAACGGTTATGTCGGAGGATGTGACTCTCGACCAGGGGCGGATTACGTATGCAAGGCTCAAGCTGTATGACATGCATCTAGGTGCAGCAATCAGCAGGAAATCAACTTCGGATAATGCTGAGGCGTGTGAATGGACCCTACTTCCACATTATACACTAATGTTCAAAAGCCTGAAGTAAGTTGGCGGTGGTGGTGGTGGTGGGTAATCAAGCTGCTGGTTGGCGCGCGTCGAATATGAGGCGCCGTTCGAATCTCGGCATTGAGCGACTTTTGCGACTTTTGCACGAGCTCAGAACTGCTGCCTGAATATAGTACCATCTAGCACATGGTGGAACATACCACGCTGACAATAGTGAACGTTCTTCAGCACAGATGATTTCTCAGACAGCGTTACAGTAGTACAAATGCTAGTACTCCTTCACTCATTTCGGATCGTTTCTCTACAGAGCCCCCGAGTACGACAGAAGAGCCAATTTCACGAGCGCCGTCACGTCCTCCTCGTCGGGGATACCCCACTCGGCGATGAGCTGTTGCCGCTTCACCTCCACCTGGGACTCCTCCAGCTGGCCCAGCGCGTTGTACACCGCCCGCCAGGCCGAGTTCAGCGCGCCCAACACCCACGCGTGGTGCACAGACGTCGCCTCGCCAGCGACGTGCAGCCGGCCCTTCGCCGCGGGCGCCTTGAGGCTCGCGAACATGCTCTGCCCCTGCGCCGTGCCGTCCGTGCCGCCGCTGCTGACGCCGAACTGGCCAGGACCGAAGAGCGCGAACGCGCCGCGCGCGTTCGGGTCGTTGTGCCAGTTGAACGCGAAGTGGTCGACGAGGGGGCCCATGCTCTCGACGGGGACGTTGTGGAGCGCGGAGAGGTTCTGGAGCGTGATATCGACGAGGCGCGCGTCCGCCTCGCTGCCCTTGGTCTGCGCGAGCCCGCCGAGGCGCTGCGCGTCCTGCGCCCAGGTGTACGACGCGAGGAGGACGCCGGGGAGCGTAGAGGTGTCGGGCACGGAGCGGCCGTAGGAAGGGTAGACGCAGGTACGGATGGGGAGATCGGTGGACGAGATCCCGCCCTCAATCGTGCGGTTCGCGCCCATCACAACGGGGTCCTCCCACCACCGCGTGGCGAACTTGAGCGCGACCTTGGTGGAGGTGTCGTAGTTGAGCGAGCGGATGGCCATGCGCTGCATGTAAGAGAGGTCGTCGCGCGGGATGTCGATCGCGTCCAAGCAGCCTAGTGGTATGGTGCAAATGACCTGCGAATACGTCGTCGGCGCCTCGTCACCAGCTGGAGGGTGCAGTTCAGTAGATGAACTCGACGAATGCTCGACGAACGCACCGCAAGTGACATCCATCTCGCCCGACTCCGTGCGGGCAATCTTGGTCACCCGCCTTCCGGCCTGAGGCTTGGACTTGATGCGTTCTACCATCCGGTCGATGAAACGATCGGAGCCACCGTCGATGCAGTACCACTCGTAGGACAGCTGCTCGCCCCTCGGTCTCCCGTTCTGAGATGCGGACGACGAACCGAAGTCCATCGAGTCCATCGCGCTCTCGACAAACGCGTTGTTGTATAGGCCGGTAGCAGTTTCGAACGTCTCGAGCCACTCCACCACCGACTCCGGATACTGCCTAGACAGAAGGTAGCCGCGCGTCGAATAGGGGTCTTGTTGAGAGAGGTACGCCCAGGCCGTCGTGAAGTCTTCGGTTTGAAACTTCTCAGCGTACTCCCTGAATACGTTGTTTGCGACATTGTCGACTCCTTGGACGACCCAGTCCCAAGGAACAGCGCCGCCATGGATCTTGGAGACCTGAAAGATGTCCTCGATCGCAGGGTCGGAGGTGTTGTAGAGGATGTCGTTGTAGCGTTCAAAGGTGTTGTCCGCGGAGTACTTGTACTCGATGAGGAGGTCATCTTCGGACATCCCGAGGCGGCGCTCGAAGAGGTCGAAGACGCGCTTCATGAAGGGGATATTGGGGTACCGCATCGCACCAATGTCGATGTAGTCGTAGCGTGCGGGGGTGTTGATGGGGGCGTCGTGTCCAGCCTCGCCGTTGAAGCGATAGGTGAAGATGCGCCCACCGATGCGGTCGCTCGCCTCGAGGATCTCATAGGGGAGATCAAGGGTGTCGAGGATCATGGCGGCGTAGAGTCCCGCGCATCCGGCGCCGACGATGCAAATAGGACGGTCGGAGGCGGGCGTTGGTAGCCTGACCGGGACTTTTTGGCCGTCGGAAGGCGCAGGGAGTGGGGTGCCGAAGACGGGTAACTTGTCGATGACCTCTTGGACGACGTGTTTGGAGGCGCTTCCGCGAACAGAACTCTCCTTGGAGTCACCGAGATGGAATTTGACAAAGGACATGGCGGTAGCGGCGCTGGGTAAGTACAGCAAGAATGTAAGCAGCCAGCACGGAAGAGCGAGTGTGAGGAATCCGCACCTAGGAGATGTCTGCACAGAGTATGGCGGGCAGAGGCTGGGGCCACTTCCGCCGTCGAACGGCGTGGTATATGTAGCATTTCCGTCCGCTTTCTGTCGCTCGCCAGGATCGCTCTCGGGTCTCGTCTGAGAGCTCAGCAACTGCTGACCCTTGGTCCGCGCCTCGACGCAGACTGCATGGAAGCCTCTGTCGCCGTCGACGCAGGAGCGAGGCCTTGTGATGGCCTCGAGGTAGCCATCGATGAACGTTTGCAGGCCCTTGTGAGTCGCGTAGGAATGGAAGGGTCGACGGCCCAGGGCAGTTTGGGGGTCGTTCCTGGTTCAAGTGTAGTCAACGCGCTAAAGCGCGCTGCTTGTTCGGTCCCACCGGCGCCAATGGCACCGCCGTCCTCACCTCCGCCATCCACTGTCTTCCCTCCCAGTACACGGGAATGGGCACATGCTACGGCCACGACTCGGTGGGATGACTCAACGCCGTGCTCACCGGAGCATGCGAAAGCTGCTGCCAGCTTTAAGAGTACGATTCGCCCTGAGGTGGATCGCAGACTGGCTGGTCGAACTTCCCTCGTACTCCGCTCGCTCGCTCGCATTCGGCTATGAACACACAACAAGATCTCTATGCAAAGTATGACGTGGTTGTCATCGGCGGTGGTCCCGTGGGGTACGTTCTATTTGCTTCCCCCTCTCGCCGTCAGCTCACGATTCGTGCGCTTGCAGACTCTCGACCGCTTTAGAATGCGCAAAGGCGGGACAGAAGGTTCTGGTGCTTGAGCAGTCTGTCTTTTTCAACTACTCAGGAAGCTCGGGTGTGAGAATGACTCGTTTAGTATGCCGTTGACCGTGCTAACTATGATTCGTCGTATGCAGGATCTTGTCCGCATGTTCCGGACCGCATACACAGAAGACTTCATGGCCACCCTAGCTGTTCAGTCCATGACGCTCTGGAACGAGCTCGAGGAGGAGGCTGGAGAGCCTATGCGCTTGATGTCTGGACTTCTCAACTTTGGTGACCCTCATTACGGAGTAAGTCTCGATCTTTTGCGACGGCTGAACCCGTCCTTACTACGCACACGCATCAAGGAGGGTGGCCCCGAAGGCACGCTCTTGGGACCCATCCCTAACCTGGAGAAGTACAACATGAAGTACACCCAGCTCGATCGCGATGAGATTCAACAGCAGTACCCGTTTCAGAACCTCCCCGACGAATGGATCGGCATCGACATGCCTGACAACGGCTGCATCGACGTCACCCTCCTTGTGCGGACACTCTACCGCTTGTGCCAGGAGCGTGCGGTCGATCTCTTCGATTATTCTACGGTCACACGCATCGCACCGGATCTTTCGAAAGTATACCCTCCTGCAAAGTGGGTCATCGAAGGTACCATGCTGAATGCCAGCGGTGCCAGCGCTCAAGGCATGCAGTTCTCCTTCCGCTCGGATAAGATCGCCATCACTCCGGGGGCGTATGTCAATCACGTACTGTATCCTTCTTTTGGCTTCTCCGTTGATGTGAACATCTGGGAAATGGTAAGTAGCATCGCTGACTACTGGACCATACTAGCTCTTGTATTCACCGTGTTCTACAGGTCTACTCCTACTGGGCAATCGACTACGATATCTCGTTCCCGAAGATGTGGTTCCAGTTTCAGGAAGACTCCACCCGCGATGGCCTCCCCGTTTCCAACCTATTCTACGGTTTCCCCTCCGTCCCCTGGGGCCCACCCAACCTCTGCCGCATCGCCGTCGACACCGCCACGAACGTGGTCACCGATCCCGACCACCGCGCGTACGGCGTCATCTCTCCGGCCGACCTCGATAACACGCGCTCTTGGATGATCAACCACGTTCTCGGTGTGGGGCCCACACCCCTCCCCGTCCTCTCTGGGACATGCCTGCAGACGAACGTCTCGGACAACATGTTCGTCCTTGACTTCGTGCCTGAGCGCTATGTTGGCACGGAACGCGACAAGAGCATCGTCGTCTTCACGGCCGGCTGGGCGATGAAGTTCGTCCCGCTCCTTGGGCGGGTGTTGCGCGAGATGCTGCTCGACGGACAGACCCAGTACGACGTCAGCCAGTTCAGCATCGATCGCAAGCCCGACGGCAAGCCAATCATCCGGGATGGCCCTGTACCCAACGCTCCCGAAGTCGATGCGGCAGCGGCCTTGAGTGGTTCGTCCCGCCACATGGGCCACTAATGGTTGAGAGGGTAGAAGAGCATGGTGCGTCGTTTGTATCCCCTTCTGACCCACGCGAAAACTCATATTGGCGTAGTATCAGTAGCTACAGTGTTGTACACTGAGTGGGGGCTCGGATCGGAGACGGAACGCTCGTTATCGGCTGGGTGTTCGCCACAACTTGATACTTACGATAACCAGGCTGCGTGTACTAGAAAGAGTAAGAACGGTGTTTGCTTCTGCGGCGGCAGGTGCGCTTGGTCAGTGTCGGCCAGGCTCCCTCAACATGCATGAAGGGGGCGGGAAGGGGCGTCTGTTCTTCAGGCTCACAGCCTTTCCCTCTCCGAGTTTCTCTAGGTTTCTCTCCTCTCCTTCTGTCTTCCTCTGAAGATCTCCCCTTAGCTTGATGAGGTGGCTATGTCCCTCGATCGTCCATAACTTTGTCGAGTCTAGAGATCAGAGGCAGCCACGCCGCAGGGGCGACGACGCACCCATTCGCGCGGAGGAACGGACGCATGGCCGACGAATGACGAGTGGGTGGATGGGGGTTCGGAGAGGGAGTGACTACATCGGCGGTCTTCCCGCTTCCCCTCTCACCACGTACATAATGCATAATCCTTAAGTTCTCGGTCCGCTTTCTCTACCAGACCACCCAATGACGACGACTACATCACGGTGTCCCGACTCATCCGAATCGATGCGCGGAAGGAAGACAGTGGCAATTCGGCCGGGGCTATTGAGCACGCTGATGTATGTGACGCGAGAGGGAAGAGACGGGCCGTTTCTCCGGACTCGTGCGCAGCGAGCGGCAGCGGAATCGTACGGGCCGGCGCGAAACGGTCACTCAGACGCGTACGTCACGCGTGACCAGTCGCGATTGTGGCTGGCCGGGCGCTCACCCGGCCGAGTCGACCACCACTTCCTCGGCCTCCATCCTACTCTCTCTTTTACTTCTTTCTTGGACTCGTCATGCCCCCAAAACGAAAAGCGGCAGCGATGGAAGTCGCTGAAGATCAGCCCAAGACCCGTCGATGGACCCGGGCAACTACTGTGGTCCATGACCACCTTGACGATCTCATCCCACCTCCCCCTGCGAAGAGAACACGCAACCGTACGAAATCTGATGACGTGCCAGCTGAGCCCGAAGATGCAAACACGAAAGGTGATCGTCAGGCCACGACAGGGGAGGCTCCAACTCGGCCAGCCCGTAAAGCGACCCGTCCGGTAGTGCCCAAGGAGGTTAAGAGTACAACTGTAGCAAGCTCGAGTGCTCCGAAACGAGGAGCACGAACGAAGAAGGTATGCATTCTATATTTTATGGCACGTATGCATATTGAGACTAGAAGATGCATTGATCACAGGCGAACAATACCTCTACTCAAGCGGTTGCCCCAGTAGTCACAGAACCTGTTGAGGAGGTCAAGGAGGTCCCCAAGAAACGCGGTAGAGCGAGAGCAGTGCGTTGCATGCACCTTCTATGCTGTGTTTTCTGCTGACACGCTCGCCACATAGGCCCACCCTGCAGAGGTCGCAGAAACCACGCGACCCCGAAGACAGAGACGAGCCAAGTCGCCAGAGCCGAAGGCTGGTCCGAGCGAACAGACAGAAGAGTTTCAACCTGAACCGGGACCATCTCGTCCACCTAGTCCTGCTCCGGTAAAGAAACCGAGGGGGAGGGCGACTGCCTCTAAGACCCCGCTTCCCGCAAAGAATGAAGATATCCCTCGCTTGAACACCGAAGATGAAAGCTCCGACGATGAGTTGCTCCTTACGTCTGCGAAACCTCGTCTCTCTACGCCGGTTCGCAAAGCACCAAGCCGTACAAATACACCCCGACTTTTCCTCGAGGCCGTTGAGGTGACACCGAGGCGTTTGTTAAATACCCTGCGACGCGACGCTGGTTCTTCCCCAACACGAACGTCAGTTCACCTTCCTCCAAAAGGCACACCACGCCTGCCTGCTGCCTTTCCCATCGTATCACCCAGTCCAAAGCAGCGAGTTGACGCACCTCCAGCAAGGACTCCGTCCCCGAAGCCTTTGCTGTCTGGGAATCACGACTATGTGGTGTACCAATCACCGACTCGCACCCCACGCAAGACTCCCGCTTCTCCGTCCAAACGCCCGGTCACTCCTTCCAGCAAGCGACCAAACTCACCCACAAAACGTCCTCAGACACTCCCCGAACATCTGCAGCCTTGGTTGGCTCAGCAGAAGCGTGCCATCATGAAGTCCCTTCAACAATTCCCAGAGCTCGATGAAATTGAGCTTTATGGCGAGGACTATCCACCAACGAATACGGCCGCGTACGAGCAACTCGGCGACCTCCTAATAGGCTCCGTTGTGAGGGGTGAAGGGAATAGCTGCATGCTTATCGGGCCTAGCGGAAGCGGGAAAACTCAGGTGGGTATTCTCTTGTCTCGCCCCCTCGGCACACGCTCATAAGCTCCATTCAGATGGTTCAAAGGGCGATCGAAGCTCTTCCAAGGGAACCCATCGTCATTCGACTTTCTGGCCATTCCCAGCAAAATGACAGGGTTGCGATACGTGAAATAGCCTGGCAGCTGGCACAACAGACCGGACAATCGTTCCTACCCTCCGATGAGGATGACGCGGACGATGGTGTTGCGCAGGTCCCAGCGAAGCCTGAAGACGACGTTGTTGAGCCCGAGACTTACGACGAGGACGTCGACGAGGAACACGATGAAGACGAGAATCCATTCCTCACCAAGTTGGCCCCACCCTTCGACAACTCAATGCCAATCATCGCCCTACCGCCCCCTGCGCACTTACTTGCGCTCATATCTATGATCCCGACATTGCCTCGACCAACCGTCATCGTTGTCGAGGGCTTCGACCTCTTTGCCGAACATGCACGCCAGTCGCTGCTCTACTGCTTGCTCGATACTGCTCAAGCATGTCGTGCGGGAACGGGTTCGGGCAGTGGGATGGCGATCATTGGCGTCACCTCACGCGTCGACACGCTCAACCTACTGGAGAAGCGCGTGAAGAGCCGATTCTCTGGGCGGATGATCAGGACGGCAAGTCCGGCGCGCTTCCAGCATTGGATAGACCTCACGAAGGCGGTCTTGTCTACGCCACCGCCCGCGGCAACAGAAACCACATCCGAAGACGGACAGGAGTGGACAGAGATGTGGCAGAGCTCTGTGGAGACGTTCGTCAAGGATCGAGAGGTTGTGGACATCCTGAGGGAGACATACTCGTTGACGAGGGACTTCCACATGTTTGGGCGTATCATGGTAAGCCAGCTCGTCCATGTTCTCTCCGACTTGGGCTGAAAACCTCCCAGACGTGCTTTATCCTCGAATTGACCCCTCAATCGCCATACCCGACATTCTCGAAGCTCTCGTCTGCTGTCGAACGCCAGCGGTGTCCCGCGCGGTACCCTCCATTGCACAGTGAGTCATTTCATGGATGCTAGCGCCCGTATTTGACCACCAGTCAGCCCTCCCATATCCAGCGGTCTGCCTGCTGATCGCGTCGGTGCACGCGCAGACGGCGGGCCACGACACGTTCACGTTCGAGATGCTCCACGACGCGTTCAAGAGTCAAGTTCGCACGTCGCAGTCCGCGCCCGTCCAGGTCGCCGGCGGGGGCCTGGGGATGGTGCGTTGCAGCCGTGAGGTGTTGTTCGCGGTGCGTTTTTGTTATCCGCGCTTCTCCTCGACATGAGGCTTATCGGACGCATAGGCCTTCGAGCGCCTGGTTGATCTGCGCATGTTCCTCGCTGCCGCTGCTCCCGCGGCGAGCATCTCAAAAGAGTTTGCACTCCACCGCAGTGCTGTGGATCGGTTCTCCGTGAAAGAGGCCCTCAGGAAGATCGGACAAATGAATTTGAAGAAGTGGTTTACGAAGGCATGATGAGTCTATGGTAGATACTCACTCTGGACTTGGTCGCATACGGTGTACATTGCTCTGTCGAAATGTTTTGTTATCGAATATGCTTTTGAGCTTTTGGACGTTGTCGATCGTCCGCGGACGGCCGACTCGATCACGATTGGCCACGACCTGCCAGTGGACGGGTTTGTGGCACGGGCTTGACACGCGTTAGGGGGTGCAAACACGCGTCATTGGCGTGACCTGCGCGTGTTGCCCGTGACGCCGTCGCGCTCCCACGCTTGCTTCAATAGGCTCGCTGCGATAGCCAGCCTACCACTCCTTCCTCTCTGCCATCTCCTCCCACTCCTTCACCTCTCCTTCCAACCACGCATACAGCGACGCCACGATGAACGTTTTTGGTTTATTCGCGCGGAAGCCACTACAGCCACCAGAAACGGTACCACCACCGTCTTCCCCCTCCGCATCGACTTCACATCAGTCGCCCACCTCCAAACCTTCAACTACAAAGAATGCCCAGCTACGAACCCCGTCCCCGTCCGTGGAGTCTGGCTCAGCCGTGAATGCGACGGTGCGATCGGCGTCGCCCTCGACAAAGATCGCACGACTCTCACTCGACGAGCGCAACGCCTCCCCGACCCGTCGCGGCTCCTTTGGCGGCGCGACGCTGACCGCCGTTGTTCCTCCTCAACCGTTCTCGCCCCCAGAACCGACAGTCTCCTCGCTCGTCGCCCACCTCACCCTCATCCCGCCCAAGACACTGCACGCCTACGTGCTCGCGCGCGTGCCGAGCACCGCCGAAGATCACCTCCCCGCGCTCGCCGCGTTCTTCGCCGAGCTCGCGCCGCCACAGCGCATGCACTGCGTGCGGTGCCATAAGGACTTCGTCGACGTCGAGAACGATGACCGCGCGTGCCTCGTCCCGCACGACGACGAGAGCGCCGAGGTCGAGCGCGTCGGCGGCGCCAAGCGCGTGCCAGGTGCCGTCGGTGCGACCTTCGAGACCCTCTGGGGCTGTTGCGGGAAGCTCGTCGAGGGCGACGGGGACCAGGGCCCTCCGGACGGGTGGTGCTACGAAGGCAAACACACGGTGCGTCTTTGTTCTTCCCTCACGGATTTTCGCTCTTCCATTCTCCATGTACTCATTGTCCTCGCCTGTAGACGGACATTAAGCGCGCACGCTTCCGCGCGGACTCGACGCCCAACGACGACAAGCTGGTCTCGTGCCTCCGACTCAACTGCCATGGCATCCGCGCACAGCTCCCGCGCGGCGCTCGTTTGATGCGCAAGCGGCCGCGGAGCATAAACATGAAGGAGGCGACTACGGACGAGGACGAGGGCCTGAGCGAAGGCGGCTCCGACAGCGGCATGGACGAGATTACGGGCAAGACCCCAGCGAAGCGGCCGCGGGGCCGGCCGCCGAAGAAGGCCAAGTCGGCCAAGTCGGACGGAGGCGAGCGCATGGACGTGGACGACGACGGCGCGAGCGTCGCGGGGGGCAGCGTGCGCGGGCGCGGGCGACCCCCGAAGACCAAGGCGCAGCCCGGCGCGGCGTCGCCGCCGAGCGCGGCGAAGCGGCGCGTGCGCATCGAGGAGTCCAAGATGGTGCCGGGCACAGATGGGGAGGACGACGACGGGCAATCGGTCAAGTCCACGCCCGCGGGGCCTGCGAAGAAGCGAGGGCGCCCGCCGAAGAGCAAGGCGGCGGCTGTGCCAGCGGCGGAGAACGCAGAAGTCACGATGGATGTGGAGGACGGGCAGAAGAAGGAGAAGACCACGACGAAACCGAAGCCGCGCTCGCCCAGCAGGACGAGGCCAGAAGAAGCTGGTGAAGGGTGCACCGTGAAGCCGAAGTCGCGCGTGAAGAAAGTGCGCGAGGCCAAGGCGAAGGATGCAGAGGGTGCAGAGGTGGAGGGCGCAGCGGAGAAGCCCAAGAAGAGGAGGAAGGTTGCAAAGCAAGACACAGAGGCTTGAAGGAGATGGCCCGTTTCTCGTTGTGCTGAAATATGGCCGTTCCGTGAACACAGGTGCAGTGTTATTCACCCTCGTTTGCATTGATTTCCCCATTGCCGCCTCATACCAAGGTCGCATTCTGTTATACACTACGAACAATGTCTTGTATCTCGGCCTGCGAGGACGGGTCACGCAGGCGTAGTAATTTATTCTGAACCACGTCATCTACCGTACCCAGCTTACCGTTGACCGTTCGTTGAGCTGTTCCACCATGTAACTAGTTGTAGTAGTCTGCCACTATCCCACACATTTCCGCCGCAAGGCGTTGGAGGTCCGCTCGAAAGTTGCAGAGTTGGAATGCCCTTCCTCCTCTGCCCTCCATCCTCACGCGCCCCGGCCTGCAGTTGATCCGCGACTGGAAGACGCTCGAGCCTTCTCTGCTACGGTTGCCGGCCAGGTACGTGCACTAGACTCGTTCTGTGTCCCACGATGCACGCGTTCACCCCATCGATCGCTTGTGCTGCAGCCAGAGCGACTACCGCAGCCGCCACACAATTGTCATTGGCGGGGCCGCACCGACCCCTCTCTCAAGCTCAAGTACATAAAACGTACGCTACCCCTCTCTCAGCTCACCTTGACGTGAACCACGCCACCTCCACCACGCACAACTTCACGCGCATACAGCGACTTCAAGCGCATGTCTGACCCAGCAATGGAGCCAGCTCTTGTTCCTACTGCCGACCCTGAGCCTCCCACAGCAGCGCGCTCCGCCGATGCGCCTCCTCCCGCCGAACGTCCCTTCCTTAAATTCCCGCCGTTCCCCACCGCGCCCCCCTCGCTCATCCCCTTCGCCAAGTTCGTACCCCTCGGATATAGTGAGGCGGAGCCTCGCACAGCCCCGCAAGACCCGGACGACGTTTCGTCCGCGCCCGCACCCGCACCTTCACCTCCGGACGCGCTCGGCATCCCCGCCGTCACGCTCGGCGTGCACCACGACCTGACGGAGATGGAGAAGCGCAAGCGGCGGGTGGCGAAGACCCGCCTCAACGCGAGCGGCATGCGCGTCCGCGTACCCTGGTTCGAGGAGTGGGCGGCGGTCGAGCACACGAAGCGCACGAGGTCCCTAGACCCGTAAGTGCCGCGGTCGTGCCTTCGGGTTCGGTGTATGCGCATGCTCAACCCGGGGAAACTGCGACAGGAAAACCTCGCGCTTGGACAGGCTCTTCCAGGCCTCCCACGACTTTAGAGACGGCCGGCCGCTCACGCAGAACAAAGACATCGAACGGCTGTGGAACTTCGTACGTCCGCCCGTTTGTTCCTCTTGCGAGGCTTGCGCTCATTTGCGCGTGCAGTTCACCCATTTCGTCGGTTTGACAGCCACCGCACAGTCGCTTGAGGAAATGAAGAAGTCACGGGCGATGCGTAAACTTCAGCAGGCGCAGGAAGCGGCATTTGGTGTCGCCGACGACGACAGCGATCCGGACGAAATGCCGGACGAGCTCGGTGCGCAGCCTAAGGAGAAGGAGAAGGAGAAGGAAAAGGAGAAGGAAAAAGAGCAACCCAAGGAGCCCGAGAAAAAGCGGCCCCTCCCTCCCCCTGGGGTGCCGATGACGCAAGAGGAGAGAACGAAAATGCAGACGTACCGCAGGGAGGTGCGCGACACGCGCCTGGAACGCTTCTTGAACGAGCCGGAGCATACGGTCAGGATCTTCTTCTCTGGCTTCTACCGCGACCGCGGCATGTACGGGTGAGTCCGCGCCCGCCTACCGTCGATCGCCCAACGCTCACCGACGCCCGCAGGTCGCAGAGGGACTGCCGAAACGGTCCGATCCTGATCTCCTTCTTCCTCAACTTCCTCCTCCGCAACCGCGTCTTCCCCGAGGCGGAGAAGGACTTCAAGCGCGCCCTCGCCGCGTCGGAGCTGGCGCGCGAGGAGCTGCCCCGGACGTTCGTCGTCAGCCAGCAGTTCGAGGCGGACGCGTTCAGCCGCGGCTGCCAGCGCACCTTCGGCGTGCTCTCCGAGGCGAACTCGTGGGACTACGCGTACACATATGCGGGCGACGGCGGCGACGAGTCCCCATCCGCGCCGTCCGAGGACGAGTGCGCGACCCCGGACACGAAGCGTCAAAAGGTCGAGGCCGCGATCCTGCAGGTCGCCGCGGGAGTCGACGAGCGGATCGAGATCGTGGGCCAGGAGGAAGCGGTGCAGATGGAGGTGGAGGCTTTCGCCGCGGCCGAGGCCGCTGCGGCCACTCCAGACGTCGACGCGAACAAGACTGCCGAGACCGACTCGCTTTCGCCGTGGGACGCGCCGGATGCGACGAACCACTCGTGGGGAGAGCCGACGGATGCGGTCCCGGGTTTCGAGTGGGGGGTGAACGGCGCGGCGGAGCCCAACACGGCGAGCGAGTGGGAGGCCCCGGTGCAAGACAACCCGCTCACGCGCTACTTGGGCATGACGCCCCTCCCCCTCACGCACACCTCCGGCGTCATCGAGGTGTCGACACGAAGCATCAAGCGAGTCACGATGCCCGACCTCACTGCTCCAGCCCCGGCCGACGCAGCTGGCGACGGGAAGGCGGCGGCGGCGGCGGTCGAAGACTCGCTTGCCCGCACGTTCGCGCGGCTCACGCTCGCGCCGTGGCGTGAGTGGGACGCCACGCCGCTCGCAGAAGCCCGCATGCCACGCGTCGAGCGCAACTCCCGTGGCGCAGTCGTCGCCAACCAGTCCGCCACCCCCGCTGAAGGCGCGCACAACCCGTTCGCGGACGACATCACCGTGTACGTCGAGCCGTCAGTCGCGCAGGACCTGCGCGTGGGCATGGGCATCACCGCGTCCTGGATCCAGCTTGCGCGAGTCGACCCTGCCGTGCCCGTGCGGCTCACGCAGGCTGAATTCGACAAGCTTGGGACGACGGGGATCCCGGGCAAGACAGGTGCGCCGGGGACGCCGGTTCAGCCAACGGGGATCTGGTATGCAGAGGCGGTCCGGTGCGTCTTGACGAGCTTCCACACCGAGATGATCCCGCTGCCGACGACGGAAGAGGTCCTGGGTGATGGCGACGAATGATTAATGAGCCTGAGTGTCATAGGCTGGCAAATATGATGTTTGTATTATAGTTGTATTCTTGTTGACGAGATGGTCTGCCTATAATCGATCGATGTTCGCACACTGCTTGCACGCCAGCTTTGTGGAGTTGTATAGCCGGTCTCGTCAAACAAGCGAACAGATAGAGTACAACACGGCAGTTACACAGCGATAGCAGGCTCGATCTCACCCAGGAGCAAGGTGGCATCTTTGCTACCAGTGAGAACTGCGCGACACGTACGTTAGTGAACATATGAGGAGCCAATACCGGGGAGGGCACATACTGATAGGTTCCTTGGGGTGGAAGTCGACGGCAGTGACAGTGCCTTTATGCCCTGGGAGCTATAGAAAGCATCAGGCTCATTCGCAAAGTATACAGCTGCATAAAGGAGCACACGCCTTGTAGAGCACCTTGCCGCTCTCGACTTCCCAGATGCATACCGTCCTGTCAGCACCTCCAACGCCAACACGCCGCCCATCATCGTCCCTGCTCCACGCGCCGCGGAGGAGCGTGTGTTCGAAACCGGCGGGGGCGCCCATCAGGACTCGGTGTATGCGGTTCGGGGAGGGGGAGAACGGCCGGATGTCGTGGATGAGGGTCTGCGAGGAGAGCGAGGGGGAGAGGAGGTAGTGCCCGTTGGGGGAGAGCGACAGCGACGTCGGGGTGTCCGTGTGGCCCATGAGGCTATAGACCTCCTCGTTTTTGCGGAAGTCGATGACCTGCGGGCGTGCGCTCAGCGCGCGAGTGCATGAAGAGGACGGCGCGGACTCACGTGGATCTCGTTGTCCAACGCCCCCGCGTAGATGCTCGCACCGTCCGCGCTCCAGCAGACGGAGGTGACGGGGCACCCCAGCTCGAACACGCTCACAGGCTGCTTCGGGCCCTCGTCGCCGCCCTCCCAGACGCGGACCGTGCCGTCGTCAGAGCCGGTGACGACGAGCTCGACTCCAGCGCCGCCTGCGAGAGTTCTGTCCAAGGAATTAATGATGCCGCGGTGAGCCTGGAGTTTACGCACACGCTGGCCGGTTGTGAGGTCCATCACGTTCATCGTGTGGTCGGCGGAGACGGTGTACATGAGCTGCGAGGCGAGCGACCACTGGAGGTCGAGGATGGGGGCTTTGTGGATACTCGAGAGCAGGCCGTAGTTGGTGTTGGGGGAGTATGTGCGCCATAGGGCTGGATGGGGGACACGTGTAAGCGAAAGATGGGCGGCAGGGGGAGGAGATGCGAGACGAGGAAAGGGAGACTCACAGACACCGCGGTCCGAGGAGCATGCGGCAATATTTTGACCACTGGGGTCGAATCTGCAACTGAGAATCTCGCCCTGGAGGTCGATTTTAGGGCGCTGCGCGCAAAGACAAGCTCATGGTACTTACGCCATGTGCGCCCGACAGACTGATGATAGGAGCCTCGAGACTACTTGTTCGCTTGACGGTGCGGATGAGGGCTTGCTGCCTTTCGTCGTTGGACGAGGAGATGGCGATTTGCGTATTCGGAGCGGGGCTCCCTGAGCGCGCACGTTTGATGAGTACGCCACCAGGCGGGGGAGATGCGCCGCGTTTCGACATTTTGGAGGTGTGGGCGGTGGCGGACAAAGCGAAGTCGCGAATGTGGGCGCGACGAGCGCACGCGAGGCCGCGTTGGACGCATCTGTGCGCCCATGACAAGCGCCAGCTCAGTAAGTCCCGTTTAGATCTCCGAAAGTAAATGCCTTGTAAAATGTTCAATCTCCGAAAATCGTCAGTTCCTTTAATCCTTTGCAACGCAACGATCCACTAGTAGAACAGCGAGTCCAACCCCAACTGCCGAAAAGCACATCCGTGCAGACCCGTCGAGCCAAGGAGTGGGGTTACGAGGTCTAGGCGGTACAAAAACATGGAAGTAAATACTCTGGGGTGTTCGTTGAAGTACTGTTGAAGCAGATAGTGTGCTGCGACAAAGTTCACGCCACAGATCTGTTGCTCACTGCGGTGAAGTCAGTCGCTGAGAGGCGAGAACAAGGTATGGAAATACAAATACACACGAATTCCCCCGATGAAGCATGAGATGGAGGGCCATAAAAAGTGCTCGCGAGCCCCTTCTAGATAGCGCGATCGAGTTGACCATTCGCAACAACTGCCACCTCCGACACCGTTCTCTCAATGTGGGACACAAGCTTTGTCCCCACGTCCGATTTGTCCCTCTTACGTTCGAGTAGCTTCTTGATGCGGCTCTCGAGTGCCTGATCGTCAGCAGCATATGCGTCTGGAGAGGTTGTCAGGACTCAGAAAACATGGAAGATGCCTAAAAGCGCATACCTATTAAAGCAGAAGCTCTCTGAGCATTCACAGCATCGGGGATCGCCAACGAATCGGCAGCATTCAAGAACGGCTGTGACTTGTCGTCTACCGAAGGTCCTTATTCAGTCAAAGGTGATGGACTTCGGAAAATGATATTATACGCACATTTCGAAGTTGAACGTTCGATTTTACTCAACGCTTCGGAGAAAGTCTGCATACATGAGATGATTCCATCGCTCAAATCTCATGTCCAACTGAATCACTTACGTATCCCCCTGCGAGATCGCTAGGCAGCGGTTCAGGACTGCGGTTTGCATCCGTCACAGATAGACGAAGAGCATCAACATATCCTTGAGTTGAGTGGTACTCAGATTGAAGCCCATCACGAAGAGCTGGGTACGTTTCCTGGGCAAAGTCCGTATTCTGTTACGGTCCGTCAACGCTGCGAAATCAAGACGTATGAAGAAAGAAATACCAGTTGGAGAGATTGAATGCATGTAAGCGTCAACGCGGCGGAGTAGTCCAAGATTCTTTGCAATTCCTTCTCTTTCTCCGCCTAAGAGATGCACCAACGTCAGCTCCAGTGTACATTCAAACAGGATAGACAGTACATACAACTCGGTGAGCGATATCTTCAAGTTGTGGCGTTTGATCTGTATTCATGGAGCAAGGCGATTCGTATGCTACGCTTCGGCGAGCCTGCTGCTGAGCGGAATGACGAAGCCGCTGACTACATCCGGTTTCAGTGTCACCTTAGAAGCCCCCAGATATTCATTCCACTCACAACGCATCCTCAACCCTTGGATCATCCGGTGGCAAATCGAGAGAATGTGCGACTGCATCCAGCATTTGTGTCTCTGCTTCTATCATCGATGTTGGACCCTTTGAGAGGCGAGATGCTTTTTCTAGCTGGGAGATACGGACCGCATGCGACTGAAGTGTCTATAATATGTTCCGTTAGCATGCCGGCACTGCAATGCAAAAGCTACGACGCACGGATAGCACATCCGAAGTGTTCTCGGTCCTCGGAACCTTTGTGAGTCCAAACGAAATACTACTACTCGCGACACTGGCCGTTTCTTCAGCCTGCGGACCTCATCAGCGTATTTTCATTGTGAGTCAGAAAGGAAAACAGCACCTGAGCGAGTGCCGATACCATCTCTTTCTCGCTGCAGCGATGAAATCGGGACCTGGCGTTCAATGGCGGAGACCAATGATACTCACCGAAGATCAGTGAGAAGCTGTGATATTTCCGAAAATCTCTGGGATCGAATATTTTCCTTGCGCTCCAAGATGTCCAACAGCAATGACGTGCGAATCTTCTGCTCAAGACTGGCTCGCAGTCGCAATTCCTCGTGCTCTACAGCTTTGAGATGAGTTTCGAGTATAGGTACATGGTTTGAGATCTCACCGAGCATCTCAATGTTCTTTTTCTGTTCACTATGAGACTTCTGCATCTCTTCCAGGGAGATGCGAGCGTTCTTCAGACGAGAGTCAGCCCGGCGAGCTGCAGCGTGCAAAGGATCATTTGTTTGATGGTTCCTGACGATGCCTTCGCGTTCTCTAAAAGTGAAGGTCATAAGCAGAGCGTTTATGTCAAATTTACGGAGGGTGAGCACCTTTGAACCTCGCCTCTGGCCGCGGCCACGCGAGCCCTTCCTTGAACGCTCTGAGCGATGAAATCAAGGACGTTGGCTAGTTTGCCCTTGTAAAGTCTTGTGAAGTCTTCTTCTGACATATTCTCAGGGTAGACGTCTCGAAGGGCTGCGAGAGTTCCCACAGAGGATCTTTCATTCATAGTATAAAGTGGGGTGCCGTGGGTGATGGTGGTTGAAGTTCAACTTGCAAGCTCTTAGGCGCTCGTGCCGGCTCGTCCTGAGGTAAGCCTACGTCTGGCGTTCAACTGCTAGCTGGAATTGCTTCGACGAATCCGAAGTGCGCGCGTTATTAAATACGACGCTACTGTAGATGGTCCTACGAAGGCTACATGCCGGCTTGTCTCTACGCAGTCCGAAGTATAAATTCAAAGGGAGTCTCACAAAGCTCATCCGTTAACCTCTCTTCGATGTCGCGGTTTCATTGTTCAAGGCCACGTCCGCGGCCCAGCCAGCCAATCTGAGTCGCCTCGCTGGACGCGTTGCCTCGCCCCTCGCATCTCCCGCCTCTCTCCGCCTCTCTCCCCCTTCAAGCCGTCTCGCCCTTCTCGACGCGCCCTCATAAGGCGGCGGATACTGCACCGGCTGGTTCAGCTCCCTCTGCTCCCGCGCAATCGCCGCGATCTCCTGCCGAATCGCGTTGAGCTCCGCGCTCATCCGCGCTCGAGACCGCCGTCCGAGTACGTCTTCTCCCGCCGCCAGGGTCCGCCTGCGGCGGCCATGACGTCTCGAGCTCGAGAGTTCCGCAGCGCCACGGGCCCCTGCTGGCCTCCCTTTCCCGTTCCCGTCTATGTCAACGCCGAAATGTAGAGAGCCCACCGGCGCGGAATCGTGCCGACGGACGCTGTTCCGCGCGTGCGGGTGCGCCGTAGGCCGCGGACGCTGCACCGGAGTGGAAAGCATGGGTGCCGACTCACGGCGCCGCCGGTGACGGCGCTCGTTTGTCCCGTGGACACGAGGTGAGGAGGTGTGGGGAGACGGTGACGCTTGCGGCCCGCGTGAGAGAACAGGGTCCGACGCTCGCTGCAGTGGGCGGTCTGCGATGACCATAGGCGATGGGCGATGCCGTAGTGGAGAAGCAGGTGCAACCGCTGGCGCCAAAGGAATAGATGGAGGCGATGAAGGGGTGTGAGGCGGAGCGGTGACTGCGGGGAAGTATGGATGGCGGGGAGAGGGTGTGAAGGGAGACTTGTTTATGCTGGGGGGTCCAGGCGAAGTGAAAGGCTGGACGAAGAGGAGACGCCTGCGACGAGCTCGGCGGTGGACGAAGGCGCGGACGATCATACTTGCGAGGAGGATGATCGCAAAACCTCCCGCTGCCCAGCCGAGAATTGCGGTAATAGGAAGATTCGAGCTCGAGTGGGGAGAGTGAGCGTAGGATTGAGGACTGGGGGGCATTCTGTTGACAGTGGCGGCTATCGCGATCGTTGGGTCCGACGTAGAAGATGAGGGGGAGGGAGGCGATGCTGGGAATGTGGTCAGAAGTGATGTGCGGGGCGTGCACAAGCGGTGTCTCTGTGGGAAGGAGCCAACATTGTTCCTGGTGTAGAACCTTGTGTGTATAGAGTCGTGCTTGTTGGATCCTATCGCATGTCTGACAGCATCTTTGATACTTCCACTGGTGAGGGATGCGAGCGCAAGCAATGAGATCGCAGCAAATAATCACTTATAACTCAACCTCGACGACCCTGAGAAGTACATATGGCGGGTTCCCGATGAAAGACAGCACGGCTCATGGTCTGACTCCTGTGAGTGCCATTCACTTAGACATGCAAAATAGAGGGAAGATGATACTCACCTGTACATCTTCAGGATAAACGATCTCGACGTCATCCACCCCTTCATCACACTCCATCTCCCTCCCCTCCTCATGCTCGCATGTTCGCCACCAGCAGGATATCCTCTTCGACCCTTCTCTCCACTTGCGCCGGATCCGTCTACTCCAGTGACCTTCAGCACAATACCGTTGTTGCATGACTTCAAGGAACACGTCGTCGTATGTCCGTACGTGCTGCAGTCGCCAGAGGAACATGTTTTGCTCGATGTCATAGGTAGGGGAGGGTCTCTCTGCCGTGCGCGGCTGGATCCTGACGTGTTTGAGAAGAGGACGAACGGCAGGCGCAGCTATGCACACTTCTGCGTTAGGGTTGAAGCGGAATATTCACTGAGACGCGCACCTGAAAGGCCCAAGAAGACCCTGAGCTGACATGCTAGTTGATATGCTGAGGGCCCGACGTCCGAGAGGCGAAGGAGGGATACAGCCGGCGCGTGGCATATCCAGGGTGCGATGGATACGTTGCGACACACGATGTGCAGTCTGTCGAGACCAGGGAAACAGGAAGAAGTGTCGGTTATGCCGAGGGAGAAGGTAGGCTGCGGGCCGCATATGGTGAGCTCTTCAAGCAGTGGGAAGGCTGTCGGAAAGTGGATGGCGCCGAACTCCCAGGAATGCACAATGGAGAGCGTGTAGAGGTCATCTGCAACGGCTTTGAAGAGGCGGGGCAGTTGCTCGAGGAACCTTTTATCTAGCTCTACTTGCAGGATGGGCCATAAACGCCACGAAGGGCCAGTAGCGGACGCGAGGATGGGGGAACATGGAAGAATGTCGGGCTCAAGAACCCTTGAACCGTTTCGTATCTGCCCTACTTGCTCACCGTCCATCCATGTCGAAAGGAAGAGGTGGCGGACTCGGATCCTCCTAACCTTGCGCTCGGTTTCTAGGCAGTACAAGAACTGACAGACGTGCCTGATCCGGGTGAGGGATACCGAGGTGAAGCGAGGTGCTCGCGCGACGTTGCGGAAGGAGCGGGATACGAGAGAGAGGGAACGTCCTGTGTGACCACCATCCGTACAAGCGAGAGTGAAGATGAGGTCGAGGACCTCCACAGCGAGGTCGTGTATTGACGCGGGTCGTTCTGGGATGGTCATGGAAGGGTTGGGATGAGAGGCGGATTGGGTGCGGTCGAGAACCTGCAGAACGGATGTGTAAGCAAGGGTCAGTTGAGTATGCGGATATGACTGGCGGGAAAGCATACATACTACAAACACGTCTTATGAACACCTCGTCAAGCTCGGTGCATGACCTCGAGGCCGAGCGCATGCCCATCCTCGCCGAGGGCTCTGCTATCAAACGATTCAAGGTACCACGAGGAGGGAAAGAACATGTGGGAGGATGAGTAGTGAGAACTCGGGCATGGTGTAAGCAAGACCGATGGTGGGGGAGGAGGGCAGAGCTACGACGCACAGTCGTTCGCCAACCCGAGCATGGCCGCAAGATGGCCGAGTCTACTGTCGTCGCCACCGCCGGGGCGATTCCGATGGGGTTTCGATTATTTTCGAGTTTTCAGCCCCGCGCTTCAAACAAGCTTTCTGTTAGGTGGTGGGGAAAGAGAGAAGGGGAGTGCCGGCGGCCATGTAGGTCCTTCTGAACCTCTCTCTCCCGATATTTATTCACATGGGGGACTACAACGTGCCCAACGCACTCATGTTCACTGGTACGTGCCATCTCATTCATCCAAGTCCCAACCTGGGCTCCCCGTCTCTTTCTAGACGTATTCCCAAATATACCGCATTCTCCTCCTCATCCGCACCACGCTTTCCCACATCTCACAGCTGGCGGGGAACCCGGCGCTCCGTTCGTACACATAGTGTCCTCAGCAACTCACAGCACCGAAATTGTGCACCTGACTCTGCCCTGGGGTAACCACTGAACCACATCGAGTCGTGGTCCCAGCACTGAATAGGCTACCTAGATGGCAGCATCACCGTAAGCATATCCAAATCATGCTTGCCGAGAATTTTTGTACTGGGGCTCACGCCCGCTGCCCATGCAATTTGGTCCATGTTGAGTTCATCAGGGTAGCACACCACACCCTCCTCGCCCGCCCAGTCGAAGTCGATGATCCGTACACCCTCCGTAATTGATGCCACTCCGGAGGGTTCGGCAACGACGATATTCGGCGGGCGTATGTCACCATGGACGAGCGGTGGTTGGTGACCGTGTAAGAGGGAAAGAGCATTGCGCACACGCTCGCGCACCGCGTCGCGCACAGCCGAATTTGTGAGGTCGAGGTCATGGACAGTGGGGCCTTTGACGTATTCCATGATGACCATCCTTGGTGATGTGTACTCGGCAGACTCTGGCTCGTTGCCCCACTCCCATAGAGGGCCGTTGTAGGTCAGCGCTGGGGCTAGCTTGTGGTCGGCAAGTAGTCGGTGCGCCACTCCGCCGTACGCACGTCGGAGGACCTTAACGACAATGAAGTGGCCGCAAGGGTGCTCGCGGGCGAGAAACGTGGTGCACGGGCCTTCCTCAGGCCCCAGGGTGCTTGAGCGGGCAAATGTACTCGAAGCTCGCGCGCGTGCCGTCCGCGCGCAAGTAGTCGGTCTTGGTGGGGTACAGGCGGAGCCGCATTTGCTCCTGCGATGCCGTACGGGTTGAGATCGAGGCATAGATGATAGAACTGCAAGAGGCTAGGGAGCGTGCATTTGAGCGCGTACAGGTTACGGGCGAAGCGAAGCAGGGTCGCCTCGGAGTCAGAGGGGCAGGGGAACGGGAGGTACTCGGCCAGCTCTTGGATCACGATATGTGAGGGGAACATGCCAGCACAGATCGCGATTTGTGACCGCCATACTTTGATAAAGAATGTAGGGGATGATGACTTCAGCAGCAGGTCCTGAAGCTCTGTGAGCGTATGTATCATCACATGGAACTCAGGAATACCTACCTTGCGACGGGGGTGAAGCCACCAGTTCGGATAAGACTGAGAAGGCTGAACCTGTTGGTCATCGCTGCTATGCCCTTCAATGAAGATCAATACCGCTGCTCCCTCAGGAGAGACGATGTGATTCCCATTGCTACTGAATGGTGGGATGCCACAGCCGAGAATATCGAAGAGCTGTGCTTGCAATCGGGGGTATTCGCATTCGCGAGAGGCCACGAGAGTGTGAACCAGAGTCATGAAGTCGAGAGGAATGGCTAGATCGGAGTTTCTGGACATCATCAGAAATCTGGCGAAGACGTCGTGGAAGGAATCGACATGTGGGTAGACGGAAAGTGTTGTATCGTGATCTCTGTGCATGAAGATCCCAGCTCTGAGGTTCAAGTGAAACTCTGAAGTAAAAGCCAAAACTTTTATAAATGTGATCATATGAGAAATTCAAACTACGCACCAGCCATCAGCTGCTGCTGTGGACGTTGCATCCCGGGCGGTATAACATCTCGACACTGATATTTGTGACCTGCATTTACGGCAGGCGAAGAAAAAGGTGCAGGAGAGGGTACATGAGCCCACCCTGTTTGTCGACGCGTCAAAGAACATCACATGTGGAATTTGTTCAAGAACTTACGGCAAACCACAAAAAGGTTTTCTACATTGTATAGACCAAGGGGAGCTTGAGGAATGCATATTTTTGCTTGAAGCGACAACAGCTCTCGTGTGAAGAAGCGATGTTGTTTTTTCCATGCGTAGTGAAGGGTTCCGACTTTCATGGGGGTACCTTCACACTTCAGACCCTCAATGGGTTCTTGGAGCTATGGAAAGGCAAGAATGAGCTGTCATGTTCATCGACGCATGCAAATCACTCGAACCTCGTATACACTTAGGTGTGTTCCGGGGTCCGTGAACGAACGGAGACCGTCTGTCGTCTCCTCGAAAGAGTGCAGGCCTGCGAGAGCATCGGCAGAGATGTCGGAGACCTTCGCAAGGTCGGCACTTGCGTCGTAGTATAGCATAGCGAAAAGTTCCAGCTTTGACGGGTCTTTGGCATCTTGAACGTATGAGGGGTACAGGAAAGGCTGCAAGGAGGTGCAGTGAGAAAACCGCCCCTAGCCAATGAAAGAATGGATGGCAATGGGCAGCGATGGGTTGAAAACGCAGTAATTAACTTGAAGGAAAGGTGAGGGAGTGTCTTCTTGCGAACCGAGTCATCGAGAGTAAAGACGCACAAGAACTCACCATTGGGAAAGTGCAACCGGGGGATATGCCGCTGTGTGCAGTTCAAATGGGCAAGGGACAGAGGACCAGGAAGGGCACCGAGGAAATGTTGCGTGATTCGATTTTCAGCGACGAGATGGGGGAGAGAGCTGACAGGCGACGGAAAGAGGAGATGGGGAGGAAGAGGGGAGGCGGAGGCGGAGACGGGTGATTATATGTCGCTTTTCTGCCGCCTCCTAACCAGCATACTACAAGTTTCTGTCTGAAGTGCTGGCGGCTATGCAGTGCCAGGTGTTCTCCGGTTTGGACGGGCTGCCTGTTTTCAGCCACTTTCCTGCTCCTCTCTCTTCCAACATGCCTCCAGGCAACACCGCCAGCGATGCCGAGTCCTCGGGGACCCAGAAGCACGCATTCTCTCTCGAAAATATCTTGGGTCAAGACCACGAGGACGTTGAGGCACCCACAGCTACCGCCGACACCCATATCACTGCCGCGGGGTGGGACGAGGAAGCAAGGGCGGAGAATGTGGTCCAAGGGTTCTGTATAGAGTGTGAAGGTGCGCACCGCTGCATACATCGAGTGGGTTTGGTGTCTCACGGCCGCATACGTTGTCTTCAGACCAGCCCGCCCAGCTTTTCTGTGAGACTTGCTCCGACAACTTCTGCGAAGTGTGCTTCGCCGCCCAGCATAGAAAAGGGTCCCGAAAACGGCACGCGAGCAAGCTTTTGTCCAGGCCGCAGGAGAAGAAGGCGAAAATCGAGGGAAATGCTGCGGGTGGGGGGTTATCCAACGGGGATGAGGTGTGCACATGTTCCCCTCACCCAGTTTTCGTGTCTAACGAAGAGACGAAGATGCATACCGATGACTCTGACGCTGAAGATTCGGATGAAGAGCTTGAACGGGCAGCGACAGAGGCCGCGTCGTCGAAATTGGAGATCTCTCTCTCCGCCCAGCCCACACCGGGATCCATGGTTGGCGAGTGGTTCGTGGAACGGGCCAAGTACATACCTGTCCGCTTGACGCTAGAAGAGCGCAAGTTCCTCCGGCTGCTCGAGGCCGCCCTCAACGTCTCCGAATATACCGACAAGATTGATACCATTGGCTTTGGGCTCTCGAAAGCCAAACGCATCGTCCAACAGATCCGAGAGCTATGTGCCATCCTCTCGGGGCTCGTTCTGTCTGCCGACTACAAGCAGGGCCAAGAGCTCTTCCAGGACCGCGATTTCCAGTCAAATGAAGACTTCTATCAAAGCATCTTTGAACTCGGGCGACGACACAAGATCATGAATCCGGACAAAATGCGCTCGACATACGGCAAGCTCATCTACATCCTACAGGTAGGTTTACTTTCACGCATCGCCTTGGACTGCCCTCACATATCTCCCGGGCCGCGTCATCTTCTCCAGGATAGCCAATCGCCAGACGTGAAGGACCTTCTCAGCTTTTCCTGCGTGAAACCTATCAAGAGCGTCTACACCGTGCTCGAGGAACATGACGTGGTCGAGATGCTGCGGGATGACCTCATCGCAATTGCCACGAAGGAGATCTATTCCGAGGGCCGCCCACGCCGGGAGATCCAGAAGGACATCAAGAGCAAAGAGCGCGCCTTAGAAACCCTCGCCTCCAAATACGCCCGTCCCGGTCTCAACCAGGAGCGCGTACGGCAGTGCATTTACAGCATCGGCGACAACCACGCGTTCCTCCGCACGAACCGCGATCCCTGCGATCGCATGATTGAGTACTTGAAGCAGTACTTCTATCCGACCCAGGCCAAGGACAACAAGAGCTCGCTGGCCATCAAAATGGGCAAGGGTGGCGCACGCCTCACCCATGACCATCAGAAGCAGTATGCATACGTCCTCCAGAGCTTGACGTTATGGCGAGAAATCCTGCACGGTGATTCATTTGTTGCCATGGTTTGCGAATCAGTGCTCATCAGCTTCGTCTCTAGACATGTTCCACCTGTGGACCCTCGCCGAGTCGGATCTGTTGAACGAGAACATCCCTTACCGCCTTCGCGACACCGGCCAGGGTCTCAACCGCGTCCAAGCCGCGCCGAAGACCTCTCGCATGATGCACGCGATCCTCAACCGTGCGCAACGCTCGATTGGCTCCTGGGTGGGCTCGTCTGTCATTCACATGGGGGACCACAACGTGCCCAACGCACTCATGTTTATCGGTACATACCATCTCCTTGATACCAGATCCTCGTCTGAACTCTTCGCCTTCACCCATCCTAGACAAATACTCTCAAATATACCGCATTCTCCTCCCCATCTGCAATACGCTCTCCCAGATCTCGCAGCTCGCCGAGAACCCGGCGCTCCGCTCATACATCGACGACGAGTGGGGCTCGACAGAAGGCCTCAGCCGCGAGATTCTCGCCGACTTCTTCCGCCACGGGTTCGATGGCTCCGGGGCGGGCAACTATTTCGACGCCGGTGCGTGACTTGCTCTCCCCCTCGGGACGACTTGGCTGACACGCGAGTCGCATGATTCAGGCTCCTGCATCGACGGGCGACTGACGAGTGCGTGGAATTGGTGCTCGACCCTCGAGAAGAAACGCTTCTTCCCTGTTTTCCTCCTCACTGGTACGCGCGGGAGCTCTTGTTCGTCTTACAACTCCCCGCTGACAGTCCCCGATGCGATTTTACAGGTTTCGTCGGATTCGACGGCGACTGGTGATCCGCGGCCCGTGAGACCGATAGATGTTTGGATACCACGACTACACCACCCTAAAATGCCCGCAGATAGACGCACCCCACGCCGTAGACTGCACGTTCGCTCTCGCAATGCTCTGTAGCTCTGTCACAGGATACAACATGTGTATTACAACCTGGCACGCGCACATAGATACGTTTTCCCTCACGAGGAGAGACCGGGCCCGTACGGACCCGCCCGCGCCGCCCGCCAACTGCTCGTGCCAGAACCATTTTTTCACATCCCCAGGGATAGCTACATAGCATACACCCATCCCGAGCTCACACACCTCAGGCGACAGCAACCTGCGCCGCCGCCTGCGGCGTCTCGATCCCCGACGCGGCGACGGCCCCTGCTGCCGCAGCCGCGTCGCCCCCGGGCGTCGCTGCCTGCCCGCCCTTCCTGCGCGTCGCGGAGACGGTCTCGAGCACGGCGGCGAAGCAGGCCTTCCACACCTGGAGGCGCTTCTCGAGGAGCTCCCACTGGGGCCGCTCGAACGCGCGGGACGACGCGCGGGTGACGCGGAGCGTCTGCGCGGTCTGCGAGAGCTTGCCGCTGAGGAGACCCGCCCGGATCACTAGTGCGCGGAGGGAGGTGAGTCTGAGTCTGGTGTTCGTAGAGGAACGGGGGAGGAGGGACGCACCGTCGATGACCCAGGACTCGACCTGGGCGGGATCGACCTGGAGCGCGGACGCGATGGTGGCGTAGGGGACGTCGCGGCCCATGTTCTGGAAGCCGAGCGTGGCGAGCGTGAGGAGGCGGATCTTGCGCTCCAGCTGCGCGCCGTCGAGCTCTTTTGAACGGCGTGAGGCTCAGTGGGTTCGCCTCTACGATAAGATGGGAGGGGGCGTACGGTATTTCGTGAGGGCCGCGGCATTACTGGACGCCCACGTCTTGTACTCGGCGAGACCGTCGTTGAGGAAGATGTGGAGGAGGGAGAAGAGCTCGTGGTTCTTCGCGGCGACGACGGCGTCGAGGCGGAACAGAGGGTCGAAGTCGAAAAAGGAGGGAAGGCGGAGGGCGGCGGCGACAGCGTCCATGGCGGCGGAGTGGGCGGCTGGCGAAGAGGGAGGGAGGGAGCGGACGTATGAGAGCTGGAACTCGTACGAAGTCGCGCTAGATTTTTGGTGAGATTGTGGGGTAGAGATAGTGTAGGTGCACTCACGCCTGGTCTGCTTTGGTAGATGTGTCCACAATGAGCTTCAGGAATGCGCTCTTCTCCTCGGAAGAGATCTCCCACTCCGATAGCCACTTGTCAACCTCGGACTGCGAGAGCCCGAGGATGTCAAGCTCGTCGTTCGCGCTTGCTTGCTCGAGCAGAGCAGTATACACGAGCAAGCGAAGACTCGATCTTCGAGGAATGGCGTTGAAGAGGTTTGTCAAGCTAGTGCCGAATGTCGTCAAAAAGAAGAAATCCGAGCAGGGTCCAAGATCACGCACATGCGATATTTCGTAGATGAGTGGCCGGGTGAAGAGGAGATCGCTTTGAGGAGAGCATCAAGTCGTGTGCGGATTTCGGGGGCGTCGAGAGGGTAAAGTGTGAGGAGGTGAGAGAAAAGTAGGTTGAAGAAGCCCTCGATCTCTACGGGGGACGGATGAGATCTTCAGCGGGGACAAATGGGTCAAGTACGCACCCTTCTCCGAGCCCTCCCCCAGGCCCTTCACTTCTTGCAGCACTGACCCGAGCACTTCCCGCTTCCTCTCCGGCTCCTCGTCAACGGGTTTTTGGTCTTCTGGTGTGGCGACGGCATCTTGGAATGGCTGGATGTATGCTGCGCGGCCGTCCTCGGGCAGCGCGCGGGCGAGATAATTTACAAGCTCGAGGATCTACGCGAGATTGGTGGGTTTAGCTGTGGAGACGGAGCAGATTGGTAGTGAAAAAAGACAGACCTGCTCCTCATATGTGCCCTCTGCGAATATGGGTACTGAGTCTGTGATGGCCATTGTGCAATCGGGATGCCTACGGAGGCGAAGGGGACGAAGGGAGATCGGGCGAGCGCCAAAGGCAAAAACTCGGCCTCGACGCTCGCGCGGGATGCGCGCGCTTGACCGAGCTCGACTCCCTGCTGGGCACGGGCTACGGTTCGCGGCTGGAACGTGCGTTCTCTGCCCATCGACGCGGTGCACGCAGGATGGATGCGTGTTTAGAGGCCGACGATCCGCTGGGCCGCGGCGGAAGCAAACGGACGTGTGCATTTTCGTGCCGCCGAGAGTCGCAAGCTCGCTGCACTCGGCTGGCCTCGATCGTCTCTCCTCCTCCGCCCATGCCCTCCGCGCTCCCCCGGCCGCTCCGTTGAGGCGCGCCCTTTCCACCGCCTGCTGCCACTTCCCATCGCACTCTCAACTAGACTAGACGAGACGAACCTCCAGCCGAGCGGGCTCGCTTCCCCCTCCACCGTCATCTCCCAGCGTCCTCATGCGCACTCTGCCCTCATGTCCTTCACCTTCAAATGGCCCCGCTTCTCCGACCAGTTTCACACAAATGCCATACAAATGCTCGAATCTGCCCTCAACAAGGGCAACAAGCCTCCCGTCATTGCCGATAGGATTGAGGTAGTCGAGCTTGAGATGGGCACACAGGTGCGTGTTCGGTATATTGCTCTTATTGGATGCTCATAGTGCTCTCAGCCGCCTGAGCTCGAGATTCGAGACATCGGAGAGTTGACTATGGACCAATTCCGCGGAATCTTCCGATTGACGTATGCCGGGGATGCGCATATCGTCCTCAGGACGAAGGTCCAGGTGCGTCTATTCCGCTACTTTGACTTCAACATTGCTCTCATTGCATGCAGGCAAACCCCTTGAACCACAAACAACCGGACATTCACCTCCTTGGCGGTTCGCGAGGCATGCTTGCGGCCAAGCATCCACTCGTGGTGCCCATGCTCCTTCGACTCTCCCAGTTTCGTCTCAACTCTTACGTCGTCCTCGTCGTCTCGCGCCAGAAGGGCATCACCCTGGTCTTCAAGACGGACCCGTTGGAGAACGTCGACATCAACAGCACATTTGACTCCATTGCCGTCATCCAGAAGTTCATCCAGCGCGAGATAGAGGGCCAACTCCGTCAAATGTTCCGTGAAGATCTTCCAGGTATCATCCACCGTCTCAGCCAGCAGTGGGTCAAGGCCAAGGTCGAGGCTCCCTACTTGAGCACTGATCTCCCCACCACCGCGGTGCGCTCACGCAAGTTCGAAACGGCGTCCAACCCAGATCCGTCCTTCTATCGCATTCCCCGCATGCCTCCGCCTGGCTTTGCCCACAGCATTCCGATCCGTCCTGCATCTGCGATACCCTTCATTCGACCTCGATCTCCTTCCGCCCGTTCAGTGTCTAGCGCAGGAAAGCGGCCCGCTAGCTCCGTCATCACTTCTCCCATCACCCGCGCGCCTTCGCAGCGGCCGAGTCCTTTGAATCCACAGGCAGACGGGCCAACCTCGTTCCCGGAAATCGAGCACTACGACCCGACTTACGGTCTGCGGCCTGACGGGGTCCCTTCAAAGGGGACATTCAACAACCTCCGCAGTCTCTTCAGCCATAACAAAGGTCTTGCCGACCTGGCAGAGGAGGCTAGTGAGACCGATTCCGTGGACGACAACCGCTCCTTCGACCCTGGCACATGGGAGGATTTCATGTCCGACGGCGGGAACATCGGCCCGTCTGTCTCCGAAGCAGGTGACGTCACGGCATACGAGACCGTCCCTGCGGTCGGGGGCGGGACGATCACTCGTCCGCGGGTCTACCACAGCCAGTCCCAGATACACGCCCCATCGGTAGACGGCATGTCCAACGCCCCCTCAACGTCGCGAGCGCCCATCATCACCCGCACCTCGTCTCTCCAGTCGCTCGCAAGAACACCCTCACGACCTGGATCACTTTATAACCCGTATTTTGCCGGCATGACGCCCCTATACGAATCTGTGCCCGAGGCATATCCCCATTCTCAACCTTACTACGCCGACTCCTCAGCGACGCCTATGCGGCGGTCGACCTCGATTCCGCCCGTCCCTCCCTTAGACCATTCTCCATATCACCGCCCCAGCAGTCCCTCTAGCCTCCAGACACAACCCTCCCGCTCCTCCGACATGACCAATTCTGTCCCAACTCCTCCGCCACCCGACGTCGACGACGCCCCGAGCGTGAGCGTGCGAATGACGCGTCCGCGACGTCTCTCTGCGACCTCGTCGAACCTGGATGCCTTCTCTGCCGCAAGCTCGCTCGGTCCCCATACGGACCCGAAGATCGTCCTCCGGCCGACGCTCAACGGGAGCATACACAAGCTCTCGACGCTCTCGCACTCAAATCACACCCTCTCCCCCTACACCCGCACCGTCGAGCACTTCACCGTCCGCTCTGTCCCTCCCCGCGAGGCGGCCGCTGGCCTCACCCCTAGCGTCGAGCACAAGCCCGTTCGCGCACGCCGGAAGCGGTTGCACCGGCTGGGAGGTGCGAAGGCCAAGCCGCCTGCGACCCCGTCCCCGCTCGACGACGAAGACGAAGATGATCTTCATCGACAACACGACCACCATCACGACCACGACCGTCGTCCCCATCGACATCTGCACGACGTGGACGACGATGACGGGAGCGTGGCATCGAACTTCGACGCGTCGGAGATGGACCGCTACTTCCGCGCGCGCGACGACCTCATCCCCCGCTATCCGAACCTGCACCCCTCGCACGTCCGCAGACGAGTGCCCCATCCCCCGTGATCTTCATTTGTCAGTGTCGTGCCTATGCTATCGGCTCGTCATCCTCTCCCTCGGGGTTCGGCCTCGGTCTCGGTCGGGTAGCAACGCGGGTCAGATCCGATCTTCTCTACGCTTACCTCCTCGCCGTTACCGGTTACGTACCCGCCTACTTCACGGAGCCTCCACCCCCACTCTTCCAACCTCTTCCCCTCATCCGACGTCATGCGTTCCTGTTCCTGGCCGCGCGCCATCCCATTCTATAGGACCTCACTTGATAGTTCTTGTACTGTAGTCCGCGCCGCCGCCGTAATTTGCAAATGTAGACCACGTTCACTCCAGTCTCTCGTAAGACCGAGTCGCGCGCGCCGCGACGCGTACGCGGGCGTGGGTGTGGTCGACGGGCGTCTAAGATCGCGTCTCCGAGTCGTGTTCCAGATCTCACGCGGCAGGCACCGAGGGTGCGTCTGCCTCTCGCCGTGCGGCCGACGGTTGTCCTCGACTCCTCGTCCGTGGAAGGTGGGGCGACGACGGATCAGACGGGGCTGAACGCCGGCCCGAGCGGGAAGCTTGCGTCCGGGGAAAACTGCATTCCGACAGGCATATTCATCGCCACTCCGGCGGGGACGGGGGTAGGGACAGCCAGGGGATCTAACGTAGGCGAGGGTTGGCTCGCGCTCTCGAAGTCCTATCTCGACGCGAGTGGTATATCGGTACAGAGCAAACGTCCGCGTCGTGAGAAGCGGCATGGTAAAAGCAAGTCGCGAAAAAAAAGTGCAATCAGCGAAAAAAGCGGGTCACGCGGCCAGCGCGACACCTACGTCCACATGCATGCTCGGGAGCCTGCTTGTGTTCGCGCGCGCCGAGGCCTGGCGGAGCTGCCGGAAGTCGTTGTTCAGGTACGTCTTCGTCAGCCCCGTCGCCGCCGGGCTGCGCAGGAGCGTCGGGGGCGAGACCGTCACGAGCGCGAAGACGTCCTGGTTGAGCGCGCGGCGCGCCGACGGTGGCGTCGTCGGCGCGGGCGTCGCTTGTCGGAGCAGCCCGTCGAGGGCGTGCATGGAGAGTGCGACAGCGTCCGGGAGCACCGTGGAGGGTAGGGCCGGCTTGACGTCCCCCGAGGCGAAGACAAGTCGGCGGGAGACGGTGTCGAGTCGTTCGGTGAACTCGGGGGGCAACGCGGCGTTGAGGGTCTCGCGGAAGGAGATGAAGGTGTCGGATGGGACGGTGCGGAGCTCGGCCATTCGAGGGATGGTGTTGGAGGTTCCGGCCATCCACTCGAGGAGGGAGACGAGCGAGTCCGCGGTGACATCGTCCACCGAGACGGGATTCTCCGCGAGGTGGAGGAGTAGTCGTCCGATCTCGCCCGTGACAATGAAGGGGTTCATGTACGATGGAGTGATGGTCTTGATTATGGTTATGGACGTGCCGAGGCACCGCTCGAGGGCTGAGGGATCCGCTGTGGACGTTTGGAGCGAGCGCCAGAGGCAGAGAACAATAGCCAGGCGCATTGGGTTGTCGAAACCTTCGTAGCCGCTAGAAAGCTCTTCTGCAATCTCGCCGACGTGAGGAGGCGTGAGGGCAAGCTCCAGAATGGCAATGAGAGATGTTGCGAGAAGGTGATGGGCGTCTTCTGAGGATGTCAGTCCGTCGAGGACCCAAGCTGTTGATGAGGCTTGCATGAGGTCTCGGAGGAACCGGAAGAATAGCGACACTTGAGCTTGTATGACCAGACTTCTCGGCTCCGACAAGCTGTCGTCTGCGAGGGCTTGAACGGCGGTCGAGATGTCTTTAATTTCCTCCATCAGCAACCATTCTCCAATCCCGATGACGCCCTGGTCCAGGTCTGCTAGGCGCTTGAAGAAGTACACCTTGTTCTCCGTGTCGAGCGTTCGACAGAACGAGGACAATTCGTGAAGAAGGCTGGGGATGACGCGCTGGACCCAGAACGTCCGCTGGGGATCTGTGCATTCCTGGGGTGGAAGTACGTAGTTGAGGAGCCAGAAGACTTGGATGAGACGGTGCGTCGGATCGAGGTCGCTATGTAACCCATGATGCAGCAGGACGCGTAGCACGGTTTGTGCGCTCGGTTTGGCGTCCGAGGACCCCGCGTGCTGTTCGGCGAGCCCACGAACGAGGTCGATGCAGGTGCGACGCGCCTCTTGTGATGCCAACACGACAAGAGGCGATTGAGAGTACTGCATCTCTGCGGCATCTGTGCATGCGAACACGTCCGCCGCGTCGGTTGTCAAGGTACGCAGAAGACGCGAAGGGAGAGGATGGTTGGGGACGAGGCGTAGGAGGAGTCGCTGGAGGTCGTCTGCTGTGGCGAAGAGTTGTGCGAGCACTTCTTGCTGCCTCGGGGGAGGTGGATGGCGGATAGAGAACCTCGTACGAATTTCTTCAGCGATAGGACCCAGTAAGTCGCATAGGATAGTCACGAAGCTGCAGCCTGCCTCATCCCAGAACTGATCCAGGACCTCTGATTCGTCGTCTTCATCAAGTTCCCATGACATGTAGGCCAGCGAAACTCGTAGGAGTCGAAGGGATTCATAGGTGGGAGGCCGCTGTATTGGCTCTGAGAGTTTCGCAGCGACGGCGTAGAACTCGTCCTGAGCGAGGTCGGCGGCGTGATACAATGCTTTCCTTTCCTCTTCCGTGATGAAGGTTGTAGGCTTCTTGACTTTCATGATGCAATTGGTAAAGTTTGAGATGAGGAAATTGCTCGGTTCCCGTGCGAGGTCGACAAGAATGTGTTCGGTGTCAATCGCTGCCTGGTCTGGAGGATCACAGTTGATCATGCATTCCAATCGGAACGCCATCTGCCGCAGCATGAGTAAATGGTTGAGAATCTAAATGTAAACACGCATCAGAAGTGGAGACTGCGTAACAAGCATTCGCACATACCTCTCGGTAACCTTCCGCGTTCTGCCAAAACCTTAAGATGCCGAATATGCGTGAACGGCAGGGAGGGTCCGGTAGGCTGTCTGACCAAGAATAAACAGCGAGCACAGAAGCGACTCCGATAAAGGCCCTGGTGAACGCAATGAACTCGTCTTGGGAAGGGGGGTTGCCCGGTGCTCGAGAGGAGAACAGCCGAGGTAGTGTGACGGGGACCACAGGATTTTCCGCAAGCCCGGCGACCAAATCCTGATGAGAGACCATTGACTCCAGCCAGATACCAAAAGACTGTTCCTCAGTCCCAATGTCCTTCATGAGGCCAGCAGCAGCTATGAAGTCGCCTTGTGTGTTGGAGAAGGTGTCTTCAAGGGTTGTCCATCCACAGATCCTCGTAGAAAGCTTCTTGGCATCTTTGCGCAATTTGCGTTCGTTGTTCGGGTCGACAGAGACAACCCTAAGCAGTTCATGAAACCAGTCTGCGTTGAGCCGTCTTGAGATGTCGGGGTTGGCCGCCGCATATAGTAACTTCTTCAGAGTCATTTCATCTTCCAAGGCACTGCGGCCGAATATTGCACGCAGATCGATTGCATCCTACACCCCCAGTTAGGGATCACGCGCTTTGAGCAGCCTACTCAGACTCACCAACAAGCTAGTAGCCAGCGCAGGATGTTGAGATGCGGAATTGCATATCAACCCCGCAACAAGGAAGGCTTGGCTAGTGTCCTGGTCCTAAAGTGACCATAGCGTCATCAATCAGTGTATTGTAACAGTAGTGTTCGGCACATACGCTGACGTTGATGCAGCCCGCAACCTTCTCGGCGAAGCGGGACACGACTTCAGAGGATATGTCATCAGACACTGGGCGTTTTGTCATATCAAGTGCTTTCTCCAAGTCGAACTCCGGTACGTCCTCGTCTAGATCAGAATGTATGTGAGGGAATTCGGGAAGGTCCCACTCGTCGTTGTGAGGCTTGAGGCAAAAGAGCAGACGGATGGCTAGTTCAAGATCAGGGGCGTCCGGTATGAGCTTCAGAAGTTTTCGCGCTAGTTGTGTTGGGTCGCGGGAGTTGGCGGGATCAAGAGCGGGCGGCAGCGGAGAGGAGCTGAGAGAGGGGAGTGGACGAGGCTCGTACGTCTTGGGAGCAGCAGGCAGTTCCGAGGCCACCTCTCCGTAGATAGCCATAGAGATTGACTCGAAAGCACCTTTGATGATCATAAGACGCGTAGCGGACTGGGATGACGCGTCCTTGAGTTGAGAGATTGTGACGAGTTGGTGGGGACTGCGCACCTCAGGACCCATGTTAACCACGAAGTCTCTCTGACCGCCGGTGTACGCAAGAGATGTCGGGACAAGCACATTGGAAGGTTTTGGCTTCTCCGTCGCGTTAGGATTTGCTACTGGATGTGCGTTGAAGTACACCTGAAGGAAGAACTCCTGCGGCTCTGTGCGACTGCATACACCTGTGAGCTGCAGAGTATAAATCAAAAGCACAGCTGTACGGACCTGACAACATCTGGGCACTTCACAAATGGCTTGCAGTCCGTAGGAAATATCCTTATGGTGTGGACGCGTACAGCAGCCGAGAACCGAATGGCCGCGAGTCCGCCCTCGGCGGAGGGTTCGAGCGTGCAGTAGTGTAGCAAACCCATTGCTACAGAGACATCCAAGGGAAACCGGAGGGACAGAAGAGAGAGCGGGTAAAGGAATTAGTCCCGGTGCGTGCAGCGAGGGAGCGGGCGGAGGAAGGATGAGAGGGTGGGACGGAGTGGGCAGCTCGGAGGGCGCGGCCAAGGATCGTGCGCTCGAATCTGGAGTCGTAGCCGGAGCTCGCTCACAGCTCTGGGCGCCTGGTCCGGATGCCAGTAGCCGCGTACCTCGGTGTACCTCAGCACAAGGCCACGACGACTCTTCCTCCGCCACCCTCTCATCACGCCACTTTCTTCTCGTCGCCCTCGTCTCCTCCTACTGCTTCTGCCGCTTCTTTGTGTGTTTCTGTTCAACGTCATGTCCTCTCCGTCCAAGACGTCGACGAGGAAGGTCAGCCCCGGACTCTCTGTCCGTGTGGGCCGCGAAAGGAAAGGCAGCATCGTCAAGGTCGAGAAGCTCGGCGAGGAGTCTCAGGCGGATGTGCTTGACCAGGGCATGTACGACAACCTGAATGCCGAATGGGTCAACCGTAAAGGTGCGTTGTTTCTCTTCGGGCTGCCGCCACTGCCTCTCATTCATCGAGGTTCGCGCGTGTACAGGAGCGTGGCTCATCCACTTCGTGCTCATCGCTGTCGGTAAGATCGTCATTGACACCATCCCTGGCATGCCCCAAGAGGTTAGCTGGACGTTGGTCAATCTTATCTATCTCGGAGTGAGTGTCTTCTCCGTGAATGAACTGCCCTCCCTCGTCAATGCTTCGGTGCTTCGCATCTGGGCAAGCGCCTATGCTAATACATGCTCACCCTTCTAGTTCTCCTACCTCATGTTCCACTACGTAACTGGAATCCCATTCCATTCTGACCTCCACGGAGGCGTTTACGACAACATGACCCTTTGGGAGCAAATTGACAACGGCGCGCAATACACCCCCGCGAAGAAATGGCTCTTCATTGTACCCATTACTGTGTGAGCTCTCTTCTTGTACCGCATGCGTTTGATCATGGCTGACTTACCATATATGCGTCTGTAGCTTCCTTGCCTCCACTCATTACACGCACTACGACCCCTGGCTGTTCGCCGTTAATCTTTCCGCCCTGGTATTCGTCCTCATTCCCAAGCTACCCGCGGTGAGTACCTCACATCACCTTGCGTGTCATCCTCGGAATGCGTCTCTGACTCAGTGCTGCTTAGTTCCATCGGTACCGTGTGCGCTTCATGGTCCCGGAAGACGCATCCGGCCTTGGCACGCCGCTCACTTCTTCCTTCCCGCCCTCCGGAGCTTCCACGCCCATGCGTACGAACATGCACGCCCCACCAATCAACATTACGGAGGTTGAATCGAGGCTATGACACTACTCATCACTCTTGCTAGATTTGGTCTCGTAGACACCCAATGTCCTCGCTATCACATGTCATATATATTGCTCCACACGGCTTGCCTGCATCGTCTCTCGTCATCTACGTCCGTACTCATACTCAGATGTTACAAGGCCTCAGGGCCATTCTAATAGGCTCTCGTTTACGTCTAAAGACAAAGCACTTCTATTTCTACATAGTCGGGTCCTGATTCCGGTCGGGCTGCGCAGCATCGACGACTTGCTAATTTTTTTTTCGGGTGACAAAGTTTATGATGACTGCGCAGTCTCTCGGATCATCTGCCCATACTGCTGCAGCCGTAACCTGCACCCTCTCGTCAGCCAAGATCACTGCGCTGTGAAATAGCGAACCACTCACAGGTTCCGGAGAAGCATCATAATCGTCACCTTCCCAATCGTGGGGAGATAAATGGACGCCTGCGAAGCCCAAGCCCCGACAAGCCCAGGTGGTCAGCGCTCGCGCAAAGCCCATCGCGGCGCGACGTACCCGGTCCCGCACGTCCGCCTCGAAGTTCTTGTCCGCAGCGACGTTCACCGCGACGCATCCGTCCTTGAGCGCCGCGGTCCGTACCTTGTAGTCGCGGCTCGGCACGGCGGAGACGACGACGTCGGAGTGCTTGAGGACCTCGTCGAGGCCCAGCGTCGCGGGGCCCGCGACGTGCCGGGTGTGGAACTCGCGCGCCGCGGCGGTCTGCGGCCGCTTCGTGTACTCCTGGATCGAGTCGATGTCCACGGAGAAGACACGCGCGCCGTCGTTCGCGAGCAGTGCGGCGAGCGGGCGGCCGACAACTTCGGACCTGGGGGCGCGGGCGGGCAGAGGTCAGCTTCGGCGGGTATCCAATGGCAGTGCGGCGAGCAGATGCAAAAATCATGAGATGTAGGTTCTTAGTTCCCATTCGTCAACGTGCATGTAATTTCACAATGCATGCGCCGGGGAGATGACTGGCAATATGCATTATGTGGGCGTGGAGTGAACGTGAACGTGTGCGAGGAAAGGGAGGTTGGCCAGAATCGATTTGGAAAGCGAGGACAGACCTGTTGATCACAGTGATGGTCTTGCCGTAAGCGCGGTCACCGTACGGGAGCAACTTGTTGTACACCCCGGTGTACTCGAGGACCTTGACGATTGCAAGGGGGGTGCAGGGAAGGATAGACTTCACGTAGCCTGGCGGAGGTTGATCGTCCGCTACATTGAGATGACCGGATGCGGACGCGTTGAGCAACGAGGATGCCAGAGTCTCTGGCTTCAGGAAGCGAATGCTGGTCGGTTCAGAAATGTCAGCAATGTTACTTGTTCTAGGGTCAGGGGGGACGAACTTATGATAGAGATTGTAATGCCATTTCGCGTGAAGGCCCTCGACATCCTTCAGAGGGGAGACGACCTGTATATATGGGTCAGACCATCGCTCCAAAGCCTATCTGACCTAGCTTGACCTGCTGGAGGTAGTGATCCTATCACAGCAGCATTTTCAGACATGGGACACGGAGAAAATTATGCAGAGGCGTACCTGCTGCGCCCCGAAGACGGGGTAATATACCTGGGCATAGAGATCCTCAACGGTCCTGAACACAGACACTTGAAGACAAACGCACCATGATCCCGTCCACAGTATCGTCCTCGTTCGCCTCAATGATCGCCTCCTCCGCCCCCTCGCCAGCTTGAAGCGATGCGTCTGCTGCCTGCCCGACTCGCCTCAGCTCGAACGCAACCCCCAGTGCCTCGCACTGCTTCCTCGTGAACTCCGCATAGAACTTGCTCGGCTCCGCCGCGGTCGACAGGATGCCCACCAGCTTGGGTGGGCGGGGCGCTGCAGCGAGCGTAGCTTTGATCTCGGCACGGAATCCGTCCGCGATCGCGTCCGACTTGAGGAGGACGCCCTTGCCCTCGGTCGTGGCCATGCTTGAGGAGAGACGGGAGAAAGAGTCACGGAGAACGTGTCGGGGCAGAAACACGATAGTCAGCGCAGTCAGAGCAAGAAGAACCAATGAGATTTTGCAAGTCGGTCTCATCTGGCAGACCTCTCGCCGTCGGCATGACTCGAAAGGTGGCGGAGGAAAGCAAAAATCGCGATCACATGACATCGGTCTGCAGGCGCGTTTGTCGTAAAACATATCGCACGCTAGGCGAGTCGCGTCTTCCTCACCTGTGGACTGAACAAAATGCAGCAATCTAATACAAGGAACCCATCGCCTACCCATACCGATGTGACAGAGGGTGGTACAAGCAACAATCCCCTCGCCTTTTACTAGGGGATTCCGTGTGCCACCCTCAACTTGATGTCATATACGAATTTTTCAGTCTCCTTGAACCTCGAGTTCATTGTGGATATCTTCTTTTTGGTTAGGTGCTGACAGATTATATATGCAAGACGCAGCGCAGAATGCTGAATGTGATATCACAAAGTACATGGTATGCATGACGTTTGTACGTCCCAAGATGCAATATACAACAAGTCTAGATCCTTGTAGGGTATAACGACCGCGCGGAGCCGTGTCCACATGTCAGAGCACAACATAGCAAGTTCCAATGTCCGCTGTCTTCACCATTCCACGCCTTTCGGGCTGTCCACTGGGCCCTCGATCTTCGACTCTTCCGCCTCGGATACAACCCAGCATCCCGGTCCACCCAACATCCGGTCCTCCCAATCCCTCTGCATCCGGACGCCCCAAACCGGCTTGCGCATCCAGCTCCGCTCGAGGACGACCATGCGCATGCCCCGCACGCGCTTGCACGTCCGCTCGAGCTCGCGCAGCAGGCCGAGCATGCCCGTCCACTTGCGCGCGACCTCGGGTCCCGCCTCCTCGTCGAAGCGCGGCTGGACGGCGGAGATCACGAGGAAGCGGAGGTTGGGGAACGTCGCGCCGTCTGGAACGACCGGCCCCGCCCGCGAGGCCGCGTCTCCTGGCGCCCTGATGCGTTCGCGGAGGGGAAGCGGGGCGGGGACGCCGAGCATCGCGGCGAGCACGTCCGAAAGGGCGTCTTCGGTGTACGTGACCCCGGAGAGACGGAGGTGGGTGAGCGACGTCGAGGCGAGGTCAGGGAGGCGGCGGAGGATGGTCTGGAAGGACATGTCCGAGTCCGTCAGGATGACATGCAGCCGCTTCAAGGAGGGACACAGAGGTCGGTGGACGTTGGCCTCGATGGACTCCCCGCCGAGCAAGAGGCTATCGAGCACGGGATGTTCCGCTAAGGGATGGTTCCAGACACTGAGCTCTTGCAACTTGGGGAAGTGTTGGAATAGAGGAATAGGCGTGGAAAGCTTGTGATAAGCTATGCTCAAGGTCCGGAGATGACGCGCGGCCAGCGCGAGGACCGCGGCAGTACCTCGCCCGTCGCGAATATCCTGGTTGTGTAGGAGGCTTTGGAAGAGACCCTGGCGAGCGATTGTGAGGTCCTCCAGGGCGATGTGGCGCTCAATATCGGACAGATGTGGTTTGTAGAAGAAGTTCCGAATCTTGCACTCCCTCGGGTCTCTGTGGGAGCGGAGGAAGATGGCTGACCGGGTTATAGTCCTGAACTGAACCGAGTGGAGCCTGCATTCGTGGGACTGTTCATGGAAAAACCTGCTGGTGAGGGCGAGAGCGCGGCCGGTAGCCCCACCGTCGGTGCATGCGTAGGAGAGGATATCATGCCATATTTCAGGAGGAAGGCGCTCGAGATGGCGTGTGGTGGGATGCATCGCACACGATCTGAGAAAATTCGATGGATGAGGAGACTGCGGTGGATGTGAGGGTGGTTGGGACCCACTTGGAAAGCGGCTGGCGATGGAAGTACATGGCAAGCGGAGATGCGGACTGGAATGCGAGATGGCTCTGGCCGAACTCACCATAAATACGGGGGCGGGAAGAAAGAAGAGTGGTGGTCGTGGGGGAGGAGGACCCACGCGGCCCTTGCACGCCTTGGACGCCAGTCAGGTCCTAGGCGGAGAACTTTGACCGATAGTGGGTGCGGCCAAGGGAAGCCGGAGACGACGGGGAACACGGGCTGCGTATATGGAGGGGTGAAAGTGGAGCAAAGCAAGGTGGCCGTCGAGGCACAGAGGAACGAGGAGGCGGACAGGTCCTGGGCTGCGGCACCTTTGTGCCACAAACGCGTCTCTGCCCGGTACCCTCCACGTGCCTCGACTACGGGTAACCAGTCCGACACGCAGGCGCCCAAAGTTCCGAGTCACACCGTATGGGCTACCGTCACCTTCTCTCAAACACCGTGTACGCGGTATCAAATGGAATACATAGTTTTGCACGGCCATATGCGAACTTTACTTCGGACAAGTGCAACGTTGAATGAAGGTTGACTTGATCTGTCTGCCAGATTGTTGCAACATGGCCCGCAGTCACTGCCGCTGTTACTATCTGTACGGCGAAGACTGCTTTCGACCACCACTTCCCTTGCTTTTATAGCATCTTGATCTCGTCGTCATAGTAAGGTCAGCCTCCCTTGTCCTCATTATGGTGGCAAATACATGCATCACGACATAAACTGGCCAGCCCCGCCGGTTACAATATTAGTCGACCCAGAGCTCAATATTCAATATTCAATATCAATGCCAGTCTCCTTGGGCCCGCATCAATATCCGGCCCGGTTCGCCTCTCGTCTACTCCGAAGCCCAAATCTACATTTGCTTCTACACCTAACCTAGACGGTGGTCTCCACTGCTACTTTCCCCTTTCCCGCTTCGGCTATGCTCGTCTGGTCTAGTACTACCACCCTCGGCGGCATGCTGGTGCCCATATTGTGCTCATTTTCACAAGCTCCCTCGTTTGAAAAGTCTCGCACCGCAGTCGACTCGCCATGTCACATCTGCGCAATGTGTGCATGAGCACCCATCAGCGATTCCGCTTTCCCATGCAATTGTATTGCGAGTCGGTTCAATTTGTAGATTGATAAGAATGCGGTCACCCCGTTGATCGCCTCAGAGGGTGGGCGCGGCGAGCACACACACCTGTTGTATGTATAGACGAATCATCCATCGACTCGCGTGATACAGATTAGGCGAGCATGGTATGTAGCTTGACTTGACTTGTTCCACGCCAATACATCGAGCATGAGTAAACGCCAGTATCTACTAACAAAAATCAAGGTCCGTGAGCGCTGCAAAATGAAGCTAGCATCCCTGTGTCATGAGCCGGGTCGATGAACCCATACTCCTTCACACCGTCCACCGCAAACACCTGCTTCGGAAGACGGCACGGATACCGTGCCTCACCAACACGTCCTGCCCAGTCGAAGCCGATAATCCTCACTTTATCCTTCGCATTTTCTTCCCACCCCGGGAGCAACAACACGTTGTGCCCGTGCACATACCCAAGCACCATCTTACCAGCGTGCAACAGCCCGATCGCCCGTGTCACCTCGGGGAGAGCGGCGTTCTGCTGATGCGAGCAAAACGCCACAACGCCCTCAACGTATTCCATGACCACCATCTTGTGACCGTGGTACCGAGGCTCTTCCACCCATACGTCGCCGCAATACAGCAGTTGCGGTGCCAGCTTCGCGTCCGCGAGAAGGCGGTGTGCGTCCGCGCCGTAGTGGCTGACGAACTTGACGACCACGTCGCGGTGCCCCGGCTCGTCCGCATCGATGCGGGCACGGAAGACGGTCGCGCTTCCGTCGGTGCTGTTGAGCATGCCGACGTATGTGAATGCGACGACGCGACCGCCAGCGTCGCGGAAGCGGGTCGCGAGAGGGAAGAAACGGGCCGTTTCGGACTCGGGCGTCGGGAGGGGTCCGAGGGTGGCGTAGAAGGCGCGCAAAGACTCCAGCCCACGCGCGAGGGCGTAAAGAACACGCGCGTTCTCCAGTAACACGGCATCGTCTAGGGGGTGATCCCGTGCGAGCCATAGGTCTCGCGTCAAGCGTTGCACAATGGGCTGCCTTGCAATGGTCGCGCCAAAAATGGACATCCGTGGACCAGCGATGCCAATCAGAAATGAGGGCACTGAGCAGCTGTGGCTGATGATCTGCGCATGATGCGCGTCGGTGTGAGCACGCGATGGGTGAGGCTGGATGCACGTACTTTGGGCGGGCTCCGATAGTAGTCGATGTACGTGCTTTGTGCGATGCGTCCGCCGTACCCGTCTTCGATGTCGAGCTCAATTACAGTCAACACGGCGGTATCCGAGCACGGCGGAGGAGCAGTGACGGTGATAGTGTTGCAACAGAATCCTAGCTCAACAGGCAAGCCCAAGATGCTGGAGAGAACTGGAAAAACTTCGTCATGGAGTGTGACGTGATCGAGAGGGAGAGCAGAGCAAAGGTGCATCAACTCTCCAGTGCGCCTGACAATTTCTTCTGGAACAGGAAGATCGAGGGAACTAGACAAGGCGACGAAGGTGGAAAACGAGGGGATGATGACCTCGAGCGGCGGAGAAACTGGCAGACAGACAGCGTCAGTGTTGGGGTGCTTTCCGTCGAGGACTACACTCGCACCGCGTTGAACCGAGTCGCTATGCTGTGAGTCTTGAGATGGTGTGCCACCACCAACACCAAAGGCAGATTATACGAATGTCAGCATGATGCCAACGGTTACGCGCATACCACGCACTCTGCATCGTCTGGCCCGGCATGCTATGGCTACCCTCGTGTTCTTCTTCAAGAGGATGTCCACTGACCGCAGCGGATCGTCTGATCTCATCCCTTGTGAGCCGTTCCATTGGAAGGACCTCAGCGATCAGAGCGCATGTGCCGCTTGGAGGCTGTGATTCGGTGGTATTAAGGATGGACCCGATGTTGCATCCACCGCCTGGTCTCGACATCAACCTAGTAAGCTTGACACAAAATTCCTCGAAGCGAGAGCCGTGCTCGCTTAGGAGACATTGTAATTGCTCTTCGTCCTGGGCGTACAAGGGCTCCTTTGGCTATGGGCACAACATGACTCTCATCGCTGGTCGACTAGACTCGAGGGATGGAAGACATACCTTCCAAATCTCCAGACCAGATGATCTGAAATCTACGTTCGTTGTACGCGCTGCGGCCGAGAGGACATAGAGATAGACGGCTTTAGACACGATGCAAACCGAGGCGAGCCGAGGTTGAATGGGGAATCTTCTGTCAACAACGAAGAGGGGAATATGGAGAGTGGAAGAGGACGCCATCGGGCGGTCTTGTAGAAAAAAGCGTGCCGTGAACTTGATGGTTTATGTACGCGGTGGTGAAAGGGGAAGCGGATGATGAAGAATGCTTAAGAGCGCCGACGTACTATGTAGATTGCTCCGCCCATTCGCGGGCACGTATCCCCGTGCTCTCACCCCTCAAGGTGTCATATGACATACACCCACGTCAGTTGGTAGGCTCAATCATCTAGTCTCTTTCGTCGTCTAGTCCGGATGCTGCTCGAGAGAGCACGCGTGTTTCCCCGTGCCCTCCACACCTGGACGGACAGCCGCCCCGGAAAGTTCATGTACGCTTCTGTAGCCTCCATCTCGACATGGTCAATACTCTACCTTGGCGGGGCGGATCGGCATGAAGGTGCGACTGTAGTGATCTCGGATTGTTCCCGGTGTCTAGCGTCGTGGTCCTTCTCATGCTCCTCATTGCAAATATCTCGTCGGTTTTTCTCGTCTCCACAGGTTCTGCCAGTCTTGGCCTCCGTCTCGGTTTCGGGTCTACTGTCTCAGATTCAGCATAGCGTGCAGCTTACCCAGAGATATCTCCCCTACATACACAACGTGTGAACGCACCGTTATCGAAGACAAACGCAAGAGGTGGATGCCGCGTGCTGAGCGCTGCGTCCTTATTCATCGAGCGCTTCGAGGCACAGTCTGCAAGTGCAACAATGCACCGACCCTTGACCTTTTTCTAACCTCTTTCGCCATTTTGCATGACCTCGGTCACTCGCGTACTCACCATCCACCCCCGTTTTCCTTCTCGTCTCGATCAATGCCAGCCTCGTCTGCGGTCATGCAGACCACACCCCCGGGCTCCATATTCCAGTCGGACTAGCAGTGGCGAAGACGCACCTACCCAAGCAGACCACAGCGCAAGCTCCAAGCTTTTTGCAGACGCGGCGAAGGAAGAAGCCGAAGACGTGGACCCCGTCAAGGCTGCCCTCGTCCAGCGGCTCGAGCAGCGAAGCGAGAACTGGACTGGGGACGAGCCGATGGAGCACGCCGTGCTCCGCATGCTCGTCGACAAGTACAAGCCCATGCGCGGCGGGTCCATGCGTTCCGCCGAGGAGAAGCTCAAGCAGGCGCTCCCGAAGGTGCGCTCCGCGGACGGCTTCGCGAGCGCATCCAGCGTCGGACTCGTTGCAGGGGAGGTCGCGGGCCCGAGTCCGAGCGCGAGCACTGGCTCGAACCCGCTGCAGGAGCATGTCCCCATGCGCCACATCCGCCCGGATGAGCCCATCCTCCCCGGTATTCCCGGACATCAACCGTGGCACACCACCTTCACCGTGCCCTCGCATGCGAGCTCGAGCATACGATACGGCAACATACCTCAGCCGCCCCGCGCGCCCGCGCGCGAGGGCCCTTTCGCAGGTGGTCTTCCGCTCGACGACAAGGCGCGCCGAGCGGAGCTCGAGACGCGGCGGCGGATGCAGCAAGGTGTGCGGCTCTCGCGCGCGCGCGACTCAACGCTCGACTACCGCCTCGGCCAGTACAAGGGCGGCGCAGCGGACCAGGTGCGGCGGCCAAACCCAGTGACGCTCAAGGGGTGGGCGAGTCTGGTCGAGGATCGAATAGAGGTGAGTATGTGCCATTGCATCTCCGCAGGCAGTCCTCTGAGACGTCGCAGAAAGCACGACAGGCGGGGCACTTCAAGAACATCAGGGGGAGAGGCCAGCCGATGGTCCGCGCAACGGAGGACAAGAACCCCTTCATTGGGAGAGAAGAGTTCCTCATGAACCGCATTGTACAGCGGCAAGGTGCAGCTCCGCCGTGGGTAGAGATTCAGGGAGGTGCGTGATCAGTCGTTGTGTGCATTGTCCTTGTTCTCTTAGTAGTGCATTCGCAGAGCTCGAGACGGCCGTGCATGCCTTCCGCGAAATCGTCAAGCAGTCCTGGACAAGGCGCGCGCTCCGCACCCTCACGGCCCTGCACCCTGCGTCCCTCCTTCCCCGCCTCACCCTCGACGACGTTACCGCGATGCGCGACCCAGAATGGGAAGCCAAAGAACGCTCGTATCACGAAACGGCGCTCGAAGAGCTGAACAGCCTTGTGCGCAAGTATAACGGGTTGGCACCGTATGCCGTCAGACGAGCCTACTACATGCGCAGCGTGGAGCTCGAGCGTGTGTACAAGGAGGCTGGAGAAGACATCTTGGAGGGTTTCACCGAACGAGCCAAGCAGGGTGGTGCGCTCCCGAGAAGGCCTGGCTTCGGCGATGAGGATGAAGGCGGGGGTGGGGCAGGTGATGGAGCAGGCAGAAGCTTCGGCTTGCGGGACATGTTCAGAGACCTTGTCGCTGCGATCCGCGGGCGATAGCGCAGACTTCTGGGTAGGTGGGCCAATGTCGCGTTGCACCGGCGTGGGGACCACGTTTGTGTGTGCTTCTATCGACGATGTCTTCTTCGCACTGCCCGCGGTGGTGCTGTACACAGACGGGAGGTTTAGAGGCCTAGATATGTATCACTGACCACGCTCACTTGCCACCACAAAACCACGTTGTTGGCCTCAGCCTGTGTGGATACCCATCTTATCGAGTCTGCCCTCGTGGGTCGCTCGTGGCCTGCACGAGCGTCGGCGCCGGTGGACGTCGCAGCTTGCCATCGAACCACCACGATGCCCTCCGCCGCCGACGCACCTTGATCATCGACCTCGCATCGAGCCCCCACGTTCCAAGAGCGTGCAGAACGGCCCGCCGGGAGCATTCGTTGCGCAGACTCCGCGATCAACACCCCGGACCCTTGGCGGGCAGTGGCGCCATAGCCCGCGCCTTCCCGCCTCCGGACTCGCGCCAAATATTTGCCTTGTCCTGGTGTACAAACAACGGCTTCCGACGTACAAAGCTCGCCCGCTCCCACCGCGTTCGCCGCACAACGCACCCCGGGTCTCTTCGCGAGCGTGAATGAAGCCCCGCGCGGGTCGGTGGGAAGGCAGGGTCGAGGACAATAGCGGCCGGCGGGGGCAGCCCGTCGCGGCGGGGGGACGCGGGCGCACGGGGACGGGGAGGCTAGGGCGGCCTCATGGCTGCCTCGCGCCGCGCGGGGGCTCGCTTGCATCTAATCACCCTCGTGCGTATAAAATCCCGCCCCCATTTTCCTCCCGCTTTTCCGCATCCTTGCGCTCTTCCTCGACGCTCCGCCCCCGCCCCCGCCCTCGTCACCGCCCTCGCTCACTTCAACTCACAAGCCATGTCCTCCTACGCGTCTGACGACATCGTGGTGCGTACGCCCTCTCTTCGCGACGTCGTGCGCGTGCTCATCTCTGCGTCGCCTTCGCCCTCGCTTTTCCCCCCGCCGCGTCCTCGTATGCCCCTTCATCCGCACGCGTCGCACACCAGCCCGGCGACATCGTTGCGGTCTCCCACAGCGGCGGCAGGAAGGAGGGCCTCGTCGTCGGCTCCCACATCGACTACGCTGTGCGTGCCTTGCCCTGCTTCCGCTCCACCGTCCGTTCCTGCCGCTGACACAGTGCCCACCCTTCCTCGCTCTGCGCTGTGTCCCGCATCCCTCCGACGCGTCCGCAGGGCCGCCAAATCGTCGAGGTCCAGATGGAGCCCGGAGAGATCTACCACGCCTGGTACGTCCCCGCGCCCGCCCTTGCGCTTCCCTTCGCTGCGCCGACGCTGACGACCCCCCGCGCGTCGCACAGGTACCCCACCGTCACCCGCGTCCGCCGCACAGTGCAGTACCTCCCTGCCGCAGCCCACCGCAAGCGCACCGTCGAGCGCCAGATCTACTGGTGAACACCGAACTCTCCGCCGCCGCTCTGCGACGTGCGGTTCCCGCGACGTCCCGGCCACGAACACAACCCGCTCTTGCTCAACGCTGACGATCATGCCACGCCCACACGCTTCATTGATGTATGTACGTTCATGACGGTGTCGGCCAAGCTGGACGGTCCCGCGCGCCGCGGCCTGGGCGCCGCTTCCCCTAGGACACCTCCCTCCCTCCCTCTCGTGCTCGTTACGTGACAGCTACGTCTGTGCTTCTCCGGCCTGGTGTTCTCGTATGTATCTCGTTAGAACGCCTCGGTTGTCTCTCCTGGAACCCCCTTCCCCGTCCTGGATGTCGTGGAGCTTGTATGCTATATCTTTACGTGGGTGAAAATGCGGAAACCGTGCGCTCATCGGTACATGCCTGTATGTCTCGCCGTGCTCAGACTCGAGGCCCTCGGAGCCAAGTCACAGTCGCCCAGCTGGGGTGAAGCTTAATTAAAGCAAGGCTCCAGATTACTTAATATCACAGACTTGGTGTGTGCATACAATAGGTAAAAAAAACAAGTACAACGACCGTGCGGTCGTCCGTCTACGCCTACGCCCTCAGCGACGCTGGCTCGCGCCCCACGTCCATCGGCCGCTTCGTCTTCCGCAACCGCGCCTGCTTCGAGGGCGACGGCGGCGGCTGCGGAGATCGAGGCGACCGCTGCGCGTCCTCCAGGTTCCGGTCTCGCGGCGGCAGGTTGATGTGTGACGGTCGATGGTGGTGCGAAGGCGAGTGCGGCTGAGCTGGCGCCGCCTGGACCTGCGAGTGAGAGTGCGACCGCGACCGCCCGTGTCCGCCGCTCGCCTTCGCGTCTCCGCTGGCTTGCGCGTATGCGTGTCCGTGGACGGGCGCGGTCGCGGTCGAGAGCGTGGTCTTCGCGGTCGCGGCGGACGCCGTGGTCGTCGTCGAGGCTTGCGACTGAGCGCTCGTTGACCGTTCCATCGGCGGTGCGCTGGGCCGTGCGGTTACTGTAGAGCCTGTCGAGTGCGAACCGGACGCGGACGTGCGGCGAACGACGCGGGGGTCGACGGAGCGCTCCCGCTCGTCCCTACTCCGACTCCCCACCCGCTCGTGGTGCCCATCTTCCCTCTCCCGTTCCCTCTCCTGCGGCATCACTGTTTCCTGCGACGCACGCGAGTCGACGTCGCTCGTTGCTGCTGGAGGAGGAAGAGGAGGACCGAGCAGCGTGCGGGGAACGTACACGCGCTCGTAGAAGAGCATGAACGCCCCGACACCCTGTTGCCGCACCTGCGAGAACCCGACCTCCTCCACCTTGTCATCCGATATGTGGAGCCAGCCTCGGCCCGGGCCAGGAGGCGGCGCGTCGTCGTCGCGCACAGGCCCGCCGAACATGGTGCATCGCGCGCACTCGCACCCGTACAGGCACGCGAGCTGCGGCAAGGAGAGCTTGCCGTGACCGCGGGGTTTCCGTCGGAAGCAGACGTAGTGCCCGCCTTGGTGCACGCCGTAATGGCATACGACTGCGGCGAGGCGGTAGAGGGTGCGCGGGATGTACGTGCCGGGAGTTGGAGTGAGGGTGCGCGCAGCGACGGGAGGGGGGGAGGAGATGGGGAGGGATGGTGCGGTGGATAGCTGACCTGAGGTCGTGAATGGGGTGAGGTCGAGTATTTCTGAGAAGGAAACGTGGCAGTTGTTTTTCGTCGCGCCGTACGCGGTGTGCACGGAGCGATTTAAGTGGAGGGCAAGCACGGGCGGGGGCTGGGGTCGATCAGTACAAGAGCACAAGTGAGGGATGGGGCTACTCACGCGGGCAATCATGGACTGCTTCGTCGCGGGGCTGATTATCCTGTCTAATGTCACGCCCTTGATGTCTTCCTCCACTCTTCCCGTCTGCAGCAGCTCCTTGACCTTCGCTGCCAGCTTCCGGGCCTCTCGCGCGCGCTTCTTTCTGGACGATGATGGATCAGGTGTGGCTTGCGCCGCTTTTTTTAACTGTTCCGCGTCCTGTTCTAGCCTCAAGGAAGTTGCCTCCAGCGAACATCGGCGACATACGCAGTCTTGCAGAAGCTCTATTCGCGTGTACTCCTCCAGACAGTCCTCCAGCATGCACACGTTCTGCTACCGTCGTTAACGAGAGCTCACAATGAGAGGGGCATAAGTGCAGACGGACACACCTTCATCGTCGGGACCGCAAGCTGCATATTGTTGAACGGGAAGTGCATAACAGCCTCGGTATACCCGCACCTCATACAGCTTCGTCTGTTCGCGGTCAACCCATCGAACACCGACCTGTTCAAATCTCGACTTTCCTGATGGTCCTGTGGGGTCAGACGTCCCAGCCCACGGTCCCGCCGGATTTCTTTGGCGACAGCAGAGCTTTCGTTCGCGACGGATTCAGAAAGAAGCTGGAATAGCTCCTGGGCGTCTTGGTGCTCTCTTGACGAAAATAGAGAGTTGTGTCTTCCCTGGTTTTGTTTTCCTAGAGCCGCAATGATGTCGTAAGGACGAAAGGCGCGAGCATGGGGCAATGGAGTATTGAGAGCTGGAAGCGGAGTTGAGCTGGCCCCACAGTAAAGAGAGTATGGAACACACCGCCTAAGAGATCACAAAGGGCAGAGACGACAGGAACATCCATGTCGTAGGTATCTGCACTGGAAAGTACTCGGTCTAATTGTGGAGTGAGATATGCAAGAGAGGCCATGGCCTGACGAGTCGGTCAGCATATTAGCATGCAGATGGCATCACGGCTGGCGACAAACGAACGACCCCTTGGGCGCAAATAGTCGGCTCAGAGGGCAAGTGCGTGCCTTGAACCAAGGCGAGCCCGAGAACGGGGGAGGTTGAAGCCCGCTATATGCGCGAAGGGAAATTACTCTGTTGTCGGCAGCAACAAAGTACTTTCCGCACATTGGGCCGCGCCGTGAAAAGAATGAAGACCACTCACTTGAACTGTTGAATTCATAAAACAATATGTGCCCGAGATATTGACGAGACCAGGATACCATCCATCCCCTTGACTGTTCGATGAGTATTCTACGACAGGGTTCATACAGCATAGACATATAAACGGTGGCGCGGCGCACCTTGGCTTTCCGTCCGTGCGACATACTCGTCCCGAGACTGAGATCGGATGTGCGCTCGCCGGCGCAACTTCCTCGAAGATACGCTACTGCTGGACTGGCCCTCACTCCAGTTCCAAGGAAGAACACTGGCAACGGCGTTGAGCATGGAATTGAATGTGGCGGCGAGTGCGGTGGCGAACGAGTAGAGGTGTGTGCTGAGGAGGAGGACGAGAGTGGGGACAAGGATGAGGACGACAAGAGGTGCGATCTGCTGGAAGAGAGGATTGGAGAGCACGACGTAAAGGTAGTAGTCGAGGTTGTCGAGGGAGGGCATCTAGTGTGAAAGTCCTGACCCCGGCAACATGGAAGTCAAGTGCAAGTAGTGATTCAGCGGGCCAAGTCCTAGGCCCGGACCGTGGACGGTGACGCGAAGGCCATGTGGCCATGACTAAGCAGGACTGCCGGATTAGACGGTGTGTTTTGGGTTCGTGTACGCGCACGTATCCATATGTGTATCGGTACACAGTGTACTCGGAAACACCGACCTTCTGTTTCTGTATATCTCATGTGGCTCTACAGAGCTGGATGACTATCTTGTGGTTGAGTTGCCGGAGATGATACGAAGCGCTCACGGACGTCCACGCCACCAGGGAAACGCGTCGGTGGCTGCCAGGTTCGACTTTTGTTTGATTTGCTCGACGCGTCTCTTGTCCTGCCCCTTCCCCCGCCCCGCCCACGCCCCGCGCCCTCTCTTCACGGCACGCGACCGCGCGTCGGAGCCCGCGTCCTTGCTTCTTGGTTGAGCCTCTGTCACCGTTGGCGGCACGGCTTCTCGCGGAAGCGTCGCCGCTTTGGATAGATGGCCGCCACCGCCCTCTTCTCGTGTCACTCGTCCAACCCCTTCGAGAACACGCTCGAGAGCCCCTCCGCCGGCGCCCACGGCTGTCCACCTCTCTTCCACAGACACATGGATATCGACCTCGCCCAACAGTTCTCCGACGATGGACCAAGCGAGACCACCCTTCCGCAGCTCGAGCAGTACCATTCCCACCTTGCCCAGCTCTTCCCCGACGCCAACATCCCCACGTACAACTACGGCGCGTCCTCAAGCAAGAACACGCTGGAGAAGATGCCGACCAACCTGAGCGTGGAGGAGAGTGTGGACGATGAGATGCTGAGCGACGACGACGAGGAAGATGAGGAGATGGTCGATCCGGGTGACGAGCTCGAGGTCGATCTCGACGACGATGACGACGAGGAAGAGGAAGATGAAGGCGACACCACCGACGAGGAGTCCTCCATCCTCCTCAAGCCTCGTTCTGAACAGGCCGAGATTCTCGAGGAGATCGTCGACCTCGAGAATGCCGTGCCCGACCTCGCCGAAGACTACAAGCTCCTCGACCGACTGGGTACGGGCACCTTCTCCGCCGTCTACAAGGCCCTCGATCTAGGCTATCACACAAGATGGCACAACAGAGAGTGGCATGGACGACATCCCCCAAACTCTTCTGCGCACTACCAGAGTGCTTCGCATCCTCGAGACCAGAAAGTGTACGTCGCCGTCAAGCGTATATATGTCACCAGCGGCCCCGAACGGATACGGAACGAAATCTCCATTATGGAGGACTGTAGAGGGTCCCGGCACGTGTCTCAGATCATAACCGCATTCCGACATCAAGACCAGGTGGTCGTCATTATGCCCTACCAGAGGAACGCCGACTTCAGGGTAAGCCGCCTACGTCATTGTGTACGCGTCGTGCCTCGCTTATATGCGCGTTCACGATGCGTCTCAAAGGACTACTACAAGTACATGCCTCTCGCGAGCGTAAAGTGTTACTTCCGCTGCATGTTTCGGGCGTTGCGCGATATCCATTCTCGCGGTATCATCCACCGAGATGTGAAACCAGCAAACTTCCTGTACGACCCCCGCACAGGGATCGGAACGCTCTGCGACTTCGGTTTAGCCTGTGTGGGTTTCTTTTTATAGCCGTGACATATCCAAGTGGTTTGACCCACATCTCGGCCACCATAGCGCATTGAAAGAGGGCAGAGCCACGGAGCTTGTCTTCACACGCCGCCGACTCGGGACTTTCCCCACGGTCGTCTGAAGCCAAGGGTGGACCTGAACGTAGATCGCATCAAGAAAATGCAGAGGGACGCGCGTTTGAAAAGCGCAAGTCCGTCCGACAAGATAGGCTACCCTGCCAAAGACGCTCGGCAAGTTGTGCTCAGTAAACTATATGCGCGTTCTGACGTCTTCGTAGACCTCGATCCAAGGCCAACCGTGCTGGTACGAGGGGCTTCCGTGCACCTGAAGTCCTCTTGAAGTGTGGCGACCAAACCGGAGGTTCGTGAGGACACGTGCCATGGGTTCTCCGTGCTCATGATTTGCTCTAGCTATCGATGTTTGGTCGGCGGGGATGATCCTGCTGTTCTTCTTGACGAAGAAGTTCCCCCTCTTCCAGTCAAATGACGACACCGAGGCTCTGATGGAGATTGCCGTCGTTATTGGCAAGAAGCGCATGGAGAAGACGGCGACCCTGCACAGTGAGTTTCTCTGAGAAATCATGGTTGTTGCCGCCTCATGAAGACGGAAACGCAGGTCGCGTTTTCCAGTCCAACGTTCCCTCTCTGTCGCAAGAGGGCACCACGTGGAGGCAGCTCGTGGAGAATCTCAACCCGAATATCCGCGTGCCAGCCGTTCATGACCCGTACTTCTTCCCTCCGCCCCCACCGTCCCGCGCCAACAGCCATCCGCCATCCTCCTCATCCGCTTACTCCCGCTCCTCTTCCGCTGGGCCCGAGCGCTACTCTTCTCCATCTCCCGCCGACCTGGAAGCCTACTCCGCCGAGATCAACTTCGCGCTCGATTTCCTCTCGCAGATCATGGAGCCTGAGTCGACGAAACGGCTGACGCCACGCAAGGCGCTCTACCACCCATTCCTGCGCGACCCTGCGGAGCCCGAGGACGACGAGGTGGTGCCGCACCCGTTCGGCTTTGGGGCGTGCAGCGAGCACCACTTCGTCGACGAGGAGACCGACGAGCTGTGCGTGCGCGTGAAGCTCGAGGGCAGGGAGGACTGGGTCGTTCGGCGGGTGCCGGCCGGGGAGGGCATCGCGATCGGGAAGGAACCGTGCGAGTTTCATCGCGACCCGGCAGCGAAGCAATCCGACCAGAGTGAGGGCGAGGGAGAGTAACGATATACTCATCGTGTTTATACCACCTGCAATGTTGTGACATTCTCAGCGACTATACGCGCACCATCATGGCGACAAGCTTTTAGACTTTCTTGCCCGTGATCGTATGACGTCAGTCGATCTCGAGCATTGTTTGGAACAATCGCAGAGTATGTGCGGGTCAACACCGAGCGCCCAGGCTTTGAAAGACGACGCATGGCAGTCACTGTTCCTATCGATAGCGCTAGAAGGACGAGTACGATTTACCCTACTTCCGTGTAGCAATTCCAGAGGTCCGTATTATCCTATCCGTCCCGAGAATGCGTTAGGTGGGCTCAGATGGTAAGACAAGCCAACCAAAACATCTCGTTGATGCTTGTTGTTGTATATCAGGTTCCCTTCAGTCTCTGGCTTGCAGTATGTACTCGAATGTGGCTTGGCAGCTGATGGTATCGCAGGTCCCTTTACACATTTCGTGAGGAGTGGTGACGATTTACTTCACGGACACAACAGGGTTGGTATCAAGCAACAAGTTCCGATCGGCACCCAGGCTTCGTTTGGGCCTCGGTCCGAGAGATGCAAGGTTTCCACGTGACTGTTTCTGTAGGGTCTCCGGATCCGGATGGTAGACCATACTGGTAAGCGCAGGTCGCGGTCCTGTGAACCGAGCGACGACTCAGAACGAGAGCATGGATAGATGGATGCGATGGAATGATGTCATGGCCGGGCCGCGAGCGGGCAGCTAGCGCTGGCGGGCACGAGCTGATGCATGATCGCGATCTCTGCGGCACGTCGCGGCCGTGCAAGTCTCACCTCTCCCTCCCCCCGCCACCGTCGCCTTCTCTCTCGTCTGCTCGTCTTCCCCTCCTCCTCACGCTCGCTCCTGCCCTCCTGCCCTCTCACAGCCTACTCCTCCTCCTCTGCCCGTGCGATGTCCATCAACACGATCACCCTCAGTCCAGAACGCCGGCCGCTCCCGACGCCCGACGAGATGAGCATCCGCGATCTGAGCAACATCGAATACATCCTCTCCCTCTCCGAGCCGGGAAAAAAGCTCGACGGCCGTGGCCACGTCTACCTCAGCGACAGCAGGGTGCGTCTCGCGGCTCGCCGCCGCCGCCGCTCTCCACCCCAGCCCCGTGCCCCGCTCACGCCCTTCCGCCCGCCATCGCCCGCCCATCCGAACCGACACCGCCCCCGCCCGCCCGCTCGCGCGCCCGGCCCCGCACGCGCAGGTCGTCATCGTCGCCGACGCCGTGGGCGCCGACGGCTTCGAGACGCTCGCCGTCCCGCTCACCTCGCTCGCGGGCGTCCGCGCGGACCCCCCGAAGCTGCTCTCGTCCTCGCCGCGCGTGACGCTCGACGTCGCGCCGCCGCCGGCGCGCGTCGAGGGCAGGTACGGCTGGTGCGTGCGCGCGGAGCTGCGCGGGTCCAAGGCCGAGCTCCCGGGCTTCGCCGCCGCGCTCGATAAGACGTACGAGCGCGTGGCCGCGCAGGCGAAGGCGAAGGGCACGGGCGAGGACGAGTTCGACCTGCGTGAGTGCCGCCCCGGAGTCGTCCACGTTTTCCCCCCAATTCGAATGCGCATCCGCCCCATGGTGCGCCGCGAGCGCGGGCACGTCCTGCCCCCGCCCGCCGCTGTCCGGGGAGGCCCTCCGCCGGGCGTGGCTCTTTTCGTGCGCCCTGTTATCCGTTTCCCTGTTTCGGCTTGCGTGTGTGTTTCCGTGAGCCGCGGTGCGATCGTGCGCCCACCGGGCCGGTGCAGGCATATTGCCGATGGATCGGGATACAGGAGGACGGGGAGGTTAACGACATCCGCGTGTGCCAGGCCCCTGGGCTCCTTGGGTGGTTTCTATGCTCCTAAAACTCTTCCTTCTTTGCATAATACCGTACTGAATTCCCTTTCTTCACAGCCCTCTACGCCGCGGCGGGCCCGAGCGGGAGTGGGAGCGGAAGTGGGCCGTCGACGTCGGACGTCCCGTCGGACGCGCCGCCTGGGTACGAGCCGTAAGGCCTGAAGCCAAATGGTGGAAGGAGACGGACGAGGAATCCGCTGTCCGCGCGCGCAGATCTAGATGGGCGATGGAAGGAGAGGCAAGAGCGGGATCCAAAGGAACGTGGTCGTGCAACACGCGTGTAACGAGTCTGTGTATGTACTCTACGCCGTATTTATTCGCCTCCGCGCCGGGCTGTGGTCGGGAGCCGTGCGTGAGTAGATAGAGGACCTGCCACTGCGGGAATAGGCGCAAAGACTTTCATGCGCAAGCTGGGTTTCCTTTCAATCGCTTGAAGCTGACCTTTCTCTGGTGAAAAACCCGGCCTGGGCTCGGCCGGGCCGCGGCCACGGATAACTGGCGCGACGTGAGATTGCGGTGTGGATCTGGAAAGCAAAGCGACGGTGGGTGATACAGCTGTACAGGGCGGTGGGAGACGACAAACGAAGGGCTACATATATACTAGATGGCAATGGGCATAAAGTTCACTAAAGTGTAAGCCAGCCGCGGGGGGTCGTAGCACTAAGTAGTGTATGTGTATGTGTATGTATGCAGACGAGTCTGTATGTGACAAGGTCATGCCAGGGAATAGCGGGGAATAAGGGGGGTTTCGCGCGCGGCCGTGTCGAGAAGGGCGAGATGGTACAACGTCGCACTGGTGCACTACGTCCCTCGGGGTCTCTCCAAAACCCTGTGGACCGAAGTTTACCTCGATGCGGTCTCCAGGCCATCATCATACGGCAGCGGGCTCGGCACTGCCCGCGCGCCGCCCTCCAGGGCCGAGCGTGTTGAGCTCGACCTCCGTCCGCACCGGTTCCCACTCCCCGTCCACGTCCTCATCCTCATCCGCCTCCCCGCCGTGCGCCCCGCACGAGCCGCCGTGGCTCCGGCTCGTGTCGGGGGGCGTCATCAACGCGCCGGCGCCCGAGGGCGGGGTGACGGGCGAGGCGCGTTCGCTGTCCGGGACCGCGAACCGGATCGAGGACGTGCGCGGGTCCCGCGCGGCGGCCTCGAGCGCGCGGTCCACCTCGCGGCCGAGACGCGTGGTCGTGAACGAGCGGCCGCGGTTGACGTGCCGGAGGTCGAGCACGAGCCGCTGGCCGGCGACGATCATGAGCGTGAGCGTGAAGGTGGCGACGAGCTGGTTGAGCAGGCGCTGTGGCGGGGAAGGCGCAGCACGGGGGGAGGAAGGGACAAACAGATTAGAAGACATCCTGGGGACTAGAGACAAGCGGGCGGCGTACGTCGGCGTACATGGTCCAGAGGATGATGTTGAAGATGCTGCTGAAGATCGTTGTCGTGAAGTACAGTGCTCCTGCGGGAGTGGGGTTAAGTCTGTGGTCGATCGGGGGCGCGCAGGGGACTCACCGTCGCGGGCAATGATCCATACTATTCGGCCTCCGTCGGACGCGAAGACGAGGTTTCGGTCAAAGTGCCGTAGGGAGACTAGAGTTAGTACGAAGACCGTGCATTCCAAGACCAGGCTGGAGTGAAGGTTAGCGCGGTGACAGGCGTTGGACCACCTCATAGGGAAAGGACATACCCGGGCACCCATAACAGCCACTGGGAAAAGTGCCATTCAGTGGGTGAACGAGGCGCCAAAAACTATATGCTTACTGCGAGGGCTGTGTGTGGGCGCAGGTAAGCGAGGGGGCCGGGTGCAGAAGGGGCGAAGGGACTCACGAGGAATGGAGCCGATGCAAGTCCCTACGATCCCGGCGAAAGGGTATGCATCAACTGAGCCTCGTTCTGTTAAGCACACAACTCGATCACTTCGCCATTGGGCAGGCTGAACACGTGAGCTTACCGCTAGTGACGACAAATCCCCAGGCCAGAATCCCCAGGCAGATCATGGAGTATAGGCCGAAGAGCATCCCGAGCGCCCACAGCAATTGTGGGTGCCGACCCCACGTCGCCCACGCGCGCAGCAGAACGAGTACTGACCCACCGTAGGCGCCATCAGCACAACATGGAGTGAAGAGTGACAAGGGGAGTATGCACCATGAACGCACGCGTAGGACAGGAACTGGAATGCAGTGAGGATAAGCTGTGAGCGAAAGCAAAACTGGCGAGTGCCTGGTCGATGAGCGTGCGGTCCGGCAGCGGGCAAAGCGCGGATATACCGACGTTCGGATCGTCCGCGCGGAAGACGCCCAGAGCTTGCGCGACGGTGAGGGCCACGACCCCGAGGTTGGCATAGCGGTTGTACAGGTAGATGAGCTTCGCGGACGACATTCGGGTCGGCCAGATATATCGGACCTAGGTTTGAGTTGAACAAGAATGTGCGGAGAATGGGCGAGCCTAGGGAAGGGTACGTACGTCGTCGGCCATAGTAGCAAAGTGCTCCCACACAAAAATGACGAACCCAATGAGACTGACATATCTGGGAGGGTTCGTTCGTAAGGGATGGGTGCATATATCAAGGCATGCGATAAACTCACCGAACGGTGTGGAGGTCGGTGAAGTACTGTGCATCTAGCGTGAAGACATCGCGTGCTGTGTGTCTGAGACGGACGATCGTTGAGCGCGGGCCGGAGGTGGAGGAGAGGGGTGTGCCGGGACGAATTCACGGAGCAATCGAAAGGCGGGTGAGTACTCACTGCATGGGCCTCGGCGCGCGTCGCCGCAGAGGGCGGGCGGAGACTTGGACAGTCCTGGCCGGGAGTCTGTGCGGGGGCAACGGTTACGGTGGCATGCACACGACGGGGTGCTTGGGGAGAGCGGTGGACAGAAGGCGGGGCATGGATTAATTAAGAAAATAAGCCATCAGCGCACGGGGACATTAATTCGGGCGGCAAGAAGGACCCCGGAAATCTAGCCTCTTCCGGCGATATCGATGTGCTCGGGCGCGTGCCGCTCGCCCCTGGGCAGCCCTGGGCCTGCCACGGACATCTGTGAGACAGCGAGCCTCGGTCGACTCTCAACGTCGTGCGCACGCCGACCTCAATGCACTTGATCCCGTGGCCACCGTGTGGCCTGCGAGTTGCAAACATAACTCGAGCAGCCACATGAGCACCATGCTGGGAGAGAACCACGTCTAATTATCGCCACTCCGCAGCTCACAGTTGGTCGGGCTCGCGTTCACCTCTTCGCACGGAATGACGTTATCGCCGTCGTGATACAGACAGCGACAACGACCGCTTCACACGCCAATCTCACAAGTACTCTGCGGCACGGGCGCCAGATAACATGAGCCTGAACGAAAAGCGTGAGCGTCGCGATCCCGGGATGGCATAATGCGGCTTTGCTTCGCACCAAGGCACCACGCACCAGCACCCTAGTATGGTTTGAATTTCCGCGACTGCTTCAGCTTCTCTATCTTCTCCTTGTCTTCCTCGAATTTGCGCTTCAAGTCGATGATGTCTGCCGCCCAACAACATCCGAGGTCAGTGCTTACCCCGGTCACGGAGCACGCCCGCCAGACACGCACCTTTGCGCTTCTTCTCGTGGATCTGGAACGCGTAGAACGCCTCCTTCTCTTTCTTTTCCTTCTTCCTCCGCCCCCGCTTCCCGTCCCCGTCTCCGTCCGACGCGACCCCGGCAACGAACCGCTTGCTCGCCACGCCGACGCCCCCACCAAGCGTCTTGCCGTACGCGCCACCGCGGGTGACGAGCGTGAAGCCGTCCTCGTCGACGACCGCCTCTCCCATGCGGTACTTGCCCCCCTGCCGCGCCGCCGCCTGCGCGTGCTCGAAGGCGGCCACCCACGAGTCCGCGTGCGCGCGCACGACGTCAAGCGGCGGCCGCGCCGCGCGGTACAGCGCCGTGAAGTGCTCGAGCCCGCGCGGCGCCGCGGCGTCGGTCGGCCACGCTGGGGGCTTCGGCGGCGGCGTGAGCGCGCGCGCGAGGGAGGAGGCGTCGAGGAAGACGACGAAGGCGGTGTGGCCCGTGCGGCGGACGTGCCGCAGCGCGGGGGCGGGCAGGGGGGTGACTTTCGGGGCCTCTGTCCCGTCCGCCTTCCGCTTCTTGGAGGGCCGAGGGGCGTCGTCCGAGTCCATCCCTTCGTCCGAGTCCGCAGATTCGCCCTCGCCGTCTTCTTCGTCGCTCATCTTCTCATCATCGTCCTCGTCCTCATCCTCTGGTACTGGCGCTTCGGGCCCAGTACTGAACACCACCTTCTCCACCGTCCCTGCCGACTTGAACAGCACCGTCAACTCGCGCTCTGTGGCGTCTGGCGGGACGTTCACGAGAAAGAGCGTCCGGCCCTCCGGCAGCTCCTCTCTCTCCTTTCCCTTCGAGCTCTTGTGCTTTGGCGCAGAGTGCGCATGCGCGTATAGGTAGTGGATGACGGCGGGGGCATACAGGACCGGGAGGACCGTGAAGCCTGCGACAGTGGTGGGAGGCGAGGCGGGGCTAGAAGCGGCCGAGGTGGACGCTGAAGCCGCGGCGTGCTTGACTGCCTTTGGCTTTTGCGGAGGTTTTGGTTTTGCAGAGCCCATAGAGGCGAGAACAAGGAAGTAAAGGTAGGGAGGGGAAGCAGCAAGAGAGCACGAATCAAGCTAACGCCGAGAGTCGGTTTTTCGGCCGGCATAGCGCCCGCTACTGGTCCCCGGGCCGTCCCCGTGCGCCCGCGCAAAATTCAGCACGACAGGCCTCTTCTGTTGTCTTCGACGACGGTGCGTTCACACGTTCTTCCAGGCAAGCTGAAAGCTGCGCTGAGTCTGAGATAGTAGACCCGAAACCGAGACGGAGGCCAAAACCAGAACCTGTAGAGACGAGAAAAACCGACGAGACTTTTGCAATGAGGACTCGAGGAGCACGAGAAACATCACGACGCTGGAAACTGGGAACGATCCGATATCACTTCACTCGCACCTTCGTGCCGATCCGCCCCGCCAAGGTAAAGTATTATTGAACATGTCGAGATGGAGGCTACAGAAGCGTACATTAACGTCGCGGTGCGTGGGCACGGGGACTCAGTACGCGTACGGCTCCAAATCTGGTCCGTCGTGTGCCGCGATCTTGCGAACAAGGACCTAAATCTTCATATGAAAGGCGAGCAGCATCCAGACCAAGAGGCTGGATGATCGAGCCTACCGACGAATGACGTGGGTGTATGTCAGATAAGATCTTGAGGGTTGAGAGCACGGGGATACGTGCCCGCGAATGGGCGGAGCAATCTACATAGTACGTCGGCGTTCTTGAGCATTCTTCATCATCCGCTTCCCCTTTCACCACCGCGCACATAAACCATCAAGTTCGGCACACGCTTTTTCTACGAGACCACCCGATGGCGTCCTCTTCCACTCTCCATATTCCCCTCTTCATTGTTGACAGATTCAGGCTTCAACCTCGGCTCGCCTCCATTTGCATCGTGCCCAAAGCCGTCTATATCTATGTCCTCTCGGCCGCGGCAGATGCAGCGAACGTAAAATTCAGAACATTCGGTGTGGAGATTTGGAAGGTATGTCTTTCGTCTCTGGAGTCTAGTCGACCGGCGATGACGGTCATGTTGTGCCCATAGCCAAAGGAGCCCTTGTACGCCCAGGACGAAGAGCAATTACAATGCCTCCCAAGCGAGCACGGCTCTCGCTTCCAGGAATTTTGTGTCAAGCTTACTAAGTTGATGTCGAGACCAGGCGGTGGAATCAACATCGGGTCCATCCTCACTGATACCACCGAATCACAACCTCCAAGCGGCACATGCGCTCTAATCGCTGAGGTCTATCCAATGGAACTGCTCACGAGGGATGAGATCGAACGATACGCTCCGGTCAGTGAACGTCCTTTTGAAGAAGAAGGCGAGGGTAGCCATAGTATACCGGGCTACGTGGTATGCGCGCACCCGTTGACATCATGTTGACATTCGTATGATCTGCCTTTGGTGTTGGTGGTGGCCCACCATCTCAAGAATGACAGCATGGCGACTCGGTTCAACGCGGTGCGAGTGTAGTCCTCGACGGAAAGCGCCCCACCACTGACGCTGTCTATCTACCAGTCTCTCCCCCGCTCGAGGTCATCATCCCCTCGTTTTCCACCTTCGTCGCCTTGTCTAGTTCCCTCGATCTTCCTGTTCCAGAAGAAATTGTCAGGCGCACTGGAGAGTTGATGCATCTTTGCTCTGCTCTCCCTCTCGATCACGTCACACTCCATGACGAAGTTTTTCCAGTTCTCTCCAGCATCTTGGGCTTTCCTGTTGAGCCAGGATTCTGTTGCAACACCCCCACCGCCACTGCTCCTCCACCGCGCTCGGATACCGCCGTGTTGACTGTAATTGGGCTCGGCATCGAAGACGGGTACGGCGGACGCATCGCACAAAGCACGTACATCGACTACTACCGGAGTCCGCCTAAAGTACGTGCACCCAACCATCGCTTGCTCACACTGACCTACATCATGCGCAGATCATCAGCCACAGCTGCTCAGTGCCCTCATTTTTGATCGGCATCGCTGGTCCACGGATGTCCATTTTTGGCGCGACCATTGCAAGGCAGCCCATTGTGCAACGCTTGACGCGAGACCTGTGGCTCGCACGGGATCACCCCCTGGACGATGCGGTCTTACTGGAGAACGCGCGCGTTCTTTACGCCCTCGCGCGTGGGCTGGAGTCTTTGCGCGCGTTCTACGCCACCCTCGGACGCCTCCCGACGCCCGAGTCCGAAACGGCCCGTCTCTTCCCTCAAGCGCCACCGTCTTCAGTGCCCGCATCGATGCGGACGAGCCGGGACACCGCGACGTGGTCGTCAAGTTCGTCAGCCACTACGGCGCGGACGCACACCGCCTTCTCGCCTCCGCGAAGCTGGCCCCGCAACTGCTGTATTGCGGCGACGTATGGGTGGAGGAGCCTCGGTACCACGGCCACAAGATGGTGGTCATGGAATACGTTGAGGGCGTTGTAGCGTTTTGCTCGCATCAGCAGAACGCCGCTCTCCCCGAGGTGACGCGGGCGATCGGGCTGTTGCACGCTGGTGAGATGGTGCTCGGGTATGTGCACGGGCATAACGTGTTGTTGCTCCCGGGGTGGGAAGAAAATGCGAAGGATAAAGTGAGGATTATCGGCTTCGACTGGGCAGGACGTGTTGGTGAGGCACGGTATCCGTGCCGTCTTCCGAAGCAGGTGTTTGCGGTGGACGGTGTGAAGGAGTATGGGTTCATCGACCCGGCTCATGACACAGGGATGCTAGCTTCATTTTGCAGCGCTCACGGACCTTGATTTTTGTTAGTAGATGCTGGGTTCGGTGCATGTGTATGCGTTCTATTTGAGAGAAGCTCCCGAGGAGGATGATAGTCCATTTGAACTTTGCGTGTCTGCACATCGGACTGGTTACCCCGCAAGTGGACTTTGGAGGGCACGGGTGGAGGAGACGCGCCGTTTGTGGCACCAAGTTTGGGCCCCACTGAGTACTGAGTACTGAGTACTGATCATCGATCATTGCCGTCCAACCCGGCTCCTTCTTTCCTTCGTTCATGAGTCTCTTCGACCAGGTCTGCCTTCGCCGCCTGTCTTCATCGTGATGCGCATGAGCATCTATCTTACAGCCCTAGCAGCGGGAGGCGGTACAAAGACGAGGCCCATGGCATCTCAACAAGACAAGCAACCCTCGTTCCACGTCAATGCATAATCCTTGGTCCCGGCAGTAATACTACAAGAGCACCAGTAAATCACAACACGGCGTCGAACCAACACGCGTCTAATCCTCGTCGACGATCGACCCCTCCGCGTCCTCATCCCCGCTCTCGAGTCCTTGATCCATCGCCGTGGGCGTCGCCGCCCCAAGGACCATCGAGGGTGACAGATCCGTCGACCTTCCTGCCTCTAATGTCTCCGGCGGCGGGGTTGATGTTGTGTCCGGGAGCGCGTCGTGGACGACAAGGCCGCTAGTATCACCACTAGGAGGGTGTTGAGGCGCTGGAATAGAGTGGAAGGCGACGGAATGTGGCGCGGCGATCGGCATCTTCGAGGCGCGAGGCTCGGTCGCCGACGCTAACGACTTGGCATCGGGGAGCGCGCCACGTGGCGACATGGGTGCCAACTCTTGTGAGGGCGTTGCAGATGTTGCGGCGGGCAGGGTTGGGGTTGAGGATGGGGCGTGGGCAGCGGTGTCCTGATCCACAGGCGACGGTGGTAGAAGTGTGGCCGTATGGTCGGGGGGAGGCGGAGGGGGTGAAGTCGGAGGGTGAGATGGATCCTCACACGACCCATCGGCAGGTGGAGAACAAGCTGGCTCGGTGGCAGCGTCTGGTTCCTTCGTATCCTCGGCCGCGTTCTCGACGACTGTGTTCAGGGCCGCAGATTCGAGAGTGGCCGTGGGTGGATGAAGTGGGGGTGAGGGCGAGGGCGGCTTCTCCGTAGGTCCCAGAGCAAGAGAGGGCGACGAACCACACACCACGGGCATCGTCCCGTCCGTCTCTTCTGCTGTCACCTCGGGTGCCGGTTGCAGCTCCCGTGCACTCTCGATCGACTTCCCGCGCCCTCGTCCTCTCCCCCGTCCTCTCCCTCGTCCTCGACCCCTGCCTCTTGTTCCCGTCGCCTTCCTTCGCCCAACCTCAGCCACGCCCTCTAAGCGCGACGGATCACCGCTCTCGTTCCCCAAAGTAACAGAAGGGCGTCGTTGGTGCTCCTGTGCCGCCTGATCTGCAAGCACGTCGAGCGCGCTCCGGACGCGCGCGACCGACTGGGGAAGAGGGGCGGCACGTGCTGGTGGCTCGAAGTCCGTGTCACCATCCGTGTCGGCTTCGGGGTCTGCTGGGGGTGGACCAGCTTGTGTACGATCCTTCGCAGGACGACCCTTCGACACGGCCGCCGGGGTAGAGACATTCTGAGAAGGGACCGGTTCCGAGGCAGTGGCCTTGGAGCTGCGTTTCGACGCACTCGAGCTGGATAGAGACGCGGATGATGCACCCACCCGGCGCCGCTTGGGAGCAGGGCTCTCCGGGGGCGCGACAGCGGCGCGTCGTCGTCTGTCCGGACGTTTCGGAGGAGGCTCTTTGTCGGGTGCGCTCCCCTCCGTTTTCGTCTCGTCCGCGTCCGCGGGCTGGTCGTAGTCTTCATCCTCGATAAGCGTCCGCGCAGCGCTCACCAGTGAGTCCATTGGAGTGCTTGTCGATGCGGGGGCGACGCCGCGCGCAGGGGTGCTGACTTGAGCGTGGCGAGTGGGAGGTGTGACGGGCGGTGGAACCCACGATACTGGAACGATGAGAGGCATTGTCGAGGGGGGAGCGGGAGCGGGAGTGGGGGAAAAGTAGACGAAGCCCTGAGGGGCGCGCCCCTGAGTATGCCCAACCGCGGAGAACGTGTGGAGGGATGAGGGGTGGAAGTGTGTGGGTAGATGCGTGGGATGCGCGGGAAACGGGGAAGGTGGCGGGTTCGGAGCAGGCTTGTGCGTTGAAATGCGAGGAGTTTGCTGTGTCTCGACAGCCTCAGCAAGTGGTATGGACGGGCTCGATGGTATGTCGGAGCTCTGGATATCCACAGCAGCCGGAGCGTTGTCTCTTTGGGTGGCTTCGTTAGGCCCCTGTGCAGAGGCCCCTGTATCGTGGTCTGTTCGCCGGCGCTCCTTGATTAGGCCGGAGAGGATCCCAGCGCGCGCACGACCCAGCTTGCGTGCGGCAACGAGGATACACTCTGCGCGTGCGTCAGCCAATAAAGGGAGATCCGGGCGGCGACGGTGTCTCCTAGACTTGTCCTTGTCACGACCTTTGTCGCGTTCTCGTCGATGTGAATGTTGTTTGTCCTTGCCCGAGCGGGAAGAATGGGTAGGCGCTTCTGGTTTTGTGGTTGAAGCTGTAGCGTCGGGCGTTGGCTTGTCAGACGCTACCTCATGTTTCTGTTCGGCGGCTCCGTTGGGGTTCGACGTGTCAGCGGAGCGTCCCTCAGTGTCTACAGCCCTTTCTTTTCCTTTGGCTTTCCTGCTAAGACGGGCAGCCAGGTCTGTGGCAGAAGGAGATGCTGCTTCAGATCGCCAGTACTCAGATCCACGAAGGAGGGTGGCCTGCATCATGAGCAGGGGTCGCATGCGCGCGAGCTCGCTCTCTAGGATGGTGAGCTTGGATTGGCTGTCTGCGAGCTGGGGATCGAAGCAAAGGGTAGATAGACAGGCATAAGAAAGAGGGAAACGAGACCGACGCATATGCACTCACTCTTTTACGATACGCCTTTAAGTCATCTTCCAGGCGCGATACGGTGTTTTGTAGTTCCTGGTGGCAAACAGGGTTCAGACCGAGTACGAAAGCAAACAACCTGGCAAGTACGCACCTGTTCCCGAAACAGTGGCTCGTGCGCGACCCGAGTCTTGTATAGCAGTGCATCCGCACACCTCTCCCACATCTCGCGCTCAGCTTGCCATCGGGCACAATCATCGGATCGCTCTAGGAGAAGCAGGTCTCTTTGGAATGTGAGGTTATGGATAGTCTCCGCTTGCGAGACGAGCTGAGCTGGCGAGGGATGGAGAAGAAGATGGGACGTCAACCGCAGAACCTGGCGTAGCGCATATAGTGGGTGTGGTGTGCCAGAGGAGGATGCGGGAGGACGTACCAGGGCCATAAGCTCAGACTCTCTTTCAGTGGTGGCTGGGGGGAGCTGCTGTATGCGTGTATGCAGCGAGGCAATCTCTGACGGATCCAAGGGTTCAGGAGAGGATGTGCGAGGGTGTGGCGGGGCGTTGTGGCTGATCGGCGTGGGGAGACGGTCGCCGTTCGGGACCCGTGCGAACGGATCGGAAAGCGGAGTGTTGAGGGGTTGCAGGGTCGCCTCGGGTGGTGGAGGGGAGGGGGTCATGGTGCGGAGGATGTCGTCGAGCGCAAGGGCAGGGCCATCTGAGTGTGCCATGAGCAGCATGGACTGCATCCGCGGCAGGCAGGGAACGGCTTTGCGAGGCTCTGCGCATCGACGGGAACATGGACAATCGCCAAACAACGCACAACAACGCCGTCGCGTGAAGCTCCACGTGACGAGAACTCTCGGTCACTCGCCCACGTGGGGTACCGTGTTCCGAGGGCACCGGACCGCCGCCGGCTGGCCTCCCGCGGCGCGCGCTGGCAGCCGGCGCTTCCCCCCCCGTGCGACTCGAATCTCGACCGTGGGCCACTTCGCACTCGACTCCAGATTCTCCATGAGCACTGTGCCTGGCCCGCTCTCCCTCCCCGCCATGCCCCCCTCCTCCGCCTTCCAGTGGTTTCTCCTCGTCTGCCCTGCTGTCATCATCCTCTCCTACTTCGTCACCGTCTTCCCCCACACCCCGCAGTCCGTCCACATACACTCCTCCCTCGCCCTGCTCGACAAGTCCCATCCAAGCTGGACATTGTACCCCGACAACTTCTACGAAGGCGGGGCTTATGTGAGGCTGCCATATGGATCCGTACGTCGAGTCTATGCCCTCATCTCCCCTTCATGTCCGATAATTGCCCTCCAGGTCCGATATTGGCTCATCGGCCCTGAGGACGGCCAGAGGGTGCGATCTCCTCCGTCTCTTACCTGTGTTCATCGTTCACCCCGCTGCAGGTTGTCCTCATCCACGGCCTTTCTGTGCCCTCTATCATCTGGAAAGACGTTGCGCCTAAGCTTGCCGCGAAAGGCCATCGCGTCTTGCTCTACGGTACGCGTCGCCTACCTCGCTTGTGCCTCTCACCTCACACGCGTCGATAGACCTTTATGGCCGTGGCTACTCCGATGCGCCACACACAACGTACGACGCTAACCTATACAGCACCCAACTCGCCCTTCTTCTACAGCACATACGCTGGGAAAGAGCAAGCATAGCCGGGCTCTCTATGGGTGGCGGGATTGCAGCCACTTTCAGTGCCCAATTTCCCCATCTTGTCACAAACAAGATTGTTCTCATCTCAAGTGCAGGGTTGATGGAGGTGCGTTCACTCGTGCACTAGCTCGTGTCGTTCGCCAATCCCTTCTAGTCGTCGGACTTGTCACGCACCACCAAATTCCTGTCCTCGCCTCTCATGCAAGCGGTTACCTCAAGTGTGCCGTTCCGTTTCTACCTCCAGTACCTTGCCAACCAGACACCGTCGAACGACTCCATCGGCGAGCTTGTCCGCATACAGTCTGCTTATCTCCCGGGATACAATCTCGCACTGGCGTCTTCGATACGGGACGGTCCCCTGCGCAGTCTAGCCCCGCAGTTTGCTGCGTTGGGGCGACACTCGCGGAAGACAGGAGGGCAGGCCCTCGTTATCTGGGTGCGTCTCCCGTTCCCTTTCGAACGTCCTCGTCTCACGCTGTGTGTCCACTCAGGGCACAAACGATAAAGTGGTCCCGTACCGCTACGCGTCGCGCGTGCAGACTCTCATCCCGCACTCGGAGCTGGTCACGATCCAGGGCGGGCCGCACGACATCACGATCTCGCACCCAGACGAGGTCGCTGCCGCGATGATCGAATTCCTCGGTCGGTGATCGGGACCAACCAGGCACGCTGATCGAGTATCTATGTCCTCCTCTGCTGTGCCACTTTTCCTCTTTGGAATCTCTGGAACGCCTCTGTCCATCACCTTGTCGCTCGCTGTGGTCGAGCGGCGTCAACACGTCGTCGTGCCCTGTGCACACACCCTGCATGCTTGTTTATTGTTGTCTGCATTATCCCATCACGCTGTATCCGTCACCTCGCACATGCTCGCATACTCACGCTACATACTGTTACTACTGTCTGCCAACCCTTTATTTACCTGTCCCGAACCGCACGTCTTCCACCTCCACCCGCTGCGTGAGCAGCCACGCCCGCCCTTCGTCACTCTCTTTACGTATACCTCACATCGGTACTCCGTGTGGGTGCCTGTGTGCATCCGCGCGCCCGCCGATCGCATGTTTTAAAAGTAGATATCGCCTAATTTCCCGCCGTAGACTATACAGACACTCGCTCGTTGCCTCGCCGTCAGGCTACACAATATATTACACAGACTCCCCGGGCGCGGGGAGATGTTCCTAGTGGATTTAGAATGCTGTGCGGAGAGCTCGGACCAAGCGGCGGAAGTCTCGACGGTCTCGCATAACACACCGCTAAGTCCTCCGAGGCGTGTGAAGTGGCCCGTCGAACAAGCGAAACGATAAGACGGTCATCGATTGCAAGGACCCCCTGCATAGTGCGTGCGTACGGACGTACGAATTGCCTCGTCGCGTTGCACATGCGCCCTCACACACACCCTGCCCTCGGCTCCGTCACGCACTCACAGCACCAGATCGCCCAACACGACCTCCTTGAGCTTCCCAAAGTTAGGGGTGCCCACGCCCGTGACCGGGTCCCAGCCCTTCGTGGCGTTGAAGCCCGGGGTGCCGCACCCGGGGTTGTTCCCCGTCGCGATGTCGTTGAACGCGGGCGTGCCGCGGAGCGCGTACACGAGCGGGTTCAGGAACCCGAGCGGCGGGCGGCCCGCGGAGAGCCGCGCGGAGTTGAGCAGGGAGACGATCCCGGCGAACGTCGGCGCGGCGGCGGAGGTGCCGCCGATAGAGACAGCCCGGCCCGAGAGGAAGATGCGGAAGAGGTCGGCTTGTGCGGCGACGTCCGGGATCGCCTGTGTGGGGATGACGGGGGGAGGGGGGTGTGGGGTGTGGGGTTAGGATGGGGAAGATAGGGAGGAGGAAGAGGGACGTACGCGGCCGTGGGGGTTGAAGAGGCCGGCGTAGGTGCCGGGCGCGAGGGTGTCGAGGAACTTGGTCACCGCGGCTTCCTGATAGGCCGGGCGCGGGAACTAGAGAAGGGGTCGGATGGACATCAGAAGCGGCGCGGACGCGCGGAGCAAGTACGCACGAGGTCGCTGAAGCCGCCCCCAGAGAAGAATACCGCCGTCTCGGGGACGTGAATCGTGCCGCCGACGCCCGTCACGCTGCGCGCGGCGGTGTCAGCGTACGGAAATGCACGCGACGAGACAGGAGGAGCACGCACAAGGGGCACGAGGGTGGGAAGAGAGGCACAAAGCGCGTCGCGTTCCGGCCGTCGTTCGTGAAGCACTCCTGCAGCGCAGGGTCCTCCTCACCGTCCCCAACACCGCCATCCCCGGAGCTGAACATGAGCGACACCCCACGCGCGCCTGTGTCGTAGAGAGTTGTTGGGGCCTCGTTAGGAACGTAATGAACGTGTGAGCTGGAGAGAAGGGTGCCGTACCGAGCTGCGCGAACTCGTTGCACACGCGCTTGGCGAAGCTTGGGGGCACTGGGGCATGTTCGTCAGACGGAAGGGCGACCTGAAACGGTCAGAGGGCGCACCGGTCTGCTCATCATCGGCGTAGCTGGTGGATATCGTCTGGGGGATGTGCTTTTGTTTGTGCACGAACGCCAGCCACTGGGAAACGGGAGGGATGAGCAAGCAGATCTCCACAACGAGACGAGGCACTGACATCCAGGTACGGCTCATTGCTGTTGTCGGGCGTGAGTACATCCGGCTTGAACGGCGGGCTGCCACCCGTGGACCAGAACGTCGCCGGGGTGGGGAAAGTGAGCCCGTACGCGAACTGCGTGTCTGCACGCCCGCGCAATCAGCACCACGCCCCACATGTATGCGCGCCGCCATGACGCACCCAGGTTCGCCTCCGCTCCAGCCTCGTCCAGGGTCTGGTTGTTCACCCCGCCGTTGACGAGCACCGTCTTGAACGAGGAGCCCACGGCGTCCGGGCGCTGCTCGGCGAAGAACGTCTGCAGGTCCGCCTCGTTCGCGAACTGCTCGAGGTAGCCCGTGATCCCGATCTGGTTCCCGTTCTTCGCGCTCGGGGCGAAGCCGACGGCGTTATAAAGCTGCTGGATGCACGTGATCGTGATCGTCTTGTTGCAGCTCGCGTCGACGTGCCCGCCCGACGCGGACGGCACGCTGATCGGCGGCGCATCGGAGGCGAGCTTGGGGGCAGCCGAAGAGGTGGAGTCAAAGCGGAAGGTCGTGCGAAGGGCGTGCATGCGCGAGAACGCGGTCGTGGGCTGCACCAGCTCGACGTGGCCGTCGAGCCACTCCGGGAGGCTGTAGGAGGTCGTGCGGATGACGGCGTCCCCGGACGCGTCGTGCGTCCAGACGTGGTACTCCTGCGGCGGGTCAGCAGAGGGCAGAGAAACAGCGCGACCGAGACACGCACCGTCTTCAGCATCTCCTCTGCCAGGCTCACCGGCACTTTGACCATGACCCAGTCCTTCGCGGGCGAGCGGTCGAGCGCGTCTTCGACGAGCCCGTGCGACGCGAGCCACTCATTGACACGGTGCACGCTCTCGCCGTGCGGCGCGACGAGCGCCTCGACCTCCTCTTTGGATAGGTGCTGCCCGTACCGCTCGTGGTACGGATCGCTGTCGGGTCGGTGCTGTCAGCAGTCGGGAATGCGACAACCCACGCGCACGCGCACGGAAAAGGCTTGGAGCACCCACCTCACTTCGTACAAATGGCGCTCGAGCGACGGGAAGTCGTTCTGTGGGAGCGCGATGCGGAGCTCGATGGTGTGGTCCGCAGGTGCGGGAGCACGCTTCGTCCATCCGCGCGGGGGCACGACGCGCTCTCTGAGCTTGTGCGCGCCGTCGCGCGACGGAACCGCGGCGGCGGCAGCGGCGAAAGCGAGTGTGACCCAGATGGTGAGGGGCAGCATCGCAGGTCGACGGGCGGGGGCGGGTCGACGAGGCGCGTTTGCAGAGGCAAAGGCTCGGGGCGCGATGAACCGCGTGCGCCGATATTTATGCCGCGCGGCGGGGATGGCGCAAATGCGCCATCGGCTCTCGTGCGTGGGCGGTACCCGAGGACCGGGCGGAGGGGGCGGCGGAGGGAGCTTTCGAGTGCATTCCCAATGATGGAGGGGTCGACGCGGAGTTGGGTTCTCGGCCGGTGCGTGATGTAGCCGACAGTCTTTTGCGTTCCCATGGGCATGGGAAAGTACTTGCGAACCGCCGAGCGCGAGCTGGCTTCTGGCATGCCCAGGGCCGTAATCTGCCCGTATGCGCCTTTCTGGAGCTCCCACTGCCCGTTCAATTTGGCACCGTCCTGAGAGGCGATCCGCGCGGCCCCTGGTGTTATTTCGAACGTGTTGGAGGCGCGGGATGAGACGGAGCTTCTAGATGCCCCCTGGGCCGCAGGTGGGCCTTGTGCTCGAACAGAAAAGTCAGGCTCGGCTAAGAAATCGTGATGCGCTCGCCGTTCTATAGACCCGTCAGTGATCGCCGCGGTAGCCCCACCATTCTTGAGGGAGATGAACGCACCCTTACATATCCCAATCGCGCCCGTCCACCGGTGATTTTCCATGACGCCTCGGTGGATGTACATTGCGGAAGATGAATGGAAGAGAGAAAGAGTATTCGGCGCCAGAAGGGATCCTCGCCCTGGGCGTGGGCGCCGGTACAGCCACCGACACTACCTACTGAACCTCCGCTGCATCAGACAGTCTCGAACAACCCTTCACCCTGGTCATCTTTTCGTGCGTTGCCATTTGCGCTCGGACTGTGCTGCAGCATTCGACGGGAATACGACACCAAAGGCGCATGCAACTTGATCCTGCATCCCGGACACACATCCCAATCAGCTCTGACTTCGCAGACTCTATTCTCATAATGGGGCCTTCGCTTTGCAAGGATGGCTTTCGTGTGATGGAAAGGCTACCAGGATTAAACGCAAGAGTCACCGCACGGCTCAATAAGAACGTTACGAAGAGGCAAACCACGAGACCGATATGACCGACCTCGCCGCTCTTCGGAAGACTTGATGTTTGTGAACCTGGGGACACGACTGGGCCAACATGTGCTCAACGCCTTACCCTCACCAAGGGTGAAGAGCGGGGGCCATATAAACTTCCTTCATATCCGCGGCGAGGCACGACTAGCTTGACAATTGCTTCTTTATGGGTGCTCGAGGAGATAGCCTCCTTCCGCTGCCACAATCTATAAACGTTTGCGTGAGCTGTGCTCTGAGAAGCAATGACATCACGGTACCTGTCCATACGCATATTCATAGCAGGCTGAGAACAACACAGTTTGCGCCATGTCTTCCTCCTTCCCCGGTTGCCCCCGCCGGGATGCCCTTCTTCTCGCCCTACTCAGGAGGCGTGTCGCTTGTAGACTTGTTGTTTGCAGAGACTCCCGCTGCAATGAAAGGTCAGCATATAGTGACCTCCTGGCCTTGATAAGGACGCAACGCACCCGTGATCTCGCTCGGAGTCGTTGTGACCACTGGGAGGCGTAGGAGAGAACGGTGCGATGTTGTCCAGAAGATCTGCAGGGCGAAGCGGAGCGGAGTATGCTGGATCAGGGGGTGGTGACCTCGAGAACAGCCTCTGGCCAGCGACCCCAGGTGAAAGAGGCTCAGCACCAACGGCAGGATCTGCGGAATGGCCATCCAGACCTGAAGCGAGAGGGCGGGGTTGGGAAGGGAAGAGATCGTCGACAGAAGCACTGAGAGAAGAACCAGAGGTAGTGCTGTCGTCGCGGCCCAGTGGTACAGAGGAGTGGTTTTGCTGCCGGCACGTCCGTTTGGCGTCACGTCGTGCGTGCATTGCTGCTACGCGCTCAGTTACAATTTCGTAGCCTAGAGGTTGCTTCTTGCAGTCTGTGCAGAAGCAGTGGGTATATCTAGGTGTAGAATTGCGCGGCATGTTGATAGGCAGCCAGTAGGGAGGTAATGTCGATGTGGGAGGGAATGAAGTGGGACCACTCAAAGACTTGTCGGCCATAATAGCTCGATTATCCTCTCAGGGACCAGCCTGGTACTCAGGAATGTGCAAGGAACACGTGAGGAATCCGCTCATTTCACACATATGTTACAGTACAGGGAATCTGCTAGAACATCCACAAGGAACTTGCCGGGAATTTGCTCATTCCGCGCACATTCCCCACCTTGGGAAATCCGCGGTTTCATGCGGTAGGAATATGTCAGGCGCGATGGTGTTCACGCGCACCCGTAGGCCGACAGAACTCCTGCGCGAGCAGCGTAGTGAGGTCAATCGTAGCCGCCTTGGAGACGTTGTCCTTGAAGTGATGCTGCGTCGTGCGCGTGATGCCCAGCATGGACGAAATATTGATCACGGTGCCGGTGTGCCCCCCGCGAGCCGCAGCGGAGAGCAGCGGTAAAAAAGCCGCCGCCGTGAAGAAGTACCTGCACGACACCTACCCCGGTGCGCGCGAGCTCTACTCGCCTCAAATCGCACGACGACAGGACGACTCACCCGATGACGTTCGTGCGGTAGACGGACTCCCAGTCCGCGAGGTCCTCTCGCCACAACTCCTCTCGCAGCTCCGTCGCGCCGCCGCCGCCCGAGTCGCGCTTCTCGACCTCGCTCGTCCCGAGGCTTCCCCTCGCATTGTTGACCAGGGTGTTCACTCGCTCCCCTGCCCTCGATATTCGCCCACCAGATTCTCGATCGATGCCTTGTCAGTGCAGTCCGCCGACGCACGAGCTGGCCGTGGGGGTGAAGGAGCGCCCTCCCCCACACTCGTGTGGTCTCTTCGAGCACATCCGCGTGAGGGCCCGCGGTATACACCTTTGCACCGTTGTTGGAGAACGTCTGTGCTATCGTAAGGCTGATACCGGTGCTGCCGCCGGTTGCGACGCAGACGCAGCCGTCGACGTCGAAGAGGCGAACGGACGCACGTTGTCAGGGTGAGACATTGTTGTCGAGAGGTGTCGGAATGTAGCGGATGGTTAAGAGCCGTTTTACGCGCAGTTGAGGTAGTTATGGAGTATATAGCAGCAGAGACCGGAGCGATCGTGAGGACGAAAGCAAGTTGAATCGCGTCTGTCGTCATGTTCACTAAGGTCCGGGGGCCGGCCCGGGAGTTCAAGAATCTTCAAAAACAATAAATTGTGTATAATGCGACGCCGAGTATCAATACATCCTCCTTTTGTATTTCCTTCACCACCACCCATCACATGCATGGCTTACACCAAGTTCGACGGGTAGAGGTAGTCCTCGAGCCCGACAAAGTTTTCCTTGATGCTGCGCGCCGACACGAAGCGGTAGAAGATGGAGATACTGCCCGCTTTGTCGTTCGTGCCGCTCGCGCGTGCACCACCGAACGGTTGCTGGCCGACGACCGCGCCCGTGCATTTCTCGTTGTAGTAGACGTTGCCGGCGGCGTTCCGCAACCGGTTCGTCGCGTGCAGGAGCACCTTACGGTCCGACGCGAAGCTACAAGAACACAGTGATGAGCAAATGCAATAAGTGGTTGGGATGGGACTTGCATGGCGCCAGTCAACGCATATATGCTAGTGTTGTCGATCAGGTCGAGCGTCTTCTCGAAGTCCGCATCCTTGTAGACGTAGATCTGCACAACCGTCAGCCGGACACGCGTATATACTCACTCAAGGGTCACTTACGGTGAGGACAGGACCGAAGACCTCATCTACCATCGTGGGCGACTCGGGGTCGGCCGTCAAGATGACAGTAGGCTGCACGAAGTAACCCTTCGAATCATCGCCTACGAGTGCGGGTGAGTGTGCTGTGACGAGTTCTACTGGTCTGCACACATACCGCTGCCACCGATCAGAACCTCTCCACCAGCATCCTTGGCCTTCTTGATGTAGCCCATGATCTTGTCGTACGAAGCGCGGTGGATGACCGGGCCGATGAAGTTGGTCCAGTCCGATGCGGGCCCGACCTTGAGCTTAGCGACCTCCGCGAGCAACTGCTCCTTGAAGCCACCAGACCAAGCAGTCTCCGAAACATACACGCGAGAGAGTGCAGAGCACTTCTGGCCTAAGTAGTATGGGTGAGCTGTGCAATGACTGGACTGAAGGTTGATGGTCCTACCCTGGTACTCGAGCGAGCCACGAACGGTCTGGTTGACGGCGTTCTTGATCTCGGCCGATGAGTGAACCAAATGCCAGTTCTTTCCACCTGCATTCAATGTGAATTCACATGCATCACACACTGAGAAAGATCCCAACGTACCAGTCTCGCCAACAATGCGCGGGTAGCTCTTGTAGACATCGAGGTTGTTCGCGATGCTCTTCCAGAGGCTCTTGAAGACGAACGTGCTACCGGTGAAGTGAAGGGCCGCGAAGTGGGGGCTGGAGATAGCCTGGCCAACAACTTCCTCCGCCGGACCGGGCACAAACTGAATCACACCGGGCGGGACGCCAGCCTCGGTGAAGATCTTGTGCGTGATGTAGTTGGCATACACGGCGCCAGGCGACGGTTTCCAGACGGCAACGTTCCCAAGAAGTGCGGGTGCTAAAAGATGGATCAGAAAGTGACCCGGACGAAAATTCAAGGATGCATACCTCCGCAAAGGTTACCACCGATCGCAGTGAAGTTGAAAGGCGAGATGGCGAGAACGAAGCCTTCAAGGGCGCGGTACTCGACGCGGCTAGCCCAGACCATCATTGAGCGACACGATGACAGACGGCGGGGATAGAAGCACCCACTTCCATGCTCCAGGGGCGTTCTTCGACGGTTGCTGGGCGTAGAGCTCTTCGACATACTTGACGCCGAAACGGAAGAAGTCCGACATCTGGGCCCGCGCCCAGCCTTTAGCATCAAACCTCCGCGGACCAACGCTATTGCACGCACCTCAGCCGCAGCGTCGATCTCCGCCTGCCACGCGTTCTTGCCCTGCCCGAGCATCGTCGCCGCCATGAGCTGGTAGCGGTACTTGCCGCTCACGAGCTCCGCCGCCTTGAGGAAGATCGCCGCGCGGTCGTTCCACGGCATCGCCTCCCACTCCTTTTTCGCGGCGAGCGCGCCCTCGATCGCGGCGGCGACCGTCGCCTGGTCCGCTTCGTGGTACGTGCACAGGTGCCGCGCGTGGTCGTGCGGCATCGCCTGCTTCGCGAGCTTGCCCGTCTTGACCTGCACAAGCGGGGGGCGGCGCGGATCAATCGCCGGGACATCGGCGCTCGCGATGGCGGGTTGGGCGCACCTCCTTGCCGTTCACAATGCAGGGGACCTCGAACGGGAGCTCCTTCTCCATCTGCGCGAAGGCCTCCATCAGGCCCGTGCGCTCTGTGGAGCCAGGAGCATAGCTCCGCTGCAAACCGCGTCGCAGATCGTGAGCTCGACGGAACATGCGAGGGGAGGAGAGTACGCACCATTGGCTCATTGTCGATGGCTGGAGCCTTGAACGACGCAAGTTGGGGTGTGTATGCAGCCATGGTGGAGGAGGTGGGCGAGTCAGAGAGATCTCTGCGCTCTCCTCGCTCGATAGTCCATCGCCCCAGGCCCAAGGGGCGCAACCGCTCGAGGTTAGATTAGATCCCGGTTCCGTCGGGCCGCCGGAGTCCGGACCCCCACGATTTCCGGATAAGAATGGGAAATTGTATGAACATGAAACATTGTAATCTACGCTTGCGAAGCACAGAAACAGAAAACGACACCGGAACACGTCCCTCCGGTCCCCACTGCGCTCACACCGTCGCCGGGAGCGCGTCGATCCGCTGCGCCAGCTGCTCGAACCACCACGCGGACGCCAGGATGGACGCCGCACAGCGCTCGCAGCCCGCCTTCTGAGCAGCGCGCTGCAAGAACGACATCGAGACCACCACGGCCGACACCGGACGGGCCCGCAGCTCTTCCACCGCGGCCGCTCGGAACGGCGCCCACCATCGCGGCGGCACGTCATGGTTGCGCTGGCTGCAGTGCATGCACCGGATCTCGTCTGGCAGCACGAGCAAGGCTATCGCCGCTGCCGCGCGCCGCTGGTGAAGCAGGAGGAGCGCGTGGTACGCGTACGCTGTCGTCGTCTTCAGGTCCTCGTGAAGGGGCTGGGTGTTCAGCCCCATGGCGAGTGTTGCTGTTGACGCGACCTTGGCCTCTTCGTGGAGCTCGTAGTGACTCGCGATGCCGTAGACGCGAAGAGGGCTTTGAGCGAGGAAATCGGGGGAAACGAGGGCGGCTCGAAGTCTGATGATGGCGACGGTTACGTCGTACTTGTGCACCGCCTCGAGCACGGGAACGAGCTCGTCGAGGCTCGCGAACGTGGGTTCACGGACCGGATATATGTACGATAGGAGAGCGGAAAGGGTAGTTGGACTCTCGGTGAATGGGATGACTGGAGTGCCGTGGTCGATAGGGGAAGGCGGTTGTGGAATGGAGAGTAGTCCTTCGAAAAAGGTCGAGGAGAGGGATAGTATCCAGCGATGGACGCGAAAATCGATGGCTTCGGAGAGTTTCTGGGCTGGCTGTCCACCAGGAGTAGCACGAAGCGTGATGTCTGAGTCTGAGTAGTCAAAGAGGGGGAAAGACATGAGTGCAGGAGGGATAATACCGCTCCATCCTCCTGTCATTATATAGAATACCCGGCCCGCAGCAAGGACACCAGGAATGGACATCCGGAAGCAAACACTAAAACCCCGGCAGTACCTGCCCATGCGTACGGATTCAGACATCCCGGCAGGAGAGCTGTCAACTGGACACTACGCACAGAAGGGTGTTCTCAGGCCCTGCGACCGTGGTGGTCCCGAGAGCTATACTCCCGACTACGACTCCTCCGCCTAGTCCGCTCCCTGTCCCTGCCATCGTCCCTGTATCGTTCAGAGCGATCTGCGGACCTTTCCCGAGGCTTGTGACGCGGGCTGCGGCTACGACTCCGATGCCCCCGCTTTCCGTCGGGCACGTCAAACACCATCCCATAGTCGCCGCCCGAGTTGTGGCGCTGGTCTCTGTATCGCCGGGTCGCCTCGAGGTCGTCGCGCCCGCCAAAGCCTCCGCGACCGCGACCGCGACCACCTCTCGCCGATGGGCCCGTTTTGATGTCGTTAGACCAACTCGTGTTCATGCGCGCAACGGATTGAGAGCTTTGACCGGTGTAAATGTTTGAAACACTCGCTGAAACGAACTTAAAACCACTCACAAGTCAACCCATATCCGGCGGTCGTCGACCAGCACGTTCTGCATCTTGAAGTACGCCTGAGCAACCACGTAGGGTGTCAATTCCCTGTGGTGCAGCGCGCAAAGCGCACACGACCGCTCACCTGCTCCGCATCCTCACGCTTGTCAAACTCGATGAACGCGTACTGCAGCGAGTCGCCCGTCTTCTTGTCCCGGATGACCTGGCAGCTCATGATCTGCCCGAAGCGCGAGAAGATGAGCTCCAGGTCCTCGTCTCGCGTGACCGGGTTCAGCTTGCACACGAACAGCACGTTCTCCGGCGGCCGCACGTTCGCGAACGGGAGGTCCCCGACCATCTCGAGCGTTAGCGCCGACGCCTGGGCCGCCTTCTTGCGCCGGAGAGCCTCCGCCTCCTCCTCTGGCAGCGTCGCCAGGGGGTCCTCGTCCTCCGCAATCCGCATGGAGTTGTCCGGCGGCTTCGTCGGCGGCTCGTTCGGCACCATCAGCCCCGGGGGGTCTTCAAACGGGTCCTCTGTCCCCCGCGACGCGTCAACGGCCGCATATATACACCCAGAACACACCGTTACTCACCAAGGATCTCCACGTGCCGTATCCGCACATCCTTCAGCGGCCGCCCGTCCGAGTCGACGAACACGTCGTTCAGCTTGTCGAGCGTCTCGAGCCCCTCGACGACGTGCCCGAACACGGCGTGCTTCCCGTCCAGATACTCGATGTTTTCTCCGAGGGTGACGAAGAACTGGCTCCCGCACCCTCCCTGCGCGTCCGCGCCCGCCGCGGGCGCGACGGCCATCGAAACTGTGCCCCGCGCGCGATGCTTCATACGAGGGACGAACTCGGGCGTGAAATACCGCGGGGCGCGCGCGTTGCTGGGCTCCTGCGAGGCTATCAAAGACCAGATGGACTCGCCGCCGGTGCCTGTAGCTGTGGGGTCACCGACCTGTGCGAGAAAGTCCTTGGAGACTGCGCGGGGGATGGGGTGAGTGGAGGTTGCGGGGAGGGCGGCGCGGCGCACCATTGAAGAAAGCGTTGAGGTTGTAGTAGTACACTTTACAGAGCTTGAGGAAGTTCTCGCACGTCTTTGGACAAGCATCGACTTCGAGGTCGATAACAAGGTCGCCGAGGGAGGTTTCGAAGAGCACCGACATCGTGGTCGGCGGGCAAGGGGAGAAGCGCCCAGAGTCGGTGCTCGCGAGCGTCAGCTAAACGCGCTCAGAACGTCCAGCTCACGCGAGGCTTCACGGCGAACGCAGCGAGATAAAGCATAACATAGACAAATGTACGGGTATCCAAGTGGCGGCATAATTTACAGCATGAAATACACAACATACACAACCGCGTCCGCCCGCTAGAAATCTCGGTCTCGCGTCCAGTTGCGCTGCGCGAACGCGTCCTCCCTCGGGCTTCCCGCAAAGTACGGCCCCGACACCCGCGGCCGCTCCGCCTCCTCCATCTCGTCGTACGGCGCGGCCCACGACGCGAGCCCAAACAGACTGGTGCTCGCACTCGCGCCCGCATTCCCGCTCGCACTCTCGCCCCTCTTCCGTGTCTGGGGGATCGCCCGAGGCGGGGATGGCTTCGACGCCGCGTTACCGGAACCCGTGCTCGCGTTGGACTTTGCAACTGGGGTCCGCGGCCTGCCCCCCTCGACGGGCAGCCCCTCGACCTCGGCGGGGGACGGCGTGCCCGTCGCGAATCGGAATGCCTGCATCCTCCGCGACAGCGCCTGGAGAACACCTTCGCGATCCGCGGGCTGCGACGGACCCGCTTCGGACGGCTGCTCCTGGTCCTCCGTGCCGCCATGCTGGGTGAACGTTGTCCTGATCGACGAGTCCGACAGGCCCCGCCGCAGCGCGCGCTCCAGTGCTGGGGGAGGCCCAGCGCCTTCACCCACTGTGTCCCCGCCCTCCCCGTCGTCGTTGTGGTCGAGCTGGGGGGACTGCACGTCGATGATCGCGTCGACGATTCGCGACAGCCGCCGGCCCACCACCCCGGGAGGGCGCAACGTTGCCCGTCCCACCGTACCTACTGAGCTCCGTAAGCCTGCGACACTCGCAGACCGGCTGATCTTCGCCCCCCCGGTATTGCTGGGGGGACGCGGGATGACGATCCATGGGTCACGTTCTGCAGGCTTGGGGGCCCCGGCGAAGATACCCATCAGCCGCGAGACATCCTGCCTTGGAGCTGGTTGAGCAATGGGGGCGCTGTTCGGTGGCACTCTGCCTGCGCTATCCGTTGTTGGGGGAGCGCCGCCGATGCCAGGCAAGCCGAACGTCATCCGACTAGGATGCGCAGAGTGCGTGCTGGTGACGGAGCGCCCGACACCGGCGCCGGTAAACTCGACGTTCACGGTCATCGCAGACGCAGAGAGCGCAGGTTGCAGCTTCGGGACAACGCGCGGTGGTGGACGTCCGCGGCCGAGGTTCCTCGCTGACGAGAACGCGCCAGACGTCGCCGAGTCTTGATTGCTGCTTCCACCAGGCAGGCCGAGGAGCTTCGATATGGGAGCGATCCAACCTGAGGCGCCGCCACTACCACCTGAACTTCCTGCCGCAGCCTCGGCACTTTGCACTTTGGAGGGATTCATGGCCATCTCGCTGACTCGACCCGCGACCGTAGGGTCGAGGATGACGTCGTTGAGCGTGACGCGCATCTGGCCGAGCTCTGTGAAAACGTCCTTGAGGAGCTTGAGAAGGCTACGGAGATCTCGACGGGTGCACGTCGTCGTTGTCTTTTCGTCCTCGAGGTATACGCGGAAGTGACTTCGGAGAGCAGTGACGTCGTTGACGATCGAGTTGACAGTTGTGCGGGAAAGGTGGCTGACATCGGCGCCCAGAAGATGTTGTCGCTTAAGCCGGTTGGTGAGCGTGAGGGCGTCCGACTGGGTGAGTCGGTTGAGTAGTTGGTTCGTACGGTCGACCAGCGTCCCGATAGCAGTGGTCTGAATATTGTCGGTGAGAGACGACGCTTCAGAGTGGCCTTCGTGCGATGATACTTGGTCTCCGTAGTTTCTAGGTATTGGCGACGGTGACATCGAGCTATTGCCGCCACTCCAAGGACCATCGGTTTGAACGCCGCGCTCCCGAGTGAGGAGAAGGAGAGGCTTCGTAGCTCTCGGCCGTTCTGGGGATAGCATGCTACCATCCTCGTCCACGTCGCGGCTGAAGGTGGAGTGGGATGGAGTGTGTAGAGCGGACCTGGGAGTCATAGGGCGCGTGAACGACGTCCACTTTGAGCCTGAGGCAATGTGCGACTCCGCTGGTGACAAGGGTCTCCGCTCCGTCTCCGGCGTAAGCGGTTTATAGCCCTCTCGCGAGCCCTTCTCGACACGTTCGTTGCTGATAGAGCGACGGTTGTTCGCGCCCATTTCGCGCTGAAGCCTGGAGCGAAGAATCGAACCCGAGGGAGCAGTGCCGAGGTGGAAAGTCGGTGATAATGGACCAGAAGTATCGTGGAATGTGTACGAGGCACCGCTCTGGGTGAATCGGTGACCACGAGCAGAAAGAGTATCGCCAGCACGCCGTTCCTCAAGTTCTTCCTGCAGTGTGTGAATCTCTTCACGTTCCTGTGCAAGGAGGTTTTGAAGCTCGGCGTTGTCACGCTTGAGGACCTCATTGTCGGCAACAAGAGATTCGAGCACCTTGGTGACTTCGGAGTCTTGTATGTCCGTCGTGTGCCCGAGTTGCTGGAGTAGCCTATAAACATATAGCAAGATATGGGTAGAACTGTGTACGTACGTGGTACTGGAGCTGCTCCAGACGCTGCTTAGCATCGTTCAGAATCTCTTCAGAGAACTCTTGTCGGTGACTCCTCTGCAAGTCTAGATCCTCGCGCAACC